AATAGTAGAAGATTAACGAAAAAAATTTCAGACTTTGAAACTGTTCAACTACAAAGATTTAACTACAAACTCTCTGCCAAATAGAAACTACTTAAATGACAACATCGAGAGCACGTGTGACAAAAATAGTACTTTTAGAATAAGAAAAAAAAATAAACTGATGCAAAAAGTACGTTGAAATAGACAAGTTTTGCTGATAAATCAGGTTTTGATTTGGATGTTAAAGTGCAAAAATAACCTATTTTTGAAGATGTTTCTTTTTTCACACGTGGTATGACGACTTGAATAATTCACAAAAAGGGAACAAATAAATTGCCGAAGGAAAATTGAAAACCGAAGATGCTGAAGAATTGAAATTCCGCAGAAACAACGGAGAGGAAACCCGAACTTTATTTAAAAGTTGATAGATCAAAAGGCTTCGCAAACAATTTGACACCCGAGATTTTTAGAACTCCTCACTAGAAGATTCAGAACATTTCTCAAGATGAAAAACATACAAAGTTCGAAAAAATATTTATTTTCCAAATAAGTTCAAAAAAACAACAATAAAAATCAACAAAACCGTAGTTGTAGTTGCAAAAAAGACCCGTTTTGAAATTCCGTTGCACAGCTAAATCGACGACTATTTGAACCAGTAATTCAACTTGGATTTCAGTAAATATTGAAAATATTATAAATATTTCGGCGAAACAATCAGACTTCTTGAAACAGTCCTTCGAATAAAAACAGGTTTTTGAGTTGGCTCTTCAAGAATATTTTCATCCATGTGAAACATGATTTATAATATCTGTGACCAAAGTCAAAGCTCTTTTATATTATTCAGAATAGGCTCCGCCCATTTTTCAGAAAATGCAGAGAAAAGATGCACACACATACACACATATGAGCAACGTGTCGAGCGGATATATAATTGAACTTTGACTATGAAGAAACAAAATTAGTGTTTCTGACCTTTCGAGGAAGACTTCCGGTACAATGGAAAAAACATGTTTCGAGACAATTTCTAATGCTTAAAAAAGCTTAAGTTCCAAGAAATATTTGAGATGTTTGATTCGAATGATGTTATATTTCCTTGTTTATTAAAAAGGGGAATCTATGGTCGGCTTCTTGTTTATAAGTTTATGCAAATGTTTATCCGATCTCAAACACCAAACAAAAATAATATACACATTTTTGGAAACAATCGAACACAAAATAAATAATTCTACTCGTTTGAAATAAGTGACCGGTGAAGAAAAATTCTCATAAATATCTTCAACAAGTGGAATCGTTTATATCAGAAGATCAATGACAATTTCGTTGTTTTTGTTGTGTTCGCTGAAATGTTTCCGGTTTGGGTTCTAGTGAATTTTGTTTGTCTTATAATCTATTTCAGGGAAAAATCACAACAGTCTGTAGATGAATAATTTTTAAATTAATACAGAATGACTCGAATTGTTGTGAGATAAACTACTCGCGAAATTATTCGCTATTTTTGGAACACGTTCCGACAGATCTGTGCCAATGTCTCAAGTCCACGGAACTTTTTGCAAAATCAACAAATGATTTCGTCAAAATCTTCGAACTTTCACTAAATAATAGTATATAATTAATCGGAAGTTTGAAAAGGTTGCTTCTTCCGATTCGATTATCACTGTTTGCTTTCAAATGTTAAGACTGAAAAATACTAGTAACCTTTAATTTCTCTGCAAAATATTTCTGATCCCAAGCAGAAAAAAATTCCACCTTTTTTTCGGCAAATCTACTTATTTTTAAGATGTATAACTCACTGTCTGTTATCTATTTTTGGAGCCCACACAAACTGCTTTCATCCCGGATTTAAAATTCTGAATGGTTGGTGTTAATAATATCCGATCAGGAAAATCAAAGACACTAGGGATACATTTTTCCTGCTATTTTTCTCAAAACTGATACATTCGGATTATTGAGAAACAATTGATGAAAAAGTAGCAATTAAAAAAAAAACTTTTATCAAAGTATAAAAATGTTAGTTTTTTAATACCTAACAGTCCGTTTTTCAATAAAGATTGGAGTCTACATATTTTTCCGGAAATATTCTAAGAACACTGGTGTAAAAAACTACAACAACTTGTGATCGTTTTGTGGTCTGATATACTTCGACCCCCTTATCATATATGTATATACGATTTAACGGAATGTTGAACAACTTTAGCCTACAATGCATAAAATTCCGACTTTAAATCCTTTCTAAAATATTGTTTTTTTTTGTTGCATTTTTGGCTGGATAAACTAAATCCTGTCTTTTCGAAAATGATCAAGAAACATGTTTGAAAAAATATTTGGAAGAAAAAATATTCATAGTCAGAACAAACAAAATTATTTTCAGATCGGAATCACTAAAATCATGGTTTCTGAACAAAACAACTCTCAATATAAAGGTCAATTTTTGAAAAAAGGACCTCTTCTAGAGAATTACAGATCTAGTTATGTTGAATACATTTTTTGGAATCACAACTGAATATTTTGAACATAACTTGATTCTGAAACATTCGAACCATGTTCAGACGATCTTATTTGTTATTTTTCCGTTTTTGTCTTTATCCTTTTCCATATGGCCGACCGGTAGGGCTAATCGGATGAGATTAGATTAACATGTGGATTAATTAGTAATATATTTATGTTTTATTTACTATCTATCTTTGCAACGTCATGTTGGTCTAAAAAATTGCAAAGTTTTGTAGGTTTCGAAAATAAATCAATTATATTCAGGGCATACTGAACCCTATCGTGCTTTGAATTTCTAGAGATTTTATTACTAACCATTAAAAACACTGGAAACACTGAATTCTCAGACAATTTATGACAAAACCGAAATAGTTTGAAACTTTAACCCGGCCCGAATGAGTTTTCGTGCAATTTCTCACTAATCCTATTTTTTCTACAATCGTTTTTTTCGGATATTTACACATTAGGATTATTGTTCAATTTATTCTTTATCCTATTAAAAGAAGAACCATATGATTCAGTAAATCCGTTAAAATAAACATCCCGTGACAAGAATTAGACGGATCAGTAAACTTTGCAACATGCATATTTATAAATAGTTTAAAACACATCTTTTAACTTTGATATCAAACAAAAAAGTGTAATTTTATTTTTTAAAAATTGAATAATTTTTTAATCAAAAATTACAGTTGGTTAGATTAAACTACTCAATTTTTTTTAAAAAAAGAACTTGTTGAAAAAAATCTCTAACGAAAAACAAATGCTTTCCAAAATATGAACTTCTGTATATTTCCAACAGAATTTGGCTTTACGGAAATCGTATTCACAACATGCGAGAATCCGTGATTTTTTGAAGATAGTTAACAGTTACGAAACATGATTTCCTGTTTTTTGTACAACAAGCTAGCGTTTGCATCATGGTTTTTATGGTTTATTGTTTGATTTCGACCTACTAGGGATTCTCTTATTTTAACAAATAATAAACATGTGAACTTCAAATGTTTGATCCTTATCAATCAATCAGAGAAAATGAAAACAGTCTCAATTTGAACCTAACAAAAATCTATCTATTTTCGTTGCTAGCGAACACGTTGATGATGTTGGAGACTGTTACAATGATACAGACACACTGTGTTATAGTTTTTGATATTTGATAAAATCAAAAAACAAAAAAAACACCGTAAAATTCATCATTGAATTGAGAAGTCTGTCTGGTTTTTCGAAAAGTCAGAGTCATTTTGTTTTCAATATACTTTAAGAATTAGAACGGGATTTATGACTTCAAAGTGATGATCCGAGAGTTACGACGCAAGTAATCGGTGAATAATAAAATAGGAAATATTAATCTAGAGACCGATTTTAAGTTATCAGAATAATCTTGGGTCGAAAATTGATTGACACAATAAATAAGCGCATTTTTCGAAAAGCAACGAATTTTAAAGAACAAGAAAACGTCATTATTTACCATATCAAATCGTCTACTCACTATTTGTCATCATTTTAGAACGATTTTCTACAAGCGATTTGAAAATATTACGAAATATCATACAGATCTGCTAATCGAATTTGTGTCAACTAATTTTGCAGAGACCACATGTAGATTGGAAAAACATTAGTTCACTTTTTGATGTTGGATCCATTTGTGGTTCGAAGTTGCAAATAAAAATAATTGGGTAAACAACTATGAGTAAGATGTTTTCAGGAATGGTCAATATTTGTTTCTTGACGGCTCATTGTTTGAAGTTTTTTATGTCAAAAGAATAGACTGAAGGGATTGGTATGAAAATTATAATAATTAGAGAAAATATTCAGAACGAAATGATCTTTGAAAAGATTAATTACCAAAGTTCAAAACATGAGAATCTATCGAAACAGATCAATGTAGATCGAAAAATATTAATTGTTGTGATTGATAGAATAGAAACCGACTACGTAGATAATTTTTGTTTTCATTTTATCACTCGGAAGTTGTAGTGATTTCATTTTGATTTTAGAAATGTTCAAACTTGCAATTTCAATCACATTTTGTGAAAACATCAGCTGATGAGTACATTTGACCGCATTTTGGCTAACATTGATAACATTTTGAAAAACTTTGTTTCAAAATTCGGGAAAATTTAAGTTATGTGTAGTGCTAAAACAAAGTTCATGACGAATTCTTACTTGTCCTAGATAGATAACGAAATCAGAAGATTAAGTTTGTACAAAATTTGAACTTCAACTGAAAACATCATTCTATTTCCATTGATTCAAATATTGCAGACATAATATTATCTGTTTTCTGGTTATTCTATTTGATGTAGTCATTCATATTATTCATGATGTCAAGATTCATTCATAAAAATGTGGTGTCCGGTAGGATTAAACTCTGAAAAAATAAGCTCAAATTCATAACGGAATCAAATTTTGCAGAGATCAAATGAACTGAACAAAAAACAGATTATCAAAAAACAAAATAGATTCCTTGGTATATATTTTGTTTTTGATGGTGATTGTGAGGGTCCGAATAAAAAACAAAAATTTTTAAAGAAAAATTAAAATTTATTTCTCAAATAATGTTCAATGAAATTATTAGGTGTTAAAATCCTATCCGATCCAATAAAAATTTGGGTGTTCTTTAAAGTATTTGAAAATTTGTAGGCTTCTCGAATTTCTGAATAAGTTATTCCTCCAGCAATGAAAATCACAATCTTCTTATTTGCTCGATTTTCCAGTGAACCAAATCGTGCCGAAGAAACCGCTCTAAAAAATAATAAACTGAAAAAGTTAGTTATACTTCAAATAAAAACAAACGTTTTTCTCGAAGGTTGTTTTCCAAGACATCTGAATCGTTCCGTATCCAAAGAACCATCATGAACACTTTTAATTATATCACAAATGTGTGGAATCCATCTAGATGTATTAAATTGATATTCAGATGGTAGTTTTCGACGTGGCATCATACATGGTTGGGAAGACTAGAAAAAAGGAAAAACAAAAAAAAACGAACAAAAATGTATCAAAATTTCAGAAAAAAGCAAGTGTATACCATCTACATACTCCTCTCAAAATAAGATTTTCAGTAACAAAAAAATTATAAAACCAATTTCGCTGGTTTGAAAAAACACCTAACGAAGAAATCCCGAATCAAAAAAATTATTACCGTTCTTGATTTTTGTTTCCCAAAAACCATTTTCATAGATTTGGAAGCCAAAAAAGGGTTGCTTGTAAATGCCACCTCGAATCCACCCGAAAATAAACTAACCTTGTATAATTGTAACATATTTCTCACAACATCAATTCCATCATCAGAAAATCCCGAAACTTCAACCATTTTCAAATAATAATCTTCAATTTTCTCTGGGAGACAAAGCATATAAATCAGTATCAATCGCAATCGATAATTTTCCGAGACATTTTTATCCATTAAAATTTTCGTCAAATTTTGCACAATTCTTCCATCTCGAATTGGCACGTTTTCTGATGTAAATCCAGTTGACATATCCTAAAAAAATATGGATATGTTCAATTTTTATTTACGGTAATTAAAATCTCACCTGTTCCAATGTTATAATATCGATAAGATCGGTTTTGTAAGATTCCAACAATTTTTCAGTAAGCGTAATGTATTTTTCGAGTTTCTCCATATTTTTAATATTTTTCATAGTTTTTCCGAATTCACGAATCGTTCCAAATACTTCGATTTTCTTTGTGTTTTTCATTTTTCCATGAATTCTATCAATAACTTCAGCTATATGTAAATGTCTCACTTCATTCCAAATTTCATCTTCATCATTTTGCTGGAGTTTTTCGAGCTCTTCTTCATTTTCTGATATCATTGCTTCAAACGTCAATTCATGAAGAAGTGGTGTCAATAAATCGAATGAACGGTCTATAAAATTCAAATAATGAAATTAAAATGTTGAAATTAAAACCTAGTATCAACAAATGCGAATCCGATTCAATTCCAAGTGACAAATCTGTCTTCATAAATTCGTCCAAATTTTGCTCAATTCTATAGCAAAATTCAGCACTTTGTGCAAAATCAGAATGAAATCGAAGAAATGGATAAATTCCGAGATTCAAACAAAAACTAGCAATACCAAGCGATGTTTCCAATTGATCAACTCCGAAAACATGTGATTGTATAGGTTTGAAGGATAAGTTCATTTCTTTCAAAGTTTTGATATATTTCACAATATGATTGGCTGATAATTGTTCGAGACAACTATCCGAACATTGAGAAAGAAAATATATGTTTGCTGATTTGTACATCAAATCTTCTTTGAATTTCTTCTTCGATTTTTGAATAAGTTTGAAATCGGATATCATAATATTTATAACATTTTCAGTTGGTTTCACCAAATAAAGTGCATCTATATTTTTGATTTTCTCTCGTCGTTTAAACAAGTCTTCAATCAATATGATTTTCTCCTCAAATAACTCGGACATCTTGAAACAATCTGATAATACTCGCATTCCATCGTTATCCACGACTAATATCTTTCTTTTATTGTCAAGTCGAATAACGTCTTTGAATAATTTATCTTTCACCATTTTGCGAATATCTACAGACATCTGAAAATAAACAAATATTGTTTTCAATCAAATTGGTTATCGAAACACACTGAGACAAGCAATTTCTTCACGAGAAAAAAAAGTGGAAAGACGCGCGCGAAACAATTAGAAATGGAACATTCTGGCCGAGTCGGTTTCTAGGCCACGTAACGCGCCTTTTGAAAATTTTCAAACGTGAAAAATTTTCTAAACTAACAAATATGTTTTCAAAGTGTTAAAAGACCTTCACGAGCTTCAAATTCTAACAATAAAACGTGATCTATTTTTGAAGAGGCCAAAAAATGATATAAATATGAAATTTTTCGGTGCAACAATCATTTCATAATATTAATATTTTGAAAATGGAAAAATCCGTACGTTCTGCAAAACCAAAAGTGACAATTACTGGAAAAGTTCCGGAGAAAAAAGCGCAGCCAGCAACTGCAACATCTAAAACCGAAGTAACAGCACCGCCACCAACGGAAGGATTCCAAATTCGAGATGAAGTTGAAATGTTACGTGCTGGATTCAAAAATCGACATGGAGAAGCTGTCAAATCGCAAGGAGTTGAATCTATGAATATTGAATTGAATTGAGTTGAATAAAATCGTTTATTGATTTTTATTGAACACGACAAAAAAAGAGAGAAAAATTATTTTTGAACATTTGTGTTTTTTTGGTTGGTTTTTTTTCAACTTCTGAAACATTTCGAAACATACTTCAGAGTTCTCAATGTTTTGAGCTACAGTTAAGTATCATTTAGTTCTTTCAAATCACAGAAAAGGAACTTTCTCAGATATCCGTAGTGTAAATTCCAAGTTTCTATCAAATAGTTGTGATCCACTAGATTCATTAACAAAATTGGAAGCATACCAAAAAGTTCCACATATTTTTCTGAATCGGAAAAATTTCAGAAAAAATATATGTGACTACGTTAACAAACAAGTCTGAGCAACAAATTCGGAAACACTTGTCCCATTTCTAGAATCTCAAAAAAACGCTTTGAAAAAGAGAAGAAAACAAATGAAATACAATATTTATTATGGAAATAAACCAAGAAATTATGGATTGTATTCAATTGGCAAGTTCTTTCTGCGAACCATACCATCTCCTTGGAACCATTCACGACGGAATTGTTTGGCAGCACCATCTGGAGTATTGGTCCATTCGACAGTAATACGGTCATTGTTGGTATCTTCTTGTCCGTATGCAAAAGCATCACATGAAACAGCCAAAAGAACAGCTTCCTTTGGGTCCAAAACTCCACATGGTGGATCAACTCCCAATCTCTTCATATTGGTTGTCTTGATACCGTATCCAATACGACGAGCTGATGAGTTGATTACCTTGATGTGGTAGGTATGTTTGTCATCATACGGGGCATTGAACACAATCTTCGCATTTGGTTGAGTTTGGATATCTCCTGGTGGAACTGATTGAGCCATTTTTGATTTGGATACTTTTCATATCTCCGCAGCTTCTTTTATAGCAACATTTTCGCTGATAAGATCTCAACGTGGCATTTTTTTTTGTTCACGTCAGATAAATTCTGAGCAAACTAAAAACATTTAACATTTTATTATTTCATTGAGTTCAAATATTTTTCTCGTGAAAAGTGGCCACGATTATTTATTCTTTGATCAAAAACTTGAACATAATATAAAAATAACATAACAACGAGAATACGAATATAAGAAGCGCAAACAGAAGCATTATGATGCTCAAAACAATACCCGCCTAGTATTTGTTTGGAAAAACAAAGGTTGCAAATCGGTTCACTTTTCGTATTTACACTATTGGTACACACCATTCGTGTAAAGAAGCTTCCGGCCGTGGGAAAATCATTTGTATTCTTATTCTTTTATTTTATTTTCTATAGATCGCCTTTTGAAAACGTATGATTACTCAAATTATTATCCTTGTATTTACTATTCAATTTTCCCATGGAATTTTGAACAAAATTAGTGATGTTCAACCGGGTTACGGTTATATCGGTCCAGCATGTGCGGTTTTTGATGGTACTTTATATTTACACGGTGTTTCAATGAGACATTTAAGTATTCAAGAACAACGAGTTTTTCGAGCTTATCAAAATGATCTCAGCGTTTTCAATGAGTAAGTTTCAGTTATATTTTTTTAGAAATAAATTAGGAAAGGAACATTTTCAGTGCCACGTATGATTCATTTGAAACAAATGTTCCAACAGTTCCGAAGTTTTGTGGAGGATATGATGATTCGATTGAAATTGTTTTAGATTCTTGCTTAGTTCGAGTAAGTTGAAAATTTTGAATTTCTGAGAATTTTTTATTTATGTTTTCAGAATAACCATGTGTATGTTGGAGATATGTTGATTCGCTCATTGACTAATTTTGAGCGACAAAAAATTCAACTAGTTAAAATGCGAAGAATGTATGGAGAATCTAGAAAACGAAGAAGTCGTCGAAGTTCGAATCCAATCAATAAACCACATAGAGACTTCAGTGATATGCTCCATAAATTGTTGAATATAAATGCAACAGTTACTCAACGTTTTCTTCCAGTTGTTAGTAAAAGTCCAATGTTTGCAATGGAAGGACCATGGCAGAATCTATTGGAATTAAGTGTGAAACAACCAGGTGGTTTGACAAATTTATTGAAAACAGGAATTGAAACAACACAACCCGAGTCAAAAATCGAAACACCGTATCGAGCGACTTTCACAACTACAATGAGACCAATCTCTTTTTTCAAGTCCATTCCAGAAAAACCAATCAAAATGTATAAAACAACACCAGCAACCATAACAGAAGGTTGATAACTTTTCAAAACAAAAAAGTGATAATCAAAAATTATTTACAGCTCCAATAACAACTTCCACAGTTCGACAAATATCTATAAACCCAATTCGACCAGTTCAAGTTCGACCAGATCCTCCAAATGTTAAGACTGTTGTTGATCCTCTTATTATTCAACTCATCAAAAAAGCATTATCAAAAAATCAATTGATTGATGAAAATGCATTGAAGAAAATTATGAGCAAACCAATATCGACTACGGTATTTTTTTTTGAAAATTCAAGCAAAAATAATATTTGTTTTTTTTTATTTCAGACAACTGTTCCACCACTTCGTTTCACAATTCCACCGTCTTTTCCAACTTCTTCACAAGTTGCTGGATTCTCGCACAATCATTTATTCATTCCACATCAACCTTATACAACACTTTCATCGACAGATCCGAAATATATTGAACCATCTAAATTATCTCATCGATTACCTAATGAGATTTGTAGAGTTCATCTAAATCCTTTCTAGTTTTTTTTCAGATACCTCTGGTTTTCATCGGGTTAAATAAATACATTTGTAAAAAAAAATAACGATCACATCTGCAAAAACTTTGAGGTTTTGTTGTTGTTTTGAAGATTTTCAAAAAAAAATATCGCGAAAAATATTTTTCACATTAAAAACGTGACATATTTCGTCATTGATTCCACGTCAGTTTGATCTTGATAAGACTAGTATAAAAAGGGTATCTAAAACCCATAAAATCAACCCATAGTTCAATATGGCTCAATCAGTTCCACCAGGAGATATCCAAACTCAACCAAATGCAAAGATTGTGTTCAATGCCCCGTATGATGACAAACATACTCAGCAGTTGCAGATGTAGCTAATTCATAGCTCAACCGATCGCAGCCCTTGACACTTGCGTTTTATTTACGAACAGTGTGCGGTTTAGCTACAAACACACACCGAAGTCTGTTTTACAAGGGAACCTTTTTTACTCAACACTTCAAATCATGATGAAATTTGGTCCATGGACAGCTTTTGGGGCCATAAGAACACCCTAAAAATTTCAGTCTCCCAATCGACCTCTGAGCCAAGTTCTGGGCTCTCAAAAACTCAAAAAAGGCCTAAAAATGGTCATAAAAGTCATCATAGCTCCATTTCAAAATTTTTTTGGGAGAAATGAAGTTTCAGATATTGATCAGCATAGTCGATTACCTAAAAGTACATCAATAAAAAGTTTTATTTCGAAAAATTTTGAAGTTTTTTATTTTTGGGCTGAAAATTCATATGTGCCCCTGCTCGTTCTTTTTTTCAAAATCAAAAATTTTTCTGAAAATTCGATTTTTTGATGGTTTTTGGGTAAATCGATCACGCTGATCATCATCTGCTACTCAGTTTTTCATAAAATTGATCGAGAATTGAGTTATGACGTGTTTTATGAGCCAATTTTGGCAATTTTCGAACTTTTGAGAGCCCAGAACTTGGCTCAGAGGTCCATTGGGAGACTAAAATTTTTAGGGTGTTCTTATGACCCCAAAAGCTGTCTCTGGACAAAATTTCATCAAGGTTTGAAGTGTTGAGTAAAAAAGGTTTCCTTGTTAGCTACGAAACACACACGCATGTTTTAGCTACGAAAACTGTTTTCCTGTTTATTGCGAAATACTGCTCATGCGGGGTTCTTTCTGTATTTGGCGTAGTTAGAAAACTTGCAAATATAAAACATTTATTCGTATCGAAACATACAATAACATAAGAATATGAAATTACAGTCAGTTATTCACCAGAAACACTTAATTTTCTCGCAGTTGTTTGATAGCTCCTGGACCGGCCGAATATTAGATAGAAAAGTAGCAACTGAAGTCTCCGGTAGGCTTGCAAAAATAGGGCGGTAGGCTTGCAAAACATGTCGATGTGGTGTTTGTGCATTTTGCGACTCCATTTGGCGGTTTAACTTCCCAAAAACCTATTAGAAGCCAACTTGGTCGAGATCCATGACATCCGGCATTCTTCTTGTTATTGGCATCTGTAAATTGAGAAACACTGTGGAATATTGAAAAATGTGTTGGAATTACCTCATTTATTGAAGATTTCACCATCACTTTCCACTTTTTCGAGAAACGCAACAAACTGACTGTTTTTCTGCAAAGATTCAACGTAAAACGTAACTTTTAGATGAACTTACTCGTTCTCCATCGATAAAACACTGACGCGTAGACGATATAATATGTTACCAGCACTTTTCTAGGCTTTAAGTCACGAAAATCGTCGAAAAACAAAACAAAACGAAGAAAACATGTTTGCGCGCCAAAAAACCGTATCTAAAACGTATGTGTGTTTTAGCTGAGAAATCGGTCAGAAACACTGAGCTAAATTTTTGCTTCGATTTAGCTGGAGATTCAAGTTCTTTCTACGGTTCAGCTACGAAAACCATCAAAATATGATTTAGCTACATCTGCAAATGCTGAGTACCTACCACATCAAGGTAATCAACTCATCAGCTCGTCGTATTGGATACGGTATCAAGACAACCAATATGAAGAGATTGGGAGTTGATCCACCATGTGGAGTTTTGGACCCAAAGGAAGCTGTTCTTTTGGCTGTTTCATGTGATGCGTTTGCATACGGACAAGAAGATACCAACAATGACCGTATTACTGTCGAATGGACCAATACTCCAGATGGTGCTGCCAAACAATTCCGTCGTGAATGGTTCCAAGGAGATGGTATGGTTCGCAGAAAGAACTTGCCAATTGAATACAATCCATAATTTCTTGGTTTATTTCCATAATAAATATTGTATTTCATTTGTTTTCTTCTCTTTTTCTTTTTTTTTTGAGATTCTAGAAAACTGGAACGGTTTTCCGAAATATGTTTTCTGAAAGCTCAAGTTCTGAGAATTATATCGCATGCTGAATCGACTAGGCATTTTTCCGTTTTATTGCGGGAAACAAAAAAATGTCCAGGCTTGCAACACCGTGGTATATCGAACCAGACCACACTAGATTTTTGTACAGTGTCCATAAATTTAAAAAAAAAATTATTTGTACACGTATTTCATTCAGACCGACAAAATAAGATCGAATTGTTTTTCAAAAAAAAATAACACATTTTTTCTGAATTCCTGAAAAAGTCAGTGTGTAGAGCTCCAAACAAAATTTTAATTGTATAATTACAAAAATGATTTTCCTATATATTTTTACTCTAACAACTAAAAAAACGAGTTTGGAAAATTAAAATTCTTAATAAAAATGACTAACTTTTTAGCTCGAACTGATTTATTAAAATAAACATCTACAAGAATTTTTGGATTTCATCATAAATAGCCAAAACGAGAGCACCACCAGTTCCACGGAAAACGTTCGAAAGAGCTCCTTTGAACATTGCCGACATTCCTTCGTTTTTGATGATTTTGACAGCGCAATCCCATGTGTTTTTGTAGAGAATGTCTTTGCGGCCGGATTGCATCATCATACGTCTTCTGACAGTGTCCCACGGATATGAAAGAACTCCAGAACCAACAGTGACAACTTGAGCAATTCCCCAAGCGGCGAAGAAATTCAATTTCTTTCCATCAGCTGTGAAGATCATCTTGGCTGTGTCGAACATTCCGAAGTATGCAGCACGGTAGATGATGATACCTTGGACAGATACGAAGAATCCTCTGAAAAAAAAATATTTTTATGGTTTCTCGATGAGTATTCATTATTACATATTTTTCTTTCTGAATGGAAAGTTTCAAATTTTACCTGTACAATCCAACAATTCCATCAGATTTGGCGATTTTCACGAGACAATCAGCCAATCCTTTGAATTCACGATCATTCGCTTTTCCAACATCAGCAGCCAAACGAGTACGAGCAAAATCCAATGGATAGACAAAGCAAAGGGATGTTGCACCAGCAGCTCCACCAGATGCCAAATTTCCAGCAAAGAATTTCCAGAAATCCTTCTTTTTATCGACTCCCTTTTGGAACATGTTCTTGTATGTATCTTTGAATGCGAAGTTCAATGCTTGAGTTGGGAAATATCTGATGACATTTGCCAAGTTTCCTCTCCACAACGCGGCATATCCTTGCTCTTTTGGAACACGAACCAAAACATCCATAATTCCTTTGTAGCGTTTATCTACAGCGATTGTTGTTGACGCATCTTGAACTTGGAGCAAAAGCTTGACACGTTCAATTGGAGCAACAGCGGTTTTTGAGACGGCAGCAGCAGTTCCTCCCGAAACCAAATCAATCAGGAATTTGCGAGTGTCAAATCCTTTTGGTGCTTTTTCTTTTTTTGATGACTTTGATTCACCTCCTACAAACAAAAACGAATTACCACATTTTCTTTGTGGGTGGTCTAACTTACCTTCTGACATAGTGACAGACTAGAAGCTTTAAAGATGTTTTGGATGAAGTCGCTTTGCGAACCGCACAAAATAGTGAACTGAATTCCTATTTCGGTTTCTCATCGCCCGTTTTTTATGCAACGTCATCAACGACACGTTGTAACTAGGTCACGTTTTTTCACGTTTTTATTCGAAAATTTATTTTTTTTTTAAATTTATTTTCGAATTATTTATTTTCAACAATAACTAACTTATTTGTATTTCAACGTGACCGAAATAAACAATCAGAAATTTATTTTTGAAAAAACATAATCATTTTCTCTTTATTTTTCCCAAATTATTTTTCGAAGGACTTACTTTCACACGATTTTTTTAACTGAGAAGTTGAATTATAATATTATTTTTTGCCAAACTTATTTTGGATTTCTCAACTTTTAATTTTACTTTTTTCTCGTGGGAAAAACAAAAAATAAAACAATTTACTGAAAAATATAATTAAATTAAAAATTTGAGATGATTTCGAAAAAATACATAATTCGACAATTTGGCAAAAAAGGCCGAAGGCCATATTGGTGGTGCTCCAGGGGTTTTTCCGGTTACTTAAACTTAGCTAAATCCTAACTTAACTTATGGGATGTTCCGCCAGAAAGGCAGGACTTGAAGGAGTTCCGTGTTTCAGCGGATCGTGGCAGCCTTTACGGGCCAGCGAGTACTCCCATCCGCATAAAGTCTAAAGTTCAGCGACTATCTGAAATGAATTGGCGATCATCTAGACTGAAAGATACGAGCACCACCTAACCAAATTCATTTGGCCCTGACTTATATTTTATATTAAAATCCAGCAACCGACAATTGAGAGGTCTCGCCAACACACATTGAAAACAATGCACACAAAACGCGTCAGCTTTGTGCCGCTTGACTCCAGTTTTGCAGTAAAATTAAAATTTTCAATTTTTTGCACTTTTTGTCATTTTTTTGTGTTTTCCAGCATATCTCGTATCGATTTTTCTTTGCATGTCTGAGAAATTCTCATGACTAACACTAAGAAGTGATATAGAATAATAAAATGTGCTGAATTTCAGAGAATCATGGTTGATGAGGAAGATATGGATGTTCCTACAAGTAGTAATTTTTCGGATGAATATCGTGTAAGTTAGAAACGAGAAATTAATTAAGCATATTGATTGATATTTTTCAGCCGGTTCGACCCTCTTCATCTGCCGATTCAACCAAGAGAAAAATTGTTATCAAAAACTTCAAATCGCACCCTGTTATTCCAGAAATCAGCGAAGTTTCGGAATGGCACACTATTAATGAAAGTATTGAAGCTATTTTAGAAAACAAGAAAGTTATCACAAGTTTGGAAACCTTGTTCAATGTATGTTTTTTATTTCTAAATCTCATATCGTTTCACAAAATGATATTTTCAGTTAGTTAAATCATCAACAGATCAAAATCATCCAAAAGCTTTATATGATCGCCTTCTTGGTGTAATAAGGGAATATTGTATTCAACTGAAGTAAGTAATATTCATTTTTCAATATAAAATTTATCGTTTAGAACAACAATCGAGTTAGAAAATGATATTCCAATGTCGGAGGATACATGCGAAGTTTATATCTTGAGATTCTGGAATGTGTGGAAAGTTTATCCTGTTAAAATGACACTCATTCGGAATGTTTTTCTTTATTTGGATCGTGTATTATTGTCTCAAACAGGAGATTCTGATATTCTACCAATTTGGTTTGTTTTTAATTTCAACTTGTCTTAAATTACACAATTTTATTTCTTTTTAGGGAAGCATCGATGCGAATGTTTCGAAGAGTATTCTTTCCTGATATTGAAAACGATTTCAAATCACACAAACTATTCCTAGCACTTTTCCTTGATATTCAAAGAATGATGAAACATTATGACGCGCAAGGAATTGCACTTCGTGAAATTTTTGGGATGTTTTCAGCGATTCATATGAATGATGAATTTATGGAGTATTTAGTTCTTCAAATAAATGATACTTATTCCAATAAAAATCTGGATCTTCCGGTAAGAAAACTTAAGATGTTTGTCATAAGAAATTATTTTTCAGTGCAAAGATTACATTAAATATGCTGATAATGTTATCAAACAATTCAGAGAATTAGTGGATTTGTATTTCTGCGAACCAAGTGCATCACGAGTAGTTTTCGAAGCTCTTCTCAAATGTCTTATTTCCAAATCTATCAAGCAAATTGTTTTGAATGGATTTGATCAACTTCTAGATTCTGATGAAATTTCGGATGTTTCTCGAATGTTTCAATTAGTGAGAAGAGTTAATGGAGGAGAGGATATAGTTCGGAATGAATTTGCAAAATATATCAAAGCAAAAGGTCAACAACATATGGAAACTTGTTCAGATAAAGATTTTTTCAAACAGTTATCGTTATTCAAAAAACGAATTGATTTGATTGTCGAAGTGGGGTTTGTCAGTTCAATTGACATTAATAAACTACGTCAAACTGTTCGAGATTCTTTTGAATCGTTTATGGATTCGAAAGGAAATAAATCAGCCGAACTTATTGGTTAGTTATTTCTAAGTTTTTGAAAAATCCTCTATAATTTCAGCAAGACACTTCAATGAAACTTTACGCAAATCGAAAGAATATAAAGAGGAAGACATCGATGATGCAATTGTTTTATTCCGTTTTATTCGTGGAAAAGATATCTTTGAGGCATATTATAAACGAGATCTTGCCAAACGACTTCTTTCGGATAAAAGTGCTTCTGTTGATGCTGAAAAGTCGATTTTAACAAAGTTAAAATTGGAATGTGGTGCTGGATTTACTCATAAATTAGAAGGAATGTTCAAAGATATGGAAAATAGTGCACAGTTGAATAACAGTTTTGCACAACATTTGTCTGATCTAACAAATACCCCAAAAGAGAAATTAAAGTATTATGTTCGTGTTATCACAAGTGATCTCTGGCCAAATTATGATTTATATGAGGTAATTTTTAATCAAATATTCTAGTTTTAAGTGTTCAATTTATTGTAGGTGAATCTTCCAAGGGAAATAGAAACATCGTTAGTGGATTTTTCGGATTATTACAAGCTAAAACATGGGAATCGAACTATTAATTGGATTTATTCTTTGTCACACGCATATGTTTTTGCTAGAGTTCGACCAGGATACGTGAAAGAATTTCTTGTCAATTTTAGTCAAACATCCGTGCTTCTTCTTTTCAATTCTTGCGAAAAATGGACATTTAATGAGATGCTGAATGCAACTAAACTTCCAAAAGATGAACTGAAAAAGACAATTTTAGCATTACATGGTTCAGAAGCAGAGAACTCCAAGCAGACCCGAATTATTAATGCATTATGTGAAAATGGAGATATTAATTCAAAAACAACTTCTGACAATGTGGAAAAACACAGTTTTGTTTTCAACTCAAAATTGACTGATAGTCGTTATCGAATCCCTGTTCTCAATGTTTATTTAAAAACACCGGTAAGTTTAATTATAGAAAACATCAACTTATGTTAGAAAGTTTTAAATAGACAAAGAGCCTAACTCAAAAACTCCCAATACTTTTTCTTATTTTTTCAGAAAGAAGAAAAAGAACAAGTAGAACAAGAAGTAAATCAAGATCGACAATATCAAATCGATGCAGCAATTGTTCGAATTATGAAATCAAGAAAAGAATTGACACATTCCGCATTGATTCAAGAAATAATGGCTCAATTAAGATTCCCGGTGAAAAGTGTCGATATCAAACTTCGAATTGCTTCATTAATTGAACGAGATTATTTGTCTCGAGATCAAGAAGATACCAACAAATATCATTATGTTTCATAGTTAATCTTCAAAGTATATCAAATGTACAAGCGGTTTTTTCTCCTTCTCTTTCCTGTGTTTCTTTTTTTAATATCACGGTGGTTTTCTGAAAGCTCGTTGACATGTATTTTTAATCTATTTTAATCCCTATTTATTTATGTTCGATTTGATTTTTCTGAAAAAGTGTTGTTTCTAAATATTGTTTATTTTTTCAAGAGAAAATGGTAAATTGACCATTACAAAAATATCTGTTTCTTCTATTCATTTCGAATTTTTCATTGAATTTTTTAGAGATATAAAATGAGAAGTTGTCCGCATTGTGGATGTTCTGAAATTGACGAAGATGCGGCTAGAGGAGATGCAACTTGTATGGGATGTGGAACTGTTTTGGAAGAGTCGATTGTTGTCACCGAAAATCAGTTTCAAGAACGAGCTGGAGGATCAGGACATACGCTTGTCGGTCAGTTTTCAAAATTTAATTCACACAATGAAAGTCGGGAAAAAAGAGTGTCAAAAAAAAACATTTTTATCTAAAAAAAATACGGAAAAAATCCGAATTTTATAGAGAAAAAAAAAGTATTTTGCCGATTTAAAATGTGTGAAAAATCAAATAAATTTCATGAAATCCTCTAATTTCAGGTCAATTCGTATCCGCTGAAAGAGCCGCATCGAACAATTTCAATTGTATGGGAACTCAAGAATCTCGAGAAGTCACTTATGCAAAAGGTCGAAAAGTTATCGAAGAAGTTGCCAGTCAATTGCGTATCAATCAACATTGCATGGATACGGCTTTCAACTTTTTCAAAATGTGTGTTGGTCGAAATTTGACAAGAGGAAGAACTAGGTAATGTTTTTTTTATTTTTGTAAATCTTCTTCATTCAACAATTACGTGGCAATTCGGATTTTGCAAATTAATTTTCAAAATAAATTCATTTAAAACGTGAACTTTGGATTTTTCAATTTATAATTCCAATGTTTTATTACAGATCATCAGTTGTTGCTGTTTGTCTTTATATAACTTGTCGATTGGAAAATACTGCGCATTTACTGTTGGATTTCAGTGACATAACACAAATCAATGTTTTTGATCTTGGAAGAACCCTAAATTATATCTCAAGAGCGTTAAGGATCAATTTACCAGCAACCGATCCATGTTTATATATAATTCGATTTGCATGCATGTTAGATTTAGGTGACAAACAAAAAGATGTTGTAAATCTTGCAACTCGTTTAGTTCAAAGAATGAAAAGAGATTGGATGTCAACTGGAAGAAGACCGACTGGAATATGTGGAGCAGCACTTTTAATGGCTGCACGATCTCTTAATTTCAATCGATCTGTTAATGATATTGTTCGAATTGTTCATATTAGTGAAAGTGTTATAAGAAAAAGACTTGATGAGTTTAGTAAAACCCCATCTGGAAATTTGACGATCGATGAATTTTCGACAATTGATTTGGAACATAGCGAAGATCCACCAGCATTTAGAGAAGCAAGAAGAAGAGCAAGAGAAGATCAATTGAGAAAAGAAGCAGAACAAGCTGATAATCTTGAAAAAGATGTATGTTTTAAATTTCAAGATGATAATAAAAATAAATATATTGTTCAGATCATTGACGTTGAAGCCGAAGTCGAAGTTGCTCTTGAAAAAAAGCGAAAAGAAAAATTCAAATCGGGTATATATGCAAAGTTAATCGGTGGAAATTTAGAAGGAATGGAACAAGAAAAAGATGCACAAGATATGGTTCGAAAAGAAATTTTGAATACTGTTTATACAGCAGCTGAAGAGCCTTGTAGTAGCAGTCAATCTGATAATCCAATGGAGAGATATCAAGATTATGGGCCATCTTTGGTTAGTCTTGGAATTCGACAATCTCAATCAACTTCTGAACAACAAAATAAGGCAAAGGCAACTGCTGTTATAGATGAAGAAATATCAGATTCAGAAATTGATTCGTATATTTTGACTGAAAAAGAAGTTGCAATTAAAACTGATTATTGGATGAAAGCAAATGGTGAAGTTATGAAAGCAATTGAAGAACGGTTGGTTTTGAATTACAAATTCGCTGTGAAAAAATAGTTTGCAAATTTTGTTTTCTTTGCATTTCGGAATCTCAAAAATTAAACACTGAAAGAAAAGTTTAAATAATATTTTTAAATTCTGCAAAATCTAAAAATTTTTGAAGACGACGAGAACGAGAGCAAAATGGTGGAGAAGTGAAAAAGAAGAGGAGAGTAGTCAAAAGGAATGATACAACTGCTGGATGCACTTCAGCACTTGATGCTATGGAAAAGGTTATTCATGTAAGTCCCATTGATAGTTTAATCAATATTGTATTCTTCTCTCAGTTTACCGTTTCATTATTTTCAGGAGAAAAAGTTGTCGAACAAGATTAATTATGATATGCTAAAAGATTTGGAAGCTATTGCTCCAACTGTTTCATCAACAGCATCTTTCACCGCTCCACTCTCAGTTCAAGATAGAAAAGTTCGAACGAATGTTGTTCCGAAATCGGATGTTGTGATTGAAAAAACAGAGACTCAAAGTGAAAGTTTGGCTAGAATACGAAATGAATTGGTTGATGAATCGAATTTGACGAAAAGTGAACGAGTAACAAGTCGGAAAAATCTGAAAAGTTCGCAGAAAGTTGGAAGTACTATTGAGCAATTGAGAACTGTTTTTGAATTGAACACGGCTGAAAGGTGATTGAAAAAATTTAATTTTCAAAAAAATATAGTCTCACAAAAAAAAGTTCCGTTAAAAAATCAAAGTCTTGATTTTTCACAAATCCCTTTTTCTCTAACATTTGTAATATTTTTGATTTTTCAGTTCTTCGCCGAGTTCAACACTTGAACAAGATATGCCCACACCTAAGAAAACTGAATCACCAGTTGTGAGTTTTAAATTTTAAATTATTTATTTTTATTTTCAAAATTGTTTTTTTTTTCAGAAAATGGCAAATGTTCCAAAAACTGAAACTCCAACAGATCAAAAATCAATTGCTTCAATTCCGGCAGCCAAATCAAGATATGCAAAGTTGAAACCAAATCTTAAGAAACCAACGGTAACTATTTTCTATTTATCTACGAGTCCCATTAACCAATATTTCAGGTCAAGGAATCTACAGAACCGGACGCGAAACGGGCTAAAACCTAAATTGTTGTTTTTTTTCTATTTCAAAAAATCAGATTTGAATAGTTTATTTTATTTTCAATAACACTCAGTTTCAAGTTATTCTCTGTATAATATTGTTACTTTTTCTGCTTCTAATATAAAGTTTATTTTTTATTCCTAAAACCAAAAACAATCAACAAACCAAAAATAATAGATCTAGATGTATTTGTTAGCCAAAGCCAAAACTTTTGAGAATTGAACATTTCCGCGATTTGCCAATAGTTTTGTTGGAATTGGAGCTGTGATTCGATTTCCAAGTGGATTTCCTTCTTCATCTAATAATACAATCATATTATTATCAGTTACTGGCACACCGTGTTTTCGATAATGAACATGGGTATTCGCACCGACAACGTAGGCTTTGCGCATTTGACCGCGAATTGCAACCAAGATCTGAAAATTTTAATTGTTTCTTAAAATTCTGAAAATATATGAATTTTCGGGAAACTTTCTCATGTTTTGTATCAAACTATGATGGAGCTTTAGTGGTTTTAAATTTCTTCCCCATTATTTTGAAATTAATTTCGATTTTTTGAACGTGAAAGTAATAGAATATTTTTCATTTACGATTTTCAAATTCCGATTAAGATTTCCCATTATTTTGAGTCGATTAAAAAAGAAAACCTTATCTTACCTTATCTCCTAATTCGGCATGTGGTAAATGTTTTGCTCTTCTTCCTTGTTTATAAACATTAATACAATACGCAAGTTTTCCAGTTGTATCAGCTTCCTTTCCCAATGCAGAATTATCAACAACGTTTAATCGAGTTCTTCTATGAATTCCCATACTTGGTGGTCGAGAACGATGTTTCGATAATTCGTAGCTGAACAAATATTGAACATACTTTTATTATTGTTTTCATTTTTATTGGAAGACAAAAAACAAATCTAACAAAATTATTATTTTCAATAATCTATTGTAAATTAAATATAAAATGCGCCATTCCAAACTTTTTTCGATCTAACTTCTTCTTTCGCATTTTCCATATTATAAGCGCAATGTCTACAACCATTTCCACAACATTTTCCTTTTTTCAAATGATGTGAAATTGTGAAAACGGTATATTTTGTAGTTGGATCAATATAAGTTAATTTTCTATCATTTATCGCTTTCATATGCGCCATATGAATTGTTCTTTCTTCGCTTGTCAAATTGTCATAATTAATCCATGGAACTTTTGCTTTATTTATTGACGCTTCGAAAAGTGTATAGTTTGCGATCATTTCACCGTTTTTGTGTTCAACTAATTCATAACCATCATTATGTGGTGATTTTGGTGTATAATAAGTTGGAGAGGCAGATGTTTTAGATAGTTCAATTCCAAGTTTTTCAGTTTTCACAATGTTAGTGTTTGGAAGATCCGACGAGAATCGACGAAATCTGAAATGAAGAATTTTTCGAGATTAGTGTTTTAAAAAATTGAATTACATAAATTCTTCAAATCAGATTCGTCGCATCTCATCAGAGTACACTTTATTATTTTTAACAAATACTTACGCTGGTTGTGGCCACCATCTTCCAGAAGCATAACATCGCGATACGTTGAAAGGTGCAATGATATTCGATAATAATCTTCCAAATACGCCGGAACTACTCGGCAAACTTGCCATGTCTAAAAATATGAATTTGAGATGTGAAATGCACTGGAAAAAAAGTAAAAAAATATGTCTGCACACACTTGAAATGACGAGCAAGCGTGTTTGCACAGCATACGCAAGACTCGACGAACAGTTTTATTCGATTTTCACGCTTGCAACATTTGCAGTTTTTGTAGGTCTGAAAAACCGGTTTTGTTTATTTCAGAATCTATTGGCAGACGATGCAAAATCATGCTGGCACACAATAGACATCTTGGGAATCCTGAAAATCAACGCAGGCGTGAACAGGTTGGTGAAATATATCGATCAATACTTATGAAAGTGCAACAAACGAAAAACAATATATTTATTTGTTTATTATAAATAAAACATTTCTTATCAGTTTTTTTGATTTTTCAGGCACAATCTCCAATTGTTTTGCGAGCAATGGTCGGAATTGCGCAGTCGATTTTCGTGGCAATCGCCTCTATTTTCAATTTTTTCATCTTACTCCTCAAAAAGTCATCAAGAGCAGTAAGTTTCTATTTACTTCAAATTTGACTTTGATCGAAACATTTATTTTAGTACTGTAAATATCAAGTGGTAACATATCAAAGCAATATTCCAATGTCGCCATTGACAACACATCGATTATGTAAGTCAATTTCCTATCATTTATTTCGTAATTAAAAACCTGATTGATTTTTTTCAGTATCGGTGAAACGAAAGATCCTAGTCCTGGACCTTGATGAAACATTGATTCATTCACATCACGAAGGAGTTTTAAGGCCCATGGTGAAACCGGGTACACCAGCAGACTTTACCATACGGGTTGTGATAGACAGACATCCAGTCAAATTTTCGGTTCACGAGCGTCCGCACGTCGATTTATTTTTGTCAGTTGTTAGTCAATGGTATGAATTAGTTGTGTTCACAGCGAGTATGGAAGTATACGGTACTTGTGTTGCTGACAAATTGGATAGAGGACGTGGAATTTTGAAAAGACGATATTTTCGTCAACATTGTACGATGGATTTTGGTGGATACACTAAAGATTTGTCGGCAATTCATCCAGATTTATCAAGTATTTGTATTTTGGACAATTCGCCCGGTGCATATAGAAAGTTTCCACGTGAGTTTTGAACAAAAACATTTTATTATCAAGTTTTTACTCAGGAAATCGAAAGCGTGCTACGCCGCGTTTAGGGGCTTTTGGCGTTCACGCGGCGCACAGAACTCGCGAAATAAGCGATATCTGAGCACCGCGTGAACGCCAAAAGCCCCTAAACGCGGCGTAGCACGCTTCCAATTTCCCGAGTGGTTTTTTGGAAGGATTCAAAAATTTTCTTTATCTCATATTCACTTTTTCCTTTAGAAACATTTTACTCCGAAATCGTACGAAACACGCAAAATTCACATTTAAAAATTTCGCTCTAAAAATTGGAAACACTATATTTTTCAGACAACGCAATTCCAATTCAATCCTGGTTTTCTGATCCAAATGACACGTGTCTTTTGAACCTTCTTCCATTCCTCGACGCACTTCGATTCACTTCAGATGTTCGAAGTATTCTCTCAAGAAATCAGCAACAATTACAAGATTTATAGAGATGTTTTGTTAGGTGCCTGATATTTTCATTCAAAAAAGTAGGTTTAAAATACAGTACCCTTATAATCTATAAATTATTGTCTTCCTCATATCGTCCCGATTGTTTTTCGTGTTTTGTTTTTTTTGTTTAATTTGATTTGATTCTCTTTTTTGCGATATGATATATTGTTCATAACATATTTTATGTTTTTTGGAGACACGGGTTCTCTAATTTTATTTCTTTTTTTTGTCGACTTTTTTATCTATTTTGAATCAAACCCAAATATTTTCATTTCATTTCAATTTTCTAAAAGTAGACAGACTTGTGTAGTATTTTATCTTTTTTTTGTTTTAATAAATGTTCTGTGATTTTTCGAAAACTTTATTTACAACAAACACATGGAAAACGTTGGAGTGTTATTTTTTGAATAGAAACATCTCGCCGAATTCTCGTTTTTGTGAAGATCCGATGAATTTATGCATTAGACATCTGCAAAAAAAAAGTTAAAAATAATTTTTAAAAATTCAGAACGTTTTTTTGGTGTAAAATTCACAGTCTGTGAAATATAAATTTTTTGAAATAAAAACATAAAATTTAAAGGTACACACCGTTCGTTATTTTGCAACGAAAAGCTGGATACTGTATTCACCCGCGATAAGCTTTTTTGGCAAACTTACAGTTGTCGATTAAGGAGACAAAAGCTCTGAGCAGATGGCGTCAGAGCTCGATTTTGTCGAAAAACTCTTGGGGAAGGCGATGATAATGTGGTTGAAATACAGAAAATTAAAGCAACCAAAACGAAAACAACCAATCGGACCATTTTTACCTTTAAAAAAGAAGAAATTAGAACGGAAAAGTTCAAAAAAATTAAAAATTCGTAAAATGGTTTTATTGTTTTCTCGGAAAAAATAATAGCGAACTTTTTACTTGAGAAAATAAAAAACATAAAGAAAATGCACGAAATATATAACAAATTTAGAATAATTCAATTTATAGTATCTGATATCGTAATAGACAGATATAAAATTATGTATGTACTTGCATTTACAGCAGACTCGAATATTTTCTAAATATCTAACATGAAAATTTCTTTCTTTCTTTTTTTTCACAACAAAAACCCGAAAATATGAAAAATTCATGTTCAAGCTTATTCTTACGAGTCGAGATGGAAAAAAAAATCAGATTTTTGAGAAATTAGAATTCCAGACATTTTTTCTTGTTTTTGTTTTTCTTCATTTCAAAAAGGCAAAAATGAATGAAAAAAAAAGAAAATTTGATTTTGAATTATGAGATGTGAGATCTTCTTGGAATAAAATCGGAACTCCGCCCCTTTAAAAAATTGGTACGAAAAAAATCTATTCGAAAATTTAGAGGGTGGGTGGAATTAACTAGAAAATGGGCTAAACACTTGCAAATGTGCAATTTATGACGTTTTTCCTTATTGGACTCATTTTGGGTCACATTACATGCAAGGGTCAATGAGTTATTTAAATATGTGGGAAAATAGTACGATGTTTGATGAAGTTGAACATTTTCTAGGAAAAATTCGAGAAATCATTTAGACATAAAATCAAAAAGCTCTTATGACTTTTTCAAAGAACTTTGGGATTTTCTCAAGGGTTGAAGTACATGAGATACTGGATTGTATCCAAGTTTCATCATCAAATTCCCAAAATCTCGAGTTATTCGAATTCGAAAAAACCGGAAATTAATATTGATAAATTTGCAAACACTATTATTGAGTTTTTTTTTCAGTTGGTCTCGTGAGTTCAAAACAATTTTGGATGTTCAAAACATTTATAAATTCTCAAAAATCCAGTGTCTAGCCAAATAAAATGTCTACGATACGATATCATAAGAAAAATCTCATCAGATTTTATTAGAAAAATAATATAGATACTGTAGATATTTTTAGAATTTTTCTGGAAGAAAATTTAAAGAATGCAGTATCTTTTACAAAGAACTTCGAAGAAAGAGAAATCTAATAACGTTTGATGAACAAATTAAATAAAAGCTTGAAATTTTTTTCAAATATTTTTTTTCAAAAAATAGAGAACCTAACTTTTTCAAAATTTTTGTCACTGAAAGTATTTAGATGAATGAAATAGAAAATTATCCATTTTCATGTTTGTTTTAGCACCAAAAAGAGAGTCAAAAAGACAATTTGAAGACATGCATGTTTAGAAAAAGAAAAATGAACTATATACATGGTTGTTAATTAAACGAAAAAAATTCAATTATTTTGTTTTGAGAAAAACAAACATCAAAAAAATATGCAGAGATTGAACTTTCAACGGATTGATGCACCTCGAGATTTCAGGATAACTGTAGCTTTATTTTTTTAGAATTACTGTGGCTCTATTTTGTTTTTAAAAAAAAATTCAAGTTGAGAAATTGTTAGTTGATCGAAAAATTTTACAAATCAAAACATTGTGCTCTCTAATAAAATTACCGTAATGAATGAAATAAGTCAAAAATATTACCGCTTCATAATTGTTTTAAAATATATTTCTCTGCTTAGAAATAGAAAGCTGATAGTTCATCTAATTCCAAAAAAAAAACGTTTATTCATCAATGCAACAAAATTACAAAAAAAACATGATCAACGGGAATCGGAAATTTACAGGAGAGTTTGCTGGACACCAGTAAAAATTAAACGGGGCTAGAAAAATTAGAAAAAACAATTGTAGACATGCATGTTCAGATGTGGGAAAATTATCTGTTTATATATGTACATTATTGTTTGAAAAAATATTTTTTCGAGAAAAACATGCACAAAAGTGAAATATTGACAAGTGAAAGTTTATGGATTACTGATTTTGTTTAAAGGGTTGGTGCTCCGCCAGGGAATCTTGCTTGGTTCAGATAGGAATAAGGTGCTCCTGGAAGGTCCCAGTTTTAGAAAAAATCTAGTATCAATTCAGCCCATGTTTTTCCTCAAAAACACAAGCGAGTTAAAACCTACGAAATAAAACATGTAAATGCGCTCTAGCGCACAACTTGTTTTTGAATTTTCGTGTGTGTGTTTGCACACAACTTTGAACACAACACTGTGACGCCTTTTTGCAGACAATTTTTTCACCAGGAAAGCACCAACCCTTTAAATATTTTCTGCTCGTGACAATGTTTAGATATTGGTTATTGCAGAACACGAGGTTGAATTGAATCGAGATATATTTCCAAGTGCACCACAACATCTGAAAATTCTCCATTATTTTTAAGAAAATAAATATTTTGAACCCACATATTTTTAACTTGGAATGTGTTTCCATATTGTTGATCATTAAAAAGTCGAACATAACACGGTGCACTAAATTGTGCCTCATTCAACTTTACAATAGCTTGATATGTTCCCATTGCTCCACCAACGAGTGAAGTTAAAATGATTAAAACATTAACAATCAAAATTGTTTTGTCAGTTCGTTGAAGAACTCTGCAAAAATTAATTATTGGTCCATTTAAGCATTTTTGAGAATAGAAACGAACTGTTTGAATGTGGGAATTTTATTTTTTCTCCACTCTTCTTCGGTAGCTGCTTCATTATATAAATAGAACAAAGATGGCAAAACAGCACAACCCATTGGAATTGTTGATGATCCTTTAAAAGTTACAATTTTATTTATCTCAAAAATTTCAAATTCACTAACCAACAAGATTCATAACTGGTCCAAAGTCTGGAACAGTTAAAGCAATGAATAGAACCAACATCAAAACAACACTTCTTGTGATTAATCTTCCTGGTCCAAATGAATGTGAAATATTCAAATAATGTTCAACTTCTTGATTTAATGGATTGATAACAATTACAAGAGTCATTATACAATGGAATGCAATCATCAAATTGGCAAGAAGCTGGGAAATAATTAAAGTGTGCATTATTTACCTCAAAAAAAAGATTACCTGAAGAGATGGTGTTTGGATACTGTAGATAACCGAATTGTCCATTGAATTTCCATAAACAGAAAAAGCGAAAATGCAAAGTGGAAGATATAAAAGAATTACACCAACAAATCCAACAAAAACTGATTTTGTGAATTCTCTTGGCTCTTTCATATCGTGTTGAATTGTTGGGAAAACATAATGACCAGAAAATGCGAAAAGGAAGATTCCGAGTGATAAAAATACATCTTCTGGATTAATATCTGGATATTTTGCATGAGGGAAACATAAATCGGCATCGATTGCAATTCCACTCAAAATTGATCCAACAGCAACAACAGTTGTAAGCATTGCAAATACGATTACAACCCTGAAAATTGCTTTATATCAGGTATCATCAAAAGTCTCACAAATTACCAAAATTCTCCAGGACTGGCTAACATTGTGAATGGCCAAATAGCAACCGCCAATCCGAAAATAACCAAACAAATTGAAATATTTTCCAAATCCAGGACATTTGATATAAAATAATGAATAATGTTTGAAGAAAGGAGAAGATAAACAATTGAAATTCCAAATAATGTGATGTTTCCAAGAACAGAAGTGAACCGCCTACAATAATTATTTCAGGATATGTTATCAATTTGTCCAAACTCACTGCATAAAAGGTCCCATTGTTCTCTTAGCCATTTCTGGAAATGGTTTTCGACAAACTCCAATATGTGGATTTCTCTCCATCAATTTATTCCAAACTTTTCCGAGAAGATAACCAGTATACTCAAAACTAACCGCAATCACCAACATAATTATAATTCCCATTGTCATTCCAGATTTTTTGAATGCAACTGGCATCGCAACAACACCTCCTCCAACCATATCGGCGACAATGAAAATTGCAGCAATTATCCATGATATTTTGTGCTTCTCAACACTAGGAGCTAAAAATAAACATAAATTAAGGAAAACGATGAAAGTGACAAGCTTTTTTGTAGTGTGCTCTTTTTTTATGTTTTGTTTTTAAAGTGCACGTCATTTCACATCGAACACACATAAATCAACTATGATCCCCTGTTTTCTCCTGTTTTTGAGGAAAGGAGAAGAAAAGGTTTAAAAATGACAAAAAATGAAAACATTTTCATAGGTGGCTAGAAATAACCTAAAATGTCTTCAAAAATCGGAGGACGAACACAAAAATTACTGACAAAAAAGTTTTTCAGTAGTTTTTGGCTCAATGAAACTTCCGGTAAGAGCAAAACTTACATTTTAAATCATTTTAGTTTAACTAAAAACTTTAGGGAATTTCAAAGTTATTTTTCAATACTCTAACTATTCCTTAAATTCTTGAAAATTTCTAAATAACTCAAAAAAAATTCAAAAAGAACATACCAACTTGTGCGGACGACATGCACATTTCCGAATAGCAGTTGTTGATAAAAGGTTGAGCCGAAAGATGTCCTCCTCTTTCTTCTTTTGTTTCTGCGGACTCTTTTCCTCCTCCAGTTGAACTAGAAGAAGAAGACAGCAACCTTTTGCTCTGATCTCCAACATTCATTTCTGAAACTCACACAATTTTTTTTGAAAGACATAGAAAAATCCATGTTTATTTGCACAGTTCGGTTTTTTTCAAAATGTCCAAGGGCGAAAAAAGGGGGAAAAGGAATGAGTCTCGGGGCAGGGTGTTTACCTATCTAAAAATGTTTTTCTCACATTTTTTTTGTTTCGGACAAAAACAAAAAGTTTCACCAGAAAAACAAAAACACCCCTTGAAAATTTCTCTTTTTATTAATTGTGTTTTTTACAGAAAGGGACATAAGTAATACCAAAATTCGAGTTTTTTTTTTGGTCGGTTGGTTGTTTGAGAAGTATTAAATAGAACAAAGTTTCTGTGTCGACTAAATGAACAGTTGTGTCAAGAGATTTTTTAAAGGAAGAAATGAAATGTGAAGAGTGATTGGGAATCTTAAAGTTGATTGGATAGATCACGAGGTTCCGAATACGTGAGATATCTTATCTAGTTTTTAGCGTGAACTTTGACGCGACATCTAATAAAATAATAATTTTGGGATGAAGTAGGAATTTGATAAAAATTTCAAAGTGAGTCTGAAGAATTCTCCCAGAAGATTTTTTTGGAGAAAATGAATTTCAAAATGTTCATGGTTTCAGTAAAATTTCCACAGAACTCTGCGCGATAATCTTAGCAAAATTTTTTAATTTTGCAAGTAAATGCTTTCAGTAATTCATAGAAAGTATTACTGTAGGTGTTGAGCTGAAAATCTTTTAATTGTTCATCTACATAAAATAAAATTCTAGATTTTTTTGAATAATCAGAATCTCAACATTTTTCAACGTTAAATTTTTGGTGGAGTTCATCAATTTCTAAAAGTGTTCTCATAAGTTCAACTTACACCATCTCGCTCCAAATTTAAAATAATTTAAATATTAATAAAAAATAATAGGGAAAATAATGTCGTCTCTAATCAAGAAAAACTGAAGAATGAAAATATGAAAGTGTTTCTTGCTCTTCTTTTTTTTGTCTTTTCACTCAAAAACCGGAAAAGTGCGCGCAAATAAATAAATGAGCCCAAAAAAGGAGAAGCGCACAAGGATTTGTAGAAAAAACACTACATGAAAATAACTACTTTTTTCGTTTTCTTTTTTTTTTGAATTGGAATTTGAGTAAGATTTTATTTTGTTGTAATGAAGAAACAAGAGAAAAGTTCGAAGAATATCTTCAGGAGAAGATAGATTGAGATTGGACAGCATTTTTGGAGCCTCGTGACTTTTTTTTTGAAAGAAAATATAATAAATGAAGAAGAAAAACTAGAAAAAATTGGAGTTATAAACCAAGAAATCAATGGACTACAGTAATCTTAGAATATATTTATAATTAATTGGAACAAATTATTTTCAGATTCATTTTCAAATTTTGGTTATATGAAAAACCTCATTAAAACTATGTGTGAATCATAAATTCATAAAACGGAAATTGAACTTTTCCGCATGTTTAACAAAAAAATCTAATTATCTTGCAAAAAATTATGAAATCGCAAAAATCTCCAAACTAGGAAATTTGATATCGAAAGAGTAACAAAACTCGGCATGTTTCAGAAGAGCAGAAAAAAGAGCATGAGAAGAACTACTAGGCAACTGCTCACATAATTGAAATATAACGGGATAATGAGAGGGTGCGAGGGAGGAGAAGCGGAAAAAAAAACGACGAAAAAAAAAAGAATTGGAAGAAGAATCTAGAAGCTAAAAAGAAGAAACAGAAGAAATGTGATATCCAAAATGATGAAGAGAAAAAAAAACAGAAAATGGGAATATCATATTTTGTATCACTAATTGAAAATCAAGGGAAACTTTTTGATCTTTTTTTTTAATTTTCAATTTTTTTGATAGAAAAATTTCTTCTCAAAGCTCATGAAATCTTTCACAAAATCTGCAGATTATCGAAAAATTCCCTCAAAAGGTAGCTACGCAACAAAACTATACAGCTTTGATAGAAAGATAAATATGTAATTATTGACGGATATACATAGCTAGACTTCATGAAAGAAAGGGCTGATGAAATTTGGGAGGGTGTGTGGCGACAGAAAAAAAAACACATTCCCGGGTTGTTTTTTTGTACTTTCTATTGTTTTTTTTTGTTCGAGGGAAAGGTGTTTGTTTGCCAACTTCTAAATTTTTCAGGAAAAATTGTGAAATGTGATTGCCATATACCTACAGTAATACAAATTGAGCTTACAGATTTGTGGTTGACTATTCTGAAAATCTTGATTTTTTGGAAAGTTTGAAACCTGCAACCTGAACAAATAAAATGAAAAATAATGTGGTTTACAGTATTCTGGACTACAAACCTACAGTCTCCTGGAAAAAAATCATATAGAATTCGAAATTTCAATCTTGTTCTTACAATTAAATGTTCAAGAGAGAGTTCATTTCTATAGGAAGTCAGAGTTTACAGAATATCATCTATCTCTATCATACATGGAAAAACCAAAAATTTTTATAAAATTAATTTGAGTTTGATAAACGTTCTTTAGTTAGATGTTTTCAACTCACAAAAAAACATAATAAAAACAAAAACAGTAAATAACGAAAAAAAAAGCAAATTTCGAAAAGCAGATGGTTGGTTTGCTTTCTTTTTCTTCTATTTTCTATTTCCATTTTGTGTTGGTTGGTGGTCGAAGATGTTGAAAGACAAAAAGACGACAAAATTAAAATGAGCTCGTTTTTGAACAACGAAAAAAATGAGCATGCGGCAAAAAAACCGAGGCGTTTTTTTTCAATTTGATGAGTGCAATGAGGTTTTTGCAAAATTAAAATTAAAATTGAGAAATAAAATGAGATTCATATTTATTCATATGTTGCAAACTTCGAAAATTGCAAAGTTTTGGGTTTGCAAAAATGTGCGGGAGGTAAAAATTTTTAAAATTAAATTACAGTAATCCGTTTTCTGGTTTTATTTCCATTAACCGATGAGAAGATTTTCAAGCACATTTTTGAAAATTTGAAATTTTATTTTTTCACAAAATGAGCTACAGTAACCAACAAGCCTGTGCCGAAAAAGTGAAACCCAGAAAACGGATAAACGGAATAATTCCAGATTTTAAAAAGCTTGCTTGATAAAATCAAACTTATGATTTCTAGAAGTTTATCATTAATTTTCATCCAAAATTAAGATTTTTTGTCAGACTCTTGGGAAAATTCGGAAAATATCGTTTTCACTAAAACAAAAACGGCATTTTCTGAAAAATAAGAAGTTTCAAAAAAAGTAGAGGCATAATTTATTATTAGTCATAAGTTCATAATTAATTATATATAATTATTTATAGCAAATATCTCGATCAGCTCGACAATCAGCATTTGGAGCAGCCAAAAACAGTCGACCATTTTGACAAACACAAACTTGTGTTTGAGGAGTTCCTCGACCTTCGGATCTATGCAATTTTTCCATGTAGATGTTTTGAGAATCAAGTCGGATTTCACCCTTAAAATATGAAAATTCAATGAGAAACTCCTGATTTTTTGAAACAATTATCCAAATCTCACCTGCTTTGCTGATAACGAAACATCTAACAATGAATTGACCGAAACTTCTCCAGATCCAGTACTAATTTTAATATCTTGAGCTGCATCAATTGAAACACTTCTTGTTGGTGATTCTAAACTCAATGCGGCATCTCTTTGTGGTCGAACAATTGATGTTTGAATCGCGCCTTCGAAAACACTTCCACCTTCATCAAGAATTCGAAGATTCTCAAGTTTCAAACCAATTTCATTTGAATCAGCAAAGAATAATAATTTTTGAGTATCATCAAAAACTTCGAATTTATCGCAGGTTACTTGAGCGGATCCACTTGGTGATAAAGAAAATTTTGAAGCGATTTCGCCTTTTTCGCCACGTGATTGAAGATTGACACCACGGAATGAATCGATTGTTAGAGTTTCATCCTGAAAATTGATTTTTTTTGATATTTTTTTTGAATATTGTTTATCTTTTTTTTCAATAGCTTATTAATTCGAAAATTTCAAAATTATTTTCCAAAGGTTCCAATTTTTTGGATCAGTTTTTAATCATTGTAATTTAGGTTGAAAATTTGAATTTTTTGAGCTCAAAAAAGCGTAAGTTTTCATTTTGTTCAGATTTCAATATTAAATTTGAGTCCAATTAAAAAAAAAATTATGACATTCAGAAACTTTGAAAATCGAAAAATTTAAGGGAATTTTTTGATCTTATAAAACATGGATACTCTTGTCAGATATTTAAAGAATTCGACCAATAGCAATTATTTAGAAATTTCTTTTTTTTTTTAATATTTTTGAGACTTTGTTAGAACCACGGTAATCTCCATTTTATTTCAAAAAACTTACATTCAACGTGCTGAGTTTTGAAAAATGAACAGGTCTATCAAATTGTGCTCTTCCCTCAACTCGAATTCCATCATCTTTAATTTTCAATGCTCCAATTCCATCAGTCGAAAAATCCAAAACTGACATAATCCAAAATGTCAATGCCAAATTCAAAACTATTCCAATTGTCAAAATCAAAATGAATATGTACAAAAATCTTTTCCGCCAACCATAAATACCAACTCTTCAAAAATTGGATTAATTAAAGGAGAAGTACGAGAATTGATGTTTCAAATTAAATATAATTCCGAAAATTATGAAAAGTTCTAGCGATTCTAGAAGGTTGGAATATCAGAGACCCCAGAAAAAAAAGTAACACACTTTTGAATAATTTTCAAACTTGTATGACTTACCTATAAATATCAGCATCAGCAACAGGTTTTGTTGTCGAATGGATTACTGTAGTTTGTGTCGGATATGCTCCGCCGGTATACTGTATTTGTTGTTGTGATTGTGCTGCACCCATAATTGGTGTAGTTCCATATGGATTTGCCATTGAATGATGTGATACGCCACGTGACATTCCTTCGTTTCGAGACCAAACTGGATCTTCGGAACCCATTGCATAAACCGGGTAACCGCGCATTTTTCAAGGAAAATGCGAAGTATGTATTTTATAAAAACAAGAAAAGTTAAAAAGACTTGGAATAAGTGTCCATTTCTTCTCTCATAAAGTTTACAAATCCTCTCGTTGTAATATCTCTGCATCTCTAAACATATTTCCCTCATCTCATCCCGGGAACAAAGCCAAGGAAAAAAACATATTTTAATAATATTGATTTCAAAAAAAGGAAACAAATAAAAAATAAATTATCGGGGGAATCACATATGGTAAGAAGAGCACAGGTGTCTGTCGGAAGAAGAAAAAACAATTAAACATTAAATTAATTTAATAATTTTCCTACTAAAACTATGGGAAATCTGTGCCAAAAAATAAAATTAAAATCGATATTAGAACCCGTTAAAAGAGACAGGGTGGCATAGGTGCAAAAAAGGTACTAAAATTGAATTTTTCTATCCGACAACAACTTTTCCAGTATCTTCTTTTCCGGCCATTCGTGGTTTTCCAACAGTGAATGGAATATAACGATATTTAATCATATGCTGAAAGAAAATATATATTGTTTCACACATTTAATATTGAATATTCCAATTGTCTATTCATATAATCCTATTTACATTTCTTCTTTCTTGTCAAAAAATATGTAAAATCAATACGTTGCTAGGCAAGAATTATATCCAAATAATAAAAATATACTCACCATAATTTGTCTTTTCATTGTGAGGAAAGTAAGAATGAAGAAATACATAACAAGAATTGGCCAGAAAACAGGAACATCGAAAAAGTCAAAGAATGTGCAAGTTGTTGAGATCACTGTAGCTTTCATGAAAGAATGCCTGAAAAAACACATTTTAATAGTTTTTTACATAATCATTTGGAAAAACGAGTAAACAACTCACCAGAATTTGAATTCTGGAAGTCGTCGCATGAATGGTCTAAATTCATCATTAGTCTTTGATGGTAAAACTGGACCATCCTCATCATCGTCCTAAGAAATGCAAATTTCAAATGAAAATTCAGAAAAATTTGTGAACTTACATCAAACTCTAGTGCTGGATCAATTGAAGGTGTAAGGAAAAGAAGGAATAAATTGAGATAGTAAATTCCAACGGCATAAGCAACGATGTAGAATCCCTGAAAACGAATAATGACTCAAGTTTTTCGAAAAATACAACTACCTGAAGATAGACAATTCTTGACGCGAAGAATACGAGAGACAACAAGGCAATTACCCATCGAACAGCTGTATGTGGAGTGAGACGATCCAAATAATATTGATACTTCTAGAAAAATAAATATTTATTATGAAATATTCAAAAAAACAAAGATAAACTCACCACTTCAAACGAATGAAAAAAGCGAGAAGTTGCACCCGGGCGGTCTCTGAGTCCATCATCCATGTTTTCTGAAAAATCGGTAATGATTGATCGTTTTGAACGTGAAAAAAAGAAAAGAAAATTAAAAAATGCATCGATTTTGTGTGGAACACGTCAGGAGTCGTGTCAACACGGCGACGCACAAATGCACACATCTGTTTGAATTTTTGCAAAAAATTATTTTTTGTTGTGTTTTTTCTACGTTTTAGCCTAGTATTTGTCAGTGTCATATCGAATAAAAGGTAAGATTTTCTAACAAATTATGTGTGAAAACTAGAAAATTAACAAATTATAAAATAAAGTTTTATGAAAAGTTTTTATTGAGAGAATTATTTTGAAAAATCGAGAATAAATAAGATTCAGTTATTGTTTAGAGATATTTGAGTTGAATGAACTTGTATTACTGAAGTTTTTGCGGAATCTCCAAATATATGCATTCTAAGTTGTCTGTTCATTGTGATCATGATAATTGGCGTCCTAAAAATTGAGATAAATTGAGTATTTTTCAAACTTCAATAGTACCCAATGACTAATAAATCGTAGACCATAACCTGTGCAATCAGGAAAAATTCGTATAAATCTAAGTTTAAGTTTGTGTAAGTAATGAAAGCAAAATATGCTTGACAAATCATTGTAAGAAAAAATCCGAGTGACATTGCCATCGAAGAAAAACATAGATTTCTCTCAAAACCTTTCAATCGATTTGGAAGAATTATAAGATAACAAAGTGTGATTATAGTTGTGACAATTGTAACAATCAGGGCGAAAAAATTAAAGATAAAATGGAAAAGTGATAAACTCGCCCATTTAACTTTTTTTGAATATGCAAATTGAAATCCACCGCGAGAAGCAGCCGGAAATGCTCGAGAAATGAAAACATTCCAAGTTGCTAGAATAGGAAGTAAGAAAATTAAACAAATCATATATGGAATGAAGTTTCTCCACATCTAAAATTAATTAGTGTTTTAAAAAGTAATCAGTATCTGAATATCAACCTTTGTATGTTTCATCGGCCAAACAACACAAGTCATTCGATTTATAGTTATGAAAACTTGACAAACTGGATGGAATGTTCTCATATAATTAGTAAAAAATAGATGGAAATTGAGAAAATAAGATGGGCTCGAGAAAAAATCAGATAATGGCTCACATAAATATGTGACAAACAAAAAAAGACGATTTACAAAACTATGTATTATCGTGTAATATAACATCTAAACACAAAACCCTACATTTTTTGGTTTAGTATCAACTTACTGTTAGAATTTCAATCAGAAATATAATGAAAAACGAGTTGTCCAAATAAATTTTTCTATGTGTGAAAACGATCACACGAACTATTAAAATATTCAAGAATGTTGTTGGAATAAGATATGCCAATTGAATAATATATACGATAAGTTCAGAAATCGGATTATACGTTATAACACAAACAACTTTGATTTCACCATCAAAATCAAGACCAGTCGTATTCATTGTTTTTTCTGATATAAAAATAACAATAATCAGACTGAATCATTTCACAGGTGTAATTTTGTTTTTAGGAAATCAGACCGAAATGATCGACATTGACAGTCTTAGTTTGCCCATATTGATTGCCGTTTTCATTGGTGTCATTTCTGTGATGGGAACTGCAATTGTATATTTATCAAGAAAAGAAGCACAAAAAGAAGTTGAAGATTTAGATGACGATGTGTGAGTTCTAAAATAAAACAATACAATATTAGGAACTTTTTATTTTTAGAGATGCTGTGATGGACGAAGTTCATGAAGTAATCAATCCTGTAAATAATAAAAAAAGTAAACATCAAAGAAAAAATGATCAATGGAAATCGAAAGACGAATTCTCACATCCTTGGTTAGTGACAAGTTTGAAGGGACATACGGCTGACGTTTCGGACATTGATTTCGCATCAGATTTGAAGAAATTTGTCTCGATTTCTGAAGATAGACAGATTATTTTATGGGATGTTAGGGTAAGTTTTTTTCGAATTAAAAAAATACTTTATATCTAATAACGTCTTGTTTTCAAGGATTTCGAGAATCGTGAACATCGCTGCTTCCGTCAAACATTGGACTATGACACTCCAACTCTTGTCAATTTTGCTCCCGACTGTAAATCTGTGATTTTCAGTACAAAACGAGAAAACGCTCTTTGCGTTTATAAATTGGCGAAAAAAACTGAAGGAACTGGAAATGTTCATTTCACACACGTTGATAATATCGAATTCCCTCGAACTCACCAAGCAAATATTGGGTCCATTGGAATTGCTGCAAATGGTTAGAGTTGTTTTGTTTTCATTTTTTGAAAATTTCTGTTATTTTTTCAGCTCGATATTTAATGAGTTCATCTGCTGACAACAAAGTTATTCTTTATGATTTACGTGGTTCAATTCTGAAAATAATTGACGCGAAACTGGGAACATTGTATGATTGTCGACTTTCACCTGATGGTCGATTTGTTATTGTTTCTGGTTTTTCACCTGATGTTTTTGTCTACGAACCGACTTTTTCGAGGGATGGAGGTTTTCAGGATTGTAAAAAAGCGTTCAACTTGGGAGTATGTTTATTCTGCAACCTGTAAATCATAAAGTAAGAGTGCAATATTTTTAGGGCCAACAATCTGGTGTTTTGGCATCTGCATTTAATTGGGCTTCAACTCGAGCTGTGACTATTTCAAGAGATGGAAAATGGCGCGTTTTTGATACTGATATTCGTTATAAAGATGGTCAAGATGCGAAAATTTTAAAAGAAGGATCTTGGCAACCACTTCATGGAGCTACTCATGTTTTATTGGCAGTTAGTCCAAGCGGAGATTCGTTTGTTGTTTCTGTGAAAGATGAATTGAAACTGTTCAATGCAAAAGATGAAAATGTTGATCTTCCGGTTGTCACAAATCTTCATGGAAATTCGAATATTTCATCAATTCGATTCTCTTCCAATGGACAATTGATTGCAACAAGTGGCGATAAAGTTATTAGGATTTTAAGAAATGTTGTTGAAGCCTAACTTTTTACTTGTTTTTTCTAGATTCTGGTGCGTTTTATGGGTTTAATTAATTATTTTCATATGTACTTCATTATAATGTCAATTAAAACTTGTTCAGATAAATTGTCGTTCTTTAAATGATAGTTAACAAGCTAGTTTTCTCTGCGATTAATGGAAGATTTCTGAAATTTTTTGCAAAAGAATTTTAGACCAATCGAGAGGAAAACGTTCTCCGTGAAAACTGCAAAAATTTCAGGAAAATTAAAAAAAAAACAAATCAGAAAAAATAAACGAGAGAGTGTTGCACCTAGAAGAGACGAGGAGAGAGAGAGAGAGAAAATGAGAGATAGAAAAGTGTAAGAGAGAACGCGAGACAACACGACGCGCATTGGTTTGCAAACAAATTTGTGGAGTTGGTTTTCGAAAAATTTCATGAGATTAATCTCGATTTTTGAAAAATTGCTGAATTCAACGTTTTCTTGACTAAAGTCGACAATTTGTTGATCATAATTCATTTTTTGGTGGACCTCCATGATTTTATCTTGCATTTTTCACTTAATTCAGCTCAGACTTCACATTTTCGAAATATTTTGTACTTTTCGCAAATTTCCATTCGTTTCTAAGTAGCAACAGTTTGTTTTTGAATATCTTTTTTTCCAGATATGGTCACCATGCAAATGTCTGCGATCCTTGGAGAGTTTGAGTGAGTCTCTTTTTAAACGCTTAATTCGAATAGTTAGACATCGACTAAATCAACTAAATGACATTTTCATGGTTTTTAAGCAAGTAGGTTGAAATATTGGGTTCTAATGTTATTCATATGATATAATGGTCTAAGACGAACAGAATGATATAAATTTTGATGACTTTACGTTATCCATAAGTGATTTAGCGACGTTTAGTCGATATTTAGTCGATAAGCCGAGTCGATCGACTAAACGTCGCTAAATCACTTATGGATAACGTCCTATCTATCCTATGAATAACATTAAAACCCAATATTTCAACTCACTTAGTCGATTTAGTCGTTGTTCAAGTTTATTCCAATCAAATTCAATGGTTTTCAGCGTGAAAAACGATATAACCATTTTATCGAGAAACCGTCCCAAACTAAAACCATTCAAATTCGGTTATCTATCAAGAAAAGTTGATTTGAAAACAGGATTCGACTTGAACGAAGAATATGAAACTTCACATGGTATTCATCATATTTTTAACTATGTTAACAACACTAAAATCATGTCTAACTTATACAAAGATTTCAATGATACTGTAAGTGTAATATCTATGAGTTTTGAAAAACAATCAATCAATAAATTTCAATTTCAGAAATATTTATTTGTCTGCGGTCGTTATATTCTCACCAAACTTGAAAAATTCGCTAGAGGAGTTGAAGAAAGCTTCGAGATTTTGGCATTTCGTCGAGGAAATGTTGTTTATATTGGATCTAACAGAACGCTGGCCAAAAACAGGTTTTGTTTAAAAAACATATGAATTTTCATATAAATGTTTTCAGAGTCGTAAATCCGAAACACAAACTGTCCATTTACGCTGGATTGAACTTTGGAAAATATTTCACTTATAATAATAACATTAAAAATTCCGGCGACACCCATTCAATCGTAAGAAACATCAGATTAAACGACTCTTCCACAGAATCCACTCATTCTTTGCTTGTTTCTTCCACAGTTCGTGCTTTTGACGACAAATGTATGTTTTTTTAATTGAGAACACAAATAATTCATTACTCTTACAGCTAATCCCATCGAACTTCACACAAAATGTGAGAGAAAAAGTTTCAAGAGATGTATGATTGATTGGAGTTTCAGTGCAGTACTTGCTGGAAGTTCGAAAATTATTTATGGTTTACGAAACAACGATTATGAATTGACAAGTATTTGTCATACTGAAAAAATTTTGACTGATCATTCGGATGCTTTGAATGTAATCCACAAAACACTCACAAGAATCACGAATCTCATCGAAAATGAAAGTTGTGTTTTGATTACACCAATTTATGGCCAAAGAGAACTTTCATTTCAAAAAGTTGACATAGGATACATGAACAAAAGCGACCAATGGTAAACTAAATTAAAAGTACTACATTTCTATATTTTCTGTAAAATAACTTCATAATTTCTCAAAATGTTCATGATGCATAGTTCTTTGATCTTTTTCACTTTCAAAAGAACCATACCAGTATTCATAATAAACTAAGCATGAACATCATCATTTTTCTTCTTATTTTAATATGTTTTTATCGTTCCCACAACAATTTTTAGTAAATAAAAATGTTATAACTTTTATTGTTTTTTGAACATCAAACCATTTTTTTTCGATTACTGTAATCACTCAACTAGAATTCTATTATCAATGGGAGTTTTTCAGGTTTTTCCCAATTTTCCGTCTTCAAAGAAATGTCAAAAGTGTAACTGATTCGATCTTAAAGAATTGTTCCTTGACCAAAAAACTTTTATTTGATAATACCATTATCAGTTTCAATTTAACACCTTTTTCGTTATTAAAATTAAAAAAACTGACAGTTTGGTGTTGATAAAATATTGAAAATGACTCTTCGAATATTATTATTATTATTATTAGTTGTATATTTTGGAGATGTTTTTGGACAAAAAGTTGTGCGAGATGGAGATATGGAACTCAGCTTGGTTCATGTCGTGAGTTTTTTAAATTTTTAACCTAAAATTTTATGGAATGATATAAAAATTGAAAATATGTAGATATTAAATTATATGATTATACTAAACTTAACTAATATATAACTAAAATTCCAAAATAAGAAAATTTGATACCGAATGTTTGTACCCACCAAAGATCTTTTTTTCCGAGAAATATCTTATCTTTTCAATTGTTGTTTGGTCATACCCAAAATACACTGTGAATATTAAACTAAACATACCAATTTTACACAATTGCAGGTTTGGAGACACGGAGATCGTTCTCCGATCGTAACATTCAACTCAGATCCATTCCAAGAAGATTATTGGAAATTTGGAGGTGGAGGATGGGGACAATTATCACCACTTGGAATGAAACAACATCTTAATCTTGGAAAATTATTGAGAAATCGATATGTTGATATTCAAAATTCGACTTATTCATTACTTCCAGCAGTTTATAGTTCAAAGGCGATTTATGTTAGATCAACTGACTTGAATAGAACATTAATATCAGCAACGGCTAATTTATTAGGAATGTATGGACAAAATGAATATGGAAGTATTGGAGGTTTTGATTATCCTGAAGTTGAAGGATGGCCAAAAGGATTTATTCCGATGCCAATTCATACTGTTGATTATGACACTGATTATGTAAGATTTGTTTTGTTTTCAAAAAAATTGCATTTTTTTTCAAATTAAAAAAAAAGTTAAGAATAATCGAGTTTCTTGCAAGATTCCAAAACCTCATAATCTCAGATTGGAAATATGGATTGTGATTGTCCTCGAAGAACATGGCTTTGGAATATGGTCAAACAATCAGATTTCATTCAATCTTGGCTTCAACTTCCAAATGTTTCATATGTTTTGAATACAACTCGAGCATTAATAAATCAAAACGCGGAACTCGAAGATTTCTGGGTTGTTCCTGATGCTCTTTATATTGAACAAATTCATTATAATGAAACACTTCGTCAATTGAATACTTGGTATTCCGATGAATTTTATGATCAAATGACAGTAGTCAATGATCAAATTTATCTATTCCAATACGGTGTTTTTGATGGACAAAAAATTGAGATGCAAAATATGGATATGGGAAGAGAATTATTGAAAATAAGAGCTGGAAGTTTAATGAATGATATAAGTGATCGAATTGCTTTGAAATCATCATGCCAATATATAAATAGTTCTTCAAAACATTGTAAATGGATAAATGAACTGAAATATTATACATATTCAGCTCACGATGAAACAATTTATTCAGTTCTTGTTGCACTTGGAATTCAAGAATATACAATTAAACCACATGGATATCCATTATATGCTGCAGCTGTTATAATTGAATTCTGGCGAAATACAACATCAAATTCGGATTATTTCAAAGTATTATATCATGCTCAAGATGGAGATGGAATTAATGTTTTCACTTCAAATATTCCTGGATGTTCTTCTGATTATTGTTCAATTGATGTTTTGAATAATGTATCAATGTATTTGAAACCAGACAAACCGATGACTGAATGGTGTACTGTAGTTGATAATAATAATAATCAATCGATTATTTCATATTTTATCACAGTTGTTTTTGTAGTTCTTGTGCAATATTGTTTGAATTAAAAACAAGTTTCGGAAAATAAATTAATAGGATTTTTAAACTTCTCATAAAAACTAAAAAAATAGAGTTTTCAAAACGTGACCCAATTTTAATGGCCTGAATAATCGAAATAAAAGAAAACGAATTCATTGAAATTTTTAGATTATTTGCGAAAAAGTTTTATAACAAAGAAAAACAATTAGATAAAAAACAACATGTCAACAAATAGTAGATTGGAAAAGAAAGTCGAAAATGTAGAAGATCAGAAATGGTATCATGGAATGCGTCCAAGACGAGATATTGAGTAAGTTATTGGGTTACTGTAGATAGAACACTTCGACATACAGTAAGTTCAGAATAAGAGTAATTTGAGGATTATAGGCTCCCACAGTAATCCTGAGATACTAGATATCGATTTTTCGTCAGATGTTTCTGTCCAAACTACAGTAATCCTTTGTATTAGGAAGTAAATATGAAAATAGATATACCTCATTTCAAAATTACGGTATTTTAGAAGGTCACACGCCCAGCTACGCTTAGACTACAGTAATCGTAGGAAAATCCTACAGTGGATTTCGTCCATAATTCGATTTACAGTAGCGTAGAAATTTCAAAAGTCAAAGTTTTGACCGACAATATTTTCCTACAATAACTCTATGATTCTTGGCAAAAATCCAAAACTTTTCAGACATTTATTAGTTCAAGATGGTGATTTTCTAGTTCGAGCTTCAGATGGAAGAACAAATAATGTTGAAATAATATTATCAATAAGAAGTGAATCAAAAGGAATAATTCATTTAACATTAGCAACAATTGATGGAAAATGGCAATTAGGAGTTATAAATCGAGGTAAAAAAGTGCAAAAATTCAATTCAATTCCACAATTAATCACATATTACAAAAATCATAAATTATCAAATTCATTAATTTTGAAACGCGGAGTTCATCGACCAGTTTGGCTTATAACTCATGATAAAGTAAAATATGATACAACGAAAGATGAATTGGGAACTGGTAATTTTTGCACAGTTTATAAAGGAAAATATGATAAAGGAGATGATCAAATAGTTGATGTTGCTGTTAAAATATGTCATAATAATGAACAAGATGAAAATAAAGATGGAAAAATAACAAATGAAACAAGAGCAGCTCGAGAAATGATGTTGAGTGAAGCAAAAGCAATGTCACATTTTGTACATAATTATATTATTCAATTATATGGCGTAGCTTGTGATCATCCGCCTATTTTAATTGTTATGGAATATTGTCCTGGTGGAAGTTTAGACAAACATTTACAAAAAGAAAAAGATGATATTGAAATTGGTGAAAGATTGTGTTATATTTTGGAAGCTGCAAGAGGAATGAGATATTTACATTCAAAGAATTGTGTTCATCGAGATCTTGCGGCAAGAAATTGTTTGATTTCAGCAAATGGTTTTATTAAAATATCTGATTTTGGATTATCAAAATTAATGGATGGAAAAAGTGAAGAAGAAACAATGGATGAAGAATCACCACAGATTCCACTTCGATGGATGGCACCAGAATCATTGAAAAAACCAAAAAAATATTCAAAAGCTTCAGATGTTTGGTCATTTGCTGTTTTGATGTTTGAGGTGAGATTTGATCCAAAAAATAGTTGAAATACATTTTAAAATTGTAAAAATAAATTGAACTTTTTTTGGCTTTCTTTCTTTAAATATGCTCAATCGCTGAAATTGTACCCGAAATTTTATTTTTCAGATCCTCGACAATGGCGAAAAACCATGGCCAGATTGGCCGGCAAAGAAAATCGCAACACATATTCGAAAATGCACAATGCCAAATTTCCCCGAAAAATCACCGGCTGAAATCAAAGAGCTCGTCTCAAAAATATGGGTTCAAAATCCATTGGATCGTCCATCATTTCGTGATATTTGCATCAAATTATGGAAAGTTTTGAAGAAATCACCACCTCCAAAACCATCGAAATTTGCATTGAACAAATTGAAAGGAGTTGAACGAACTGCTGTTTTGAGAGTGAGTTTCTGAATTTTTCATAAATTTTTTCTCAATGAATCCAATTTACAGGAAACGGATGTAAATGGAGATGAACAAACAGATCCAACAGTTCGAGATTCTCAAGATTTACCATCAGCCAACAAATCGGTTATGGACAAAGATTCTTAGATAAAATGTTTACATGAAAAAAACTTTATTTTTTCGCAATTTTCAATAGCACAAAATACCAAAAAGTGACAATAAAACATGTGAAAGGAAGGGAAAAAGGCAATATTCTAATTGGGTTTGACTATGCCATTATATAATACAGAATACGAAAATAGGAAAAAAAAAATAAAGAACGATATGCTCATAGGAAATGAATGCAATATAAATAATATATAGATAGGTTAAGTTTTTTGTTGGAAAATATGTTAGTTTTAATACGATATAATATAAAAATTCAATAAAAGCACCGGCCTAGATTGTAAAATGATGTGTTTTTGTGTGTGTTTTTTTCTGGTCTTTCAGTTTGGGGAGAAAAGAGGGATAAAAAGTGAAATGAAAAGAAAAGCAATTTGAATTAAATGTACAAAAATGGCACAGATATAACAGACCAAAACCGACCAAAGATGGAGAAGAAAAAAAGAAGATAGACTTATCTGAAGAATGGATCATCACCAAATGGATCAGCTGAAACGGCAACAGCTGGATTCTGCGTGGCGGCCATTTGAGCAGCAGAACATGAAGCCGAAATTGAGTTCAATGATGCTTTTGGTGGATTCAAAATATGTTCGAATGGATTCTTTTTTGTTTCGTTTCCAGCAGTTCCGCCAATCAATGCATCCATATCGACTAATTTTGTGAAAGCTTCTTCTAGCGATGTCACACGTTTTTCTTCCCAATTGTTTGAAGCGATTCTGGAAAAATTTGAAATATTTTTGAAAAATTGAAAATTAGATGACAGAAAGAAGAGTTCACGTTCAAAATAGCAGATTTCTAAAATTCTATGTAATTTATTCAAGTCTAAAAATATGGATCTCTACTTTTTTAATTAAATTTTTGATAAGGTTCCAAAATTGTGTTCTAAAATGTTCAGATTTTTAAAACCGTAATTCAGAGAAAATCATTAAATGATCAGATATGAAAAATAAGGCAATTTAAGGGAAGATAGACATGAAATGAAGCATGTTTTGATTTCCCAAAACCGGAGTCAATATTGAAAAAAATCAGAATATTTTGAACTCTGAATTAATTTCTACCCAATCAGATCTTGGTTAACCCGTTTTGGGACAAAGTAAGAATTTGAAATTTTTCTGGTGAACTTCTAATTTTTGGAACCCAAAGTCTAAAATTTAAAAAAAAACTCACTTGTTGTCAGCAAAATTGGCAAAAGTATTAGCATGATGAATTGGAGCTTGTGATGGAACAATTGGTGCTTGATTCTCTTTTGGGATAGAAGATCCAGTTCCGTTCCAATCAACACTTCCTGTAAATCCACCGACAGCAAATGGATCATGTGCAGCCGGAATAAGTAATGGTTGAGTTTGTGGCAAACTTGGAGCAACTCCAAAAGCAGCAGTAGCAAACGGATTTGTTTCCGAAAAAGCTGGAGTACTATGAGCATGTTGAATTGGTTGATGTTGTTGTTGTTGTGGTTGAGATTGTGGCCATTGTCCAAATTGTTGTGGATGTTGTTGAGATGTTTGTGGCCAGGCTTGTTGTTGTTGAATTGGTGATTGTGTAGTTGAACCAAATGGTGAGAAAGCATTTGAGAATCCGGAATTATTCGAAACCGCTGTTGAATTACCCGTTGTATTGAAACTATCAACAAATGGATCACCAAATGGTGTAGCTCCAAATGCATCAATATTTGTTGGAACTGTTGCCAATTGTTGAACACCTTGTTCAATTTGATGCAATTCCGATTCAAGATCCAAAAGATCAGCAACAGCAACTCCTCCTTCAGTTGTTTGCTGGAAAAAATATTTTATTGATATTTTTGAAAAAGCTCATTTAAAATTTTCAATTTCTCAAAAAAAATCCAGTTTTTTTGCCATCATAAAATCCGTCAATCAATCAATCAATCCTCATTTCTTTTTTTTAATGAGATGAGGATAACACTGTGACTAATTACATCATTTATCGACTACATAACTTTTTACTGTTAGCTTAGAAATAAAAAACCAGTTAACCAACAAAAAGAAACTTACATTAGTCGCAGCTCCTTCAGATTGTTGTTGTTTAACTTGTTCAATATGTTTCTTTTTCATTTCAAAAACAACTTGGAACATATCCCGAATAGCAAGAACAGCTTGATCAGCAGATTGTGCTGTTTTAATTCCATAAAATTTATATTTTCCTCCTTGTTCTCCGTAAACCAAACCAAAAGCGCGTGCATCAGTCGAGTCACGTGCAATGAAAGAGATTCTCGAAACAGGGAAATTATGAAGAATGGCTCCACTTTTTTCATCAAGAATCTTGATTCCCTCAATATTGATTTGCAAACTGATTCGAGTTTTGTGAGCACCAGCAGCTTTCACAATTCCTTTTGCATTTCTCATTGCTTCAGCACACATTGCATCACCACGAGCTTTATCAACATCTTGCTCTCCAATCAATTTTCCCTTGTAGGTTATTCCATTGTTTTGGAAGCGAAATGGATCCGATGAAGCATTTGAAGCTAGAAAAAAATGTTTTATGAATAAAAAGAAAGTCTCCCGAATGTCTGATGAACTATTTTATCAGTAATTGGTAAATTTTTACAAATGTTTTTTCTGCGAAAAATACTAACTTTTCTTGGTTCTTTTCAACATGGCCAATCGAGATTTTGGTGATGGCGGATTCGGTTTCGCACCATTTGTTGCTGCACCAGCCGCTTCAATCGATAAATCCGCTTTTTGAGCCATTCTTCTTGATCTGCAAATAATCAACTATTGAAAAATGCAAAAAATCAAATGAAATACAAAAAAAGGGCGGTCGGATGGGAAGGATTGAAAAAAAACCCCTATTCACATGACAATTTGTACTTTGTTAGAACAAAAAAGTGCAAATTTTCAAGATCAGATGGGATCACGAGATGATGATGACAAGAAAAAAACCTGATTTTTTACTGAAAAGTTCAATCGTCTGCCGTTTGCAATTGAAAAATTAACTTTTGCCTTTTCCCAGCAACAAAAAATAGATAAGCAGGAGCATTTTTGTTGTTAAAACGATAACAACTAACAAAGTATTGAAAAACTAGTAAATAAATACTCATTTGAAAAGGGCGGAATTAAATCGACCGGAAAAAGAGACACAAAAGAATGAGGGGAAAGAATATAAAAGTTGGAAGAAGAAGAAGAAGGATAATTGAAGTGAGAAAAAGAAGATGGAACGCCTAAAACGGATCGGATAAAATTTCCAATTTTGAAGAGAATTCAGAATAATTCAAGAAAACCCGAGATAGAATATTAAATTATGGAAATCGAAGGGGTGGAGATTATCCTTTCAAAAATTCCTAGAAGGGATTAATAATAACTGAACCAAATGTTGTTTGATAAACAGAATGGAATATTTCTAGTTCCAAGTAAAAGAAAATGGAGATTTTTTTGGCACAGCTGAGTTGAATTATTTGCGCTTTGATCGAATAGAAGTTTTTCATAATAAATCCATAATTTTATATAATGGATACGATTCGAGCGCAATTTTCGAATTTCAATTAGAGAATGCTATTTTATCAGAAAAGTCCAACTACAGTTTGATGTCATTTGGAATTGACAAAGAAAAGTGTGATACCAAATAGTTACAAAATAATATTTGCATTTGAATAGCCTCTCAGTACACATGTTGAAATGATTCATTCAATTGAAAGGAAATAACATTGTTGATTGCGAAAAAAAAACAAGGAAAAGAGATGAGAGACGAAAAGATAAAAACAATACAAAACCACATGATCGATGTACACGAAAAACTATAAACTTTTAAAAGTGTTTATATTTTTATTTCGAATAAAATAAATATATAAACATTTTGATCAATGAGCGACACAATTTTAATTTTTGTTGACCACAAAATTTGGCTAATTACGAAAAAAATATGCATCATCCTCCCAATTTGAGAAAAAAGAAAGACAAAAACACGTTTATCTTTCATTTTTTATGTATGTATGTTATTTCAAGGTCGCTGACAATGCATGACCAAAAAAATAAAAGAAGAGGGGAAAAGCTGCGAGCGGGATGGGATGAAAGTCATTTATTATTAGATCATCAGTGAAAATAAATAGCCTTGAAGACCTGAATCGAACTTTGGACGTGCGCAGGGTCGCGCCTTTTCAAAAGTGAGAAATTTTTTCAAGGACGACCTGTGAGTCAGACATGCGTGAAATTGGAAAAAAACACATAGAACTGACTGTTTTATTATTTATTCTCAATTTCGATTGAAAAAAAACTGGTCAAATATTTATTTTTGTTATATTGCTCTTTCAAGCAGAAGTTTATTAGCTTTATCAATTTCCACTTTTGATTAAAAATAAAAACAAAATGTTATCAAAAAGACGAATAACTTGTAAATATTATGTTTGAAAAAACAATGCGTCTAGTATAGCCAATAAAAACAAACGTTTTAAATTTTAGAATGAAAATGACAAAAGGGAGCCTAAAAAAACAACGAGAAAACAAAGAAAATCTGCTCTGGCCAACAGAACGGAAACTCTCATCTGACAAATGATACTTCTGTTGATGATGATGATCGATGCAACAAAAAAAGATGGGGCGGGAACAACAGATCATAGATATATTATATTACAATAACTTTTCTGGCAAAAAAAGTTGACTCATAATTTTATGACGCACAAAATTTTATGGGTCAATTGGACAAAATCATAGGATTAGTCAAATTTTGTCAAATAAGAAAGAGAGAAAAAAACTAGACTAGACTACTTACCACTGAAATATATATTTGCATAAAACTATTCTGCCACGCACTTTGAAAAAGGCGCGTAAAATGTTTTATTGTATGTACAATAAATACAACACCTTGATTGTCATTGTGCAAAGTCATCGAGAAAATCTAGTTTTTTTTCTTATACGCATGAGCAGTGAGCTCATTTGATAAGGTAGGAAGTAAAAAATATAGCTCTTGAATAATTCTTCAAAGTATTTTTCGACTAGTATGAAATTTGTCAAGTATTTATTTTTACCTAGGCTAAATATTCTCACAGAAATCAAGTTAATAACTGGTAATTGTGGACACTCTAGGGAAAAAACAATATTTTTAAATAAAAAGGGAATATAATTTATCATATTAGAAATAAAGCGGATAGAAATAAACCTTCAAGAGAATACGAACGAAAATCCACTTATTTATCGAATAAAACAAAACGATGCCGGTAATAGAAAAAAAACTTGAATTCATAATCAACTTGAGAAATTGGAAGAGAACAACTTCCAAATGTGTTGTCTTCTAACCTCAAAGATGGAAGAAATACACTAAAATGAAGACAAAATGAGGAAAAAGCTAATGTCAACAAGTCAGTGAGTATACAGGCACACGCGGAAAGCAGCCAAAAAACTGTTCGTTCAACAAGCTAGACTATGCGGAAAAAAGACGGCAAGAGGCGGAAAAAGAGCATTTACTCAGTGCCACCAACTTGCACAAATATGACGCATGATCCTATTGATATAGTGACTCGACTACAACTGGAACAAAGTTCGACTGACAAAGAGAAAAATGGATTTTGACAGGTGGTTTCATTGGCACCTGGTGAATAGGCTGAATTTTAATTATTCGCACCTGTCGTCCGGTGAATTCAATAGAAATAAAATCGAAATATGACCGAATAAATATGAATTCGCGCAATGAAAAATAACCCAATTAGCACAAATAAGGGAAGACTAACTGAGAAAATATATCAAGGCCGATCGTAACAATAGCATTATTACCAGCCGGTCAGAAAATAAAATAAAGTAAGTAAGTAAGTAGTTTATTATTATTCTTTATATTATCCTCTTATTACGACTAGGCTGAATATAGGACACAGTGCAAATAATAGGTAATTGAAACCGGTGACGGCTGCTTTACTGTCCCGTCCGACAGTCTTCAAACAACAATACTATTATGAAGAAAAACAAATGATGGATCAAGTGGAAAACACTTTTTCTACATACAAAAAAGCTGAATAATCCTTCTTCAAGTTACCACTACTTTTGAGACAATCTGTGTAAATAGAAAATCATACAAACAGCAGACACGTCATAAACACGAACATTGTATGTTCAAGGGCACAGACACCACTCATTTTTTCTTTAAAATATAACCAGAGAGACAATAATTATTTAGAATGTGACCCGAATTTGGGTATGATTTTCGTGAGGTAATTATTGTTGTCGAAAAACTAAAGTTTTTTGATTCGGACAAAAATGATGTTTTTTGAGAAAAAACAACGAATAGCTAAGTCTATAAGGGCTGATACTGGAAATTGCCTGTAACAGAGCTCATTTGTTTCAAACTCCAGTCTAATAAATAGAAAAAAGGTATTTAGCTAAATTTGAAGTCTCTCCAGAGAAAAACATGTTTGCTAGAAAGTAAAAACTGAATAATTGATCAAGTATGATTTTCAAAGAATGTGTAAGAGGATAATGCTAAGCCAGTACTGAAAAACTAAAAAAAATCACCGGAAATAAATCGAACATGAATTATTAACGCTTCGTTGTTACGTTACAACAATAAATAAATGAAAATGAGAAGATTTGACACAAAAAATGTGTAATGTTTCATTTTTCTCGAATTTTGAAAATCACATGATACCATCACAACAATCATATGATAACACACAAAAACACGAATAATACACTACTTACAACTGTAACTGGATGAATCGAGAAAAGATCGATAGCGAGAAAAAAGAAGGGGAAAGCATAATCAAGAAAAAGTCAACTACAAGAAAGAATTCCAATGAAAAAAAAACAGGTAACTATTACACATTTTGTTAATCATTGTTGTTTATTATTCTAATAATAATAACGATGCGCCTTTTTTCTTTTCATTCATGAAATTCCATCCATCTGTCTAGTTTTTGCCCTCATTTTTATATCCTCAACCTGATTGTTAATTATACAGTGAAAGAAAAAAGATAAATCTCAGCTGATTTGATAAAAATTTCAGGATTTCTATTTTTCAATAAAATATGTCACTTCACTTATGAATAAACTATATATTTTTCTGAAAATCAATAACCAATTTTGTCAATGTTTTTTCTTCTTCTATTCGAGTGCTTTTCGAGTGTATTCATGAAATTTCCGGCCACTGGTCACCAATCTCGTGTGAACTTTTGTTCTCTTGCAAATATATACACATATATGAATAAGTAAATAAATGTATATACGGGAGATTTTAAAAGTTTCAATAAACCCGAAAACTATTAGGTTACAGAAAAATGACAAGGTCGGATTTGAGGGAAAATTGTAAAAAAAATGAAAGACAAGTGTAATGATGCTGAAGAAAAGTGAAAGGGTAATCTAATTTAGAAGGATGGAAAGAGCTTGAAAAGTAACAGCGACAATCTATGGTTTCAAAAAGTAAGACGAACCGAAACTTTTGTAAAACAAATAAAATATTTGGCTAGAGCCAAACAAAACAAACCACATCTATGTGTCAATAGAGGCAAAAAGAAACAAATAAATAAACCGAATGAGAAAAATAATAAGACAAGAAGATCCAACGAAATAGTGAAAAGGTCCAGCTGTGCATGCGCTTGCTTCTCTGCGTCTCTTATTCATTCAACAGACATGCACGATTTGGAAAAAATTAGCAAGAGACGCAGAATACGATGAAAAAGACCAGTTTAGCAACAACATCATCCTTTTTTGCGCCCCACAATCATATACCACAAATGCGCACCTCTTTTGTGTTGTTCATCCGACAACTTTTAATGTCATAAAAGAGTGGGTGTGTATTCAATTTTTGATCAAAATATGATCCGGATGTCAATTTTCATCAAAAAATGCATGAATATCACGATATTTTCATATTTTTGAAATTGTAAGCATATTGAATGAATATTCAGAGCTAAACAAATAAAATACTCACGTTCGCACCATTTTCCACTTGTTTCAGAAGTCGTTTCAACCTGCGTTTAACTAGAAAATAGGATAGATAGACAAAGGCGACTCGAAACAATGAAGTGATTTTTTTTTTCGAAAACAAGAGAAAACAAGAAATGAAAAATACGCGCGCACAAGAAATGGGTCTTCACGCGACACACAATATTTTTCTGTGCTCCTTTGGTACCGTATTGAACATTTAATTTTTTTTTCGAAAGATTTGAAAACGAAAATAGATACAATAAAAGTTTTGTTGATGCGTTATAAATATTAATGTGGCTCTTTGATATATAAAACACATCACACAACAAATGTCATTTTTCGATTCTTCGTTCAAGTTTTCCAATATTGATCCAAATTTTTTTCAAATGTGTTGAAGCATAACATTTTTATTTGGGAGATAATTTTTAACATGTACTGTATTCTAAACAACAAATCAAATTCAAAAGTAATTCAATCTATAGTTTATTAAAAATATCACATTTCAAATTTAAACAAAAAATGGAATAGTCTCAACAGAAGTTTATATCAATTTTCGAAATTTCATTGCAAATGGGGAATAACAACATCAGGCGCAACCATGACTGAATTTCTGGCATCTTTCTGAAAAAATAGTTATATTAAAATTTAAAAGAAATCCGCTTCCCGACCTTTAGCCTTTGAATTTCATCAGTCCACTCAACTTCGGAAATTTGAACTACAGCCTCAATGAATAAGTTTTTAGCTTTCTCAACATTTGCAGCAAAAACTTTCATTACAGCTTCCATTGTGACCTAAAAGAAAAAAAAATTGCATCAGCCCGATGCGGGGCTCGAACCCGCGACAGCCAGATTAAGAGTCTGGTGCTCTACCGACTGAGCTAACCGGGCGCACACGGACTCGTCGTCAAAGGTCATACACACTTTACACCTGCATGCATTGGCAGGCAGCAAGACATTCATATGATGAGAGAAAAGTAAGAAAAGTACACCACTCACATGTTCTTCGTCTTTCCAACAATCATAGTCTGTTACAAGTGCAGTTGTGGCATATGGTATTCCTAATTCTTTTGCCAACACACATTCTGGCATCATTGTCATATTTACCAAACTTGCACCCCAAGATTTGAAAACAATACTTTCAGCTTTTGTTGAAAATCTTGGTCCTTCAATACAAACTCCAAAACCAGAAGTGTGATGATCGATATTCAATTTCTGAGCAGTTGAAATTAAAACTTGTCTCAATTTTTCATTATAAGAAGGATGTGATTGAATATGACAAACTCCTGGAGCTTCTTCGAATGATCCATCAAAAAATGTGCTTTTTCTTCCAGTTGTTCTATCAAAAACTGAATCTGGGAATAATAATTCACCAGGTTTCACATTTTCTTGAAGAGATCCACAAGCAGTTGAAGCAATTATCACATCAACGCCTGAAATTTATTATTATTTTTATTTAGTAAAGCGTTTCAGAACAAATACCTCTTGAATAAAGTGCCCAAAGATTTGCGCGATAATTGACATTTCCAGGCATGATATCGTGCTTTTTACCATGTCGAGCTAACAAAACGCATTGCACTCCATTGATTGTTCCTTCAACTAATTGATCACTAGGACTTCCATAAGGTGTTTCAACATTGACATTTGTTGGATTTTGAAGAATTTTCGGATCTTCTAATCCAGAACCACCAATAATACCAATTTTGACCATTCTGGAACAAAAATAGTTATGAGTATCACCTCACCATTTGAAAAAGAAAAAACGATAAAAAATACAATGATAAGATGCACAAATGGAACATTGGCTGATAAGTGATCTTTCTGTATGTTTTTGAAGGTCATAAATATAAGAGCTGGGAAAATGGACCAAGAAAACGCACGTTTTAAAACTCACAAAATTTTTAAACTTCAAAACATCCTCAGACAAGTTGAGCGATTAATCGGTAGAAAAGTGAGCTGACGATTAATCGTCTGAACAAAATTAACACAGGCGATTAATCGGCCAGCCAGCAGCTAATTCAAGTTGCTTAGCGATTAATCGCCCAATTTGTCTGAGCACAAAAAAGTGTTTTATTCAAGAGAACTTCACACAATGAAATTCTAGTCCTCGAAATGTTCTTCCATTTTCGGCTATTTGAATTTTCAAAGCGCGCGCAAAAGAAAAATCCGCGAAAATTTCAAAATGAAATTTTTCAGAACCAATTCACGTGTATTCTTTATCAACGTGAACTCCGAAATCCCAGAAAAAAATTTGAGATGCACCTCAATCATTGTTTTTTATGGAGCAACGGAAAATTGGTTGTAAGTTCCTAAAAAATCAAAAGAAAAATTGAACTCATATTTTCAGGTTAAAAAATTTAAGACGTTGAAGTAAAAATAAAAAAGAAATGAGCAAAGCAAGATCAATTGGAAAAAGCGCAAAAGAAGGTGGTGAATCAGGCGATGATCCAAATCAATCAAATTCCGATCGGATCGATCTTGAATTGGGAACAAGTGATACAGCATGTGGAACGATGAAAGAAATGATTGAGGGAAATAATGAAGAGCTTATTGATTTGGATTTGAATTATATTCAAACTACACTTCGTCATTTTCCCTGGTATCATGGTTTGATTCAAAGTGCACATGTCATACAATTTCTGAAGGTATGTTTTTTTCAAATTTAGATTATCTAGAAGAGTCAATCAATATTGATGGTATTGCAATATTTAATTTCAGTGGGATAACTCATATTTGGTTCGTCGAACTGCAGAAGGTGGACGTGGAAAAGAATATTTCTGTCTTTCTTATCGACAATCCAACAGAATATGTCATTATGCAATTCGATTTGAGGATGGTTTTTGGACTTGTCCCAGAATTTTTACCGATTTGAATCCAAAACAACGATTCCCACATATTCACACAATGCTTGATTTTTGGAGCATGAATATCAATGTGATTCCAGTTCCAAGAAGCAAAAAAGTAATATATCACGACGATGTAAAATTGATCAAAATACTCGGAGCTGGTGCATTTGGGGAAGTTTGGAAAGGAACAATTATGATAAATGGTGTTGCAAACGATTGTGCTGTCAAGAAAATAAAAGGTCAAGTCAAAAAAGCTCAACTCACCGCATTTTTCCATGAGGCAAATATAATGTCAGTTCTCGATCATGAAAATGTCATCAAATTTTATGGTCAATGCACATTAGTTTCACCAATGATGGCGGTTATGGAATTGGCAGCAGGTGGAGTTGTCAGAAGTTATTTGAGACATAATAAAAATGTGAATATTTTGATTTTGAGTGGAATGGTGAATGATATAGCGAAAGGAATGGATTATTTATCAAGTCGAAAGGTTATTCATCGTGATTTGGCTGCTCGAAATTGTCTTCTCGATGAAAAACTAAACGCGAAAATATCAGATTTCGGATTATCTGTGAGAGATGAAGAAATTCGTGTGAAAAATCTGAAACAAGCCCCAATTCGATGGTTAAGTCCTGAAACAATCAAAATTGGACTTTTCAATGAGAAAACTGATGTTTGGGCATTCGGAGTAACAGTTTGGGAAATATTCACTCACTGCAAACGCCATCCTTTATATCCGAAAAATATCAAAGATGCAATTCTAGCAATTCGAGAAGTTGAAAAACCACACAAGTTTATTGATGTGAAACCACCGAAAAGTATTGTTGCATTAGTTGAAAGTTGCACACGACGGAATCCGAATGAACGACCAAAGTTTCGAGCATTGATAGGTGAAACATTGAAAATTTTGGAAAAGGGAATCAAAAAAGCTGCACCGGTATGCAAGTTTTGAATTTGAATTCAAAATAAAAAGTGTTGTTTTTAGGATAGCCGCCGTCGCCCCGTTTCTGGAAAATTCGCAACCGAAATTGCGAGTCAAACATCTCAACCAATTTCATCGCGAAACAAAATTGTTACGGCTAAAAAACGAAAGAAAAGCAGTCATGCAATGTTCCATAAGAAGCAAGCAAGTACGGATAATTTGTCAGGTGATCAAATTTCGAATAATCAAAAAGATTATAAAAAGGAAGAAAAAGAAAAAGAGAAAGAAAAAGAGAGAGAGAAAGAAAAAGATTCTAGTTAATAAAGTTTTGGAGAAATCCAAAGTATGGTGGTGTCATAGTTACATGTCATAGTTACGTGGCAAGTCTCAATTTAATGGTTAATTTTGGAAGGAAAATTTTACATTTAAAAAAAAACTGCTGTGCTACAAAAAAACTACACGGTCTGTTTTTCCAACTCGGCCAAAATCGTTGCGCTAACTTTCTTCCAGTTTAAAAACTGGAAATTACCTCTGAAATGGTCAAACTTATTTTTGAAGCTCATTGGTGTTTTGAAAAAACAATAAAAATATCAAAATCCAATCTTCATTGATTTCTAACGTTTTTTGACGCGGTGGCTTTACGACTTGCTCCAACGCAGTTACACGTTGAGTGATATTCAAGTATGTTCATAATTCACTATCCCTTACTTACCTTCACGCTCACAAATTCGAGGTTCTAAATAATACTAAAAAAATACCCTATATCTCGTCTTTCTCAAAAAGATGTTTTTATTTCGAACGTGACCTGAACATTTCTAAAGAACTGAGATTGAAAATAAAATTATTTCAAAAAATTGATTAGAAGGAAACGAATTGAATAATGAATAGAAAATCGAATACTAGCAAAAGTAAAAACGAAAAAGATAGAGTGGGAGACAGTTCCAGAAAAACGAAGTGAGTTCAAATTATAAACAAATTCATCTTTTTAAATAATATGAGTTCAATTTAAGGATATCGTCGTTGTTCAGTTTTAAATCATTGTGAGTTTTCAAAAAATGTTATCGACAATTTAAAAATTGAATCGATCCAGAAATAAATCAAGTCGTGACACCAAATCGAAAAAACACCAAAAAAGTAAAAGAAAATCTGATGTACCTGGTGCGAAGAAAACTGTTGCAATTCCTGATAAAATGAGAGTAAGAATATTATCATATGAATATTCCAAAAAAGGTTTTCTTCTAGTTAGACAAACCACAAGAGAATAAGCCGATTGAAGAAATCCAGGAACCACAAAAAAGCAAAATTCAAGTTCCGGTAGAAGAGAATAAAATCGCAGAAATTGTCGACGAAAAGAAAGAAATGCCACCAACATCGACACTTTCAACATACAGTACCAAAACAACTGTTCAAACAACAGAAACAGAGTCTGTAATGCCTACAGTAATCCAACAGGAACCAACACAAAAAGAACAAGAACCTTTACCAACAAAAGTCAAGTCTATTAGTTTGATTGCACAACTTGATATTGAAAAAGATGTTATTCAAGCTACTCAAAAAGTCAAAATGGAAGATGGTTACGAAGATTTTGATCCTTCAAAAGCTCAAGCTTTCAATCAATAAAATTATTTTTGTATTTTACATACGTTTATTGTTGAACACAGATCTTTACTACTGTAAAATGAGTCATTAAATTGGGCTGAGACGTGGAAATATATCGATTTTTCAACTCTATGGTTTCGTTTCTCTAATTTTAGAATTATTATTCGAAAATTTTTCGGAAAAACACAACAGCATCATCTTATTTTTACATTTCACAATGAAATACGTTTCACAATGAAATACGAAAAACCAAAAATTTCAAAAAAAAATAGCAAGGAAAACAGCAAAAATACACATATTTCTACAAAATCTATTTATTCATAGAATTACAATTTCTAGATTCATCTACATTCCTCTTGGTGCACCTCCCTTCTTCTTTCTTTTTCCAGTCTTTGTTGTCACAATATTTGCCTGATGTTCAGCCATAATTTGAGCTTGAATAGCTGCAAAATTGGGACGAACGACACCAGTCAATTTTTGCAACATTGTCGCGATCTCCGGCATTCCATAGCGATCATTCGGATTTTCACTCCAACATTTGACCGTAATCAAATTTTGAATTTCCGGGCTGACATTTGGCGGCAATTGCATACGGTATCCCTCACGAACTTGTTGATTTACTTCAGCAACAGTCATTCCAGGATATGGTTCGATGCCATTGTTGTAAATCTCCCAACACATGATTCCTAAAAAAATTTATATTTCATTATCTATTTGTTCTAATCTTACCGTAACTCCAGACATCAGTCTTTTGTGTATAAATCTGTTGTTTGAGAGTTTCAATTGCCAACCAACGAATTGGAACTTTTCTCGATGGATCCATTTGATAAATAGTTCCATGTCGAGTTAGCCCAAAATCGGAAATCTTGACCTTTCCATCACCATACAAACAGTTTCTTGCAGCAATATCCCGATGCAAAACAGGTTTCGAATGAAGATACTCCAAACCCCAAGCAGCTTGAAGTATCATCTCATTTCTTTTTTCTATTGGCATCTCAGGATTCTTGGTAAGATAACTATCAAGTGCACCATTCGATGCCAATTCCATCACCATATATAATGGTTCAGTTCCAGCAGCAACACCAAAAAAGCGGACGACATGTGGATGATTGAATTGACGCATCAAACGAGCTTCCGACATGAATTCCTTGATTTGTTCCTTGGTAACTTTCTCGAGTTTTGCTTGTTTGATGGCAACTTGATAGGTCTTATTCATCTTTTTGTTTCGAAGTTGTCCCATGCTGACTTCTCCAAACGCTCCTTCTCCCAACTTTTTCAAAACAGTGATATTTTCATGATCAAGTTCCCAATATTGTCGAAGAATTGGTTTGGTGATCAAACAATCATCGGCAACTTTGATCGATTCTTTCGATTTCAAATGATGCTCAATCATTTGTTGGATAGTATCAAACGAGTATTTTTCGATCATATATTTTCCACCGGAAAATTTGATGACAAAATGTTTGATTGCTGTCGCCTCATCTAATTGTGCATTGTGCATAACAGAAAGGATGAATGAGCGAGGTTCACCCTTTTTCGGTTCTGACATACGAAGAAGAAATTCGCCATTCTTTACAAGCATTATTTTGACATCTTCTCGTGGTAATAAACCATGATAATACAGCTCTTGCTCAATTGGTCTTTCGGCCACCGAACTCATCCCACTGAAATGGATAAATTGAAGAATGGTTGGATTACTGTAGTCAACTCACATGTTATTTTGCGAAGCACTAGCCATTGTTATCAATTTACAGATATCTAATTCCGATGTTAATACAAGATGTAGACTGATTCAAAACAGCGCCTTTTATGCAGATTCTGGCGAGATCTTGAGAACTGATAAGAAGAGTTCACGTAAAAAAAAATTAAAAATGGAAATTTTTGATCATTTCTAGAAAATGTTTTTTTTTCTAATAAAATCAACGTGCTCTGATTTATAAGTCATTTCGGAAAATAAGGTATTACGTAACAATTTACTTAAAGAAAGGTTTGAATATTGTAAATCTCTGAAGGTAATAGACCTAAGATTGTAGTGAGATGATTACACCGCGAAATTATTATTTTTTGTTGAAATTAAAACAATTTCTAACCTAGTCCCGCAAGTTTTTAAATCACTGTAGATCACGCGCGATTTCACCATCCCTCTCTTTCTCTCTCTCTTTCTCTCTCTCTCTCTCTCTCTTCTCTCTCGTATGGACGCCCATATTTTGAAATAGCGTTTTGAATCAATAAAAAAAACAACCAAAAGTTTCATTAAATTGAAAATATTTTTCAGATTAGTCGTGGATGAAAACATTCGAGATGATTTTGTTGGAAAGGATGAAGCAATACATCAATTTTGAGCGATGAAATGATCGAGGAACGGACGAAATTTTAAAGGTTAGTTCTTTTTTTTGGGTTCGATTGAGTAGTGAAGTTCTAGTCGGAGGGAGTTCTGTAGAGTTCGCAATTTTTTAAACTGATTTGCATTTGGATGAAGGATGCTGGTGAAAGGAAGTATTAGAAAAACTTTGAGTTCGGGATAAATAATATTTCTTTTTTTGAAATATGAATTAGACATGTGCTGTTTCTAAAAGGTTGTTAGAACTTTGAGACAAGAAGGGGGATATATTGGGTGTTTTGTGGATATGGACAAGTATCTTGGTGAAAAAATTATTTAAAAATGAAAAAAAGTTATTTCATCAAAAAGTCGCTTGATGATAGTAACAATAAAGCCGAAATTATGTTTTATATTTTTATTTTTTTTAATCGTTTTTTGAAGTTTGTTTTTGTTATGTGATTTTTTGTGACTTGATTTTTTTCTCAAACGGTGTAAAATACAAATCGATTTTTTTTTACCCGGTGTAAACTGGATGAGGTCATCTCCCAATATAATAGATTGCTAAACGAGGTATGTCCCAGATAGACTTTTCTCATAGAAGAATGAAGACTGGCGGAAGCCGGTCGTTTCATTCTTGTTACATCAGAAAACGTGTTTGATTCTTTCATTTTTTGAACCTTGATCTTTTTTCCTGATCTTCAACATCTCATCCAAAAAATAATGCCATATCAATTTCCATGTTACTATTTTTGTTTCATGCATGCCTTTTTCATTTGTTGTTTTTTTTTCATTTTTCCTTGTTGTTTTTTTTTTCAACATTGAATGGCAACAAAGCCGACTTGTTCAAATATTAGATAAATACCACATATTTTTTCGCCTTTTTTGTCGTCCTTTTGTCTTTTTTTTTTGGTTGTTCCGCCCTTTTCTTGTTTTTATTATTTACTTGCTCGATTGTCCACTCATCCCCTTCTTATTCTCCCGTTTTCGAATCATCAAATTCTTTTTCTCACCCGCCTGTTTATCCAACAACACAATGCTGAAAACTACCATTTTTATTATTTCAACTTTTCTAATAAGTTTTTCGAGAGAAGATAAAACTGATTCGATTGATGTAAGGAATACTGTAGATTTTTATTTTCAGTTTTTAAATTTTTTTCAGAGAATTCTTGAAAACGCTGAAACCAAAACAATATCACAAATAAATGAAGAAATCGATAAACTTGTTGAAAAACTGGATAAAAATGTTCAAAAAGAACATCGTGAATGGAAAATGCGAGTTGAAAAAGAAGAGCGTCAGCGGAAAATGAGAATTTTTGTAAGTCAAATTTCAATCAATTTTTATTTGAAGAAAATTGTTTTCAGAAAGCTCTTCCGAAGCTTTCCACAAAAACACAACAAAAATTGATTCGAATTGTTATGACACAACAAAATACACAATTAACAGTTGGTGAGAAAAATCGAATTTTAACACATATTGCAAATTCGATGGATGAGAATACTAAAAGAGAACTTTTGAGAAATTTGAACGATCGAGATTTATATTCTCTTATTTTTTAACAAACTTTAAATACCCTTATTTACTTAATTTATTGCCAACATCTTGTTGGCTCATAAATATATTTCTATTTTATTTATCCAAATATTTTCACACTTGAAAATCTCATTCAATTGTTTGCTTCCGAAAATGGTAGTCATATCCGCAAAAAGATTTATTGTTAGAAAAGGAAAACGTATTCATCTCGCTTTTTTCATTCTGATTAACAAGGCGAAAAATCCAAAAATATAGCAAGCCAAGCTGAAAATAATCAATCCAGCAAAATCCATCGGAAGAGCGCTTGCAGTGAATGAATAGTATCCCAAAACATAGTCTCGCCGCTGAAAGATGATAATTATTTTGGATAGAAAATAGTAGATTTCAAACCTGATCAGTCCAATTTTCTTTTATCTCCGAATGAAAATCATCAATTTGGGACCATTGATTTACTACAAAACCTTCAAACGAGTATCTGAAAATTTATATATCTTTTAGAAAGAAAGAAGATCGAAAGCTTGTAGGGTTTTTCCCCTATTCAAAATTTTTGAGCCTCAAAATCCCTAATTTTGCAAAGCTCCCCATCACATTACCTAAACGGACTCAAATATTGCATCCATCGAATAAAACTTGGAAAAGTTGAAAGTTTCCCATAAAACCCGCTGAAAGCTCGAAATAAAACAAGAATTGGACAAGTCATAATAGCAGTCATTGCAGCAGTTGGAAATATACATGACATTCCAATACCAAGTGCAGATGCAGCTTGACTTGTAAGAAGTGTTATAAGAGTAGCTACACTAACTTGTATAATTGATGTATTGAATCCAATCGCCCAATACATTATGTATAAAAATATAATACCATCAGTTGAAAATAATGGAACCAATGATAAAGATCGAGCAATATAATAAGTGTATAAACCATATAAACCATCATGAATTTCTCGAGCAATTAGGGGGAATTCATTATTCATAAACATCATAATAGCAAAACATGTTGAGAAAAACAACTCCGTAGATAGAAAAAATAATGCACCATTAATATTTGAGATCCCCTTTACATCATATTCTGTTTGAAAATATAACGCTGCTAAAAATACTCCAAAAATAACTTTTTGTACTAATTTTGCTGCCGTCAATTGTGGACATCTCCATACATCAAGTGCACATCTTTTCAAAAGTGCTTGAAATTGTACCAAAGAATTAGCTGTATACATAAAAGGTGGTTGAGTTTGATCAGTGATTTCTTCAAGATCATACAGTAATCTCTCATTATAATCGCTTCTTTCGAATTTCGCAATTATTTTATCAATTCTCTCATGTGATTCATATTCTTGTCCTGGTAAAACAGCTAACTTATAAATAATCCATTCACTAGGATTGTATTGTTCAGGAATTCGATGACCACATTTTTCGAAAAAACTAATTGATTCATTTGGTGTTCCTTGAAAAGCAATTTGTCCATTTGCAAGATAAATAACACGATCAAATAATTGATAGATCTGCGAAGATGGCTGATGAATTGTACAAATTATTGTTCTTAAAAAAGAGGAGGTTTTTATTATTTTGAAAAGTATATCATTACCTTCCAGTTTTCGCGATTCCTCTCAAGATTTGAATAACATTTTCAGCCATAAACGAATCTAGCCCAGTTGTTGGTTCATCGGCAAATAAAAGTGATGGATTCGATAATAATTCCGAGGCAAAAGTTAACCTTCTCGCTTCACCTCCTGATATTCCTTTATCATGTCCAATTGATCCAATTTTTGAGTCACGACATTTCAAAAGCTTCAATTGTTTCATAACTTCTTCAACTTTCTGTTTCCTCAACCCTTTTCCTCCTTTAATTCGAAGTTTTGCCTGAATCATAAGATGTTCTTGAACAGTCAAAGTCGGAATAAACAATTCTTCTTGTTGTGCAAATCCAGATATATTCGATATAACTGATCCCATTTCCAAACCATTCACTAGAATTGTTCCTTGTGTGGTTAATCCTTTCAAATTTCGATGCATCAATAAATTTAGAAGTGTTGTTTTTCCTGCTCCACTCGCTCCCATTAAAGCTAAAAGTTCACCCGGTTTTGCTATTCCGTTTACATTTTTCAATAATTCACGATTTTGTTTTGTCGATGTCGCACTGAAATTATCGAATTGTTAAGCTCCAATAAACCACAAAATAATCGGGGAAAAAGAAAATCTCAAATGTATTTCTTCCTTGAAATTTAACCCACCAAAGATCGATAAATTGCACTGTTACCGGAATTATATCAGACTGATTTTTATAATCATACGATTGAGTTTCATTTGGAAAATTATCACTTCTGTTATTATTATCATTTGATGACATTTTTTTGTTTTTAGAAAAATCAGAAATAACCGTCAGACACTTGTTTTTTATTCATCCAAAAATGTCACGTTTCATTTCAAATATCATATTTCAAAAAACCCTCGCAAACACTTGACACCAAAATATGAAACATTTTACAGTTCATCAAGTTTATTTATTTCACAGAAAAACAAATTAAGTGAGCAACAATGATATTATTATTATTTCTTTTTTTCTACACAAAAATATCTAACAATATGAAAACATTCAAATCAAAAATCAAATAACCCGTGAATCAATTGCAAATAAATCAAAAATGAATCACAATGTTGTTGTTGACCACGAGTTACACTGAAAAAATTAAAATAAGTTGATTCTTTAGAGATGATAAGGGATAACAAAATTGGAAAAAAAAAGGAAAAACCCGCTACTTAACATGCACTACGAAAAAAGCAAGAAGTGGGAGAAGTAGAAGAATTCAAACAAAAAGCACTTGTGCTGGTGAATCGTTGCTCTCTTCTTCTTCCGATTTGATTGACATTCGAATTCGAGCTTCAGCATTTCGACGAGATAATCGGCGAAGTGTGTGATATGTTCGATAAACTAGAGCAGGTTCATGAGGAGCCGGATCAAAATAACAAAATGCAACTGGAAAAAATATATTTGAATTCGAAGTTTTTGGAAAGTGGGGTTGCTGTAGGTTTACATTTTAGAAACATCTACCGTGAAGTTCTACAAAATTGTTTACTAGTAGAGAAAAATCAAATATGAAGTGAAATTCCAAGTTTTTTTGAATTTTAGATTTAATGAAACGTTTTGTATACTTTTTTGAAAATTACATTGTTTGCCATGTTGGATTCACGTTAAAAATAACTAAGTTCTGCCAAAAAACCTAACATATGATTTCCAAATAAATTTTTTACTTTTTCATGCTTTACAAATTTCGAATCCAAATTCATTTCAAAAATTCTAAAGTGCAATATTCGACAGCCAAAAATTACTCACTTATAACCACAATAACATTCAAAATAAATGCGGCAAAAACGAAAAACAGCGCTGAATCAATTGTTGTTGAAGCTTGCAAAAAGCTTCCGGTATTCGAAGCATCAGCAGTCATTTTACTTTTTTTTTCTAAAAAACTGAAATTTTTTGTAGAAAAAAAGCACATAAAAATAGAGTATCCATGGAGGCGTATTATTTCTCTTTTTTAGGACACAATGACTAAAAAGGGCATAGAAAGAAAAATGAAAAAAAATTGAGGAAGTGGCTGAACTTTAGCCAAAAATTATATGACTTGTAATAAATTTGATCTTATGATTAACAAAAAGAATAAAAATATATGAAAATTAATACTCAGGATGAAAAAAAATAAATAGAAGGAAGAAAAGTCGGAAAAATACTCAAATTTCAGCAAAAAGACTAAAGTTTTTAGATAAAATATTAATAGACCTTTGCATTCTTTTTATTTGAAAACATGGATCAAACAAAACACATGTTTTTTTGAAATTTAATTGAGCTGAGCTATTAGCTAATTTTTTCGGGGAGGGGCAAAAAAAACATAGTGAATGAAAAAATGAAGTGACACATTTTTGATTGAAAAAAAAAAGAAAACTGGGAAAAAAACAAAATTCTAATTAGAAAGAAAAAACGGGAGAATCGAGTAAATGTTCGTTTTTTTTCTTATTTTCGTAGATGAAATACTTAAATGGAAAATTGTTATGAATGAGCAAAAAATTACGTTTATAGACGAATGAACATGATTTTTGAGATGATTTCTTTGGGGGATTAATGAGCATCACTCGTTTTTTTTCTTCCAACACCTGTCTTTTGGAAGGAATAATAGAAAATAGTATTGAATTATTCATATCACTCACTTTTACTTATACCTCTGACTGAAAACACTTTAAAAATTCCCAAAAAGACTACAAATGACATATGATATGTATTTTCTCATGAAAGACCACAAATCGTTGATTATTTTCAGAACATTTTTGTGTGGAAAAATTGGTGAAGCCAAAAGGGGAACTTTAGTGAACTATAAGAGAGCTTTAGAATTTCAAGGATTTTTGTTCGAAAACTCGTAGTAAAAAGAAAGCAATCGTAATTAATTCAACTTTTCAATGTCTGCAGACTAAATTTCAAATATCGATTTTTCAAGATTTTTTTGAAAAAAACAATTCCAAGAAGAAACCAATAACTCATTTTTTAAATTATTTTATTTTCAAGAAAGTTTTTAAAAGAAGAATGAAAAAATTTCAGTGAAAACTTTGAGAATAAAAATCAAAAGAAGAGCAATTTTGCTCCAACCTACAATTTATTTTTCACAAAAAATTACAGCCTCAAGATTTTCAGACATTTTTCGAGAAGCTTAAAACCTTGCGTGACCTCTCTAAAAATCTTCATTTTCATTTCCATATTTTTCTCCTTTCCTTTCTAAAAATCTAGGCCTGGTTTTTTTCTTATGTTTTAAAATGTTTTTCTGAGCTCGTTTTCTTTCTTTCAAGAAAACAATTATGTAAAGAAAAGGAAAATTTCCGCTTTTTTCCGGAGTAAAATAAATCACATTGTTTCTTGAACTTTTACTAAAAAATCATGACGAGAATATTTCTTTGTCTCATAAAAAAAGAAGGAAAAACTAAATTATAGACTAGAAAAATACGAAATGAAATGAAACTTTAAAGATCACATTATTTATCGTTTCAAATATCCCGTGTCCTTTTTTCGTCTTTGAAAAATGAGAACAAATTAGGGACATGAATAAGAAATTTTAGTATTCATTCATGAATAAGAAAATATTTTTTTTTGTCGAAAAAAACGGAAAAAATAAAATATGAGACACCGACACCTGACAAAATCTGACAACTTGTCCATCAAAAAAATGAAACTTTTAGATTTATACAATTTTCAAAAAAACGAAAAAAAATACGACAATGAATACACAATTTGGGCGAGCGGATAATTTGAATTGCATTGGGCAAAGAGGCGGAGTCGGGTTTCGGCGAAAAATACTTTTTCTTTGTTTTTTTGTGAAAAAACTATCCAAGTTTCAAAAAAAGCAAACAGAGCAAGGAAAAAAGAATAAAGAAAAGAAAGATTGATAATTTAATTAGAGACTTGTGATTTTTGTTCCCTTCAAAATGACAAAAAAATAAGGAATTGCAAAAATGTATGTGTGTCTAGAAATTATTTATGAACTGGAAAAGAGCAAAATAATTATCTACGAGTTGATTGATAAATGTGTGGTTTCCGCCGAAATACATTTTTCGTGCAAGAGACAACTTATTTTTTAGAAGTTGGAGAAGCATTATTTTCTGAGTTCGACATGTTTTGAAAAATATTTTTTCTTCATTGTAAAAGATCACTTTATGAATTCAAGAATCTGGTGTTCGTAGATTAATGAATTCAGTTCGTATGAAAATTATAAACTGCCAGATTTTTTTTTGAAAATAACAAATGTTCAAAAAACAAGATGTTCAGGTTGAGAAAGGATACCTGATTTTTCAACAAGATTTGGTTTATGTTTCCCAGACCATGACTTGAATATGACAATTTTATGATGAAAATTTCATGTCAGCAAAATAATTCAAAGAAAAAACAGGAAACTGCCAGATTTTTTTCGAATGACGATTTCAGACCAAAATTTCTAAAAAAAAAATAAGGAGACCAGATTTTACACCAATCATTTCATATTGAATTCTACAAATCAGTTCAAAAACATCATTCAAAAATGAAAATAACAAAAAATCTGAAAATCTAAATATCAAAATCAATATTATTTACGTGACCCAATTTTTTTCCTGCTCCACTTTCAATCTTCTCCAAAAATCAGTTCTTTTTTTAATAACACCGTGTTTCTATCTATTTTGTGCATAATTCATAGTTATCATCATTCACTAAAACTACTTCCTATTCGAAAAAATAAAAATATTTTGAAATGAGTTCAAAAATTTCCAAAGAACCTTGGTTTCATGGATTGTTGCCAAGAGAAGATGTTATGACAATGTTGAAAATGAAAGGCGATTTTTTGGTTCGAACTTCAGAACCTGGAGCTGGAACATCAAGACATATCATTATTTCAGTTCTACAAAATCAGAATGATACCGACGGGGTAAGTGAACATTGTAGATTGTTTTTTGTTGAAAAACTGTTTCAGATGCGGCACTATGTAATTCGTGAAGATGACAATAAATATTCAGTCGCTGGAAATAAAGCTTTCAAATCAGTTGCTGAACTTCTCGAACATTATAAAACCAATCAAATAAATGATCAAGATAGTCAAAGTATTCTGGTAAATCCAATTTATCGCCAATTTTGGGAACTTTCTCATGATGATATAACATTGACAAAAAAGCTGGGAGAAGGTGCATTTGGAGAGGTCAAAAAGGGAACATTGAAAATAAATGGTGGAGCAAGTGAAGTTGAAGTTGCTGTAAAAGTTGCGAAACTGGAAAGTTGTACAAAAGAACAAATAAAAGAAATAATGTCAGAAGCAAGATTGATGCGAAACTTTGACCATAAAAATGTTGTAAAATGTTATGGAACAGCGGCTGGACAAGAACCATTATTAGTTGTTATGGAATTAGTTCCTGGAGGTGGATTAGATTCATATTTGACAAAAAATCAAGTTGGAATTGATGAAAAATTGGATATTATGTGGCAAGTTGCACAAGGATTGGAATATCTTCATAAACAAGAAGTTATTCATAGAGATATTGCTGCGAGAAATTGTTTGATTGGAAATACAATTGTTAAAGTATCAGATTTTGGATTATCAAGACGTGGAACTTCATATCAAATGAATCCAAAGAATAAAGTTCCGATAAGATGGTTGGCACCAGAAACCTTAGTATCATTTTTGTATACAATGGCTTCCGATGTTTTTGCATTTGGTATTCTTTGTTGGGAAGTTTTGGAAAATGGGCAACAACCTTATCCTGGTTTAACTGTTCAAGAAGTTCATTCAAAAGTTACGAAAGAAGAATATAGAATGACTTTCGGATCAGAAACACCTTTTGGAATATCATGTGTGATTGTGAGTTAAATTGAAGATCAATCAAAGATCAAGGGAATTTTTTTTCGAAAAGAGCTTTCTCATCATTTTCTTTCAGAAAAGATGCTGGCTCACAAATCCAGCAAAACGTCCAACATCTGCAAAAGTTGTAAAAGTCCTTGAGAAGATAAAAAACAAATCGAACAAGAACTCATTTTCCGAAGACAAAACATTTAATGATGATCCACCATTCAGAAAGAAGAAATCAAAAGTCTCACCATTTTTGCGAGCATCGAGAGGTTTGAGCTCGGAAACTGGTGATGATAAATTGCCAAATAGCAAACCGAGAAGAGTTTCATCTTGTGAGGATATGCTTGGAGCTGTTAGAAAAGGGAAAGCTGATAAGAAGACAAGTAATGAGAAAAAGAAAAAGAATAGAAGAGAAATGCTTCATTGAGAGAATAAAAATATTTATTTATTTGGAACTTTTATATAAATTGAGATCAAACGTTTAGAAACAAATTGAAAAAAAGTTACAAATCTTGATAAGTTGGCCGAGATGCATCATAGGCTGGTTCAACAAAAATTGACTGACGATCCAAATCTGCTGATGCTTGAACTTCTCGATAAATTACTGTAGAAGGAATTGCATATAATATTGTTTGAAGAATGAAAAACAACTAAAAAAATGATGTTGAAGTTTTTTAAAGATAACATTTAGAAAAAAATACTTACGCCAGCCGCAATATATCCAGCAGAAGTTCCAAAAAGTGTGCGATTTGCAAATGAAAAAGAGAGCCAAACACAGATGACTGATAAAATTGAGAGAATAAATGAGTATACAAGTTCGACAATATTCCAACTAACACTTCCATTTGTTAAACTGTCTAGAATTTCATCTTGTTTTTTTAAAGCAAAAATAATTGTAGCAGTGGCAGAAATCTGAAATATTCAATATGGAAAGTTTAAAGAAAAAGTACAGTAAGAAGAACTTACAAACAATGAAACTATAATTGTGAACCATAAAATTCCATTATCGCCCATTCCAGTTGAACCAACACAAATTGCCAAAACAATTGCAGTCAGAGCTTGAAGTGGTTTAAAAAAGTGTGGCATTTTTAGAAAAATATTGTCATCATTGTCGAAAAAGTTTGAAAAACTTTGCATTATTATCGATTAGACAAGTCAAAAACTATATACCAAAAAAATGAATGAAGTGCTAGTATTATCAATAAAGTGACCAAAACCAATTGATTATCTTATCAAAGTATTCAAAGTTATGAGAATAAAAACAACACAAGAGCTCTTTGATACATTATTGTGTCTTGTGTTCGAAATATTGGAAATGAACAAAAAATAATTGGCGTGTAGTCATATTTTTAAATATTTCATTTCTTTGAAAAAATCATCGATAGAATAAATAGGAGATCAAAAATAGGAAAACATTTGAATATAGTCAAAGGAATTGAGCACAGTGAAATATTCAAACGCTCCCCAAAAATCAAAATATTATTCAATTACAAATCTTGATAAGTGTTTGATCTGAATGGATGTGCTGGCTCAACAACAATGTGTTCACGTTCCAAATCTTGTGCTGCTTGAACTTCTCGATAGATTACTGTAGTTGGAATACCATAGAAAATACTCTGAGCAATGAAAAACAACTAAAAAAAATTAAGTTTTCAAAAATCTGTAGAACATTTTTCTAAACTTACGCCAGCCGCAATATATCCAGCAGAAGTTCCAAGAAGTGATCGATTCGCCAATGAAAATGAGAGCCAAACACAAATAACTGATAAAACAGAAAGAATAAATGAGTAAGCGAGTTCAACAAGATTCCAAGTAACACTTCCATTTGAGAGATTTTCGATTAATTCATCTTGAATTTTCAAGGCAAAGATGATTGTGGCAGCAACGGAAATCTGATTTCAGGAAATGTACATATGAGGAAGAAATGAGAGAAAATCTTACCAGTAGGGAAATAATAATTGTGAACCAAAGAATTCCATTACTACCGCTTCCAGTTGAACCAATACAAATCGCCAAAACAATTGCGGTCAGCTAAAAATTTTTTTTTGGAAAAATTCAATATACATTTAGTATATAAAGCCCAAAAAAACTAACCGCTTGAAGTGGTTTGAAAAAATGTGGCATTTTGAGAAAAACATTGTCGTCATTCTCGAAAAGATTTCCCAAAGAAGTTTGCATTTTTATCGATTAGACAATAAAAAGTGAATAAATGCTCTTTCAAAAAAATTGTTATCAATAAAAGTGAATGACTCTTATCAAGAAACAAACAAAGTTATTCGAAAAAATAACTTGATTTTGTTGAAAATAATTAATTTTTATTCAAAGGATAGTCGAGTTCGAGGTGTTCTAGCAATTCGATCCTCCAGTGGATTATTTTCAGCCAGCTCGTTTTTCTAAAAAAAAAGAAACAATTAAGTGAAAGTGCAAACAAAATGATAATAATTACCTTGACAACTTGTGTTTCACTAAAAACATGTAAATGTATAATTTTCTTGGTTCTTTTTTCATTACAAACACTTTTTGATCTTTTATGTTGATCATATTGTCGAAGAATATGTCGATATTGTTGAGAATGCATTGAAATATAAGCACAAGGTTCACAAATATCTCGATTTCTCAAATCCGACCAAAAATTCTTGTAGCCTTTATCCAACAAATAAATCTCAGGAAAATCGATATTTGATAATTTGTGATTGTGTTGTTTAATATCCATTGTTCTCAATTTTTTAGCCATTGTTGGTCCTCGCATTTGACTGAACTCACAATAAAAAATTGGAAATAATCCCTGAAGTGTGCTTCGAATTCCACCAGTATCATAAAAATATTTTTGTAAATCTTCGAATGTATAAATATTAATAGCACCTTTGATATGGCCTCCAAAATATTCAAATGGATATCTACAATCAACTATTATAATTTTTCGAAACCATGAAATATTTCGAATCAGCGAAGATAATGTGGCAGCTGATATACTTTCAAACGTGGAAGATTGTTTTTGTGGTTTTTCAACAATTGGAATACTGTAGTTTATAACTGGTGTTTTTACAATTGGTGTTTCATGGTTATTATTTTGATATAAATAATAATCATCTTCTGGTGGAAATGATAAATATCTTCGACGATTTTGATATTCATATTGAATAATATTATTTGATCCTTTTGTATCCTTTATTTTGTTGTTAAATTGCTCATTCGTCATTTTTAATGATTCAAAATTGTAGAAAATGATATTCTTTTCCCTTTTTCTAATTTGAGATCGAATTGTATGATAATAAGGGGTCACGCGAAAATTAATTTTTTTACAAAAACTTCATTACTACAAAAAAAACTGTTCTGTTGCTTGCTTTAAATAAATAGAATAATAATTGAGTTAGGTAAATTCAGTTTTTTCGGCTGAAGTTCTAACTGAACGAGTTGGGGTGGAAGATTGGGTTCCGGATTCACTTTCACTGCTTGAACCGCTCATCAAATTCTGAAAATAAGTTTCATTGAATTTCGAAAAAACAAAAACAAATTGTGACTTACAGAAATTGAAACTCCACATTTATTTGCTGATTGTTGGAGTGAAGTCAATAAATTGAACGAACTATTTTGAGCATATTCTTTTGCTGTATTAATTCCTTCATCAACCATTCCAATAAGACTAATTGAAGGACATGAAAATGTATCAGATTTTGATGTTTGAGAAGAAAATGTTGGATGAACTTTTGAATCTGAAATTGTTTTGATGAGTTTTTTTCACAACAATTAACAGAATACCTTCGAATTTCTTCTCATTTTCTAATTTTGTCGAACTTCTTGGTGGTTTCAAATCAACAATTGAATCAACAGATAAAGCTGTTTTGATTAATCCGTAATCATTTTCGAATTGAGAATCAGATGAACCCAAAGACGATGATATTATTTCATAAGAAGATAATGACATTGGTTCATTTACTGAGTGAATTGATGTTTTTCCACTTGAACTCCAATTTGAAATTGAAGAAGCAGTAGTCCATGGTCTAAAAATTAACAATTTTTTCAAATTTAAGTTTTCGATTACATCTGAACTCACTCAAATTCATAACAATCAACGGCTTTTTTAATTCTAGAACTTTGCAATTCTTGTTCCAAATCCGATAGATTTGAATCACTTGTCAAATAAAAACTTGAACTATCAAATGCATCTTTGATATTTTTCCAGTTTCCATTTTTAATTGATCCATTTGTTTTTGAAGCATCGCTCATATTATTCCATTCTGACATAATAATCAATAATTCTCGAAAAACCATTTCATATTTCATTTTTCCTTCATTTTCATCCATTTTCTTTTCAATTCTTTTTCTTTCTTCCAAATTTAATGGTAATTTTTGAATAAATTCATTCAATTTATTAATAACTTGATAAATTCGATCATTTTCATGTTCGAAAATTGTCAAGTTTGAATGAATATTTGAACCAATTGCAATATCAACAAGATGTTTTAATTGTTGAATTCGATTCAAATTTGATTCAATTAATAATGTTGTATTTGATGTTTCAATTAAATGTTTCGAAGTTGTTTCAATAAAATTTGAAATTCGATTCTTGTTATCAATAATATCGATTGATTCATAACAAATATCCAAAAATGTTTCCAATTTTTCATTGAATTCTTCATTAAATTCATCATTTTTATTTTCGAGTTCATCTAATTCTTCTTCAATTTTATTTCTTTTATTATTATTTTCTGTTGTTATCAAATCATAATTTTTTGCCAATTTTTGAAGTGAATTATTCAAATTTTGACGAGTAGTTTTCAAAATATCTTTGATATTATCCATTTTATCATTTTGATTATTCAAAATTCGACGAATTTCTGATATTTCATAACTTGGAACCTGAAAAAAACACACTAGAAATATTTGTGATAATACAAAAATTAGTTAATTACCTTTTTCATAGTTTTCATAATTGGAATTGTAAGTGTTTGACTACTAATTGTTCCATTTGTAGTTGTTTCATTTTCATGAACAGTCGCAACTTGTTTCCAATGTGAACCCAATGTGAATGTTGTTCCAGTAGTCATATTTGAAGAAGAAATCGAAGAAGTTGAATAAAAATCAGTTGATGGTGAAACTGAATGACTTCTTGGATAATATTTGATATTTTCTAAATCTTTTGAAGGGCTCGAATAATCTTGATAACATTTATTGATGTCAGAATCGATTTCATTTTTTCTAAAACAAAGGTTTTCAATGAAAAGAAAGCCGAAAAAACATACCCAGATTGTATTTTTGAATCTTTTCCAGATCTCATTCTTGGTTCATATTCAAATTTTGTCGACATTTCCGACTTGTTTATTCAACAAAAAATGAGCCGATTCTCGTTGGTTTACACGTTTCAAATTTTCACGCAAAAATATTTATTTTCGAGAACACGCTTTTTTTTTTTAAAATATTTTTGATTGAACATTTCCAAAAAATTTCAAAAGGTTCCAAAAAATATTTCTTATGCTTTTCAAAGCACAAAAATTTCGAAACCATTTCTCCGGAAATATATAATTTAATTAACATCACAGATCAAAATGCTCAATATTCTCGAGTTTATCACATGAATTGACCAGAAAAACAAAATGATATAATATTGTTTTTTGGCGAACCCTTTATCATCATCTTCATAAAACTGTAATCAATCGGAAATCAAAAATGATCTACGCAAGAAAAATCATTTTTCAAAGTCTCGATCTCTGTTTTTTCTTTTTTTTTCCTTCTTTATATTTTTCTATCAAAAAACAACCTACAAAGTAGCCTCTAGTTCATTTTCCAAAGTTTCATTTTTTCAGTAGTATATTTTCAAGACTTATCAATTTCCATATTTTCACGTGATCAAACAAATGTCACAATCTTCTTCAATTTTCACATGCTTGATTGTTCTTTGAAGTGACTTTGAAACATTTTCGAAACAAAAAAATAATCAAATGAATTGGTTTGTACCCGTGGAAAATTGATGTCGATGAAAAATGAGACAATGGGTTTGGTTGACTAACTACGGTTTGATGTTTGAAATTTTTTGGAAACAAAAGAGATACACGTGTTTTTCAGTTTGTTGATTAAAAGTAGAAAAAAGGGTTTTAAAATTATTTTCGAGAAAAATTGAAAATAAATTGTTTGATTGACATATCCGAAATGACATGTATTCTTCAAAATAACATGTGACCAGGAAAAAACAGAGGGCTCTGGAAAAAATTAACTTGATACAATATTTAGAAGTAGAATTTTTTTTATAAAAACAAATCTTTACAATGGTGAAGCTGTAACGTTTTTCGGAATCTACCCTTTATTTTCTAAACAAATTTCATCAGATCTTCGAAAAATGTCTCAATACAGTCAAAGTTTCGATCATTCTCTGTGTCCAATCAAATATATTAAACTGTTCAAAGTGCATTGTTCCATTGATCTCTCTTTCTTTCTTTCTTTTTTACTACCTCCATGCACCCAAAGACTTCATCTTTTTTTTGTTTCCACATTGATCAGTGATATTTCTTCTTTTTTTCTTCGCTTATGCGTAGCTTACGTCAGATTGCAAAAAGTGAAGAAGAAAAAGAAAAAGAAGAATATGAAACATGATTCTTTGTTGGCATTTGAAATACACGTGAACGAGGATAATACACATTAAATATATTGCATGTCTGAAAAATTGTGTCCAATCGAACAGTTGTTATTAAAAGACCAAAAACAATATGAGTGGGTACACATGAAAATATCATGATTATTTTATTTAAACAATGTTCATGTGGGCCTGGCTTAATTAGAATAAATATTAGAAAAGAAATGAAAAGAAAACACAAATCAGTGACGTATTTCAGTTGTAAACTCGAAATTTATTGTATTAGTCATAGTGAATCAAGAAACTACATTTTGGTGAAAGCTTGAATGTAGCTTGTGGAATTTCCAATGTTTTTTTTAAATGAAATATTGAATTTTTAGGAAAACGGTTAAGAATAATGGGTTACTGTAATAAAGCTAACAAGGCCATCGAACAAATTATACCAGACTTGGATGAAATTTATCTATAAAATTCAGATCTTATATTCAAAATTTAAAAAAAAAGGTTTCAGAAATTAAAAAAAAATTCTCCGATTGATAAAACTCAGAAAAATTTAGATCCGATTCTTCTCACATTTTTGAAAACTTTTACCTGGCAAATTAACTTCAAAAAAAACTTTTTTGTAATTTTCTACCCCAAAATCTATCCTAAACATCTTGTTCTAAACCCTTGGCCATCCAAAAGAAAAGATAAGAAAAGTGTAAGGAATTTGGACGGACATTGTTGATTTATGAGATCTCATTCGAGTTGAGCACAACAATTTTTTTTTTCATAATTGGGGTCAATTCGTTTTTAGGAATTCTTAAAATGTTCCACCTTGAAAAATTCCTAGTTGTAAAAATTCCAAATTTTTTGACAAAAAAATCCAGCTGTTTTTTTTATCAGCTACCTTTACACTATAGAAGTTCTTTCCAAAAAATAACTAGACGAAAGAAAAATGAAGGTGCACTTTAATAATTGATTGACAGTTTTTATTTTGCACTTTTTAGCAAAGCCTCTGCTGACTCAATTGATATCAAATTCAAATTTTGAAAAAAAAATGAGTCAGCCATTGAAAAATAGTCGCACATAACTTTAATTCACGTGAATAAATTTAGTATGAACAAAAAAGTAAACATGGACCTTGGACTAGTTCTCAAAACAACACACAAAAAACTAATATTTTATTAGTTGTTTTGCAGGTTTTTTTGCAAGCTGATTTTTATTCAAAAAATTAGATGATCATTTGGCTGATCAAAAAATCCCCAATATTTTTTTCTGATATGTTATCTCAAACTGTTTTTGAACCAAAAACTGCTTACTAAACAACAGTTGTTGTTAACTGGATTTTTCTCTTATCGCAAAGATCGAAAATTATTTGGGTTCTGACATGAAGAAAACTGAAGAATGTGTCAATAAAAGTTTGCTCGTTTTTTGAAACGAAATTAAAAAATAGTAAACATTGATAAAGCTATAATGAGTTCTTTTTGCAAATTTGGAATTATAAGTGCAGATGTTAGAACTTTGAAAAATTTAGGATTTTTGAAAGGCCAAGCTGGCTGAATTGATATTAGGAATAACATAACCTGAACTGAAAATAAAATATTAATATGGAGTTTTTAATATTCCAATTTTTCAGATCCGAAGCGAATAATTCAGTAAATCCTTCATGCTTTTTTTCAAAAAAAAAAAAAACAAATTCGATTAAACTTTTGATCTATTTCAATTGCGGTACAAAGTACGTATTCATGTTAATTTGCAACACAAAAACAACAAAAAATGAAACACTTTGAACCGTTTCTTTCTTTCTTTTTTTTCATCCTTTTCCTACTCCAAATAATAATTTTTAGGTGCAAAGAACACACAGTGTCATTCACGTGTTTCCCCATCTCTTTTCCTTCTTTTTTTCGCCAACCCCTTTTCTAGTCTCCGCCTCTTATTCTCCCTTCCCCCTTTTTTCCCCAACCAACGCCAGTCATTGATATTTTGTGTTCTCTGACAAATACATCGATTAAATAAATATATATTTTGAATTTTTCCTACCAATCGAAACAAAACTATAATGTCGACCAACGATTTACCACCACTCTTTTTTGAAGTTGAAGCTTCATCATCAAAGGTAAATATTTTTTGAATTATTTTTTTTCATTTTCCAAATTCATAAATTTTCAGCAAACAAATCAAGTTCGTCAAGTAATTGCACATGCTTTAATTGAAAAACTTCAACATTGGTGTATGCAGATTTTCTGGATGACAGTTTTCTGTGTTATGAATTGTGTTGGAGATGATGAAGAAGATTTGATGAAATCCAAAAAATCCAAAAAATCTTCCGAACAGAAGAGGAAAACAAGTTTGACCGATATTGAGCAGAAGGTATTTTTTTGCCCTTTCAAAATGTTTTCTTGCTTTCATAGACAAGAAAAATATTTTTTTTGTTCTTTATCAAAATCGAACCATATATTAATATATTTTTTGTTATAGATGCTCCGTCATTTGACATCTCCATATTTATCATCTCCACTTCGACCAGTTCACCGTCAATCGAAAAGAAGACCAGTTCTTTCTCGACCACCGAGTCCTCAACTTTTCGATATTGCTGAAGAAGAGTAACTCGCCTTCCATTCCATCTCCATTTCCGATTTTTCATATGTATCTCTAGTCTTTCTCTTTGATGACGTGTGCAAACTTTTTACTGGTATTTTCCCCAATTATAGGCGAATATTGTATATTTACGGGATATGTGATTTATATACAAAAAAACAAATACAAACTGTGAAAAAAATGAATATTTTCTCTTAAAAACTTTGTTGTTGAATTTCATCATAATGATAGATAATACTTATTTGAACTTATCAATAGATCGGAATCGGGGGAAGTCGTTTGTCACGAACGAATGAAAAACATGTATTTCGGGGGAAAACCGTTTGGACTTTGTCCTGATATTGTAACATGCTGCTTCATATTCTGATCTCTATTCGTTGAAACAAAAAAATAATTATCATTATCGATGATCACAAATCGGTCAAGTTGTTTACCATAATATTCTTCACATGAAAATATTCGCCGAAAAAAGTGACACCTTGCACCCAAATCCCACAAGAGATCTATTTCAAAAAACCGACCATATGTGTTGACTATAATTATAAAGGTCAAATGGTGTCAGTTTTTGGGAATTTACAGATCTTTATTATATTCATTAGGATACTTGGTTTTGCAAAAAAAGTGTACTCAAAAGTTGTTTTTTGACATAAAGAAGACCATTTAATTTCAAATAAAAACTAGACGTTTTGAACACAACAGTAAACAAAAATAAGCAAACGCAAACGTGTTCTCAAATCGATGAACCGTGCAAGTATCTTTGTCTTAAAATGTGTTTTGGAAAATAAAAAAAATTGGCTTTTAATTCAAAAATGATTGAAACCCTGGGAATCATACACAAATTTATGTTAGGAAAACTCACAACGAGATCTTTTTCTCTCAATGGACAAGTTCTGATACCTCAAAATTTCGAAATCTGGATTTCTACAGTAATTTCCAGAAAAACTATTTTTACAAAGATCACTTTGAGCCTATGGAATCTGCTTTCACATTTTTTAATTTTGTAAGAATTCAGATTTTTGAAAGTTCTGAAAATGCTCTGCAACTTTTGCAGTTCTATATTTCCCAAGTTCAATATTTAGTCTATCTTCACACACAAAAAACGTGGCAACGTGTGTTGTTTGTTGATTTCCAATCGCTCTATTTTCTTCTTCTTCTTCTTTTTCTTTTTTTCTTTCCATTTTTCGTTGATAACACACCAATCCATCTTGTACACATAACTGGGGTTCCCCCTTCTTATTTTTCCCTTTGCAAACAATAAATGTCATGGGTGTTCTTTGGTGAAATCTGATGCAATGTCATTTCCAACGCTGACAATCTTCATTGGGTACTTTGCGGTTCACTTATCAATTTTTCTCGTTTCTCAAGCAGAAAAAAGGTTTCGCAATTTTCTAGATTTTTCTCTTTTTTCAAATGACATCGAAAGTAAAATTGAGTAAATAACTATTTTAAGAAAGGAAAGAAAGTACGTACTTCAAAGATTTTTATCTGGAAAAAAACAAAAACAAGAACAGTTTTGTGTTTTTTGGAAGATAATAAATACAAATGTAATCAAACACCATGGTTACTGTATTATTTTTCAAAAAAGGGAGATCAATGCCAAATTTTATGAAAACTGGTAATTGTTGTGATATAGAAAGATAATGATAATATAGTAAACAAATATTATAATTGGATCAAATCAGAATCAATACTGAAACACATTATTAACAACATACTTTTCACAGTGAAAGCAATTTGGTGACAAACTCTGAAAATCTATTGAATTCTTACGAGGGTCAGTGCAATGATATCTTCCAAATGAAATTTTTCACTCAAGACAAGATTTTTTGGAAAGTTGCAACAGTCTGAAATAGCCTAGCTTAACTTTGAATAATTTTGATATTTATCTTGCTAACTTCTCTATGTCAAAGAATAATTTCAAGATTTGATTAAATTAATTTTATTTCAATGTTTTTTTTAAGATATTCATAATGAGTTTATGATTTCTTGTCAATTTTTTCTTCAACGAAGACATTCTTTTCGAACAGAACATCAAACACAATTTTCAACGAAAAAATCAGCAAAAACGTGTTTATGTGTTATTTTACAAGTGATAACAACTTTTCGTAGAATCAGCACAAAAATAATAGTTATCGTCTCGTCGACCATGCCGTTTTTATTTGATTGCAAACATGTTCGATAATGACCTTGGCTTTGAAAAATTGGAAACGGGAAAATTAACAAAAAACAGATCAAAAATGCCAGAGATTTTTCAAAAAGATTCCAACTAATGACAAAAGAAAAGTTCTTTTCGATCAGCAAATAATGATTTTTGATCGGTGTACAAAAATGTGAAGAACAGATGAAAAACCAGAATTTTTCAGTTCGATATGTTTCGTGATTTTGATTACACTACAAATTCCAAGTTTTTTTTGCAGAAATATTTTCAAAAAATATTTGTTTTTTTTTTCGCAATCACAATCACGAGACTTGTTTTGATCTGTGGATTTTGTCTTTCCAAAATATAAAAATAACCTATTTTTGAAGTTTTGATGAAATAAAAACAGGTTTCGAAATTATTATTTTGTTTTTGTTATATTTAAAGATTTATTGAGCTGTTTTCTCAAAAATCATATTGAAGGTCAAGAAAAATCAGAAAACTTGAATAACTGTTAAATAATCGATCTGAAAGGTGTGAACACACGAAGTTCTGAAAAAAATTTTTCCGATTTTTTTTTTAAATTCAAGAAAGGTTGTTTTTGGAAGGTATCAAAAATACATTTTTACCGTGAAACAATTTGATGACACCTCATAAAATCAACAAAATTGATCAAAAATTCTAACTATTTATTGTGAAAAAAACATGGAGAAAAAGGGATTAATTTTGCTATCATTCGCAAAAATATCATAAGTATAAGTATCCGAACCAGCAATCATTCGTTTTTCAACGCGAAATGGATCATTGGCCGCCGAAATCATATCTACAAATGTTTAGAATTGGAATATTTTTCTTTTTAAAATATCAGACCTTTTTCAGATAAATATCCAATTCCATCATCGGAAGAAGAATCAGCAGATGAATCCGAGGAAATATTATTCAATCCATATTCAATGGTTTCTGAAAAAAAAAACGGAACATTAATTAACCAATTATAATAATTATCATGTCAATTTTTTGCGAAGGTCATCTCAGCTTTTCACAAAATCTGGAACATTGAAAAAAACTTACCCTCATTTTTGCCAAAGCTATTTTCATCTTCTAAAAGCCCGCTAATTTGTGATCCCATTTTTTCAGAGAATGTCTCTCATTTTCCACGTAAAGCTAGATTGAAATAATAATGTCACGTCATCAGGTCACAGCCAAAATCATAAATTAATTTATCTGAAAAATATATTAATTTTTTCATGTTTGGAATTCCATTAACAGTAATTAGTAAGTAAATCGAAAAGGAATAATGTGTTGATTTTCACTTTTTTTCTGTTATTTTCACTGGGAAATAACTTTTTTATTCTGATTTTTTTTATGCATTAGTTACATTTTTGAAAAAAAAATGGTTTGTTTTTTTTCTGAAAAGTATGTGGCCATTTTTTCTATATTTCCGAAAAATTGTTTTAAGATTACAATCTTTCTCGGAATAGTTGTTTGTATTTGAAATTTGATAAAAATAGTACGCAAAGTTTTCAAAAAGCACTTTCCCAACAAAAAAATTCAAGTTAGAATTTAAATAAAATTTTACTGTAGTTTTCAAGCTGTAATGAATTGAAACCGATATAATAAAAGTTAACTGAAATATTTTCGAAATGAATTTTAGAAAGTTGAGAAAAATTAGCCGTGTTTCTGAATTATCTGTATTTTTCTATTAAAAGAACGAATAAAAAACTCACCAAATGTTTCTAAACCCAGAACTAATCAGACCGTTAAAACAATTTATGTCTGAATAATTCATCAAAAAAGTATTACATAATTTTTTATCATCTGCCTTTTTCTTCTTCCTTCCAATCGGCTTTGTCTTTCTTCCCGCAAAAAAACTCGAACATCCAGTTTCAGCCGCTCTTTTTTCTGAAAATCTCGAACAAAAACTTTATAAAACAAACGCTGAATTGATAATAAATTAAAAGATACAGACAAAAACCGGCAAAAACTTTGTTTTTTTTCAGAAAAAAAAGTTGACTTGCTTGGATAGACAGGTTTCATATCAAATTGGATTGGAACAAAAAATGAGCTGTATATAAAAAGGAAGCGGATGGCAGATTATTCAGCATTCAAGAATATTAACCTGTTCTTTTTTTTCTTTATTTCCCTTTTTCAAATCTCATAAAACAACAACAAAGGATGTTTTTATCGAGTTTCAAACTTTTTTCTTTATTCATTTTCTTGATTCTGAAATCGGATAACAACCATTTAAAACATCCAAATTCGATAATATTTCATTCATTTTTCCAGGCATGCGAACATTTGTTTTGTTGGCAGCGTTTTTCAGCTACATTTTAGCAAATGAAGAAGTTTTCAAAACCAACAGAGTATGTTTTTTTCCGAAAATAATAGATTTCTTTGATTGAAAATTATTCCTTTTAGACATCATGTGTTCATTATATTTCATGCCTCGAAACAATTCAAACAAATTTCAAAGATTGTGCTGGAGGAGCTGCGATTTCTTTAACTTTGGAAGCTAAAGATGTGAATATTAGGGATCTTGTGAAATACCGTGCTCTTGAATTTGTTGGATGTCAAGATCGTATTATTAAAGAGATTGTTGATTTTGAATCACTTCAACAATTGGTTGGAGAAGATGCGAGAGAATGCTTTGATAAACTTCCAGAAAGTACAAAACATATTGAACCAGTAAGTTGGGTATAGGTTTCTAGAACAGTGGGATACTTTTATGAAAAGATAGCATGTGAGAATTTTTGTCAACCTTCTGAATTTCTGATATTCAGCCTCCAAATTAAGAACATGTTTTCTGAAACTACAGTTCGGTCAACAACATCAAAAGTCACAAAAAATATTCCAAAGACTAAAATTTCAAAAATCCTCAATTTCAGTTTGGTGATTCTTGCGATTATGTTCAACCAGCTGTTCGAAATACAACAAAAGGAGATAGTTTGCAATGTTTGATTGAATATAAACAAGATCGTGAATATTGTGAAAGTTTATTAGAATGTTGTCCAGATCATACAAGATGTGGTGAAAGAATGAATGCAGTTTCTCTCGCATATCAAAATGCTCGAGTGAAAGCCGATCAAGTTGTTTATAACATGATTTCGTGTATTGTATCAAATGATCCAAGATTTTTGAGAGAAGGAGCTCGTCTTCAATCACTTCGTGATCCTTATAGAAATGCTGGACTTCCATTCCTCCGCCCAGATGCTTACACTGAAGCTAGAATTACAAGAAGACTTGCATTGACAACAACATCAATTTTGGGACAAAGAAAAGATCGATTCATGAAAAAGTATTCTCAAATTAGACAAATTGTTGCTCAAAGAATTGTTGAACAATATGCTGCCACAACTACAACATCAACAACAACTGAAAAACCAGTTGAAGATTTGGTTGCTGAACAATCAACTGATGCTGAAAAAGTAATGGAAGAAGATAGAACATTGAGCAGCGAGGAAAGAGTTGAAAGAGTTCGTAGTTTGATTAGAACTGCTTCAGATGATGAATTATCACAATATGTTGCATTGATTTCTGATGGAAAATTCGCGGAACTTTTTGAATTGGCTGCCAAGAAAAATAAAGATAAATTGAAGGTTAAGATTGAGAAACTGAAAAACAATGAAACTGAAGATGAAGCTGAAGAAGGAACTACTACAACTGAACCAGAAGTTCCAGAAAAACCACAAAAGAAAGACAAAAAACACAATTTGGTTCAAAGAAATGTTCCAGATGAATTAGAAGCTAAAGAAATGACTGATAAGGATCGCGCATTATTGGTTGAAAAAGAGATCAAACAAAACTCAAAGTTGGAGAAAGCTGAAACACCAAAGAAGAAACAAACACCAAAGGAAATTGAAATTATCAAGAAACATTTGGAAAATGAAGAAGATAAACCAATTGGATTGAAATCAGCTGAAGAAACAGCTGCAAGTGGAGATGAAGAAGATGTTCCAAGATTAGAAAATGAATCAGGAGAACATCAAACAGATGTTATGACACAAATTGTCAAAGAAATGTCGGAATCAATCCAAACATCAACTCCAGTTACACCAGAACAAACAACAACTCTCAAAACTGAACTCGTTGAAGAAATCTTGACATTGAATAACAATGACAAAAAAGATGAGATTGATGAAGAAGGAAGTGGAAGTGGAGAAGAACATGAAACAATAATTAATGAAGATGAAGAACAAGTTCTTACAACTCCATCAACAACAACAACAACAACAACTGAAACTAGCGAAGTTATTGAAAATATCAAGAAAATCAGACCAAGAAGTGAAAGAAGCCATTGTCAACAATATGCAAACTGTTGGCAAACTGTAATTGATTATGAACAACAATGTGATAGAAAATATTCAACTGATGTTTTGAGCCACGGAATTGATGATGCCGAAATCTTGAGCATCCTTCAAAACAGCTCTATTTCTCATCATGAAATCGTATTGAAAGCCTGCTTGAAACCATTAGACAGATCAGTTCATTCAACAGTAAGTTCTTTTGGGAGTAAATTGCAGAACATGAAAACAGACTTCGAAGTTTTCAGATAATAGGTTTTTTAGTCAGAACTGACATTGAATATATATGCTTATTTTTCAGCTCAAACAATTGTTGGTTATTCAACGTGGAGTTCGAAAGGCTTGTCTTGACTTAGGTCGCAACAAGATTGCTGTAACTGATGCTGAAGAAAATCTGTGTCAAATAGATGTTCCAACAACTGAATCAGTTGATGAATTCTTATCATCAGTTCATTCAAGATCACAAGCAAATCATTTGACATGTCGTGCTAAAATTGAACCAATTCGTGAAGCTTGCGGAGTTGTTAGAAACTGTTGTGCTTCAGTTGACACGTAAGACATTTTTGGTTGAAAAATACTTCAACAATGTTCATATTTTAGATGTGACAACTACATTGCGTCATCTCCGGTCAAAAAACTCGAAACCGAAGCTGTTCGCCGTCTTGTCAAACGTCAAAACGATTGCGAAACCAAAATGCTTCAAACACTTACGTATATCCACGAACAATTGTCGAGCCCAGAAAGACGTCGTCGTTATTATTATCATTAATTTATTATTTCATACCAATACTCCGAAGAATCTCTTACGTCATATGCAATATTTTTAATAAATCAATAAATATTTTTATGAGTTCCAGTTCCATTTAATATTGTGTACAAATATATTTCCAATTTGTGAATTCATCAATTCCTTGTGCACCTCCTTCTCTTCCTAATCCACTTTCTTTCACACCTCCAAATGCAGCTTCAGCACATGAGATCAAACCTTCAACAATTTTTGTTTTATCAGAACTTTTAATAAAAATACCTTCATTGACTCCAACCATTCCAACTTCAAGTTTTCTCGAAACTCGATGTAAAGTTGATGGATTTTTTCCAAAAATATATCCAGCTAATCCAACACGACAATCATTTGCCAATTTTACAACTTGTTGTTCATCATGGAATTTTTGAATTGGTGCAATTGGTCCGAAGATTTCGGTATTCGCAATCTCCATATTTGTTTGAACATTTGTTAAAAGTGTTGGTTGGAAACTGCTTCCAAAATCACCACGTTTTCCACCAGTCACAACTTGCGCACCTTTTTGAACAGCATCCGATAAAAGTGAAGAACACTGAAACAAAACACTACAGTAACCCGGAATTTTTTATTTTAGAAATTTTCAAAACGAACTATAGCCAATTTTTGTTTTTATGAAATCTGTTCCACAAAAAAAATCAATTTTTCCGAATGAAATCAATGGATCACCCAAAAATTTAAAATGATTATGTTTTTGAATTGAAAATAAAACTATTAAAATTTCTGAAAATCTAATTTTCAGAAGTTTTTTGTAAACTACAGTAATCCTAACCTTTTCAACAGCTCTTTCATTAACCAATGGTCCTTGTGTAGTTTTTGAATCCAATCCATCTCCTAAAATCAATCGACTTTTCATAGCTTCAGCCAATTTCGAAACATATTGATCATGAATTTTTTCGTGCACAAAAATTCGATTAGCAGAAACACATGTTTGACCGGAGCATCGGAATTTTGTTGCCATTGTTCCCTGAAAATCTTAAATTGTTATTTCACACATTTCTTTACATATACTCACGTTCACAGCGACATCGAGATCTGCATCATCAAATACAATAAGTGGTGCATTTCCTCCGAGTTCTAAACAAACTCTTTTTACAGTCGAAGCACATTGAGAAAGAAGAAGTTTTCCAACAGGAGTACTTCCTGTAAAACTGATCGCTGAAATATCTGTAGATTCACAAAGGAATTTTGATATTTTCGCAGTATTCGATCGGTCAGCAGTAATCACATTAAAAACACCATCCGGAATTCCAGCTTCAGTTGCAGTTTGTGCTAAAGCAAGTGCTGATAATGGTGTATCTTCAGCTGGTTTTACAACAACACTACAACCAACAGCAATTGCAGCTGCCGCTTTTCTAGCAATCATTGCTGTTGGAAAATTCCAAGGCGAAATCAGAGCGACAACTCCAATTGGTTCTCGTGTATGTAAATGTAAACGATTTTGAACAGCAGATGGAACAACTTGTCCATAAACTCTTCTAGCTTCTCCTGAATACCAATCAAAATAGGCCGAAGAATATTGAATTTCTCCGCGTGCTTCAGCTAATGGTTTTCCTTGTTCTTTCGTTAATAATGTTGCTAATTCGGTTTCTCTTTCTGTCAAAATATCAAACCATCGACGAAGAATTGCTCCTCTTTGTTTTGCTGATGTATCAAATGCCCATTTCTCAAAACTTTCCAACGAAGATTGAACTGCCTGAAATAAAACATTTTATGTAAATATTTAAATATACAAATGACAACCTTTTCAGCATCTTTGATATCACAATTTGCAGTTTGTTGAATAACTTCTCCACTATAAGGATTTGTTACTGCAAATGTTTTCCCAGAGTTCGCTGGAACCCATTTCCCACCAATATAGGCTTGCGCCCCTTGGGGTAATAAAGAATATGTTCGTTTTGAGACCCTTGAAAGCATCTGCTGCAAATAAAATTGAAAAAAAATGGAGAGCTTTTCTAGGACCACAAAAAAATAAACACAAAAAAGAAAAAGGGAAAAGTGGATTGAAAAAAAGCAAAAAATAAATGAAATGGAGAGAAGAAAAGAAAGAGTAGAGATGAAAAATGTCTTCTTCTCTTGTTTTTTCTCTACTATTATCAAGCAATGAAAAATTATCAAATGTTGATAAACATTTTCGAGTTTATTTTTAGAAATTATAACAAAAAAAAACAATTTTTAGAATCTCTATTGGTTTATTCGGACCAAATAAAAAACGACGAAAATTCGTAATTCAAATTAATGTGATGGAGGCTAAAAATTACAGATTGATGAACATTTGAGAATAATTCTAGCAACAAAACACACTTACAAATTATTTACTTGTCGTTGGCATAATCGGCTGGGTTTTTGCGCATAGCATGGTGATTTGTCTTGATGGCCCAATCGTACAAAAGATAAGCTCCAATTGTCTGGAAAAATTGTAACGGTTATTGATTACAAGGAGTATGAAAAATAATCATATTGAAAAATCACACTGTTTCTATTTTTTTATTCACAAAAAATATGCATCGAAAATGTTCAAACTTTGTATAAAAATTGGCGCTTTAAAATATGTTATTGAGATTAGTTATAAGCACTATTCATATTAGAATAACATTATGGTTCAGAGCGTGTTTTTTTTTCAATTAGCGAAATTATTTGATGAAAAATTTTGAAATGTAATAATTTTTTGAAAACGTGAACTTGATTGTTTTTCATTTCGGGAAATTAAACTTCACTTCATTTCTTAATTATTTATATTTCTTAAATGTTAAGCAGAATATTTGTCAGACAACAAATTTTTGTTATTTTGTCTAATGGGTCCATCTTCAGTTTTAAAAGTTCACACGGAAGTTTCAAATAAGATCAGTAAGTAGTAATCGCTTAAATTTGTAAACATCATCAGACGGATCAATTTAGAATGAGATAAACCAACCCCAGGATTTTCGAAAAAAAAACGTGTTCTTCAAGAAAGATATTTTCGAAAAACAAACTCACTTGTGGGATGTAATAATACCATTGGTCCCAAACATAAGTTTTGAAAGTGCGGACAAATGCTTGATCGAAGAATCCTTTGAAGGCTTTTTGCTCATTTGGCGAAAGAGCAAATCGATGTTCTCCATACATCTGAAAACAATTTTCAGTTTCCAATAAATTTTCTCTGAGAAAAAAATACCTTTCCGAGATTTCCGAAGTGTTTTCCCATGGCAATAGCGGATGGTCTCATTTTGACAGTTTCTGTTGAATTTTATATATGTGAATTTCCACAAATAGGAACTCGTTAATTAAGATAATTAATGGTTTAAAACCAATAGAAGAACACAACAATAGATCAGATAGATAATTATTTTTACATTCTACCAAAAAAAAAAAGAAACTGTTCTAATTTATTTGCTTTTGGCATACTTATCGAATCGTTGGAAATATTCGAAAGATGGATCGTTCTTTTGTGAGTCCAATTCAAATTCCTTATTTCTAGCCCAAGTAGCTCCAAATCCTGGAGTTGGAGCGGCCAATCCAAAGTTTGATTCTGGTCCAGCGTTGACTTGAATAGCTTGTTCTCTTCTGAAAGATTATTCGTCAAATATATTTTTTGAAGTTTGACTTACTGAACAGCTTCCCCGGTTTGTGTTCCGTATTGTTTGACATGTCCATCAGAAGCATACAAAGCCGCTGGTGGTTCAACAGTTCTTCTTCCATCTCTAAACCATTATTTGTAAAACCTTGTTACTTTTCGGAAAAAATACCTTGTCAAATAATAATTATCAGCAAGTTTATGATGAACACCTCCTGGCAGAGTTGGAAGTTCAGCTGATCCTGGTCGAGCAGATTGTGTTTTTGGGAATCTCAATGGATTTTGATAAACACATTTGCCATCTTCACCAGCAATACCCGGTGGTGGAGTAATTGGTTGACGATGAGCGGCCAATAATTTTTCTGAAATAAAAATATTCTACTAAAATCAATAGAAATTTAAAATACACTTACCTTTGACATAATTCCAGAACGGTGTTTGTGTTCGGTTTTGAACTGTTGCCGCCGCTATTTTGCGGCCACTCATGATTTAATTCTGCAAGAAACTCCATTGCAAAAACTCGAAAAAAAGTAAAAAAATAAAAATTGCGAGACCGTGCAAGTGTGTAGTTTTGCGTCGCAGTGTACATTCGCCACAAGTCGCATTGCACACATTGCTGGTGACCGTAAGAAAAAAAAAGAAAATTAAATGTTTTCACATAAATTATTAATAATGGTTTCGCTCGGATATTCCGCGGAATTCTCGAACTGTGTTACAACTGGTGATCGAAAACAAGTGGGATAAAATTCTTGAAATATTTGAGGATGTTTTAAAATCGGAGGGAATTGTCAGAATCGAAACATCCGTCTTTTAAAGAAAAATTCTTATTGTTAGTCTCTGAAAAAGAGAAAATTTGAAACTCCAAGAACAACTGATTTCAAATATCTAACACTTACTATGAAAAAAAACATAAAAGTTCACAGCGAATAAATCATTGGAAAAATGAATTGTGGAAATTGCTGGAAATGTCATTTCTAGCAATTTTTTGAATAAAAATGAATGAAAAACTAGTGATGTAATATTATTCACGTGACATACATGTACACGTGATGATAAAATCTCTCAACGATGCTATAAAAGAGGAGCAAAAAGGAGGTGTTTTTCTCTCAGATCTCATATTTCTAGCTTATTAGATTGGCGGCTGACTATTCGCTGCCAATCACTTACTCGCTGCTGCTCAATGCCAATCGTCAGTGCAACTCGGGAAACACGTGAGTTGGGGAATTCTTGCGATCTTTATGCTTCTTCTCCTTCTTTCACATTAGTTCTTTCGACTGACTTGATCTGAACAACTTATTCTCAGTTTCAGAATTCGAAAAATGGTTAGATCACGTGTGTTTGAAAAATCATGATTATTCAACTGGAAAACCCCTAAAAAAAAATGTCGAGAATTTGACTGAAGCTCAAATTTTGTGGTTCAAAAAATTAAAAAATGGGAGAGCCCATGTTCTACAAATTTTACTTAAAATCCTATTGTAATCGTTTATTTTTCAGATTTGTCAATTCATTCGTCACGTTTGTTGAAGTCAAGCTGTTCGCCAACTCATCGACTCGCTGCAAATTGCCACGATTACAGCTCGACTCTAAGCTGGCAACGACTACAAATCTTCGCGAACTGAAAGCCGATTGTGCACTCAATTATTGAAATTGTCGATTACCAACCTCAATTATTCAACGGGAATCTAAGCAACAGGCTAGTTTTCTTGCACACCTGACGAGATGTGTCCAAAGTGGACACTGCACAAAAATTTCTAAGAAAACAATTACGCTTCATTTTTTTCATTAAAAAAGCGTTGTTTTTTGTGAAACACTAGTTTTTCGAACTTTTTTGCTCGGCGGTCTGAAAAAAAGCAATTTTGACACCGTACAAAAATTTTGAGACACTCGTCAGGTGTGTTTTCTTAAAATAAAAAAATCTTTTGAATTTCAATTTAGCAAATTTTAATGGTTTTATTCAGAAATGCTTTATATATTTTTATTATTTAGAAAACAGCACATTTTTCGTTGTTTTCAAGTGTTCTTTCGTGCGTCGACACATAACTTGATTTTTTATTCGCTGTGCTTTAACAATCTTTGCCTTTACTTTTTCCCTTGTTAGAATGATCTTTGTAGCCAAACAAATTATATCCTATAAAAGCCATACTCTGAAACTTATTTTGGTGTTTCTTTTAGAAAAATACCTATTTTTGCAAGATTATTTGTAAACACTTGATTACTTGTTCTTTTTCGAGTTGATAACATCACTTTTAGCACCAAAAATAATTGCTCAGTGATCATATAGAACAATTGTGTTTTACTTCTTTCGGAAAATAGAAATCAAAAAATCAAATTTTTTTGATAATCATATATTATTTGTTATTTGCAGTTTTCCAGAACCGATGTTCGAACTTCCAAAACATGAACACTGATCTCTCATTTTTTTCTTTATCTTTTTGAAAATTTGGGGGCCAAAGTTTTTTTCCTATCAATCTGTTAAAAACTAGACAATTTATTGGATCGATTTCTTCTTCCGATATGTTCTTTGAATCTCTCTTTTAACACAAAAATATCAGAAAACTGGTTTTGGCCATCTTTATTGGTGTTGTAAAAAACTATTTTGAACTTCCTAGCCTCTGCTACAGTAACCCATAGAAATCTTTAACCTCTATCTATGTTTTTTTAAAAATATTTTTATGCTCACATGTTTACTGTTTTTGTTTGGAGATTCTTATCTGTTGTTCGTCAATTTGATCTTTTTCACAATTATATGATAACAGAAAAAACCCACGCAATTCTTTGAAATACAAAATCATCTAACAAAAACCATACAAGAAATTCGAAAAATCGTTTAAACATTTCGCCGAAACGATTCAGGGACACTTTATCGCCTTTTTATTTGGTCACGTGGTCATGAAGATGTTGATCTTTACATCAAATTTTCTTACCTTTTTCAATTGACAGCAGTAAAACTTTCCAACAATAAAAAATTAAAAACAATTCCTGGTTACTGTAGCACACAATGTACGCAAACATTTTATTCGACGAGCGTGTATTTTTTTTTTCGCGTTCGCTCGAGCCGAAAATTTTTATTTTGACCTAAAAATTTGCTATGAAGTTTGTCTTCTTCTGAGAAAAATAGTTTCCAATCGACTGATTATTTTGATTCTTGTTTTTGCAAACCAAAAGACCGAGAAAACTTGTTGATTGTTTGAAAGAGATCTGATGCAATATGAAACGGAAAAGGGTTTCTCTTGGTCAATGATATCGAAAAAAGGATAACAACTGGTGATGTTTATTTCAGTTTTTAATGAGTTCAGGGAGCGACCATTCCAACTTCCTAGTTTTCACTGTTTTGAAATATTTCATCCAACATTTGTCCACCAAAAGTGTTGCACTTTTTATTTGTTGTGTTATCATTTTTTGTGATTGGAAGATAAGTAGTTCACTTTTCTAACAAATAAAAGATGACTAGCTCTGATTTAAAATTTCATATTCAAAAGAAGAATCATTTCAGCAGTATTTTGCCGATAAGAAGCCATTCTATTTTTCATATTTTCTGTCTCAAAGTGTATGATTGTGCTTTTTGTGTATGTTGATCGTTCAATGTTGTCACATGTTACTTCACTTACCGACGAATTATTTTTTATTTCATTATTCATTCAACACTAACATCTCTCAAGAGATAAGCAATACAGTCCATAGTACACAATTGTTCCGCCCATAATAAAGGCGGAGTAATATTTAGGGGGTTCCCTTTTCTCAAAAGTAGTTAGTATTGTCTCGTGGCCGAGTCCGATTGTTGACCCTTTCCGGTTTTTCCTTATCTATCTTCTCCAAAAAACAGATGTTTGCTTTTATTATAATACTGTTCGCGGTTCCATGACGTTCGAGGAGAAAAGACAAAAAGCATGTTGGTTGATTGCAGCTGAATCATCATTCAGCGAACATTTTGTCTAAGGTTTTTGAATTTTCGACGTTTCTCTCGATTGTTCTGATCAAATCAATGTGTAGATACAATAGCCTTTTTGTGTAAATCAGCTTCTTCATTGTTCTATTATTATTTTTTGATCAGGTTGTACTTTGCTATACTTTTCGTACTACAAAACAGCTGTGACGTATATCAATCTGTTTTTTCTATATCTCTCGACCTGATGTACCTATTTCTCCCTCCAGTATCAGACATCACTTCGATGTCACATTTCCATTTATTCATAATCATACAATTTTAGTACTCAAATGATAACAATTCGATTTAATATTATTTTTTTGATATAAACAATAGGTAGATAGCTAGGTATACTCAGTTCATAGTACATTCTAACATCTGACACAATTCATTAAACAAAAGAAATAAAATCGAGCTATTCATCGTTATCATTCTCATTTAATATTTTAATCCAGTCAGTCAGTCAGAGAACACTGCGACTAAACGTAATATATATTACTGTAATTTATTCTCTTCTCAACCCAAAAGATATAGGAATATTAAAAGAGAGGCGAGAGAAAATAAAAAGAAGGGAGGAGAATCGATTTGCTTCCTTTCCTTTTTTTTTGCTTTTTCTCCCGTCCTATCTATGTAAAAACCTCAAATTCATTCATTTAAAATGTTGATTTTTTATGTTTATTTTATCGATTGATCGAGAAAAAATTCGCCAGACGTCTGAACTCTGTTATTTTGATCGAATAATTCGATTGTATCCGAATTAGTTTGGCTACAAATATTACAGTGTTCTCCAAATTTATAAAATAGGAGTTGGACTTGATTTACAGAGTGTCTGAATCGGGTAATTTTCCCATAAGGACTGCCAGATAGAAATTTCACCACATCAAATTTATGTATAAAAATTGCTGATCTCTGAGTGGGATCTGGCGTCTTGAAAATCACTTTCATTCTAACTTTACTATTATTTCGACCACCCCATTTCATTTTTTTGTTTATCAAAAAGTTTGATTTATCAATTGTTTATTTAAACTCAAAACTTTGATTTCATTTCGTATTTTTCCGCGCCCGTTCGTCAAATTGTTTTATCTATCTTTTAATATTTACAGGCTTACCCGCCTTTCCCCAAACACCTTCAGCCTTTACGCTGTACTTGAACGAGAAGGATGATGTTCGAATATGAAGAAGATGAAGATCCAATGGAACAACAACAACAAAAAGATCTTAATAAGAAAGATGAACATCATTCGTCGGATTATTCTGGAAGTCCACAAGAAAATCCGTTTCGTTTCTCGTTTGATAAGGCAAAACGAGCTCAATCAATGTATGTGACGTCATCATCGGAAGATTTGATTGCTTACAGTACCCGACATCTTCTTGATTCGCCAACCGCCGTACAGGTACATTTTCTTTCTTCTTTCTTTTGTATTTCAACCACGTGGGGAGATAGTGTAAAAAAGACCGGAAAGGGGCAAAGTTTATCTTTTTTCCTATGATTTATTTGTTTTTCTGACTGATTTTTTTCGTGAAAAAAAAACAGAAAAAACTTGTTCCACTAAGATAAATGAAAGATGATCCTTAAATCAATATATTTTTTGACAAAGATCAAATTTTTCTTCAAAATCAAAGATCATTGAAGTTCAAAATATCAAATGTTGCAAAAATGCTCGTTTCTCGGAAAATTTTGTTTATCAATGACAAAAAAAGATGATAAACGTTTTTTCTTCAACCGCCACCACTTTTTTTCCGAAAAAAAGAGGTTCAAATTGAACAGGTGTCATTGAGAAATCGCGTGATTCTTCTCTTGTCAGTTCTCTGATCTAATTCAAAATAATGAAAAGAAAGAAAAATATTGGGTCGATTTGAACAAAAAAAAATGTTTGTGGGAACATGATCGAAGTTCGCTGAAAAACAAAGTGTAATAATAATCCAAAGTATTTTATTTCAGCGTTCATTGGTGTTGAATGCAACTTCGGAACTCAACATCGATGTCGATTTTTCTGACGATGATTTGAGTCCATCGGTTCAACGAAAGATTTGCTTTTGCGCAAGTCAGAATCCAAAAGAAACCCAAGAACAAGGACAAAGACAACCAAAAACATCATTGACTGTCTCATTTCCATATCATACGCACCAAATTACTGAGGACTATACCATTTCGGCCGAGGTTTCATTTTTCCTTTGTTTCATATTTATTCTAACAATTTCTTTGGTTTCAGATCATTGGAATCGGCGAATCTGGTAAAGTAATGGCGTGCTACAAAAAGGTGTCGGGTGAAAAGTTTGCGCTGAAAGTGTTGCGCGATGGACCAAAAGCGCGTCGTGAAGTTGAACTTCATTGGCTCACTTGGTAATCAAATTCCCCCAAAATTTTCTCTATTTTCCCCTTTATTTGTAGCGGTCATGAAAATGTCGTTACGATTCTGGACATTTATGAGAACACATTTGATAATGTCAAATGTCTTTTGATGGTTGTCGAATTTTTGGAAGGAGGCGATTTATTGAGCCAATTTGAGAGTCAAGGAAGTCAACCATTATCGGAGAAAAGTGAGTTTTAAATGACAATCTATGAATATTAATTTTCAAATAAAACTTCTTTTTTTCAGAAGTTGGTGAAATAATCCGACAAATTGGAAATGCTGTGATGTATTTGCATGATATGAACATTGCACATCGTGATATAAAACTGGAAAATATTTTGTGTAGTAAAACGGGTGACGATTGTATCTACAAATTAGGAGATTACGGGTTTGCAAAACGTCCCGAAAGGAACGTTCTCATGGAATCGCCATGTTGCACACCATTTTATGCACCACCAGAAGTATTAGGTAGAGAACGATATGATAAATCATGTGATATGTGGTCGCTTGGTGTTGCTATGTATATTTTGTAAGTTTTCTGATTTATTGGGAATGAATGTGAAAATGATTTGTTTTTTTTAAGGTTATGCGGGTATCCACCATTTTATTCAATGCAAGGAGCCGCGTTATCACCTGGAATGAGATCAAGAATAGCTAAAGGATATTACGCATTCCCTCATGAGGAATGGGATATTGTATCAGCTGAAAGTGAGTTGAAATTCACAGCAATACAATTTTTTATTGTTTCAAAACCCAAAAACCTCCCAGAAATTCTCAACAAATTTCAATGTTTCCAGGCAAAGAAGACATTCGGTGCTTGTTGCGTACAAATCCATCTGATCGAATGACAATTCACGAATTGATGGCAACTCCATTGGTAACTGGAGAAGATTTGGAAATTGCACGAAAAAAGCGAGGATCAAGTGCTGTAAATATTCCAGGAGCAAATGAAGAATGCGAAGATATCGGAGAAATTCATATTGATCCATTTGCCGAAGAAGAACCAGATCAAGTCAACGAAGAATTGCCAATCCCAAAAAGTGTTCGATTTTTACGAGATGGTGTCAAAGCTCCAAGACTTCATAGTATTCAAGAAGAAGTTGGAAGAGCAATGGAAATTATGCGAATGGGACACGATCAAATATATGTCCAAAATCCAAGTACAACTTGCAATACACTTTTTGCTCGTCGACGCGCTGTTCATTTATCCATTCCACGTGTTCAATGTTAACATATTTTTCGACTATTTTTAATACCTCGTTTTTCAGATTGTGACCAAGTTTCGTTTTGAACTATGAACATGTAAATAAAATCTATGTTGTTTTAAATGACAATTTAAAATTTTAATGCCATGTCATGGAATTATATACAAAAACTTGAATTATTCTCTAAACCGAAGTTGTTTGGCCTTTTCGTTGATATTCTGTGTATAAATCATGAATCGATCTGAAAATCAGAATTTCAAGATGAAGCCTTTCGAAACCGACTCACTTTTCAGTATCAATTATTGAGATCGGTTGAATTGCCGGCGGAATATCATAAATATGATCTTTTTTCGATTCTCGCCAATAGAAAAAGCTGTTCAAACCAATGTCGATTATACCAAAAACCAAAATTATGAAACAAAACGCCTAAACAAAAACCAAATTACTGTAGTAAAGTTTTGAAAAAGGAAAAGTTCAATTTTTCTAGAACAGTCGAAAAAATGGGATCACGATTCAGGAAATCTTTCAAAAAATGGGGACTGGCTTTAATTCAAATTCCCATTTTTTTTTCTAACTAACCGCTGGCACTGAAAATGTTCCAGTTGATGTATTCTCATAACATCCGAATTGAGTTCGCAATTTTTGATCGCATCCATCATTTGCAACTAAAAACATTATTCCTGCGATTAGAATTGACAAAGTTGATACGAAAACGAAAAGGCATCTCTGAATATAAAAATATAGGTTTTTTGAGAAATCTTGAATCAAATAACCTTGACTAATGTGGATTTTCGAATATCCCAGACGAATAAAATTGAAATTGAGGAACCGATAAATAGAAGTGAAATAATTACGAATATCTGCAAAAAAGTTAGATTTTTGTGGTTATTACAACTGTTTTTCAATTTGAGAGCCTAGATTTCGTGAAATGTTCCGATGTGTCAAGGGTTACTGTAGGTATCGTCTTTCCAGTTTGTAAAACTTTTTGAAAATGTCATGAACATTGGAATTTCGAACGTCGAAAAAAAAAGGATTTTCGAAACTTAAAATTTTTCAGGACTATTTTTCAAAAATAAATACAATGTTTAAATAATTTCAACATTTTGTTCCAACTCTAGGAATTTTCTCGAATATTGTTTCATTTCACGCCCTTCCCCTCTAAAACTCACCATCCCAAAAATGGCCGATGTTTTATTGGTCCAATATTGAGTTAGTCCAACACAACATAATACAATTACACAACAAAGCTTGAAATTTAAAAATTAACGGTAGAAATTATTTTTAAATAAAAAAAACTTACAATAGCTAAAAACCTGAGAGTTAAGTAAAAATAGAAAGAATTTGCAAACTTGAGCTTCTCTTTTTCAGACATTTTTTATTTTTATTTTTACGATCAACCAAACATCGAATCTATATTTCTGAATAAAAATAAGATTCGTATTCGAATTCAAAAAAAATAGGAAGAAGAAGGAAGAGAATCGGAAAACGTGATAAAATCGTAAGAATGTAAATATTCGAGATCGATGAATAATAAAAATAATAATAATATTGCAAACATTCGCGCAAATAAGGAACCAAAACTATTTTTTATTTTTTCTTTAGTAAAAGGACAACAGGAAAACATGAAATGTGGTTGTTAGGGAAACGTAAAAAGAAAAAGGAGATTTTTCAAAAATATTTCTTTCTCACCAAAAAGTTTTGAAATCAAATAATAATAATAAACCCATAACAATGGAATTTCAAGTGGTCATGAATATTGTGTGGGAAAATTTAAAATCGAAAAAAAAGTTTCGAGACAGAAAACTCAGTTTTGCATTTATCTCCGAAAATTCTTTTGCATTCAGGTTTTCAGACAATTAAAAAACAATTAGAACCACGAAAAAAGTGAATGAAGAAGTTCGATTAAAATGAAAAAAAAAAGATTTTCTGCAGAATTTTGGAAAATTTACGCGCTTGACGAATTTCGTTTCCTAAAGAACATTTTGAGGGGGAGAAAAAGTAAGTGTGATTGAAGTTTTCTGAAAATTTTCAAACTGGTCAACCATAAAATGAGAGAAATGTTTCAATTTTCTGAAAAAAAAACTTAAACAGGTTTTTGGACGTGCGTAACAAAGTTCAAAAGAGATATTTATTGCCAGAAACGTTTTCCAACAAATGAAAAAAATTACTGTAGTTTACAAAAAAGTTTCTAGAGATTTACAGTAGTCCTCCTTAATTCCAGAAATGTATTCTTCTAAAAAAAATCTCACATTTGAAAAAAATGGTTTGAAAATCTACAGTAACATAAATTTTAAAAAAATTGAACATTTGAGAAAAATCCATTTACAGTAGCCAAGGAAATTATTGTTGTATCGTTACAAAATTACAGGAATCTTATGAATTTTCAATAGTCTTCAGTGTTCTCCCAAACTTCACAGATTACTGTAGTTTAGCAACAAAAAATAAATCCACAGTAATCCTATTACTGTTAATGTTGTACAGTAATCGCATATGAGAGATTATTTCAGTTTTGAAATAATTACAGTAACCTGAAAAATTAAAAAAAAAAAAAACATTTGTTCACTTTTTTTTCCAAAACTGTCACGAAAAAGCAAAAAATATGGAAATCGAAGTGAGACATAAAAAAGAGGATTATACTCACTCGCTAAATATTTATGTGTTTTTACAATTGTTTTTTTTTCGTGGTGTGGATTAGGTGAAACTTGGATACATTTGTAAAATTCTCACAAAAAAAATTTCATATCAAAATAAAAGTAAAGCATATCATAAGAAGTAACAATAAAAATTGTGGGTTTTTGAGGAAGGCAATGTCTAGCGGGGGAAAATCGAGGTATTGCCTAATTAACATGGTTTTTATTAATAAGAAAATTCTATCCATTACTGCTTGTTGCTCTTTGCGCTAAAATCCCTTTGAAATGAGTAATTTCAACGCGAAGGGAATCAATTTGTCTTCGAAGATCATCGTTTTCTCCTTCGAGAAGTTGAACTCGTCGAGATCGATATTCGAAAACTGCACGGCGATTTGCTCGACACCTTTTTGCAGCTTCATTGTTTCGTTTTCGACGATCAACGTATTGCGGCTAAAAAACATTGAATTAGGGTTATTGAAAAAAGATGGAAGAGTAGAAACTGGAAGGACTTCAGTAAAAGGGTTGTAAACTGGATTTATGTATTTCAAAAATGGGTCACAGAAAATATGGTTTTTCTACTGGGGGCCATATGTATTTCCAGCATAATAAAATTGTATGAATAACATTCCCGTTTTTTTTCGTATGAAAAAAAAACTCACTGATTTATTCGAATGATCTTCGGAAGAATGTGAAGGTGATAATGAGGCAGATGATGAGATACTCTCACAATCTGATTTACTTCCCGCACTACTTCCATTATTATGAGAATGATGATTTATTGTTGGAGGTGAATTCAATCCTGAGATATGTTCAGTTCGACTTTGTGGAACTGTTGGAGACGGTCGACGTTGAGCCAAAAGAGCTGATAAAAGGGAGCCGCCTTGTTGTTGATTTTGTTGTTGAGGAGGTTGTTGTTGATAAATATTTGGAAGGACTTGTTGATATGGGTTTGGTGGTTGAATTGCAGGCGAACCAACTGAAAATTATAAAAAGATGGGTTATAGAAGATTCTGAACCGAAACTTAAAAGCATACATTCAATATATCCGATTTTAAAGCAATTTTTGTAATTTTTCGAAAATTGATCGAATTTAGTGTAGCTATTATCTGACTTTGACATTTGAAACTTTCAAAATCAAATATCAAAATTATTTTTATAGAACTTTCGGTTTTGGTCCCTAAGATAAAATTTTCATAATTTTGTTAGGTAGGCTATGAATTATGAAAGTTCAGATTTCTTTAAAACCCCGACCAGAAAAATCAAAAAACTTTGTTAGAAAAATGCCTATTGATTCTTACCTCGATGTATAACATTACTTCCAGCTTGTTGTTGTGGCTGCCTTTCTCGAACTTCACAAGTCGAATCTGGACTTTGCCTTTCAATTCTCATAATAACACTAGATGGTTCAACGGGTCGAAATGGATGAAATGCAGACGTTGATGATGTAAATAAGGCAGATGATGAAGGTAATGAAGGAGTAGAAGAAGATGACGGGATTGGTGGAAGAGGAACAGATGAGGAAGATGAGGATGTAGATTGAAATGGAAACTAAAATGCATAAAAAATATGAAAATGGCATATGTTTATATAGGTCAATGACACATATGCTCTTTATCCGGAAAGAAGACAAAGTGCTGACTAGTCAATCTCATTTCCTAATCGCATTTCAACTCACCGTGTTAGATAGTTGAAGAATTGGAAAACTAGAAGCTGTTGGATTTGCTGTTTGTAATAATGGAAGTGATAACATTGAACTAGCTTGAAGTATTGGATTTGGCACAAATTGTGCAGCTTGTTCTCCGCCAATCAATAAATTCAAAGCTGGTTTGATTTTCTCAGTTTCCCGTGTTTCGAGCTGTGTTTTGAGTCGTTCGTTTTCAGCAGATAAAAGAAGAATTTTTTCTTCCATTGCCTATAAAAATATGACGATTTTGTTTGGATGACATTTTAATTGTTTTCTATGATGATGTTAGGCTAATTCCAATTTGCAACACTATAATATAAAAGGTCACCGCGAAATGAAAAAGGGAATCGAATTAGCGGATTAGTGTTTTCGAAATCTTGGGAAAAAGAGAGGATGTATTAGGTAGAACTAAATATACTGTAGCATGCAATAATCTTAAAACAACTCTTGATTTTGAAGGTTTGCAAATTTTCAAAATTTGACAATTTTAGAAAGTTTCCAAAATATTCGTATTGAAATTTTTGAAACAAAAAATTTGAAGCCACATTGCATGATTCATTTTTTTAATCCAATGATTCTCAGAAAAAATTTACAATCTGAAACTAGAGATTTTTTTAAATCCAAAAATAGGAATACCAAAACTGAATTTTCTTAGAAATTTTTTGAGAAAAATCTGAAGATTCGATGATATCTTGTGTTAAAAATGGTTTAGTTAAAATTTTCAAAGTTCTGTTCCGAAAAGCGGGAAAACACAACCAGATTTTTTTGAAAATAAAAAAAATTAACTGAAAAATTCAAGACTATAATTTTCCAAAACTTTTAATCAAGAGTATTTGAATTGAAATTTTTATCATTTTTTCGAGTTTTTGTCAATAAGCTTCAAATCGAGCAATATTTTTTTCTGATCTTACTACCTACAGTAACCATTTAACTCACCAAATCATTCAATCTTCTTTTTTCTCGACTTCTTCTTGATGCATCATTATTCCTTTTTCGCCTCTCCCAATAATGCTCATTTTTGATAACACTTTCATTTATCGAATTTCTCCGTGAATTCGGAGATGATCCTTCAGATGAGTTCGACGAATATTCTGCTGAAGCCGAACAAACTACCGAAAGTCTTGAGGACGGCGACGACGATTCCGAATCGACGTCCATCTCGTCACTTCAAAAAATTAGGATGACCTTGATAGACAAAAAAATTACAAAAAATCCAGAAATTCATAAACTTTCTGGAGACGATAAAAATAAAAATCAAGGTGACAGATGGAGACAAAAAAATAAATAAAAGTAGTATTATTTGTGGTAGCGGCGACAATTAAGCTCGTCCCCTCAATAAAATCGAAATGTATGTATGTATCCCCCCCCTCTATTTTCGGTCACACAACAGTTGACCTATTTGTGTTCATACGGACACCACAAACTGGTCTTTGCTTATTCTATTCCAACCAGCCAGCCAGCCATCCAGCCATCGGCTATTCAGAGGAGAACCCCCCAGCTTTCGATTTCGTCAATTTCGAAACCAGTCGACATCTACGAGAAATCGAAAAAGAAGAAGAAGAAGCAGCTTTTTGACTTTTCAACAGGATATATTCGATCGGGAAAAAAGCGAAACTTTTCACTTTCTCGATACGGATCTCCCCTTTTCTTTTCGATTTTTGAATTGAAAAACGGGAACAGAGAAAAAAGAAGAAGAAGAAGAAGAAGAAGAACCTGGATGGGATGGGGTTGACTGTGAACTTTTAAAGTGAAAGTGTATTTGTATTTGACCTCACAGTGACAACACACAAAAAACGAGCGAGAGATGAGGGGATTGAGTGAGTGAGTGAGTGACCAATAAATGTTTCGGGATTTTTCGAAAATCCCATTTCGAAATTTTTAATTGGGTTGGGAAGAGAGAGGGGTACTGTAGAGTTTTGAACTTCCCAGTTGGAAGTTCAAAGCTCTTCCAACTGTCAAGAAAACATTTGAGACTAGTTTTTCTGAAAAGAAAAATGGGACATGAAAATTAATTAGGTTGGTACTGTAGAATTTTGAAAGGTTTTTCTAAAGAAGTTTGAGTTACACTCTTTTTCCAAAAAATTATATTTTTCTATTGGAATTTTGATATTTTTTGGATAGAATAATATAGTTTTCTTACTTTTATCAAAAAAATTGCAGAAAAAATCAATTCTGAAAATTTTCATGATTCAAGAAAAATAATTCCGAAAAGATACACTGAATTTTTTTTCAAAAATTTTTGACTGCAATTCTTCTGAAAAAAAATTACGCGGTTTCAAAATGAAAAACTTTCACTTGAAAAAAATGTGACTCACATTCTGAAAAAACATTATTTAAAAATGTTATGCCACTTGGAAAAATCCAGAATTTCAAAAAGTTCAAAAAGAAAAGAGAAGAACACAAAGTTTGTCATAACAGAACATGTATTTTTGTCGCCTCCCAACACACAAATTTCTCAATATTTTCACTTTCTCGAGAGAAAAAAGAGATGCCAATATGCGCGAACTTTCGATCTCACTCTCGATTTTCCTCTTTTCGGCGCCTCCTATTTTTTCGAACTTTAATATAAAAAGTGCAGAAAACACTGACTAGAAAATGAAAATGACCAAAAGAGCTGGACAGAAAAAAGAGAAAAAAAATGTGTACTCATATTTATTTATTTTTTATTTATTATTGTCCAACCAGGCAGGCAGTCAGGCAGGCTCTTTTTTGTTTGATCAAAAGTGTGTGCGCGCGGGAGAAGAAAAAATAAAAATCAAAAATAGAAACGATGTTTGTGTCTCGTATTTGGAGCACACTATTTCGGGGTTCGCGTTGGTCAGAGCTATTTTTGTGTTTGTTATTCAATCGCGAATCAAATCACCAAACAAACAACACAATTATTTTTGCGAGAGATGGTGTGCACAAAAAAAAGAAAAAGGATGAAAATTAAAATGAAGATGAAAAAACAAGAAAGGACTCATTGATGAGTCAGAAAAACAAATGCTTGCGAGAATCATTCTTGATATTTCAATAAACAATGATAGTTCAAGAGATGGGTCACACAACGATTCATATTCGAAAAATTTTTTTTTCAAAAAGCTTACTGTAAATAGAAATGTTACGTTAGTTTTTTTTCACAAAACTTCTCCCGATCTCAACTCTGAGAGTCTAAAATATAGAAAAAAATGTTTCAAAAATGTCAAACTTCCAAAAACCTATACAACAAAATCATCACCGAAAAAATATTGGAAAACTATAACATGACCAATCTCTGCGTCTCTACAGTCGTTTTACATAAAATGAAATTTAATAAAAATGTACTTTCTCTCGACCACTGTTTCAAACAAAACGACGAAAAAAACGAATGTTCAAATGACATAAACATCTGAATAAAAATGAAAAGTGAATAAATCTCGATAAAAATGAAAGGAAAAGCATCATCAGCTTCAATATCAAGTTTGAAGACAAAAGAAAGGCGGATATCACGTAATTTTATACGATTTCTTGACAAAATCTTGTTTTCTCTTTCTTTTTTTTCTATCCACAAATTCTTACGAAATTAGAGATTCAAGAAGAAGATGGCTCAAAATGGTTCCGCAACAACACCTGTGGTCATTTTTTATTTCTCATAAGTCTGACTGTCTGGTCATTTTGCCCCCTATAAACTTTCGCTTTTTTGTCCTATATGCTAAGTAGAGCCGAGGTCGAAAAAGTGAAAACAAAAGCGAAACGCGCATGTGAGATAATAAATTGGATACCGGGTGGGTGTTCCAAACGCAACAAGGAGACAAAAAAAAAGAACATATATACTTACTATTCTTATAAAAAATTAGTGAATGAAAAGGGGAAAAGGAAAGGGAGACTGGGTGGCACGTAAATAAGAATGACCCGAAAGAGAGTACACCAAATGACAAGCTGGCAACTAAGTAGTAAACAACAATCTCTTTTCTCCCTCATTCACTATTTTTTCTCTTCCCTCAGTCAAACACTTGTTTGCTCTATGTGCTCCTCGGCGGGTTGAGTCAGTCGAATAGGCAGATGGTTCAACTTATCAATTTTATTGTTGTTGTTGTTGTTTTGACCATTTATTCATTCATTTCAAATGAATTATAATGAAGATGAAAAGGAACCCTTTGGGAGATGTAAAATTGAATGTGTCAAAACAATTGACTTTGAAATTATGTGCAAATTGACAACATTATTTTTAAAATTAGATTTTTCAATAGGATTTTCACTGAGAAATGTTGAAAGTCCAAAATATTTCACTTGTAAATCAAATATTTATGAGTGCTCTCACAAATCTTATTTCAGAAAAATAAATCTGGGTCCTATTAAAGCAACCCCTCTGAAAAAACGACTTTCTTAGTACATAACTTTTCAGACCATTTTATCAACGGTCAGAAAATTATAATTTGTTCAAATTCTATGAGATTTCTAGAAAATCATTTCCCCCGAAAAACAGTTTTTCGGCGTTCGATAAATTCATTATAGATTGATGAAATAAATTATATAAATATTTCAGATAATAAAAAACTTACTATAATTTAATATTTTTCACGAGTATTTCTATTTCATGAAAATCAATATTCGATTCTTCTTCGTTTCTTCTCAACTTCCTCCACTTTTGGCTTTTCGGCTTTAATATTAACCACATTTTTTTCATTTTCCTCTTTTTCAAAAACATATTCTTTTGCTGAATATTGTTTTGTACATTCCGTAACTTCTTCAATTATTCTATCATACGAGGAACTGTTGGCTAATATAACTTTTTGATGAATTGATTTTGCCTGAAAATAAGAGAGTTGATATATCTGGAAGATTATTATTAAACTTGTAAAACCTACTTCATCAGCATATTTTACTATTTTCTCCAATAATTCGACCTGTGTCTTCGTTTTACGACTTCTTTTCGCGACGTCAAGCAAATTGTCAAGAATCTGAACAAAATTTATCAAGATATTTTGTTATTTTTTCACCGATCAAGCATACTTTATTCAATTCCTTCGAATTTTCAACATTGGAATTGGTTTCTTTGACAATCGAATTCTCCAACCTTTTTCGAGCTGCATCAACATTCTTAACATGGTTTTCGTATTGTTTTCCAGAAATAATTGGGAGCAAATCAATAATATCATGTTTTTTATGTCGTTGAATTGCACATCTTGCACAAAGTGCTTTCTTGAGAACATCTTCAGCTCTCATTTCCATGTAATTGCAATCTGAACAATCTTTGCAAATTGTCATGCTGTAAAATGTATCGATTTTTTCGTGAATTTTAGAATATTTATAGTGAGAAATATTCATATGTTCACAAATCAACTGACTGTCTCTCAATTTCAAGCTGTTGACATTCCGAGCATTCATGATATTCACCACTTTTCTTCAAAGATTGCAAATTGTCATCCGCATATTTTACTTTTTCCTTGACCTTCTCAAGTTCTTTTTTGTGTTTTTGATCTTCAACACGTTGACAGATATCTGCAAATGAAAAATTTAAGAAAACTAATCTGAAAATCTAGAAGACACCAACCAAACCAAGTGCAATCTGGAACGAATGATGTCATAGATTTGCAAGACTGACAATTAATATTATAACCATTTGATTTCGGCTTACTGACATCGGTTGTTGATGAGCTAAAAATTCTAAGAAATTGAAAGCACTCAAATTTTCAAAAATCACCATTTGTTATTCCAGATACAAATTGCGCACATTTTATGGCCACACTCTAATCGATAAGCTTGTTTCTCACTCGAACCTGGAAAAATACTCATAAAAAATTATAATAAAAACTCTGAAGACTCACCAAAATCAATAGAACAATTTGGACAAGCATATTTATTGTTTTGAATAGTTGTACGATTTGAGTCGCGGATCGAGTTGCGATTTCTCGTTTCAGTTGATTTCCGAGAAGAAACGCGGTCGCTAAACGATTTACGCATCATCGCAACAGTGCTGTGAGATTTTGAAATATCAAACTGCGAAAAACTAAAAATGCCAACACGTGTTGCAACGTTGCAAAATTTATGACACGTCATCAATCGTAACGAGACCACATAATACGTGTTTTACTTTCATTTCAAATATATATCTACTGTAATTATAAAAAGTCTAAAGTGTTAATAGCCAATGTTCATCATACGAGAGCGCAGAAAACACAGGCCCGGGCCACGGCCGTGGCCGACCCGCGCGGCGGCTGCGAGTCGGCCAAGTGTACACAGCCAGCGGCGGTTTGTCCTCTGCGTCTCTGCCCCAATGATGGAGTGTTTTTTTTCAAAAAAATTAAAAAATAAAAAAAACTGAGGAAACATCACCCAAAAATCATGTGTGGTCTCGCAACGCAACACAAACTACAGTACCCCGCCATTGTTTGAATTTTTCGCTCAAAAACTGCTATAAAAGCCGATTTTCATCCAGTTTTTGCCATTTTTCCACTACTAATGAACATGTCTCAATCAGTTATCGAAATTGCACGAGAAGCGATGTTGTTCGAAGATGTCTCGCCAGCTCCAATCATAAAGAAAGCCCGAAGATTCAACATAATCAATCCGTTCACTTGGTTCAATGCTACACAAGAAGAAGTTGAAGAACAGATGATTTCAAGAGAAATGACCGAAGATGAGAAATTGGTGGCTGAAATCATGGAAAAGTTCAGAATGGATAATGTGGCTGGAATGGAGCGAATCTTGAAAAATGAAGAGAAGAAGAATGGCGCGGTTAGATTGGCAAACGATGAATATCAAGATGACGAATATCATTGGATTGATGAATTCTCCGAAGTCGCTGCTCTTCCAAATCGGAAGAAATCAGTGAGATTTGACAAATCGATGGAACCGTCAACACCGAGTCGCCGCCCATTCACACCAATCTTCACAAGCACTCCACAATCTTCACAAAAATCAATGATTTCTGGATTTTCAATGGAAACATCGACGATTTTGACGGAGAATTCGTCGATAAATTCAGCCATGAAGGTAAGGGTTTACTTTTCAAAGTGGTTACGTTGTATATATTATTTTTCATCGAATTATAAAATTTGTTATTTCAGAAATGCGCTCCACGATTTAACTATGAAGAGATGTCGCAGAGAAGCAGAAACTACTACAACATCTGCGGAGATATTTCGGAAGAAGAATATGAGGAGGAAATCGAGGAATCTATCAAAGCAACATTTATCAAAGATTCGCCGAATACTTCTTGCTCTTCTGACAATTATCCGAATTTCAACTGCTCATCGACCTTCGTTTTATCTGGAATTTCCGAAGAATCTTCTGCTGAATCTGCACCAATCGAGGATTCTTATTCGATTCAAAATGCTTCCGAATTCTTCGATGAATCGTATTGGACAGCTTATGATGATGAATCGCTTGTCACAATGCGATCTTCTGAAACGAGCATGTAAATAACTTATTTTTAAATATTATTTCTAACCGCTCGCTGTAAATAGCTAAAATTTTTTTTACTTTTTTAATTTCTTGTGAATAAATTTTATTTTTGAGAAACACCTTGTTTTTTTTCTGGCGTGAACCGTTGCGAGGCGGCACAGAAATACTGTATTTTTCTTTTTATATTCTCCAAGGGAAAAACGACATTGGAGAGATCCTCAGGGTTCCCACATGTTATACTTTAAACGTGTCCATTTCTAGATATAATCTGGGGAGGGGGGGATTTTTTTTAAAATTTTTTTTAAAAACAGAAGAAAACTTCGATATTTGTGGGTTATCTGTATTTTTTGCTTGATAATTGAGTTAATAATCATTTTAGATGAGTCTGCGACGCACCTACACCATTCACCGTCGCAAATTGCTCGATAAAAGGCGCGGGAAAGACAAGTTAGTTTTAAATTTTTATTTTTTTTCGAAAAATCGTACTATGATTTTGATTAAACTTTGCGAAAACCTTAGAAATATGATAGTTGAAATAGTTCAGATAAGAAACTTCTAAGATTTGATCTTGTTCCCGCCAAAATGGTGTGTTTTTGACGAAATACGGATGGTTTTGAGAATCAAAGTACGTTTTCTCGAATAATAATTTTATGATTTCGATTAAACATTGAGATTTGCATTAGAATAGGGTGCTATAAGAATTCTAGTTGAGAAACCCCTGATATTTAATCTCGGTAGCACCAAATTGGTGCGACTTGGATAAAAACTCGGATTCATCCTTTTCTGTGAAATATGATTTCGATAAAACTTTGGTAAACGCTTACAAATATGATAGTTAAAATATGCTTGTTGTACACTTGACCGACCCGTGAAATTGCGAAAAAGCTTCGTTGGAATTCCAACGAAGCTTTTTTTGTTTTTCTCTAGGGTGTACTGTAGTAAAGGCGCCCAACAAATATTCGCTGAGTCTTGCAACGCATGCTTTTTTTTCAAGTCTGATACGCGCCTTTCGATTACTTTTCAAACATTATTTCCCATAAATAAAATAAAACATTCATTCAAGTAACTATGGAAATTAGAAACCAATTGGATTCGAAGTGAAGTCATCAACTGTGAAATAAGGAGTCTCGTTTGGAGAAACTGTGTTTTCAACAGCTGAAAAAGAGCATTTTATGAAAAAACCGTTTTTTATAAATTATATACACACCTGACTTACTCTTGGTCTTATTATCTCCTGATACTGTTTTTGATTCATCTTTTGCCTTTTTTCGTTTACTCAAATTCAATTTCTTATCAGGTGTCGATGCTTTTCTTTCAACTAGTATTGATTTCTTCATCTCTCCCGGACTCCTTTCTTTCGTTTTCTTTTTTTCAGCAGTCTTTTTTTCGACATTCTGATTCTCCCAATGATAAGGATCCGACCATTTAAAATCAGCCTGTTTCATAACTTCATTGAGAATCAGGAACAATTTATCATATTCCGGTCGCGAATAGAAATTCAATTTCCTGACTTCTTTCGCGAATTCAAGAAGTTGAACAGGACTTTTACTGAACAAAATTTCATCCGATGTTTTCTTTTTCGATGCTAAAATCTCAGTTTTCTCATCAAAATCATGCCATGGAAGTTTGCATCGCATTTCAGCTAAAATATACATAACAGCCCAAATATCATCAGCTCGACTTTGTTCTTCTCTTTCAAGCATTGCAATTGAACAATATCTAGCAGTTCCACGAAAAAGTGCGCGTTCTCGTGGACGGCGAAGTGCAAGTTTTCCATCGACTTCAGCTACAAACTGACGAGCAAGTCCAAAATCTAGGACAAGAAATAATCGCTCATCTTCAGTGCCTTTCTGGAAAAAAAAATATTTCATAAAGTTTTCTCGAATGCTATTTTAAGTCACGTGACGTGATCACTTACATATCCGAGTGCAATGTTAGCCGGTTTCAAATCTCGATGAATGTAACCAGTCTGAAAATACGTATGTTTCTGAAACTTTTAATTGTTTCCTACACTAACATCGTGAATTTGTTTGACTCCGAAAAGCAACGAAATTCCGATTCGAATTTGTGATGTTACATTGAGATATGGTCCATGTTTCCTAAATTAAAAAATGAATCAGCAGAACTTTTGATAATGAAGAACTCACGCAATTAGGGAGCATAAACTTTCTCCAAGTAATGTCATAACAACATAGCTGAATTCAGGTTTTTTCCCACTAAAAATCAGCTTTGCCACGTGTTTTTTCGAGACCAATGCTTGAAGAATTTGCACTTCCAATTTCAAAACATTACCATTTGAACTATTACTGTATTCAACTTTCATTGCACACGGTAAATTGTTGTTTTCAATATCTTCAACTTTGAAAACTGAACCACAACCGCCTTCTCCAAGTTTTTTGACAATTTTGAAACGACCACCAACTACAGTACCATCAGGAAGTTTTTCATCTTTCTCAAATTCGACCATTTTTGTAATTTTATATTTTTATTGATATGATAACGAAAATTTCGCTTTTTATTATAGACTGCAAAATCAGAAATGGAGATGGATTTGATAGAAAATGTTGGATTCAATAAAACACGTCATCAAAAAAACGTGACATTTTTTTTTGAAAAAAAAATCTAGGCCGAAAAATGTCAACGTGTTTGATTCCAATTATCAGCCTGCCATTGTTGATTTTTCTAAAAACCGAAATTCAAATAAAGGTAAGGGAAAATTTCCGGAAGAAGAACAGTTATGACCCACGACATTCTCTTGTAACTAAACTCCAGTTTTTCAGTACAAAGAAGCCAAAAAACTCATTAAAATGTCTCAAACTAAAGAACCCCGTTTGAATGATAGCAATATGACAAGTTCTGGTAAGTCTCAAATACAAGATAGTGTAGATTGGAATAAACTTCCAGGAATCTCAGGGTCTGGATCAATGTCACCACCAATTTCAACACGTCCATCATCTGGTCAAGTTTCACCTTTGATTTCAAATGGTTCATTATCACCCCCACAATATGTTGATGATCAAGGAGGTGCTGAATATTCTGAATCACCACGTGATCTTTCGCCACTTTTACTTGCCGAATTAGCATGTTTGAATATGCGAGAAGTTGTTGCAAGACCAGGACTTGGAACTATTGGAAGACAAATTCCTGTCAAAGCCAATTTTTTTGCTGTTGATTTGAAGAATCCAAAAATGGTTGTTATTCAATATCATGTTGAAGTTCATCATCCAGGATGTCGAAAATTAGACAAGTAAGGGACTATTTTAAAGAAAGAAATCAATAATTAATTAATAATTTGCAGAGATGAAATGCGCATCATTTTTTTGGAAAGCGGTTTCTGATCATCCAACAATTTTCCATAATAAATTTGCATTGGCATATGATGGAGCACATCAACTTTATACAGTTTCTCGTCTTGAATTTCCAGATGATAAAGGATCTGTTCGTTTAGATTGTGATGCATCATTGCCAAAAGATAATCGTGATCGAACTCGTTGTGCAATTTCAATTCAAAATGTTGGTCCAGTTTTGCTTGAAATGCAAAGAACTCGAACTAATAATTTGGATGAAAGAGTTTTGACACCAATTCAAATTTTGGATATTATTTGTAGACAATCATTGACGTGTCCATTATTGAAGTAAGATTTGGATTGTTGAGAAGTTGAAATAACGTTTTACATATTTCAGAAACTCTGCCAATTTCTACACCTGGAAATCATCGTGTTACCGTATTCCAACTACAAATGGACAAGCTTTGGATTTGGAAGGTGGAAAAGAAATGTGGACTGGATTCTTCTCAAGTGCTCATATTGCTAGCAATTATAAACCACTTTTGAATATCGATGTTGCTCACACAGCATTTTACAAAGCAAGAATTTCAGTTTTACAATTGATGTGTGATGTTTTGAATGAGAGAAGCGGAAAATCTGGTGGAAATCAAAATCGTGGACAAATGCGTGGAGTTGGAGGATATCAAAGAGGTGGAATGAATTCACGCGGAGGAATGTCTCGTGGTGGAGGATGTGTGAATTATGGTGGACGTGGTGGTCCGCAATCACGTGATGATTTTGGTCAAATGGGTCCAATTTTCACTATTGAGAATTTGAGCCGTGATACACAATTGTCAAGTTTTGAAGCAAGAGTTTTTGGTGATTCGATTCGTGGAATGAAAATTCGCGCAACTCATCGTCCAAATGCAATTCGTGTTTATAAAGTGAACAGTTTGCAATTACCAGCCGACAAATTGATGTAAGTTCTGATAACTTTCGCCGTAAATGTTTTCAAATTATATTTATTGCAGGTTCCAAGGTGTTGATGAAAATGGAAAACAAGTGATTTGTTCAGTTGCGGATTATTTTTCTGAAAAATATGGACCATTAAAATATCCAAAACTTCCATGTCTTCATGTTGGTCCACCAAATCGTAATATTTTCTTACCAATGGAACATTGTTTAATTGATTCACCACAAAAATACAACAAAAAAATGACTGAAAAACAAACAAGTGCAATTATAAAAGCAGCTGCAGTTGATGCAACTCAACGAGAAGATCGTATAAAAGCATTAGCAGCACAAGCAGCATTTAATGTTGATCCATTTTTGAAAGAATTTGGTGTTGCTGTATCATCACAAATGGTTGAAACAACAGCTCGTGTTATTCAACCACCACCAATTATGTTTGGTGAAAATAATCGATCAGTTGTAAATCCAGTTGTATTTCCAAAAGATGGTTCATGGTCAATGGATAATCAAATACTTTATTTACCAGCAACATGTCGTTCATATTCAATGATTGCACTTGTTGATCCACGTGATCAAACTACACTTCAAACATTTTGTCAATCATTGACTGCAAAAGCAACACAAATGGGAATGAATTTTCCACGTTGGCCAGATTTGGTTAAATATGGTCGATCAAAAGAAGATGTTTGTGTATTATTCACTGAAATTGCTGATGAATATCGTTTGACAAATACTGTTTGTGATTGTGTTATTGTTGTATTACAATCTAAAAACTCTGACATCTACAGTAAGTTATTATTTTGATAATTAGCGCCCAAAATCTACAGTAACCTTGAATTTGGATAGATTGAAAAGATTCGAATTTCCATTCCAAATTAATCCACAGTAACCCCAGTTTCAGACAACAAGTTAATTGACAAACTCTTGAGCCAAATACGAATATTTTCAAACCCCATAATTATTTTTATACTTCTAATCGAAACATATTTTTTGCAGTGACTGTAAAAGAGCAATCTGATATAGTTCATGGAATAATGTCACAATGTGTTTTGATGAAAAATGTTCTTCGTCCAACAGCAGCAACTTGTGCTAACATTGTTTTGAAATTGAATATGAAAATGGGTGGAATAAATAGTCGAATTGTTGCTGATCAAATAACAAATAAATATTTGGTTGATCAACCAACAATGGTTGTTGGAATTGATGTAACACATCCAACACAAGCTGAAATGAGAATGAATATGCCATCTGTTGCTGCAATTGTTGCAAATGTTGATCTTTTACCACAATCTTATGGTGCAAATGTTAAAGTTCAAAAGAAATGTCGTGAATCAGTTGTTTATTTATTGGATGCAATCCGTGAAAGAATAATTGCATTTTATCGTCATACAAAACAAAAACCAGCTCGAATTATTGTTTATCGTGATGGAGTTTCAGAAGGTCAATTCTCTGAAGTTCTTCGTGAAGAAATTCAATCAATTCGAACTGCTTGTTTGGCTATTTCTGATGATTTCCGTCCACCAATCACTTATATTGTTGTTCAAAAACGTCATCACGCAAGAATGTTTTGTAAATTTCCATCTGATATGGTTGGACGTGCTAAAAATGTTCCACCTGGTACAACTGTTGATACTGGAATTGTTTCACCAGAAGGTTTTGATTTCTATTTATGTTCACATTATGGAGTTCAAGGAACATCTCGTCCAGCAAGATATCATGTACTTCTAGATGAATGCAAATTCACAGCTGATGAAATTCAAAACATCACTTATGGGTAAGTTCTAAAAACATCTATGGTTATGATTTCTTTAAAACCTTTATTTTTTTATAGAATGTGTCATACATATGGTCGTTGTACTCGTTCAGTATCAATTCCAACACCAGTTTATTATGCTGATCTTGTTGCAACTCGTGCCAGATGTCATGTTAAAAGAAAGCTTGGACTTGTTGATTCAATTGAATGTGATGCAAATTCAATGACTTCTTCACTTGCTTCTTTGATGAATTTTGGAAAAACTGGAAAGAAAAGCAAAAATCAAGAAGAAGACGCATTTTTAAATATGGGAGACGGAAATGCGGATCAAGTTTTGCAAGATTGTGTTTCGGTGGCTGGTGACTTCAAAAGTCGTATGTATTTTATTTGAACTTGATGTTGATCTTACTCGTGATTCCCCGCTCAATTTTTCTTTTTTTTCTCTAACAAGTAAATAAAGTAGATTCTGATAAAATGTTATTGCAGAAAAATTGGATATTCAAAATACACTAAAAAAACATTCCAAAATAATTTTTCTAGTACACGTTACGCTAAAATTACGGTGGATTCGAATAATTGAAAAAAGCTATCATTTTTTGAAAATTAAACCAATTCAAATCGTCTTGAATTATGAAATCAAATTCTAATATCCCATATTTAATTCCATCGTATCTTGAAAAAATGAAAATGTATTCGAAAGTTGCCGAAATTCGAGTTATGTATGATGCTCCAACAAAACAAACAACATATACTTATCAATTAAATTGGAATTGTGATGCAAATCAAAGAGAAGCTTGTATCAAATCACTCGAAAAAGGAAATCACATCGGAAAACAAGCAACTGTTCCACGTTCGAAAAAAGATTCAGAATATCCAGTTATTGCAGTTTGTGATGGACCATGTGAAAATGCGTATCCATCAAATAAATTGAATATTCTTGGAAGATGTGGACATTATTTATGTGATAAATGTTATGAAATTGTTAAAAATTCAGATGGAACTAGAGGTTGTAGTTCATATGCATGCAATTGGGAAAAATCATTGGAATTTGAAGAAACTGAGGATAAAAAGGTCTGAAATTTAATTTCAAAAATTATTCCGAAAAATACATTTTTCAGACTCAAACTTCTGAAATCAAAAATTTGTCAGATGAATCGATTCCCTCAATTTCAAAACTCATAATCGATATGGATGATGAGTCAAATTACACTTGTTCAATTTTATCCACAGATTCAAAAACTACAGTAACTTTGGACCGACGATAGACTAATTCAACTGGATTTATTTGTTTCATTCATTTATTTTTTAAAAATAAATACTTTATCACAGATTTGATTCAACCAACCCATAGAAACAAAACAATAAGAAAAACAAGAAAACCCGTAGAATAAATAAATAATAATAATAATAATAAATACAAAAAAGTTCCAAAACATTTCCTAAACTATAAAACATCTGGAATTGAATTAATAAGATCTCCATCGGCTTCGCAAGACTGTCTCCAATATTTATCCCAATCTTCGATTATATATTCTTTTTTCGGCTGTTCCCAAAGAATTCGACAAATTTGACAGACTCCCCATGGTTTCTCCAAAACATCGTGATTTTGACCGTCTAGAAATACCACTTGATAATCGCGTTTCCATTCGAAATATTCACTGAATAAATAATTTGATTTAATTCAAGAAATGTTCAACTTACAGATAAGCAGTTTGATTTTTCATCAAATAATGCAAATATTCTCCCATTTCTTTCACACTTTTGAAATCATCGATTGCAATAAAAGAATTTGGCGGAACAAATGGTTCAACCAATGATCTTTTCATAACCAAAGGTACTATTGTTTTTTGAAAACCTTGATTCCATAATTTTTCAGTTACGTAATCTTTGCAAATTGAATTTTCGAATGCCACGTAGAAGAAGTAGCTGAAAATGTTTGAAAAATGAAAAAAGAGTGGGGAAGGTTCACGCCAAAAATGAATTCTAATGAAATTGTTTAATTTTCAATTTTCAAATGTGATGAGTTTTCATTGAGAAAATTACTTCATTCTTGGAGAATTTCCAATTTCCAAGCACATTTTCTTACTGTAATCTCAGGAAATCGTCAGCGCAGGTTTTTGAAGATTCAGAAAAAGGGTTCTTGTGAATTGGGCCATGTTGAATTCATCAAAGTAAAAAATCTCAATCAAAACTCAGAAAATTGAAAACAGAGTATTTCTAATAGTTCCCATCGTTTTATTTGCAAACTTACTCATTATCCAACATATTTTCACAATTTCCTTTTCTCGGACACTTCAAGTCACTGCATGAACCATATTTATCAACCTCGAAATATTTCTGTAAACTAATTTTTTTTTACTTTTCTCAAATTCTCAATGATCTCACATTCAATCGATCCACAAAAACCTCTCTTCGACTATTTGTGCTACAATGACTGACATACCAAGCAGCTCCTTTTGTTTTCTTCGCAATTAATGATTTATCAACAATCTGAAAATATTTGATTTATGAGTTTTCCAATAAAGAATGGTATCGTACTTCTCCAGTTTTTCTGGAATTTGGTCCAAGTTTCACTGTATATCCATAAGGTGATCCAGCTGGTGTATCGTGTCGAAAACCAAAAGTCATATTGATGAATGATTTATGTGGAACATTGATTCCTGAATTGGCTGGTGATTCTTGGCTCACATAAATTACATATTGATTAGACTTGGCTTTTATATTTGGTTCATAATGACTGACAAGAATCTGGAAAGAAATGAAATCGAGATTAATGTGGTGTTTGTATCGGATTCAAGGAAACTGATTTTTTTCGATATTTTCCTTAAACTAACCGCATCAGCTTCTCCAATTCGACTACGATCTTGAATAAATTCACAATTCCATTCTGGACATCCACCAAGATTTGCAGCTGATAATCCAGTTCCATATGATAATATTACTCTTTTTTCACCAGATTTTACATTTGCTTTCATTCTTTCAGCAAGTTTTATAGAATTATAAGTAAGAACTTCTTCAACTTCAAACGGATTTCCCTTTTTTGGATTAAAATTGAAAGTTTTCTTTTGTTTTTGTTTTTGATTGTTTGATATCAAATGTGAAGGAATATGTTCTACAGTATCTTTTGGTTGAAATCTAACTTCTTCCATTTTCTCAGAGTTGTTCTAAAAATTAAATGTTAGAATTTTCGAAAGCATGTACATTACTTACCTCCTTCGAAATTGGTATATAAATAACAAAAAGATAAGTAACACAACAAGCAAGCATAAGATATTTCCATTTTCCGAAGAAATTGCGAACTGTTCGTGTTGACATATTCATGGAGTAATTGAACCTGCAAACATAGTTTTTTTTTTGGAAAATTCAGTTAATTTTTTGTCTTCAAACAAAAAAAAGAGCAAAAAAACAACAACAATAGAATTCATTTTGTCTCGTTTTTTTTTCTGAAAAAAATGTGAGAATTTGTAGCGGTTGCGTGGCAACAAAATAAAGATTCTGGTGTTGAAGTATATTATTCACACAATATTTATCAAGTTATAGCTACATTTATTGGAACAATTCAGCAAACTTTTTGTTTTTTTTAATCAATTTATTAAATAAAAAAAATAAGTTAGAAAAAAAATACGTATATAATTTTTGAATTCTGAAATATGGAACTTTTTCAAAGTTTTCAGGACTTCTTGAGAAAAAAAGGTTTTTGATTTATGTAATAAATCAAATTATAGCTACATTTTCTAGATATATTTTTAGGAAAGAAAAAACTTTTAGAAGATATTAAAACTTACAAAAGTCTATATTCGTGTTCCAAATATACTTTAATTTATTTTGTTTCTAAAAGAGAACTGACTCAAAAAATTCGCCACATAAAATAATAACAAAAAAAAAAGAACAGGAATTATGAGTTGGAAAAACGACACGTTTCTCACGCAATTCATAATTTTTCGAAAAAGATACGGTGAAATTGATACTCTTCGGGCAAAATAAATTTTGAGCCGAGTTGTATTGTCCAAAAAGTTTCTGGGCCTTATTGTTTAAAAAAACGTAATTTTCTTTTTTTCGAAAAAGTTTCTGATAATAATTTCGGAAATGTTTTGTTTGTTCTGTGAAATATACTCAAAATAAAATTATAGCTACACTTTCCAGAAAATACAAAGAAAAATTTTAAAAACGTTTTTCATTTCAAAGTTTGGAAAGTTTTCGAAAAAAATCTCGATAATAAATTAGAAACATTTTCCGAAATGTAGAAGGAACTCGGAATATTTCTTATTTTCAGAAAGTTGTTACAAAACTTTTCTTTGAGCATTTTAATTATTTCTTTCTAACTATGTTTCAGTAAAGTTCCGGAATTTTTTCATTTTCAAAATGGAAATAACTTATTATTCATGCTCACATTAATTATATGAAACTTTTTTTTGAAAATTTTTCGATTATAACAACGTTTTCAACAAAAAATTGTGGAATACAATAACACAAGTTCATTCATATTCAAATTGTGAGAAAATTCCAAAAAAATACCAAGAAAAAGATGATTTCTTAATTTTCTGACTAATATTTTTCCAGAAAAAATTAATCTATATTTCAAATAATTTTTTAAAAATAAAAAAAATATCATTGGCTTCTTATGTATCAGCGAAAAAGATAATCCTGTCTCCCAAAAAATTAAAGATTTAGAATTCTCTCGAAATCTGTGAAAAGGAAAGGCCACCGAAAAACAAAAATGAAACATCAATTTTCAAAAACAGACCGAAACTTTTTTTTTGGAAAATAATCCTTTTTCATTTTTCATTTCATTCATTCAAAAAAGTTGGTATTTGGGATAAACAAAAATATTTTTTCTATTTGGCTGGTAATAAAAAGAGCATAAAATGTAATGTTTTCTATATATGTATATATATATTCCAATGGAAATTGAGCAAACATCTGATTTTTTTTGAGAATCTAGAATTATTTTTTGAATGAAAACTTCCGGAATTCCAAAATACACAAACACACAAATAAATATCTAAAATGTGCTAATTTATGTGACTTGCCAAAAACAATTTATTTTTTATACATAAATTAGAAATTCGGAAACTAATTGAATGTGGAAAAAACACCAAATTTGGAACAAAATGTCACATAAAAGTATTATAACAAAAAAAAAGAATGAATGAAAAAATCCACGTATTTTTATTGGTTATCAGGCATTCAAAATTTTGAGCAAACAGAAAACGAGAGAAGAAAAACACAGTTTTTATGGAATGAATGGAAGAATTGGAAAAAACGACATGATGTTGTTATAAAAAAATTGATTTTTATTTTTTCAAAATAAAATAATCGGGAAAAATGCCTGTTCAGAAGAACATATGCAAATAATTTATTCTTTTTTTTGAAAAAAAAAAATAATATTTTTAGTATTTTTCGCAAGCATTGAAAAAAGTGCATCAAATGTAATTTGCATAATCGAGTTCAATTTTTTTCAGGTCAAATTTTCCCAATTTTTTCTCTTTCAATCCATGGGAAAAAAACCAACAACTCAGAAAAAACTATTTACTATTTATTTTTAAGAAAAAAAAGTCCCTTCAGAAAAAAAATGAAGAAAACAATAAAAAATGCATGAGAATTTATACCGTTGTTGAAAATCGTCAGATTTGTTATTGTTGTATTTTTTGAAGGATGAGAGAAAAAATGTGCTACGAAACATCTGGTTGATTTTTCGCACTTTTGAATAAATTGAGGCTTCGCTGTTTAGTTCAGACAATTTTTCATTAAAAAAAATATATATACAAATTCAATTTTAAAAAATTAAGCTCTATTTGATCTGAATCCTCTTTTGAATTGCTCATCTATTTGTTTATTTATATTCCATCCATCCGGAATTCCAACTAAACCTCGTGCAATTGGAGCGGATTTCGGAAAATCTGGATCAATATTAAAATCGAATGGAATTTCACCATTTGGACCAATTGTTTGGCGAGCAAATGGGCTGGAAGAAAACGACAATGTGCATTGAACATTCAACAATATTCTCTATACTACAGTAATCTTAAAGTTTCTACAAAAATATCAACATTTCTATTTCAAAGTTTTTTGTCAAGATCCAAGGAAAAATAATGCAATGACTTTTAGACATAACATTTTTTCAGCCTACAAAATCCCCCTTGTGAACCTTACATTTGTGTAGTTGTGATAAGTTCAGATTCTTGTCCTTCAACATCTTCAAGTGGTTCAGAAGTAGTTGATTGCTGGACTAAACTTTCTTTGAGCTCTTCAATCGTTGGTTGAAAAGCTGGAGCTCCATTTGGAGTTTCGATCTGAAAAAGGTTTCATAACTTTTTCAGTTTTCGGAATTGAACCACAAAAAATATATTCGAAAATCACTAGATAAATGCTATTCTCAAAAATCTTGAACTTCCAGAAACCCTCTGATTCGATTCAACTTTTTCTTCGGTAACTCACCGGTTTTTCTATTTTTGGTTCAGTTCTTTGCACATCTGAATTTGGACTTGCAAATGGATCATTTTTAATCTGAAATTTTGGAAATGATTTTGGAGATAATGATAATTTGAAATTTTGGAAGAGAAAAATTAAATAATTTGGCTATAATATTTCAACTTTTTCAGAGAAAGTTAGGGCTTGGTAAAAATACCACAAAAAATGAACATTTTTCAAGTAGTACTGTATTTAAAAAAATCTTCACTATTAATAAGGTTTTTGGACTTCAATAAGGTTTTTGGATAGAAATGAAAAATTTGCCATTTTATGTATTTTTTTAGTGAAATTATCTTTTCTAGACATTTATAATTTTTTCAGAAACTCACCGGAATTTCAGGTTTCTCAGTTTCAACAACTTTTTTCTCTGAAACACTGAAAGGTGCTTTGTTCAACCCCTTCTCCTTGAATATCAATTCAGCGGCTTCAATATCTAGAATATCTTCTTCATCTTTCACTGCACGTCGTATCCCATTTCCATTTCTTACGACTTTTCTGACACGATGAACTGATTCCGAAACTTGCAAAATCACGCAAAATAAGAGAAAAATAGCCAAGAGTCTCATTTTGAAATTGAGAAAAATGAAAATGAGAAATGAAAAAAGAGAGAAACTAGTTAGAAGAAATGATAAGATAGAAGAAGGTAAGTATTTTAAGAACTTCATAAATAAAGCGATAACTACATTATGTCAGACAAAAATTGGAAGAAAACAAGTGCCTAGAAAAATGAAAATAAAAAGAAAAAGGCTCGACAAGTGAAAAGCTCGAAATTGTTTTGTCCAAGAAAATAGTTATAATTAATAAATAAACAACAAATAAAGTATTATTCACACGGTCGATCTTAAAATTATGGTGTCTTTTACAACTGAAAATAAATATATAAAAAAAAAAGAGAAACGTGGTTAAATAAGTTGCAGAAGAGAAATAAATATGTATATGTATATAAATTGAGACCTGCTTCGAATTAGAAAAATCTTTTGTGAATTGCCGACGGTCCAACATCATCATACTCTTTTTTGCCGAGCCACATTTTTCGGAAAGTTTCCAAACTTGCAACAATTGATCCACCAGTCCATGTAAGAGAAAGACGTTCCTGAAAAATACGACATTTTGGAAGAGAAAAACCTATGATAGCTAGAAAACTACAAAAACTATATTTTTACAAACGGTTAACCTTGGAATGTTTACTTGTAAATGATAAAAGTTACTATCTTTAGTTTTGTAAAAAGTTCAAAAATGAAGTGGTTTTCCTACCTGCGAAGCGGATATTCTAATTTTTCCATCAGACGGCGAAATTTTGCGAACTTCGCTCAACAATCGATCACCAAAACCTTTGAAAAGTGTAGTTCCACCGCTCAACACAATATTTCCATAAAGTGTTTGTCTCGAATCAATATCACATTTCAAAATACTTTGATTCACAATTTGTGCCATTCCAGGCCATTCAGTTCCAATCAAATCTGGTTTGAACAATACTTCAGGAGCTCGGAACAATGAATTCGATAATTCGACTTTGGTGTTATCCGGAAGAGTATATGCGATTTTCGAATTCGAATTTTCAACTTTCGAAGCATCAGCTGCCAAATAACACGCATTTTCCTTAATCTCTCTGACAATTTCAAATTCATTACTACGATGGAACTCATATCCTTCTCTTCTTAAAAGAACACGCAAATATTCTGTCACATCACGACCGGCTAAATCCATTCTTTGAATTCTGAAAAAATTATCTTTTTAATCCTAGAAAGATTTTTGAAAAACATACGCATGTTTCATGGCAAATCCCTTGACAATTGGTACTGCATGAGTGACTCCATCTCCAGAATCTAATACAACACCAGTTGTTCTTCCAGTTGCATATAAAGATAAAACTGCTTGCATTTGGATGTAAAATGCGGGAACATTAAAAGTCTCAAAGAAAATCTCTGCAGATTTTTCTCGATTTTTCAATGGGTTCAAAGGCGCATCGGTGAGCAAAACTGGATGTTCTTCTGGGAAAATTTGAAGTTGTTCTGGCGAATAAATGTATTCCCAAATCTTTTCCATATCATTCCAATTATTCACGATTCCGTGTTCCATTGGATATTCGATTGAGAAAAGTCCGCGATTTTCTTCGGCTTTTGGACCTAAACGGGTAATTATGAGATTTGTAAGACAATATAATAATTACCTATGAAAACATCGCCTTCTAATCCACCCGCCATTACACGATGATACTTTGGTCGACCAACGAAATTTGCAAATCGCACCTGGAATCAAAATAATTATATCGTTTTACACATTGAAGTTTTCAATATTTTGCTTACTCATCTACTGAATCAGTAGTACTGATTCAAAATCGCCGAAACAACAACAAAAAAACTCACTTTTGGCTTTGGTTCTCCAGCAAAACCAGCTTTAATGACACCCGAACCATTGTCAATAACAACTGGCTGATTGGCAATCACATCATAATCCATGTTTGATTATATCTAACTCCTGAAAACTGCTAAAATAACGCGTGTGAGCAACCAAAAATTGCGAAATGAGAAAAATCTGCAAATTCATGTCAGCGTGTTTGCACACATTTGCGCGGCAAATATTGTTTGAATAATTGTGGGCGTATACTTTAGCCGAATGGGAACTGTTCAGAGATAATTTTATTAAAAAATAGAAAAGAGAACGATAAAGATTAATGTTGAAAATAACTTCCTGTGAAAATCACGAAAAACAGACATTTCAACTCTTATTACAGTTAACCATCTACAGTAACCCTATTGGAAAATAATAAAAACTGCACGGTATTTTGGACTTTCTAGAGATAAAGTAAACAAAGTTTCGATGGTCCGCCGATATGTTCCATTAATCCAAAAACGAACAGATGTGTTATGAAAAGTCTGCTCATCTGCGTCTCTCATGGTCCTTCATCTTTTCTCGCCTTTTCTCTTTTTTTCGCGGACATTTTCACTTTTTCTCGTTTTTTTGCTAACAAAGAAAAAATGCATTGGAATATCGAATCAGATGCCGGACTGCCACAAATTCCTCCAAGATCACCTATTTCGAATCGATCAACAGTTTATACAAATGAAAAAATGACTGGTGATTTTTTTCAGAATCTTGCATCTATGAGATTGTAAGTTTTTTCAAGAAAAAAAATCAGAAAATACGTTATTGTTTATTAGACAAAAAGAGTTATGTGATGTTGTAATCGAAGCTTTTACTTCTCCTCTAAATTCGCCAGAAGATTCAAGACAAGATGATTTGACAATTCCACAATTAATTCATGCACATCGAGTTGTTTTATCTGCTTCGAGTCCATATTTTCGAGCGATGTTTACAACTGGAATGAGAGAATCAGCAACGAAGCAAATTACTATGAAGGTTTGAAAATTAGAAAGTTTTGGAAAAATTATAAAACTTTTCAGATCTATTTTTTCAGGGGGCTTTTGAAATTATTAAACCATAAAAAATTAAACTTCCGACATTCATTATTCAGAAATCTTCTGGTCAAAAAATCACATCTTTTTTTAAAATTTGAATTCTGAACTACAGTAATCGTTGATAATTTTTAAAAATCCTGTGTTCGAAGCAGTGGTCTTCAAAAAATTAACAATATCAAACTACAGTATTTTTTCTAGCTTGGAGATTTCACAAATTCGATTTTTCTTGTTCTTTTTTTAACTGAAATTCTGAGCTACAGTATCCCAGCAATTCTTCTTGAGAACATATCTCTAGCTACAGTAACCCTAACTATTTTGTTTCAGGAAGTCGATGCAGATGTTCTTTCTCAAATAATTGATTATATGTATACTGGTCGAATTGTTATTGATGAGCAAATTGTCCAAACAATGCTTTCCACTGCAAATCTTCTTCAATTAATTTGTGTCAGAGATGCATGTTCCAGGTAAATATTTCTGTAAGATAGCCAAATTTTCACTCGGAAAATGTTTATTTTCAGATTTCTGCTGGAACAATTAGATGTTACAAACTGCCTGGGAATCGCTGCATTTGCCCGTCTTCATGCTTGTTCTCAACTCGCACACGCTGCTCAACTTTTCACCAGACAACATTTTGGGTTAGATATTCAGGCCCCTAAATCCAAAAAAAAAATAAAATGTATTTCAGAGATCTTATTGATAATGAAGAATTATTGAATTTGGACAAAGCGAGTTTTATTCAATTAATTGCTGATGATCGAATTACTACAAATGGAGAAGAAGCTGTATTTGAAGCAGTTATAAATTGGACACATCACGATCTTGTAAATCGAAATAAATATCTTGTTGAGATTTTGAAAGCGGTTAGATTGCCATTATTACCTCATAAATATTTACTGAATCGAGTTTATTATGAACCATTGGTAAGTTGATTTTTGATATTTTGAATTTGGAGCGAAACGAGCTCAGCTTCGAGTTTCTAAATTCATAAATTTTGATCATGAATTTAAAAAGGGATACTGTGTTTTGGCTAAAAATTCATATATTTGCAGATTCGTCAGAACAAAGATTGTCAAGAAATGTTATTGAGTGCGTGTAAATTTTTAATCGAAAAATCAATGAATGATATTTCAACAACAAATGCACATCGTCGACCATCTTTAGCAAATTCAGAGTCAGATATATCTGAAATGATATTAAATTGTCCCCAATGGCTTCGTCCTCGTCAACCAGTTCCATTATCTCAATTTGTAATGATTGTTGGTGGCCAAGCACCAAAAGCAATTGCAAATGTCGATTTATTTGATCCTGATTCACATTTATGGAATACTTGTGCACCTTTGCCACAAAGAAGATGTCGAAGTGGTGTGAATATTTGTCGAGAATTAGTTTATACAACTGGTGGTTTTAATGGTGCACAAAGAGTTAAATCAGTTGATGTTTATGATCCGAGAAGAGATGTTTGGATATCTGGATATCCAATGGAAGCAAGAAGATCAACACATGGATTAGCTGTAAACGATGGAATACTTTATGCTGTTGGAGGTTTTGATGGCTCAACCGGTTTATGTAGTGCTGAAATGTTAGATAGTCGAACTGGTTCCTGGTGTCCTTTACCATCAATGAGTACAAGAAGATCAAGTGTTGGTGTAACATCATTAAATGGTTTGATATATGCAATTGGTGGGTTTGATGGTGTATCGAAACAATGTTTGAATACTGTTGAAATCTATGATCAACGAGCAAATCAATGGAGATCAGGACCATCTTTAATGAATGTTCGAAGTGGTTCTGGAGTAACAATTTGTGATGGAAAAATAGTAGCAGTTGGTGGACATCGAGGAGCTGATATTCATCAATCTGCTGAAGTTTTGATAAATGATGAATGGAAAGAGTTACCAAATATGACAGTTGGAAGAAGAAATGCATCTGTTGTTGCTGTCAATGATTATTTATTTGCAATTGGCGGAGATGATGGATCAAGTAATTTATCAACTATTGAATGTATTCAACTAACAGGAACTAATTCTACATATTCCGATAAATCGTGGCAACTTATAGAGGTATACATATTTCCTGAAACATTGCCGAATTTTTTCTAATATATTTTTTTCCAGACACAAATGCCACAAGGTCGATCATATGCGGGTATTGCTCTATTACCAAAAGATGAGATCTAACTTTCCAAATCCTGTAATTACTTTATTATTTAAAGAAAAATCAATAGAAGAACGGGATGATATAAAGCAGTGACACAAAAAGAAATAACAGATGCATTAGATAAATACTTACTATATGAAGAAATAGAAGGATGTGTGTGGGAAAAAAGAAACAAAAATAAATTACCAACAAAATAAGTTTACCGTTTCATCTGCTTATGCCCATTCTTCGGCTTTTTCAGTATCCGCAACATATTCATCGGCGAATCGTCGGAATTTTTCGAGAAGTTTTCCGATTGGAACTTCTCCACGAACTGCATTATCACGGGTACGAACATTTACAGTGTTGTTTTCCATTTCTTTGGCTCCAAGAACAAGGATAAAGTTGAATTGGGCCAATTGCGCGTTTCTGACCTAAAATTAATTGAAATTAGAAATGGTAAAAAAAATATTATTTGAAAATATTTACCTGTTTATTCATGGTATCCGAGCAAATTTCATCATATTCAACTTCAAATCCAGCATCGAAAATTTGCTTTTTCACCGATTTAGCGTATTCTTTCATAGAATCGTGGACAGTGATGATTTTACACTGAAACATTTATAGTTTACATAATGACTATTCATTGAAAAAAACTAACCTGTCTTGGCGATAACCAGAATGGCCATTTTCCTCCATAACTTTCGGTCAAAATAGCAGTCATTCGTTCAACGGATCCCAAAACAGCACGATGTATCATAACTGGTCGTTGTTTTTCACCCTTTTCACTGAAAAACAGAAATTAATTTGTAAAACAAGAAATGAAATCCTAATTTTCAAGTTCTAAAAAAAGAGGTCACGTCTAATAATTAAATTAATTTTCTAGGATTATCTTTTGTTTCTAATAACACGTCTATTTTTTGTACTTACTCGAAATAACTCAAATCGAAACGATTTGGCAATTGGAAATCAAGTTGAATTGTAGCGCATTGGAAGTTTCTTTTCAATGCATCTTGAATTGTGATATCAATCTTTGGTCCATAAAATGCACCATCTCCTGGATTCAATACCCATTTTCTTCCAGTTGCATTCAATGCATTTGTCAAATCAGCTTCAGCTTTGTCCCATGTCTCAATATCTCCAAGGAATCCTTCAGGGCGGGTAGACAAATTCAATTTGAAAGTGAATCCGAATACCTTTTCATAAGCATATTCGAGGAAATCAAGACATCCAGCAATTTCATCGGCAATTTGATCGCGTCTACAAAAAATATGAGCATCATCTTGTTGGAATCGACGAACACGGGTAAGACCAGTAAGTGCACCAGACATTTCATTTCTATGAAGAACTCCAAAATCAGCAAATCGGAATGGAAGTTCATTATAAGTATGTGGTTGATGTCCGAACATCAAACAATGTCCTGGACAATTCATTGGCTTCAAACCAAATTCCTCTTTCTCAACTTCAACTCTGAAAATCGAATACTTTTTTAAAGAAAAATTCCCAATAGAAATCTTACTTGAACATATCTTCCGAATAATGTTCCCAATGTCCAGATGTCTCCCATAATTTCTTATTGTACATGTTTGGTGTGATTACTTCAGTGAATCCTCTGAAAAATGAATATAATTATGAAAATTACTTATAAAAATTTACCTTCTTCTATATTGCTTTCTGACAAAATCAACCAATTTGTTATAAATATGTGCACCTTTTGGATACCAGAAACATGAACCTGGTGACAATTGATGGAAGAAGAAAAGATCTTGTTCTCTTCCCAATTTACGATGATCTCGTTTAGCCGCTTCTTCTTGTAATCTTTTCCATTCTTTCAATTGTTTCGAATCTGGGAACGAAATACCATAAACACGTTGAAGAGATTCGGCGTCAGCTTTTCCTTCCCAATATGAAGCAGATGTTTTGGTGATCGAAAAAGCCTTGATCTTTCCAGTGTGTCTAACGTGTGGTCCACGACACAAATCAATAAGTGGTCCACATCTATAGACAGTGGTGGTTGGTGTGGTGACTTTTTCTTTCAAAATTCGAACTTTGAACTCATTGTATTTGAACATTTCCAAAAGATTTTCTTTGGAAACTTCCAATCTTTCGAAGTTTTGTTTTTCTTTAACAGCGACATTCATAATATTTTCAATACCGGCAAAGTTATCTGGATTGATAGTTTTATTCTGTAAAAAACACAGTTTTCAAAAAATTCAAATAATATTTGCATAATTATTCGAACATACCTCATGCCACATGTCGTAGTAGAATCCATCTTGAATTGGTGGTCCATAACACAAATGTCCTCCACAGAATCTTTCCATGGCTTCTCCCAAAAGATGAGCAGATGAATGCCAGAAAACTTGTTTGGCCTCATCATCATCGAATTTCAACAATTGAAGTGTGGAACTTTCTTCGAATGGGCGATCCAAATCCCAAACATCACCATTTACTTTTGCAATTACAGCGGCTTCAGCCAAACCTTTTGAGATTTTCTCAGCGATTTCAAATGGTGTGGTGCGCCATGATTTAGCATCGAATTTCTTTCCATCGGGAAGAGTGATTTCAATTGGTTCGGATTCTTTAGCAGCAATACTTGCATCATATTCAGCTTTCAATTTATCCCAGAGCTTGATTCTTTCTTGGATGAAATCTGGCAATGGATTCAAATCAAATTGAGATGATGCCATTTTCTAAAAACGAAAAATGAATGGTAAATACTTTCAGAAATTAGAAAAAAACGAGAGGCGGGATTATCACACACAAACAAAATTTAAAAAAAAACTAACATGATTCGAAATTTGGTGAAACTTTTTATTATCAAAGGTACGTTTAGAAGTGGCGGCTACTTCTGAACAAAACAGTCGTTTTGATGAGATGTTGAGCAAAAAACGAAACTGAGTCAATCGCATTGAGACATGAGCGCGATGGCTTGCCTAAATATTTTGCTATTGGCGTAAACAAGTAGTTAGAAAAAATTGCGAAATAGTAAACAAGCCTGATGGAATCTGATGCAACGACGTAAAGTACAAATAAATGAGTGTGTTTTCATGCAGATGGACAACCCTCATTTTAAGCGTAAAATTTGAATAATTTTTTCGGCAAGTCTGAATATTGCAACAAAATTTTTATCTTATCTGAAAATTGCAATGTTATCAAAAACTGCAATTTCTGGCTAAAATGTTTAGGTTCTAAATTTCTGAACAATGTAAATGAACACATTTACAACTTATTATACAAAAAAGTAGAACAGTTTATCCACGTGTTCAATAAACAATGGAACGTTGAACAAACAATTGAAAAACGTAACAATGAATTATTTTGAGATTTCCCAGATTTCGTGAGTTTTAAACTACTTTAAGCTAAAAAACCTATGGTTGATTTCAAGTTTAAGACTAGAATTTTACAAACAAAGTGTTTTTTAAGATGCTAAAAATGAAAAGTAGGAACCGCGAAAAAAAAACACAAATTTTTGAAAAATTACAAAATGCACGTCAACAGGTTGAGTGGTTGACGCAATTCTTGTTTTCTTGGCGCGTTTCAAATTTTTTCTTTTCTTTTTTTTTTTGAGAAAAAGTTTAGAAAACTTGGAAATTGGATCCATGGAAACTTTTCGATCTTGAATCAAAACTAAAACTTAGTTAAGATTACTATTTGAACCATTTTTATGAGTTTACATTAAATTTTTCATATTTTCAAGATCTATATAACTAAATTTAGATTTTTCTCAGAGATTTAAATATTCAAATGATTTCAAAATTTATAGAAATCAAATGGAAACGGGTGATGAAGACGATTTGATTGGAAATAAAGATGGATTGAAGTTGTTGGATTATGAAAGAGATGTTCTTGCCAAAACGCTGCCAGCGAGTGTTTTGTTCGTTGTTGGAAGGCAAGTCTTATTATACAATTGTATGACTAGCTGAATAAGAAAATTGTAGTGGACTTGGATTGGAAAGATTGTTTCTCGAACATCTAATATTGTTTTCTGACCGACGATTACTAGCATTAGTTTTGAATACAAATCAACACGATGAAAGTTATTTTATTTCAAAATTGAAAGAGCACAATGTCGAATCCGAACCGAAAGTCATAAATTCCGAAGTTAGCATCAAAGACAGACAATCAATATATCTCGAAGGAGGTGTTCAATTTTGCTCAAGTCGTGTTATTCTTGTAGATTTACTTCAGAATCGTATTCCTATTAATCGAATTGCCGCAATTTTTGTATATAGAGCACATCAGTGAGTTTCAACTGTTTTTGTAAAAATATTTTGTTTCTAATTCCAGAACATTAACAGCATTCCAAGATTCGTTCATTCTTCGATTATATCGCGAGAAAAAATCGGATGGAATGGTAAAAGCGTTCACAGATAATCCAAACAGTATATCATCATTGGGTCAACTTCAAAGATTGGTAGATAGATTATATGTTAGACATGTTGAATTATTGCCAAGATTTTCTCATTCAATCGAATCCGAGTTGAGTAGATATCAATTGAGATCAGCAGTTTTTTCGGTTGATGTTTCATCTTCGATGCGAAGAGTTCACAGAACTCTTGTTGAATTTATCAAAGTTTGTATTCGAGATCTTCGAGCTTGTTCAACATCTGGAAAAGAAGAGAAATTAGAAAATGAAGAAATGGTTCATGTTCCTTGGGCAACAACACAATTGGAAACAAGGCTGAAAAATCGAAGAGGACATCTAACTGAAAAACAATCTCGACTTTTATTAGATGCAACTTCTCTTCGCGAAATTCTTCAAATGTCTGAAAATTTAGATGGTGCAAGTGTTTTGGCTCGATTGACGGCATTGAAAAACGATCCAAAGGTAAACCCTCCAAATCCAAGTTATGTACTTCCTAATTAAAAATAATTATTTCAGGTTTTGGAAGAACACAGTGGCTGGCTTCATTCTCCTTCATTCTCTCGAATTATGGAAGAACTTCAAAATACTTGTGGTGTTCAAAATGGAAAAGGAGATTTCAAAAAGTTCGCCGCTCCTTCAAAATGGAATGTTTTGGCGGAAGTACTGAAAGAGATTAAATTAATACCCAATGATTCGAAAAATAAATCTCCCACAGTATTTTTGGTGACGAATGCAGAAGAATTATCAAGACAAGTGTCGGATGTTGTGAAATATGGATTAGATAAATCGAGATATATGAGTTGGAGGCAATTAGGATATAAAACAACACAAGATTGTCCAAAAGATGAACCACTTTGGGATCAAGAAAATATATCACAACTTATAAGAAGTCAATTAGTAAGTTTTAAAAAAATAATTAAATTTTATTAGAACAAAAAACATACGAGACAAAGTTATAATCCTTTGTTATAATACACTTTTTTTGGTGGATTTGGAAGTTTATTAATTTGTTCTTGAAGTGATAATTCCAATTTATCCACATTAATACTGCTTTTTTGTGGGAATAATGCACAACAAATTGGAGTCGAAAATGAAAGCATAAATCCACAAATTAGAATTTGAAGTGGTGCAGCCATTCTTGGTGTATACCACTTTGCACGGGTTAAATATTCGAATAAAATTGGGCCAAGAATCATATTTGGGGTTCCCATTCCAACTCGACTTAGGACAACTTGGGGAATTGCATATTTCGGTGCTTCCGTGGAGAATCCCAAAGTGTGACCATTTTTATCTTCAACAGGAATACCTTTTGTGAATTCTCTGAAACATTAAAAAAAATAAATAATTCATTAATAAAAACTAACTTATTTCTCATCATTGGAATATTAATAGCATTTGCAAAAGCGATTGCTGCAAAAGGTACAAATCTTGCTAAAATTGGAGGAGCATTTTTCCATTTTTTGAGAAGATAATTAAATGAAAGTGCACAACTCAAAGCACCAGTTGTAGCTGCACAATATGATAATATAAGTGTTTGATCATCTGATTTATGAGTTCCTGATCGATTTGTATAATTAACAATTGCATTGAATGATTGATTTATCCAGTGGAAAAATACAACATGATGAAATTTCTGATAAAATGTTAGCATTCCACCGGTAATTAACATATTGCATGGAACTTGAGCTGACATTCGGCCGAGAATGAACATTTTTTCGCCAGTATCTGGATGAAAAGCTGAATCGTAGAGAGATTTCGCTTTCCACAATTCATCGACTGTCAATTTTGGATCAAATTTTCCTTGTCTAAAATACGTATATTTACATTGGTTTGAAAAAGTTGAAAGAAGGCTGGCTCGATTTTTTTTGACGCACCGGCGTTAAAAGAATGCCGTAGTTTCCTTTCTAACATTTTCCCCGATCCCAAACTTCCGATTCCGTACTCACTTATAATCAATCACAGTTTGTCTGGCTTTCTCTAATTCCGAATTCGAAACAAACAAATTCAACCAATTGGCAGTTGTGAAAAAATGATACATTCTTCCTTGAAATTCATTTTGATTCCATCTTGGTCTTGAAATATCCGGCAGTTTTTCCAATTTTGACAATAATTCTGACATTGTTTTTCTTTTCAGCGAACTCGAAAACAACAAAATAAAAAAGTGTTTGTGTTGGAAGAAAATAGAAGAAATGAACAAAAAATGTGTGGATTTTTTCACGTTAACGTTAATTTCCCAGGGGACGACAAAAAATCGTGTTGGATTTTTTTCACGTGATTAAATTTTCATTTTGAAATTTGTGTTTTTTGCAGGACGCTGAACCAAAATCAGAATTGATTGCGAATGTACAGAAGTCTCAGAAAACTGTTGCGAGAGCTGCTCAAAAACGACGGAAAGCTGCAGAAGAATTGATGGGAGATACGAGAGATTCAAGTATTCAGACGAGTATTGTGCAATATGGTATTCTGCAGTATAAAAAGAAAAGATCAGAAGTGAGTTTTGAAGGGGCTTGCATTAGGTGACCATCCAATAAATCCAGATCTTTCAAGGCTTCAATTAACGCCCAATTCCTAATCTTTTGCCAAATCTGAGTTTTCCCCAAAATGAAACCATAATATTTTTCTAATTATTTATTATTACGATTCAACAACAATAATCCTCCTGGGATTTTCAAAATTTCAAAAAAAAAAACATTCAAAATTAAAACTTCAAAAAAATCTGAAAAATTAGTGATTACTTGGGTAATTTGGTGAAGAATTCGATTTGCATATCGGAATCTGATGGGAAACCAGCCAAAGCGGTGACCAATTTGGAGAGTGTCGAAAATTGACGCATAAAAGCATTGCTGACTGGAGTGCCTGGTGGAACAACTGGAGCTTTGAGTAAGAGTGAAAGAATTGAGAGAACCTGAAAATTATTCGGAGATAAAAACGGTTTCGAAACAAAAAATTAAAAAATACTGTTACCGAATGGAATGGTTGATAAGTGTCTCCAACTTTGTATGTTACACGACTTGCAAGTTCAGTGAGAATAGCCAAATCGTAGATCAAAGGAGAAGCGAGAAGTGAATCTTCACACGTGTTGTGAACAACAAATGTTTGTTTTCCACCCATGAAAATACTGCAAATATATTCATCCATAGCTCTTTTCGAATCAGCAACATATGGAACATATTTGATAACAACACAATGATCTGGATTTTGTGCTGTTGGGAAGAGTATTTTATTAGATTCGACCATATCATCAACAACATTTGACTTGGAGATTTCTTTCGATCTGAATTGTCTGGCTTCACTCAAATTCTTTCCGTCATTGTTTCCCAAATGATTGTATGAGACAATTGATTCAGGTTTCAAACCACTGCTCACGAGGAAATCAACGAATGCTGATTTGAATTTTGTTTGACCCGATTTGAAATCATCTCCACCAACAAAAACATTGTTTTGTTGTGCGAGTTCAATAATTCCAGGAACAAGAGTGTTTTGTGGTGATCCATTGATATAATGAGCACCTTCAAGAATCGAAGCAACTGCAAAAATATTCGAAGGCGAGATTTCTTCCTCGTTTCTTTGAATTGATGCCAATAAATCTTGTGCAGTTGTATTCAAACCATCTTTAACATCAGTGAATCTTTCAGTATTTGCAGTCCAAAGAACAATAACACATTCGAGTTGATGTTTTTCTTTGAAACTTCTAATATCATTTCTAATATGTTCCAAATGTTGTTGTTTGTTATTTCCTTCTATAACATTGTTTGCTCGACCTTCTTGATTCAACGCAATAAAATCAGGATAATAGATTGATGGAAGTGGAACAATTGGTTCAAGGAATGGTCGAAGTTTCTCTTGAAGTTCTGGCTCAAAAACTCTAGCTCTTCCCATCGCTTCATACAAATTAGCATTATTGATATCCCATCCACTGATAATTAAATCATTTGGCGAAAGAATTGGAACAATATCTTTGAATGGAACATAGACTTGTTCATTTCCATCAAAACCAAGATGAACAGTTGAGGATTGAGTTATTGATCCAAAATAATTGGCTTTATTGATTCCTTCCTTAGTTCTCCATGTCATTCCATATTGATTGGCAAAAATTGATCCAGTTGCAGTTGATCCATTATTTCCTCCAAGTCCGACCAAAAGAAGACCAGTTTTTCGTGGTTTCAAAACAGTTTTGAAAGAATATTCGTGTTCGTGCGGAATAACATGCAATCCATCGGCACGAGTTTCGAAATGATTTTTCCGATAAGTGAAACGAGATTCGAGAACACCATCTTCAACTTTTACATTGGGTGATTCGACAATAAGCTGGAATTATTATTAGATTCAGATAATGTTTTCAAGATATTTTCACTCACTCTTTTCGAGATTCCATTAGAAGAAGCCATTGTTGATCAGCGAAGTAGAAAACTGAAAATTACCTGAAAAGCAAAAAAGTTTCTAGTCAGAAAAAAAGTCTGCAAAAAGAAAAATGAATAAAAAGTGCATAGCGAGAAGAGGAGAGACGCACAAACATAGCATAATGAAAAGAGAAAATGCACATCTAATGGATCGACGGCGCCTTCAGGAGACTCCGCCCATATTTGATTGGACACAAAGAGCAGACGACGACACTTATGTGTTATATTGCGAATGTGGTGATAGAATTAATATTTATGTGCAATAAAAAAGGTGCGAATGGAGAATTTTTGCATGAATAGATGGAATGAACAAAAAAAGACAGAAGAAAAACCGAGGCTTTTGTATTTTTTGGTGTTTGGTTTGATTAGAAATTGAAAGTTCAACAAAAAATGTCTGGAAAAAATTAGAGTAGTCTCTGAATACAATCTAGGCCTCCTGAATAGCGCTACATATAAAAAAAAGATTTGTGATTTTCTAATTGTAAAAACTGCTTGAAACATTTTAATTATATCTAGAACTCGAAAAATTTCACAAAGAAACATTTCAAAGCCATAATCAATTTTTCAGAGAATGACCAAATAATGAATCAAAAGACACAATTTTATACTTTTAGACAGGGAAGAAAAACAAAAACAATGTTATTTTGATCAGATAGAACTCGAACTTTTAAAGTTTGACAGAAAAACATCATCTGATCAGATTAGATAATTATTGTTTTTAGATCGAACCGTCTACGTCAAACATTGAATCAGAAGTAAAAATTGAAGAACCTGAAGAGCCTGAAGATTGTTGTACAATTGGAGAAAATAATCAAAGTGAATTAATTGTTTGCACGGCACATGAAAGAGAAAGATATACTTTATTGAAACTTTTGGAACAGAAAAAACCATCAGCGATTATTTTATATACGATGTCACTTCAGACTTTGAGACAAATTGAGGTTTTTTGTTACTTTGGATTCAAATTTTCTATAGTATTTTTTGCAGTTATATCGTGCTTGTAATCCAGAGGAAAATCTTCAAGTTTATTGCCTGCAATATTGCGAATCGACCGAAGAAAGTCGATATTTGGAAGCAATTAATCGAGAAACTTTATCATTTGAAACATTGATTCGAGAACAAGGAACTCTTATGATTTCGCGAGAATTTAATGTTGAAAGAGAAGAAGCACCGAAATTAAAAAGTTCGACGAGAGATGGAGGTGGAAGAATTGATAGAAGAGAACGAGAATTAGATCCAAGAGAACAATCAGATGAACAAAATGAGAGACCGAAAGTTATTGTAGATATGAGAGAATTTAATAGTGAATTACCAACTATTTTGTATAAAAAAGGATATGATGTGATTGCAGCGACATTAGAGGTACGGTATTTTTTATGATAAATAAATGGAAAAAAGTTCGTTCGTCACACAACAACTTGAAGTTTCCATATCCAGAAAAATTTTATTTTCTGATTTCAGAAAAAAATGGAAATTAAAAATGTTTGTCAACAATTTTATATCGTTTTCAAGCCCAACATAAAATTCTGAAAAATCACTATTTTTTCAAGTATTCCGTCAATTTTTTTCTGAATGTTTTCAATGAAAATTTTTGTTCTTCAGATTGGTGACTATATTTTATCAACTGATATTGCTTTGGAAAGAAAAGCTCTTGATGATTTAACCCAATCACTTCAATCTGGAAGAGTATTCAAACAAATTGAACAAATGTTGCAATACTATGAATGTACTGTTTTGCTAATTGAATCCAACACAAAATTCGAAACAAAAATAGTGAATGGCGGACCATTTCAAGGAGAATTGAGTAGACATTGTCGAGAAATTCGATCTCGACTTTGTGCACTTATTCGAGCACATCCAAAAATGAAATGTATTTGGAGTTTGTCGCCAGAAAATTCGGCTGAAATTTTTATTGAATTGAAATTGAATGCACCAGAACCTAATTTGGATTTGGCGATTTCTTTGAAAGCTGATCAAATTGGAGATGAAAAAGATGAAGAAGAAGGAGATAATAATAAAAAGAAAAAGAAGAGAAAACCAAATGCAACTATTATGCGAATGTTTAATAATCATTTGAACTTTAAATCCAACGATTCGCTGAAATTATTGACAAATTCTCATGTAAGATTTAACTTCTTGATTATCTTGAGATCAAACACTTTTTTCAGTTCACAAATCTGGCCGAAGTATTTTCGTCATCAACCACATGTTCAACTCTTTCCGATTATTTGCCTCAAGAAAATGCGGAGTTTTTATCGAATCTCATTCATTTTGATTTTAGTAAACGATGATAGTTTATTTATTGTTTTATCTTATAAATAGTTTCACTTTTTCGCCCAGTCTATGTTTATTTTTTTGATTGGATGTTTGAACCGAATCAAATGTTTATATTTTTTTTATGATTTTCAAAGTATTGAATTACAAATACTTTGTTTATAATTTTTTAAACTTTTTGATGATTGTGAAATGTTTTTTGAATTGACAAAAATATTTGAGGGGAAACAGATAACGAAAGATCATTGAACACTTTTGAAACATGGGTTGGATATCGAGTTTTTGATTTTTTGTAGTTTAGAAAAGTTTTTTGTAAAAACATTGATAGTTTGGTCTTGACAAAGAAATTTCAGACAAAAACCGAAACATTTTTTACTCATTGAAATTTTCTTCTGGGTTGAATTTTCTGAATGCAACCGTTCAATCTGACCTGACCCAATTCTCAAAATTTCGAATTCACAATTCATTTTTCGAGAAAAAAACATGCAAGTTTTTTGCGGTCTAAGGAAAAATTGTCAAATTGTTTCCTTTTGACAATGGCTACTTCCTAAATTTTATTTTCTAAAAATTAGCAAAAAACTTTAAATTAATTTGCTGATAAGATTTTGTTTTCCAAAACAATTTTTTCCTAACCTTTTTTTCTTCTGTCACACCGTGATTTTTATCAGGTTCCACACTGATGTTAGATCTCATTTTTTACTCAAAAAATGTATATTTTGAACCCGTTGATCTGATTGAATTTTCAGTGTATTCTTGTTGATCATCAGAATGCAATCGATTTCACGTGTGTTTCGAGGTCGACAAAATGCAACAGGTTATCAGTCAATATTGTTATCAAAAATAATAACAAATAAAAGGAACCAATTCATTGTCAGTATTTCTTCATCTTCATTTTCAACAAGTCGAACAACCAAAATGGCTGCACCCGGTGAAAAAATTGTGCCAGTTGAAGAGGTAATCATTTTTTTGTCCACTGTGAATATATAGACACTAGAACCTTTGCGTACGTCCAAAATACTGTCATAAAAAGAAAAAAAAGAAAAATATTGTCGAACCATTTATATTAAAATGACCTTTATTATTTCGACTTTGACTTGCTTTTCCTTTTTAAAATATAAATCAAATTGATCCCATAAAACTATGGTCCCAGAAAAAACACATAAGTTATGTTTTGGCCTTGTGTAAATATTGCCCTATGCCAGACATCAAATTATCATTTCTTCCTAACAAAACACAAAAGATCAAGAATGTATTTATTTATGCAGAAAATTGGAAAAAAGTAAGGTTTTAATTTCAGATGCGTCGATTCATGATTGAATCAATGACTACGGTTGGAACTACAGAATCACATGCAACACAATTAGCAAATGTATTATTAGAAGGGGATATACGAGGACATTATTCACATGGATTAAATCGATTAGGTTAGTTATTTTATATTTTTAAAAAAAAAGTTAGTTGGAAATTGGGACAGGAAAAATCATTGGGAAAAGATTGGTAATCAAGACTGCGAAAATTGTCGCAATTAAAATAAGAACGGGAATCGCAACATATTTCAAATAGTTCTTCTCCGAATTTCCATAAATTCCCCAACATCCGAAAATGATTCCAATAAAAATTCCGACCAAATGAATCAAGTCTGCACCAATTGAATATTGCCAATGAATTGGGAAATCAAAAGTTGTACGGTGGTAGAAATTGAGAATTGTGATTGGAACAAAAATTGTGATCAAAGCGAAGATTCTGAACCATCTGTGCGGCATCTCTTTCCAGTTCTGAAAAAGGGCAGTTTTTACAGTTTTACTTCACTTTGGTTAACTTGATGGAAAAGCTCTTACCATAGCCACGTTTGTATAATGAAGAGCCATGAAAGTATAGGTTTGAGTTTTATCGGCGACCAAAGCTGCATATGGATGAATGAGTCCGATTATGATAGTTTTGGAAACATAGGAAGCGATTAACAAATAGGCTATTTTTGAACTTCCATGAGCTGTTTCAAGTGGAATTCCGAACATCAACGTGATAAAGATTGTGTAGAAATAATCGATGTGGTGCGAAATGAGATCATTTGAGTTGATATCATAGTTAATCATTTGGACATAGTAAACAATTGCCTGAACATATTAGTTGTTGAGGATTAGATGGAGGCTTAACTTTATGAAAAATCGAATTTTTCATGTTTCAACACGTTTTTTCTCAATTTCTGCCGATTTTTTTTTCTGTTTTTTGGGATGACAGTTCTGTCTTCAAAAATGTTCTATTCACAGTAATGAAATCTTATTAACTTTTCCTTACTATAGAATCATCATTCTGAAATTCTAATCTCCATCTTTCCAATTCTGTTCATGACGTTTCAAAAAAACTTTGACCATCGACATTTTTTTATTGTTGACAATCATATATGAGTCACGAAATATGAGCAATAATTTCATAATCTCCCAAGATCATTTTTCCGGTTAAAATATTTTCCAAAAACAAGTTAGAAATTTGCACTTTGTACTACATTTTTCTCCGAGATTGACGTAACAACAGTGATTGGATTTTTTGAAATGATTTCACTGAACCACGTTTTTTCCACGTCATAGCTAGAACATTCTGGGTTTCAACTCACCATAGCCGCGGTGAACAAAATGACAAAAAATGGAAGCTTGTTGACAGCATGACGATGTTGATCTCTTGTCAAAACAGTCTTTGAAAGCTCGACAAAAGTTTGAGAAATGTCGAATTGTCCACCTGGAACAATCACAACTTCTCCCTCTTCATCTCCATTTCTTTGTTGTTGTTGTTGTTGTTGTTGTTGTTGTTCTTCGATTTCTTCTTCAGATCCATCAACAACTTCTTCTTGCTCATTATAAAGAGGAAGAAGAGGAACATCGCTCTAAAATTATTATATTTTTATTGAATCGAAAAACTTAGGAAAGAACTCACATTTTCAAAAATTGGCATTCTGTCCTTGATTTTCTTCCAAGTGACAGACATATCTGCTGATTTCTGAAAATGATTTGGGGGGTTTTTAAAAGAAATCAAGTTTTCCGGAAATCGTCGAAACCGATCATTAATCAAAAATTGCGGTAGGTTAGGTCCGGAAAATAAGAAAAGAAAATAGAAAACGGTCAAAAATTGTGAGAAATATTTATTATGATATATGAGAGACATCGACAACGATCATTATTTTTTTTGTGCAATAAAATTGATGAATCACAAAAATCTATCTAGAAAAAAAATATTTTCGGCGAAATACAACATGATAACACAAATGTATTCGAAATATTACAAAAAATTGTTTTGCAGAGCATTTTTAGACACTTTTCCTTTTTTTTTCAGAAAATTGTTTTGCCTAGAACATTGAATTGGATGAAGAAAACGATGATAGAAATAAGAATTATCAGCAAAATGTAGTTTCGTAGCAGTTTTCTCTGAAAAAAGATAATGAGTTTATTTATTTTTGAAAATGGGAGAGAGGGCCAAAACACCGAACCTAAAATCTGAAAATTGAAATTCCATAGGGATTATTTCTAGAGAAGCTTTTGTAAAAAAGTCCATAAACTTCATGACTACAATGAAAAAGTTTATGGAACATTTTTTTTCGGAAAAAAGTTCTCCGCTTCTCGAAAACAAATATTTCTAGCGGTTTCACTACACCAAAGGTGCCCTACTTTTCTGTAGTTTACTTTGCCCCATTTTAAAATCTATCACAAATCATAGTCATAATCATAGAAAACTCACATCATTGCCATAAATCCAAAATTTTCCCAAAACAATTCCAATTGAAGAAGTCGCAAAATAGGCAATGAAAACGGATTCGGGAGGAATTTGCCTACGTTTATCCAATGTCAATGCACATTTAAGCATTGGAAATATGAGAAATAATATCATAGATATACGAAGTATTTTGTTTTTAACCGAAAAAGTATGACTATTCATTACGATTCCAGTTAATTGAAGACTAGCAAGTGAAATAATAATTGCTCTTTCATCAAATATTAAAATCCTTCTCGAATTATTGAAGATGTTATCAAACACCGTTTGAAAATAATATAAAGAATGAGAAAAGATGAAAGAGATTGTGACAATTGTATATGTTTTAAGAGTTCCATGAGCAAGTTCGAGTGGAATTCCGAGCAATAAAATATTGGCAATTATGAATAGATAACCAATGTGAAATACAAACTCATATTCAAAAAACACAAATAAGCTTATGTAGTTCAAAATCTGAAATTATTCGGAAAGTCAACAGAATTCTGGCTAGAAGCTCACGCTGAAACAAAAGAAGAATGCCATAACAAATGGAAACTCGTTGACAGCATTTTCTTTTTGATAACTTGTCAGAAGACGATCATAAATATTTTTGAACAATGAAGCCAGTTTCGAAGTTTCAGTTGGTCCCTCCAGAATTGAATCATCCTTTTGATAGAAAAATCATGAAAAAGAAAACTTTTTTCTTAAACTTACATCATATATGCTTGGCCGGAAAATACTGTAGATATCCGACATTTCGATTTATGACGAAACGAAACTCATGAACACTTTTGATAAAATATATCGAATTTTTCCAGAATCTCAACTTTGTGTAACAAAAGATGTCAAGAAAGATAGACAACAGAACATATTTATTTATTTATTTCAGAATGAAAAAGTTATAGGATAGGAATGTATTTTTCATATTAGACACTTTTTACAAGAATAGATATGTTTTTAGTAAACTGTATACGAAGTTAGTTTAGTATTCAATAAATATTTACAAGTTAGGAACAAAAACGGTGGAAACATTGCAGTTGTACCTAAACTGAGACAACTTGGTGGTAGTTTCTGAAAACAAATTATATAGTTGCTGAGAGTAAATACTTTTACAAACCTGTGCGTCAAAAATATAACACCAGGCAAGTATAAATCCGATGTAAGAACCAATAAGATTTGTAGGATGTGTGAAATCGAGATAAGCATGGAAACTTGGGTTGAAATAATGCCAGAAGAAAAGTGAAAATGGTGAATATGTAAAGAAGAATATAATCATTCGTAATTTCTGTTTATCGAATTTATCCCAATTCTGAAAATTTAAAAAATCTAAAAAATATGGAACTCTGGGAATTTATATTACCCTATAAAGATCAACGAAATGCATTGAGAGAAAGCAAAATGTAATGCAATCAATTCCGAAATGAGTAACTGGAACTAGTTGTTTAACCGAAAATGCATAAGCTAGAACCAAAATTGATATTGAGGATACAATAACTGTTCCAAGAGCTGCTTCCATTGGCAAAAGTACGCAAACTGTCATGATCAAATGACCGATTTGATCAAATAGACCTCCCATTCTTTCATCGTTTCGGAATTCGATTGGAAAATAGCAGATCTGGAAATATTGGATTTTGAAAGTACACAGGGTTTCCTAGAATACTTTTTTCTCATTCTTTCTGTGTTGAGATCTTATTGAATTCCAATTGGCTTTAGTTACTGTAGGTACACTATTCCTTTTCAGATACACACAAACACTTCTTTATGAAATACATTTTCTTCTCATAAACGTATGTCGTTATTATCTTTGAAAACGTGTCGTGGGTGGTCGCAGTCCATTAAATCCTTTGTCAATTTCTTTTTCCCAAAAACTCACACGGGCCAATGCGAAAATAATTGTGAAGATTGGAAATCGTGGAGTATTCTTCTCTAGATACTCATTTGTCGACACCAAACTCGCCAAGAAACGTAATACTCGAGCACCGCAATTTGGCTTAGTTGGAGGATCAATTGCGATTTCGACATCTTGATTCTGTTTGGTGTATATGTTTGGAATCGTCATTTCGTCTTCTGAAAATAATAAATCTAAATAGTTTCAACAAATAAAATGAAAGAATGAAAGGTTTTTAACGACGAAACGAGAACTATCAAACTGAAAAAAATTGAAGATAGATAGAAAAAAATGGCGATTCTCGATTTTTCCAATTCGAGGATGATGGATGTTTTGGGGCATTTTTTGTTATTGTAACGTGACCTAAATGATTTTAGGACAGAAACAATACTGTAAAATGAATAGAAAAAAGTTCCAAAATAGATAACAACAACATCAACAAAGATCAATTTTTGGTTTATTACAGAAATGTATGTTCGAGACGTTCAAAAAAATGTATGCAAAAGTGATGGAACACCAATTATACTTTCGGAAAGAGCCGCAACAGCTTGGGTTGATGGAAATAATTTGCTTGGTCCAGTTGTTGGAAATTTCTGTATGGATTTAGCCATCAAAAAAGCAAAAGAGGCTGGAATTGGATGGGTTGTTGCAAAAGGATCAAATCATTATGGAATTGCTGGATGGTATTCATTAAGAGCATTGAAACAAGGATTATTGGTATGATAGATTTTTTATTTTTTTTTAGATAATTTCGCAAAAATCTGTGAAGTTTAGAAAATAACACTGCAACGTGACCTTTCACGTGGAATCTGTCGGAATCATTTTCAGAAATAAATCTGAAAATTGTTGGAATTTTTCAAACTTATTGTTAATAAATTTACTGAAAATTCTAAGACGGTCTGCAAATTTTCGGTCACAGTTTTATTTTTATTCGATCATGAAAATGTACTTTTTTCTGATATACCGGTTTTATTGTTTTCTTGAGAAAAACCTGGTGTTTTGTTTTCACCGGAAACATTCAGAAACAGTATTTTTAGAAACCAAAATCTGTGTTTTGAAATAAAAAAAAAACAATTGAAATAATATGAAAATTATTATGAAGAAGCTTATGGTTTTTATTCTCTGTAAATCATAAAACCGAACAACTTCGCAATGATTATGAGATTAATTTGCAGGGAATGTCAATGACAAACACATCTCCACTATGTTATCCAACTCGAAGTGCAAAACCTGCTCTCGGAACAAATCCAATTAGTTTAGCAGCCCCTGGTGTTAATAATGATTCATTTGTTTTGGATATGGCATCAACTACTGTAGCAATTGGAAAGGTGAGCAAAAACGAACAATCAAAATATCAGATAGGAAAATTTCATTTCACAAGTAATAAAATACGATATTATAGTTATCATATTATAAAAAGCCCTAGTTTGACTAGAATTCACGAGTTGTTGTTGTATGGTTGAAATGGTTTCTTTTCTATTTATCTTTTTTGAATGTCATTTGAACGACATCAATATTATCATATGAGAAAAGAGCTGCACAAAGACAGAAATAAAATTGCCAACGGCGATGGAAATCCGATGGAAGACGCATTGATTCGATTTCTGGTTGAGCTTTCATCCACGCGCTAGAAATATTCAAAGTTAATTTTGAAATCCTAAACATCTAACAAATACAAAAAAACTTACAAGAACCAATGTTCCAAAGTCATTGAATAATGATGTCCCATACTGAAAAGATCAGTTTGTTTCATTGTTTTTGGAAGAGAAGAAGCAATTGCACCAAGGGATGGCAAATGTCCACCAGGGAAGATGTATTTCTTGATGTAATCTGATGATTTTTTGTATTGATCATAATAAGCATCTGGGCAAATGATTCCTTGAAGTGCGAAAATTCCACCATCTTCCAAAACATCGTTGATAATTTGGAAATATTGTGGAAGATATTTTTCACCGACAGCTTCGATCATTTCAATTGACAATACTCGAGTGTATTTTTCTTTGACTAATCTGAATTGAAATAATGTTATTTAAGGAAAAAGTTTGATTTCCCAGTTGAGACTTTTTTTGACATTGAAAAATGATCGGGCAAAAAATATAAATGGTCAGTTTCAGAGATTTTGAAAACTGGACCTTTTTTTCTGATTCTTCTGATCAAAATTTCAATTTTCAAAAATAATTTTGAACTCACCGATAATCTTGGAATCTCAAATCAATTCGACTCTCCAACCCAGCTTCAACAACTTTCTTTCTTCCCCATTCCAATTGTTCTTTCGAAATTGTAATTCCAGTCCATTTGCAACCAGTCTTTTGTACAGCTCGAATAGCAGCAGCTCCCCAACCACAACCAATTTCCAAAACATGATCTTCGGCTTTCAATTCCAATTGTTCAATCAATCGATCCATCTTTTTATATTGCGCTTTTTCCAAAACATCAAAATCGAAATTGGTAACTGGTTTGATGTCATCAAAAAGTGCGCATGAATATGTCATTGATTTATCAAGGAACAATTTGAACATATCATTTCCAAGATCATAATGTGCTTCGATATTTTTTGTTGATTGAGTCAAAGAGTTTTCTTGCCAAGTATGTTGAATATAATTGATACATTTTGCGATGTAACGAATAACAGCAACAAATGCAGAAGATAATTGAGATGTCAATGAGGATGATTTTGGTGATTCCCCGCCATTTTGTGCCTTTCTTGCAGCTGCTGTTTGTCTTTTGGCACGAATAAGTAATCTTAAAAGTTCAGTTGGATTCGGTGATGCTTTCCAATCATTTGCCATATATGTTTCACCGAGTCCCATTTTTGGATCAAGCAAAAGGAGCCAACAAAAATGAACTGGATTCATAATTGTCAAATGAACTGGTTGTGGTCGATCATTATTGTTTGTTTCGTCTTTTAATCCAAAAGTCTCATTGAACTTCACATCTGGCACTGTGACAATCAATTGTTCAGTTGATTTGGCCAAGAACCATTTGAAGAACCTGAAATTTTGTTGATGAGATCGTGGTCTAGAGATTTTAATCCGGAAAAATGGGTTTGGAAAATACCCCGGTATTTCTCATTAAACTCACTTTTTGATGGCTGGAACACAGATATTCGAAACTATGAAAAAGTACAGCGGGAATGTCGATTTTGGTGGCTCATCTCTTTCCGATAATTTTTGTCGTGTTGACGTTGACATTTCTGAAATGAGAAATGGCGTTAATTGACGTGTTAAAAAAAATAGACGTAAAGAAAAAAAAGGTCACGTCACGTGAGAAAATAATTAATTTAATATCAATTTATTTGAGGGGGAAAAGAGAAAAAAGAACAGCTAACTGGTTCATGTAACATTTTGCAAACAATTATTAAATCTGTCCATATCCTTTCTCTTTTTTTTGTTTTTATTATCAGCGCCAAAAATTATCCAATAAAACAAGAATTATTCACATGAAAAATCGGTGATCACACCACACCTTTTGAAAAAAAAAAGAAGAGAGTTCAAAATTTGGGAAAACCTTGGAAATGGTGGGAATTTAAAGAGTATTTTTTGTCTAACTCGAATCACAAGGCACTTTAATTAAATTAAAAAATTGACGAACTCCTAATTGACTGTTTACTGTGAAAACATAGAACAAGAACTTAAAAAAGGGGAATGGGGAAGAAAAACACATTTTGAATGATAAAATGAAATGGAAAAAGAAAATGGATAATCAGTGAAACGGAATGACCCATATTGAAATCGAAAATATGGAGAATAAAAACGGAGAAGAAATAGAAAGAAGAAGAGGATATAACCAAGAAAAGCAACAGGATACCTTTGAAATTAGACAATCAAAAAAACGAGGTTATTGTTGTAGGCTACAAATCAGATCATTTTTCGGAGTAGAAAATTGGAAGCAAATTTGAGATATTTGAGAATTCACGAAAAGGTATTATTCATTGAGATTTTTCAGATACATTTTTGGACACAATAGAAAAGTATGAAATGTTTTAATATAGAATCTCAGAAACATATTCTTTATATAGCGCCTAATACACCAACACAACCAATACCATCAATTTTGAATAATGTAATTTATTATAGTTTTTCTCTCCATATTTTCTAGATGTTCAAAAAACAAAAATGCTTTTTATCAGTTCATTTTTCGATCTGACATTTTTAGATCTTATCTGGAATTTCATTCTAATTTGTTGGCGATTATAAAGTTAAATTGAACTTTAAATTTTCGAAAATGTCAGTTGAACTTTGAAAAATGAACTGATAAAAAAACAAATTTTGTAGTCATAATTTTTTCAGGTGGAACTCGCAAATCGAAAAGGCAACGAAGTTCCACTTTCTTGGGGTGTTGGTGCAGGTGGAAAAGAAACCCGCGATCCAAAAGAAATTCAAAATGGTGGCGGTTTATTGCCACTTGGTGGAACTGAAATCAGTGGAGGATATAAAGGATATGGATTGAATGTGATGATTGAAGTTTTTTGTGGAATTCTTGGCGGTGCACATTGGGGACCGAATGTTCGAAAATGGATGAATACAACTGAAGAAGCCGATTTGGGACAATGTTTCATTGCGATTGATCCAGATGCATTTGCACCAGGATTTCAAGGAAGACTTCAAGAATTTATGGATACTTTGAGAAATCTTCCAACTGTAAGTTATTTGTAGCCACCCCGATAAATGTACCTGATTTTTGTTTTATAATTTTAATCTATTCAACTTTCAAAATTCAGACTGATGAATCAAAAAGTGTTGAAGTTGCTGGTGACATGGAACGTAGACACGAAGAACTCGTTAAACAAGTTGGTGGAATTCCATATCATCCAAATCAAATCACTTTTATTGTGAGTTCCTCCTCAAAAGTTTCTATTCAAATTGTTATTCTTTACAGAACGATTTGGCGAAAGATCTTGGAATCAAACCTGCACAAACTTTGTAAAATAATTTTTTCAATGTCCAATAGTTTTTAGATGTTTATAAAGATTTTCTCACGCTTTTCTCGAATTTCGTCCTTTTTCTGGTGGGCCGGTCAAATTGACATTTCTATTTATTTTATTTTAGTTGAGAATGAGGAGGAGGAGAGGAAATTAAGTTAGTTTCGACTGCTTTTTGGTTTTTTCAGAGAATTTTTGGTTGCAAAATGTTCTGGATTTTGGTTGGTGAATTTTAAAGATCACTGGGGAAAAATTAAGCCGTTTCTCATTTTTCGAATGATTTCCATGAAATTTCATTTTTATGAATCGTGAAAAAGTACAGTAACCTAAAAAATTTCAAAACGCGAAATCTGAAAACTCTGCTTCTCCCAAAAGTTTTTTTCTAAATTATAATATGGTTTTGAAACATTACAGTAACCCAAACTTTCTTTAAAATTTGTGTTGTATAATCAAAAATGGATAGCTTTTGTGAAAGTTTTGTAATCTGAGGTTCACTTAAAAATTATGAAATTCATTCGGAACTTGAAAAAATTGTATTTTCCCTGCAAAAACCTATGTATTTTTTTGCCAAAAAATAACCTTTCCTCACGCAAGCTCCGCCCATTTTCTTGTTGGGATCCGAATAATTTTGGATGACATATGTTTGAAAATAATTTTGACAAAAAGACACTTTTTGTGTTTCTCACTCACTTGATAAATATACGAAGCAAAACCGAAAAAAAAACAGCTGTTATATTATTTTTCCTCCTTCTTCAACTTTTCCAAGTTTCTATATTTTTTACTACTTTTTATGATGAAAAACTAAGTAATTATAAGCTTCTTATTTTCGTTTGCTTCTTTTTTTTCATGTGTTTTTCTTGGTTCCAAAAAACAAAAAAAAATCTTGTGGTTTTCGAACTTCAAATACACACTAAAAATTATTAGAACAATGTGTGACAGATTTCTTTCAGTTTGAAAAAAATAGACTTCTGACACCATAATCCCAAGTTTTCGATTTTTTTTTGAAAAAAAGTTCAAAAACCACCAACTGCTCGCTGGTTTTTTCTAATTTATCATCCGTCTTTTGCCCGATATGTTTATATTTAAAAAAAAAGCACTTACGAAGAAAACTTATAAACATTTCAGAATTTGTTTGGCTCCAAATGTTTCGATCATATGAAGAAGGCTGCTCAAAATATATTCCAACTATGAGAGTAAGTTCTGGGAAAAAGTATCCAAATCTGGGTGAATTTGGTCAAAAGAAAAGGTTTTTCAGCTGACATGTATAGTTTTGGCAACAATTCTGTTGGTTTTCGAAGTTTGTTTGGCTGCGTATGAATATATTAATTGTCGAGTTGATGGAAATCCAATTTCTGCACTTTTTGCAGGTAAATATTTGAGGACTGGCGTTTCAGAAAATATTTAGAAATTGGAATTTGTTTGGCTTTTGTGTCCTTAAAATTATGAATAGAATTCGACTATCTTTCAAATAAAATAAATTTGGGCTTAAAAAATTGACCATTTCAAAATATCAGAAAACTGTTAATTTTGCATTTGAAAATTTTTAATAGCTAGAAAAATTGTTTCAAATTTTTTTTAGATACTTATTCTAATTTGATAAAAAAATTTTATGAAAAACTGTTTAGTTTCAGCTTGAACTTTTATTTAAATTTTCCTAATTTCCAAAATGAAACGCAGTTTACAGATAATGTTTGAATTTATTTCCAGCAATTTTCACATTCCACTCATTTCTCACATTATTTTACATAATCGGTGCATTTCGACTTATCGAATGTTTCATGGTTCCATGGCTCACATTTCAACTCATATTTCTAACGACCTTTTCGTTGTTAATTATTGTTTGGTGGATTGCTACACTTTTGGCCGTTTTTGGACTTGTGACATATTATACAACATTGAGTGAACGTACGTTTTTTGGAATGAAAAGCAATTTTCCTTTTTCTTTCCTTTTCTTTTTTTGTTGTTGCAAATGCTTCCTTTTCGGTCAACTATGAGTCATTCGAGAATAAAATTACAACGAAAAGTTTTATTTAGAAAAAAAAAACGAAAAGGCAATTGATCGTTGATTAAAACACAAAACAAAAAAAAATCTCAAAAGTACAGGAGAAAAAATGTCACGCAAACATTGATTTTAAACTGGATTTGTAAATTTCAAAAATGTGGCTTTCTGTTAGATAAAATCAGTTCACACTTGTTCAGAAGGTCGCAAATTCATGTAACTTGATTTTGGAAAAACCCAACCTGGCCAACATTAAAAAATCTAGCTCGTTTTCTTTTATTCTAAAATTTTCAACAATCATTATTTTTTCAGAAGGCCTCACAAATTCGGAATTCTTCGTTTTCACTGGTTCACTTCTCACAATAATTCTCGTGGTTTCCTTAAAAATCTCACATATTTTATACAAAGGATTCATCAATGTTCGAAATCAAAATATTGCGCATTACCGTATCACCGAGGCAATGTCAAGAAAGAATTCAATTCTAAAACCAAGTTATGTTTAATTGAAAAAAAAAGTTCCATTTTTTACCTTACGGGTACACGAATAAATAAGTTCGTCATCGGTCTTTCTTTTTAAAACTAGTTTTTTTCGAATTTGAAGGAAAAACTAATCATTTTCTTCTGTTCTTATCGTTCGACAAACAACTTTGTTCAGGTATTTATAAGTATTCGATTTTCTTGACCGGCAATTTAGAATCACAAAAATGACCACTAGATTTTTATGCGTTTTATTTCTATTTTTATCGATATTTTCAAATTTGGTTGAATCTGGATCTTATGGTCGACCCAATTTCTTTTTAAACAATGAAGACTACCAACAACGATCTCAACAATATCTACAAGGTACTGTAACATCGAGGGTTCATTTTTAAATAAAATATTTTACAGCGCAACAATATCAACCACAACCGCAATATAATCCTAATCCTTATTCAAGACCTTATTCTCCTTATCAACAACCAGAACCAGGTACATCTTATTTCCAGAAAAATTGAAAAAAAGTCGGAAATTTTCCAGTGTATTCTCCGTATTCTCGACCATCTCCTTATAGTCGCCCGGTTTATCAACAACCAGAACAAAGTAAGATAAAAAAGAAAATAGAAAACAATGTTTTGATTTTTTCAGTCCCATCTTCTTCGTATTCTAGACCTTCGTCATATGGTCGACCTCCACAATATAATCAACCAGAATATAATCCAGGTTGGTATTTTTAGAAAAAAAGTTTTTGGGATTTTCTGAATCTAGTTTGGTTCCAATTTTGAGAAAACTTTTCAAATTTTTAAATATATCTAATCTTTTTCAGTTATAACAACTCCTCTCCCACCTCTTCCTCCATCAAATATTCCAACAACTGAATATTATATTCCAAATGTGGTCACAACAACATTCACTCCACTTTTCGGTGGAATTCAACCAGGTTCTGGAACAATTCCACCACTTCCACCAACAGATTCTGAAATGACTGAAGTTGATGCGGCTGAAAAAGAAAACGAAGTTCGGAAAGCAAGAGGTGGAAGTGGACCACCGGGTTTTAATGTTGATTCAATTGTTGAAACAGGAAGTCTTCCACCACAAGCTGCAATTCCAGATGTTCCAATGCCACCAACTCAATGAGAATCACGATAAATAGCCTTTTGTCGATAAATTTGTACAGGAATATGAACATTTTAATATTTAATTTTCCGGGTTCCAGATAATACATTTCAAAGTTACAGAATGAGGCCCATGAACTTTTCCTGTAATATTTTGTTGAAATTCCAAAAAAATCTGCTGAATAAACAAAAAGGACAATACCTTATGAAGAAAAATTTCAAGTGAAACAACGGCTTGTTCATTTTCATTATTCTGAATTACCACGTCAAAGTACATGTGGCTATTTATTTGTGATTCATATTTGTATACTGTAATCCAATTTTCTCCAAATACTTTTATTAGAAGCCCCAAATCTCCGAAAAAACAATTTCAAACTGCTCTAACTATAATCCGATTTCAAAAGTTCAAATGAATTTTCAGAAAAGCACGTTTCTATCAATTTCACATGAAAATATCACCATGGCAATGCTATTAATCTGATACACTTCACATTTATTTTTCAGTCGTTTTTTTAGAAGATATGTTTTATTACACAAAAAGAGTTCAAGATGAGAGATTGAAGAATATCCAAGTGAACTTTTGATTGGAATTTTTAATTGAACTGGAGATTGATGCCTCGGTGCAGAATGTACTATTTTTGGTTTGTATCTGACCACCAATCAGATTCTGCTTTTTTAGAATTGGAAAACTTGTAGAAAATGTTCTAATTGGTCCAGAAATTTCCTGGTTATTCGAAAAATAATCCTAAAAATTTCAAAAAAAAATTCCGAAGCAAAACTTTCCTTTCCAAATTTTCTCAAGAAACATTTTGTTTACTGACTCATCGATAGATTGTTTGCTTTAAATGTTTTGCACCAATCGAACTCTCTTTGAAATTTTCTTTTTTTTTTCCAAAAAATCATGTAGTTAGTTAGCCTAGTCACATCTGCATTTCCTCGAATTTCTCCTATTTTTGCATCATCCGCTTTTTCTCCTCTTCTCTTTCTTTTTTAGCATCATAAAAGTGCATATGTTTTTCTAGCTCACCGCTCTGATTTTCAGCAGAAATTGGATTTTATGGGCGTTATTTTTCATTTTCTCTTCAATATGTTTTGCCTGACAACAGCTTTTGAATTCTAATTTTCAGAACCGAATGCTCTTTATGCTAGTGTGGAAAACCCTAATTCATTTTATTTTCTAATTAACTTCTAGTCTGAATTTGTTCTATGCTGCAATTCTGCTAGCACATTTGTTTATGGGCTTGTTTTCTCCCGAAAAATTCATATAAATATATTGTGGCACAATATTCTAAATAAATATATGAATTTTGTCTATTTCGAAAGAATGATGCAAAAAATTTGCATCATGTTCCATAAAGCTCACAATGACTTTTTCGAAGGATAACCATACAATTATTTTTCTCTCTTTTCTTTTTTGGACTTCTTTTTTCATTTTGAAATCCCACAGGACTTGAACTTTTATAGCAAAAAGTTTGATTTTTCAGAAAAAAAGTACTTCTCAATTCTTTCGAAGCAAGGAGCAAACATGGAAGCGTAAGTTTGTTTTCAATTTTTTAAAAATAACAATTCTTGCCCAAAATAGGAAAAGTGCACACCCCAAAAAATCATACTACGAACAATTCAACGATCAAAAGATCAAAATATTTTTTATGATCATAGAAAAAAGTTTAACCTTTCGACACAAATCATCTCTCGATTTTTTGTTGTATTCTTTCTTCTTTTTCTTCTTTCAGAAGAATTGAATCAATCGCCATTTTTTTTCTCGTCGCACTTTTTCTCTCGAAACTCTCTCAATTTCTAGTTGTATTTTCGGAGATTCTCAAAAAACTAGCGCTTTTTGCACGTACTTCGGAGCAAGAGAAAAATGTCTTCCTATTTTTCTTGTTTTATTTTTTTTTTGGAACTTTTTTGATTTTGATGCCCAAAAAGAAATATTGGACAAACCTATAGTATTAACTTAGAAATGAATTCCTTTTTGCAGAATGGCTGATACAATCAAGGAAGTTTTCGCTGAAATCTCTCCAGCTGTGGAGAGTTCGCATGGAAAAGTTACTGTTGTTGGAGTTGGTCAAGTCGGTATGGCTTGTGCCTATTCAATTCTTCAACAAGTTAGTTTTCTCTCAACATTAGAAAAAAAATATATCAATAACCATTTAGAACATTGCCAACGAACTTTGCCTTGTCGATGTTGTTGCTGACAAGCTCAAAGGAGAAATGATGGATCTTCAACACGGTTTGGCTTTCACCAGACATTGTGTCGTCAAAGCTGATACCGATTATTCGATTACCGCTGGATCGAAATTGTGTGTTGTGACAGCTGGAGCTCGTCAACGCGAAGGAGAAACACGTCTTTCATTGGTTCAAAGAAACGTCGAAATCTTCAAAGGAATCATTCCAAAACTTGTTCAATATTCACCAGATACTTGCATCTTGGTTGTCTCAAACCCAGTTGATGTTTTGACTTATGTCACATGGAAATTGTCTGGTCTTCCAAGAGAACGTGTATTCGGATCGGGAACCAATTTGGATTCGGCTAGATTCAGATTCTTGTTGTCCGAAAAATTGAATATTGCTCCATCGAGTTGTCACGGATGGATTATTGGAGAACACGGAGATTCAAGTGGTAAGTTTGCTCTTTGCACTAACAGGGAAACACTTTTTTAGAGATTATGAATGAATGACAGTTCCCACAAAATAATATGATAAAAAAGTTCAAAAAATCAAATTTACTAATTTACAGTTGCTGTTTGGTCTGGAGTCAATGTTGCTGGTGTCACTCTTCACGATGTAAAACCAGATATCGGATCAAAAACTGACGAAGAACATTGGGAAGCTGAAGTTCATAAGAAAGTAGTTGACAGTGCTTATGAAATCATTAAACTGAAGGGATATACATCTTGGGCAATTGGATTGTCAGTCGCTAAAATCGCGCAAGGAATCTTCAGTAATTCAAGAAACGTCTACGCGCTTTCAACAAATGTCAAAGGATTCCATGGAATCACTGATGATGTCTATCTTTCACTTCCAGTTGTATTGGGATCATCTGGTTTGACACATGTTGTCAAACAAAATTTGACCGAAGGCGAAGTTGCAAAACTTCATGGATCAGCAAAGGCTTTGCTTGAAGTTCAAAATGGAATCATTATGTAAACGAATAACTTCGATTTCTTACTTGCCTAATTCTATTTTAGTCCACCCTTTTCTGAATGAATCTCAAAATTTTTTCTGTAGAAAACTACCCTAAAATTAATTATTTCCAACCTATTTTCTGATGAAATTTAAAATATTCGTAGAATAAATTTTCGTGTTACTACAAATTTCAGCGAACAAGAGAAATGGTCTAGTCACAACCCGAATTCAGAAAAAGCTCGAGAAAAACAAAAAAAAAAATGAAAAAACGTTGATATACACAGTGTCCCGAACGCGTATTGCGCCAGCACTCCACACTCCACACACTCTCTCGTTTTCTCTCTATCTCTCATCCGTCTCTTCAGCAAAGCGCACTCTCTCATCTTTTTTTGCGCTTCTGTTTTTTTGCTGAAAAATGCTGGAAATGGAACTTTGGTGACTAAATCGAATATGGAGAAGACAGAGGAAGAAAAATTAAAGCTATTCCAAGTTTTTTCATGAAAAATGGTTGAGAATGAAATGAGCAAGAGCTCCTCAAAAAATACCTTGTGCAAAAACACCATTTTTGACCCTGGAAAGCTGATAAAATTCAGTGCTATACTTCCAAAACATTGAAATAGGACTCCCCAAGTCTGTGAAATCAATGATAATTCAAAACTATGCCGTTTTTGTTATTTTCATTTCCATCGAAATTTGCCCAAAATTGATCAAAAAACCAGATTTCAGAAGTTTATTTTGATCAAATATTTCCTAAAACACCTTGAAAGTATTCTAATTCAAATATTTATCATAAAACAAGTGCCGAATCACATTTTTCCTTCATAAAATTTGAATTGTTTTTCTTCAAAAGATATTAACTAACTCATTTTGAATCCAATCTTCACATGTTTTATATCAAAACGTTCCTCTCATTATTCTCCAGAAGATATAGCTCAGTTTGGGAGTTTTCATGCAAGTAAAATTCAAATCTAATCGTTTCAAGAAAAAACCTAGTGTTAAATTTTCAAAAAACCGACAAACAGGCTTGTGCGCTCTACCGCACATGCACCAAAAATGCGCACAACTTTTCTCTGGCTACGCGTTCGGGGCACTGTGGCACTGTGTATATTGATTTCTTTTCGAAAGTTTGGCTGGCGGCTGAGAAAAAACTCGGTCACGTATTTGTCATTAGAGCACACTTTGCCTTTTTAGCATTTTTACTTTTCAAAAATTTACTTTTTTTAAGCGCAAATACGTTTTTCAGCAAAGTTCTCCGTTTTCAGAGTTATCCCAAACATAATAAATGTGTCAGTAAACCAAAAAGAGCCAGAAAATCTAAGAGTATCTTTAGTTTAATTTTAAAAAACATGCCTAGCCAATTTATTCTGAAATTATCTGATAAATGCCATGTTCCCTTAAGAACCCTGATCATAAGTCACCACTTTTCATTGTTTGCAAAACTAAAAATGATGTGTGATCTATAGGCCACGTGTTTTCTATTTAAAATCAAACAGCAATGTGTATTTCTAGTTATCTTTTTTATCGCAACGCGTGCTATTTTCTCTATTTAAAAAACTGTTCAATAGTTTCTATTTAGTGATAATTCTTCAATCCGGTAATATTGATCACATTCAAAAAAATCAAAAAGATCAAACGCACCCATTTTCTTTCCAATATATATTTTTTCATTTTCTTCTTTTTTTTTCTTCTTCATTCTGTCATTCAAGAGGTCAAACCATCATCGCCACGTGCTTCTTTTTTTCTCTGCGTCTATTAAACTCGCTTGTTTTATTGAGCAACTGCTGTTCAGTTTTAGTGGCCAGATATTTGCTTTGTTTCATCGAAAATTAACACGTTTGAACTATTTTTTTCCAGAGACCAAATCAGTTAATTTTTTATCAATCTGTAGATTCACGATGACTGAAACCGAAACTTGATATTTTTATCGTTCGTACTTTTTTTTAAAGAAAAACTCACCGATTTTTTGATCTTCAAACTTTTTCTGAAAACTAGAAACCTCTCTGATTACTTTTGTCTCTAACCATATTTTGATCATTTATCTTATCGAAGGTAGAAAAAATTCCTTATCTCTGCCGTTTTGTTTTTCCAATAAATGTATATTTCATTCGTGTATTTTTGCAGGACTTGAGAATGTTGTCCCGTCTCGCTAGAGTTCAACCAAAAGTTGCGCACTTCAGCACAACCAGCTCTTCAGCTGCTCCACCAACTGTCAAACTTTGGATCGATGGACAACCAGTTGAATCGAAGACAACCGACTTTGTCGAACTCACCAATCCTGCAACAAACGAGGTAATTGGACTTGTTCCAAATTCGACACAAGCTGAAATGCAAGCCGCTGTCGATTCAGCAAAAATTGCTTACAAAAAATGGTCAACAACGTAAGTTCTTTTATTGCGAAAAAAACCTATAAGGTTATTATAAAACTGACAAATTTCAGTTCGCCATTGACCCGCCAACAAACAATGTTCAAATTGCAAGCTCTCATCAAGCGTGATATTCGCAATATTGCTGAAAATATCACACAAGAACAAGGAAAAACTCTTCCAGATGCTGAAGGAGATGTTAATCGTGGTATTCAAATCGTCGAACATGCTTGTTCAGTTCCATCTTTAATGATGGGAGAAACTCTTCCAAATGTTTCCCGTGATATGGATACAATTTCATACAGAGTTCCACTCGGTGTCACCGCTGGAATCTGTCCATTCAATTTCCCAGCAATGGTTCCACTTTGGATGTTCCCATTGGCTTTGGCGACTGGAAATACAATGGTTTTGAAACCATCTGAACAAGATCCAGGAGCAACTCAAATGTTGGTTGAATTGGCTAAAGAAGCCGGAGTTCCAGATGGTTGTGTTAATGTTATTCATGGTACACATTCAGCTGTCAATTTCATTTGTGATAATCCAGATATTAGAGCTATTTCATTTGTTGGAGGAGATGCTGCTGTAAGTTTTATTTTGTATCTTAAAATTGAAATGTATATTTGTTTTCTATTTAGGGACGACACATTTATGAACGAGGAGCCAAGAATGGAAAACGTGTTCAATCAAATATGGGAGCTAAAAATCACGGAGTTATTATGCCAGATTGTAATAAAGAACAAACTTTGAATCAATTGACAGCCGCTGCTTTTGGAGCTGCTGGACAACGTTGTATGGCTCTTTCAACTGCAATTCTTGTTGGTGAAGCACGTAACTGGATTCCAGAATTAGTCGAAAAAGCAAAGGGATTGAAAGTTAATGCTGGATGGAAAGCTGATACTGATGTTGGACCATTGATCTCAAAACAAGCTAAAGAAAGAGCTATTCGTTTGATCAACAGTGCTAAAACCGAAGGAGCTAATGTTGTTTTGGATGGAACAAATGTTAATGTTCCAGGATTTGAAAATGGTAACTTTATCGGACCAACAATTATCACTGGAGTTAAGCCAAATATGACATGCTACAGAGAAGAAATCTTCGGACCAGCTTTGGTTGTTTTGGAAGCTGCTGATTTGAATGAAGCAATTGAGATTATTAACAATAATCCATATGGAAATGGAACTGCTATTTTCACAAGCAATGGTGCCACAGCCAGAAAATTCACCAACGAAGTCGATGTTGGACAAATCGGAATCAATGTTCCAATTCCAGTTCCACTTCCAATGTTCTCATTCACCGGATCACGTGGATCATATTTGGGAGATTTGAACTTCTACGGAAAAGCTGGTATTCAATTCTACACTCAATGGAAAACAATCACTCAATACTGGAACGAATCATTGACCGAACTCAAACCTCAAATGTCATTCCCACAACTTAAGTAATTTTTTTAACTTCAAAAAACATTTTTGTTTGCCATAATTTTTATTTGCATCCATCCTAAAAAAAATAAATAAAATTTTTCAAAAAGAAAAGTGAGAAAGAGCACTTGAAGTGTCACCCGCTATAAATGTCATAGAAAAAAAAAATAAAATATGAATCACAATTCGGTCAAAAGTGAAGAATAAGGTGGATAATACTGTTTCGATGGTGAAGGATAATCAGAATCGATTTCCAATTCAGATTCTTCCTCCTCTTCAAAATCTTCGTCGGAATTGTTTGATGTTGGATCTAGAGTGACTGCGATTATTATGATGCCTGAAAAATAAGGAGATTGAAAATTCGGGAAAGGAAAATTATTCTAATTGGTTCAATTTTTCGCGCATTATTTCATAACAAAACTAATATTTAAGTTGTTCTTGTATGTAAAGATGACCAAAGTTTACTTTTTCAAGTGCGAAAAAATTGAAAATAAAAAAAATTGAAAATGTCATATGTTACTGTAATCGCTACGAGACACTGAAAGAGTATTGTGTGCGCCTTTAGACGCACCGTGTTTTTTCTTTTTTTTTTTTGAATTATTTGTTTTTCAAAGTTTAATTGAATTGCGTTTTTCCGGCCTTTTTCACTAAAACTAACTAACCTGTGATTAGAAGAGCAACGCTGATAAGTGAAACTATAAGAACTAATGCTACCGACATTGACATCGATTGCCGATTTTGTTGATGAACTGAGTTATCGGAAGTTCGCGATTGTGAAGGTTCAGAGTTCTCCAAAATTCGCCTCGCTTCGATGTCTGCAATAAGGTGGGTTCATTTAATAATTGTAATTTTGCGGGGTACTTTTCATATTTTCTCACATGCACAAAAAATGTCTGATCTCGAAAAACCACGTGCCAAAGAACATTTTTAAAAATGAAATGATACGTTTCAAAAGGTCACGTAAAATGTTCAATTGAATTTCGAAAATTGATTTTTCATTTTTAAAAGGCCAGGAATAATGTTTAAAATGTTATGTGAATTCTGAAATCTCACCATTTTGATCATATGATAAAACTGAAGATTTGCTAGCCTGTGTAAAAACATAATAAACCAATAGAAAAACAAAGACAACAGTCACAATAATTATCCGAACCACGCAACGCATTCAATCATTGAAATTTATCGATTCTGCAAAAAAAGAAAACTCCTCCAGAAAATAGTTATTTTTAGTACCAAACAATTATTTATGCAACGTAACAAATGAAAAAGGAATAATCCAGTTACAATCTCATTAATCTCGCCAAAAATGTTTTTTTTTGGGCAAAAGAAAAAATGGAGCATCGAGCAAAGAAAAAATGAGCAAACGAAAAAGAACAGGGAGAAAGAGCGAAAGAGTTCGTTTTTTAGGGTTTCTTTGATATCCCATGAGAATTTTAATCTGCCTTTGAAACATCTAGAAATAAATTAATTTCGTTGATCTCTAAAGTTACTTGAAAAATTTTGAAGTAAAAAAACAAGGAAGAAAAGGAGAAGAAGGGGAAGAAACTGCCTTTTGAGAAAGAATAAAATATGATTTGTTGTGTTCGTTCGGAAATATTATAAATATGCCGACAACAAGAAAGTTGTTTATTTTTTTGCTTTGACAAATATATTCATGAATAGTAGAAAAATTGTGTTTCGAGACGGGCGCTACACTCAAAATTACCCTAATTTTCACTGAATATATATCTACTTGAACCATTCAATTTGTAATTCAATACTTTTTTTATTCAGCTCTCTATTTTTTGCGGCTGGAATAATTTAGTAGTCGCACTTTTTTCGTATGACAGAAAAAATCTAATTATATGAATAGATTGGTAACTCTTTTTCACTACACTTTCAATGCGTTTCTAAGAGAAATTTTGTGAAAAATTCGAACACAAAAGCAAATATTTCTGAGAAAGAAAGAAACAAGTAGAATTATCAATGGGTTATGCGTGCGAAAAAAAACTATTGTTGTTTTTTTTTGTTAATTGGAAATTTCCAGATAACATTTTAGTGGAAAATACTTTGGTAAACAGTGAGCATTTATCAAGTGGCACTTTTATTTTTTTTAACTCAAGAAAAAATTAACTCTATTCGGAAAATGAAAAATGATGACGTGGAGAAGTTGAAAATTTTTGAGAAATGCGTTGTTTTTTTTAATTTTAAAAAGGGTTTTTCTACAAAATTTTCCACTCGAGAAATTTCAAAAAGAACCAAATCGTACCAAGTTTTTCCGATAAATATATTTGGGTTTCTCAAAAAAGCAGGAAGAAAAAGGTACTTTTTCAAATTAGCACAGTTTTCTTTTTTCTTTACAAACATCTTCTTTTTCTTTATTCCATCCATCCAAAAAAAGAAAAACAAAACAAATGATGAAATGCACATGGGACCCTATACGAAAATTGATTTTCATTTTCATTTCCAGCCGAAAATCTCGAAAACATTTGTTTTTCTTTTTTTCAAAGAAAAAATGAGATGAACTTTGGGTTAGATAGAAACTTTTATATTACACATTGAATGAAACGAAAAGAAACGACCTTGAAATAACACATTTTTCAAGAAAAACAAAAATTGAAATGAGATATTTTTGTACAAAATTTGTTTTTGTCAAAAGAATCAAATATAATATATTTTTCCAATATCAAAAGAAAAACCATGATTCATCAATATAAAGCAAAACATTTTAATATAATAATAAATATTGAAAAAATTTGACAAAATTTATCATGCGCTAAACATTGAAAAAAAAAACGGGAAAAAATGATGAGTGAGTGGATTTTTGTTACACACACCAAAAGAATGCGAAAAACCGGTCTAGTCTAACCATGGTTATTATTTCTCTGCTCTCTCCGATTTTTGATGAACTATTTTTTTTTCGATTTGAGAATGGATATGAGTAGTAGAATTACTATGTATGTATGTATAAAAAATGACAAATCGATGTTTTTTGATGTATATATTTATTAAGATATTTGTAAGAACAGAAATATGTTATTCAAAATAAGGATGTTCTTAATTTATTTAATAAAGTGAATCAAAAGTTTTTAAAATTTTTTTAGTTTTTTTCAGTATTTTTTGAATTTCAAAAATAACTTTAAAAATTCTAATAAACTAGTGGTTCCTGGGCGTTTTGTTCAAACTTTTTCATTCACCACCCTCACATAACAGTCTTTTCACTTGGCGAAAAATTAATAAATAAAAGAATCACCCAAACCAATGTTTATAGTTCATAGTCTTGGCCTTCAGCCCAAACTAAGCCTAAGCCTGTTCGAAGTCTGGGCCTTCTGCACATATTAAGACTAAGCCTAAGCCTGTTAAGAATGTGGACCTTGGGCCCGAACTAAGCCTAAGCCTAAGCCTGTTGAGTGTCTGGGCCTCCGGCCCAAACTATGACTAATTGTAAGCTTAGGAACCGACTGCCATTCACGTTTTTACTTTTTTCATATTTTTTCAATGATTGTTTCAATGAAAAAATGAGATTCTGGCGTGAAAACGTTTGCGTCTCTCTTATTTTCATCAAATTCCAATTTGCACTTGACTGACATGTTGCAAAACCTCACCCTCAAACAGAAAAAAATGGCAGAAAATTCTTGGGAATGTAGAGAGAGAACACCGCTCAAACACCAGAAGGATTTGAAATACTCAACAGTGCAAACAAGTTCCGATCATTAGATTACGCGTGAAAAATCAAATAACGTGAATTTCATGAGAGTACTGTACCAAAAATTTTCACGTTTCTTGTCTGAGAATTATTTTGAGCCGATTTTTGTTAAATTGTTGACAAAAAACATTTGTTCATAGGTGGAAGTCATCATCCGGAGAGACCGGAGGGTAATAAAAAATGTTAAAATTAAAAAATTCCGAGTAACCGAATTAATAACAATAGAGATTTCATAATGTTTATTTTTTTACCAATAAAAAATAAAATTGCCAAGATGTTGAATTTCCTCGTCCTTCTTGATGTCGACTTCTGAAAATTCTCAAAGTCTTTAATGGAAAAATGATTATTTAATTCAAATTTATTTTCTTATTTCATTGATAATTCATAATAATTTAATTCTTATTTCATTGATAATTCATAATAATTTAATACAAGGTCTATGAAAATGTGAGATTTTAGCAGATTTTCAAGAAAATTGACTTTAATTTAGAATTTAGTTTAAAAACAGTTAGGCGATGTTGCAGATGAGTTTCTCCTCCGAGGAGAAATGGGGCGAAATTCGAAAAATACATTGTTTCGCCTCCACGTGCAACACGTTTCTCCTCTTTCTCCTCAATTAGCTCGGGGGAGAAACTAATCTGCATCATCGCCTTAGAAACTGGCTGAAAAACTTTAAAAGCAAATTTTTAACCATTTTTTCTTTGAATTTTTTGCAGTTCAAAAATCATTCGAAACTCACAATTTTTCCATTATTTTTATTACATTAATTTTTATTACATTAATGTATACTATTTTTATTTTGTAATCCACGAGTCTAGCCACGGTTTGTTGTATAAGTAATTAGATTTAAACAGAGATTTTTTCGAAGTTTGGTTCGGCATAGAAATAATTTTCATAGTTTTTTTTTATTTTATTAAAAGGGTAGAATTAATTTTGTATTTGGAGTTCAATTACATTTTCAATTCAATTTTGTTAGAAATCCATTGAATGGTCAATTACGAGAAAGGCATAGAAAAATTATTAAGTATTAAATTTGAATTAAAATTTTGAACTCTTATTTGGAGATTCATTATCGTTTTTTTTAACAAAAGACGCAGGAAGGCTGCTGGTTGGAAAACTTGGAGAGAAGCATGAGGCAGATTTTTTCTAGAATTAGAATTGATGGGTTCAGAGATATAGGTAGGAATTTTAATTATAAAAATCCACGAGTTAGGTGATATTGTTTTTTCCTTTTTTCATATTGAAGTTTTGAATACGAATGTTTCTTGGATTTTAAGTAAGCTTTTATCACTTGGATTCTGGTGTGAAAATCACGTTTTGTTGTTTGTTTTTTTTATTTCTGGCGTTCAAAACTAATAGTTTCTCAAAGTTAAATGTAATATTGTTCATCCTGCTGAATTGATTGGCGACGGAATGAGGAGAACAAATGTTTTTTTTGAAAGCTGGCGGTCATCGATGGTCAAAGAGATTGTGCGCTCTAATGTAAAAAAAATATAATCACTGGAGAAAACAATATCTTTGACCTTCGATGACCGCAAGCTTCCGAAAATTGTTTTTTCGAAAAATGTTTTTCTCCTCATTCCGCTGGTGATCAATTCGGCATAATTAACAATATTCACCAGAACAAATTCGCTGATAAGCTGATAATTTTCTAAATTCGAAAAAAGTTAGATTAAATATTTTCTTTGAGAGAAATTTCAAAGTTTTTATTATTTTTCTTGCAAAACGACTCACATAATTCCGGTTTCCGATGTCCCGAAGCGGTTGTCGCATTTTCGTCCCTTTTTCTTTGCGCCTGAAAAATAGTTATTTATATATAATAAAAAGTTGAGTTTGACTTACGTATCGAAACCTACGAAACCGCGAAAAAAAATGAAAAACGAAAAAGAAATAAAAAATAAAAGAAATGCACACGCCACTCGTGTGTTACAGTACTCGCGCGACAAGACACAACAAGCAAACAATTCGCTGTCCCTTGTTTCGACGAAACCAGCCGTTTTCGGTTTTCTTTTTTTTATGAATATAAGATTTTTATTGACCCGAGCTGCTGTTTTTCTTTTTTTTACCAAAAGATTTATGAGATAAAAAATCACAGAAAATAATTTTTTGCAATTTTCTCACGAAAAAAAGCTTGCTTTTTTGTCAAAATTAAAGTTAAGTCGTTTAGCACAAAGTTTCTGATTTTTTTGCAAATTGTTCAAAGTTTAATTTATGAACTTGGATGACAATATTGATACAGTAATGGTGGCTACCTTTCTCTAGGAAAAATTCTTCACCTCGGTTTTTTTCAAAAATAGTACTACAGTAACCAAAGCTGCAAAAAACTTGGCAGAAAAATATTCCCGTGAGGTTTTTTTTTAATTTGAAAAATATATTGGATCACAAAAAGGATCCTGTTAAGAGAGTTGTTCATAAAAATTGACAATAATTTTCCAAGCCGAAAAAAATCATATTCGTGCTGCAAATAACATGTGGCACTATTTTTTTCATCAAATTTGATTTATTACATATTTCATTTCATTTAGAACGATTTGTTGAACAAGAACGCTTGAATAATATGATCGGCCACAGCTGGTTTATCGGTTGGAACCATATGTCCAGCTCCCTGCAAAATATGATTTTAGTTATGAAAAAATGAAAACGAAATTCAAACTCACTCTAACAGTTGCAAAATGAACATTATTTCCATAAGTTGTAACATATCCTCCAACTTGTCCATTAACAACATATTTGGCTTTTTTGTGGGTAAGCTGAAAATATTGAATAGAATAAGAATTTGTCAGAAAAAGGGCTTACAGCAACTCCCAATTGATCGGTGAATCTTTGTCCCATCAAAGCATTACAAGCCAAATCAACATCTCCATTATAAAGCATAACTTTGAGATTGTGATTATTGATAGCATTTTGAATTCGGGAAGTCATGTCACCGTATTGTCTTTTGTATCCATAGGAGATTGCATTGCTAGAAAAATTGTGTTTTTTCGAAGTCTTGGTTTTGAAATGAGCTTAGAAAGGGTTCGAAACAGAGGAATCTTGAACTGGGAAGCAAAGTTCACAAAATTCAAATTATATTCTGAAAAATACTTACTTGCAAATAGACCATTGTCCAACAGATGATGGAATTCCCAATGCTTTTCTAACATCTTGTCTATTTAAATAATTAGTGACTGGTGATTCATCCAAACATGGAACTGTTCCCAAAACTTCTGGTGTGAATTTCTTTTGGAATCTTCTTTCGTATTCAATTGCAAATCGATTTTGTTCAGATGTTGAAACACAATCAGAATACATGTTATATGGATTCAAACCACCATTCCACGCAGTTTGTTCAGTTGCAACCACAAATTGTCCACATGTTCCAAATTCACTGAATGAATGGAAAGCACATGAATCAGTATCATTATGACAACAAGCTGTTTTGATATGTTCCCATTTTGCCTCATCAACAACTCCGTGATGATATAAGAATCGAACAAGACTATCAGTTCCTTCATTTTGAGAAACACATCCATTTCCAATTGCTAATCCTTTGATGTTAATATTGAATTGTGATTGACGATCCAAAATAGTTTGAACAAGAGTTGGAATATAAATTCCACCATAAGATTCTCCAGTTACATAAAAATCATTTGATTTATATTGTGGGAATTCGGTGAAAAATGCGACAAGTGATTCCCAATTTTCGGAAGCTGTTTGATCATCTCCAGTTGAAATATCACCATCAGTCGAATATGAATATCCCACTCCAGCTGGCGCTTCCAAAGTCAAAACTGATGCATTTTTATTCCACGAATAAGGATTGATCGAAAGAGTTGCTCCGTCAGTATTCACATTATATGGTCCCCATTCAGTCAACAATGCTGATAATCCAGAACATCCTGGTCCACCAGTCAACCAAACCAAAACTGGATCTGTTGCCGGATTATTTTGTGATTCAACAAACCAATAATGCATCATATGATTTTTCTTTGTACCAACATTATAATAACCCGAATATTGTTTGAATGAAACATTTGGTGCACCAGGCAAACTTGAAATCAATGCAGCATCGCTGAAATTCCGGGATTTTATTGAAATGTATTTATTTAACTAAAAAAAATATAAAATACCTTACCATAAATAGCCAAAAGCTAATAAAGTAATCAAAAATACTTTCATATTATTTACCTATTAGCAGAATAAATGAAGAAAAAATGAAGTATTGAAGAGGTGCTTATATAGTAGTAGTTGGACTGAATTGTTATCAGTTATGATGAGACGGGAACATAATCCGACTATAGTGGGTCCGGGAAAAAACCGACGTCGGTAAAAAGCAAAAAAAAGTTCATTTTATCAATTGTCATCTTTCTTGATTGACGAAATTGATCTGGAAAACCGATAAAAATAGGTTTCAAAATTTGATGAAATATTTTATTTAGAATTGTCAAAACGTTTTTCAACTCCCGTGAAAACTTTGTCTTACATAATAAGAAAATTTATTTTATTTCAGGAAAACTACAGTAAACCTATCGAAATTTCTTTTTTGCAAGCTCTAATGTAAGTAGAAAAAACTACAGAAACACACAATAGAATTTCGAATAAAATTTTTTTGGATACTGTAGAAGTTCGAAGATTACTGTAGTTATACCTCTCAAAATTTGGAGTTCAATGAAAGCTTGTGAAGTACTGTATTCTTTCAATAAAACTTATTTTTGTAATTTCATCATCCAAAGTTCACAAGTTTAATTCCAACTAATCTTTTTTATTCATTTTTTCTGCTGCTCAATGAGCTCATGATTCCCTATCAGTTTAGTTCTGATAATGATCTATTACATCATAAAACCTACGAATTTCTGATTAGACTAAACTTTGCCCTATTTCTGTTTGATAAATAACATAAATCTCAGCAATTTATTTTATATCAAAATTCAGAAAATTATTTAAAATAAAAAAAACAATAAAGAATCAAAAGAATAGTGTTAATAAAATAATAATAATGTAAAAAATAAAAAATAGTCAAAATTTGTAAGGGGATTGGGGGGAGGGGGTGGGAAAAAAGAAGAAGTGGCAGCTATCCGGGGGTTTTTTCAAAATTGGGGGAAAATATACCAGGAGGGAAAGCGAAAATGATATTATTTTTAAAAAATAAGAGAGAAAAATAGGGAGAGAGAGAGAGAAAATGATCATAATATTGTGCTTGTTTGGTTGTTGTGGTTTTTTGTGGCGAGAGATGAAAAACCAACAACAAGATAAATTAAAACGGGGTTTGAATTGGAGAAAAAAGACAAGAAGATATACTTATAAATATCATAATTAATTATGGTTTTTGTTTTAATCGTGTGCGCGCGGGGAGAAACCGACAATAATTTTCACATAGCGAACGAATCAAAATGAAAATAATTCGGATACAAAAAACGAGCTCAATGAAAAGACTAGAAAAGCCAGGAGAGACGAAATGGGAAGAGATATCATCATCATATATATATATAAGAAGAAGAAGAAAATTGTGGTGGTGAATGAAATGAAAGATGAAGAAACATAATAAAATTATAAAAATAATTATAATTAAAATAAAAATAATAAAAAAACGGTGGTGATTCGAGGGTGGATAAGAAGCCTAATTCCAGATCTTGAGGAAAGAATCCCATGATCCAGTACACACAGCCATTCCATCTTCGGTAACTCCGAGGCATGATACACGATTGTCGTGGCCAGCAAGAACACCTGAAAAAATAGAAATAGAGATTTGAAAAAAAACATAGTTGGAGCTTTCTTTTTTTCAGAAAATAAGGGAAAATCAATTTTTTTTTGAAAACTGAACATCTCCTAGTAATTCAGAACGCTGAACACAACGATAAATGCTATTTTTTCAATTAGAAAAATCCGGACTTTTTTAAATTAGGGTATAAATACTTTTATATCCCAATTTCAAGAGACTTCTTGTTTTTTGGTATCCTTATATGCCCCATTCCCCTTTAAAAAATAACATACCAGCTCGTTCTTGTCTCATTGAATCCCAAACATTACAATTGAAATCGTCATATCCGGCGAACAACAAACGACCCGATTTTGAGAACGCCACACTTGTGATACCTGACAAAAATAATCGATGAATAGAAAAACTCGAAAAAAATCAATAAAATAACTTACCGCAAATAATATTATCATGAGAATACATAGCGAGTTCTTGATCAGCTCGAATATCGAACAATCTACATGTGGCATCATCGGAACCAGTTGCAAATGCATTTCCAGATGGGAAGAACTACAAAAATAAACATTTTCAATTTGAAAGAAATCCCAACATTATCAGTGCAAAAAAAACTTACAGCAACTGCATTAATATCAGATTCGTGTCCTGGGAATGTTTGTTTGCACATTCCATCGCGAATATCCCAAAGTTTTGCTGAAGCATCGCAGGCTCCAGAAATAAATGTGCGGAAATCGGGTGACAAAGACAATGACATAACATCTCCAGTGTGTCCAGTGAAAGCTGTGCATTGTTGACCAGTTTCGATATCCCAAAGTGCGCTGGAAAAATTGATTTTTGAAAAAAAAATCATTTTTCAAGGAATTTGTGTTGAAGCGCCTTTATATAGATATATTTTTTGGTTCAATTTTTTCAAGATTATTGCACTTTTTTTTGAACTCTCAACTGTCTCCCCCAAATCGAATCTCGCTTTCTTCGTTTTTTCGGCCACATTTTTTTCAATTAAACTTGGCGGAAATTGGTGCGTAAAAGATCGAGAGACACAGAAATGGGGCGAAAAAAAGAGACGACGTAATTTGGCCAGACAATGGCGAATTAATTCGACATGAATAAAAAAAAAGAGGATGGCTAGAAAAAAGACAAAGTGCGTTCAAAAAAAGGTCTAGCTTCGTAAATTTTGACAGGTTTTGAATTTGAAAAATATGAAAAACTAACCAAGTCATATCTCCGGAAGATGTAACAATCTGGTTGTCATCCAAGAATCGACAACATGACAAATAACCAGTGTGACCGGGCAATTCGCGCGATACCCGAACATTTCCTTCGCGCGTTTTCAACGAATAAATTGAGCAAATGTTGTCAAGACCTCCACACGCCACAAATGAACCAGATGGAGCATATGCGCATGTCATCACCCAAGATGATCTCAATGGAATTGCGTGTACCTATAACAATTTTATTAAATTTTTGATAATCGAAAAAATCAATGAAAAACTAACCTTATTAGTTGTGTACGAGTCCCAAACAATCAATTTACCATCTTGTGAGGCGGATACCAAATTGCGACTGTCCGAAGCCCAGTGCATTGCATAAATCTTTGCTAAATGTCCCCTAAGTGTACGTCTTGTCCTCATTTGAATACGTCCGATTGGATCCAAATTTGAGGCAACGCTTGCCAGTGTCGTGTCATTTGCAGCTTTTCGGGCTTCCTGAAAAAATAACAATTTATATTGGGCCGGTTTTTGGACGAGTTTTACGGGCGTTAAAAATAAAAATACTTTTCTTGTTAAATCAGAGTATACTGTAATTTAGCCTGTGTGCAATATCTGCAAACACCAACACTGAACTGTAGATAGAAACACACAATCTGACGACATCTGTTTTTCGGAAATTTTTTTTTGTTTTCTTGAGCTTTTCTTGGAGTTTTTAAGTCATAAAAATCCCTAGAAACATAGATAGAAAACAATAATCAAGTAGTAATACTGAAAATAACGAGAAAATCCTAATTTTATTCATCTCAGGAGGTTTTGTAATCACTTAACAAGAAAAAAATGGATTTCTACTATTTTCAAAAACTACCCTAAAATTTAAAAGTTCCTCGGGTATTCCAAATCAATTATTAAAAAGTGAAAATTGAAAGCCGGACTATTATTTTTACACCCTGATGTAAAATTTTAATCATTTGATTCCTAAAAAATAATTTTTCAAGCAATTTTTCTCGAAAAAAAAGCCGATCCCCTATTTCGTTTAATTTCTAGTCCTGATATTTGTCTACTAATTCCTCAACAGTAATTGCTGTTTCGTTTTTTCTTCTCCTCATCAACCTTTCTCATCATCATCATCATTATTCATTCATTCATTCATTCTCTTTTTTCTCTCCCCCCATCTCCTTCAATTTCCTAATCCCCCTTTATTTCTTTCTCCAGGCAACACCATCACCATTTTACCACCCCAACCCCACCCCAATCTATGTCATCCAGCCTCTCCTCAAACAAACACTACTTTTCCTCTCCTTTTTTCCAACACACACATACATACACACACATTTTCAATTCAATCTTCTTCTTCTTCTTCTTCTGCGCTCCCTTTTCGGCCTATGTGTGCCCCAACAGCAAATCGATTTGCTTCGAGGCTTTTTCAGCAGCAGCAGCAGCAACCAGCAGCCTCCAGTAGTAGCTCCCCCAAGTACACACACTCTTCTTTCTCCTCGTTTTTCCCTTCTCCTTATTACCAACAATTTGTGTAGAAAAAGAAGAAGAAGGAAGAATTCGTCTTTTTCTTAACGCTCTCCACTTTTTCGTCGAATGGATCGGAAGTAAAACTAAACACGGAGATTCTCCCTACGTCTTCTTCTTCTACTTCTGAAGGAGAAGAAAAAGAAGAAAAAAGACATAAGTGAAAAAAGTTGGAAAAGGAAAAAAAAAGAATGAGAAAAGTTAGCCGGAAGTCTTGATTTGATTAAAATAGTAAACCTATTGTGTCTATAATATCTACACATGTTTTGCTAGACCACGTCTTGTGCAACTTTCGTCATATCAGACTCCAAAAAGGGCAGACATGAAATCACTCATAGTCATCCTAACCCTATAATTATTGTAATCCAAAAATATCTCTAGACTTATTTTAACTTAAAAGTGCAACGCTGACAATTTTCCCAAAATTAATTATTGACACGATTCGGCGTTTCTTGCACTTTTAAGTCATCTCATGATTCATATCCCCTCATACAAAAAAGTTCCCTTTTTTCTAGCTCAAATCCAAGAAATCCCATTATTCTTCTTCTTTTGTTTATTTATTTATAAAATATAAATGTATTCGTCATTCGAGTCATCCAACCAAGTCAGAGAGCAGCTCAAAATCACCAAAAAAAAAACACACACACACATAGAAAAGCGCTCGTTTTCTTCTCCTAGCAACTTTGTAGAATTCTAAATGAGCCGAAAGAGACCCAATTTCGATTCCTTTCAAGTGTTCCACTAGATACAGTACTTCCCGAAATGAAAATAAAAACAAAACATACCCGAATCTGAGACTTGAGCTGCTCAGCCTCTTGTCGAAGTTGATCAAGTTCACTCATATCTTTTTGATTGGTGGTGTTGTTTGGTGTTGATCGCTTTCAGATGGTGTGTAAAACGTGACAACTGCTGAAAAACAATTTATTTGACTTACTTATTGAACACACGAAGAGGGAAAAAGAACTTCAATTTTTTTTTGAAATTTTTTATTTCGAAACTTGTTTAGTTTTGCAAAGAATTTTAGCGGGTAGATCAAAATAAAATTTTATTTTCTCGATTTTAATTGGAAGCCGAGAGAAAATAAAATGATGTTGTCTCTAGAAATAGTTCAAGATTACGGTGGGGCGTTTTTCTCTCCACACCATGTAATTAAAACAAATAAGCGGAAACGGGGGATTTCTGCAAAAACCTGCGAACTTTAATCAAGAAAATATGAATCAAGAAACTCAATTTATATTTTGAAATAAATGTTCTGTAGAAGCATCCAGTTTTACATAATGAGATATGATTTTGCAATGAGTTCAATAGTTCAAAAATCGAATCCGCCCATTTTCCGAAAAAAAATTGACCATCAGACAAAAAACCCCTTTTTTTACACAAAAAGGTCCCGCCCATTTTCATTTCCCGCAAAAAACCCAAAACTAACATATTTCCAAGTCGTCGTAGTTTTGTTTTGTCACCAGATCGCCAAAATGTGTTCGTTGATTGTCAAAAAAAATTCTCCAATCCAATAACAAACCTGGTTGTCAAACTACTACGAAAACGCAAAAACGAGAGATTATTGATTAGTTTTGCGATCGAACTACACACACAATTCGGCCGAAACAGCTGAAAATCAAAGGAATGTTTGGGGGTAGCTGTTGAAAAAAAATAATAAGAGGCGAGAAAAATCGATAAGACAAACCGAAAAAAAAGAACATGAACAAAAAGGGAAAGTTTTTTTGGTAAGAAAAAAAGGCATTTGTTTTTTTTTTTTGAAATAAAAAACTGAAGTTGGATGAGATAGATAATGACGTCACTATTCAGAAAACAAAAGAAAGACAAAACAAGTTTCAAAATAGACTTTTTTCCAATTTTTAGAAAAAAAGTCAGGCAGGAAATGGGAACTGGAAAGACAAATGGAAAAATAAGAATAAAACTAGGTGTGGGTGGAGACTTCACATTATTATTCTAATATTTCTTATTTCTTTTCACCATAGCAACCAAAAATTGAGAGCCGACCGGCAGAAAAAAGAAAAGCCGCGCGCTATTGTTTAATAAGGCGGCAGAAAGAGAGAAAGAAATATATATATCTACCCATATCGATAATATTTTACTTACTCACTGCTTACTATGTGACACAACAAAAAAGGAAAAAAAGAAGAAGGGGAAAAGGAAAAGGAGCAAAAATGATATGATCAAATAACATTTCCATAATTACATATTGAACAAGTTTGGAGTACTGTAGAGGGCTAAAGAACCTGGAGAAAGTTTCCGAGAAGAAACTATTTGTCTGATAAGTACTTGACGGCTTGGGGATAAGCGCGAAAATATTTGACAAAACTTTGGTAATTGGTATTTTGGATGGTATGAGTGGATCTCAAAGTTTTATGATGCTGTGTTGGGTTCGGATTTTTGTGAGTTGAGAGATCAACGTTCAATTTATAATTCCGATTTCTAGAAATTTTGCCACGCAATAACCCTTTTAGACTTTTTGGGCTGATTGGGAAATCCAAAAATATGTATGATTGGAACTTAAAATTAGGTTGGCTGTTAAAGAATATGAGGGGATTTTTCCGAAATACCCAATTAATTGAAAAACAGGTTCGAACCCCAGAACAGTTTCAAGAGTACAGAGTCTGATGAGAGCCGGACAACCCGATCAGTGAGACCGCTTTTATTTTGAAATACTCGGTACGCGTAAAAAAAGGTCTGAGTCGGCTATCCTATCAAATCTTTGGTTTTGGGCCGATGAGATTTTAAAGATTTCTAGAACACCAACATTTTATTAGGAGATAATAATCTACTTATGGTGAATTATAGAGATATATAGCACTAGTGAGATTCAACATGATTTTGTGGAAACTCGGTATTGGGAAGGTCATGTTCTGTTAAAGTTTGAAGATCAGTAAACGTTATTAGTCAATGGTTCCCATCTCATTCCAGATCCGATTTTTGAGAAGACTCTCACTAATTTTAGATTCGAATTTTATTATGTTCAAGCTTATTTTCAGAAAAGTGCAATTATTGCCAAATTTGAAGATCTTAAATAATCTGCACTTTTATCTCAGAGCCAAAATACGTAAATACCCCCGCAAACAAAACCACGTGTTTCTTTCGAAATTTCAATTAAACCCATTTTGCTTTCTGCTCCGCCCATGACTAATAAAAAAAAGGAATATTATTTCTGCTCTTTTTCTCGGCCACAAAAATTTCCTTTTTCTACTACATTATTTTGTAGTTAAAAAACGACAAAAATGTCGATTACTGTAGGCGGCCTTTGGAGCCCTCGATTTTGAGCTGAACAAAATCGATTGAAAAAAAATAAAAAAAGAGAGGGAAAAAAGAAGAGAGAATGGAAGGAAGAAAAAGAAGATATATTTATAAATAAATACTACCGGAAATTGGCGCTAAAGATGTATGCATAATAAATACTTTTTGTTCGCTTTTTATTTTCTGTTCAAATTGAAAATGAACATTTTTCAATAATATTTGGACGAATTGATAGGGCAAAATAAAACAAAACGTGTATTGTTGTTCTACGTCATAGATTGCTCATAGAAAGCATCATCAGATGATGAAAAAACGGCATTATGACTGGGTGGAAACTGGCGCAAGAAAAAAACTAATGTAAGTAAGTAAATACATTAATAAATCCAAGTTCGAAATGGAAGGCGATGAGAGATTATGACGAAATTAGAGAGTACAAAGAAATGAGCCGCTTCAAAATCAATACTCGTTCGTTCTTTAATGGGATGGTTGGATGGATGGATATAACAACAAGAAGAAAAGAGAGAGAGAGAGGAAGAGAGAGGGAGAGAGAGAGAGTGGGCTCTTTTTTTGCTCTTGCATCTCTCTCTTCATATACTAATAGAGAAAACGCGCGAGCTAGATTTGGAAATGGGTTTGAGGGTGGACAATTCGATTCGGAAAAGGACATGAGATTATCTAAAGATCGGAATAATAATGGATTCTTCGCAAAAGATTTGGTAAACGAGAACTCAGAAGAATAGAGAGAAATTAGGAAGCAGAGATGTAGTTACTCAAATAAGGCCAAGATGAATCATCCGAAAATAAAAACCAAAAGGTTTTTTTTTTGAAAAAAAGGAAGAAATTTGCGAAATCAACAGAGAAGGAAAAATAAATTCTGCTCATTTGGAAATTCAAAAATTATTTTTCTCGTGAGCCAGAAATTGTATAGACCATGAAACCACAAGTAGGAAAATATTATCTGTAGCAACCAGGAAGATGGTCAAAAAGTCAGAAAATATTGTGGGACAAAAATGTAAAGCAACGATTGAATATATAAAAAAATATAATAAACAAATCAATCGATAATTCGTTTCTTCTTCAATTTTTCATTCCATACAAACACGCACAACACAGAGAGAAGAAAGCCATTGGAAAAAGAAAAGAGGAGGAGGAGGAGGGAAGGCGAAGAAGAAAAAAAACGCGAGGAGGCATATATGTGTGTGTGTTGTGTGTGTGTGCCAGTAGTGAGCCACAGCCAGCCATCTGTCCCTATCTCTCACCCTTTCCCACTATTTCGTCCCCCACAGCTCATACAAAACGATGAAGCAGCAAAAGCAGTAGCGCCTTTCTCTCCTTCCCTCTCGAATCGAAATCAATATGGAAGAACAAGAGGGAAACGCGACGCGTACGCAACACATTCAAAATGCACACACATACACTTGTATAGAAGAAGAAGAAGAGAAAGGAGCACATAAACATTTTTTTTTGCCTGAAGGCTCTGGTTGTCTCGTTTTCATGAGAAGAAGAAGAAGAATATGGAGGAACAACGACACGACTCAACTAAATTGAGGAGCACAGCAAGAAGAAGAAGAAGGAAAGAGAAGAAGACGAAGACAGCCCTTTTCGGGGTCGATCGGGTTATCTATATATAAACCACCATTTAGGGAAACATGCATCACATTTATGATGGACTGACCAATTCCTAATAAGCTGAAAAAATAGACGAAATTTTTCGGATGAATATGAGATACCTGCAACGATGATTTGGGGGGGAGGGTTTCAGAATTACATCAAATGAGACCAATAATTTTCATGGGAATTGTTATAATTCGAAAATTGGAAATTTTTCGTTTGATTCAAAGATAAATTTGTACCGTAATCCGGTTGATTTCAGAGTACAGTTATAAGAAATTAAGGTTTCTGGAGAAACATAGGCTCGACCTCATTAAAATTATCGTATTTACCCTGTAGCCGCAGGTTTCCTCAAATTTTGAACGAGTTTGATAATTCTTCTTAACTCGACAAAAAATCATAGTATTTGTCAGAATCTAAACAAAAAACTTGAAAAAAATTACAGTAATCTAATAAGACACCCATCCTTGAAAAATTGGAAGCTCGATCGGGTTCAAACAATAAAAACTATTCCCGAAATTCCGAAAATATTTTTATCTTCGGTTGAGGACTCGATTTCGAAATTTTGAAAATCAGCACAGATTCAAAAGCTTCCACGAAAATTAGGGCGATTAAAAAAACAATTAACCATGTTTCAAAAATCCAAAAAAAGCAACATCTGACCACAACAAAAGCTTCGTAAAGTGAACGTGGCAACATCCAAAAATATCCAGCTTCCCTTTTCCTTTTCGAAAGAAAATAATCAAATTCCAACCAACCAACACAAAAAAAAACGAAAAAAAGAGCGTTCCGTTTAGAATCCATTCAATACGGTGTTATTGAATGAAAAAAATGAAAAAAAGGAGAGAAAAAAGTATCCAAAATTAAATGCGATGACACACACACACTTCAAATAATTACAAAATAAATGTTTCTTCTTCCAGAAGAAGCACAACAAATAAACAAATAAAAAAGGAGAAAAAAAAAGAAAAAAGGAAAAGCAATTTAATTATTCGCCTTCTTCAAACATGCAAAATAACATGAACCCATAAAATATCACATTTGTTTTGTACCACCTGCCGGATTTATTGAAATGGCATATTATATTGGTTTTGGATTTGGGTATACAGAAAATAATTGGAAACATCTTATAATTTTATAGGTTTTGTTTTACTTTAAATTTCAGATTATTCTAGAATATTCAATTTCAACCAGATATTTCAATTTCAAAATAGAACGAATGCTCAGATTTTTTGAAAGATTCTAAGATTCCCGAATGAAAATGATTTCAATAAAGTCACAGTACGATAGAAAATTTCTGAAAACTTTTGGTGTTGAAATTCGGAAAAGTGAATGCATCTGAAGTTCCTTAGGTCTAATCCAGAATTGGAATTTAAAAAAACATTTGAAAATCCAAAAAAGTGACCGTAATCAATAAAATGGGTCCGGCACAGTTAAACTCCCCTGGTGAATTTCCATTTTGTTTAGATACGGCCACTGATGTTTTTTTTTCATAACCTATGTTCTAATCAAAAGCGTCACACTCCTAACTACAGTATCCTTCATCACACTAACCTCAAATTTTGATTTGTCCGTCATTTTCAACTTTTCGTATTTTATAAAATGATTTTTTTTAAAGATAAAACATGATTTTTGAGGTCACGTAACAATTCATTTTTTAAATAAAAAACAAGAAAACCGGCGGACCTTTGCAAAAACCTACGATTCTTTCCAAATTTTTCGAACAAACCAAAACAACAAAGCTTCTTCTCGTGCGTTCTGCTCGACAATCCAACTTCCATAAATATTCAAATAGCCAAACTGGACAGGTGTGGAAAAAAAGAAGAAAAATATGGAAAAAGTAATGCTCACCAACACGTCACAAAAGATTTTGAAAGGAGTGGGGATAAATAAAAACAAGGTTGAATTGAGAATTGAATTGATAACAATTAGAGCGGATTTGTGGCGATGATACGAATTTTTTCAGTGACTATAGCTCACATTATAATATTTTTTAATATTATATTATGTATTATATTCATGCACTTTTGTGTTGCAACCAAATATTATTAAAAATATATCGAGATATCTACAAATAAAATAAAAACGATGGGATTACCTAGGCAACGATAGAAAACCATCAATTATTCCATTGGGAATATTATATGATAAAAAAATGAGCAAAAAAGACAAAAAATCGGCAAAGATGTGAAGAAGTAATATGAGATGAGGAACAAAATGAAGAAAAGCCAAGAAAAAAAAAAGATAAAGTACACGAAGAGAACAAAACAACAATAAAACAAACTGAAATTCAGATGAAAAAAATATAATCAGTCGACGAAATAGATCTTTGAATTGTTATTTTCGAAAATTCTTGGTAGAATCTTGTATTTTTGGAGGAAAATGAAAAACAGGATTACGGTACCACAAAAAATAAGAACTACAAATGAATCATGGAAAAAACAAGGTGTGGTACGAATATATGGATTATTGAAAAGGGGTGGTCTACTTTGTGAATAATTTTGGGACATTTTTAATCGGACCTTCTTCAATTATTTTTGAATCGGAGCGTTCAGAAGGGCTTTATTACTTCAAAAGAAGGGTGATCACTTTTTCAAAAAAGGATTCGTTTATTCCATAAACTTTTTGGTCTACTTCATTATTTATCTGTGTGAGAAATTATGGCCCGCCTCTCCTGATTCCTCAAATTTCAGACTGTTTTTAATTTTCAACAAAAAACCAGAAAAAACTAAAGGAAAACTAAAAAAGAGAAAAGAAAAAGCAAAGAGAGGAAAAAATATAAATTAATAATGAGAACAACACAACAAACTATTCCTCGAAACATTTTTTTTCAAAAAAAAAAAAGAAAAAAAGAAATCATGACGACTTCAATTAATCGACGATGCATAAAAGTATAACAAATTGTGTGTGTTTACCGTAATCTGGCGAGAAATTAAAAAAAAGATTTGGGGTTTATTAAAATATTGGAATCAAGCCAAAATACCGCGTGTTCTTTTTGTTGTTTTTCAATGAAATGTATGTATTTCTTGCCTTTTTCAATAACAAACAATCAGAATAATAAGAAATTCTCATTATTATTTTTACTTTGAGGTTTTTTTTCTTATTTTTGTCACATGAAAGTGTGTTCAAAAATGATTATACAAGTCTGAGATGAAGTTCGAAATCGAAAAAATTCTGAATATTCATGATCTCACTTTCTGCGTCTATCACTGTTCTTATTGTCTAAAATCTACAGTTATGATAAATTTAGGCTTTTTATCTCATATAGTATCTCTAGTCTCTTCAATATTTCGATATTATTTCATTTCGATCAGATTTTTTGGACCTGTTCACTATTTCTCCGTAGTTGGCTCTCTCGTTTTCTACAGATTCATTTTATTATAATCTATCCGAATGATTTTCTAAATTCTACACCCCCTTAAAACTTCATTCCCACCAAATTGTACCTATGCGAATATTTTCTTTGAAAATGTGGGTTTTGAAATTTGAAGAAAGAATTCATGATCTATGAAAATTGAATACGAACAGAACCTAAGTTAAAATTGAGCCAAATTCAAATGTCAGACATAAAAGGAAAGGGTATGAAAATTGCATACCGAAAAGTTCAGTGCCACATATTCTGCAGAAAAATGCGTCAATCGAAAATAAGTACAACAAATGTATCTCAAAATACGGTAGGCAAATATCTGTGAATGAATAATTCGTAAGACCTACGTCAACGAACAAAAAAAAGGTAGAAATAATAATAATCTTCGAGATTCCAGACTTGAAAAAGTGCAATTTCAAGATTATCGAACAAAAAAGATACAGTAAGATATTTGAAATAATAATGAAATGAAAAACAGATTAATGATCGGATTACTCATTTTTCATTTTCTTTTTTTTTCGTCGGAAAAACTTTGCGAAATGACCTCTTGTGAGAAATGAAAAAGCTTTTAATTCCTCAAAAGGGAAACGGTAAATTTTTTGCATTAAATGATGGATTACTAAAAACAAATCACAAATTAAGAAAAAGCAGAAAAGAAAAAAGGAAAAGAAGAGTTAGATGGAGCAGGGTTAATTAGTTTTAAATGGAAGAAAAACGACAATAATGGGAGGGAAATAACATCATTCTGAAATAAAATGGGGATTTGATTTTCTACTTTCCAAAAAAAAAAGAAGAAGAAAGGAAGAAATCTCAACGTCATCAAAAACTAAAGGCGACAAGAAAAAATATATCTCTATAACAAGAGGTATTGTATTTCAGAGACAAAGTAAAAGAAAAACGAAAGAAAAGGATTGGAATTACAAATGAGATGAGATAATATAAATATTATTTTTTTTATAAAAAAGAACAAGGATTACCGTAGTCACAAAAAATAAATATTTGATTTATTATTTGAAACGTAATCAGTTATCATTGTTAATCTAAACAAGAAATTTTCCTTTTTCAAAAATCGCATCGAGTTACCATAGTGATTTTTTTACTCGCATAACTTATATTTGACTACAAACTTCATCGATTATAAGAAATTTTCAGCTGTTCGACAAAAAATAATATTTCTTTTTTTGAATAGAAGGATTAAGACAAAGTCGAACAGGTGATTCAAGAAAACAATGAAAACGAGGATTGATGAACTATACATGTTTTTCACTCATATTTTATAATCCAGACAGGACTTTTTGCAGTACTGAAAAGGATGAAAAATTTGGATATTTACGTTTTCTGAAGTATTATGAATCGTAAGAATTTTCCTATGAATGAAATTTGAATGGAAGCTTCTCTGAAACAACTAATGACGGGGCACAGACGTTAACCTTTCCGGAAAACTGATAACATGCTGATGCTATAGGAAACCACTTCTGAATCTTTAGAACTTCCAAATAAGATTTCATTTTCATTCCAGAAGTTTCTGGAAATTTCAACAAAATCTAAAGAATAGATTTCCAGCGATAAAGATGTTGCCACGTGATCAACTATCAAAAAAGATCAACGCCACAACTTTTTTTCAGAATGAAATCGTCTAAAACAGTAAATCAAGAAACTATTTTTCAAATTAAATCGGATGGAAAAAAATGAGACGTAAGCTATAAAATGTTACTTTTGAGTTCTCAAAATTTTATCTAGACTTATGGGGTGATTCAGGTTGAAAAAATAAAAAAAACATTTTTTGACAAAAAAATTCGATTCAGCAAATGTCAAAAAACTATTGTCCGTTTGGAAATGAGACTCACCCCGCGAAAAAATTAATTTGAATTTGCTGCAGGAGACGCAGACAGCGAGAGAGTGCGCTGGCAAACAGCCAACGGGGGTTTTGTATGGGAAAACGACCGCAACGCACACGCATCGCGGGGGTGGGGAAATTAGAGATTTTCTCAAATTCAAATTTATTTTTTCGCGGGGTGATTCTCATTTCCAAACGGACAATATATTTTTTCCTATTTTTTGACATTTTTTTCCACACAAAAATGAAAAATATCTCGCAGCGAAAATGTTGCAATAAAAAAATGTAAAAAAATAGGAAAAAATATAGTTTTTTGACATTTGCTGAATCGAAATTTCTTGTCAAAAATGTTTTTTTATTATTTTTTTTCAACCTGAATCACCCCATTAAAACAACTGAAATCGTAGTTCTAAACTTTTGAAATTTCCTAATCTCGAACATTTTGGTGCTCATTTTTCCCGGGTCAAAAAAAAAAAAATTTTTTTGGAGCAGTTTTTTCAAAAATCAGAATTTCACAAAAAGTTTTTTTGTGCACCGAAAAAAGAATTGTAAAAATACCTGATTGAATGGACAAAACTTCACAAACAACCTCTAGTATTCACTCTCATTCTTATATTTCATTATCCAACAGTTTGTGTTGCCATTGTATCCTTCAAATAGCTCTGATCTTTTCGAACCAATGTTTTCAACAATGCCACAACCTAAAAATTATATTATTTTGTAGACAGATAAATTCTAAATTTGTTATTGAAAAAATGAAAATAGAAATAGAACTACAGCAATAACAAAAACGCTGTCAATAATTAACCAAAATTTCCCTAGTGGATTTTCGTTTGACGTTGGTTAGTTGAAATGAGTCACAACAAAATATAATTGTAATCACATGACAAAACTATACGATTTACATACGTAAGAGAAAAAAGTTATGACGTGGAAAAGTTGTCATTTTCAGAACAAAAATCTACAGTAATTTGAAATTTAAAAATAAGTTTGGCGTAGAAACTTCGGCTCATTTTGATTGGTATAAAAAACAATTCAACAAAAAACTCTTGAAATTTTTCAGGTTCTGAATTTGGTACGTCTTTGGGGCAGTTTAGACTTTTTAGAACATTTAGACTTACCTCAATCATTGTGACTCTTTTCTTCTCATCATAAACAAAAACTTTTTCGGCGACAAAAGTTTGTAGTGTTGGCGGTGTTTCTGAATTGAATTTGATCCATAAATCATTTTTCATAACTTCTTTCAAATGTCCAACTCGAATTGTTCCATTTTTTGGAACAATACTTTCCATATGTTGTTGTGGTTTTACATAAGGTTCTTGTCCATTTTCAAATATTTCCCACATTACTAATCCAAATGTATAAACATCAGTTTTTTGTGTGAATTTATATGATTGAAGAGTTTCAGGTGCCAAATATCTTATCGGTGTTTTTTGAACACTTGACATTTTATAACTATTTCCATAACGAGCTAAACCAAAATCAGCAATTTTTGGAACTTTTGCATCATTTAATAAAACATTTCTAGCTGCCAAATCACGATGAATCAAACATTTTCCATGCAAATAATCAACACCTCGTGCAGAACCAAGACAAAAACGAAGTTTATCTTCAATATCAACTTTATTTTTCTTCAAATATTCCCGCAAAGCTCCATCTGAACAAAAAAAAATGAATTTTTTGAAGAAAAAAAGAAAGGACAAGACTCACTTTCACAAAACTCGCTGATAATCATAAATGGTGTTTTGAGAATACAAACTCCATATGTTTTGAGAACATTTTTATGGCGAAGACAAAGTTGAAGACGAGCTTCGTGCATCATTTCTTTCATTGCCACTTTTGATTCTTCGCCTTTCAACTGAAAAAAAAACAACAAATTGAAGAAATCAAAAAACATTTTAAAATTTCTTGTATTACTGTATTTTTGGCTTAGAAATTGAAAAAGGCTCAATAAACCTCGTTTCATTTTTCCCTAACAAATCTTACCATTTTGATAGCAACTGGTAATGGTGTATTTGTTTCTCTCGAATCCGAATTTGTACATTTCCATGTTCCAGATTTGACTTCACCAAAAGCACCTTCTCCTAATGTTTTTGTTCCAATTTCCACATGTGTTCTATCCAATTCCCAAGATGTCATTGGAATTCCTTTATAAAGACTAAACTTTTTATCTCGATAAAATCCCGTGTAATGTCGATAATAATCAGTTAGTTCTTCAATTGATCCAAATTTTTTCTTTTTATCGATATAAAAATGAATCCATTTTCCATCGATGTTTTGTTCAATTGTCATTGGAACATCAATTATTTCATGTTTTGTTTCATCCAAATGATCCACTTTATCTTTGTCTTGATCTTCTGAAATTCATTTATGAAATTATATTATTATATATTATTGGGCTTATGTCCCGTTTGACCTATATAAATGCCCCACTTTCGAATTTTTAATTCAGACGTGAAAATCTTTTAATCTTTTTTCATTTCAAGATTCCGAAAAGAATTCACATATCATACTTATATATTATTGGGCTTATGTCCCGTTTGACCTATATAAATGCCCCACTTTCGAATTTTTAATTCAGACGTGAAAATCTTTTAATCTTTTTTCATTTCAAGATTCCGAAAAGAATTCACATATCATACTTATATATTATTGGGCTTATGTCCCGTTTGACCTATATAAATGCCCCACTTTCGAATTTTTAATTCAGACGTGAAAATCTTTTAATCTTTTTTCATTTCAAGATTCCGAAAAGAATTCACATATCATACTTATATATTATTGGGCTTATGTCCCGTTTGACCTATATAAATGCCCCACTTTCGAATTTTTAATTCAGACGTGAAAATCTTTTAATCTTTTTTCATTTCAAGATTCCGAAAAGAATTCACATATCATACTTATATATTATTGGGCTTATGTCCCGTTTGACCTATATAAATGCCCCACTTTCGAATTTTTAATTCAGACGTGAAAATCTTTTAATCTTTTTTCATTTCAAGATTCCGAAAAGAATTCACATAATGATCTTATTCCACTTCAATTTTGATAAGTTTCGGAAGAAGAGATCATAAGAAATTGAACTAAACTATCAAACTCGCTTGAGTGTTACTATTTTACCTGAATTATGAAGTGAAGTCATAATTATCTGCCTGATTCTCATAAAAGTGTCATCTTTTGGTATTTTTTGGGCAGAGCTATTAAGTTAATGTTTTTGATCTGACTCCAAAAGATAAGTTTACGAAGAATGTTTACGAAAATTTCATTTTCACAGTTTGTAATTTACGACCGAAAAAATTTCGAGTTTTTTGAGACCTGACACAAACTAATGGGGTGATTCAGGTTCAAAAAAAATAATAAAAAAACATTTTTAGACAAAAAGTTATTCATTTCATCACCTTTTTTTTCGCACGATGTACTTTTCCGCTCATCGTAAATAAATAAATAAAATAAATAAATAAAAGTTTCTATTCAGCAAATGTCAAAAAAAATGTATTTTTTTCTATTTTTGACATTTTTTCCACACAAAAATGAAAAATATCTCAAAGCGAAAATATTGCAATGTAAAAAAAATGTCAAAAATAGGAAAAAATATAGTTTTTTGACATTTGCTGAATCGAAATTTTTGTCAAACAAATTTTTTTACTAATTTTTTTTCGACTTGAATCGCCAAATCAGGGATGGGACTAAAAGCGACGTAATTTTCATAAAAAAGTGAAACATCTCCAACATAGTTGGATTTTCGGAAAGTGTGTGAAAATGGACCATGGAAAAGTAGGTGCTCTTCATATTTTGAAAAAGAGAATGCAAACAAAAGCTATCTGAAAAGTTTTTGAAAAGATGTTGTTCTTAAAAGAAAAATATGAAGATCAGCTATTTTCCGGAGCCCGTGTTCACTATTTCAGAAATTTAATGCACTTTTCAATGAAAAATACAAGTTTGTGAATCATTGTTCGACAACTACAGATTTTTTTTGTAATCATGGAAATTCTGTGAATTATTAGCAGAAAGAGTGGCCACGTTAGGTACCATTTTCTTTAGATTCTTGAGAAAAATTAAGCCTCTCACCTTGATTCTAAGGACCAATTTTATGTATGGAAAATTTTCATAAAACATTTGTTATAATTAAAGCCTGTGCCGGAAACTTTCCGTATTTTCCGGAACTTTCAAGTAAAGTTAATTGGAAAATTAGAATTCTTCGAAATCGCCTTATTTTCAGAAAAAAAATTGAGTGGCTAAAATCAAAAGTTTGGAAATATCTTTTTGGTTTTTACTTCTGAATTTGGTCTGCAAACTAGGAAGGTGATTACTTTCAGAAAACCTTGCAGATATACATAAATTAATTTTTCCATAACCGCAGCCGAAGGCTGCGTAGCAAAACAAGAATGAACACCGGCGATAGCCGGTGTATCATTCTTGTGAAATTATATTACAAAATCAAAAAATAAAATACTTACTTATACAAACTCCAATAATAACATTAAATCTAATTGATCCATCATTTGATTGTTCTTTTGATTTTTCTTTCGATTTTTTGCCTTTATTTGAGTTCACAGTCTTTTCTCTTGATGTTTTTCCAGCCTTTTTTGGATATCGAATTGAAACTCGAATAAGAAAATCTCCAAATGTTTTCAAAATCATTGGTTGATATTCGTGAAGAAGAAAACCATGGAAATATGGAATTTTTGCCAGATTTTCATCGATTTTATCGTTTGTGATTTTGGATACTTTTTGAAAACATCCAGGCAAAGGTTGATCGAATTCGCTGTCTTGTCTTTCATCCTCAAACATTGATTATTTTAAAAATGAACAAATATACAGTAATTTTATGAGATTACTGTATTGTTCGTCCCGATCGCCCTAAAATTTTTCGAAAGGAAAAAGCGTGCAGACGTGACCTATTTTTTCGGGCCGCCTGTTTTTTGGAATTTTTTCACGTGGCACATATTTTTTCGAAATTAAATCATTCTGAATTATTTTATGGCGAGAAAATCATTTTTATGATTTTGAAAATCAAATTTGCTCATTCGAGCCCCGATTTCTTCTTGAGACCCAATTATTATTAATTTACCATTGCACCTGCAGCTCCTTTAATACTCGAACTTCTTCTTCCTTTTGTCGGTGTTCGAATCGTTAAATTTTTTTCAAACTCTCCTTGTTTGTTTTCATTTTCATTTATCTGCAAAAATCATTTCAATTTTATTGTTTTCTTCTTTTTTATTCTTACCACCTTTTCAGCATTATTCGGTTTTTTTGACATATTGCAAACAATTGAAATACTAAAAATGGTCACATTTTCGAACATTTTCACGTATATACAAGCCAAAAAACGTGTTCTAATTTTTTCGATTAAAAAAACCAATTTATTTGTCGAAAAAATAAAAAACTCGACTAAAAATTCATTTGACGATGAAACGAAATGAAAAATACGTGGATACAATTAAAAACTATAGAAAAGAGCAAGACGACGGTATATCCAGATTAATGAGCAGCGCCTTTAAGAGCTTTTCTTTCAGCGCGTGCGATTTCGGCCTGGAAAAGAAACAAATTTGTGAATCACTGAAGAATAGGGATGTCTTACCTTTCTATTTTGGTTCCATTTAAACAAGAAATAGATTCCAACGTAGCTGGCAAGAGCAGCACGGCAAATATTGGCTCTTCCGAATTGTTCGTGTGGGTTCAAGTAAGTTCTCTTGGTTTGAACAATTGATTGCCAGATTCCACGTACAGTATCAGCCATCTAAAAAAAGTTCATTCAATTTATGAACTCGAAATATTAAATACAAATTAAAGATATTTTAGATGGTTTTAATAAACCAGATAACAAAAAATTTCTTTTAAAAAAATACAAAAAATGCAAAAATGTAACTTTATAGTGAAAATGACAATAAATAAATTTGAATTCAAAATCTCAGATTCAATTAAATTAATTATTATAAATTATCGAAAAATTAGAAGTTGATTATCCAAATTAGTACAAAAAAATAAATATTCAAAAAATAACAAATAAAACCATATGATACATACGATATCCAGATACATAACGTTAGTATTTGTTTTGGTTAGAAAAATTCACACGTATGATTTTGTGTAAAAGACTGTAAAAGTAGATAATAAGAATGGAATGAAAAGAAAAATGCTTGAAATGATACCCAATTTTGAGAGGAAAATTGTCGGTCAAAAATTGCTCATCTCTCGATTTTTATCGTTTTATACATATATGATTTGATAAGTTCAGATTGATTCTCTAATCAGACTAGCCAATTCATCACAGTCTTTAATTTTCGATTCTTCAATAACTTCAGCAAAACTGTTCAATTTCTCACTGTTCAACACTTTGAGGGCCTTTCTCCATGTTGTGAGAGATTTATTTTCAGATAATGCCAAACTTGGGAACTTGGTTCCAGCCATCCAATCCAAAAATGGTTGGTTATTATCCACACTGATCATTGTAATTGTCAACAAAATATCACGAATGAGCTGAAAAACGTGATTTGTTTTGGAAACGCCAGAATAAAAAAAACTTACGGAATTATTTTCGAGTAACTGTTTTTTTAAAGTATCCAAATTCAATGCTTGGATCAAGAAAGACAGTTGATCCTTATGCAATAACGCTAGCTTTGAGTGAATTGTTGGCAAAATATCAAGAACAATTTCACCGAATAATTTCTTATTAACCAATCCACCGGCAGACATAACATTCAAAATAATTCTTGCTTGTTCTTTTGGTGAAGCATATTTCAAAGTCTTGTTGATCACAACTCTTCCTTTTCCCATTTGCAATAATTTTTGCATATCGTCTCCCATCAATTCTTGAATTATAACAGCAACACGTTCATCGGCAGCCGCTTCACGTTCTTTGCTGAAATTTATCAAATTCTCTAGCATTCAAAAAACAATTTTATTGAAACCAACCTGGATAGTTCATAAAATCGTGAAGTCGATCCAATGTTATTAGTACGCAAATCGTCAACTTCCAAAAGCATCAATATACTTTCTTCAAGACGAAGCAGCATAGTTCTTAATTTTTTAGCTACCGCAATTTTTTCTTTCCTCATCAGTTAATTTGGAAATCTCGCTATCTCCGTGTCGTTTCATTGAGATCAACTGTCTTGGATTAGCAGTTGATGATTTTGAAGGAAGACCCAAACTAGACGCGAACTTATCAGATAATGTCAACTTTTGTCTTTTCTCTTCTCCACGTTCGGCTCTTTCCTTCTGTCTTTCTTTTTCCCGTTCACTTGCTCTTTCTTTTTGCATTTCCCGATAATTCATTCTTCTGGTTCTTTCGATATAATCTTGTTTCGACTCGTTTTTCGACTTTTCTTCTGCTTCATTCTTTGGTTTTGGAACCCATCCATTTTCAATCTGTTTCTCTCTCCAAGTCTAAAAATAGTAAAATTAACATCATATAGAAGAAACACTTAAGTAACATACCGTATAGTAATAGTCTTCTACCATCGGATCTCCACATCCTTTACATTGAAGAAGTTGAATTTTAACAAGCCATTCACGTTCTTTCCATGACATATAACCAGCAAAAGAATCGAGAGCCAAATCTTGAATTGTTCTGATTGATGGCATTCCCGGTTGTTTTTTATGTGATTTGTTCATCGGACTTTGTGGTGGAGGTTGGGACATTTGTGGCGGTCCCATCATCATATGAGGGGGAATAGAAGATGCCATTATCATTTGATGAACCAATTGTGGATTCTGGAATAACATTCTTGAAATTACTGCTAAAAATAAAAATAATACTGAAACATACCTGAAATCTTTGCAAAAGTTGGAATAAGAATGGTGGAACAGGCGGAACTCCAGGTGGAAGTGGATATCTGCTCATAATATGAGTCAACCAAATATGAACAAATGGAAGAAATTGTGGATTCAACGGTGGAAGTTTTGGGAATCCTGGTGGTGGCATTGACATTGGCGAAAACTGCGGAAGATTCTGTCTTTGTCTGTTCTGTGATGGCGATTGTAATTGCTGGGCTTCCTGATTTTGTACTGGTGGAACTGGAATATTCGCTGCTACTGTTGGTTGCATCAATTGACGTTCAAGTTCGTCAAGAGAAAGAGCTGCAGTTGGAAACGCTGGAAGTGCTGAAGTATGTGGAGGAGGTTCAGAGATCGTCATGCTTTGCATAGCGAGTCCTAATACTGATGGTGATGATTCATCCCATTTTTCCAGATCTTCTAAAGTAAGAGCACTCTGTGGCATAGCAGGAATGACACCAGGAACCAAGGGAGATTTCCGTTCAAATTGCGTATTATCATCACCTAATAACGAAGAAATATCTCCAAGTTGAGAATCATTTCCTTTATCAATTCCAGTTATACCGAAATCATTTGCCCAAATACTGCTGAATGGTTTTGAAGAACTTTCGTCGCCCCAAATAGACTTCTCCTTAAAAATAAGAGGTTATTATGTTTTAGTGTGGAAAGAAAAAAAACTAACCAAAAAAGACGAATCGTTTTGGAATGAAGAAGGAAATAAAGGTTCTGTGGCACCACCAGAACCAAAAAGCGAGAAAGGCATTGGTATCTGAGAAGCATCCGGTGCTGCAGCCGATGATGTCGGATTCTCCCAAACTGGATCGTCTAGACGTAAACGAGCAGTTTGTGCAGCATAATCCTCAAGCTCCGCATCTGTAGCTCCGAGTAAAACGTCACCAAATGTCTCATCATTTGCGACATCATACTCGTCGTCAAATATATTGCCATTTTCGCTTCCATCGTCCGGAATTTCGCCTAGAAAAATTCAAAAATGAATTAAAACTTCATGAAAATTCCAAAAACCATACCAAACATCAATTCCGATTCAATTTCCTCCAGCGTTTTCGCATTCTTCGGTAATTCGTCCATTAGGAAAACGTTTTTCCAAAATTGAAAGGCCCTTTAACGAAAAAATATAAAAATTGAGTTACCCAACAAAAAATAAAGGCTAAGAAGAACTTTGAGAAGATATATAAAGAATGTTGGTTCACTAAAACTTTCTAAACAGGCATTTAAAGCGCAAAAAACGTGTGAAATTCAGAAATGATCGCCGCCCGTTGTATCGTAAATCTACACAAAACAACGCCCTCCGCTCCAAGACCAACGCTTGTTTTCTCATACGTGTCCCTTTAGTGCAAGAAAACAGTGTGTGAGAAAGAGAGACGCAGGACGTCAGACAGAAAAGGTGTTTCTTTTTTTTTTGCAATGAAAAAATATAAAGCTGAAAGTTTCAAAACTTTTGGATGAATAAAAAGAATTATAAAAATAAATAAAATTTGAAATGAATTTATACATTAGGAATTTTCAATATTATTTTCGAGTTCTTCTTGTTTGGCATCAAGTTGTTCTATTCTTTCTTCCAATTCATTGATCTGAAATTCGTTTCAATTCGGTTTGCTATGATTTATGAATAATAAAAAATGAACTGTATAATAAATAATTATGGCCAAAGGGGGAAACGAGTTTCTACAATGAAAATACAATTCATTTCTTTCTGGAAAAGAAAATCAATTGAAAATCGGGTGTTTTGGGGGGAATGTAGGGAAAAAATAAAGATGGAAAAGAAAAGACCCATGCTCAAAATATATAAATGTTTTAGAAAGGATAGAAACGACAGACACACAAAAAGAAAAGAAAGGAAAGCAATCACAGGTTGAGAATCGGGGAAAATTCAAAAGGGCAGAATAAATAGAAAGAAAGGACTTAGATCAAAATTGAATTGGGATCAGGCTGCAATATAATATTTTTGTACTCTTTTTATTTATCTTTTCTCGAAGTTTCTTAATCATGTCGATTTATCTTCATTAGACTCTTCACTCTTCTTCTCTTCCACGTTCAAATTATTCAACAACTCTGATGTTTTTTGATCCTAAAAAAGCATAGATAACATGGGACATTGGACAAAAAGGATAGTCATAGCTTTTTTTCGAAAATAACATGGACAAAAAAGAAAAACAAACCTCAGCTCTTTCGATTTCTTCTTTGACAAACTTTCCAAATTCCTTCATAACTTCTTGATCGTCTAATTCATCTTCTCCTCCTGAAAAAATTAGGAAATGAACACAAAATATAAAGGATAACCTACCATCTTTTGATTCCAACAAATCAATTTGACTTTCCAAAAACTGCCGTTCGTCTTCAGTCAATTCATTGATGAATGAATCATCATCTTCTGATTGATAATTATTTCCTGAAGTTGTTGGAGCGACTCGTGAAACTGGTGCACGATCCCATCCACGTTGACGACAATCAATTAAAGTTTGAATTTGAACTTTAATACTTCTGAAAAAAATATTTGTTATTTTTAAATAATGAAACATTAATCAAAAAACATACTCTGACAATGATGGTGCTCCTTTTGCAATTCCTCCCATTCTTGTCAAAATATCATCAACTTGACTTCTCAAAGACGGTACATTATCAAGTTCAGCTCCGGTCAATTTGAAAATTCTCATAACACTTTTCATATATGAATCAGTTGCATTCAATCGTGTAATATCAGATAATTGTTCACAAAGCGCTGATCCAATTTGTTCTATTCTGCTTCCATTTTCCAATGTAACTTTGATGAAAAGTTCAGAATAGAAAACAGCCAAAAGAACTTGCGAATCATTTTCCAATGTAGTTCTTGAATTATGATATTCTTGAAGAACTGGGAAAAGAATATTTCGCGTGAAATTTGGAATCTCTTTAACAAGTGTTTGAATAAGACAACCAAGAGTATATTGAGGATCAGATCGCCGAATCATATTTGGTTCCATCGAATATGCCATTTCCAAAATCAACTTAACAGCAACCTTTTTTGATTCATCATCCATTTGATCCATCTCAAATCGTTGTTTTATGGCAGTTGCCCAAGTACTCGAATCATCTTCTCCATCATGCAATAACTGTTCTAATCCAACTTGTATCTTGAAAAAAATATAGAAGTTTTCAAACAATTTTATGATTTACCTCATTGAGAAGATGTGCAGCCTTACAATCAAGGATTTGATCATGAAGTGCAACTGATGGATGATATTGTTCTTGATGTTGCCCGAATTGGGCAAAAGCATCAATCACATTGTTATCATAATACATTTGTTGTTGCTGTGGTTGCTGTGGAGGATTTGCGTATGAATGTTGCTGGAAAAAATCATGATTCATTTTCAATGTCACGTTTCTTATTTTTGAAAATTGAACCTTTCGATTTTTGTGACAACAGTCAATCATTTTACAAAAAACAAAAAAATAAACGTATTTAGTGGACAACGACAGAAAAAAGGATGAATTGAGAGAGAGAAAAGAGAAACAGACCGTTGAAAAAACAGCTTTTCGCATACGAGAAAAAGGGAAAATTGTCCTCTCTTTCTCTCGAACACAAAATCGATCAATTTTATTTTATTTCATATTTTTTTGAGAGAGAACAGATTGATCATAATTTTCCTCCCGAATAGTGATGAAAATCGATGCTCATTTCAAAAACACACACATAGAAAAAGACAAAAAAAAGAGGCTAACGAGAAAGGCGGCCGGGTTGAAACGGACAGTGTAAACAATTCAACGGAACGAGACAATCTATCCTTTTTTCTGTTTCATTTGTATAACAAAATTCGTGTTTTGTAATAAAATTAAAATGAAATTCGAGATTTTCTATTACTTAAAAATAGGTTATTGAAAAGAGCTCTGAAACAAAACGTGAAATACGTGGAAGCTTCAGGAAGGATTTTGAAAAGGTTTTATGATTAGTTTAAATTTAGAAAGGACAGTAGACGGTTGATGATATTTTTGGTAAGGTCGAACAGCCCAAAAAGCTGTCACTTGGTCAAAGCACACTAATTTATTGAAGAATTTTCAGCGGCCGAAATTTTATTCTGAATTCGGCCTAATAAGACCTTTTTGGAAACCTTGGATTACCTGATATGCATCCTGATATTGATGTTGTTGCGGTTGTGGTTGTGGTTGCGGTTGATAATAATTATAATGCTGTTGTTGCGGTGGGGGTGCTCGTTGAGGTACAAATGCTCGAGCATCAGCGTTAAAACGGAATGTTGGTTTATTCATTTGCACTTGATAGTCTGAAAAATTATTCTTTCAAATTCAATCAATTGTACACATGGCTTGTTTCGTAGAACGCAAAAAACAGAACATAAAGAACTGATAAACTGTTAGTTCGCTCACTTTGTTGATGCTGTTGATGACGTTGAAGGTGTTGCTGTTGTTGGCGCAAAATTTGTTGTTGATACATGTATTCGTTATACATTTGTTGCTGTTGCTGTTGAGAATATTGGTGTGGGTTTTGTTGGGGATGATTTTGTTGACGTGGGTGCGCTTGATGTTGATTGGAATGCCCCATTTGATAGCCAACATCTTGATATATCCCTGGATATTGGGTTGATTCGGTGAAAACACCTGGATAATAGATTTGCGTTAGATAGAGGTTCGTGCAACAAAGTATTGCGAAACATTTGAAAAATAGGAAAATTTGTTATTTTTGTGTTATCAAAATAGTATCATGCATTTTGTAATGTTTTGATGAATAAATCTCTAACTGATTATCCCTAGAAGTGAATACAAACCTGGAACAGTCACATGATGACGATTATGCTCGGAGTTGTTAGGATGATTCCAATTACCTTCCATGCTCTGAAAACCTTTTATTTTGAACGATTATACTTATAACCAGCTATTTGCCAATTGTCAAGTTATGTTTCAGACAGTAGACAATTCTCTGAAACTGGATCGAACGAACGAAAACGGAGCGAGAGCTTCGCGAAAAATCGAAAATTCAAATTCACGTGCTGAAGAAATGTGCATTTTCGCGTCGCTGTGTATGCATCAAACTTGACGACAAATGTTTGCTGTCTCTCAACTTCGCACACTCTCTCATCAAACAGATTTGAAAATTTTTCAAATTCATTTGTGCATGTAAAACGTACTTACGCGCGTTTCTATGGATACAGCCGGATTAAAAGATTTGTGGAGGGAGAATTGAAAGTACGAGATATCAGCGGGTGGGCTGATTGTTACCTAGAAACCATCTAATTAGCATGCAACACGAGATTAGTCGGATTTTTCAATATATAAATTTAAAAATGGCAGAATGGAATGAAATGAAAAAAAGTAGAATCGAGGGATCACATGACCAACAAAAACAACATAACCTGAAAAAACACAATACAATTTTTAAAAAATAATCTTTGTGTTTCTCTGATGTTGATCTTTTTTATTGACAAACTTCGTACATGTTTACCCAAAAAATCTTCCTTTTTGAACAATTCAAAAAACTATAAAAGTTTATTTTAAACTTCTTCAATAAAAATCAAAGTTGTTTACAATTCTTCCAATTTTTTGTCGAAAGTATTGATTTCTCTAATTCTCATATGAGACTGATACTATCTATTTTTTTCTTTTTCAACTGCACTTTCTTCTTCTTTTTCTCAAACTTTTAAAAACACAAAGAATAACAAAAATATTCAAAAAAATCCTCTTTTTCTCTCATTGATGTTGAAAAAAACATGTTTTTGTTATTCCTTTTTTCTGACCCAAACATTGCTTTTTTTCAGAAAAAAAACGCTCCAAAAATGTTCAATAATTTTTTGAATACTGGTAAGAAAAACTGATGTTAATTTTGAATTATGAATTTTTTTGTTATTTTTAAGTTGGAAATGCTGCCAAAACAATTGGACAAGCTGTTGAAGAATCGAACAAAAATAATCAACAAGGAGAACAACAAGATATCGAAGAAACTGGTAAGTTTATCAGATTACTGTAGGTATATTATTCCGGGGTTTCAAAATTTTCATTTGGAATAAAATATGAAAAACATAAAATTTGCATGATATTTTTTCAACTATTATAAGTATTTTTAACTGAAGAAGTTTCGGCATACATTTTTAGTTGGAAAGTTCTCCGGATTACTGTAGTCCAATTTGGCTTCGGATTTCAAGTTTTTGAAAATTCCGATAATGCTATCTTCAAAAAATGCCACGTGAAAAATATTTTTTTTCACACAATGTTGAAATTTTTAGAATCCATTGTCTAATTGTAAATTAAAATAAACACTTTTATTTTTCAGTTGGAAAAGTCGATTCAAAAGATGGAAAAGTTCAAGTAACCACTGTTCAAGATCATCAAGAGAAAAAAGCCACAGAACAACAATCTGGAAAAGGTTCTGATTTCTTGAGTGGACTTTTGAATGTTGCACAAACTGTTGGAAAAAGTTTGGAAGAGCAACAAAAACAAAAAGCTGCCAAAGAAAATGAGGAGGAAACTGGTTGGTTTTAACTCTCTCCTTTCTTTTTTATATTTTAAAAATCCTTTGCAGTTGGCAAAATCGATTCTCAAGGTGGAAAAGTTCAAGTGAACACAATTCAAGATGAGAAAAAAGCAGAAAGCTCATCAAAAGGTGCTGATATTCTTAGTGGACTTGTTCAAGTTGTTGGAAATAGTTTGCACGATTATCAGAATAAACAACAAAAGGAAGAGAAAAACGAAGTTCCGGAAGTTCAAGGTGGCGCAGCTTCGAAACCAGCAGGAGATGGTGGATTTTTGAGTGGATTGGCAAATGTTGCAAGTGATATTGGAAATGCAATCGAGAAACAAAAGAAAGAAGAAGAGGAAAGAAAAAGAAAAGAAAAACAAGAAGCTGATATGAAAGCGCTTGGAGATAATATTAGTGGTTTTGGTGAGTTTCGTAATGGAATGTAGGAAATATTCTGGGATTCAGAAAAATTAGAAAATTATCAGCCCCATATTATTTTTCTCTATTTTCAGTTGGTGGATTGTTCAAAAAAGATGGCGAAAAGAAGCCAGAGAAACCTGTAGAAGTTACATTCAAAAACGAAGCTGTTATCGACGATATCGAGGGAGAAATTGGAAAAGTCACAACTTCTGGATATACCTCAGCTGTGCAAAAACAATGATCATCTGTATTTACGTAAATAATTATCTCACTTTTTGAGAATTTTGTGACACATAATGAAAAATAAAAATATCTGATTTCCAATTTTGTTTGAGATAATCGACGCGTGGATAATTTGATGATCGCCCTCAAAGATTTGTTAAGAAATCAAACTACGCAATTCGTATGTGCACTTTTCAGATAAAATATTTGTCTAGAACAAACAACCTACAGTATTCGTATATTCGAATACATTTTTTTCCGTTTTTCAATTTTTATTTTTATTCCAAGTACTAATTAATAAAATCCAATCAAAACAATCAGAATAATTCCCCAATTGCTATTTTTGTACTTGTACTTTGTATTGATATTATTTCATTTTCGAACGTCAAATTACAAAAAATATGAACGAGACTCGTGAAAAATTACTCGAAAAACTACATTTTGTATTTCTCATTGATGAAATTACTACCTATTTTTCAACAATTGTATGTATTACAGGTAAGAAAAAAGAAAAAAAGAGAACTGATTTAAAGTTTTGTTTTCAGGAATCATAATGAATTCGATTTTGATTTACCTGATTCTCAAGAAAACTCCTCTTTCTATGAAATCCTATTCCGTGTTTCTGTTTAATTTTGCAATTTTTGATCTGGCTACGTGTATTATCGCATTTTTTGCATGTCAGAAGTAAGTTTACAGTAATTTCCTCAAATCAAAAGCAAATAAAATATTCAGAACTATGTTTTGTAAATACAGTCTTATTTATATTTTTCATGGACCTTGTAAATATATTTCTCCATGGTTTTGTTATTTTTGTCATGTTTTCGAATGTCATACTCTTGCACATTCTCAATGGATTTTATTAGCCTCATTTATTTATCGATATTTTGTGGTTGTTGGTAAAAATCCTGGTGTGAAGAATAATATATTATTATCAATTTCTCTTTATTCAATGTCTTTTGTATTACTAATTACATATTTGTTGGATATTGAAGATTCCAAAACTCTTTGGAAGATTTTAACAGAATCATATGAATATTATCATTATGACGACAAGTTGATTTGGGGAGATTTGACAATAAGTGGAAACCTATCATTTTATTCACCATTCACATTTGGTGCCATTCTTTATATGACGATTCCATGTTTTCCAATTTATATCACAATTTTGTATTGCCGTCATCGAACTTTGAAAATTCTGAGTAATCCATCTCTGAATATTTCGGATAATACGAAATTTGCTCATCGAAAGTTGATCACGGTGAACTCTCAAACATCTCTATAAATTTCAAAATTGTTATGGTTTTTAGGCATTGACAATTCAAGCAGTTATTCCAATTTTTTGGTTAACTGGCGCATGTTTCTTTGTGCTGGCACAGTATGGAATTATATCAAATCCAATTCAAGAAACTATGACATTTCGATTTATGGATTGTCTTCCAATGTCTTCCCCAATATTTTCAATTGTTTTTATTTCTCCATATCGACAAGGATTTGTGGAGATTCTCAAAAAAGCAAAATTTCCGATGTTCATGGGACAAGTTGGAATAAGTACTGTAGATGTGAGCAATTTTAAAGATGTAAGAATCGTTGTATTATAAATGATTATTGTAGACAACCACTGTAAGACGACTTGATGAAGCGACCGCATTCTATACTCCCGTATCTGAACGCTTATGAATAGTTTCGAAGAAAAAAAAAACATTTGTATTTCGTAAAGTGGAATTAGTTTCCGATTTTATAGTTGAAATTGTCTTCGAAAATCTTTTTTAAATTTTTGGAATAAACAAGTTTGTGAATTTGGTTGTTGTTAATTGTTGAGTTGGGTTACTGTATATATATTTGTGATGAGATAATCTGACAATTCCATGGGAGTCTCTTAGAAAATCGATTTTTGTCTGTGCCACACGAATTGTATTTTCTTCATAGTTTTGTCAGACTGAGCACATTGAGAAAAATTGTTGTAATCCAGGTTTCAGACCAATTTTTGAAAGCCCAATAAAGGGAGCGAGAGCAATAAAACATTCCAATTTTTCCAGACAAGTCCCTTTCCAAACAAAAAACTTGCATTGCAATCTTTCATTCTTACTAATTTACAAAAATCTACTGGGAAAATTTTTACATCATTGTTATTCCATTGGAGGGACTTTTGAGAAAAACAATTAGAGGTTCAGATGGTATCATTTTATACCCACACATTGTTAGTTTAATTGAACCTGAATGTGAAGAAAGAAGTGTAAACAAGTTCCAAACTCCCGAAAGATTCAAGAAAATTATCTTTTTTGTGAAAAACAAAGAAAAAGCAATTTTTTTCATTCATTTGCAATTCCCATATCAAGAAAGAAAGAAGCAGTGAAACTTTGTGGAAAATCCCTTGAAATGAGTACTGTAGATGTTTTTCGTAAAGTGGGATTAGTTATTGAGTTTGTAGTCAAAAATGTCGTCGAAAATCTCTTGAAAAGTGTAAAAAACAGCTTAACGAACTTCTAGACTTTTTTGTTAAGCAGAATGGAAAAAATTGGAATGAGTACTGTAGATTTGAACCATTTTGAAAGTCTTAAAATCAAAAGATTATACATCATTGTTAAAGACAACGTGATGAAGCAAATGCACACATGCAGAAAATATCCGACTTTTTTTTCTGATTTTCTTAAAATTTTTCGAGTTTCATTGTGGTTTGAGAAAAAACCTCCTACTTTTTGTGATTATTGCAAAATTCAATATAAAAATTATCGCCTTTGGAAGTTCAGTTCTGCTCATTTTTTTGTTATTAGAAAACATTCGAATAGGATAGGGAACTTCCACTTTCTCAAATTTGAATAATTTTTTGAACTTTTTAGAGAGAACTCTTCAGTTTTTAGTACTCTTCAGATTTTTTTAGAATTCTTCCTTAGAAAAAGTTATTTTTTTAAAAGAAAAAATTGTTTTTCGTAAAGTGGTATTAGTATTTGAAAATGTATTATAAAATCTCTTTCATTACTGGAATAAAAATGTATTTGTACTTTGGGGGTTTTGTTGGATTTTGGGTACTGTAGAATTAAGTGAAAAATGAATAATAATTGTGAAATTTTTGGACTAACGATTTTTAAATCAAAAATGTTTATTTATATAAAATTCAAATGTTTTCATATAAAAAGAGAACTATTTATCAAAACTAACCTGGAAATAAATATTTCACTAATTTAAAAAATCAACTGGGGATAGCGGATTCTGAAAATTATAATACCATGCAAAGCTACGTTCAAAGTTCAAATGATATCAGAACCCCCATTCAATGTTAGATTGTTCAAATTTAAGTTTTTGTAACAGGCCTGTGCCGGAAATTTTCCGAATTTTCCGAATTTCCGGATTTTCCGGTTTTTTCACGGAAAAATCAATTTTCCGATTTTCCGGAAAATGTGCTCGGAAAATCCGGAAATGATCTCTAGTAGTAATATTTTCAAAATTGCCTAAATTTTGGAAAATTTTCTCAGTTTATGATAGAAAAAATGAAATTTTCGGAATTTTTTTTTTCAATTTTTCAAATTTTACTATTTTTTGAACGTAAGACGTCTCAAATAGTTACTAAATTACCTGTGAATAGAAGATTTGTAGATAAAAATAAGTTTTAGTGCCAACTTAAGGCTGGAAATCGAAATTTCAGACTTTGAAAAATTTTCGAATTTTCCGGATTTCCGGTTCAAAAAATCCGGAAATTTTCCGACTTTCCGTTTTCCGGGTTTTGATTTTCCGGCACAGGCCTGTTTTGTAAGATGCTTCAAGTTTCAATAGATTATTTTTTCCAAAAAATTGTTTTTCGTAAAGTGGAATTAGTTCCCGATTTTGTACTTGAAAATGTCTTCGAAAATCCCTTGAAAAATGGAATAAATGTACTTTTGGGCTACTGTTGGATTTTGGTTACTGTAAATATGACTAAAACATTGTACATCTCAAAAAATAAAATTTCGCTTTTTATGTGTTTTTATCTCAATTGATAAATACACCAAACTAGAGAAATACCCTACAATTTGGAACTAATCTACTAGAACAAGCTATAATTTAAACACGCTGATTCAAAGAAAAAAAAACTAATTCCAAGTTCAGTTCTTTTTGTTTCATCCAATTTTGAGTTTGATCAAACTGGAATTTTGTTTACAAAAAAATTCCAAAACGAAAAAAAATAATGGAGAAAAAAAACTCCATGAAAAAAAGTTTGGTTCAGAACAATTTTTGAAATAATTAATATTGAAAATCACTAGTTTCCAAAATATTTTTTTTCATTATACAACAAACAAATAATGCAACACCTCAATTATTTTTTATTTTGTCTCGAAAAAAATTTCACACGCTCTTTTTTTCATAATTTTCATCATTCATAAGTCGAACATTTTCAACCTTTTCTAATTTTCTATTGATACTTTTTATTCCAGAGACTAATATTTATATTTTAAAAGTTCAGATTTAAGAAGAAATCGATGTAAATCCAGAGCCCACCCCCTTTTCCAAAATTTTCACATGATAAAAACAAGAAATGGGCGGAGTCTCATGTTGAACAGTATAAAAACACCAGCTGATCCTTAATCAACATTCCTGAAAGTTTTTGGAACATTTCTCAAGATGTCTCTAACTGCTGAAGCTCGCGAACAACTTTTGCAAGAACTTCAATTCACTTTTTTGATGGATGCGGTGGCAACTCATTTATCTGAGTTGATTTGTGGAGTTGGTAAGTGCATTTATTTTTTGGGACTTTTCCAAATTGTTTTTTTTTTGAAGGAATAATTGCCAACATGCTTCTCATTTATGTGATTCTCACAAAAACTCCAATCCATATGAGAACTTATGCGGTTTTATTGTTCAATTTCTCAGTTTTCGATCTTCTTACTTGCATCGCTTCCTTGTTCGCCTGCCAAAAGTAAGTTGCAAATACTTTCTGATTCTATGTAGTTTCAAAAACTCATCAAATTAAGAAAGTCATATTTTGATTATTATGATGATTCTCCAAAACTAGACCCTAGAACAATCAAAACACAAAATATCCGAATTTCAGAACAATCTTCTCTGGAATCTCTTTGACATATATATTTCACGGACCATGCAAATATGTTGGAGATTGGCTTTGCTACTTCTGTCACTGTTTCGTTTGTCACGCAATGGCTCATTCTCAATGGATTCTTTTGATCTCATTCTTTTATCGTTATCGTATTTTGATGGATGATCATACAACTGTTGTTAGAATGGCTTTTGTGACTGTTGCATTTTATTCGATGTCTTTTGTCACTTTCGTAAGTTACAAAAATGGAGGGAAGGGAGAATGGGAACCTATTGTAGGAAGTATTTTGAACTGAACATTTTAATATTTATAAGTTATGTTGAAAAGCAGAAAAACCAAAAAAAATAAACATATATCAGCGTTTCTTTTAGTTGTTCTATTATTTGGATCGTGGAAATGAGCAAGAACTAATGGGAATCATGTGCTCATTGCATCCTACCTATCATTATAATGATACCTCAATTTGGGGAGAATTGGTTGTAAGTGGAAATACAACAATTATCACAGTTCCATCGCTTGTTGCAATTATTTATATGACAATGACTTGTGTTCCAATCTACGTTGCTGTTCATTATTTGAGATCAAAAACCCTTTCAACTCTCACTGATTCAAGTTTGAACATGTCTCCAGCAACAAAAGCATCTCATCAAAAATTGGTCAAGGCTCTTACAATTCAAGCTGCAATTCCCCTTTTCTGGCTTCTCGCATCTGGCGTCTTCACACTTGCTGAATTCGGAGTTATATCTGGACCAATTCCAGAAAATATGACTTTCCGTTTGATGGATTGTATTCCAGTTTGTTCACCAATTGCTGCCTTTGTTTTCATTGCTCCATATCGGTGAGTTGATAATTCATTTTCTTGTTTTTCAAAAAAAAATAATATTTTTTTCTCAGAAATGGCCTCTTCTCATTGCTCACAAAAGTCGGACTCATGAAACCAAAAGAAGAAATCAAAAATGTCAGTCAAATTGATAAGCCTGGAGCAAAAGTGGCTCCATCCGCGATGAGCAACAAAATGGACTGCATATAACTGAAATCTTGAGAGAGAGAGTTCTAATTAAACAATCTTGTTCTATTTCCTCTTTTTCCAAAGCCCCATCCCAAATCTTTATTCTTTTATTCAAACCACAAACATTTCATATTTGACAAATTAATTAAAATCAAAAATTTTCAATCCTAAGCTAAAAAAATCAAAGAAACTTTCAAATGTGTAACAATCTGACCAAGGGGACAAATGATTTTCAAGTCGCACAAAAACCGCCCTGACTATTCCTACACATTAAAAATAAGTTACGATTTACTAAACCAGAGTTAAAAATTTTCCCCTATATTTCATTACAAATCTTCATTAAAAAAATTTGAAAACCATTTTTCTATTTGCCAAATTAATAGAATACTAAAAAAATTAAATCTAGAATCCAGATAATCAACGCTGATTTCTATGTTTCAAAAATTCCCAGCTCTCTTCCATTCAAACAAAAATTTCCAAAAAAAAAACCCAAAAAACAATTTCAACAAAAAATTCACGAATTGCTTAGTGCCCAATTTTAAAATATGGCCACAATCTGTCAATTCTTGTCCGAAACGAGCAATGTTCACAACTTGAATTTAAGCTATGATTTATCAAAGCTGCTCTTGTCCAAAATCTACAATTGAATCTCCAAAATAAAATCATCAAATACGAAACTTGACCGGCCTGTCTATTTTTCAAAAACCCATTTTCAATATACAAATTTTCTGGCTACTAATTTTTATCCAAAAATCATCTCTGAAACTTTCTGAAAATATTCATAAGATGGTCCTATTATTTTTCGGTAGTTCTGTCAGAGAAAATCGTTCTCTCTACCCGATTTTGAAATCCCTATGATTAGCGCTGAACAATTTAACTAACAATAAGTCTAACTTTTTTTCTCAATTTCAAAATTCTTATTGAATTTTTGTTTTCAAGCAAAAATTAAAAAAAGTCTTTTTCAAATAATCTTTAAAAAAATGACAAATTAATTCTAAAAATGATTTTAGCAATGAGAATATTTCCAGTCGAACCCTTTTATTTTCACCCCTAAACCTTGAAAGCTGATCCTTCTTTCCCCAAAAAGTCCCATTCAAAAAATCCAATTTTTTATGTAAACAAAACATACAATTTTTCAATTTTTCTTATTATTAATCTTCAATAAATCAGCTGCTTCTTTCATTCGTTGAACATTTTTAACAACTCGAATCCACGATTTTTTCGCTCTACACTTTTTCGATGATTCAGCATATTCAGCTATTATTTGATCACGCAGTGAAGGCTACAAAAATAAATTTTGGAATAAGAATAATTCACAGAACTTACAATCTGTTGATTTCTCCAATAATACTGGATAAATAATCGATTGATTAATTTCTTTCCGTTTGCTTTTACTAACTGTTTCTGTTTAATAGTTAGTTTCTCATATGGAATCGCAGCTTCAACTAATGATAAAACTCGATGAAATCGTGGAACTGTTTTCCAGCAACTAAAATGTCGCGTAACTCGATATACTTTGAAAATCTCAACTTTTTGGATCCGCCGACTTTTATCTTTTCCAATTCTATATGCTCCTCTCAATACTCCTCGACACATTAAAGGAGTTACACGATAAAAATCATCATTCCAATTATCTGTTGCATAATAATGTGTTGTAGACATTGTTTGTTTCCATCGAATATTATCAGCATCTTCTGCAAAAAAATATACTACAGTAAATGTTTTTAGACAAATTTGTATTTCGTAAAGTGGAATTAGTTTTTTTTTTATTTGTAGTGCAAAATGTCTTCCAAAATCCCTTAATTTTCAGATTACTGTAGGCTAACAAAGTATGAAATTTAAAAAAAACCTTCAATCATTTGCATTGTAACAAGACTTGAATCGAGAACAAAACAACAAGTATCAGTTACATCATTTGGCGCGATCTACAAAAATCCAAAAATTTATTCATAACTACAGTAACCCTCTCACTTTTGCAACGAATTGTTTTGGACATTGTACAGCGTGTAAAATAGTGTGTGGACCATCGAGTGGATGTTCTTCATCATTACTATAAATTGGAACATTTCCACCTTTTCCAGGATGCATTATAACTTGAATTTTCTGGTTTCTTCTCAATTTTTGTGGATCTCGATTATTCTTTGATTCTTCATCATTTTCATCGTCATCCTCGTCATTTTCTGATTCACTCTCATTTCCATTATCATCAACAATTACGGCAAAATATTCATCCTCAACAAACCTGCAACTTTTTCTCTTTTTTCTTTTTTTTCTCTCACAACTTTTTTTTCATTGTGAACAAATAGAAGAGGCAGAGAAGAAAACACACACATAAGAAATATGTTGGTATTTGCAATGTTGCTTCGCAAGCGGTTCCATGGTGTAGCGGTTAGCACTCAGGACTTTGAATCCTGCGACCCGAGTTCAAATCTCGGTGGAACCTTCTTTTTTTGTTTTTTTTTTCTGGAAAACACACAAAAGAAAATAGAAGTTTATTCGTTGATCTAGAAAAAATGAATGCATAAAGGGAAAGACGATTTTTTGTTTTTTCAGAAAAAAATGTTGGGAGAACACACGATAGTTTTTAAGCGATAGAAAGTTGATTGAGAAGAACCCGGTAATTTGAATCAGAATGAAGGAATGAAAAAAATAATTAGAAATGAAAAAATATAAAATTACAAGAAAAAAACGGTAGAAGTAGAAGATCACATCTTTGAAAACCTTTTCCGGGCTGCCGGATCTGTCACAAATCGTAATAATCGTTGTCGTCGAGGATCGAACTCTTTTTGAACTCTCGCCTTTTCAACAGCTTTTGCATTTCGCCACAAATATTGAACAAATAATCGTTTTTTGAATGTATTTCCGCCTTCAGAAGTTGTCGATGGTTCATCAACAACTTTATCAATCATTGTTACAATTCGATGAAATGAAGTGCAAGTTTTCCAGAAAGAATAAAACCGAATCACTTTGTAGACATTGTTAAGTGGCACCTGAAATACATCGAGTTTGGGAAAGTAAAAAATTGAAATGGGAGAAAACTGGGAAAATAATTCAAAAATTTGGATTTCTAGGTCAATTCTTAAAATGAAACTACAAAACCTACATAGTTCGAAGATCTGTAAATTCTCTACAAAAATGATTTTTGACAAAACTAAAACACCGTAATCCTTAAAATCTTATACCTTATTTGCATCGTGATGTGAACTTCGATTTGGTGTGGTTTGTTGAGTTCCGCCAGATATTGATGATCTGAATAAGTAAATATTTTAATTTGAAGAATGATTAAATGTTATTATCAAGAAGCCTACCTTGGTGTATTTGACATACTGTGATGTTGAGGATGAATTGGAGCATGAGAAGAAGATGACAAAGAAGTACTTTGTGACATTGAGGTAGACATTGATGAAGTTGAAGGTTGATGTGTTAATTGTGTTGCCAACTTAGCGGTGATAACTTTTCCTTTTGCAGTTATACAATTAACACGATGAAATTGTCGTAAATCTTCAGAATAGAAATATTTAGTGGGTCTTGATGTATGTCTCCACCATTGATCATCTCCTAATATATCACCCATTCGAACTCTTTCGCCATCCACAACAAAACAATAATTGTCTTCAACCATAATTGGTGGAATTCCATCAGTTAACATACTTGAAGGAGCTGACATTAAATTTGCAAGCGCTGCTTCTGTTTGAACTGTATCATGATGAACTGAATGAACTGGCATTCTTTGGTGGAATATTACTGGCTCATCTTTTGCTAACAATGCTTCGGGGGTTAAACCAGAATCTACTAATTCAAATGCTCCAAGATCAATCTCATTCATTGCTTTTAGACGATCTTCTTTGACTTCAACACCAATTGGTTCATCTTCAGATTCCGAGGATTGAACTTCCAGAGGAATCGGACTAAATATTTTGATTAAAGTAGAAATTATGAGATACTGGAGGAAAATGATCAAGTTCATCCCAAAAGAAAAGATTTTAATCCAGAAAAATGTATAAACTTTTGAGATGTACTGCATTTTTATCCTTTTCCTCCTTGAAAAAAAAACTAATTGGTATTCATAACTTTATAACTAAAAATGAACTAATATAATTCATGCTGTTTTTAACATACCTGGGTAACATTTCAAAATCATCACAAGAAACAGAATCGAGATTTGGAGGACTGTTATAATTATTTCCCATCGGACATTCTTCAGTTAAAACACTTGCAGCCCTTTGGTAGAAAATCAGAGGTGCAAAATGTAATTGATAAGTTGAAGAATCAATTGTTATCGAAGAAAATACTTCAGAGCTCGATTTTACAATTTCATGCGGTATACTTTCTCTGAAATTTCGGAAACTAAGGAGGTGAGATTTTCAAGTGTTAGGTGAAAAAATACGGTGAAGGGTGAAAACACACCATGCATTACGATTTCTAAAAAATACTAACCTTTCAATTTCTTCCTCGTCTTCTTCTTCAATTTCATCTTCGATCGGAAATTGGAAATTTTTGGAAGCCTCTTCCAACATCTGAATATATGAATCCCAATCTTGCATACAAGCTAATCCAATTGGCTGAAAATGTTTTCATATGAATTATTGGGCTGATTTAAAAATTATTATAAAAAATGATCGAGCAAAAGCAATGAAACAGGAAAAGCAAAAGCATTACCGATCTTGGACTTATCAACACAACAGATTCTGGAGTTTCTGAATCAGATTCAGTTGTTGTTGTAGCTGTTGAATCAGGATTTCGAACCAATTTGAATAATTTGGGTAAATCTTCGCTTATACAAATTTCAGGTCGAAATTGTCGAGGGCTCACATTTAGCCAATCAAAAGAGTGTAATGGATGTTGTTGTCGAGCAACTCTTTCACGATTTTTCCGTTTTAAAACGGGTTCTGGAGAAGCAAGTTGCATCTCACTTTTATTTTCATCTATCACTGAAAGACGTTTTGGAGATAATCGAAGTTTTGGAATATGAGGCGGTGATTGAAAATGTTGTTGTTGATTTGTTTCGATGAGTGGTGTTGAACTTGTTGTTGTTTTTTCCTCATTTTTATAATCTTCCCGATTTACATGCAAATCAGCTGACAGTTTCGAATCGTGCATATTTTTGCTAGCAAGATTTAAACAATCAGAACCTGCATCAAAATCATCACAAATAGCGGCTAAATTTGAAAGCATAAAAGGTTCAGGCAAACGAAATGAAAGCGGTGACATTGAATAGATTGGTTCAGAAGCTGTGCTAACATGCTCTTGATGGCGTTGACGATCGGAAGAATTTGGGCGAGCTGGACTTACGGAATCCGTGAATCGTGGCAGTGGAATTTTTCCCGGAACTGGTGGACAAGACGATGGTCTTGCTGCTTGTTTCGATGTTGATGCTGGAATACGGTAGATCAAAAATTCTGAGGGTTAGGTCGTGAATTCTCATCCCAGTTCTCAAGGGTTTTTTTTAGTATATCAAGATTTCATCCTGAATTTATATCTCAGATTTTCATTGATATTTTTTGATGTTGAATGATGACTTAAATATTGCATAAGGTTTTATAAAACGAGAATTTTTTCAATTATGGAGTTTTCCAACGCCATTTTCAAAAACAGGTAACTTGATGTCATAGAATTTTAAAATTTCAAAAATTGTTTCAAATGAGTGAAAAGCTGAGGTTGCTCTCATTCCTTCAAGTAAAACTTTCTCGGAACGTTTCAAAGTCTCTTTTTAGCTGAATTTCGTTTTGAAAATCTTTTACACGTGTTCATTGTTTATTAAAAATTTGAAAACTCTCACCAATATTTTCATAATCAAACGAAATGGTTGAAGCTACAGAAGGTGAATAAAGATGACGATGCAAAAATGAAATAACTGATGGAGTAGGTGAACTATAATTATCCCAGTATGCCTAAAATATTTTTCAATTTAATTTTCGAGCAGAATTCTTTTCTTTATTGTTACAAACCTGTCTGATATGTACGGATGGTTCGGTTGATAATGAGCAATGTTCAGAAAGAGACGGACCCGATTCGTCCCAACTATCACCTCGTTGACGTTGAAATTGTGAATAGACACTGCACAAAAATAATACTATTTTTTTGATTTAAAGGAAAAACTCACTATGACCTAGCGGAAGATTGTGTCCAAATACTTGGCTGGAAACTTCTGATTGAATGACATGTTGGTGATTTGAGATCTTCTTCATCGTATGTGTCATAAAATCGAATTTGGAATTCAGATAATGAATCATCTATCCGCATCAGACTATTATTTATTGATTTTTCCTCGGGAGATGGGCTATAATTGTGCCGGTTCGTTTTGAAAAAAAAAATTTTGTTAAAAAACTCACATTTCTTCCTCTTCTACTTGAAGTTGTTGTTGTTGCTGAATTTGTTCGACAACTTCTTTTTCAATTTGTTGAACATACATTCGAAGAATATCCTCTCCTTGTCCCATTGCTAATCGCCGTTCAATCATTCGTTTTCGTTTTAGAAGATGAAGTAGATCAGTGCCACGGAATTTTCTTCCGAAATAATGAATCTTTTGAATATATTGAATACCGACAAGATCAATACACATTGTAGTTACAGAAAGGCCAACACCGAGGTAGATCAACATGATCAAAATATAGCTGCAAATAATTTTTTGAGTTAATGGTGGGCTCTGTATGAAAAAATGTAAAATTTTTCTAGGAATCAACATCCAATAATTTTATTTTTCTAATTACATTCAGAAAATGTATTCAGAAGAAATCAAATTTCAGATGATGGAATCCAAAAAAAAACATGAATTCTCAGAATTTTCTCAAAATTTCAAAATAAATCACTCATAAATTTTATTTTGAAGAAATCTAGGTTTACTGAAACATGAACTACAGTAATCCACTGTATTTTCGTGAAAAATACTAGAAAAATAGCTTTCGGGATAAAAAAAACTGACTCATGATTTTCTGGAACAATATCACCAAACCCGATCGTTGTCAATGAGATAAATGCTGAAAATTCAAAAAAAATAGTGTTTTGTTTAAAATTTTAGCACTCACAGTAATAAAACGCATCCATATAACTCCAACCTTCAATAAACGAGAAAAGAACTCCACCAAATGCAATATAAAGCTGAAATGTAATTTTTGAAGACATTTAATTGTTTTTGCCAAACTAACCAGTAGAATTGTGAAAACCATCATAACTGGAACTTCAGTCTTGTCAATAACTAAATCTTCCCAATCAAGTTCTGACGAGCCTTCGGGATCTTGTGAATTTTTGCGAGCATTCTCTATATCTGTTCCAGTTTCACTAATTTCAATTCCTCTTATTCTTCGAATAAAATCTTTGAAATCATTTCCACTTTTCCTCATTTGTTTATATAACCAAATTGTACATTCAGATAAGAATTTACCCAAATCTCCAATAGTTATAATAGCTAATGGTGCACCAAATAATGCAAAAATAACACAAGCAATTCTACCTTGTGTTGTTGCTGGTACAATATTACCGTATCCAATTGTTGCCATAGTTGTTGCAGCAAAAAATAGTGCACTACTTTTAGTCCACATTTTTTCACCATCTTGATTTCCTCTTCCTTTTCCACCATGTCGATGCCTTCTTTTTCTATCTGAATCTATTTCATGTTCTTCACTATTTTTTGAATCATCTCCTATATTTTTGACATCCGAAAATCGCACATAATGTTCTTTGAATGATTTATATAATTGCTCTGTATAATTGGTTAACCGAATTTCGACATTGTCTTTCCACGTGTGATTATATACATCTGAAAAACTTAGATTTTATTAGAATTAAATTGTCGGAACTGTGAAATTTGAATAACGATGTGACTTTGGTTTAAAAAAATACATTTTAAATAGTAACAAGCTGGAATTCGACTCCAAAATTCCCAAAACCAACCTCCGTCACGAATTAGATTTATCAATCGAGTTCGCAATATTGTAATATTCACTTTTCCCGCCGTTTTCAGATCGATTTCATTTTGAGATTCAAGTCGATAAAAAATAAATGCACCAATTGTTGCATACAAACAAACAACGGCAACAAGAGCAACATGAGGGAATGCAAGTTTGATATACTGTAAAAATATAAATTGTTGAATTGAGATGAATTGCGTTGGGATACTGTAGATCGAAACCGGGAATTATAAATATCTACCTAGTGCAAATAATTTGAAAACAATGTTTGATTCGTTATTTTGAACATAATGAATCATTTATGAAGTTTTTTATAGGAATTTGAATTTTTTGTTGGAAAATAGCGAAGCTTCTTGACATTCCTGATTTATCACAAAACCTATTATTTTTGGGACTTTTTTTGTTAGAGCCATGTTCAAGACTAATATAAATCATACCTTTTTGATGTTATCAAGAGGTGTTGTTGTTTCCCCGTCATCCGATCGGGTTGTCGTTTCGAGCAAACCCTAAAACAAATCAACTTTCATTTTTGATTTCCCAAAATATATTCATACCTCAATTTCCTTTAACTGTTCCTCCATTCAAGTCATTTGTATTTTCGAGTGTGATTTGTTCTTGTGAAAGACGTTGTTGTTTCCAGTCTGAAAAGCAAAAAAAAATACAAACTTTTTTTTCAAAAAAAAAGAAAAGTAGATGGAAAACGAGAAAACGATTCAATGCATTTTTAAGCAAGACCTTTTTGAACTTTTGTTGTTTTCTGAATAAATCTTTGAATGATTTTTTTTCAAAAAAATTTTCGGGTAGAATTCAACATTAAAATGAAATTTGAAAATTAAAAAAAGATCACACGATTTCTTCTCAAGAATTTTTCGACTATTTAGAAAACTAGACTCACATGAGCAAACCATAAAAACTGAAAGATCGAATGACTAATTAAAAATTGAGAAAAAGAAGTTGCTGCGCGTCTAGTGACCAAAAAATATAATAAAAAACGAACATAAAATTGGTTGGAAGAAATGAAATATCTATTTATTAAGTATCAATTCTGACGTTGTCAAACAAGACAAAAATGACGGGACAGAAAAAGAAGAAGAACAACAAAATGTTTTCAGAAATTCATTGGAAAAAACGGGGATATTTTGGCATTAAAACAACCACCAAACATCGTTTTTTGCTCTTATTTTTCAGGATGTCTACCGATAATCTCTTTCATTTTTTGGTAGAAAAATTTATAGAATTTTTTGAATTGGGCTCCACTTTCCGGGTGTCTAGATCAATGGGCAAAATTTTCAATTATTGTCGAAAAGTCACATAAAAATTCAAGTATATCTTTTGAAGATTCATTAATTCAGATTGTTTTAATAAAATAAAAAATCAGCCAATTCTGGCTCTGAAATCCTCTCTTCAATTCAAAAAAAAAAAGAAAGAAAAATAGAATCTAATTTCAATTTGACCACGAAAAAAGCGAGAAATAAAATAAAACAAAAGAAGAGTTCTAAACAATTACCTGTAATCTATGATCGCTAGAAAATAAAACGAGAAAAGAAAAAGAACAAAAGTGCATATCCGGACATGCTTTCACGTGTCATTTTCTCATCATATTTTGATTGATACTTTTGGGAAATATCTTTGAGAAAAACTCATGTTCACCAAGATTTATTCTTCAAATTTCAAAAATATATATCAAAATTATCTTATGAAGTTATTGTTTTTTTTTTATTATTTTCTATCGAAACATGAAAAACTCCTAAAAATAGGCAAAAGATAATTAAAAGTACACATCTGGTGTTTGAAAGCGAGTAATTTGCCAAATTTCCAATTTTCGGACTAGCAAAAAAAGAAAAAAGAAAAAATAGTGAAAAAAGAGGAGATTGAGCAAAACGATAATGTTTCAAATTTCATGGGAAAATTACTATACTAGACACAAAAAACGCAATTAATTCAGTTGGAAAAAACTGAGAAAATCCCCCAATCTACGTAGAAATAAAGTGCTTTGTGAAAAAAACAGCAAACTAGATAAATCCGAATGATGAAAAAAAAACCAAGAAAAAATGGACAGAAAACTTTTTTCTCTTTTTTTGTCTATCTATCTAAGGGTCCAATTCCAATTTCAACAAAGTGCACATTTTCGTCAACAAATTGATTTGTCAGATTTTTTTGGAATAGCAAAATTTTTTGTTGTAGCAAAAAAAATTGGAAAAATGAATAGGGGAATGGGGATAAGATAGAATGAAAAAGGAATGGAATGAAATGAAATTTCGAATTAGTTTAGTTTTGCTGACGCACTTTTTGACACATTTTTTCTTCAAAAAGAATTTTTTAAAAGAGGATCCGAAATGAACAAGTTAAACCTAAATGAAAGATCACCGAAATTGTCAATCCGAAAACATTAGAGTTGTGGCACAGCGTGTAATTTACTACCCGAATATTTTCCCGCATTTTTTGAGACCTGACACAATCTTAGAGGTGGGACTAAAAGCGATGAAATTCAACACAAAAGTGAGAGACTTTTGGGAGAGCCAAATATTTTTGATCTACCAGAAAATTTTTTGAAAGATTTGAGGTCTAGTAGTTTGAGGTTGTAAAAGCACTGTGTGTGGAAGATAACATAAAAAATAGTATACTAAGAACTGCACATAAAAAATGCGAGAACTTTGAAGTTCATAAAAAAAAGAACACTTATTCAAAGTTTCTAGATAATTTATGATCAAAAACCATCAAGAAAAAAAAGATGTACATCTTCAAAAGCATTATTTTTTATTTGTTGTACATATATGTATATATACATTCTTCCACCCCAAAAAAATTGAAAAAAAAACTTTTTTTGCGAAGTGTTGTTTTGTTCGCATATTTTTCTTCTTCTCCGTTTTTCTAACACAAAAAAACTCATAGTAGTGGTTTCTTACGACTAACAAAAAATGAACACCAGACCAAAGAAAGAAAAAAAGCGGAGCTGGAGAAAATTGTTTATTAATTCAAATTTTGAAAAACAACAAAAGTTTTGAATTTTTTTCTGTTTGAGCTGGATGCAGATATTCTTTGGACCAAAAGAGAAAAAGTTGCAAACCGGCGGAAAGAAGGGGATTCTAATTCGATTGGGAAAAGCGAGAAAAAAAACGAGGAAATAGATTTGGTGCAAAAAAATAAATAAAAGTTTTGACAATGAGTCAAATAAAGTCAATCATTGAACTATTCACGATGAAATTTTCGAATTCTCAAAATTTAACGGAAACCGTCAATGATTCTGAAACTCTTTTTTTTTGCTAAAAAATGCAAGTTATCTGGAAAGTTTGTGAAGTTTGAAACATGAGAAACTTAAGTTCCCATTAAAATTATTATTTCAGAATTGCCCTGCTACAGTACTTTTTGAGACAAGTATTTTATAAAGAAAAGATGCATTTAAAAATATTTGGGAACATACAATGTTCAACCTACATACACAACCATCTCCCTTCTAATTCAGAACCTAAAGTTTTTTTTTCAAAAAAAAAGTATACACTTTCTATGAAAATCTATACATCTTCGTTTTCTTCTTCTTCTTCTTCCACCAAACAAAATGCACCATTATTAAAGTAGGCGTGAAAAATGACCGCCATACACATACAACGGTGCCCCTCAAATAAAAATGTGCATTTCTTATTCTTTTTCTCCTTCTTCCAATGCAATGTCGGACCAAAAAAAAGAGAAACGAAAAAAAAGGAAACATCTTCAAAATGGAGACGCCGAGATATCAAAGCAGTCAAGCAGCAGAAAAAAAGAAGAAAAAGAAAAAAGTAGAAAAAAGAAAAAAAGAAGAAGAAGAAGAAGAAGAAGCGAGTGATGTGAGCAAAACGAAAAAAAAGAAGGAGCACGGCCAAAAAAAGAGGGACCATGCAATTATAGCAACCAGGCAGGAGCAGCCAGCTCCAAATGTGTGTGTTGTATACATTTGTCCTAAACTTTTTTGTGGTTGAAAATGATCTGAATTGGAGAAAGAACCCAAATCCAAAAAAAAAATCCAAAAAACCTGAATAAAATAAAAAATTCGCTGGAATATCCAAGCAATTTCATTTATTTTATTGCTTGCTTGTTGTTTTTGTGCTGACCAGAACAGAAAGTGTTTATTTGACATAACATAGGAGAAAAGAACATAAAGCTCTCATAAAAGGCATAAATAATCCAACAAACTTAAAAAAAAAGTTTGAGCCCATAAATATGGTGAGTGGTGATTTATGAATGTTTCGGGGAGGCATTATGATCTTCGCACTTTTTTCTTTTTCAACAGCAGAACTTTTATGTGAAAGAAAATGGAGAATGGAAGACGAAAATTGTTGTACTTTCAGAATAAATGTTCTTAAAAATCTACAGTTTTTACAAGAGGAGGAATAGAGTTTTCTGGAATGTTCAAAGATGTATTGTGCATCAGAAAGAACATGACAATTAAAGTTAAAATTCAATTTAAATTGTTATCACAGAATATTGTACTTAATTATTGAGAGCTCTTCAAAATTTTAAAATCTTTAATTTTTTCAGAATTCTGAGAGTACTGTAGTTTAGTAATATAACAGGAAAAAATAAGTTGGGTAGTCAATGTAAATATTTTTCGATATCATTTTACTACCATTTCTTTGTGTTTATTTTCAAAATCAAAATAATTCTCGCCTTTTGTTAATTAATTATCATAATAATTTGTAATCGGACACCTAAGAATAATATTATTATTATTATACCATAACAAACAAATACAGTATAATATCTGTCACCTTTTGATTGATATTAACACCTGTTCTACTTATTTTTAACAAATAAAACTTTAACTTTAACTGAAAAGCCTGTATTTTTAATCTAAACTTTGTTTTTTGTGTTGTCCGAAATTGAATACCATTTTTAATATTATTCGTGTTATTTAAATATTTTTCAATCGAATCGAATCCTTTTTAGGAAGCCGATTCGAATTGTTTGATTATTTGCACAGCGGTTATTGTTACTGTATTAGAGAAGCAAGGGATGAGCAAAAAACTCCGCCCCCATTTTTTCTGCTTTTTTCATGACAAAATCAATTATTATTATTAGCTAGCTGCTAATAAATTAGTTAATAATGTCTGGTTATATTTCTGCTTTTCAACCTGTCACTTATACTTTGGATAATGGAATTTATTCGACGATTTTGGCGAGTGGCGCAGTTGCACCAACAACTTCAAAAACCAAAAATGAAATAATCGGTGAGTAAAGAATCATGAAAGCTTATTGATATCGAAAATTAAAGTTCTAATACGCCACATCATAATTCTCGTCTCGTTTCAAATTTCGATTTTTCCTAGATTCCTCAATCGCCCCACCATCAAAGAAAAAGAAGAAATTTGTCGACCCATTTGATCCTGAAGCTACAGTACCCCTTCCATTTCAACTTGATGATCAATTCGGACCATATAGTTCATCAGTTTGGAAAAGAAATGAAAGAGAAAGATCGAGAGTTCGATGTGTTAATGAAGGATATGATAATTTGAGAATACATTTACCATTGCATGATGGGTAAGGGAATTCATTATTTTTCAAAAAACTAGACTCAATTTTTCAGTGAGAAGCGAATCTCGAAAGTTGACACTCTTCGCCTCGCAATTCGTTATATAACACATCTCGAGCAATTATTGAAAAACAGTCTTCATCAATATAATTGCACATGTTTTGCTGGATTTCAAGAAGAATCTGAAGGAAATATTCAACTCAATTTTCAAACTATTTTCAATCGTCAATAAGTCAATAAAAGATTCAGAACTTCCAAAATATTATCAATTTTAAGGCATACAAAACATTCCATCTGTAAATATATCAAAGTACTATCAATAAATTTTTTTACGAAAAATATGTTTCTTCTTAATTTTTTGTAAGATTAATTTTTAAAAGTGTTTAGAAAAGTTCTTGAAAAAATCGATCTTTCAAACCCCGAAAACCCTTAGCTAGATTTCCTCACAATATCCTTTGAATTCATTAATCTACAGTATCCCAAATTACTGTATTTAATGTTGTATTTCCATTACGAAAATATAAGAGCAGCAGAAGAGAAAGCCAAATCTACAGTAAAAAAACTAAAAATTCACATGCGAGAAAATAAATAAAACGTGACACGAAAAAAAATTAGAACAAGTGTTTTTTTGGCCTGTATATAAGTGAGAATATTCGAAAATGTGACCATTTTTAGTATTTCAATTGTTTGCAATATGTCAAAAAAACCGAATAATGCTGAAAAGGTGGTAAGAATAAAATAAGAAGAAAACAATAAGATTGAAATGATTTTTGCAGATAAATGAAAATGAAAACAAACAAGGAGAGTTTGAAAAAAATTTAACGATTCGAACACCGACAAAAGGAAGAAGAAGTTCGAGTATTAAAGGAGCTGCAGGTGCAATGGTAAGTTAATAATAATTGGGTCTCAAGAAGAAATCGGGGCTAGAATGAGCAAATTTGATTTTCAAAATCATGAAAATGCTTTTCTCGCCATGAAATAATTCAGAATGATTTAATTTCGAAAAAATATGTGCCACGTGAAAAAAATTTGAAAAAACAGGCGGCCCGAAAGAAATAGGTCACGTCTGCACGCCCTTTTCTTTCGAAAAATTTTAGGGCGATCGGGACGAACAATACAGTAATCTCCTAAAATGGTATATGAATGTTTTACGCCCCCATCTTTTTTATTACGTGCCCCCACGGTCATTTATGGTTTCATGCCCCCACTCATTATGACTTATGCCCCTACCCATCACTGAGCGTAGTGTAGTTCAGCTACCCAGGTATTGTGGATTAGCAAACCGACTACTGTAGATTAGCAACCAGATTACTGTAGAAGAGCGACCCAACTACTGTAGATTAGCAACCCAAGTACTGTAGATTAGCAACCCAAGTACTATAGATCAGCTACCTAGGTACTGTAGAATGGGAACCCAAGTACTGTAGATTAGTGACCCAACTGCTGTAGATCAGCCACCCAGGTACTGTAGATCAGCGGCCCAGGTACTGTAGGTTAGCAACCCAAGTACTGTAGATCAGCTACCTAGGTACTGTAGAATGGGAACCCAAGTACTGTAGATTAGTGACCCAACTGCTGTAGATCAGCCACCCAGGTACTGTAGATCAGCGGCCCAGGTACTGTAGGTTAGCAACCCAGGTACTGTAGATCAGCTACCTAGGTACTGTAGAATGGGAACCCAAGTACTGTAGATTAGTGACCCAACTGCTGTAGATCAGCCACCCAGGTACTGTAGATCAGCGGCCCAGGTACTGTAGGTTAGCAACCCAAGTACTGTAGATCAGCTACCTAGGTACTGTAGAATGGGAACCCAAGTACTGTAGATTAGTGACCCAACTGCTGTAGATCAGCCACCCAGGTACTGTAGATCAGCGGCCCAGGTACTGTAGGTTAGCAACCCAGGTACTGTAGATCAGCTACCTAGGTACTGTAGAATGGGAACCCAAGTACTGTAGATTAGTGACCCAACTGCTGTAGATCAGCCACCCAGGTACTGTAGATCAGCAACCCAACTGCTGTAGATCAGCGACCCAGGTACTGTAAAATAGCAACCCAAGTACTGTAGATCAGCGACCCAACTACTGTAGATCTGCTACCCAAGTACTGTAGATTAGTGACCCAACTACTGTAGATCAGCGACCCAGGTACTGTAAAATAGCAACCCAAGTACTGCAGTAATCTGGTTGCTAATCTACAGTATCTGGGTTGCTAATCTACAGTACCTGGGTTGCTAAACAACAGTAGTCGGGGGTCTAATATATAGTAGTCGGGACACTTATCTACAGTAGTTGGGTTAATTTTTATCAAATTCTATTTTTTTGGCTTCATTAAAAAAAAAATATAAATGGTGACATTTAATAAAATGTTGGCACGTTTCCGTGAAAAATCCAACAAAAATGAATCATTTCAAATTTTATGAAGTCGGAAAAATGGTTGGAGTTCGAGTGATGTGAGTTTCATTGGGAAAACTGAGTCGTCAATAGTTTTGATCATTCACAAATAATACATTATTCGGGTCGATAATCTACAGTACTTGGGTTGCTAATCTACAGTACTTGGGTCGATCTTCTACAGTAATCTGGTTGCCAATCTACAGTAGTTGGGTTGCCAATCTACAGTAGTTGGGTCCCCAATCTACAGTAGTTGGTTCCCTAATCTACATTACTTGGGTTGCCAATCTACAGTACCTGGGTTGCTAATCTACAGTAGTCGGGTTGCTAATCTACAGTAGTCGGGTTGCTAATCTACAGTAGTCGGGTTGCTAATCTACAGTAGTCGGGTTGCTAATCTACAGTAGTCGGGTTGCTAATCTACAGTAGTCGGGTTGCTAATCTACAGTAGTCGGGTTGCTAATCTACAGTAGTCGGGTTGCTAATCTACAGTATCTTGGGTAGTTGTTGTGACATCGGCTCAGAGTGGAAAAAACCCTGTGGGGGCACAAAACATTCTGCTCCTGTGGGTGCATGAAAAACAAGTGGTGGGGGCTTGAAAAACACTTGTTCCACAGTGGGACGTTTCGTGCACCCGGCGCAATACATTTTCACGCGTTTTGCGCCCCCACAATAAAAAAAGTGTCCTGTTTTATGCTCCCTAAATTTTACGCCCCCACTGGTTGTTTCGTGCTCCCACCCTTTTTTGTGCCCCCATCAATAAATGGGTGGGGGCATAGGTGGGTGCGCGAAACAACTGGGTGGGGGTGAAAAACAGGGTGGGGGCGTGAAACGCAGATTTACTGTATATTTGTATATTTGTTAATTTACTGTATATTTGTTAATTTTTAAAATAATCAATGTTTGAGGATGAAAGACAAGACAGCGAATTCGATCAACCTTTGCCTGGATGTTTTCAAAAAGTATCCAAAATCACAAACGATAAAATCGATGAAAATCTGGCGAAAATTCCATATTTCCATGGTTTTCTTCTTCACGAATATCAACCAATGATTTTGAAAACATTTGGAGATTTTCTTATTCGAGTTTCAATTCGATATCCAAAAAAAGCTGGAAAAACATCAAGAGAAAAGACTGTGAATTCAAATAAAGGCAAAAAATCGAAAGAAAAATCAAAAGAACAATCAAATGATGGATCGATTAGATTTAATGTTATTATTGGAGTTTGTATAAGTAAGTGTTTTTATTTTTTTATTTTGAAATATAATTTCATAAATGAATTTCAGAAGATCAAGACAAAGATAAAGTGGATCATTTGGATGAAACAAAACATGAAATAATTGATGTTCCAATGACAATTGAACAAAACATCGATGGAAAATGGATTCATTTTTATATCGATAAAAAGAAAAAATTTGGATCAATTGAAGAACTTACTGATTATTATCGACATTACACGGGATTTTATCGAGATAAAAAGTTTAGTCTTTATAAAGGAATTCCAATGACATCTTGGGAATTGGATAGAACACATGTGGAAATTGGAACAAAAACATTAGGAGAAGGTGCTTTTGGTGAAGTCAAATCTGGAACATGGAAATGTACAAATTCGGATTCGAGAGAAACAAATACACCATTACCAGTTGCTATCAAAATGGTAAGATTTGTTAGGGAAAAATGATACGAGGTTTATTGAGCCTTTTTTGAAATTTCTTGTAAGCCAAAAATACAGTAATCCAAGAAATTTTAAAATGTTTTTTGATTTCTTCAATTTGTTGTTTTTTTCAGTTGAAAGGCGAAGAATCAAAAGTGGCAATGAAAGAAATGATGCACGAAGCTCGTCTTCAACTTTGTCTTCGCCATAAAAATGTTCTCAAAACATATGGAGTTTGTATTCTCAAAACACCATTTATGATTATTAGCGAGTTTTGTGAAAGTGAGTCTTGTCCTTTTTTTTCTCCAAAAAATTCATTTTTTTTTGTTCAGATGGAGCTTTGCGTGAATATTTGAAGAAAAATAAAGTTGATATTGAAGATAAACTTCGTTTTTGTCTTGGTTCTGCACGAGGTGTTGATTATTTGCATGGAAAATGTTTGATTCATCGTGATTTAGCGGCTAGAAATGTTTTATTAAATGATGCAAAAGTTCCAAAAATTGCTGATTTTGGTTTAGCTCGTTATGGAAATAGTTATAAAATGTCAAGTGTTCAAAAAACACCAATAAGATATTTGGCACCTGAAACTCTTCAATCATATAAATTCACACAAAAAACTGATGTTTATACATTTGGATTAGTAATGTGGGAAATATTTGAAAATGGACAAGAACCTTATGTAAAACCACAACAACATATGGAAAGTATTGTTCCAAAAAATGGAACAATTCGAGTTGGACATTTGAAAGAAGTTATGAAAAATGATTTATGGATCAAATTCAATTCAGAAACACCGCCAACACTACAAACTTTTATCGCCGAAAAAGTTTTTGTTTATGATGAGAAGAAAAGAGTCACAATGATTGAGGTTGTGGCATTGTTGAAAACATTGGTTCGAAAAGATCAGAGCTATTTGAAGGATACAATGGCAACACAAACTGTTGGATAAAGAAAAATGAGAATGAGAAAGAATACTAGAAGTTGTTTATGAAAGTTTTTTGTATTCAAAATGTTTTTTTCGCGCTTTGTTTCAAACAAAACATCGTCTGAATTTATTTGGAAACATCTTACAAGCTCACCTACAGTAATCACGAATTCGAAGTACATTAATTCATTTCGAAAAGAATTCTAACGGCTCTGTAAGATAGAACATTAATTTGAACATTTTCAAAAATAATAAGTTTTCATGAAATTAGAATAACAAAAATGAAACGACCGGCTTCTGCCAATCTTCATTCTTCTATGAGAAAAGTCTATCTGGGACATACCACGTTTAGGAATCTATTATATTGGGAGATGATCTCATCCAGTGCAAGATTCAAATCGATTTGTATTTTACACCGTTTAAGAAAAAATAAAGTCACAAAAAATCACATAACAAAAACAAACAGCGACTTTTTGATGAAATAACTTTTTTTCATTTTTAAATAATTTTTTCACCAAGATACTTGTACATATCCACAAAATACCCAATATATTCCCCTTCTTGTCTCAAAGTTCTAACAACCTTTAGAAACAACACATGTCTAATTCATATTTCAAAAAAAGAAATATTATTTCTCCCGACCTCAAAGTTTTTCTAACACTTCCTTTCACCAGCATCCTTCATCCAAATGCAAATCAGTTAAAAAAATTTCGAACTCTACAGAACTCCCTCCGACTAAAACTTCACTACTCAATCGAACCCCAAAAAAAGAACTAACCTTTGAAATTTCGACCGTTCCTCGATCATTTCATCGCTCAAAATTGATATATTGCTTCATGCTTTCCAACAAAATCATCTCGAATATTTACATCCACGACTAATCTGAAAATATTTTCAATTTAATGAAACTTTTGGTTGTTTTTTATCGATTCAAAACGCTATTTCAAAATATGGGCGTCCATACGAGAAAAGAGAGAGAGAGAGAGAGAGAGAGAGAAATAGAGAGAGAAAGAGAAAGAGAGAGAGAGTGAAATCGCGCGTGATCTACAGTGATTTTTAAAAAAAACTTGCGGGACTAGGTTATGAATTTTTTAATTTACCAAACAAAATAATTTCGCGGTGTTTTAGTTAAAACCAAAAACAATCATCTCATCACAATCTTAGATCTATTTCCTTCAGAGCTTTCCAATATTCACACTTTTCTTTAAGTAAACTCGCGATACATTTCAAAAAATTAAGGCGGACAGACAGATCAATATACAAGAAAGATTTTGCGTGAAACGTGTTCCATTTTTTGTAAGAAAAAAAAACGAATTCAGTTTGATAAACTAAATCATTCTTATTTTCTACGCAATAAATAAATCACCAAAGATTAGCAAAAAATAAAAAGAAAATGGAAATCTCTGATCGAATTGAACAGTTCACAAAAATGATGGAAGAGGATGAACTTCTTTTGAAATCAACTGCAATCCATTATTTTCGGAAACTATTTGCAACCGAAAGAGACAAATCAAAAGTTCCCGATGAATCGCCGTTTTATTTGAGAATCGTTAGTTTTGGTTTTGCGAATACAAACTGACTTCTGATATTTAAATAAATCCTTTCAGATCAATCAAATAATTCGGGCCCTTTCAAACAATTATTTGGATCATGATTCTCAAGCTGATGCCATTTGGGTTGTCACAAATATGTGTTGTTTGAATCAAAAAATCAATCACTTATTTGTTGAAGCTAATTGCATTGATATTTTGGTGAAACAATTAACAAATGGCGATCGAAAAATAGCAAATCAGTGTATTTGGGCAATTGCGAATATTGCAGCTGATTGTATTGATTGTAAAATGAGATGTCGATCTGTTAAAGTTTTCAAACAACTTGTTCAAAAATTAACAAAATCTTATGAAATGAATCAAGTTGATCGTCGAAATCTTATTTGGTGTATCAATAATTTGACATCTGGTGGTAGAATTCAAGTTCCGAATACTGTTGCAAAATCAATGATTCGAGCTTTATCTGATAATTTGTTTAATTCAAAAGGATATCCAACAGAATCAGCCAGCAAAATTCTTTGGTCTTTAGCAAATATCGCAGATGATATCAATAATTTGAATCGTATTGATATGATACTTGATCAATCTGAACTAGTTCAAAACTGTTTGAGTATATTTTTGGATTCCACATATTCGCAACTTCATACAGCAGCTCTTCGTCTAATTGGAAATATTGCTGTTGGAAATAACGAGCAAACTGATCGACTGTTGGCTTTTTCCAATTTTCGTTATGTTCTCGAATTAGCAATGACAAAAGTCGAACATCGAAGTGAAGTTGCTTGGATTTGTTCGAATATTTGTGCTGGTCTTCCAAGACATATTGATTATTTATTGATAAATGATAAATTCTATAGATGGGTTCAAGAAGGAATTCAATCGAAAGAGAGAAGATTTGAAAAAGAGTGTTTATGGATTGTGGCAAACTCGTTGGTTTCTGGAGATGAAGCACAAATTGAATGGCTTGTTGAACAGGTTTGATTTTCAAAGAGATAGAAAAAGAGTGCGAATTGACATTGAAAACATTTTTTTGAGTACTGTAGTTTTTCTGAAAATTTACATTTCAAAATCTCAAATGACTTTCAAATTATTTTCCAACAAAATTTACGACAAAGCTCCGTGTCTCGGAGTAGTTTTTTCTAAAAAAAAAACCAATTTTCAGGGTGTAATATTCCAAATCGCACGCCTTTTGAAAAGTGAAGATACTCGTTTAAATGAAAAAGGATTGAGTGCAGCAATTCATATAATTCGAGAATATCCTTGGCAACAAAGATTATTCGAAGAATTGAAAATTGTTGAATGCATCGATACTTCAGAATCTCCAATGCTATTTTCTGCTCAAAAACGAGAACTCGAAATAATATTGACAAACTCGGCAACTCCAAAAATACCGAAAATTGAAGATGAATTCAAATACTTGAGCTTCTCAAAAATCGAATGAATAAATAAATAAATTTGTTTATTAATACAGAGCAAAATAAAAATTTTCGAAGTTGAAAAAAGGCGGGCAAAAAAAACTATTTGAAGGAGTCAAGAAAAAATCAGCGCCGAAGAGAAAGACAATTGAAATACCAAAACTAAAAAATTGTTTGAGAAAAAAGAAAAACATGTACATAGTATTTCTATAAGACATGATCAAAATTTGGAAAAAAAAGTGGGAGGGGAAGAGTTTTGATTTATACATGATACATGACAAAATTCGGGGGGAAGGGGGGGGGGGGGAAGCTTTGATACAATATTAATAAAATATCTATATTATTTCAGATTTATGCGCAGGAGCAATTAAGCGCGAAAGGAGTGACAAGATTTACACAATATCACAAACAAAATGAAAAAAAGACTATCGGAGAGCAATTAAAAAATCAATGAAAACCCTATATGTTTTTTTTTTTGGTATATTGATCTAAAAAGCTACACGCGTTTCTGTTAGAAAAAGAAGGACTAGAATTATCGAAGACTCGACAATAAATTTAGTTTTGATCTTGCAATTTTCGGTGTATTTGTTTTATTGAAAACGTGCCAAAAACGAAGAGTTTCATCGCCGGCGCCGGTTACAATTGATTCGCCATCCGGGGACATTGCAAGATATAAAACACGATATTGATGGCCGACAAGTTTGGTGACAGGTTGCAGACTTGGATATTTCCAAATTATTACCTGCAAAAAATAAAAGGATTATGAAAATTCAATTTTTTCAGATTATTCAAACTATTCAATTATTGTCAATTCGAAGAAAATCAGAAGCTTCGAAGAGTACGAAAATGGCTAGGAAAAAACATGAAACTTCAGGTGGGAGAATTTTCAAAAATAGATAGGTTTGAGAATATTTTTTGAAATTCGGGAGAAAATTTAAAAATGTGTTGACCATGCTATGCTCTCCTAATTATGAGAGGGTTCACATGTATAGCATTTGGAGCTAGGTCTACAGTACTACAGACTTCCATTCTAATAATTTTTCGAATTGACAATACAAAGGTATTACACATGCCCTTATCAATTTTTGTTAATTAGTGAGTTTTCAAAGAGATTTGATGGTGTTGTTGTGCATTTCATTTCAAACATGCTACATAAATGAAAAAGACAAATTTCAAAGCTGAAAAGCATCGAAAATTTCAGATAGACTTTTTTCACTAGAAACATTGAACAGAAAATAAATTTAAATTTGTTCAATTTTCAGATGAAAAAAGTCAAGGACGGACAATAATGTTTTGTTTTTGAAAAAAAAATAAAATGCACAACATGCTCTTCTCGCTTGGGGCCATCAATTTCTCTTCTACTCACTAATTTTTCATTTGATTTGACAGCCGAACTACTGTCATTATCCCCATTACTCACATGATTGAATGAGTAGCCGTGTGTTGAAACCAATTCACTGCTGTGTTTTGACCAAGCCACGTTGCACACCTGAAAATAGTTTTTGTTGAAAAAAAATGTTTCACTGGGTTGGCAATTTTTTAGCCGCTGCTTTTAGCCGCTGGATCAATTATTTTTCGATTCTCCAAATCCGAAAAAAAACGAACCTGTGAACCAGTATCAATACATTGCATTGGTTGTCCAGTCAACGTATTCCAAAATCTCAAACATCTATCCGCAGTTCCACCTCCAGAAACTAACACACCATGATGATGCGGTGACCAAGCCAACGCTTTCACCGCCGCATTGTGCTGTGTATAGGTTTGGACTGGTTCTGGTCGTCGAAGATTCCAAACTAATAATTGATTGTCATTTCCACCCGATGCTAATAATTGTTTATCCGGTGACCATTTCAATCCACAAACTTCTTGTCGATGATTTGTCAATTTTCGTGGTAATTCTCGATCATCACATCGAATATCTCGATGAAGAATTGTTCGATCTCGACTACCTGAACATATCGTATCACCATTCCATGCTAAACATCCAATTCTTGATGTATGTCCTTGTAAATCGCGAATCTTTTTCAATGTTGTCGCATCCCATATTTGTGTTACACCTCGATTTGTTCCAACTGCCAACAAATCTCCTTTATCAGCCCATTGTACAGCTGTCACATTATCTTGTTCACCCATTAAATCACACAATTTTGTGACTTGACTTGTTGTTGCACTCCATAAATATACACAACTACTTAAACCAACAGCTAATTGATTTTGGGTTGACCAATCAACAAGATTCAAATAGAAATCATCTTGAAGTTCAGGAGCATCTAGAACTTTGTATGGATTTTTCGGAACCTTCCGTTGTGGTTTCCTTGGAGTTCGTAAAAGTCGTTGACTGTCTTCACCAAGTGGACCATTGAATGGGGAATGACTGGAAACAATTAGAAAATTTAGAGATGACCAAAAATAAAGAAAACTTACTTGACAGATGTACTTGGTGGTCCATATTTATTTGGTGTTGTTTTCGCACTATACGTGAATAAACTTCTTGCTGGACTTGCATGCATTTGACTAACTGGTGATAATGGAATATTAACAGGTCTTGGTGATTCTCCACAAGTACTTCCGTGTGTTGGAGTTGCTGCTCCATTCGTATTTCCGTTGTTATTTGTTCCACCATTTCCACCGCCACCGCGCAATCGATTGTCTTGCATATCCATTGTGGGAGAAATTGCGCCAGCTCTGCAAAAATGAGATTTTTTGTTAGAAAGAAATAAGAATTTTCCATTTTTCAGAAAAAAATCTGAAAATCTTTTCCAAATTTTTAACTTGAAGAGTTCAAAAAGTTCACAATTCTATTTATAAAGTTAACCCATTTTTTAAGGAAAAAGACGATTTTAAAAAAAAAAATTTTTGAGAAAATCACGGTCCGAAAAAAAGTGTTGAAAATTAATTTCAAATCTTATCCCATGTATTTTTTTCAAATAAAAACGCACCTTGTTGTATCATCAATTCCTGTTGGCGGCAAAACCAAACTTTCCATACTTCCTCCATATGCATTTCGTTCTAAATGTGGAAATATTCCAGATGTCGATTGAAAAGGACTATGAACAATTGGAGAAGACGAATAACTCGACAATTGTTCATCAGACGGCAAAATTTGCAATTTAACATCATCTATTCGCTCTTTAAGCATTTCATTTCTCAATAATGCTCTTACAACCATTTCATCTCTTCTCGCATCATCAAAACAAGCATGTTGAACATTTCCAGTTGGTGTTGTATTACCCGAACCACTTGTTGCATAATAATCTTGTGAATGTGAAGATGATGAAGTTGCGACTGCATTTGCAGAAGAACTTGATGATTGTTGTGTTGTTTGTTGATTTCGTCCAGAACCCGTTGTTGATGTTGTCATTGGTTTTTTGAATGGTACCTGAAATTATTTCATATGAGAGAAAAAAAGAGCATTTGAAACGAGGGTAGGATCACACCTGGCGGGAGTGTCCCAAAATTTTTGTGCAGCGTGGAAATTTTTGCAAAAAAAATTGTGCAGCGTGAAATGTTGACTTTTTGAAAATTTTCATCAAAATCGGCTGAAAATCAATGAAAACTACACTTTTTTCGTGAAAAAATGTACAGTGTGATCTTTGAAAATTTTTGTACAGTGTTCATTTTGGACACGTCTCGTCAGGTATGGGTAGGATTTTGTTTTGTTTTAATTCTTTTATTTTCAAATGTACTTTTTCACCACAAATAATAACTCGAGTTTAAATCATTTCCAGTTTTTTTCTGAAATGATTCCCCTTTTCCCAATTTTCTCTATCACACACATAAATCATCGCAGTTTCTGCCACCAACTTGTAATTGTTTGACTGTTGCGCAACATGGCCTCCTCTCTTTGAGGTCATCTAATTTATATAAGTATCTTTCCTTTTTGCCCCCTTCCTATCATCAAATTAATCTTTATAAGCCGTTTTGTCGGCACTTTTTGTACTCAAATGTGTTATGATTGACAGTATGACTGACCCAAATTATAATATTTGCCATAAAAAATTCTTGAAAAAAACTACACAAAACCAGTTTTTGGCGCCAAAACAAAGAACAAAGAGATATTTGTCACCGTTGGCGCCATATGTTTTGTTTGGTGAAATGTTTGTTGCGGGAAGAAAAAAGAAAACAAAATGACTAACCTCCATGTCGGGATTGTTTATCGCACAAAACCGAGCATTCCATTCAGCATGTGGTTGCCGTAAGGGAATATATCTATCTCCATATGGATTTGCTCCTTTTGTTGGTGTGACTCGTGGTGACGTATGAGCCTAGAAATATATTTTTGATGATGGGTGTGAGAGATTTTTTGAAAATCTGGAGTATTATTTTGCGGTTTGTATTTCTGAAAAAAAAACATCGCAGCCATGAATTTTTCAAAAAATTATCCTCTTGATCATCAAAGTAAAAAAAATTGGCAAAAGGCCAGAAATTCAAATCTCAAATTCCCCAAGTACAGTACTCCTATGCGTCACTAACATCGGTTCTGGCTGAAACACAGTACTCGGGAAGAGCGTCATTTCAATTTATAACCACAGTTTTGTTTGTCAATTTTTTTTACTCCAATAATATTTAGAAAATCATCGTTCTGTTTTATTTTAATTCTTGGTGACTTTAAATCAGAAACTTCGTGAGTGGTCTCAGACTTCCAAAATTTCTTGAATACTTTGATCAAAAAAATTTCAGTTTTTGTGTAACAAAATCTTCTTCAAGGAATTTCGAAATGTTTTGTTTTCATATTTCAATCATGCACCAGTCAACACTTACCGATAGAGACTTAACGGGCGATGTTCCTGGATTGTGTTGTCCAAGTGTCCGCCGTGGAATCGACGTTGGTATTTGAAACGTCGGTTGATCACTATTGTCCATAATTTATTTGTCCAATAGTCTGAAAAACAAGAATCAATAAGTAAATATCTCAATTTGTCATCTTCAATATGAAAGATATAAAGATAAGGGAAGGAAAAACCAATAAATCATCGCTATACATATTACCTAACAAGGTCAGAAATGAGATTGATGGAAACAGTTAGTTTTTTATTATTATGCAAATTATGAATGATAGACAGACAGATAGAAAGTCTTATCAGAAACTTGTATATTTTGGAACACAATGAACAGCGGGCTGAGAATATTACTGATAATCGACAAAAAATATAATAATTGGATGTGAAATTGTAGTTACTAGCTACAGTAGGCATAGACGACAATTTTCTTTTTTTTTTTCATTGGAAAATTATTACGAATAAAAATGCACTTTCGGCCGGATTCGAATGAGAAAAAAAGAAAACGCGTTGACAAGAGAAGATACCATTAAAAATGATGGTGCTGGTTGGTGATTTGTTTATTTTTGGTATTTGTTTATTACACCAAATGTGTTCACCAACCATATGAGTCATTTAATGGATTCTGAGGTTTTTTTGTTAGAAAGTGTTGAAATTATCGATTTGAAATTGATTTTTTATTCTAAAAAAACGAAGAGAAAGAGAGAACACTTGAACTGAAACTGCAGCTTTTAAACAGAGACAAAACCATTTTTGATCTTTCATTTTCCTAGAAGAAACGCCAAAAAGGGGAAAAACTAAGAATTCCGCAATTGAGTTGTTGTCGAAGATTAGAACTAGCATATTCAAAGTAAACCGCTGGGTTATCGGAGATTTTTATCATCAAACCAGGGTAACTTGGATAATTTAGGGCAGATTGGAGAAATAAAAGGGAATCTTGAAGAAAATAGAAAGTACTTGGAACATCTGAAATTGCAGACGTGTCATGTGGAAAGCCATGGAAAGTAGAAAGAGAAGATGAAGTATCGATCAAAGCAAAAAGAGATGACGCTAGACGACAAGAGAACAGAACACGCGTTTGTTAGTAAGTGAAGAGAGACGAGAAAAGAGAAGGAAAAAGAACGACAGATGTGGGCGGTGCTGAGGAAAAAGGGGGAGAAGAATGAGAATGTGGTTCAAATATATAAAGATGAGGAGGAGGAAATATGCACAATTTTTGAAAAAGGAGGTCAACATGGGCCAGCACGGCTTTATTGTATATAACAGTGTATACTTATTAATATATTTAGGTGGGACGCCTTCCCTCTCTTTGGTGTTATTTGTTCTTATGTGAGACAAAAAGGTGAAGAGGTATATGTACTCAACAAGATAAAAACCATAAAGAAAAAAGGAGTTTAACAATTTTGAGTGTAATGGTGCACTAACTTTTTTACACCAAAAATTGTGATTACAGCAGAAGATGAATGAGGAGTGAATTAGTTATTCAAATATTACTCAAATGAGACTATTAATTATATTAAACAAGGTTATGGAGAGTTTGACCTTCATTTAGCAGTTTGCGTATGGTGAAGAGAAACCAAAATGACACTTGGTGGTGCGAAGGCCGGAAATAACGATTTTTGGGAAAAACTATGCATTTTCAGATAGGAATTTCAGATGACAAAGCGGGCGCAACGAGATTACACTATGACACTGACTATTCATTAGCGTAAACTTACACTTTCGCCACCACAAATAGCAGAGAATTTCGTTTTATTTTTCGCAAAAATTGCAAAAATTTTTGAAAATAAAAATATGTTGTCCACGAGAAATCCAAACAACTCCAATCGCTGCGAGATATTTCTGCGATTTGCCATGCTCCTTCAACTTTTTTGTAAATCGATCGTAATTTTTTGTGTTTTGTTCGCTCTTTTTTTAGTTCCCTCTTCGAAATTTTCGCTAAATCCGATTATCACATTATAGGTTGCCCAATGCAGTGGTAATCAAATGTAAATACAATACGCTGGCTATGTTGGATTCGAGATTTTTTGAAAAATGGTGGTTCCGCGCGTTTTTAGCGCTTATGATATTTTTTATTTGGCAATTGTTTTATTCGATATCAAAAGTTCAAAGTCTGGATGAAGAAAGAGCAACACTTCAAGCGACAATTGAAGTATTACATAGAAAAAGTGATGGATTGCGATTAGAAATTTTGGAAAAAGAAAGAACTTTGACACGATTGAATTCACGCGTTTCAGAAGTCGACACTCTGTAAGTGGCTGAAATTTTTAAAAAATAAAAATAATTAAATACTTTTTTAGAATTAGAGATCATATCAGCCTTGTTCCCAAAAATCGCAAATCCGAGCCAACAATATTTTTCATAACACCAACAAGTTTCCGTGCAGCCCAAAAAGCTGATCTCACTCGTTTATCTTATACACTTTCGCATGTTCCAAATCTTCATTGGATTGTTATTGAAGATTCAGATGAAAAAATCGGAAAATATTGAAGATATTATGAAACGTAGCAAAGTTCCATATACACATTTAGTCGCAAAAACTCCAGATGATAAAAAGATGAAATATTCGGATCCAAATTGGTATTTACCACGTGGAGTTGATCAAAGAAATGCTGCTTTGAGATGGTTAAGAAATCAATTATCTGATGCACAAAAAGGTGTTATTTATTTTGGCGATGATGATAATACATATGATCTTCGACTTTTTGAAGAAATGCGAAAAGTTCAAAAAGCCGGTGTTTGGCCAGTTGGAATTGTTGGTGGATTATTTGCAGAATCGCCGATTTTATCACAAAATGGTTCAATTATTGATTTTAATGCAATTTGGAAAAAAGAACGACCATTTCCAATTGATATGGCTGCATTTGCTGTTAATATTACACTTTTATTATCCAATCAAAATGCAATGTTTTCATATGATGTTCCACGTGGATATCAAGAATCAACATTTCTCGAAAAATTAGGAATTTATCGATATAATATGGAACCATTAGCCGATTTTTGTACAAAAGTTTATGTTTGGCATACGAGAACCGAAAAATCGAAACTTTCCAAAGAATTGATTCAAAAACTATCAAAACGGGAAGGATTTAATGAACTTGAAGCCGAAGCTCTTGGTGTAGATTTATAATATTTTTTTTGTTTAGTTGTTATGTTTTGAAATTGCTCATCTTGCACAATAGTTAACAACTCGGGTGTATAAATTTATTGCATTTTTTGAACTTCATTTTTAAAATTTTTTATATTTAATCAGTTCCATCACTGTTTCAAATATCTATCATTTTTCAAGCTTAGAGTCCAATAATTCAAGAATAGAAAACTTTAAGATGGGAGAGCGAAAAGGACAAAATTTTTATTATCCACCGGATTTCAATTATAAGAAACATAAATCATTGAATGGATATCATGGAACTCATGCACTTCGAGAAAGAGCAAAGAAAATCGATCAAGGAATTTTGGTTATTCGGTGAGATTTGCTTGAAACTAAGTTATTTTTTGAAAAAAGAAAGAATTTTTCAGATTTGAAATGCCATTTAATATTTGGTGCCTTGGATGTCATAATCATGTTGGAATGGGTGTTCGATATAATGCTGAAAAGAAAAAGATTGGAATGTATTATACAACTCCACTTCATGAATTTCGAATGAAATGTCATTTATGCGATAATTATTATGTTATTCGAACAGATCCCAAAAATTTCGATTATGAACTTGTTGAAGGATGTTCGAGACAAGAAAGACGATTTGATCCTTCGGAAATAAATCAACTTGGAGCTGTGGATCGAGGTTTTGCACAAAAATTAGCAGCGGATGCGATGTTTAAAAAAGAACATGAAGAAGGAGATCGAGAAAAAGCTGTGAATGAAGAAAGTCGAGTTGATAAATTGGAATGGATTCAGGAAAGAATGAAAGATGATTTTGCAGCTAATTCATATCTTCGAGCACAATTTCGAGTGGGTTTTTTGTACACTAAAAAATTTTGCACAATGAGAAAAACACATTTTTTTCCCAAAAATTTTCAGAAAGAGAAGAAATCATTAGGTGATCAACGAATTCGTGATGAAAGCCTCCGAGAAAAATTATCGATTGGAACAACAAAATTATTACCCGAAAGCGAAGAAGACAAAAAAGTTGCATCGCTTTTGACAAGATATAAAGATGTGAAATGTAAGTTTTTTCTAATAGCTAATTAGTTAATTTCATTGAAAAAAATAGGGTCAGTTCAAAAATTTCATCCAGTTAATAAAATCCTAGAATTCAATTTTTTCTCATCAGGTTATGACGATGTTCAATCATCAAGTAGAGAACGAATCGAATCGCGTAGAATATTTTCAAAATTCGGAGATATTGATACACCATCAACATCTACACCATCTTCCTCATCATCAACTTCAACCTCAAAAATGGCGGCTACCGAAAAGCTAAAAGCTACGGTGAAATTTGAACGAAATAAAAAGATTAATGAGAGTGTAAGTTTTTTATTCCTGATATTAATTCGGCATTTTCAATAATTATTTTCCAGTTCTCAGCATCTGTCAAACGAAAATCCGAATTGCTTGGAATTCAAATTAAACCGAAGAAAGAAAAAGTTCCGGAAGAACCAAATCCTCCTGCAAAACCACTTCCTCTGATAGAATATAGTTCCTCAGATTCAGATTAAAAATACGTGTATTTCTTCTAATAAATTTTATTAAATTCTATGAATTTGTGATAAGTTTACCATTATGAGTAACAATCAATCGACAATATAATTGTCGTTGGAAAAGTGAATGAAGATGTTCATTTACACGTCGACCAATTTCAGATATTCTTCGACCACCTTTTCCAATCACCAGAACACCATCTCTTGATTTTTTGCACTTTAGTTCACCGACGATTTGAAGAACCTGAATTTGAATAAACCTTTGAATTATTTGATAGAATGTCAAACCTCTCCATTTTCATCCCATTCAACAATTTTCGGAACAATTGTATAAGCAACATCTGAAGGAGTTGTATCCAAAACAGCAGCTCGAATTGAATCAATACACAATTGTTGAGCTGATTCAGAAGTTGGTGTTGATTGTTCCATTTTCCAATCGCCGCTTGGAGAAATATTCAATAAATGTGTTCGAAGATCATCGATTCCTTCACCACTCAATGATGAAACTGCAACAAAATTGTTTTCATATTTTGTTTTATGAGAGTTTCGGAATTACGATTTTTATTTGGGAAAACTTGAATTTTTTTGGAAAATTGTTGAAAATTGAGAAATATTCTGAAAAATAAAAAATAGGAAAAAATACTGAAACATTTTTTCAAATTGATTGAAATGAACATACCAAAAAATACACGTTCAAAACCGCTCCATCCATAAATGGTTCGGAAAAGTGATTTTGTTTCAGAAAACGAACATTTGAAAGTTGGTTTTTGTAATAAATTTCGATACGAATTTTGCCATTTTTCATCAGTTGGAACAATCGAACAATTTGAATTCGCCGTTGTCAATGATTTTCCAAGTCTTCCAATTTGTGCCGGTTTTGTCGCAATTTTTTGATTATCCGATAATTGTCCATTTGTCAAAATCTCAACAAGTGGCAACAAATCACTTCTTCTTGTAACCAAATCAATTTTATTCATAACAAGAGTACTTGGAACATGCGAATATCTGTGTAACATATGCAAAACTCTATGATGAATATAACTTCCGGGAGCTGTTGAATCTTGTACAACTAAAATATGTTGAGCATTTCTCAATGCTTTTTCCGGATCTTGCAATAATCTTTCTCCTTGTGATGCACGTTGTTTCATTGTTTCTCGAACATGCGAAGTTGAAACTGCGCCCGGTGAATCAACAAAAACTAATTGCGTTGAATCCTCACAAATTGATGCTGATATATTCTAAATATTTATTTTTTATTTGAGAAATTCGGGAAAAATTGAAGAAAATAATTATATCTTTGTGAAATCTTCAGAGCTTCAAATTTCTACTTCTTACCCTGGTTGTCGTATCCATTTTACTGCTAACAGCTGATAATGGACATCGAACCAAATTATTTGTCAAAAGTGATTTTCCAACATTCGGAGATCCAATAACTGCTAATTGCAAACATTTTTGTTGAACTTCTGAGAATTTCGAAGTTGTTGGATTCAACGAATAATATCGGAAAAACGATTTGATTATCATCTGATCTGAAAAATATTGTTTTTATTTTTCTCCCTAATTTTCAAAATATAACTATTTAAAGTTTTCAAACTTATTCTCCAAAAAAAACTTTTTTTGTAAAAAATAGAAATTTTTATGAGAATTAAGAATTAACAATTAAAAATCAACAAAAATAGTACAACAAAAAACAGCAAAAATTATGAGATAAAATGAATATCAGCTTTGTTGAAAGCAAGAAGAAGTGCAAGAAAATCTTCGACTCTCATTTTTCTTGCGCGGCTTTCCGCATATCCGGATTCGATCAAAGTTGATTCGATGAGCGATTTCATGTTGAGGTCTTTCGGAACTGGCTGAAAATGGATTATTTGGAACTGTTCAAAATGGGTAATGTTTTCTCTCAAGATAAGTTTGCTATATATTTTCGAAAATAGAAAATTTATTTGAAACAACTAAAAACCCTCGAAGATGAACATTTTCCCAAATATATTTCTCAAAGCCCACCTTATTTTTAAAACTGCAAACTTTTTTATAATTTTCCTCGATCAATTCAACAACATTTGACAACTTGAAAATAGCCGATAACGTTTTGTTTTTGCGCATAAAACAGAATCTCAAAAGTCCTTCCCATTCAACAAAATTAACTGGAGGTGGTGGATTTTTGGGTGCAATTCGAACAACAGCAGAATCAACTTTTGGCGGTGGTCGAAATTCGGTTCGCTTTACTTTCATCAACATTTCAACTTTTGCTAATAATTGAACATTTACAGATAATCGACTGTAGTCTTTATCTCCCGGTTTTGCAACTAATCGATCAGCAAACTCTTTTTGAAACATTAAAACCGCATATCTGAAAAAATGTATTTTTTAGGATTCTCACAGAAAATCTTAAAATTACCGTGGAAGTGGTCGATGCAAAAGTAATTTCTGTACAAATGGAGAAGAGATCTGATATGGTAAATTAGCAACACAAACATCGAAAAATGGCCATTCCATTTTCATAACATCTCCTGCATTTACTTGAAGTTTATTTTGAAGAGGTCTGAATTTTTTTCAATCATGTTATTTTTCAATTCAGATAAATAAATAAATCTCACCCTCCAAGAACACGTTTTTTGACTTCAGCAATCATTCTTGGATCAATTTCACACGCGATTACAGTTTTTGCAACTTCCAACATTTTCACAGTCAAATTACCGGTTCCTGGACCAACTTCGAGTACTGTATCTGTTGATTTCAGTGCCGATTTTTCGACGATCGCATTTACAACTCCCGGATTTTTCAAAATATGTTGACCTTTGTCTGTGTTGAATGGAAGGGCTGTAATATTTTCAATATTTATTAGAATTTTTAAAATGGATGTGAAAAAATAACCATACATTGAACATTTCCAGCAGCTTGTCCAGCTTTTGTTTTCTTGACTTTAGAAACTTTTCCCATTTCTGAAAAATAAATACTATGAGTGACTCATTTATGTAGTTTAAATTTGTATCCCAAAAACCTTTTCATATTTGGCTAGCTTCTTTTATATCAGAAAATATTAAAGTGAGTATCAACACTTTCTATTAATAAGTTTACCTCCGTGAAAATAATTTATTTGACAACAAAAAACCGGATTCATACTCAACAAGGATAACAATAAAAATAAAAATAATTAGAAACTAACAAAAATAAAACAAGGCAACACTTAGTTTTTAACTAAAAGAACACCAATTTGGAACAATTTTTGGACGGCAGCCAATTGGGTCTTGCGTGGAACATCTTCCGTATCTTTCGATGTGAACAATTCATCAAGTGTACGCCATTCTGGATATGCATCATACAGATGTGTGTAGACACCGATTGCTTCAAATGAAAATTCAACAGTTTCTTCCGGGCGACCTTCGAAAAGGCGAGAATTTGTCATACGATGAGCAATGAAACATTCTTCTTCACTTTCCATGACAAGTCTGAAATAAATAATGTTTTAAAGGTGGAGTCTGACATGAAAATCGATTTATTTGAATTAATATTAATTCAAAAGTTCGTCTCCATTGACAAATTTTCTAAAAACCGGATTTTTTCGAACTTTGAATTTTTTAAACTGATGCTTGAGAAAAAAAAATAAACTGATGCTCCAGAAAAAAATCCTGCGATATTTCTACTAATTAGAGCACGATCTTTCAAAAGAGCATAACCTATTTTTTTCTCAGATTCCACTCTTAAACTGTTTTCAAATTTAGTTTGAAAAAAACAAAAATTACCTTTGAGTATGTCTTCGAACAAATCGAATCTTGGTATTTTTATTGAATTCAACAAGATCGTCTCCAAGAATATCTTCCGAAGCCCCAACAACGCTATACTTTTTCTCTTCATCTGTAAGTCTTGGTGGTAATGCTTGTTTCATGAATTCTTTTCCCATCATATCAACAGCACTATCCATCGCTTGATCAGCTATGAAATTGCGAAGCATACTCATATGTCGATCAAGAACAATTTGGAATTGATCAGCATATTGTTCCGAAAGTGGATAATTGATATCAAGAACACCTCCCATATCAAGAAGACCAATTGGAAGTCCACGACGCAATTTTGAACGAACTGTTGAGAGAGAAGTGATTGCTTGAGGAACCTGGATTTGATAAATTATTATTAATGTTGTCGAATTCCGGAAAAACTTACAACTTTCTCCATCAAATCAGTAAAACTCCATCTTCTTCCAGTCGAAATTGTGACATGCAATGAATGAACATTTTCATCGGTTTTAGCTTGATGAATAAATCCTCTTGGAATATATAACATATCACCGCTTTCAATCCATCCCTCAAACACTGGTTTTCTTTTCTTCATATCTTCCTCATTGAAATTTCCACTTGATTCAAGTGGCAATTCTTCAGAATCATTTTGTGGAGCCCAAACTCGCCAATATTTTCTACCTTCGACTTGGAGAAGGAACGCGTCAATTTCATCCCAATGTGGAGCAAATCCGGAACTTCCAGCTGGTGTGAGATATGTGTTGGCTCCAACAAAACAACCAAAAAGTTCTTGAAGAACTTCGCAAAAATACCAAATTCGATCATCGAATGTTTGCGGATTGACTAATTGAACAGATCGAAGAGCATTGAGGTGTTGCTTAATGATTTGAGCATAAACTTTTCCTTGTCCATTCAAAGTGGTTCGAACACCATTTTTATATTCGGCAACATTTATATTGGTCCCGTATTCCAAATGCTTGTTTTCAATCAATTCAACAAATCGGCTTGTCGAAAACAAATTACCATAATAGTTGGCATTTTTGCGGCTGATAACAAGAGCATTTTGTTGGTAGAATTGACCGAAAAATGTTTGAACATCGCAACCAGAAATCATGAAACTGAACGCTTTTGAAGCAGTAACAGTCGAATCAACGTCAGAGAATGGGAAATCATCAAAATCAATTTTGGATGATTTGAGAATTGTTGTTAACATGCTCTTTCCTTTCTTCTTAGTCTTGTCTTTTTGATTAGCAGCAATAACAACAGTTTTGTCTCGAATGATGAATGCTTCTTCATCTGATTCAGCATCCATTTCCGAAACATCAGATTCTCCTTCATCTTCCATTTCTTCTTCATCCTCATCACTTGCTGAAAATGTATTTCATAATAATTGTTAATTAAAAAAAAAAATTAAACTAACCGTCATCCATTCCTTCGTGACAATGCTCATTTTCACAACAAACATTAGCAATATCTTTTGGATCAATTCGCATTTCACTCTCATCGATTTCTTCTTCTTCGAGTTCTTCCTCATCTTCTTCCTCATCATCTTCATCACTATCCAATCCTTCCATTTCTTCCTCGTCTTCATTTTCTAATTCTTCACCTTCTTCAACATCTTTATCGAATACAACTGTTCTTTCATAAGTGGAACCATTGCTGTTGACTCGAACAATATCGTCTTCATCACTTTCATCATCGAGTTCGATAACTTGTTGTGATGGTCTAGTATGCGTTATATTCAAGTTATTAACTGATTTTTTGGATGCGGCCATAGATTTGCGAAGTGGCGAATCGTTCAAAATTATAGTGTCCTCAAGAAGTCTCTTCTGTTTCTTTTTTGATGGTTGTGCTGGTTGCTCGACTTGTTGTTCAGATGATCTTTTGTTTTTCTTGGGATTGGTACTAGGAGTAGGATTTGATAGAACACGATTAACTTGAAATCCATCGCTCAATCTTTGGATTTTGTAAGCCTTATCAAATTTTGGGTGTGGAGTTCCCGGTGTCTTATAGTGGACTTGAGCTGCAAATTGAAGAATATTTTCGAATATGTATGGAAATTCAAGACTTACAAGCACTTTGATAGTCTCCTGATTCAATAGCCGACCATCTGTCCGATTTTCTTGCTGAAACAGGCGGAGAAGTCAAAACGACATGCTTCTCACTTTTACTTCTGTTTGCTCTCACCATACCTGAAAATTGAATCAAGATTTTCATAAATTACTATTATGGATAAAGAATACAATAAAGAAATTACGTAAAATGAAAAAAAAAAAAACACGGAAAACGGTGAACGCGAATAGGAACTCAACCAAATACAAAAGCAAATGAGAAACTTCGAGAAACGGTTTCAGAATTCATTTCGAAAATAGCGCGGGAAATGTTTCGCGCCTACAGTACATCAAAGAGCTACGAATAAATATTTTAGGTCTTTCACCGAAAAAAGGATCCTAAAAATTTCGAAAACAAATAGGGACTAGTTTCGAATGGACGAGGATTCCAAACACGTCCCTCTTTTTGGCACTGTGTTTTGGCAAAATATTTTGTTTGTTCACCAAAAACTCACGGATTTTCAAGATTTCTTTTATCTGAAACATGCATGGTAGAGAATTTCTTGATATATTTTAATTAAAAAGAAAAGTCAAGAACCTGTTCTTGTTAGGAGATATCTAATAATGCCTAATCAAAAATAAAAGATAGAAACATATTTTAAAATGAAAATAGTTCATTCTGTTTCCATTTGAAGTTCTTCTTCTACAACCGAATCATGATTTTCTTCAATATCAACTGTTCCAATTTCCTCGAGTTTACTTCTCCAATTCTCCCCAATTATAACTTTACAAGCACTCTTATTTTTCAATAAACTAGGTATTTCCATTGTATATTCTTCACCATTTCCAAGTAACACTTCGCATTCATCATCAACGTATTTTGAATATCCTCCAATAGTTACAACAACTCCGCGATAAGAACATGCTGAACTAGTTGATCTACCAGCTTTCATCTTGTTTTCATGTTCAATCCATTCTCCTCTTTTCGACCAAGTCAGAATTTTATCTTGTCTTGTTCTTCCATCAAATCCTCCAATTACAACAAGTTGAGAATTATGAATCAAAACACTATGGCCAGATAATGGAGTAGGTAATGAATCAATTATTATGAAAAAATCACCATATGGATTATAAACTTCGACAGTTGGAATAATACTATGACCATCAAAACCGCCAATAATATAGATTTGATTATCATAAACAACTGCACCACAATCTGATCTCATATCATTCATTTGTCTGAAAAATCACATTTTTAATGAAACAAAGTGGATTTTGCAAACATACGCAGTTTTTGTCCACTTGTCAATTTTTGGATCATAGAATTCACCAGTTCTACTTCTTGTATGATCTCTCATATTAGCTGCATATTCTCTACCATTTTGTCCTCCAAAAACATAAATCTTTTTTTCAAAAACTACAGAACTATTAGTTATGAAATTTCTCGCTTCAAACATCGGATCACATTGTTCCCAAGTCCATGTTTCCGGATTAAGTTTCCAAGTTTCACATCGAAATCTTGTACCATCAGAACCTCCGTAAACGTACAAAATCTAAAATTTTTATAATGAAAAATGATTTTATAAAAAACTGACTTCATCAATGATAGCAGCTCCATGATAAGCAAGCTTTAGTGGTAGTTGCAAACTCGATCGGATCCATTTATTTTTCTCAACATCGAACCATTCAATACTATTTGTTGCTTTTTTATGTAACCAGCCACCAAGAACTATCATCTGAATTGATAAAATGTTCAAGAAACCCAAAAAGGTAAATTATAGCTACTTACAACATCTCGAATATTCCTGGGTTGTTTTTGAGAAAGTTCAAAGTTTTCTGACAATTTTTTGCGTGATTGCTCACTGATACCCTTTTGTCTAATTGAAGACATCAAATAAAATCTCAAACTTTCTCTCTCATTTGGAATCGCTTCTGGAATAAAAATGTGATAACTTTGAAAATTGCAATTATCCAGTTGTTCTCCGAATTTTTTTTTAGAAAACCCCTATATTCCTAGATATGTTTTCGATTCTTCATTCCAATCCCCTATAACCTTGTTCTTTTTTCTATTCCAATTCTTTGCTTTCGTCAACAATTCGCATGAGCGTGTGAGTTTGAGCGAAAACACAATGAAAAAACACTCAAAACAGACTCGCAATTTTTTCTTCTCTCTTATTTCGTACACACATATTCGCTCTGTCGCACAACTTGGCACGGCGCCACTTTTTGAATTGAAAAAACGCCGATGGGCGGAGTTTTGGCGCGCACTCCACTATATAAATGCGTATTTCTTCGTCACTTTTCCCTCATTTTGCCGTTCTTTCTTCGTTTTTCAGTAGAAGATAAGACAAAGATAAACTTTCAGCAAAGAGCAAAATGACTTCGATGGCCGAAAAGTATGTCACTGAATTGCGCGAAAGAGATCCAGCAACTGTTGATACAATTTATCTCGACAATTCAACCGGTGGAGTTATCGAAGGAGTTGACGACAAACTCACCAATCTTTTGGTTAGTTTTTTTTCATATATGATAAATAATTGATAAGACTTTTCAGACTCTCAGCATGGTTAATTGTGAATTAACATCATTCAAAGGACTTCCATCATTGCCAGCTGTCACCTACATCGACGTCACCAACAACAAATTCGGAGATACACCAGCTTTTGATATTCTTGTCAAAAATGCTCCAGAACTTGTTCGTCTCAATTTGAGCTCAAACAACATCACTTCAATTGAAGTTTTGCGCCCATTGAAAATGTTGACAAAACTTGCCGAACTCGATCTTTCGCACAACGAATCTCTTGGTCTCACCGAAAGTTATCGCGACAAAATCTTCGAAATCATTCCAAGTTTGAAATCTTTGGATGGATTGGATGTTGATGGCGAAGAAATCGAAGAAGAATTTGACGGTGGAGAGGCCGGAGAAGATTCGGACAGCGGAGACGATGACGAAGAAGAGGGTGGACCAGGTTTGAGCTATTTGGACAAGAGTCAATTCTCAGATGATGAAACTGATGATTACATCCCAGAAGATAAAGCTGAACAGACAAAAGAAGGTGAAGGCGACTCTGAAGCTCGTGGAGTTAAAAGAAATGCCGATGAAGCTGGAACTTCGGATGAACCAGAAGCTAAAAAATCGACATCCGAATAAGTAAATTGATTTCTAACTAATCTATTTTCGTATAATGCAATTGTACTATTTATTCATTTGGTAACCCATTACCTCTTTTCTTATGTTGTACTATAACTTTTGAGTTAATATAAAAATGACTCACCTATCCAAGAATCAATAACTTTCAACAACTGATCTTCCGGATCAACATTCACATCATCATCGTCCAATAACATTTTCAAATCTTCCGAATCGGTTTGATAAAAGCCAATATCAATACTCTTATTTTCAATCATCCGAACTAGATTGTATTTTATGTAATCGAGAGCTTTGTCAGAAAAATCGTTGAATGCATATTCAACAAATTTTCGTTGAAGTAAAAAACAATTCGAGTCATCCAAATATTCGATCATTTTCTGACAAACTTGTTTACAAACATTGCAAATTTCCGGATTATTTTGACAAAATCCAGCTGTTTCTTCAAGTACTGTTTCGAGCCAAAACCATTCATCATTCTCATTAACACTAATTAATCCAAGAAGAAGTTTGAGCTAAAATTTGTGATATTTTGAATTTTTGACTGGAATTTAGATCAACTAACAGTTTTTGTTGAAAATGGGACCATTATATTTCTCTTTTGTGATCTTGCACTAACAACTCCCAATCGAATTAATTCTCGAACAATTTCCGATTTTTCTGGTTTACATTCAAATCTGCAAAAATCGAAACTCGTATCATGTTTACCGTAGTTTTCTACAAAAAACCTTTCTCCTTCCTTTGATATAAGTCCAACATCAGCTTTTTCATAAGTATAGAATTTTGATCCACAGAATCTCATTATTCAGAAATGAACTCAAATCCAGATTTAGTTTTCTATTTTAGAACACGCGAAAATCTGGGTCACGTAAAAAATTATATTTTCATTTTTCAGAAATCAAGATTTTTTCCGAAATTCCAAAAATAAATTTTAAAACATTTGGATTTTTTTTTTAAATTTTATTAAAATAAAATTAGGAAAATTTGCAATTTTTCATGAGTGCAGGTTACTGTATGTTTTGTTCATCAGTTTTTTTCATTTTTGTTATCATAATTCTTCGAAGGCGGTCCCAGAAAATTGTTCGCTATAAAATGGCATAACAAAAAAACAATGTAAATGCTAAAAATTGCATTAATATTATTGTTTGTTTTCCTTCAATTTTGTATGGGAATCATCGATTCAATATTTCCATGCAAAAACCACGAAGATTGTGAATATATTGGAGACAAATTGGGATATTGTGTAACTTCTAAATGTGTTTATGGATAATTAATTGTTTATTCTCTTCCAATGGAAGTAATTATGTAAATGCATTAAGAATTACCAGTTATTGAAAAAATTAAAGCATTAAAGATTTGTTTTTAAAAATTAAGTAAATTCGTTCACATTTCATCATGTAATCGATTCGACGCCGAAATCAAAGCAGTTGACATAAGAAGCCAATCTCTATCCAATAATTCAGTCAATGACAATTTTCCATCTTGATTAACATCAGCAATCAACATAATCTCAGCCACTTCACTTTTCACTTGTCTCACATTTTTTGGATTAACATATTCGAAAATCTCCGAAAATGTCGCTTTTCCATCTTTATCAATATCAATATCATTGTCAAATTCTCTTAATCTCCGAACTTTTTCTTCTTTTTCCATTTTTTGGAACTCTACATTTTCCTCTTCAACAGAACCAGGAACTCCATTTACAAATTCATCTCGAGATATCATTGTATCATTATTTCGATCATAAACTCGAATTATATCTTCAGCAAGACTAAAAAGTCCACGTCGACTGTGTTCGGGATGAAGGAAACTAGAAAAAAAATTAGATTATGGCATTTTTCTTTTTGAAAAAAAAATCTTACGCAAGCCATTCTTCACTGCTCAATTCTCCATCATTATTATCATCCGAATTCTCAAAACTTCTTTTTCTCATCTTCCAATCGAACTGCATCTGAAAAAAATTATTCAAAAAATAGAAAAATCTACAGTAATCTATAAGGTTCTGAGTTTGAAAAGGAAAGGTTTGAAAGTGATCCAATTTTTTTGAAAAAATGTTTTCCGATTCCAAATTTTTTAAAGTTCCTACTTTCCAAATAATCTTACCATCTTTATTCATAACATGTTTTCCATTTTCATCTTTATGTTCATCTCCTTCGTCACTCGCAAAATGTGGCAAAAATTCTTCCCATGTCACTTTCCCGTTTCCATTTTCATCAATAATTTTGAATTTCTCAACAGCTTCGGCCATACTTTTCGACAAATGTTCTTTCAAGTTTTTCTGAATTTTTTCCTCCAATTCTTCTGTCGATAAAAATCCATCCAAATTTGTATCCGTTGAATTGAACATATTTCTAATAGCTTTTTCAGTATCTTTCGGATTTTTAATCGTTTCACTTTCATTCAAAATTATTTCTTGTCTAAAATTTATATTAATATCTCCATCTCTTTCAATTGGAACACCTTCTAAATGCGGTCCAAATTCGATTTTTTCAACTTTTCGATTTTCAACAGGCGGTGGAGCAATAATTCCAATTGGCAAGAATAACAATATATACAGTAGTTTTAACATGACACCTGGAAAGTTAGGAATTAATATGAAAAATAGGATAGAAATGTAGAAGTATTTAAAGATAAAAGCGACAAAACACTTTGTTAAAGAATTAAACTGTCAGATATAAATTATATTTATTAAATTAATTAATTATTTACATAACTTGGAATGCATTAATTTTTGAACATTTTGGTAAAAGTATCCTTTGATGAAGTTTCTTTTTCAATCCGTTTCGCCTCAAGAATTTTAATTTCTTTTGATACAATTCCAACCGCCGCTGGATGAAATCGAAGTAATGTTTTCAAATCTTCTTCAGCTTCATCCAATTTCCAAGCAGCGATTCTAGCTCGAGCACGACGATATAAAGCTTTTTCATTTTTCTCATCTCTGAAATTAATAGATTACTGTAGTTGTTTAATTATGCTAACCTTTTCAAAACTTCAGTCGATGTTTCTTCAGCTTCATGCAAATCTCCAACATTCAAATAACATTGTGACATGTTCGAATAAAGCGCAATATTTTTTCGGTCCAAAACTTCCCATTCAGGTTCTCCAGGTTTTTCGCGAAGAATTAGAGTGTCAAGGCGAGTTAGAGCATCTCGATAATTATCGATGGCTTCGCGATATTCTTTCTAAAAATTATTGGAGAATTAAAAGTTGTTTTTTGGAAATTGAGAAATTGGTTTGAAAAAATTATTTTTTAAAGTTTTTTCTGAAGAGTAGTATTCATGTAACATTTAAAACAAACTCACATTTACAAAATGCTGATTTCCTTTAACTCTCAAAACTTCAACCGATTCCAATTTGTCTTTTTCATTCAATTGCCACGATTCAGCTTCATATTGATCCGGTTCGAACACTTCCAATAAATGAAAAATGAAACGAAGTGGGCGTGGGTTTTTGAGCAGATGGTCCAATTGTTCGTAGCCAGTACTAAATTTGTTTACTTTCAAAAAATATATAAGAAAAGGAAGAAGAAAAAAATCGATTAATGAGACACTCATCTGACAATTATGCCAAAATGCACCTGGAACTGACCCTTTTGCAATTGTTGCTGCACACATATGTGTTGATACATGATCATGTCCGCCACATTTTGGTTTTGAAATATCTCGCAATTTTTTGGAAACAAATGGATATTGGACAAGTTCAATTAAATCGACATCAAATTGTGATATTTCATCGACAAGCATTGAACGAAGACATGTTTCAAAAACTGGTAATTGAAACTTTTTGCCAAATATTAATTCGAGCGGTTTTCCATAACCATCTGGCCATTTTTTTCGTGTGTCATCGATTGATTTGTAAGCATCTCTGAATATTAACAAATATACATATACATAAAACATGTGTTGTAATAAAAAAAAGGGGTAGGTCAACTGAGGTTTGGTTAGGGCGTTTTATATCTGTGTTTAAGAATAAATTGTTGTTCCAAATTGTAATTTAGATTACTGTATTTCGATTTTTATATAAATTTTCATTTTTTATTTTTGTTTTTTTCTATGATTTTCCAAAAGAAAAATCCGAAAGTTTTAGGATTATAAATATGAGCTTATTGACGTTATAAAATAAACATATTCTGGAAAATGGGGAAGTTCTAGATATTTTTTGAAACAGGAAAAAATTGTTAACTTTTCAAATAGAGATTTCAAATAGAGACTTTTCAAATAGATTTCAAATAGATCCGAATTTTTTCTGAATTTTTTAAATTTTATAAACACAAATACTAAAATTTCGCAGATTTTGTTCTGCTTTTCAAAAATTCCACCAAACTACTGTATTCCTATTTTTCCCATTAAAAACCCACTTATCCTCAGGCATTCCTTTTTCTTTATCAATCGGATCAATTGGCATCAATGTTTGATAATTAAAAACAGCTTTAGTTCCATCTTTCCATTCCGATATTTTTCCTTTTCCAGCATTCAAGGTTTTTTTGACGACACGTGGATTTATCATCTAGAATATCAAGCAACTTTAGAAAAAAAGGGAAAAAAGGAAAACCAAAAATAGCATCGAGGGAAAAATAACACTTGTTGAATATGAATAAAAACGACGAATTCACATTCAATATATATTTATTAGTTCAAAAAATTATTATGTCATGACTATTTTTAATTTTGAGAGACGAAAGAAATCAAGTAGGAAAAAAAGAGAGCACAGAAAAATTGAACACATGGGCATAAGCAAAAAAAAAGAGGGGGAAGAAGACATATATTTAAAAAATGTACACATGAACTGAACGAAAATAGGCACCTTTTGAGATCCTCTCAATTTTAAATATTCAGAGAGAGAGAGAAAAGAGAGAGAAAATAGAAGAGACGCAGACAAAAAGAGGGATTATAAGAACATTATCACTTGAGATTATCTGGCCACTCCGGGATGTAGTATCTGGAATGAAAAAATGATATTAAAAATGAATATGGAAAACTCTTTTATTACGATTTTTCTAGACATGTCTGGGAAATTGTTTGTACTTTTCAAAAAATCGTTTTTTTTTGTCAGATAGAAATTTATTATTAGAATTTTTGCAATAGAAAAAGATCAGAAAATCGTTTATACTTTTTTTGAATTATTGGATTATTCTAGAAAAAGTTATGACAATTTTGCCACGTCATAAAGTTTCGAATTTTGAGTTTCAAATAACGCAAATTTTATTTCAAACCATTTTCAATATAAAACTAACCGTCTTATAGATCCTTCTAATAATCGATCCATCCAATTTGGAAAACCATCCAAAACATTTCCAACATTAATTCGTTTTTGTGATGATGTTTTATGCAATTTCTTTCGTTCTCCCATTGATGCAAATTCATCATTTCGATAAGAATTATCGATTGTTTCATTTTCATCACTGCTTGATTCATCTTCATCTGTATCGATAAAGTTTTTCCGGCTGGCTTCAACATGTTTTGGATGATAAATTGAGAAATACAATTTCCAACCGCACAAAGCCAAAACTGTTCCGATGCATTGTCGAGGATTTATTGACTGAAATCAGAAATAATTTAAAAGAACTAAAATACAGAAAATTCTTACCTTAAGTCGCTTAAACATTGTCTGACACATTTCAGCTCCTTTTGCAGTTGTAGCTTCTTCGGTCGGAAGTGTATGTTCGAGCAATTTTCGGAACCATTCAAGATTTTTTGGAACTACCAAATATCCAAATGAGAATGTTTTATTGCTGAAAATCGGAAAATTATTAAAGAAATTCTGATAAAAATTGTCTTACTTCCTAATTGGATAAATGGATTGTGCAAATCGAGTCAAAAGTTGTTCCTTATTTTCTTCATCAACAAGACAAACAAGAGACCGACAACCTGGTTTCAATAAACGAATCATTCCAAAATATGTTTCGGCACGAAGTTCGTGCATCAATGGTCGCATTATTGACATGATTCTGAAATAAATAAAACATTGTTTCAGGATATAAAAGGAATTATTTTCCCAAAACTGAAAAATTTCCTAGAACATTACAGTAACACTGTTCCAAAACTTGATACATTTAAAAATAATTAGATCAGAATTTTTTCAGAAAAAAATATCCAATCATAAAATTCAACTAATTAAAAATCCTCCCTTTCCCTTTCTCAAACCTTTGTGCTTTTCCTTGTTGATTTTTTCCATTCGCCTCTTGTTCTTTCGCCTGAACTTTCGGATCTTCAGGATGCCATTCAGTTCCATCAGCAGTCAAATCAGCAACATCATTTGCTTTATATTTCTTTTTCTGTTGTTTCTCTTTTTCATCATTTTTTGAATCATTAAAATAATTCAATAAATATCCAATTGTCATAATTGTCAAAAGTGTTCCAACAACAGATAATGCCATATATATTTCTTCATGTGTCAAATAAAACCAAACTGTTTCAATTGTTCTCCAAAATGCTCGACACCATCTTGTGAATAAACCCAAAGTAAATTCATCATTCAAATTTCCGATTCGACTTGTTTCATCTAATCTTTTTCGTTGTTCAACAACATCATTTATTCTTTCATTTGTTTCTTCTTTTCTTCCAGTCCACGAATTATCCAACCAAGTAAACTTGGCTTTCACATATTCGATTCTCCAAATTATCAAAAGATCTCGAGCATTTTTCTAAACAATAATTCATGAAAATTTTCCCCATTAAAATTTGAAATAAGAACTTACCTGAGAATCAGTCTTTTTCTTCTCAATAAACGGTGTCAACCAATTTTGTTGTTTATCAACATAAATATATGAGAAATGAACATGTCGATTTGCCCATTGTTCTTTTGTATCTCGAACATATTCACGGAATGCATCAACATGATCATTTTCAGATTTTCCAGAAACAACTGGAAGAATCACGCAAATATGACGAGGAGATCGAGAAGAAACCGGACAAATTGAATCAAACATATTTTGTGATGATAATCGAGGTAATGTTAGAAGTTTGTTTTTCTCAATGAAATCTTCGAGGGTTTCTTTTTTGAGTTGACTTGCATGGCTGATTGAAAGGCGAGCAACTGGGTCATTCTGCAAAAATGCTATTGATGTTGGAATTTTATAACCATAGTTAAGATCTATATTACTATTTTCAAAAAATCGCTTTAAAATACTTACGTGTTCAAAATCATTATAAACAAGAACATTTTCACAAGCAGTGCATTTAATATCAAGAGAACTTCTCAACGAAATGATTTCTTCTGTATTTTCCGATAAAGAAACATAGGCAAATTTGGCAAATCCTGAGAATTTCATAGCTGCTAACAAATATCTAACACGTGGTTCAGCTGCAGCTCCAAGAATAATAACAGCAACTTTATTTGTGCTTCTCCATTGTTCGACAAATCTTGCTAGTGCTTGTCGCGAACCAATTCTTGTCATAAAATAATCAGGAATCACTTTTTGAGCAAACTGTCGGATTGATCTGAAAACTCATCGATTTCGATGGAGATTCTTCTTCAAATTAATTTTAGAAAAAAACTTACTTATCTGATAATCCAACAAAACTATGTCTTAATGGAATAACTCGTCCTTCAACAACAGCTACAATTGCTGGAAGTTGAGAAATTCTCAATTTCTCTAATAGATTTCCATCAGTCATTGCGTTTACAGTTGCAATTCCATATCCTAAAGGTTCAAGATCTTGCACAGCTGACTTCCAAACAGATTGAAGTCTAAAACATAATTGACAATAATTTGAATATGCATAAATTATGAAAGGTTGAGTTTCAGATCTTTCCAATACAGAATGTTGATAAGTTCGATGAGAAATGCGATGTGTTGCAAAATATCCATCATCAAAACCTCCAAAACCATATCCGAAAAATTGATCATATCTTCCTCCACTGAAACCACCTCTTCCTCCGCCAGCTGGAGTATCATCAAATGTTCCAAATCTATCATATCTTTCACGTTTTGTTGGATCTTGAAGTAATTCATACGCTTTACTGATTTCCATAAATTTTTCAGCAGCATCTGATGCTCCATTCTTATCGGGATGCCTGAATAATTTTTACAAAAATGTTTGGATTTTAATTCTTTTGAAAGATAAATTCTCACCATTCTTTTGCCAATGCTTTATAAGCGCCTTTGATTTCTTTGGCGGTCGCTGATTTTCTGATTCCAAGAACTTTGTATGGATCTTGTTGATTGGCCAAAACCAAGATAACTGATAAAAACAAAGGTAGAACCTTCATTAGGTTAATTTTCCCTGAAAAAGTTACTTTTATTTACTAGAAATCTAAGAATTGATAAACAAAAGCTCAAGTGGTCATCTTCTTTTTGCAAAACAAAAATCGATTCCAGGAGCCCAAGAAATAGACAACACGGAATGAGGAGGGCAGCAGAGAAGCAAACATTTATCCGTTTGCATTGGAGCACACTTGCATTTCGATTTTTATTTCTTTCATTTTTTTTATTTTTCCTCAAAAAATTACATTAAAAAAATAAATATCTACAAAGAAATACATTTGTTACCCGAGTGAGTAGTGTGCATGTAAATTTAACTTTTTGTTCAAGCGACTAGAATTAAGTATCGTTTAAGAATCGATCTCCAAATGTCGCTTTTGATATGTCCAATAACATTTTGTTGGCAGATTGAATATTGTGAATCTCAACTTGTGTGAAATATACCGTAGCTTTATTGAAAGCATTGCTCATGAATTGATTTGACTGAAAAATAGTGTAATTATTATCATCCGCAAACACTTTGATTTCATTTACCTTTTGTTGTGCCACATCTTTCAAAGTTCCAATTCTCGAATTAAGAACCGGCGAATTAACTTCACATCTTGGCTTTTTTCCATCTCCTAATGATTGTTGCATCAAATACAACTCGAAAATTTGAAAAATCACCCGTAGTTTTGGAGAATGCGAAACTTTTTTACTCGAAATCAAATTTGTCAAGAAACTTGATTCATCTTTCGCAGATTTATTCAACCATCGAATAAGCGGAGTTAACAAATCATCAGATTGTGAAATATTCGTAGTTAAATGTATATATCTTGCAGATATCCATTGAACCAATCTCGCTAAAAGGCATATCAAAGCAGATTCATTTGATATGTGTCTAAACATTTATCGATTATTTTCCAAGATTTTTAGTTAATAAACTTACTTTGGTTTAATATTGATAATATAATTATGCAATTCAAAGAACATATTCTCATCTCTGGAATTACCATAATCCATGAATACACGTAAAGTGAGTGGTTGAGCTTGAACCTTATTCTCCGAATTTGGCACAGTTAACAGATAATTTTTGATTGATTTGACTGAATTATTCGGAAATTGTATCCATTGCATCAATTCCGTCCAACTGCTATCAGTTCCTATAAAACAATTAGATTTTATCTGGAAACGTTTTTAAAACTCACTTAAAAAGTATGCAGTTATAGTCTTCTCCATAACTTTCAACGCAGTCGTCAATTGATCAGAGTTCAAACTTTCGATGAGAGTATTCAAAGAACTTAGAACAAGTGATGAATTCGGATTCGTTCCCAAATATTCGTTCCACAATGAGACGAGGGATTCACCAAGTTTTGATTCGCTTATATTTTTCCATAAAGCGGTTAATTCACGTGAAACTTGGCAAAATGCTCGAAGATTTGCTGAATTATTGAAAATTAAATAATGTTCTACAACAGTTTAATGAGCTTACTGTGATTAATTGCAATAGAATTGACATCCGAAATCAATGAATTATAAGCAGCTGGAATCAATGATGCTTCACTTTTCAATAATAAATGACATTCAGTTCTCAACCAAATCTTTTGTTTCGCAAGTGTTTCTTGTGAAAATTGTTCTTTCGGCACAAAACTACAAAGTTTTCGCCAAATCAATTGAATTGCTCCAACAATTTCAGCGGGATTTGATAAAGAGTCAGCGGGTAAACAAGAACCAACAGTGATTGATAATCTTTCCGCGTCATCTTTTTCAACATAGCTCCAATCATTTCTTGAACTAATTGATCTGACCAAATCAGTCAATGATGCTCGAACTTTTTCATAATTTCGTGGTCGACTTCCAATTCTTGCCAAAACTCCAAATATCGCGGCAAGATAAGCGGGTCGATTTTCTTCATTCATTTGTTGAAGTATTGTTGTCCATGGAATTCTCACAAATATTTGTGATACAAATGAAGAACAATAAGGGGATCGTAATTCAATACATTTTTCCATTGCTAAAACCGCGTGTTTTGATGGCCAAAGAAGTTGCCAATTTAGACGAACTAATTGGCATTCCAATACTTCATAATAATGTTGATCTCCAGTTGTTAGAATCGACAATTTTTCGAAATAATATTGCCAAACAAGTGATTGAACATTTTCCATTCCCGGTGGAATACTTGAATTATAATGTAACGAATTCAACAATTCAACAAATCTTTCCAATACCATATTTGCTTCTTTATCATTATTTGGTGAAAATGGTGGATGATTTGGTGAATAAGGAGCGATAAGTGGAGAGAAAACAGCAATAATTCGATGGAAACTTTGAACAAGTTCATGTTGAATAATTGATGATTGTTGATTTGGAATATATGAATCACGAATTGGAACAAATAAAAATAATTGAGCTAATCGACTGATTTCATCCATATATTTTCCCCAAATTCCATAAAAATTTGGTTTATTTTTCCTGGCATCATCCAATTTTTCCGCTAAAACTCTCGCACATTCATCTGCTTTTGCAGCACCCAAATCAAGATTTGTCTTTTTCTTCAAAATTTCTCTTGCTTCTAATTTATCCGAAAATGCTTCCAATAAAGAAACTGGTGTTGTTCTTGTATTACATCCTTCTATTGCTAATGATAATCCACCAACAATATTTGATGGAAATTGATGAAATATAAAAAATATTACATGTTGAAGACATAATCGATGCAATTCGCTTTTTGAATCAAGTTGACTAGCCAAATTAGCAAAAGCGATTGGTAAAAGAGCGGCAAATTGTTGAGGCGGCAAACCGGCTGCAGCTTGTTGCATACCAAGTCGACCTGGAAATCAAAGAACATTTTTTAATTGAAAAATATTGATTTTTGCTTAGTTTTTTGTGAGTCTTGTTTGTTGCTTATAGAAACATCTTGAAATATTTATGAGATCTCATTTTTTGAATTTTTTAAAAATGAAAAAAAAAACAGAAGAGTATAATTTCTTAATATTTACGTGAAACGTGTATTTCATTTCATTTCAATTTTAATATTTTTTGTAGAAAAATGCCGCCGGCGGACTTGGAAATAGACGATTCTTTGCATCTTTTGCGTTTGGTAACACATCGTGAATTTACACATCATTTAGAATCGCTTCCAGGTAAGAAAATTAAGGGGTACTACGATAAATGAATATCCAAAGTCTCAAAGGCATTTTTTGTAAAGTAAAACTCATGACTATAAATCTAGAACATTTTTTTGTCTTGAAAATGAATATTCTCAGGAGCCAAGGAATTATTTATCGATAAATGTCTTCTTCGACCAATCGATAATGTTGCCACATCATCAGATATGAAAAAACACGGAGTGAAACGAATCGTTCAATTCAAATTAGAGCAATCACCTCAAGCATGGAATATTGATGTAGATCATCGTGTATTTTTTCTGAGGCCAACTATTGAAAATGCGACAAAATTGGTCGAATTTGCTGAGGAAACATCAAAAGGTATTTTGTTTTCGAATAGTTTTGCAGAAAAAAAAACATCGAGAATGTTTCAGAACATTCATTGGCTGTAATTTGGTGTAATCGTCGAATGGAACAATGTGATATAGTTTTCGAATCAGCTGGTGTTTTTGGACAAATTCGACAACTTGAGATAAATATGTGTCTGCTACCAATTGAAAATGATTTATTCTCACTTCAACATTCCGAAAATGCACAACTCGATCTATTTTCGGTTGCAAACATTTTTGTAGCTCTTCAGAATTTATACGGTGTTATTCCAACAGTTTATGGATTAGGATCGGAAACAAAAAAGTTATGGAATCTTGTTCATCGAATTTGCTCAAAAAATGAACCAAGAGCAAGACCAGATCAACCAATAAGTCATCTTTTTGTATTCGACAGACAATTGGATCCAATGCCTGTTTTATTAACAGGTGCTTCTTACGAAGGATTACTTCATGAATTTTTTACAATTGATTGTGGTAAATTATCATTTCCACACGATATGAGAAGACATATTCCGATTGGACCATTAGATTTTGATTGGATTGAAATCGATCCAGAAGAAGAAAAAGAAGCGATGAACAAAAATCGAGGTGATACTGTGAAATTAGACAATTGTGAAGATATTTTCGCATCAATTCGAAATAAACATGTTACTGCAGCTTTGGAATTTCTTCACGCGAAAGCAAAATCGATTCAAAAAAGTATTGAAAAATCAGCAATGATTGAAGAAGTTGCTGATTATCGGAATTTTGTTGAGAAAGATCTTCGATCTCTTAAATCAGATCATAAACATTGTGAACTTCATATAAATGCATGTGAAATGATGATGAATAAAGTGAAAATGGAAGATTATAGAACAAGATTCAAATTAGAACATGAAATGTTGCTTGGAACATGTACAAATGAAGATTATTTCGATTTTGTATTCGAAAGAGTTCCAATGCGATCTTGTCATGATGTTGTTATTTCAATGATGTCATTAGCTAGTATTAAATTAGATGGTTTGCCAGATGATACTTATGATGAATTTGTCGAAATGCATTTGCAAAAATACGGGTAAGTTTAACTTAATATTAACTAAAAAGATATATTATATTCTAAATTCAGATACGAATCACTTTTCGAGATCCAAAATTTGAAAAATTCCGGAATAATTTATGCAAAACGACACGGAACAAGAAATAGTTCGAAAACTTGGGAAAATCTTGCTCGCCGTTTCAAAATTGTCAAAGGAAATGAAACAATGGATATGTCAAATCCATCTGATATGAGCTATGTTTTTGGAGCCAGAATTGCTCCATTATTGTGTAAAATTGTTCAAGATACGATGGAAAATGGATGGAACAAATTAGAATACGAAAGGATTGTTGGTAAGATTTAAATGAAAGATTTCAGAAAACATTTAATTTTTTCAGGAAAAGATAATGTTCTTGTCGAAGAAAATAGTTATATTGCGGCGGATCGCCGACCAGATAATCGAATGCGGAAAGCTATTATGGTATTTCTATTAGGAGGTGTAACTTATTGGGAAGTTGCTGCTTTACGGTAAGAATATTGATTAGTAGACAAATTTGAAAATTACTCAGAAATAATTTTCAGACTTTTGGCAGTTCAGAAAAACTTTCGTATTTTGATTTGTGCCACACATATTGTCAACAAATCGGAATATTTGCAAACAAAAGCAAATGATGTTTCATCAATTTTTAGTTAATTTATTTCAGTGGAAATGGGTATTTAGATCGGGTTTCTAGAGCTTCTAATTGTTTTTTCATAATTAATTAATTTTTCTGTGATAATATAAATTATTTTTTCGTTCTCTCCGAGCATTAATACAATTTCATTAAAATCAGAGGAAACATTTCCGCTATAATTTTGAGTTTGTTTTCTGGTGATCAATTTCAGAACATTACTGGAATAATTTAAAGATTGGAATTTTCAAAAAATTCTAATGAAAAATGATTAAGATTTCCTTCAATTTCCAATGAATGTTATGAATTAAACAAATAAGTTTTCAAGTAAAAAAAACAATTATTTCGAGTTTCTAATCAGTCAATTTCGAACCCCCCTAAAATTTCCCCTGCCCCAAAAAACCAACCCAACAATTGAAAAGCCATCTGAGATTTCGCGGGCATTCTGATCGCTTCGGATAATTTCGTATAAACCGCACACAAATCTTGCGAATTCAACACTTCGGGTGTGAAAATCTGATGTTTGGAAAAAACAATGTTGAGGGTGGCGAATTAATTAGAAAAAAAATGGGGAGAAAAAGAAAAGGGGTTACCTCAACTAATACATCTGCGAGCACAAAATCATTTAATGCCAATTGCATCACATTCATTTGTTCTTCCGCGCGACATTCTACGAATTCCTGTCGAAGAAAAATAAAAATAATGAGGGAAATATAATTTTTTTGCAGAAAAAATTAATTAAATAAAACCTTTCTTGTTTATATTTTTTGCGAAAACAAAAACAAATAAAAAAATACCTTTCCAAGGGCCTTCAAAGCATGTCGATATGTTTCCATTGCCACACTAAATAACATATCATTTTCTCCAACTTGAGTTAATAATTTGAATATATCACTTCCAGTTATTTGAACCATATCTCGATTTGATTTATCCATACTTTTCGCAATAATTGCAATCATTCTTGTCATATGTTCAATATTTGCTGATGAAACAGCAACTTTATCAATCAAATCCGATAAATTTGTATAATATTCGTTTCGTTTATTTCGATTTGTGCTCATTTCTGCATCAACACTTTGATTCAAAACATTCGGATTGACTTGCATTGTTCGATTTCCAGAACTTCCACAATTTTGTTTACAAGTTATGACAACTGGCACAATTTGTTGAGTTGGTTGATAAAGTTGCCGAATTTTCGCAATATATTCAATATCATATCGAGATATTTGATCATCACATTCAATATATTTTCTGAAAAAAAATAGAAGTTGAAAAATTAATTTTTAGGAAATGAGAAAAACTGGAGCTATTTAATTTTCACAGCCACAACTTTTCATTACTGATAAATTTTTACAGGAAAAAACATTTACAGAAAAAACAGAAACTTCCAAAAAAACAAACCCAGTCAATTGTTTCAAACTTTCACAATATTCCGAACAATGTGATCTCACAACTTCTCTTCTAAATAACATAATTGGATCGATATTTGGAGCAACTGGAATTTTCTTATGAACTGGTAATAATGGAAATGGCAGAGCAGATGATCGCCCTCTCGGTGAACCTATTTCAATCGGTTGTTGTGGTGCATTTCTCATTTTTGCTGTCAATTGACAAGTCGTTGAATACAATTTTTGCTCATTGAATTCTTCGGAACTAATTGCGGGAATATTTACATAATCCATCCAAATTGTTGTATCACCAGTTAATATCAATTGGAGAAGATAATCCAAGTCGAAAACCGAGAAATCGAAACCAGTTCGTGTAACTTCATGTTTTGTGAAAAGCCATCCAATAACAGCTCGAGATAATCCTTTTGTATCTTGTTTTGATTCTTCAATCGCTTTTCGACAAGAATCCATCAATATTTTACTCGATGAATCATCAATCAATCTTCGAGCAAAACAAAGTGTATGACTAGAAAAACTATTGTTTTTTGAAGTCGGGAAAGAATTAGGGGAAAACTCACTTATTAGCATTTCTCAATTTATAAGCTTCAGTAGCTAATTGTTGCATAATCAATGGAAAAACTGGAGACTCATTTGAATGTTTCATCATTTCAGCCCATCGAAAAACTGATATTCTTTCCAAAGGTAATGTGATATTCGATTTCGACTGAGCTTTCTAAAAGTTGAGTATTTTTCACCTGATAAACTTGGCCCAAAACAAATATCCCTGATATTTTTCAAATTCAATAACTCACTTTAATAGCATCATCCAATGTATATTTATCTTTTTTCGCCAACGCATCGAAAAAATTCGAATAAAACATTCCAAAAGCAGTTTGTTCAACGAGAAGCATCAAATAAGAAGCAAATGGAGAAATTGATAACATTGAATCAGGAATAAGTGGAGAAGGAGGTGGATCAGATGAAAACACAGAAAACAGGCCTTTTGATTGATTTTTCTCGTTCGCCATTTGCTGCTAAAAAAATGAGTGTACTTCAATGATTTTTCTAACAAAAAAATTACCGTATAAACTTGCTGCAAAACTTCGATAAGACCATCTAGATCTCCATTTTGAGTTATGAAAGATATTCGAACAATTGTTCCGATAATCTGATATGTAACAGCATCTTCATTCCAAGAACTTCTAGCCGAACACAACAAAAATAACCAAGCTCGAAGATATGCGGGAACATTTGGAATACGATTACAGTAGTACTGTAAAAATTGAGTGAAGAATGAAAAATATGTTTAATAATTTGCTGGTCCCTGAAGTTTTAGTCAAAGAAAAACTTTCTTCAAATTATTTTTCTCAAGAAAAGGTCACAAAGAAGGGTCAGCATAAGTTTTTCTACTGTTTCGAAAAATATAATTTGTTTTTCAGCCGTTCAAAAAAATTACCGAAATTCCAGAGCAAATTAATCGAACAATTGGAGTTGGAGTAGAAGAAGGACCAGAAAGCCATTGAACAGCATAAGGAAGTTGATCGACGTGTAGAATTTTCTCGAAAACTGACATGAAACTGTAAAAAACAAAAATGATATATTTTTTCTCTTCATTTTTTTTCGAAATTTCAATCCAACTTACTTTTTATCAGCTCCTAATCGATTAACATCTGAATAATGTTGTGCAATAAATCTGGATAATAAAACAACTGAAGCAACAGAACTTGCGGATGCAACTAAATCAGATAACAATGGTACAGCTTTTTCCAAATATAAAGGCGCTTCTTCCTCATAATTTTGTACAATTTTCACATAAAGTGCTGTTAAATCTTGTCCATTTCCGTTTCCATTTTTCGAATCTTGTTTTGGCAATTTCAATTTGACAAGAAGATCCCAGCAAAAATTCTGAAAATGCGTTTCAGCATCACCCATTTTACTGGCAAGTTTGGCAATTTGTTTGAGTGATTTTGAAATCATACTATTCGATCGAGAACAATGAACAGAATGTGCTTTGACAATACAATCAGCCGCAATTACATGAACTTCTGGATCAATCCATAAATTTTGACCATCAGCTGATGGGCCCCAATGAAGGCCAGAAAGAACACGACGAGCTAATCGATTACCACCGTGTTCAGGTGGATTATTTATAAGCCATTTTCCAATTATACTCATCATTGGTTCAGTTAATCGACAATGAAATAATCGAGATGACGATAGCACATTTATTGCATACTGAAAATGAAATTATTTTTTTTGGGAAATAATCGATAAAGAAATAAATGAATTACATTATCCATATGAGATAAACTTCGATCAACAATACTCAAAAGTTGATGAAGAACATCTGGTCGTTTTGTCAAAAGTTGTCCAATTGCTTCGCCACCACATTTATATAAATTATCTCGAGTTGATTCATCACAAAAACAAACATCGATTAATTGTTTGATGAGATTTGTAACATCTGAATTTGAATTCGAACCAATCGAGGCGAGAGAATTCACAAGAAATTCCGAATCTTGTGGGCCAAGATGATCGATTCGATGTCGAATAACAGCTTAAAAAATTGGTATTGATAGTTTTGTGCAAAAAATTTTAACGAATATAAATAAATTAACTTCCACTTTCTAGATAAAAATTCAAGTTTCAAACATAACATAGCAAAAAAAAACTCACAATTCTGATTTTTACTCAAAACTTGAGAAATCGGTATTTCGAATAATTCATGAATAGTCATTTTATTAACAGATCTCAATGCAAATTCACATCGATTTCGACATTCTTCCGAAACAATTCCATATGGCAAAGAAACAACAAATTGAAATAATCCAACACTATCACGATGGATCAAATAATTCAAAGCGATCAGAACAATTCGATCAACCTCTTTTTGCATTTGATATTCTTCATTTGGTGGAAGTTGAGATCGCATTAAAATCCAATTATTACAAAGTTCGCGGACACTGTGCCTAAATAATTCCCGCTTTTGAAATACAATAAAAATCAATTCACTCACTTGAGACTTATCCCAATCTGCTTACAAAATGATTTATATCCTGGTTTTGAATAATTCGTCAACCCGTTATCAAGAATTTTCATCAGAAGAAGTTGGAAAGCAACCATAGCAGTGAATTGAGAACCTTTGTCAGCATCTGAAAATTATATAGTTTTGAAACAAAAAAGAATAGAGAAAATATTATACATGAAGTGAAAGCAGTGTAGTTTATCGAATAAATTTCAGAAATCGGAAGTTGGTCGAGAAGCGCTGTGAGATCCATTTCATTTATTGTGACAAATGAAAATTCATCAGCTTCTCCATCATCATCGTCTAATATTTCCCAAGTAGATTCTTCATTTTCAGATTGAGCAATATGACGGAGAAATGATTCTCGAGCTCTGAAATTTTTTTAAAATGTTGAACAGGCTTCTGTATTCTTATTTCAAACCCTCATGAACTATTTTTCGAAAACTTACTTGATTGGATTCAGAAGATGGGTTAGGAGAGCCAAACAATAATCAAGTTTTAATCTTGGCGGAGATTGAGATTGGATGAATGTTTGAACAAATGGAGGAGCCCAGTGATTAATTGGTGAAGGAAGTCGAAGAATATGACAAAGTAGAAATATTCCATCATCACAAGTTTGACGTTTATTCAAAACACATATCTGCAAAACTAATATTATTCAAAAAAAAAAACTTTTCAAAAATCACTTACAATTTCTTTAATCCATTCGGTAATTGTTTCTGTATATCTTTTCAATAATCTTGGAAATCTCAAATGATAAAATAAATCACTCAACGCATTTCGCAATCCAATTTTCGCTGGTGTCAAAGGAGCTGAAGCAACCAAAGTAGCTGGAGTTGAAACACTTATTCCACTTTCAGCCATAAAATTATTATTGATCAAAATAATTTGCCATTGAATTTGTAAACAAAGCGATCGATACATTGCTTCTTCACAAATTTTATGATCCAAAATAATCCCTTTGTTTTCTTTCAATAATTTATCCATTTCTGTGAGTATTTCTTGTTGTAAATTATATGAAGTATAAGTTGCTCGACCTGTTCCATCATGATTTGATCCACATTTTCCGGTTGCCGGTACAGCATATGTTGCAAGTTTCCAACATGAAATTGCTGTTTTTTGTAATTTTTCAGTTGATTCTTTATCTTTCACTTCTGTTATAGTCATTTGATCCGCAACTTCTTTTAAACGTTTTAAAAGTGGAAAAAGACTTCCATTATTGATTGGATCTTCAACTGTTTGTATAAAATTATCAACATATTGTTCAGCAGTTTCATACATTGCATTATGATAAAATGCTAATAAATTCGCTTCAGTCATCAATCCATGTTCATTTCTTTCATAATTACAAATACTTGGATACATTGGAGGTGCTTCAGCAATCGTTGTTCTTGTAATTTCTGGAGGAGCAGATAATCGAGTTTTTTCAGGAAGAGCTGATACACTTTGAGATGTTTGAAGTGGTTTTACTTGTGGATATAATTTAGGATGATTGAGGGCAGCATTATAAGATGGAAGTTCAGCTAATTCAGGAACGGTTGGATATTGTGTTGCACTTCTTTTTTGTACAGGCGGAGGTAAGTCTTGAGTTTGTTGAGCAACCATACTTGTAGACCTGGGGAATATCATATTTCTCGGTGGGATTCGTGGAGCGACAACTTCTGGTTCCGGAACAATGTCTTCTGTTTCAGATTCGGCTTCATCACTCAGAGCTCTAAATAATAAAACTATTTCGAATGGACTAATTCAGTTGAAATAACGTGATTTTTGCGGTAGATGAAAAAAAAACAACTTCACGTTTTTATCAATTCATCGCGTTCATTTCTTGCCAAAAATGCGATTGATTGCAATGAAAAAATTTAAGTTTTAATTAAAACAACTTACAGTTCTTCCGGTTCCGGTGATGATTCCCGTTCCAAAGGATTCTCCTCTGATTCTTCAATTTGCTGTCGTTGTTGCAAAATATGACTAGGAACATCAGGTAACCTTACACCATTCACAACTGTTGGCCTTGGTGGAATTTGTGGTGTTTCAGTTTGTGGAGTGACCCGTTCACGTTGTTTTGGTTTTTTTGGTTTGACCAACTCAGCCATACTGAAAAATATATTTTTGATAAATTAATTGAGAAAAAAACAACTAAAAATGCAAACTTTGCAGATAATTAGTTATGATGATAAGAGTTTCGAAACCGTTAAAAATATGAATAACAAGGGTCTGATCGCTAAAAACAGAAAATCTAATACACTTTTCGAGCACAGAAAAATTTCAGTTCAACCATTCATAATTCTGAAAATTTTCTGTTCATCAGAACGACAGAAAACAAAGAAAAACATGTGATCTTTCGGCGAGAAACAAAAATAGAAAAGCAAGGTTGCAACTGGGGACTAGAAAACGTGGACGAAGAAACCAAAGACGCTCTTTCGGCCAGGAATATTTTTCGAATTTTTTATTTTTTTGCTCTTTAGAAAGCGATGCGCACCTCAGTTTTGGTTCGAAAAAAACCATTAATAATTTCTTGGAGTGATCTCAGAAATAATCCTCAAATTTTTGAATTTGAAAAATTTTTCTAGAGAGCCGATTTTATCCGGTTTATTTATGTTTTTTTATTACCGAATGTAAACGAATAATTTTGATATTTATTGTGATTTTCCAGATACAATGAGTGATGAAAAGGAGACTTTCAAATCACCTGAAAATATTGAGCCAATTGCAAAAAAGAAAAAGGTTGTAACAGATGCGCCTGTTGCTGATCAAAATCCGAAGAAAGTTTTGAAGCACGAAGCAGAGTTTTTGAAGTCAATTCCTTGCACTTCACAATATGAGAAATCTTTCATGCATCGGGACACGATTTCACATGTGATTGCGACTCCGTAAGTTTGGTTTTGTTTTGAATTGAGATCAACTTTGTATTTTGTAGAACTGATTTCATTATCACAGCAAGTGTCGATGGACATTTGAAGTTTTGGAAGAAAAAGTATGCAGAAGGTGTAGAATTTGTGAAACACTTTAGATGTCATTTGAGTGATTTCTCTGATATATCAGCAAATTCTGATGGAACTCTTCTGGCTACTGTTTGCGAAACAGATAAAACTGTAAAAGTTTTCGATATTGCAAATTTCGATATGATCAATATGATAAAATTAGATTTTCCTCCAAGAGTTGCGCAATGGATTCATCAACCCAATGATCCTATTGCTTATCTTGCAATTTCTGCAGCAGACTCTGGAAAACTTATAATTGTTGATGGAAAAGCTTCTGCTACACCAATTAAGGATCTCGGAACACTTCATTCAAAATCAGTTCGTTTGATAGAATATTCACCAGTATTGGATATTGCAGTTTCAATTGATGATGCAGGAATGATTGAATTATGGAATGGCGAGAGAGGAGATTTCCAATTCCCAGAAAAATCTTTGAAATGGCAATATAAATTGGAGACGGATCTCTATGAATTTTTAAAAGTAAAAACAGTTCCGGTTTCTGCCGCGTTTGATGTAAGCGGAAGAAGATTTGCAACATTTGGAGAAGATCGAAGAGTTCGAATTTTTGATATTATTCAAGGAAAAATAACAAATACAATCGACGAAACAACAAATAAATATCATTTGGAAGCAAAAGAAAACAAGTTAGTTTTATTTCTGTTTAAATTTATTTTAAAAATAATTGATTTCACATTTTCATTTTACAGAAATTACGGTTTACAACACATGGAATGGAGTAGAAGATTAGCCTCCGAAAAAGAACTCGATAAAGACAAGAAAAATTCTCTGAAATACTTCCAAATGACTTTTGATTTTTCTGGAAACTTTCTTTTATATCCAACACCAATCGGAATCAAAGTGTATAACACATATACAAATGAAGTAATACGAACAATTGGAAGAGATGAAACTGTGAGATTTATTGCTGTTTCGTTGTGTCGAGCAGTTCCAGATATTCGAGAAAGATTGCAAGGTGCAGCGATTACTTTGGAAACTGCAGCTGCTGATAATCCAACACTCAATAAGAAAACTGATGCTGATCCATTATTAGTAAGTTGAGGATTGGGTTGGTATTACGGACATATCTTTTTTGACTTCTGATTTTTTTTCGGAAATTTTGGTATAGATGAACATCGACATTCAATTTGACATGAAACTTTTTCAGGTTTGCTGCGCTTTGAAGAAAAATCGTTTTTATCTTTTCACAAATACCGAACCTTTCAATGTTGAAGATGAAGATGGAAATCAAACAGTTTCAAGCAGAGATGTTTTCAACGAAAGACCTAAAAAGGAAGATCTTCTCACTGCTCTTGATGTTAGTTTCCATATTTTATTCCCATTTTCATTTTTTTTATTTTTTCAGACTGATGGAAGTGACAAAGTTCTCAATTCCGAAGCAATTATTCATACATCTTATGGTGATATTACAATTAGATTATTTGGTGAAGAATGTCCTAAAACAGTTGAAAACTTTTGTACTCATTCGAGACGTGGTTTTTACAATGGTTTGACTTTCCATCGAGTTATCAAAAGTTTCATGATTCAAACTGGAGATCCGACTGGAAAAGGAACTGGTGGAGAATCGATTTGGGGTGAAGATTTTGAAGATGAATTTCATCCAAGACTTCGACACGATAAACCATTTAAAGTGTCAATGGCAAATGCTGGCGGTGGAAATACAAATGGATCGCAATTCTTTATCACAGTTTGTCCAGCTGATTGGCTTGATGGTAAAAATACATTATTTGGAGAAGTAACATCGGGAATGAGTGTTGTTCAACGAATTAATCAAATTCCAACATATGAAAGAAGTGGAAGACCGAGAGAATCTATTCAAATTATGTCAATAAGTTTGAAATAAATTTTAAAATATTTATATCCGATGAGAAATATATGGTTCATTTGTGTTATGACGATTTGGTGTTGCATAAACAAGTAAAACACGACCTTCTCGCTCCATTTTACAAACATAATCTGAATAAAAATGAATTTTCGATGCAAAATCGCTGACACCAACAACAGTCTCAAAATCTGTGCCAAAAGCTGACTCGCAAGCACTCTAAAAATTATTGTTTGAGAAAAAATCATGAGAAAAAATGAACAAGAACCTGTAAATTATTTCCCATTGTTTGCATATTACAATTTTTCCAACTATTCGTCACCATTTTGTTGATTGTATCATGCATTAATTTCTCCAAATTTCTATTACAACACATATATCCACTTTTTTCTGTATAACATTGTTTTAATGGATATTTTGGATTTGGCTTCGAATATGATCCATCATTATTATATCCGTCTTTATTTTCATTTGTTATTGCTTCATCTGTATTATATCTAGGTTGATCATCTCCATAAGCATCTCGATGACGGCGGCGATCGAATAAATTCGGCCGAGATAACTGGAATTTTCAATTGGGGAACAAAAAAAAAGGTTCTAAAAAATACAGTATTTATTTCAAGTAATACCAGTTGTGAAGTAACTTTAACTATTTTTTACAGACAAATCAGATTTCCACTCCAAAAAAATTTAGAAATATATTTGAATGTTTTCTTTGAAAAAACAAAACCACAGAATACCGAAAATTTTTGAAAATCTACAGTACAGTACCACCCGGGAAGGTACTCAAAATTATAGGAAAATATATATTTCAAAAATTCACAACCTTCCCCTATGAATATTTTTCCGGCAACTCACAATCTCTTCCACACTTTGATCATCTCTCGCATAATTTGCGTCTCTGGCTGTATAATTTCGTTGTGGGACCACATATGGTTGTCGAATATACACGGGTTTTCCAAAAACATAGACACGTGTCACTGGAGCATTATTTGGTTGAGCACTGTAGACTTCATCCTGGATATAAGTGGAAAGTTTTTTGAGATTTTTTAGAAAGAGCGGGTATGATGAATAGTTGAAACTAGCAGTTCCGAATGTATTGGGAGCATCAAAATAAAAGTTCCAAAAAATCACCTAAAATTTGGAACTTTTTTTCAAGGTTCATGTTTTTTTGAAAAATCCCTTTCATATGAAATTTAAAAAATTCTTGTTTGTCTTCTCTAACAAACCTCTTCAATTCTAGGTTCAGCTTTTGAATAAAAAAATTGAGCTAAAAACACGAAGACAAATAATGTCTTCATAATGATTTATTCTGAAAAAATTTTTGGTAAGTATAAAAATAAAACAATCGAATTCAAGGGCAAAAATAATCCGTGAAGAAAGAAAAGATGAAGCCTCTTGACAAAAATAAGAACACTCATTAAAATGTACTTAAAGAATTGTAAAAAAAAATCACTTTTTTTGAAAATAAATGAATTTCTACGTGACCTCTTTTTTTTTACAAATCCACGTGGATATGGAGATATCGGTTGAAAAATAGAAAAATGTGGTATTTCCGATTTCTGTCAATAAACGAATGGATTCAAAATCTCGTAAATCAAGTCGTCAAAGCTCAAAAAGCTTGAAATCAAAGTCATCAAGAAATAAAAGATCGAAAACATCGAGATCTTCAAAATTATCAACTAGAAGATCATCAAAGAGATCATCGAACTCAACTCGAAAATCTTCCAAATCCTCAAGAAAATCCAAAAAAACTTGTAGTAAATCACTCAATAGTGATTTAACCAAACTTCGCTCAAAGGCAAGGAAAAATGCGAAAAAAGCTGAAAAACGTGCGAGAAACCAAGCAAGAAAAGAAGCATTCGAATCACAATTTGATATTTTAGAAAGGTAAGACTTTGAGATAGATGCCTACAGTAACCCTTTTTATTTTCAGACCAGATGGTTTTGGTGCTCTTGTTGTTTATGTTTATCAATTGTTACATTTGATTTACTGTGTATCAGCCCTTTCATATTACTCGTTTTTCAAAAATGAACCCACATCTCGTGAAGACTTGCAAGCGGTTTACTGGACTGTTTGTATTGAAGTTTGTTATTTTTATTTTTGTAAGAAGAACAGGCTGGAAATTTGAGATTTGATGAGAAAGTTAGGCAGAAATTATAGCTACCGTAAGATTCCGATTTTCCAAAAAAAAAACCTTTTTTCGAACGCAATTTCAGATTAGGTTTTTTTTAAACTTCGAAGGTGAACATTTTTGGAATTATCTTATCTAAATATAATTTCCAGCCAGTTTTAGTTTCCTCTCAAAATATAAATTGATAAAATTCAGATAATTTCGATGTGCATAATTCTTCTTACATTATTCTACCGTACTCCAGGATTCCGTAGTTTTGTTCTACTCGTCCAATACATTTATGCTTTCTATTTTTGGTCGATATTCTTCAAAGTAATGATTGATTATGAAATATTCAGCACTCTATCAATTCCTGAGAATCTTTTTGGACTTCAAGCAATTTCTGTTTTGAGTGCAATTCTTCATAGTTTCATTCTATGTTTCACAATGGATTTTGTCGGATGTTCAGAATTGGATGATGATTTCTCATCGAAATATATCATTGAAACAAAAGAAAAACGAAAACAAAAAATATATCTTTTGGTTGCTGAATTTCTTAAATCATATGTTGTTGGAAATGGTGAAGAACAAGGAACACCCTCAGTTGGTGTTATGGTGACAGATGAAACTGGAAATCCAGTCAAAATCGATGGAAGTGTTATTAAATCAGATGTTAATCGAAAAATTAGTTTGACATTGGCAAAAGATTCAATGCAATTATCATCGACTAATGTTGTCGAATCGACTTTGGCTGTTCCATCACAAAAGGAGGAGCCAATTCAGAAAATTCAAATTATTCAAAAGAATGAGCCGGTTTACAATCATGTAGCAGAACAAAAAAATTATTTGAGTCCAAGAACTTTGTAAAAATAAATGGTTTCTTTTCTAATAACAAAAATCTATTATACAACAAAAAACATCTGAAGATAATAATAAAAAAAAGAAAATCGAATAAAAAACTGGTATGGAAAAAAAATGAATGAACAAAAAAAGAGATGAAAATAAAAGTAACATTTTTCTCATATAAAATATCCAACAGAAAGAAAACTTATTTCTTAATCCACCTTTAATACTTTTGGAAGGGGTGGAACGATTTAAAGAGTGAACAAGAAGCAAGCAAGTTTTAAACGATTTACTAAAACAAAATAAGACAAAAAGTCTGGAATCAGTGAAAGTTTTTCTGTTACTTTACACATATTTTAAGACATGTTTAAGAGGAAAAAGATATGCTTATTTGATTTATGCTTGATGTATTTATCTAAATTAAATTATAATTAATTCTATCTAAAAAATTGGTAATTCTTTTGAAACTGTTTCAAACCATGTTTTGACAAATCTTGAAACAATTTCAGCGATTACTGTAACTATCATATTATCAAGAATTGAACACAATGGAAAAAGAACACGTTGAACTTGTAGATGGGAAATAAAAAGGAAAAATGAGAATACAATTTGATAGGATTTTTGATCCGAAAGTCGAAAAACAATTGAAAGAACAACTGCCACGTTTCCTGAAATTGATGACGTAGCCTTTTAGAAATTAAAATTTTTAAATTTCTAAATACGTGATCTATGAAAACTTCATTTTCCAAAAAATTACTCACCGTAAAATCCAAGTAATGTTGAATAAACCAAATGTTTAAACCGTTTGAAATCTGGTTTTGCGCGAGAATAAATTGTTTCAAAAATTATGACGATTGAGATATAAGCAATCATTTGAAGAGCAGAACTCAACACACTTTTGTAGAACCTTGAAAACATTTCGACTTTATTTTTAGAAACCATTTTCGGTACTTTTTCCAGAAAATTCCTGTTTTTCAATCATTTGAGAAACTTTTTTTTCTAATCTACCATCTGTGTGGATAAATATTTTGTAACAAAATGTAAAAATAAAATATTTTCTGTCTTATAAAGAGAAAATAGACTAAAAAATTCAAAAAACTGGGATTTTTGTTAGATTTCTGTCAGTTACTGTAAAAAGAATGGAAACACTTTTCGTAAAGTTTCAAGAAAGTTTAGAGAAAACTTCTGATAAAAATTGATTCAAAACTTTGAATTGTTAAAATGAAAATAAAGTGTGAGGTTTCAAATTCAAATTTTACTTACATCCATTCTAAATCATAAATATTATCACGATTCGTTGCCATTCTTTCACCAATCCAAGTTTCATATGCATTACTGAACCAAAAAATAACAAATAATCTGGCAGGTCTTTTGATTTCCAAATTATTCAACAAATGTCGATATGCTTCAATATATTGAAGCATTAAATCAATCGCCAAAAGTACAATATCATATTCGATGTATTTATCAACAATATTATCACAGTTATCCTAAATATAACATTTTCAGAAGTTTCGAAACAAAAACATTTTTTCTGCAAAAAAAACTTACACATTCTGTTAATCGAATGACTCCTTCAGAATATTTTGTATATAAAGTTCGAGAACTTTTCTGACAATTAATACAAATATATTCTTTTCGAGCAGTTTTAGTCATCTACAAAAATGTGCGATTTTTGTTCAAGATTATCTTCAAATATTAATTGAACGGAAAAGCCACTTCATCTACCAAAAAAATCAAGAAAAAAAGTGTAAAAAATTTATTCACAAGCTCATACAACTTCGTTTTTTAGAAAGATGAAACCCGTTATTCTCATCTTTTTCTTCAAAATCCTTAAGCGACTCGTAGAAATCAATAACTTTCGAATTCGCTCTAACACAAACTGGATCAAATCCAATAACTCGAATTGATGCTAATGATCTGGCTCTTGATAATGCAACATAAGCTTGACCATCAGCAAATACTTTTCCCAGACTCATTTCTACACAATCCAATGTTAAACCTTGAGATTTGTGAATTGAAATCGCCCATGCTAATTGTAATGGAATTTGAGTTCTTGTGATTGTGCTATCCGATCCAGGAACTCGAATTGAGAATTTTGAACGGCAAATCTATGAGAAAATTGGGTTTTTATTTAAAATTAAGTAAATTTGCATTTTAGTTTTTTTTGATAAAAATACAATTTCGGGAGAGCAATCTATGAAATCTTTTCATAGAAAAATAGTTTGCGATAAAATACAAAATTGCAGGTTTGAAGAAAAATCAACAGCCTCCAATATATTTTTTGAAACCCTTTATTCCCGACAAAAATTCAAAACTTTCTTACCTCGACAGATTTATTGTTGGCAATAAAATGAACCATTGGATTACCATTTTCACTGAATGATTTAACATAACCTCTTGATCCATTTGACAATCCTTTTGATAAATCGATATTTTTAATAAGCATAACTTGACTACCAATTTTCAAGACTAATTTCTTATTTACCATTAATTGTAAACTATCCGGAATATATCCATCATCATGAGCATAAAATGATTTTTCTTCTTCCTCCAACTTTTTCAAATTATGTTGATTTATACTATTTGCATCTGCTGTATGTGTACATAATCGAGTTGGAACAACTCCTTCGCCAAAATTATTTGACGATGTTGCACAAAGTATTTCTGTCGCTTGCATATCACATTTTCCGACTCGAATTCGATGCAAAATTTTGACGAATTCTTGATCATTTTGTCTTTTAACTTTTTCGAGAACTATAGTTCTTCGCATACATCTATTCCAAGCATCGCTCTAAAATCGATAAAACAATATAAATAAATTTTTCCCAAAAAGTATACCTCAAAACAAAACTGTGGTTCATCTTTTGTAACCGGTGGCAATTGAAGAAAATCGCCAGTTATAATCAATTGAATTCCACCAAACGGAGTGTCCTTATGTCGAATTGCTCTTGCAACATATTCCAGTTTTTCAAAATAATTTCGATCAATCATTGATATTTCATCAATTATCAAATATGCACATTGTTTCCATTGTCGAACTATATTTTTCTGATTGTTTGCTAATTGAAAACATTGTTCTTCGGTGCCACTTCCAACACCAATTCCAGCAAATGAATGAAGAGTTATTCCACCAATTTGACAAGCAGCGACGCCTGCAAATTTTTAAATATTTTAATTGAAAAAAATTAAAAAGCAGGTTAATTTAACAAAGTTTAAACAAACTAATTTTCTATAACAAAAAATCATTTGAAAATTATCCTGATTTAAAAAAATGTGCTCACTCCAAATTTGTTCAATTAAAAACATTTCATAAAGTTCAATATGCTTGAAAAGTAAAAAAAAAAAAACATACCAGTCGCAGCTGTAATAAAAGTAGTTGATGCAGGTAACATTTCAATAATTCTTTGAAGAATAACCGATTTTCCAGTTCCAGCGGATCCAGTGAAAAATACATTTTCTCGATTTTGAACAACCGCGCGAACCACCGATTTTTGCTCGTCGGTAAGCTCAAATCGATTTTTATGCGCATCTGGAGACTCGTTTTTCTCAGGGATTGACTTGAGAGGAACAAATTTGAACTGAAATAAAGACAAAAGAATTAACATTAAAATCAATCAAAATATCTTACCTCAGTTGGTTTTTCATCTTCAAATCCGGCAAATGTTCTCATTCTTTTCAAACCAATTGAACTTGCCAATATCCTTCGATCTCTTGCATATGATATCGGTGTTGTTTCAGTTTTTTTATTTTGTTTTTCAGTTTCTCCATCTCTTTTTGGTGTTTTTGCTGTCATTCCTTTTGCTAATGGTGATTCTCCAGTTGCAATTCCTCGCATTCTTCGAATTTTTCGTATTTCTGATACACTTAGTGGACTCAAAACATTAGTCATATTTGGCGCAGATCCATTTGATTTCACATCTTTTTCAGTTTTCATTATATCAATTTTAGCTTGAAGTGATTTTATGAAAACATTGAGTTTTCTTGGAGCACAATTTGACATTTGTAATATCAAATGTTTTGATGGAATTTCTAAACTACATTTTCCTTTCGCAATATGTTGTTGATGAACTTTTGCATCTTTCAAATCATAACTCGCTGTTGCCGGTTGTCCATTTTTTGCAGAACTTCTCAATTCAACTTGAACCACTATTTGTCTGAAAATATATTAGAATTTTAAACTTTTTTCAACAAAAAATACCAACCGAAGATTATTTCTTCCAACTGTAACCATAGCATTTTTCGCTGAAACTGTTGCTTTATTATGACCAGAATTTGTTGGCTGAATAAGTACAGAACATTCTAATTGATAACAATATGTACAATTTGATGGACTTTGATTTGCGTCTGACATTTCTGAATTTAAGATTTGAAACTAAAATAATTATGTGAAAGAAAGATGTTTAAACGAAAAAAGTTCATGAAAAGAAAACTCGTGAAAATATTAAAATGCAAAAGAAGAACATGATTGTGAAAGGGCGAGAACTAACTCACAAAAAAAGATTCATAAAGGAATACTCGTAAAATAATTAAATTGAACAGAATTCCTAAAAAGCACGATTTTACCCCGAATTATTATCATGCAAATAGTCTGTCATGAATGGAATTTCTAAAGATTCACAGGTTCTGAATAAAATATACAAAATTCGTTTAATCGGCCATTGTTGTGCTGGATTGAGTGGATATAATTGGCACAGTTTGCAAATCTAAAATAAAAATTGAAACACAAAAATAGATGCCAATATTTGGCGCGTAAACAAGCGGAGTGTCGTTTGATTCTCTAAATAAATATAGTTACCTGTTTGAATTGCTTCTCAACATATAATTGTTCGCAAAAAATCAAAAGTTGATCAGTATTATTTGCTGGATAATAAAGTGTTTCGTCAGAACTTATTGTTTCAAATGCTGTTGGACTAACACGATATCGAATTGAAGCATCAAATAACTACGAAAAATATAGTTGTTTGAAAATATTCTTGATTTTTTTAAAACTCACCATTACAATATCATTTAGTTTCAGAAATGTTGGCTGTAAAACCCGTTCAGATTCCTTTTTGTATGAATAAATTCCATTACTCCGATTTGGATCATAATCAGTTGAAGATATGAAAACAGCTTTCTTCTTCAAAAAAGAATCATAAATTTTTCACTTTCGCGATAAAAAAATCAAACTTACTTTATCAACAATATCTGCAAGATGACTAAACCATTTATAACCAATTCCACTTTGACTATCACAAAATTCAACCAAACCACAATCAATAATAGTTTTGAATGCAACAATATCATCAACTTTTGATAATCCACCAGGCGTAACATATTTTCTATAATAATTCGGATAGTATACAGTTACTTTATGTCCACGGAGAAGAAAATGAAGAATGACTTCGAAAATTGGTCTGATGTTCAAAACACATTTCGCATCATATATTTTTTCTGCAGAATCTTTACAAAAGTAGAATGGCCGGAATTTTTGAGGTTGAAAAATGTGTTGTATTGAGACACCATCTGAAAAAATTAAAGTATAGCAAATGAAGTTTCAATTTCTCTCATTACCAATTATAGCAGGGCGTAACATTAGATCAGGTTGATTTTGACGAATTCGACTCAAAAATGGCATTGGAAAACTCGATTTATTATATATTGAAAAGTCTGTTATTATTGAAAAACTATCTGGTCGAATAGACTGCCATTCAGCTTTTTGCAATAAACAATCAGTTTCTTCTATAGCACTTCGGAACAATCTTTTTTCATATTCAGTTTCATGATCTCTGTTTGGAGAATTATAAACGAAATCCAGGATTTTTCGATTCGAATCATCAATTTCTTTCTGTTCTTTGAGAGTTCTGGTGTCTGATATTATAATAAAACCGCCCTCTGAAAATCATAGCGAAATTAGAAAAAATATTTTCCGAAACTTACTGGATTCATCGAAATATTTGATAGTTTCTCGAGTCGTTACTTTTTTATCATGTTCCAACATCAATGTTCTAAAATTTTATGGAAAATAAAAAATATATTTACAATTAGATGAAAAGTAATCTTACACAGATGGATCCCCTTCTTCCATTTCACGTATCTTATTCCGATTTTCCAATACTTCTTTGAGAATCGGATGTTCTTCAGCCTAAAAACAATCATTTTGATCTAAATATCGATTTTAAAACTCACCATTTTTTGAAAATAATCGGGATCTTCTGCTCTCTTTCTCATTGATTCCTTGAAATTTTTGATATTTTTGTTGAAATTATTTCGATCCTTTTCTGTGATTTCTCGAGGCTTGTTAATTTTCGAAATGAATCTTGGTGTTCCCTTGAACTGTCTATCATTATCCATCAATTGATCAAATCGTCGCCGTCTTCCTCCTCCTTGTTCTCCTCCCATACAAATTTGACGAATCATATCGACATGCTAGAAATGTTTTATTATCATATTTTCCAATTTGAGAAAAAAATAGTTGTTAGAACTTACATCTCCTAAACCTGGTTCGAAGTTATCTTCTCGATTTTGATTTCTCGTTTCAGAAGATGTCGATGGAATATCTTGTTGTCGTCCGAAACCTCTAAACTGTGTTGGATTTGTAATTCCATTCGATTTTTCTTTCTTCAGCACCATTTCCACTTGTGAATTCGCTTGATTAAAATCTCTTCGTGAAACATCGAATGAATCCTCTACTTTTATATAACTAGACGGTATAGGTTCATCATATTTCAGGAATTCAGCATTATCCAGATTACTACGATCGTCGGGTGGACTGAAAATATTAGGAAATGTTTATTATAAGCAATAACACACTGATGCAGAAGAAACATTTAATATGACGACAACTTTCCATTTAACAGAAAATCGCGGGGTACATGAATGATTTTTTGGAAAAAAAAACAGCTAGACAAATTAGAGAAGCAATGTGAGTATTATTCACAAATGTTCAAAAACAGAAATTATACAATGTACGTGAAAAAGAAAACGGTCTAACCTCCCACGGAAAAAACAGCTTAACCAAATGAAACATTGAAAAAAATGAAACATACAAACGTAACCCAATACGTGGAATTCGAGGTGGGCGAAATTTTTACCCACAGCTCCAGATTCTTTGGTGGGGTTTGTGAAAAGCGATTATATATTCAAATTCGAATCATGGATATGAGCCGCTTAAAAACAACCGGGGACGAGCCGTTGCCATAGCTTCGAGATGGGTTACAAGGTTTGGATTGAAATTGATTCTAAGAACAAACAGAGAATGAGTACCCAGAATTGGGGTGAGGGGCTTAACATTTTGTTTCTAAAAAATCGATTTTTATCTCACAATCAGACTCGACCCTTAAAAAATGAACCTGATTCCCGCGATTGAGTTGGTTATTTGTTCGCGAAACATCTTCGCCGTGGAAACCTGGAATTATTCGAATGTTTATTATTAAAATCTCAATTTGTTCACGTACTGTTTGTTTTTTTGGCACATTAAACTTTGACCCCATAATCAAATTTCCTGAAAATGAAAACCTTGAAACGAACAATCAAACTACTTATAAAATATCTCTGATCTTAATGAACAGAACATAAATTTAAAATAAGTTCAAATAGTTTCTTTATAGAAAATGGAAAATAAATAAAACAATAACAAAATCAGAAAATTTTGAGATTCAAGAAGTGTGAAAAACTCGCATTGTTCAAGCTGATGTTTCAGCCTCGCCATCGACTCCGCCAATATACAAAACATTGTTGCATCTGAAAATAATTTTTTGAAATATGGAAAGAAGAATTTCGGAAATTATGTTTGTTTCGACAAAGTCTGAAAAATTCTGAAAATGACAAAAAGAGTCTCACGAATTTAAAAATAGTTAAACGTGAACTTTAATGATCGACGAGTCAATAATCATCATCAAGAAATTAAATCGAACATCATTTCTATCATTTCAGGGGTAAGTTACCTTATAAGAATTTCTCCAAGGTTTCCAGTGTTGTTTCCGTCAATGTATTCATCAGCGTGAGCCAACTGGAGGTTCATGTATGAATCGACTGCTACAAGCACTCCTGAAAAGAAACTTGATTCTTCAGTTAACTGTGAAATAAATTAACTCACCTCTGTATTCCATTCCCCATTTGAGTTTGCAGACAACAAATTTTCCAGTCAGACTGTTCAAAAATGGTTTTGGGTTAACTGGTTGTACTGCTGACATTATATTATCTGAATGAAATAGGTTTTAATCGTATTTTATTAAGAAATCATAACAAAATAACAAGTTAGGACATTTCGAACATTTTAGGAACTCATTTGACTTTTTGTTGGACAGACAATTTCTTTTGATAATACTCTTAGTTTTGTACCATAGTTTACTTAATGTAAAATAGAACGCTGATATCTGTTTACTGTTAGCCTAACCCCACAAAAACCGCCACACAAAAAACGAAAAAAAGAATTTTTCGAAAAAATAAAAGTTTGCAACACAAATGACGCACAAATACACATTGCGGACAATACGTGTTGAAGGTGATGACCGTACACCAAAAAAAAATAAAAATTTATTTTCTAACGAAAAAATCGTTTTTGTACTTCAATATTGGCAAAAACTGTAATATAATTGTTAGAGGTTTTAAATATAACATCAGAGATCACATGTTGAGAAACAAATGGGAGGGGAAGAACAAATTGAGCGTTTAATTGTTGAGAAATATGTGTTGAAACGAGATTCCTAGAACTATCATCTTCTTCAAATGAAATTTGAGATTTTAATCGTAGCAATAGTTCAAATTCGGGAGATTTCAAAATAATCAATCGATATCGACGAGTTTGCAAATAACTATCTGTCCCATTCAAATAAATATTATTCGTGAATACTTCGAAAATAACATCAGAGTTTTCTGAAATTTTGTTTAATTATCATAAATTGGTTCCAAAACTTACGATATAATCGTATACTTGTTGATAAACATTTAACTTTCCGATCTATTAAATCTATATCAAAATAACCAAGTTGGCATATATTTTCGGTTATTTCTTCCAAAAAGATTTTCATGAATATAGAAAATCAAACTTTTGTTAGTAGATTCTGGATTCGGAACAAATTGTGTTGTGTGTTTCTGAAAATGAAGTATGAATAGTTTTATTTTGAACTTTAATTAAAAAAAAACTGAAAATTCACTTTTCGAGGGGTATATTCGTCCCCATGATAAACAATTCCATTCATGAAATATCGTATATTTTTTGATTGAAGAATCAAAGGTTGTTGAGAAATATCATAACTCAAAGTTGTCAAATCATCAATAATCGGAAAATGTAATTCCAATAATTTCAGATCATTTCGAAGTTTTTCATCCAGAGTTTCAACCAATTTATGACATAATAAATCCTTTAATTGAGATTGAAATGTTTGTTTTATCATTCCTTTTACAAACCATCCACTTGTTTCAACATCTTTGATTTCAATAATTTTCTGTTCACAATCTGGGTTTGGATAAATATAAGGTAATCCATTGACAATTATTGGAACTATTGGATAAATATTTGATTGTTTTATTGAAATATCGATGTGATATGATCCAGTTGATGAGAAAAATAGGAACTTTCTTCTGTAGTTTCCAGAAAATCGAAATGAAATATCGTTTTGCTGAAAATCAGGTTAGGATTATTAGAACGAAAAAATATATGAATAATTCTGAATCAGGCCCAAGAAATTCCCGAAATGAAAACATACCTTCAATGCAAAATCCATATCACCAACATCTCCGAAAAACTGAGAAACTTCAAAATTTTGAACAGAATTGTTTGTTAATTTTATCTGAAAATTCAAAGTAGATACAACTTTTTTTCAAAAAGTTTCCAAACTTACCGAACACAACATTTTACTATGCGAAAGTTCACCAATTTTCCAATTGTATATTTCATCACCAAAATATTGTCCCATCGATTTTAAATATTTAACTATCGCATTTTTAGAAACCTTAAATTCGAAATATTTTTCAGTTATCAATTGAAATTAAAACTTACATCAATTATAATATTATTAGAACTATGAATGTTTGTGAAAAACAAACAAAAAATAACAAAAATTCGTGCAAATTTCGCCATTTCCTGAAAAATAGTACGACATTTGATTACGAAAAAATATCAAAATATTGTATTTGTCTATGCACATATCGATTTTTATCAAACAGTTTTTTTTCTTTTTCCTTCCCAATTTTAGGTGCTTTCTTTATTCATTCATTTTTTGGGAACAAAAGCAAACAAAAAATATTTCAAAAATTATTATTTTTTTAAAATAATTCCACGTTTTACCGTGAACTCAAAATAAGGAGAATCTGGAAATTGTTGAGTATTTCCTAAAAGAGGTGAGCAGCAAATTTTACGGGCAAAATTGAAACGCTATAAACATAACACAAATGGGCAAAGTAAGTTAAAGGATACTGTACTTATGAAATTTATCTATGACGCATTTTTATTTCAAAACTTGTTTTGTTCAGGAAGAAGGACCAGAATCTGAAAAATGTTGCAAACATGGAGAAGGATGTGGAAAAAAGTATCGTGGAATCGGAAACTCTTCGAACGAAAATGAATACGTCAATATGGGTCCAGATATTGTTGATGAAAGTCGGAAAACTGATGAAAAAATACGAGAATTTGCAAATTCGTTGAGCAAAGATTCAATGACTCCACTTCCAACTTATGATAATATCAATTCATTGAACTCATTTTCGGATTCGAATGCAGAACCAAGTGATTTGGACACTGATACAAGTTATAAAGTGTTGAAATCAAAGAAAACAAAAAAGAAGAAGAATCGAAAAAATAAGAACAAGAAAGCATCAAGAAAATCAAATTCACATTTGACACCAAAAAAACGCGAGGCAAAAGTTGAACAAATTGAACGTAGTTTTTATTTGGGAGTTATGACAAGAAAAGATGCTGAAAATGCAATTGGATCGAGAAAAAGATTTGCTGTTTATCATCAACTTTCATCCGCTTCTGTTCTTTTGAATATTCAACGCGAAGTTTTTTTGTCAGCCATTTATCGATCTGAAAATGGACGTTTCACGTAAGAACATTTGAAAAAATCTTTCCAAGAAATGATATCCAGAATGATTCATCTTTTTCTAGGCATTTTTACATCCGCGAACAAATTCACGAAGATTTGAATCACGAATTCTACGTCGATACTGGCAAATCTGAAGTTCCACAAATGTTCGCAACAATCGAAAATCTGATTCAATATCATTGTAAAATCTAATCTGATTTAATAAATGTTTCCTTCTCTGATTGAACCAAAAAAAAAACAATTAATTGTTTTGAAATGTGACAGACAGAAAAAGATAGTTAAGGAGTGTGAATAATATAATCAAAACCAAAAATCGAAGAAATAGAACAATAAAATAAAGAGAAATAGAGATTTAGGTAATTAATAGTTTCAAATATATTTTATTGGTTTTTCGAATTTGATGAGACCTTGAAATAAAAGTTGCATCTATCACTCAATTGTTTTCTAAATACCTACAGTAATCCCCGGATCCCTTTTTTCGTTTTTTTTTCAGTAAAAAGAAACATTCAATTGACACGGGTTTGTTAGATAAGTACGTTCATATTTTTTTTTTCATGAAAAAAAATGAAAAAAATCTTTTTCGATAAAATCACCGACATAAATATTTGTTTTGACAAATTGCGCATTTTTTCTAAAAAGTCGGCAACATTTCTTTCTCTTTTCTGGAATTTTTTCTCCAGACGTCGTTTTTTTACAAAAAAATCAAGATTTATTGCCGACAATATTTCTTTTTTGTTACCACCTAATTAGAAGAAGGAAATTATTATGGGATGATGATAATAGAAAATTTGAGACGTTTATGGGACAAAATATGATATTTTTGTCAAAAAAACGAGGTGATTATTTTAATGAGTATGGGAATTTTTAGGAAGCAAATTGAATGTGAACTGGATATTTTCAGAAACTACCGTATCCTTCTATAAATGATGTTTGATTTCAACTCATTAAATTTGAAAAATTACAAAAAGTTTCGTTCTATCAAAGGGGGCCTATTCAAAAACAAGCATTTCGACGCATTTGAAAGGAATATTTTCAGATTTTGTAAAATTAGACAGATGTGTCGCGAATTCTTATTCGCAACCTTTTCCAAAATAATTTCCTAAGTCTATAACTTTTTGACCTACACTAACTTATTTTAACCTACCCGCGATTATTTCGTTTTTTCGACCCAAAAAATGAAATTGCATTTTTAACTTTTCCAAAAGTTTCTATTATTTTTCCCATCAACTCAATCATTTTTGTCTATAACATAATTTTCAAAAAAATCACATCACAATGTTTCCTGACCAGTTTTTCAGACAGCCATAAATCCTTCAAAAATTATTTCTCGCCCCGACCTTTTTTCCGGAAAAGAACCAAACTTGAATTCGAGTTTTTCTCTTCTTTTTGGTTTGATACAATTCATAATTACTTGTCTCTTCTTTTTTCATTTATTAATACTACAGTAATACTCTAACTGTGTAATAATATTCATTTTTCCTTTTTTCTTCCTGTCTTCTTCATTTTTTTTCAATCTGTCTGTGATTCAGAATCACATTATTCGCCACATTTGTGATGAGCGGGTCGAATCAATTAAAATAGCAAGAAAAAACATGCAATTGAAATTGAATAAAATGTTACATGTTCGGTTTTTTCTCTCTGTTTTGTTTGATTTTTTCTCGAAAACTGTCTGAAATTTATTTTCTATCAAGATTCTCGGAATACACAAATAATATAACATTTTCGTTTTCTCTTCTTTTTACATTCCCGTTCGTTTTTCTACCTCATTTCACACCTTTACATCTATTTATTTATTTATTTATTTACATTTCGTTTGTTGTTGTTACTTTTTCTTGAATCTGATGTGAATTGAAAATGTACATACGCACTGATTGTCAGAAAAAAAAAGATCTGCTAGAAAATTTGTCGAGATTACCATAGATGAATCATTTCTTGATTGAAAAAAAGTAGCCATGAAGGTTTTTTTTTGAAAGTGAACAATTTTTGTGTTTGCTTATTCCACACAAAAAACGACAAATAAGTTTGTTGTGAGTCATGAAAAGGACAAGATTGATTGTGTAGGTGTTTTGAAGAAAAGTGATTTTGGAAGTTTTTTTTTGAATTCGAGAAAGCAGAGATTGATTTTTGAAAAGATTTCAATGCCTGAAAATTTTCAACCATTTGCGTTTTTCCGAAAATTGATTATATTTTTCGAATTATATATTTTATAAATTTGGGTTTTTGAACTCTCCAAGTCAAATTTCTCTCGTTTTTTTCCAAATACGTTTTTCAGCTGCTCGAAAATTAGAAATTCATTCCAGTTTTTAAGCAGGTTTCGCATTCTTTCTAGAACTTTCTGTCAGTTTTTTTTTTCAAATTTCGAAATAATACCAGTTTTTCGCGTACGTTTAGAATTAGGAAGTACATTTTTCAAAAAATAATTTCGAAATCCGAAAAACTTATTGTTTCAGAGTCTGAACTTTTCTTAAGCGTAAATTATGAGTGTTTTAAAACCAATAACAATGTTCTCAAATGTTATTGTATCTGTTAACGTCACTATTAGAAATCCATTTTTTTCTAACTTCTATCAGTTTCTTCAAATATTTTGTGGCACCAAACAGACTGTAAGTTCTTCCCGCCCATAAAAAATCGGAAGCTATAAAACACCAACCCGGAATGACCCGTTCAAATCAGACGAGCCAACAAGCCAGTCAAAATGACATCACAAGAATGCTTACGTAAATTCGTCGAAATAATACACGGAACTTGGAGATTTAGACACAAATGCTGATAATTTATCAAACTGATAACGAGGAATTTTCCTCTCTTTTTACTGTGCAGAAAAACCTTTCTTGCACATTACCCATTTATTTTTCATCTCATTTTCATTTTTCAAAAATTTTATTTTGATACAAAAATTGAGTCACCGAGAAGTAATTTTTGTCCCGACTTCCAAAAATACTTTGATGATGATTCATTTGATATCTTGCCTTGCGCAGCCAATGTTTTTTATTGTTTTTTTTAATCAGGGTGTGGTCAGATGATTGTTGTACTTACTTTTTTATAGAAAAAACAAAGGTGTTCTAAATTCAAAATAAATTTGAAAAATTCCAAAACCGATGTTTGAAGTTTCAAAAAAAAGCTCTGAAAATCCTTTAAATCCTTTCTCTCAATCATATTTTTTTTTCAGATTTTTTCCAAAAGTATTTTTCCTCGACCCACCCGGCCACCTTTTAATTTTCTCATTTTCACTTTTTTTTCGCGGTTTGACAAGAAAAAAAAATGTTTACAAACTGATTGATTTGATTTGATTTGTGAGAAAAAATGTTTTATTTATAAAAAATGTAGTAGCAAAGTGATTTTTGATTATTTAGCTATATTCAGTCATGTGGCGACGAGTAAATCGTAAATTGAAAAAAAGATATGAGTTCAGAGAAGATATTTGATATGATACAGTAATCTAGAAATGTTTCTGTGAAGTTCGGAAATCTGATTTATCTAAAATGTTTTGTGTAGGTCAAATTGATTAGTGAACGGGAAGAAAACTTGATTTAGGTTAATCCAACAAAAATATCTTGGGTTACTGTAATTCCTTTTATGTGTAAGTCTTCGTCGCGGTGTGTGTTCCGCGCTTCCAAATTTTTTGAACTTTTTTTTAATGTTCGGAGACAAAATAAAGTATTTCCCTAAACATTTTTTGGATTATTTTCTGGGATGTAGCGAAGATTTAGATCATGGAAACACTTTAAAAAAATGAAGAACTGTGAGACTGTGAGTTCAGCTCATAGTTCGTTATATCCTAATTCTATATGACCCTGTGAAATATCTTATGATCAAACTCATCGATCAAACCAAGTTTGTCCATCCTTCTTCTTCTTCTTCTTTTTCTCCTCAATCAACACCCCAAACCAATATCAAAACAAAACAAAAAACAAAGCAACATTTTATATTTTGTTGGCTATCACATAAATCAATTTAGCTGATCATAAACCATTACTTTTTTCCATTTTCATCAACTCCGCCTCCCCAAATTCTTCGAACCAATCGACGAAAAATTGGGAGGCGGAGACTTTGATTGAATTCGTCTTCCATTTTCTTCGTATTTTTCTCTATCTGTTTCCGAAGTCGCGCAATTTCAAAAAATCACTGTTTCATTTTTTTTTCAAATTTTTATAATAATTTTTTTCAAAAGCAACTAATGATATCATAAGTAAAATAAGTTAACTCATCTCGAACTCTTTTGATGTTTGCGTCTCTCGTTTTTTTTTCGTTCACCTCAAAGTAAATAGTGATGGTTGCTTTCAGCGTTGTTGCGACAAGATAACGAAAAAAAAAAGAACAACATATATTGATTTTAACAGCAAGACACAAAAAAAGAAAGTTTCAAAATATTATGGTTAGTAGTTGTACAATGGCAACATCGAATAATTCACAATATTCAACTATTGATGATGAGGTGAGTCATAATACATTCCTTACTTTTTCTTTCTTTTCTTTTTTTTTGATTTTTTGGAAACTTTTTTGACAATATATTTTGTTTCGTAATGTGTCTACTAAAAATGATAGTATTTATTCTAAAAATAAAATTGTCTCGTATAGTTCGCAAAGATCGAAAAGTTTCTATTTTTATCTATAGTGTCATCAGCTTATCAATTTTTGTCTTCTTTCGTATTTGCAAAAAAAATGGAGTTCCTTTTTGACTCAAAAAATTTTAATAAAAAATCTATTGTTTTTTCTTCCTCGGTTATGACTCAATTTTCAATATTAATTTTCTATCATAGATAATTTCCAAAAAAAAAATCAAAATAGGAAAAAAAAACATTTTTTGTGTACGATACGAGAATTCTTTTTCGTCTTCGTCTTCTAATCAATGATTAGATGACAAAAAAATGAGAAGAGAAGAAAAAGAGAATTGGTGATGTTTAATTAATGGCACTGGTTTTTTAGGGGTTGTTGATGATGGAATTTTGATTTAGCAGAAAGAATTATGATAAATAAATACATATTTTAATTTATATTAATATGATTTTGTTTCAGGTGTGGACAGATATTCATGATTTAATTAAACGTGACACTTGTCATTCATACGGTTTCGAAACTGTTAGATCAACTCGTCCCGCTTTCTCTCCATTAGTTACACCAATTCTAAATTCATCTGGAACAACAAAATCAAGATTTGTTAATGCACCGGTTATTCATCGTGAACCACCAACAATGCAATTACCACCTCCACAATTCAATCCAATTTATGAACAACAACAACAACAACCACAGCAACACGAATATCATTATGGTTATGGATATCATGAAGAATTATATTATGCTCCTCCACAATATCAAATTGATCATATTCCAAGTACTTCTTATCTTCCACCTCCACCACAACCAACTTATTATCAAACACCATTGGTGAAACAAGAGGATACACCGCCATCAAGTCCCGAAAGTCAACAAGAACTTGGTCCAATTGCTGCGAAGTTGAGTCAAATTAAAACGGAAAACAATTCGAGAAGGTATGTTATCCTTGAGATTGAAATTTCTGCTGCCATTTCATTCTGTCTCATTCCAATTAATTTTGTCACATTAAAAGTTTTCAATATGAAAAGCCGCCGCCGAATGAAAATAAAATCTACAAGAAGACCATAATTTGGCGCATTTCAAACAAAAATGCAAATTGCTACATTTGCTTTGCTATTTTATAGCGCCGCGCACAGTTGGACGCCATTTTTGTGCGTTGGCGGATGGAAAAAGTAAACACGCAGTTTTTCGTGTTATTTTTTGTTTGGAAGATAAAATTTGGTCGCGCGGGCGCTAGTCATATTATCATATAATCAATCATTTAGACAGTCATAGCCGCAGAGAATCAAAAAGAGAACATAACAAAAAATTGTTGTTTTTTTTCATTCATTCATTCTTTCTTTCTGTAAAGGGAACTATTAGCACGTATAAAAAATGTTGAAAATATGTGTACTTTTTATCAGAAACAAAACAATAGCCATCAGTTTAAATTGATTAGATAATCTTTGATCATTTAATTAATTCATTATTTTTTACAGCCTGCACGAGCCTGCTGATTCACTTTCAATTACACCTCGATCATCTCCAGCAACATCTTCAGCATCATCTTTTGATGAAACTGCAACACCTGAACGATCACCGCATTTGAAACTCAAAAATTGTCGACAAAGACATGATAAAAAGACATTGGTTCATGCATGTCCATATCCAGATTGTTTCAAAAGATATTCGAAATCATCGCATTTAAAGGCGCACGAACGAACTCATAGCGGAGAAAAACCATTTGTTTGTAGATGGGCAAATTGTTGTTGGAAATTTGCGAGAAGCGATGAATTGACACGTCATATGAGAAAACATACTGGTGATAAACCATTCCGATGCAGTTTATGTGATCGAACATTTGCACGTTCGGATCATTTGAGTCTTCATATGAAAAGACATAGTACTGTATAATCAAAACATCTACAACTTGAATGAATAAATATCACACATGAAGTTTTGCTTTATCTAATTTTTTTTTCGAAAAATTTTTACTAATACTGGTTTGGAACTTTTTTTTTTTGTATATAATGCAATTACGAAATAAATATTTTTTGTGGAACATTTGTTTTGTCAAACAATTAATTGTTTCGAAATTTTCAGAAAGATTTGATAAATTATTTTTTGGAAAGAATTTTAGACAGCATGAAGTTGATTACTGTAATTTATCTCCAGAAATCAGTATTAAGTTCAGATGATTCCAAAAACAATGAATAATTTTCCTGTTCAAAACGTAATTCTCAAAAAATACACAAATTTATCTTTTGACACTTTATTTTATAGCCGGGTTGTTTTACAATTTCAGACAAGAAAAAAAATAGAAAAAAAAGAGTATGGGAAAATATAGTTAAATGTTTACTTTGTAGATTTGTCCAATTCCTCAGAATCAGTTTCTCTCAAAATACTATCCATATATTTTTCGAAGTCTTCATCACTTTCTTCATCATCTTCTCCTAATAATTCCTCAATTTCTTTCCATTCTTCTGTAGTCATTTTGAAGTTCCACAAATCGTCATTTTCTCCAAATTTGATGATGATTTCAGATGCTTTTTTGTCATCTTCGGTGTCGATTTCAATGTCTTTACAGTTTGATCCATCTTGTAATTGTTTATTTATTTGACGTGCTCGATTAAAAGTGTAATCCAATGCATCGAGAAGTGATTTCATCGAAGGAAGTCTGAAATTAACAAAATATATTGTTGAGTACTTAATATAAAAAATAGAAAAACTTACGAATTCGATGTTGAAGCAGAGATCAAAGTGGAAGTTGGAGTAGCAGTAGATGCAGACATAGTCGTTTAGTTTTAATCAAATATTTTTGACTGGTGAATTATGATCTGAGCATCCTATTTTATAGTACATAAATCTTCCCAAAATCCAATCTCCGCCTATTTTTCTTCTAGAATATTCTCCACCCATTTATAGCACCATTGCACTTCGCACCTTTTATTTCATGGGAAAAAACAACAGGTGTTTGATTTGGTCAAAATAATAAACATAAACAACTTTCCCAAACGTGACCTAAATATTCAAAAAAAAAAAACACGAATATAAAAATAAAAAATCAAAAGTTCACAGTATTCATTATTTAAATTTGCTTTTCATTCAAACTGGTTTTGTGTTTCTTATTGTAATTGGTGGGTTACTGTAATTATGGACTGAATACAATAATTTGATTTAGTCTGAAAAAAATGACGGAACATTTGATATATTTTGGTTTGCTTTTATTAACTTTGATACAATGTGGAGGGAAAAAGAAAGGAAAAACTTTATCAAATTCTGATCCATCGAATGTGGAAAATGATTCAACTTCAAAACAATCAGCGAAATCTCCGGGTGGTGAAGCAGCTGGTGGACCAAAAGCACCAGCTGATAAAAATGCGCAAGCTGCGACGCACGATCCGAATTATCAAACATTAGCAGGTGTTGATGGAAATTGTTTTGGCAATAAAGGAGGTGCAGCTCCTGCTGGAGGACCAAAAGCACCTGCAGCCGGAGGAGGAATGGCTGCAACACATGATCCGAATTATCAAACACTTGCTGGAGTTGATGGAAATTGTTTCGCGGATAAAGGTGGCGCTGCAAAACCTGCTGCAGCAGCTGGGGGAAAACCACAAATGGCAGCGACTCATGATCCCAATTATCAAACTCTGGCTGGACTAGGAAATGATGTATTCAACAAACCTGCTGCTGGAGGTGCTGCAGCTCCAGCCAAACCGGCTGCACCAGCTGTTGGTGGAAAACCTGGAATGGCTGCAACACACGATCCGAACTATCAAACATTGGCTGGATTGGGAAATGATGTATTCAAAAAATAAATAACTTTTGTAATTTAATAAACTTTTTCAATTCTTAGAATGTTTCTACGAATGAAAAGATTCCTGAAGTGATCTACCAAAACCAAAAAAAAAGTTGAAACGTGACCCAATTTTTTTTTTAATATTTCGAAATCAACTCGAAATTATCCAATTCGTATTTAAAACGGCTTCCTAAATAGTCGTGTTAATTTTGCATTTGGTAAGTAAGTTCAAATGTTTCCTGTTAACACAAATCAAAATATTTTCAGTTAGACTATAATGATAGAGTTGGATTTAGTACATCATGGTATTCTTCTCATTATTTCTATCATATTTTTTGTTATTCAATGTGGTAAAAAGAAAAGAAAAGTGACGGATTTGGAAGATTCGGATAAGTTTGATGATAGCTGTTCAAGTAAACAGGAGATATCAATTCGTCCAAGAGCAACATCACAAGGACCAAAAACACCAGCTGATCAAAATGCACAAGCTGCGACGCAGGATCCAAATTATCAAACATTGGCTGGGATTGATGGAACTTGTTTTGCAAATAAATCTGCAGCAGGAGCTCCGAAACAACCAGCTGCTGGAGGAGGAATGGCTGCAACTCAAGATCCTAATTATCAAACACTCGCTGGACTTGGTAATGATGTTTTCAATAAAGGACCTGCTGCTGGAGGAGCTGCAGTTCCAGCACAACCTGCAGCTGGTGTTAAACCTGGAATGGCAGCAACTCAAGATCCGAATTATCAGACTCTGGCTGGACTCGGGAATGATGTATTCAATAAAGGACCTGCAGCTCCAGCAAAACCAGTTGGTGGAAAACCAGGAATGGCTGCTACACAGGATCCAAATTATCAAACTTTAGCAGGATTGGGAAATGATGTATTCAAAAAATAGTTCAATAAAAAGTTTCCTTTGATGTCTTATATATTTATTGAAAAGAGAAAATGGTTTCAGAAAATGTTCTATGACTTGAAAAGTGTGTTGATTATGCAAAACTACAGTACTTTTGTAACGTTTTTTCTGAAGTTTGCGGAATTCAGAAAACTGTATTGACTAGGGCTGCGCCCATTTTTTACCTACACTAGTGGTGTAGTCTTCTAGTCAAATTTTAACATTGTTTAAAAAAATTGTAAAAAAAATTGGTTTTTTTTTCAAAAAATCGAAACGCGTTGCGAGACGCGAGATAAAATTGTGTGCACCTTTGATCGTACGGTAGGGGTTTTTGTGAATTTCCTTTTACTAGTACCAGATTTTTGGGCCAAGATTTTGATGAGTTAGGCTAACTTTTTTCAATTTTTTGAAATTTTTTTTCATAATTTTCATATATTTTTCAAATTTTACAGAATTTTTTATAGATTTTTTCAATTTTTCCGAAATCCCTCCCCAAAAAACTCACCAATCGCTTCTAAAAATCGTCGAAAATTCGAAAATGCCAATCAAAATCCGAAATCATCCAAGTTTTCCACGTTATTGACATTGAAATCAAATTGTCCATGAATATTTCAATCTGAAAATGTGAATTTTTTATATACATTGAGTTATGCTAACTCCATTTCTGTTTCTATAGATTTCTGAGGACTTTCTGGGTCTCGCAACAATTTTCCAGTTATTTTTCAGAGGTTCACAGCGAAATCTTACCCAAATCCATTTTCCATCGATTTTTGAGTGAAAAATCCAGTATCTAATACCCCAACAGTCTTCATGAAATCCGATGTTTTTCATGAAAATTAACAAGTTCTCCGGCGGTTCCTTTAATTCTTGACTTTCCCAGTTCGAAAAATCAATAATTCCAGGTTTCTCCAGTTTCATCTCCAGAACATGAATTTGACATAAAATCATGCGGAAATCTGAATTTCCATCGAATATCGCTTCAAATTCAATCAATAATCGTTTTCCTCACATTTAAAATCATTTTTGACCCTGAAAACTCAAAAATTCCAATCGAAACAGTGTTTCTCTAGAAAAAACCCACCTTTTTCGATAATCCTTGGATTTTCCATTGGAAGCGATAATTCCGGCCTTGTAGAACATCTAAAAATTCAATTTTTGACTCAAATCCACTGATTTTCCCGGAAACCTGAAAACCCAGCGAGAAAAACGAAACATGAAAATATTCCCGTGTTGCGCTAAACAGCGGGCAAGCGGAGTGTCGTTGTAAAACTTTTCGTTTTTTTGTCTGCGTCGCTTTTTCTCTATTTGTTCGTCCCAACACAGGGTTGAAACGAAGTGTCCGGGGAAAATCAGTGGTTTTCAGTCAAAAATTAAATTTTTAGATGTTCTACAAGTGTGGAAATATCGCTTCCAATGGAAATTCCGAGGAGGATTATCGAAGAAAGGTGGGGTTTTTTTTTAGAGAAACACTGTTTCGATTGGAATTTTTAAGTTTTCAGGGTCAAAAATGATTTTAAGTGAAACCTCTGAAAGATAGCTGGAAAATTGTTGCGAAACCCAGAAAGCCCTCAGAAATCTATAGAAACAGAAATGGAGTTAGCAGAACTCAATGGTACATAAAAAATTCAAATTTTCTGATTTTCAGATTGAAATATTCATGGACAATTTGATTTCAATGTCAACAACGTGGAAAACTTGGAGTTTTTCGGATTTTGATTGGCATTTTCGAATTTTAGACGATTTTTAGAAGCGATTGGTGAGTTTTTTGGGGAGGGATTTCGGAAAAATGGAAAAAATCTATAAAAAATTCTGTAAAGGCCCAAAAATCTAGATTGATTTTAAAAAAATCAATTTATTGTGGGGTAAGTGCATTTTGAGTTTTATTCATCAACATTTTAACATTTTAAAAAGTGCTCATAATCTCCGTTGCCGGGCCATTCAAGCCCTAAAAGCTTTCTTATTGATTTACGAGAAAAACAAAAACAGAGAGCAGCTAAAACTTTATTATTTTTTGAACACATCATTTCCCAATCCAGCCAAGGTTTGATAATTTGGATCATGAGTCGCAGCCATTTGTGGTTTTCCTCCAGCAGCTGGTGCAGGTGCAGCTGGTGGTGGTGGATTACCTCCTCCTCCTCCCGCAGCAGCGCCACCTCCTTTGTTTGCAAAACAGTCATTACCAAGACCAGCGAGTGTTTGATAATTTGGATCATGAGTTGCAGCCATTTGTCCTCCAGCGGTAGGTGCTTTTGGTCCAGCTCCTCCCGCAGCCGGTGCAGCTGCTCCTCCAGCTGGTGCTGCTCCTCCTGCTTTATTTCCAAAACAGTTTCCATCAACTCCAGCCAATGTCTGATAATTTGGATCATAAGTTCCAGCTTGCGCATTTTTATCAGCTGGCGCTTTTGGTCCGCCTCCAGCAGCTGGAGATGGCGCACTTGCTGCTCCGCCTCCAACTCCACCAGTCGAGCTTTCAACTTGTGATCCTTTTTCAGCAGATGACGAAGCTGCAGCAGCTTTTTTCTTTTTTCCACCGCAAAATAGGGTCAATGATACAGGAAGTGCAATATATGCTCCACATTGAATTGCCAACATCAAAAGTTCACTTTCTGCCGCCATTTTATCTTTCTAAAAAATAATCCGGAAAAATCTGAAGGATTACTGTAGTTATCTTACTTACTGATTCAGAGGTACAATTGTAAACGTTTGCCAAAAATGTGAAAATCTGATAGAACTGAATATTTCGCTGCCTTTTAAATAGATAAAGGCCGTCACGTTATAACGTGAAAAATTAATGATTTTCTGAATTTTTGTTTTTTTTCAGTTGTTTTAAATGTAATTGAAACTTTCTCATTATAATCTCATGTTGAATATTTTGCTTTTCCAAAAAATCGATATTTTTCCATATTTGATCTACATTTTTTTATATATAAGCAATATTATGAAATTGTTTAGATATATATGTTTTTCCTCAGTTTTACTATTACAGCATAAAAGACGCAGAGAAAAAAAGAAAGACTTCCATCTGTGCACTTTCTTCCTTCTTTTTGTTTTGTTGTTATTATATCTTCCCAAAAATGTGGCGTCTTCCCAGAATATAGCGTCCGAAAAATTTCCCACATATCCAAGTGTATTTGTGGACGCAAGTTTGTGATGAAGAGATTATTAGTTTTTGTTGTACATTTGCATTTGAAAAAATCATTAGTTTTTCAAATTTTTATTTTTCAAGCTTTTTCATTTTCCGGACTAAAATGTTTCTGGTTTATTTTTTTTGTTTGCAATTTTTCATTTTTCTCGATTCGCAAGTTTTTTTTTAAATTTCAGACCCGAGGATGAGCCAACAAAGCAAATTCGATGATGTGAAACCGAAAAATCATTTCGAAAAACTGCCATTCGAAATGCGGTTGAGTATTCTAAAATATATCAAAACTAAAGTTGATAGACAACGTTATGCATCCTTATCTCTTGATTTGGCAATTGAACTTTTCAATATTTCAACTTACAATTTGATAAAATACGAAAGCTTCAAAAATGGATATAAAGTTCGAATTGGAACAACGAAAGATTTTGAAACATGTGTAACTTTTGAAAATGATGGAGAAAATTGCAAAATAAAATGGTTAGTTTAAGATAGATAAAAAAATTTTTTAATTGAAACAATTTGTTTCAGGAATTACTTTTCGATTCCAAAGAACAGTAAGAGCGAAACATTGGAAAATTCGAATGCAGAATCAGCTTCAGCAGATTTGTTTTTATACTATTTGGAAAAATATGCCAAACAAATTGAGGTTTTATGCTTGAAAAATGTAAATTTTCAGATATTCCAGACATGATAATATTTGTTCTAAATTCAGGTAAATGTGGAAATAACAAATCGCGATTTGATGTTCGAAAAATTGAAGGAATTGAAATTGGAATTAGACAATAAAACATTGGCCAAATTCATTTTGAAAAGAATTCCGGAAAAAGTAAATTTGGAAATTCGAGCTTCGGGAAATTTATCAATCGACAATATTCTACATATTCCACAAGTTCTCTCCACACCAAAACTTTCATATTTTTCCGAAAATATGAGAATCGAACAGCTCAGAGCAATATCAAGAAGATTCGACAAAATCGATGTATCAATTGGAAAAATTAAAATCGAAGAACTTGTGAAATATATAGATGATTTTAGAAGAAGAGATAGAAATCGACAAGAAGCTCACATTATTATCAATATATTTTCGCCGAAGCCATTCAATTTGAAAGAATTCAATCTCGAAAATCGGAGCCATCATAGTATAGATCAGTTATCTTCGAATGTTTTGTGAGTTTTTTCTTTTTTCTTATATTAGGGTAATGAATTACATATACGTGTCCATAAATTAATTTTTCTTATTACAGTAACAACGAAACATTCCGATCATTCAATGGAAATCATCGACTGTTTATGAGAAATTATCGGTATCAAAATCGTCTCAAAATTGATGTCCAACGATATTAACACGGACAAATTTCAAATAAATTGTTTTTATATGTTAAGTAATATAAAAAATATTGATAATTATGATTATAAGAACATGTTCATTCAAAGCCATAATCATGTTTGGCATTCACAAAAAAAGGGTAAATAAAAAAGATTATCTCTTTTTTCGGTGATAACATATGTATCATTTATACACTTGTGATAAGCCTAACTTTTTTTGTTATGTCAAACTTTGTTTATCCACTTCTTTTTTCACACTCATTCATTTATTTATACGGATTTCAAAAAATCATAGACTTTCAACAAAATACAGAAGCTCGATAAAAATGAATATAACAAAAAATTCTTATTTCAATGACGCATAAATAAATACCGTATCATTAAATCCAAGCAAGTATTCGAGTTTATTACATAAAATTACAACACTTTTTAGGTATGTTTTGATCATTTAATAAAATTAGCAAAGTAAATATGGTTTGACTTTTAGCTTTTTGGTCATTACATTTGTTCTAATCACAAATAACAATAAGCTAGTTCCATTTTCTCGAACATAAATCTCGTTTTTTTGTCCTGTCTTTATACTATCCCTTACTATATTCATTGTTATCTGATTCTTTCATCCCCCTTTTTTCATTATTTATTTATACTTTTATCGATTACTCATCAATGAAACAAATCCCCATTTTTTGTATCTAATAAAATTTGCATTCTGATTTTCAAAACATCAAACTCGTTTGACTTTACTATATATAAATAGTATTTACAATAATTGTTTTTTGTTTAGATTTTGCTGGGTATTTCAGCCATGATATGAGAGTTTTGTCACAATTCCAACTGTTATTTTTTCTATTGACAGTCTATTGTATTCCAAGACGAGGAAACGAACCTTGGTCTGTTGTTTTGTGCAAATTTCGGGGAAATCCGTTTGAACCGAGAACTGTGCGTTGGTTTGAAGAATGGATTACAGATGGGAATAATCCAGGTTGGTTTTCTTTGAATTTTATCGGAAAAATTGAAATGTTTATGTTATCAGGAATAATTAAAAGAGTACACCTCACATTTAATTTTTCTGAATACATCTGAGATTTCTAAATTTACAGACACCCTTGAAAGTTACTTTTCTTCGGTTTCAAATGGTATCTACACAGTTCGTGGTTCAAATGTCACTGATTGGTTGCAACTTCCTTGGACTCGCGGAGAAGTTCTTCGAATGGCTCTCAGAGATCCAAGACTTCAATCAGAAAAAGATAAACCTTTTGCGGTAATAGTTTATTTACTTTCACAATTTTCATCACCTTTTTTCTAGCTTTTCGACAAAGCTAAACAGTTGTGTATTTCATATGCTGAACAACAAGGTTATATTTTACATCGACAAAAGATTACTGTAATCAATGCTGAACAAACTGCAGTTTATGGAAAAGATAATGGAGTTTTGCTTACTCCGAAATTAATTTTTACCTCGGTTTTGGCTCATGAAATGATACACAGTATGAATATTGGACACTCTTATAGTGATCGAAATAAAAAGGTGCACACTTTTCTCGAATTTATATCGAACCATTTTTTTCCAGATTTTCACATATTCTGCAACTGGTGAATATGATGATAGATATGATTTAATGTCAACAGCAAATGCACATATGAGACCATCAACTTATGGTTTAAGTGGTCCTGGTTTAAATGGTCCACATCTTGATTATTTGGGATGGCTTCCAAGTAATCGTGTTTTATATTTTGGAAAAGATGATCGACAAAGTTATACACTTCGTCTTTCATCTTTATCAGTTCCACATCGATTAACAGCTGGATGGTTACTTGTTATGATACCGTATGATAGAGATGAACCAGCAAATGTTTATACAGTTGAATACCGTACTCCAGTTGGAAATGATGCTGCAATTAGACAAGGTGCTGTTGTAATTCATCAAATTAAAAAAGATGGAACAAGTTTTTATTCGAAACTTATAACTCATGTTCATAGTGAATATGATGAATTGACTGTTGGAACTGAATGGGTTAAATTTTTACAATTGGATGAAAATGGAGATTTTCAATATATTCGGGTAAAAGTTGAACGAACTCATACAAAAACAAATAGTGCTGATGTCAAGATTGTTACTAATTTCAGACCGGTTAGTTTGTTTTTTGGAAAAATATTATCTTGTATTTGTAGGAACGTTGTCAAAGAAATGAGATTATAGTTGATGTGACTGAAAGAATTGATCTAGAACTTCGAGGTGTTCAAAAAGTTTGTATGCCTGAAAATTATGAAGTAGTTACACAGTATGATATGGATGTTCAATATAAACGCGATGCATTTTTCAGTCTCAGGTTTCAATTATTCCGAAAAGAACATTTTTATGATCTTCAATTTTTCAGAAAGTCATACGGTCAAAATGAGTGTAAAAATGGGAAGGAATGGAGAAAATTGGATGCTTATGATTATGTTTGTGTTCCAAATACTCGAAGAGCTGAGTTGAAAGAATCGCCAAAACCTATTCAAATGGAAAAACCGAGTCAAAAATGCCCAGAAGATTTGCTGGCGAGGATAGCTTTCCAGGTAAAAAACAAAAAAATTCTCCCCGGCCGGGAATTGAACCCGGGTCTCGCATGTGACAGACGCGGATACTCACCACTATACTACCGAGGACACATTTTCTTCGCATCTTTTTTTCATAGATAAAACTGGGTGGTTTTGCAGGGAGATGAGGCGTGTGTAACACAAGAAGAATTGGAGAAGATAGAAACGGAGAATGTTCAATCACATTTAAATTTGAAGTATTTTGCATTTTTCAATGGAGATGATACTGTTAATATTTGAATTTCGGGTATCCTTTTTTAATTTTGCTTTTTTGCTTCTTTGTCTGAGCTGAAACTTTTTAGATAAAAATTTCTTGTAAAGTTCAAAAGTTTCATTGCTGATAACAATGAGTTTGAAACTTTTTTGTTGATAATTTGATCAAAGAACATAAAACAAAAAACTATTATTACGAATATTATCAAGTTTATCTGGCCAATTCTCTGAATTGACAACCACGAAACTACAATATAAATGCATTCTGGATTTTTGCTGCAAGTTTCCATTAAATTTTTCTTGTGATAACCTTTCGAAAATAGTATATGAGCCAATGGAAGCGCAGAAACTTGCTTGAGCAGGCCTATTTTGATAAGAAACCATACCTAAATTTTTTTCGTTGACCGACCTTGATTTTGACTTTGATTTTGGTTTTTTTCTTTTCCTTCATTTTATTTTGTTATACATAAGAGGCTTATTATCGCTACAATGAATTCCAGGAACTTTTCATTTTTGATATATTCTTCCAAAAGGACATTTCGAATATGTCGATTCTTGTGATCAAATCGGTATTGCTCGCAATTATGACAATTGTCTGTATGGTATTTGGATTACTTCCAATCAAAGTAAGTAGTTTTGAAATTGAATTTTTCTAAATTAGGGACTCAATTTCAGATGCTGAAAGTCTTGAATGACCCAAATATTTCAATATTTCATGGAAAATCATCTTTAATTATATCACTTCTCTCATGTTTTGCTGGTGGTGTTTTTCTTTCAGTTTGTTTTCTTGATATGCTTCCTGATGCTCTTTCATCTTGGCAATCTGTACAAACTCAATGGGGTGTTGAATATGATTATCCATTTGTTTTATTAATTACACTCACTTCATTTTTCCTAGTTTATATTTTTGAAGATGTTTCTGCATTATGTTGTGAGATTGAACATAATGATGAGAAGTAAGTTCAAAAAGTTTTGTTTGAAAGCTATAAGTGTTATTTAGTGATGCATATGTTTCCAAATCGCGTGCTCGTTTTGCAACTGTCGGCTCACTTTTCAATATGGATGGAACTATTGTAAAACCAAGATCTGATTCCATTATTTCTGAAAAAGATGCACCAGTTGTCAAATCAATTGTTTTTATCGCAGCATTTTTGCTTCACGTCTTTCTCGAATCTTTTGCTTTTGGAGTTCAAGAAAATCTTCGATCCACAACATCTCTTTTTATTGGAATCATTGTTCATAAAGCGATTGTTATGTTCAGTATTGGTATGAAGTTAACCAGGTTAGAAAACTATTATTTAATTATTTGGGTTACTGTATTTTTATTTCAGAAATCATCCTCGCCGTTGGTGGATTGTTGTTATGTTGATTTCTTCAATTGCTTTGTGTAATGCCACAGGTGGAATTATTGGAATTGTTATTGAAAGTTCGAATATGAATCTCATTGCGAAAGATCTATGTACTTCAATTTTGATGAGTGTTTCACTTGGAACATTTTTATTTATCTCATTTTTTGAAATGCTTGGCCCAGAAAGAATTAATCAACATTCAAATATTCTTCAATGGATATCTGCTGTTCTTGGTTTTGCATTAATCGCCGGAATAATGGCTATCTAAAAATTTGAATTTATTCACAATATCTAACAAAATCATAATATTGTTTGCGAATAAAAGATCTCGTTTCAAAATATTTTATTATTATTATAAATTTTTATTTAAAAACAAAAACAATAAAAAGGAATATTAATAAAAAGATTATTATTGAGTCAAGAAAAACGTTTGTTTGAAAATTTGTGTTCCATGATGAATTAAAGTGACAATTTTATCCAATCTTTGTTTGAAATTTTTGTCAACTTCGTGAAGACCTGCTGTAATTCTTCGATAAATTATATCATTTTCTGGGTTACGGTGAATCAATGGAACACTTTGAATCAAAACACCAAAGAAAAGAACAGCTTGATAAGTTTCGTCGAAATGAATCGATTGAAAACTTCTTGCTAAGTTTTGAACAAGAAATGAGCAAACTCGAGACATATTTCCAGATCCAAAAACATGACAGAAATCTTGACTTGATAACTCAATAAATGTGAAATTTGGATAAATAAGTCGATCAAGTTGAACACCTCCATGACAGCTTGTTGTAATACAAGTTTCGAAAACAAAATACGTGGCAAGAATATCTCGAAAGATACTTGGCTCACTAATTGGAGTCATTGGAATGGGAAGAATTCTATGAAGAATTGGAGAATCAATCCAAACTCCGCGCAGAAGTTCATATTCGATTGACACACTTTGAATAACAGCTTGAATTCCATTCATCAGCATACATTCCTGGAAAAGTTAAAATAAAAAAGTTATAGCTCTTTCAATATGTGACTAACTCTACTTCTCGAGATTTGCATTCTTCTTCGAATTGATACCAATTCATCAATAAATCGAACAATTTCTTCTGGAAGTGTTCGATAAATATATGGTTGTTGTGGACTTGTATGTCGTTTTTCTCTAACATCTCCTGGCAACATTCCATTTCGAACACATTTTAAGAATCGACAATATCGACAACTTGCCCCGCCAGATCTTTTCGATTCTTTCTTCTCTTTGTCATTTATAACAATACATGATCGACTTGCACATGAATAAGTTTTCTGATCCGAAACACTTCGTCTGAAATTGAATCAAACTATTTCTTTGAAAATATGTAAAGTTAGTTACCTGAAAAATGCACCACATGCTGCACAACTGACTGCACCAAAATGATATCCTTCAGCTCTCTCCATACATACACAACATGTCAATTCAGCTGGCAAATTCGTTCGATATGAATAGCAAACACTCATCTCATCAACTTTTTGTTAGTTATTAAAATAAAACGTTTATATACTGGAAGAACTTAGAGGAATTTGAGTATAATCCAGAGAGGGTGGAGATTATTTTGAAATAATCTCAAAATTTTTGAATTTTTAAGTTCTTCTCGATTGTTTATGGAAATGGCTTAATGCAGATAAAATGAATGTGGGTGGAGAAAAGCGGATGAGCAGAGCGGGCGGGCATAGAAAATATGAAGGATTTGAACAGATTTGAAAATAAGAATGAATAACATTTTATTTTGAATTCCAGGAAGAAAATGGAAAGAAGTTTAAAAAAAGACCTCATTTCAAAAAATGAAGTAATACTTGACTATTATGGTTGCTATCACATTTTGTAAGAAAAAGGCTATAGAAAAAAATTGGGAAAAAAACATTTGGAAACAATACACTTGGAATCAATATCAGAGTGCTATTTGTTGGTATGTTTGTAGATTACTGTAGCTGGATAGCAGATTTTTAAATGTTGGCGAATCAGAAATGAATCTGAGAGATTCTTTTTAAAAAGTTATATTTCCACCGTAGTTACTGTAGTTTTAAATTTTTCAGAATTCAGTTTCCTAAAAAGATATTCAAAAATTGAAATGAAAATATTTTTCTACTGTAGTTTTTTGTTTTTAATTTATTTCGCCATTTTTTTTCACAAAATTCAATATGCTGAAAGACAAATAGATGAATAACCAAAGCCGATTAATCTGGATGAATTCCAAAATAAAAAATCTTTTCAAAATCCTTGGATAATCTTGAGATCATTGATAAAGGTGATCAGGACTTATGAATGTAAATATTTTTCCAAAAAAAAAATAAAGTGAATTTTTTAAACGTGATCCATTAAATGTGACCTACAAAAAAATAGAGAGCCGTGAACAAAATTCAGAAAACCAGTTATTTTTCAAGACTCGATTATTCAGATCCTACGAAATTGATTTTGACTTTGATTCAAAATGGCGTTCACGTAAGGAATTGCAGAACAAAATTTGAAAAACAAAAACTACTGTATTTAGACCGTATTACAGTAACTCATTCCGTCCATCTCATTTTGAATCAATTGGCAAAGCAATGTTACGTGCTCGTCAAAACAATGATACTAGCAAATGTGATCTTCGACTTGTTCTTCGTAATCAACAACAAGAATTAGTTCACTCATGTGTAGTTTTGGGACATTCTGAAACACTTTCTTTACATCTCGAAAATCGTCGTCCACCATATGCACCAATTAATTTGACATCTTTGGATAATAATGCAGTACATTATGTTATCGATTGGATGTATTCTGGAAAATCGAATTTTCCATTAGAAGATCTGAAAAATGTATTGAATGTTGCTTATAAGTTGAAAGTATTTGGATTGCAAAGAGAATTAGAGCAAAAACTTCAAGAATTGGCTTTGAGTGACAATTTAATTTTTGCGATAAATACTGCAACTGCTGATTCATTCACAGTTTCGAATGCAACTCTCAAAAATTTGGCTCTAACTCTTCTTCAAAAACTTGACTCGCTTTATCGCGATGATATTTCTGAATTGAGTTATAATTCAATTCTTGCAATTATGTCAACTCATATTCCAGCTAATAAAAAGATTCCATTGATAAATTTAGCGATTGAATGGATAAAAATCAAGAATGCTGATTCGAATGCAAAAGAAACAGTTTGTAAAAGTATTGTTTTCAATGACAAAGATGAAGATACTCATTTTGTTGTTCAGCAACAACTTATTACTGTACGTTTTTCCTGATTCTGAAATATGTTTTCATTTGAGGTTTTTAGGAACTCCACAATAATAATTTCGAAGTTCGTTTGGTTGAACATCAAAATGGTAGAATATTATTACAAACAAAGAACAGTTTTCCTCCGAAAAGTTATAAGTTTATTGTGAGAACCAATCGAGCTGATAGAAGAAGACGACTGCATCTAACACGTTCACAATTAGAAAATGTTGTTGATCCATTCAAGTTAGTTTACTTTAAAAATAGGGAGGATCAACTTGTTTCGAGGATTAATATGTTTTTTCTTTACAGTCCTCATTATTCTCTTTCACGTCCTGAACCAGCCGAACCAATAGCTCCTTCTTGGCAAAATCGTTCAAATCGTCGCAATTTATTGATTGTTTCAAATTCGGATACCAACATAAATCGTAGAACAAACAGCGATTACAGTACTTTTGAATCTTCAAGAAGTAGCTTATCAGCGGCATCTTTGAAACCTCGTGTTTTTCCAACTCATTCACAAATTGAAGATTTGAATCGTATTCCAGATGTCTTTGAGTAAGTGTTTTCACTGTAAATGCGAAATAAATTGACAGCAATATCTAAATTTACAGAGGAAATCAATATCAAAATCAATTGGGAAATGTTCCAGTTCAACAATCTCGTTCAATGGTTGATCAGATTGCTGCGATTCCAAATCCTTTTGGTTTGGATAGTAGTGCACGCACAAGACCACGACAAAATTTGGATCTTACTTCATCAAATTCAAATACTGATCAATTTGCGAGACGTGCTGAACGAGCTGAACTTTTGCTGAACAATGCGGATCATGAATTTTTGGATCAACTTCCAAATCCTTTTCAGTAAGTGCTATAATTTTGGGAACATTTTAAAATGAGCAAGAACAACAAAATGTTGCTGAAACTACATAGTTTTTTGTCAACTGATTCAAATATTCTTTGTTAAAAATAAAAAATTATGTTGCAGATCATCTCAACCGAGACAAATTCGAAGAGCAAATTCGGATATATCAAACTTAAATGCGATTTCTGATCCATTTCAAACTTCAAGAAGAGAAAGCAAAAGTTCTTCGAAGAAAAAAGGAAAAAGATTGACTCAAAGCCAAACCCATTTTATGAAAAATTCTGATGATCCATTTGACAAAACTGAATCATCTTCAAGTTCAAGAACTGCGCTTTCCAGTCACTCCTCCAAAAGCAACAAAGAATTTAATGCTCGTAAAGGTGAGAAGAAAATTATATGGATGACTTCGCTTTTTATTTTTCAGATCCAGTAGTAATGAAACCAATCAATCAAGTCAAATCACCCAATTCCAATGGAAATCTTGATAATTCGATGAGATCTCCACGTGTACAACATCATAGAAAAGGATTGGTTATCAAATCTCAACATCTTTATCCACATTGAGAGCTTTTTTTTTAGAAATAGTATACTGACACAATGAACTTTTGAACAGAAATATTTATTCATCTAATCACAATTTCATCACTTGTACCATTTTTATTATTATTTTTGTTTTCTTCAATGATAGAAAACTGTCCACTTCCTTCTTCTAATTCCAATATTTCTCGAACTTCGTCTGGTGGTTCTTCTGAAAGTGAGAAAGTTTTTTTTTGAGAAATCAGGAAACGTTAAACTAATTTTTGAAATTAGATCTACAGAAGTTCATTTTTCGGTGGTTCAAAATAAACTAACCGGTAGTTGTTGTAGTTGTAGTTGTGGTTCTTCCCTGCATCTGGTGTTCTGGAATTGGATCAGCATTACAATCACATCTCAAACTCGACATTCTTGCAGAAAATGAATATCTTTGTAGATAATAAACCTCATAGCCATCCAAACCAAAAGTTCGTTTTGGTCCTGTTTGATTTCGAAAATCCCATGCTTCAAGAAGGCAACCATTTCGAACAACAACTACTTGAGCAACATTATCCCACTAGAAAATAAATATTTGGAAGAGCTTCTGAATTTTAAAATGTACAAGGGTTCCCAAAGTGTTTTTTAAAAAAAAATCTGAAAGTTCCAAAAAATGAGAATTCCAAATAATATTAGGAAAAAAAAATTCAGATTTTTTTTAAAACCTTCTCCTGATTATAACCAAAAATAACTTCAAAATATTTCTTCACTCACCATGGCTCCAAGCGCTCCTCTATTTTTATCTTTCACATTAATTTTCATATTCAATTGATCAATTTCACAACTATCAGAAGAATATAAAATAGCACAACAAGTTGGACATTCATCTTGAAGCAGCTCAATTTTACATTTCGAGAATACAAAAGCTGGAATTAACAGCAAAAATATTAACCACATTTCTGAAAATAACAAATGTTTTGCTTCTGTGCGAAAAAATCGCATTATCAATCATTCTTATCGATTTCCGGAGTTTCATGACTCATCTTTTCATTTTAAATGCAAAATTTAAATAAAAAAATCAAAATCAAAATAAAAAGAAATCAAATAAAAAAATCGAAGAAAATTGAACAAGATGTGGCAAAATGATTGATTGTCTTGAAAAAAATTGTGTAAAATAAATAAAAAACAAAGTTTATTTCTCAATACTTTTGAAAACTTTGTGAATACGAAATGGTAATAAATTTAAGATCGTTTGGTTTTGCTGGATATGAGGATCTCATCAGCTGTCAGTTGCCTAATGTGATCTGTTGTTTTTTATTTAGAAAATGACTTTTGTGGTCCGATCGAATATGTAATACTTTTGTTATATTTCCAGTTCATTTCACATTTTTCACGTCACGCAAAACTTTGTCGAATCAAAATCCAAAGCCGTCAAAAAATGTTGTTTGAACAAACAAATAAAAATGCCGGACATGTCAAAACTCGAAGAAACACTATATAAACACTGCGAAAAATCTAATAACCATATCATTTTCTTCTAAAAATGTTCTCATCTCGTTTCGGATTATTCGCTACAGTATGCCTCATTTTTGCAATGAATGCTTATTGGGGACAAGTTCAAGCTGCAGTCTTGCCTGTTTCTTCAACTGAAGTTGCTTTAGTTGAAGAATCTAAAAGTGGAGAATTAGCAACAACTGAAAGCACAACTGCAATCGATACTTTGGGAAGTTCTCGAGTTAAAAGAAGTGGTTGCGGATGTGGATGTGGTTGTGGATGCTGCTGTTGTCGACCAAGATGTTGTTGTTGTTGTCGTCGTTGCTGCACTTGCTGCAGAACTTGTTGCTGCACAAGATGTTGCACTTGTTGTAGACCTTGTTGTTGTGGATGTGGATGTGGATGTGGATGTGGAGGAGGATGTGGATGTTGCGGATGCGGAGGAGGAGGACGTAAACGTCGTTCCCTTCAAAACTTGAAAATCGATCATGCTAACAGACAATTGGGAATCAAAAGAAAATCTGGAGGACAAGGAGCGGCTGCTGCTAAATGCTAATCAAGTTAATTTAATTATTTATTTTAATTTAAGTTTTCAACGTAATAAAAACATTTCAAGTTTCTGTACCGGTTATTGTTGTCATCATTGATGTCTCCAAATTATTCTGAATCACAGCAACCCCGCCTTCTTTTCTTTGCGCTGTTGAATTTTCGGTTTGTCGTTTTGGGAAATATGCATTTTTCAGAACATACATGAAGTTCTGGAAAAAATAGTAGAATATTGTTTTCAAAATTTTTCTGTTTGAAATCATGTGAGAAAAGTAGTGTCTCTGTTTCTCTTATTTCTGCCAAAAAAAAACCTTACCAGAATATGATCGAAATTCTCAATTGCAACAAAACCACACATTCCAATAAGCAAAACAAAAAATGTGATCAAAAGATACATTTCAACATTGACAAATCGAATAAGCGTGAAACCAATTGCAATTCCCAAAGATTCCCAAAACCGATATTTTGTGAATGCAAATTGAAGAGATTGTCGACCAACAAGAGCAACCCAAAAACCATTAATTTGAGTATTCCAAACACCATCTGCCATTCCCCAAATACTTGCAACAACATAGAAAATCTCGATATCCATCGCATTCAATGGCCAGATCTGAACAAAGTTGTTCAGCTCGAAAGAAAAACTATACAACTCACAATTAATGTGATAATCATAAGAAGATTTACAACAGCTCCAAAAACAAAAAGTGGCATTCGACCAAATAGTTTGATCTATAAACAATTTTTAGAGAAATATTTAAAATTTGAAATACTTACTAATGGTCCAAAAACTAGGGAACAAATAGCATCAGATACTCCAAAACATGCCATAACTGAACCAATTTGACCAATACCCAAACCACATCCAATAAATGATTTCGTGTAAACTCCAACTATAAAAGCTTGTTCCAAACCATTGAAAATTGTGAGTGGAACGAGAAGAAAATATCGAATATTGAACAAGTTTTTCCACATTAATTGAAGAATTTCAGTATTCAGATTGGTTGGAGTTTTCCTGAAACAAAAATGGATAGTTAATATTTAAGTTCAAAAACAACTAACCTTGAAATTTTGTCCTTCTGAAGAGCATTTAGAAACATACTAACAATCATTCCACTGATTACTGTACATGTCAAATATGTTAGACAAACAACAACATGAACACTTTGTGGCGGAGCTTGAAGATTATTAAATGCTTGTTCAGATAATTCGGATTCATTCATTGGGAATTTATTGCCACATGTTTTATAAATATCATCCACATTTTTACTACTTGGAAGTGAATATAATAAAATATATGAAGATATTATATTTCCAATAACTTGTCCACAATGAACAATCATAAAGAAATATCCAAAAAACCGAACGATTACTGTATTCGGACTTTCGAAATTCAATGACGCATATCGAATTCCCATTTCAGTAATATAATTACATTTTGCACCCCAAATACAAGAAGCCGCAACTCCGCAAAGAATTGAAGCTGGAAGCATTGATGAATAAGTTGCTCGCATATTTATAAGAATATATAATGTATAAATAAATATTGCGACAATAAATGTCAATTTACACCCGATTCGATTTATCATAAAAGTTGGAATAAAAAGTGATGAAAATGCCAATGACACATAAAAAGCGCTGAAAATTTGAGTTTTTAAATATTCAGAAAGTTGAAATGAAAAACGTACACTAAACAATCTGATCCAAGATTTCCATTAATTGTTGTTTGTAAATTTTGGAGTCCGTTAAAAGCAGTGAACAAAAATAGAAATGCGACTGATAAAATCCAAAGATTTGACATGATTTTTTGCATAACTTTATTGACTCGTTCTTTTTCTCGACCACTCAACATATCTCGCTTTTTCTTTCGAATCAATTTTGCGATTAAATCATGACTGAAAAATATGTTTTTTCGGAAAGTTCAGTTTTGTGTACCTATATAAATATGCCAAATTTTCATCATCTTCTTCATCGACCGAATGCATCAAATGTTGCATTGTAACTAATTGATTAGTTCTTGCAAGTCTTCTACGAGATCCATGAATCGGACAAAAATGATCATATTCTGGAATTCTTTCCATTTCAGTTGCTTGTTCAAAATGATCTTCATTTTCGAAAGAAGAACCACGAAATAGATAAGAACATTTTTCATTGACTTCTAATTTCTGCTGTTCTCTTCCCAGGTCTCGAAAGAAAAATGGTTTTGGCTCTTCGAAATATTCCTTTGGTCGAATACAGTAACCATCTAGAGAAAGATCAGGAATATCATGTTGCCGAAATAAAAGTACACTGTCGTCTCGTTTTTTAGGAAGTGCTCCAAATTTCTAGAAATATTAATGATTGTGATATCATTTTCAAAAAAAAAACTAACTTGTAATACATGAAGTGAAGCTTTTCGAATATTTTCCAATGCCGGTGATTTACTTCTCTGCTTCTTCTGTCTTCTTTGCTCTCTCGCTTCTTGTTCTAATTGTTCTTTTCCTAAACCAAGAGCTTCTAATTCAGCAGCACTGTCAAGCATCTGAAAATATTTATTTTCAATAACAAATCAATAATGATTACATGACATCCATATGTCAGTCAGTTCAGTCAAACCTCAGGATCAACTCTGGATGCTCTCGAAGGTGATCGGCTCTTTTTTCGATCTTCAGTTATCATATCCCATGTGTTTGAATCACCCATTATTGTTCAATTTTATTATTAAATTTTTCTTTAGATCAGATCTGCAAAAAAAGTTGAAAATTCTTTCAGAAGCGAAAAAAAAAGTGTTGAAGAATGGCGAGAAAAAAGTGGGGGTTGGACCAGCTGTGTGTTTTTGAAATGAAGATATCTGTTGAATGAGGATTACAACAAACATGTTCTTGGGTGCACAAAAAGACATGCAAAAAAACGAAACGATGAAATTGAGAAGAGATGAAATGAAAATGATCACTATATAGCCCTTGTTGTTGAAATTTGGGTCATAAGTACAACCCTCGGCAACCAACCCTCGGATGTTTAACCCTCGGCATTTTGTACAACCCTCGTGTGTTCAACCCTCGGAATGTCTAAATTTACCCTCGTCATTTCAAAAATTAATTTTTTCATTTTCGAAATGATTTTTTTCGGAAAAAAACTTCATTTCTCTCTATAAAGCTTAGGCTTAGTGAACACCCAAGAAAAATGTTTTTTCAACAAAATTCGATGTTTCATATGAAAAAAACAAGTATTTCTGACATCGTGTGAAAATTTAAAGTTTTTCCTAACAACTAGATCCAAGGATTGCTCGCCTCAAAAAATGACAACTGAAATTGAAAATTTTTTTTTTGACGTCGAGGGTTAAACACACGAGGGTTGTACAAAATGACGAGGGTTAATGGGGCTATTCATGTTATTTTTCAACGCTGAGAAAACGGGAGAAAAGCGGAGAAAACCTATTCAGGTAGGCTGAGAAAATACGAAAAAAGCGGAGAAAATGTATTTCCTCCGCATTTCTCCTGTTTTCTCAACATGCTGAGAAAATACATGAATAGCCCCATAAACATTCGAGGGTTGGTTTCCGAGGGTTGTACTTTTGACCGAAATTTGATTTATCACTACGACAGGTTCATTAGTCTTTTTGAAAAACAAAAATTGACTTTTAGAAAAATGTGTATTTTTTTTGTATGAAAAAATAAATACAGTAATCATTTCCAAACTATTTGTTCTAGGTTTTCTGGAAATTTCTTCCCAAAGAGATTCTTCATTTCTGACCCGGTGGGTCGTTCAAAAATTGCGTATGCCACCCATATTTCAGGGGACATCGCGGGCAATTGGGAAAAGTTTTCAACCAGCAATAAACGCACCTCGGCAAAGCCTCATTGGTCACGTTATCGCCCCAGCGCAAAGCTAATTTATCCCAAATTTAGGAAAACTAGTCATTAGTTTGGCTTGCCGACATAAATTGGGTTTTGCTTGCTGACATGCAATATGTGTGAAATGGGCGGAGCTTGTTATTTGTTGTTTATGGGAATAAAAGATGATTGAAAAATAACGAGTTTATTTTGAAAACTATCATCGTCTGATACTTTTAACACATCGAAGTGTATCATCATCATGATCGGATGGTAGAAATTCAGGTTCATATGCCCTGAAACATTACTTTATTGACAAATGTTTAGTTGTTTGTTGAACTTACATCGAAGATCTTCTATCATGAGTTATTTCATTTGAACCAACATTATTATCATTTTGTGTTTCAGCCATTGTTGATTGTTGAATTGGTTTTTTAGATTGCTTCCCGATTCTTGAATGATTCTGAGTTGGTTGTTCAATTGCTGTCATATCGGAAGTTTTCTTGACTCCTTGATTATTTTTTTCCAAACTTTTTGATATTCTACTAACACCTTTTACTTTCGATATATTATTTGGAACTTGAATATCACTTCCATCACTTTGTGTTATATCAAGATTTGAGCGATTTGAAGAATTATTATTAGCCACCAAATTATTTGGTGAATTTGTACTTTGATTTGGTGAAATTTTATTAAATTTGTGATTTGGATTTTTTGACTGATATGCCACATTTCTTACATTCCTTTTCGGTTTCACACAAAATAATACAATTGAAAATATGGGAAAATATCGAAGAATAATATCGAGTATAAAATTCATAACTGGTTTTTGTTCTAAAACTTCTTTGACATTTATGTATTGTTTTTCTGGAAAAAGTATTTTTATTCTGAAATGTTTATTTTATTTCACACTCACAGTTCAATGACATCTACAAAATCTCGAAATAAACATTTTATGTGTGGTTATTTTTTCATTAAAAAAAATGCTGGTTCACGTTGATCCAATTTTCCAAACTGCCAGAAAAGAAAAAATCTGTCATTTTGATAAAACATAAAAATGGTAAACGACGACAAAATTTTCAATGGAATGGAAGAAGTAGTGAGTAACCTAGAAAGCTAATAAAATTATTACAAAACAATATTTTTTGAAGATTAAATCAAGAATAAATAATGCTCTTTTAATCAAAGGAAAAACTGGAATTCCGCAAGAACTTATTGAAAAACATACTGCAACAGTAAAATTGAACAAAAATGAAAAAGGAATTGGAATATCTATTTATAATGGATTAGTTTGTCGCATGAAATACAAAAGTCCATTCAAAGGACAAATTAATATTGGCGATATTGTTATGTTTCTAAATGGTTCATTGGTTCATTTTGAGAAAAAGTAACACAGTTTCTTGTTATCTGGAAAGTAAATTTTTTTTTATTTACAGAGATAATGTTCAATCAAAACATTTTGGTACATTAGCTCAAGAAATGTTATCCAAAGATTCTCCAACTTTAGAAATTGGTTTTATCCGATTAAAATCTCGACTTCTTGATGTTCCTGTACCAAAAGGTTTCACTGCAACAGAAGATTACAAAACTGATACAGTTTTTGTTTATCTATATAGTTTTATGAAATTTGGTTTACATGTTCAGAAAGTGATGGGAACTGCAATTGTTTCTTATACAACACCAATTTCGATATCTAGTATCTCTTTCAATATTGGAGAGACAATTCTGACAGTTGATGATAAAAAAGTTGATTGTATCGAACAAATTAAAGAACGAATAAGAGAAGGTTGTATTGAAAAGGGATTTGCGAGAGTAACTGTGACATATCCGGCAATTGATATTCTTCGAAATAGTGTTAGGAATCAAATAAATACAGCTGCAAGGGAAATTGAAAGACCAATTTATTCAATCGGAGAAGATGCACGAAAATTTGCTCAATCAGGAATTACAGCTGTGAAAACTGCTGCCGAGCCAAAGTCTATTTTGAGATTGACGAAAAAACAAGACGCGACTCCAACTGGAGATGTTAATTCTAAACAGTGAGTTTCAAATGGGAGTACTGTAGAACTTCCCCTTATAAAGTTCAGCGTTGGTAATAATAGCAAGTAAATAAAAATCTTTCTCTGATTTGCTCTAAATAGATGGGTACTGTAGATTTCTTCTATTTTTCTGAAAAAAATTCCATGAGCACTTCCAAAAGTAGTTCTTCATTTTCTGACCCGGTGGGTCGTTCAAAAATTGCGTATGCCACCCATATTTCAGGGGACATCGCGGGCAATTGGGAAAAGTTTTCAACCAGCAATAAACGCACCTCGGCAAAGCCTCATTGGTCACGTTATCGCCCCAGCGCAAAGCTAATTTATCCCATATTTAGGAAAACTAGTCATTAGTTTGGCTTGCCGACATAAATTGGGTTTTGCTTGTTGACATGCAATATGTGTGAAATGGGCGGAGCTTATTTGTTTTATAGGGAGGGGGTTTGAAATAGCAAAAGAATTTATTTTTTTCAGGATCAAAACAAGTTTAATTGGTTTTCGAAATTCTGTTGGTGAACATGATATTCCAAGTGAATGGAACTCGAAACTTTTTGTATGGCTTCCTCCAATGAAAACTGCAGATTCGGAGAAAAATGGAGGTTTTCAAGCAAGTAGTGTCTATAAAAAACCATTGAATTAATAAAGTTTTTATTTGAATAAAAAAAACTTATGCAAATTTCGAAACACTCTATCATTTGATTTTATAGTATTTGTTTCGAATGTTTAAATGGGCTTTATTTTTCGATCAACAGGATGATTTTTATTCGGTGAGTTTTGAAGAGAAAAAGGAAGGAAGGAAGAAGTTGTTGAAAAAGAAGAAGAAGAGAAAGAGCATCTTCTTTTTTTCTCTTTTTTTTTGGCTCTGTGTCTCTTTCGAGAAAAGAGTAGGCGCATACACGTAATGGCGCTGAACCAGAAAAAAGAAAGATTTTTTGTTTTCTTTGCCTTTTACTAGTTTGGTGGATTTTATTCTCGAAAACTATGGCTTCTTTGAAAACTTTGAGAAAACAAAAAACTTTTTAGCTTCTTGGTTTCTTGATTTCACCAAGAATTTCGAACTCAAAATTTTATGAGTAGAAAAGGTTTTTATTTAATGATCTTCCAAACTGTTTTTGTTATCAGTGTTTGGAATTATAATCTAACAAACTGAATATTTATAGAAAAAAGATACTAATTATTTTTCTCATTCGTCTTATTGTGTTCTCACACACCAACCAAGCAAAAACAAGAAAAATTCAGATGGAAACTAAATAATTCTCGTAAATATGCAGCTAGAATGCGCTTCTTGTGTTGGACAAGGCGCTGCAACAACTTCAGACGAAACAAATTGTCGATCATATTTTGATTGGAGATATTTTTGCTGTGCTAATAATATCAGAGAAGTAAGTTGGTTTTGGTATCATTTTATTTGAAATATTATTCTCTTTTCTGTCAACTATATGAAAAATGATTATAACAACTTTTTTGTGATGAAAATAAACAAAAACCAATTTTCAATTGAAACGACAAACGGTCTGCAAATTGTGCAGACACCAAACATTTTAGTTTACGCGCATATTTTTATTTTTTTCGAGTTGTTTGTCGCTTCCAATCGATTTTCATATTCTTCAAAAACACTTCTATATTTTCAGTTCAAAAAGCGTGCAGAAATGAATGGTCTTTGCTGTTGCACACCGTGCAAACCCAGATATCGTCGTTTGGTTGATTCGATATATCCGAGAGCGGTTACAGATGGACTAATTCATTCCAACATGCAAAAACTGACCTTTTATGCAATTTCACATCCAGAAAAATTAGAAAGAATTGGAGAGTATTTGGTTATGCGTATGGGTAGAGACTTGGGTAGACAGAGACCGGTTCAAGTTAAAGTAAGTATTTTTGGATTTCGAAACTACATCAATACTTTTTAATTTTTCAGATTGCGGTAGAAGCGATGGATCAGTTATTACAAGCATGTCACAGTTCTCCTAGTTTGCCACAATTTTCTGAAAACCATTTGAGAATGGTTCAAAGATTACTAGAAAGTAACAATGCAAAAATGGAGGTAAGAAAATAGTTCATTTATTCACCCCACATAACACGAAGCTTATGTTCTCCTTGTGGTGGTCCATAATGTTCAGCCCAAGCTCCTTCACAAGTACATCCTTCTGGTGCTGGAATATGATAAACACCAAAATGATGTCTTTCTCCCAAAGGAAGTTGTTCCTTTCCTCCTCTGAAAGTAGAATTGGATTTACAAATATTTGTTTCTAAGTAAAACTAACCGATAAATTAGTGTGATAGTTTGAGTTTGATTATAATCCAAAATTCCAGTAGCTGGTCTAATTCTGAACAAATCATTTCGAGTACATTTTACTTTATAAGCTTGTTTCATTTCACTTGTATTCGTAATTCTCAAATAAGTTCGATGCTCTTCTTGAGGATCATTACGGAAATTGATTCTATCTGCAGGTTCAGTAGAAATGAATTGTTTTTTGTCTGCCATTTACGAATATTCTATTTTTCCAAAATATATTTTTTCTTTTTCAATTTTCTTTTCCACGATGCACTTTTAATAGGGTCACGTTTAATTTTGCAATATTTAATTCCATGTTTTTTTTTCAGCAACTTGCAACTGATTCATTTGTGACATTTTCAAATATTGAAGAATCTTCACCATCTTATCATCGACAATATGATTTCTTTATTGATAAATTCTCTCAAATGTGTCACGCAAATCAACAAACCGCTTATGGAGAAGATTTCAAAAAAGCGAGATGTGCTGGTTTAAGAGGATTACGAGGAGTTGTTTGGAAATCGGTCACTGATGATCTTCATCCAAATATTTGGGAACAGCAACATATGGATAAAATAGTTCCATCAATTTTATATAATCTTCAAGAACCAGATGAAAATGGAAAATCTTTCTCTGCTTCAAATTTGCCAAATTTTGATGTTTCATTCGCTGATGCAACACAATTATCAACACAACGAGAAGAAGATGAAGCAACTCCAAGAGTTTTATCTGATAGATGTTTAAGAGAATTAATGGGCAAAGCTTCTTTTGGATCATTGCGAGCTGTTATTGAACCTGTTTTGAAACATATGGATTTGCATAAACAATGGACTCCACCACCGAGTTTTGCAATTCATTGTTTCCGTGCAATTATCTACAGTATCCAAAGTCAAAATAGTTATTTTGTTATTCAAGAACTTATAAATCATTTGGATAGTATGTGCACTGCTGATGCTTCAACAAGAATTGGAATAGCTACAGTACTCTCAAATATTGTTTCAATCGCTGGAACTTCAATCGGACCTCTTCTTCTCTCGATTTTCAATTCACTTTTGAAACATTTGAGAACATCAGTGGATTTCGAAAGAAGTGGAAAATGTAGCGATCAAGCAGCTGAAAAATTATATCAAGAAGCATTGATTAATGCAATGGGAGATTTCGCGAATGCACTTCCAGATTATCAAAAAGTTGAAATGATGATGTTTACAGTTGGAAATATTCCAAATTTGGATGAGAGAAAAGCAAAACAAGGAGATGAGTTTTTGCAACATGTTCTTGTTAAAACTTTGCTCAAAGTTGCTACAAAATATCGAACTGCTTATTTGGCAACAGTTTTCACTGATTCATTCCTTGATACATTGTTATTGTTAGCTTTGGTTAGAGATCCACAAGTTCGATTGGCTACGCAAAAGATTTTCCACACTTTGTTAGATAGGTTAGTTTAATGTTGTCTTATTTTATTGAAACATATTTTTATAAAATTTCAGACATGATAATGCTTCTAATCTTGTTCACCTTGGTTATGAATTGGATGTTTCGGATGTTCAATTAACTGTTGAAAAATGTTCTCGTGCTGATCAAATGTTTATGAGAAAACATATTGGAGAAATAACTAATATGCTTTTGAAAGCAACTTCAATTTCTGAAGATCAACAACATTTTGATGCAATTTTATGCACAATGAGTCTTCTTTGTGTTGAAGTTGGTTTTGATGAAACTCTTATTGAATTATTCCGACTTTCACTTGCTTTACAACAATTGGCAATTGATGAAACAATGAATTTTAGTACACAGAAAAGAATTGAAATACATAATATGGTTGCAAAATATATGAATTTATCGGCACAATTAATTGCAAACCCATCATTATGTCAACATGTTCAACATGTTGTGTCAAATCGAGCACAACGAGCAGTTTCTGGTCTTAATTTATTGGCAAAAGATCCATTAGCAAATGAAGAAGTTCGAGAAGCACAAAATGATCCAAATAATCCTTTGAAAATTGTTGAAATTGATGCGATGAAAGATGATAGAGGATTATTATTCCAAGTTGATGATGTGGCTGAATCATTAAAAGCTTCTGGAAAAGATGCGAGCCGATTATTTATGCCATTTGGAAGTGGTGGAACAAATAAAGGAATTGAAAGAAATATTGATGGAATTGATACAACTGATGGAAATGAAAGAGGAATTGATGATATATCAGTTGATATGTCTGTTGATTGGACACCGCCAGGAAGTGCAAAAGATAGTCGAAGAAATACTGTATTTTCTGTGACTACTGTTCCAAGTGAGTTAATATTTGAATTGTATTTGACAATATTTAATCACTTTTTAGAACTGAATTCTGCTGGTCTTCCGGCAACAGTTGAATCACTTCGAACTTATGCAAATTCACCTTTCGATCCTGTTGAAGAAGAAAAACGTCAGAAGGTATTTTAACTATACAAAAAAAGTTTCAGTAAAAGATAATAATTTTACAGGAAATAACTAATTCCGTATTGAAAGATTTGCGAGAATCAACATTTGATGAAAGAGTTTTGACAAATGAAATGATAAATGAGTCAACTGATTTATCCCGCTCAATTGGTAAACTTCTTGCCAGAAATGCAGATACAGTTAGAGTTCGAGATATTGGAAGACCAACAAAACCGAAAAATGTATTTGAAATTGACTTGCCATCTTTTGCTTATTAGGTTTTTCATTTTTTTTATTGCTAAATAACACAAAGTCTTCAATTTTCATTTGAGACTTGTAAATAGGAACTAAATTATTTTAATTTATATAACAGACTTATATTAATTTAAAGAATAAACTAATTTGATCTACACCGCCAAATTTGCAGTTCTTCTTTGTTTCAAAATGATGAGTATAAAAAAGCGAGAGGTGAGCAAATTTAATTACATTTTTCACTCACTTAACTTTTTTTGTTCTGTTTTAACTTTTCAGGCAGCAAAAAATGTTGATGGCGGAGGTGAAAAAATCGATAAATGGTTTTGGTGACTCGGGCGAAGGAATTAGAAATGCTTTAGATGCGAAAGTTCGATCAGAATTCGGATTAAACTGTCATTATTCGAGATTAGGAATGACTTGGAATCGACAAAACTATATACTTTTTGCAAAAAAACGACTTATGGGCAACTATCGGGTGAGCAAAATTATATAGGGAATTTGAGCAAGTGCTCAACACGTGGGGGTATAGCTCAGTGGTAGAGCGCTCCCTTAGCATGGGAGAGGGCTGGGGTTCAATTCCCCATACCTCCATAATTTTTTGTTGCAGACTTATTTGATGACTGTCAATATGCGCAACAATCCTTATGTCTCCAAACCAATTCGGATATCCGGAGTCATGAATCTTGAAAATTCGAAAAAATTCATTCAAAGAATGATTGACAACTTGCAACAACCAGGAATGTTTCCATTGAACAAACAACCTGTTGGTTGTAACATTCCTGTTGGAAAATCGATTATACAAAAAGATGAAATTCCGGAAGATGTTCATGAAAATATAGACAAATATTTGAATCGAGGAGATGAAATATATTGCGAGATCAATGTATCAAATGTCAAATTTTATCATTCTGGAATCTACGCTGGGAATGAAGAAGTTTATCATTTTCTCACCGAACCACGTAGGGTTTTCCTTTTTTTTAAATTTTTGATAAAAATGGTAGACGTTTTTAGAAGAGACCGAAACACTTACGAAAGCATTGGCAATTTTCAACGGAGCTCCAGCCCGTGTTGTAAAAGAATCGTGGTATGAATTTATTTATGCATTGATTGAAGAAAGTGATCCACCACCAAAAATATATCGAGTCACACATCCATTAATTTGTCGATCATCAGATGAAATAATTGCCGAAGCTGAACATCTTCAACAAACAATGTTAGTTTATGATATTCGAAGATCAAACTGTCAACATTTTACATCATTGTGTTCAACTGGAGTTGGATTTTCTTATGATATGAATTCGAATTTAAAATATATTGCATGCACTTTGATGAAACCAACTCATACTGTCGTAAAAGCAATCACAAAATCAAGTGATTTAAGATCAAAAGCTTCGAATTCGTATTCAAGTAGTGATGCTTCAATTGAATCTTGATTTTTTCTTTGCTCATATTTTTTCAAATACTAACCAAACAAAAACATATCAGTCATGTGAATTTATTGCATCTGTTGAATAAATTTGTCACTTTGAGGAAGAAATATGTTTTTTTTGGATTACTGTAGTTACTTTTCTTCACATTCCAACCTCTGGAAAACATTTAATTTTTCAAAAATTAGTCGAAAAAACGTTAGATTACTGTACTCACTTTTTTTCAAATTTCGAGAATTTAAAAATAATCTTCAGATTACTGTAGTTCACTTTTCTGAAATTCTCCAACAGTCGTCTAGAAAATAATAAGAAATGACAAAATATTTTTAATTTCTAATTGATATTTATTTGAAACGTGAACTAGTTTTCAATCAAGATAACGTGAAAAAATAGGGCACGAAAGACTGTATTTAAGCAGCTGGCAAACACTCAATCTTCCTTATTCTATCCCTAATCAATTTATCGATTTTGGCAATAGAAGCGACGCTTCCTAAGTGGTTCAAGCTCTTGCCTTTGTGAAAAAACGCGACAACAACAAAACCCGATGATCCAAATGACCGGACTCGAATCTCTTCCATTTCTCGTACTTCTTATCGCTCCACTTTTTGCTATGGTGATAGGATGTGGTGGTAAAAAGAAAGCGTAAGTTATACCAATTACAGAAAATAATGGAATAATAATTGATGCATTTTCAGACAAAAACCAACTCCATCAAAAATGGGTGCAGCTCCGCCATCAGCTCCTCCAGCACCGCCAGTTGAACCACCAGCAGCTGCACCAGCGGGTGAAAAGAAGGAAGAAGAGAAGAAGGAAGAAGAAAAGAAAGATGGAGAAAAGAAAGAAGAAGAAAAGAAGGATGGTGAAAAGAAGGATGAAGAAAAGAAGGATGGAGAGAAAAAAGATGAGGAAAAGAAAGATGGAGATAAAAAGGATGATGAAAAGAAGGATGGAGACAAGAAGGATGATGACAAAAAAGATGGAGATAAGAAAGATGATAAGAAGGAAGGAGGATCCAAAAAGTCGAAGAAATCCAAAAAGTCTGGAAAGTCAAAGAAGTCTGGAAAGGATAAATCTGACAAGAAAGACGATAAGAAAGACGACAAAAAGGATGACAAAAAGGATGACAAAAAAGACGATAAGAAGGATGATAAGAAAGATGACAAGAAAGATGACGTAAGTTGAAAATTTGGATAATTCATTGAGTATGAACTTTGGAAAATTTCAGGACAAGAAGGATGACGACAAGAAGGACGACGACAAGAAAGACGACAAGAAGGAGTAGTAGTCTAACTCGTGCAATTATTCACATTATGAATAATATTTTTAAAATTTGATTTGTTTTGTTGTTTTCTCAGAGCTCGCCACCAGATCGCTGCGGCCACCTGGAAACCGCATGGCCGCCAGGTCGCCTCGAGTTTTCCGGCGAAAATTTCGAAAATAAACAAAGGATCTTTCATACAGTAATCCCACGCGTTCTGAAAAAATTTCCGGTAGGGTCTGTCTGAATGAAGAAGATTTTTTGATGTCGCAACTTTTCGCAGTTTCCTCGGTTTTTCACCAATTCCCCAAAATCTCTGTTCTGCTTTCAAATCATCCAGAAAAATCCAGAGAATTATTATTCAAAAAATCAAATAAATCACAATCTTTATTCATCCAATTGTCTCTGAATTTCTCTTCGAATTTCCTCGGAAATTTTTCGATTGCTTCCCGGGCGAAGTTTAACATTCCACAAATTCTTCGGTGTTTCATCAACCAATTTGCTTCGTGGTTTTCTATAAAAAAAGAATTATATTTTCAGATAAAATCTGAAATAATCTTACGGTGTTTGCTCTATCAAAATAACACTTTGATCTTTTCCAGCATGATTTCGAAGCCTGAAATTTACAACTTTTAAAATTTGAAGAGTAGAGAGCATTGATGGAAAATATGTGTTCTAGTAGCTTTTTTTCTGATAGCTCATGTTTAGATTGAAACAAACCAACATTTCAGTGAAAATTGGAGCTTCATGCTCAAATTCGAATCCTTGTTGAACTGGAGAAATTGAATCAAAATTGAAACTTGGTTGTCTTGATCTAACAGTTCCATTCAAAGAACTAACATCGGCCAAGAATCCACGTTCATTCTAAAAAAAATAAAGTTTTGGATGATTTTTGTAGTTGTAATTTTACCTACCGTACTCTCATCCATCGAAATAGTTGGATCAATAAGAGTCGATTGTTCGTGTGTCTCGATTGAAATTGGTGTGACATCAATTATTGTTGCATTTCGATCGATTTCCATTGGTGAAAATTGCAAAGTTTGGCGGCAATTTTCGGGTGAAGTTCGCATTACATTTAGACGAGATTTGGAAGATCTGTTAAAATTTTGATAGAATTTCGAGAAATGGAGAGTGGAGATAATTCTATGAAGCCGACAACTGCTGTTCCAAATTCTCATACCTTGAAAGACGAGTTCGATGAATAAGCATTGAATCATTAAAATGTTGTGGAGAAAGAGTGACAGGATTAGCAGTTTGTCTGAAAAATCTTGCATTTTTCACTCAAAGTTCACTTGCTCACAAAAACTGCTCACGTATTATCAGTCGATTCATTTCGAATATTTTTCAGAATTGCCAAGTATTCTTCAATATTCGAAATGACAATATCCATTGCTCGATCTCCCAAAATATTTGTGTATTCCACTGCGTTATTTCCGATTGTTTGCAAAATTTCAATCACATTGTTCGAGTAGGCCTGAATTTGAAACAAAATATTTTTAATCATTTTTTAACACTTACAATTTCCAATTGTTCTATGCTCATTGTTTTGTTATTTGTTATATTTTTTTGAAAAATAATCAGAAACAAAATTTATTCACGGTAAAAAAAAACAATTAGGTCACGTTTCAGAAATTTGAAAAAAAAATTAAATTTCTTATTACAAAAAGAGCTACAGTATTCTGTATTTCGAAAGTCCAAAAATGAATTTTGTTTTAATTACGTGTATTTGACATATTTCCTTGTACAGCAACCTATGAAGAATGTTTTACCTACAGTACCTTTTCCAACACAAATCACTTCCAAAAATTTTCCAAGAAACGGTTCTCAGTCTTTCTTAATTCTCTCTTTTTTTACCAACCCAGTTCTGATATCAAAGTTATTCATACAAAAAAATTTCTGGTTTTACCAAAAGGCACTTTTTTTAAAGTACATAGTTCGACATCTTTAATTGTACTGTGATAACAATCGAATGATAGATCAGAAAAAACAACAACAATTTTCAGGGGTTTCAGTTATTAAAGAAAAAAGTATGTTCCGGTTTCAGGAGAATATTCAATTTTTTGTTATGATTATAGCGCAAAAATCAAAAATACAGTATCTGACTCCAAAATACACTCCGCCTCAATTGTTTTCTCTAATGAATATGAGAAAAAATTGTTGTATAAAATGGTAGAAATGAATGATAAAACTGTCACTTTTCCTATTCTTCTTCTAAGTTTAGATTTTCAATTCCAATGGGTTATAAAATCGAATTGCCATTGGATTCTAAAGTTAGAAATGTCAGCATATTTGGGTTCGTCATAAAATGTTTCACCTGGACAGTTTTAAGTGAGTTATGTATATTTTTTGTTATTTTGGTTTTCTTTTTTTGTAGCGGTCACAGTTTTGATAGATAGATACCGGTTTCACTTTTTTCACGTCTGTAGAAAAATATTATCAATCATTTTTTACATTTAGCTTCCAGACACTTTTCCAAAATACATACTTTTTTTTCAGTTGTTGGCGCGTTTCAAATCCCACCACTTTTTGGTACTGTAAATCGAGGTTTATTTTGTAATGATGAATCGATTCATTATGATTATCGTCCAAATACAATTTCATTAATTCAAAAAATGATTTACAATATCTCAATAACGATTTCAATTATTTTTTCTATTGAAACTTGGCGATTTTATAAAGTTAAAAGTTTTCGAGAATCAACAAATTATCAATGGAAAAATTACAATATTCATAAAATTTTGGTGCAATTTTGGAAATATTTCGAGATTTGTACAATTGGATATTTTGTGACCGTTGCATGTAATATTTCAACAAAACATATGGTTGGTAGATTACGCCCTAATTTTTGGGAAGTTTGTAAACCAATTAATGGAACTTGTTCATTCGAAGAACCCTATAAATATATAGCAGATATTGAATGTACTGGAGATCCAAACGCAGTTGAAGATGCTAGAAAAAGTTTTTACTCTGGACATTCTGCTGTTTGTTTTTATATTGCAGTTTGGTTGGCGGTTAGTAGCTTTACTTTATTTGTTGTATTCTAAATTAAACAATAATAATTTTCAGCTTTACATCCAAGCTCGTATTTTCAAACATCTCAATAACCACATTTTTGTACCAGTTTTACAAACATTTTTGTTATTAGTAGCTTCAGCGATTGGGTTTTCTCGTCTTTATGATAATAAACATCATTGGTCTGATATTCTAGTTGGAAGTATTGCTGGAACAATTACAGCTATTATTACTGTAAGATTAATTAATTTCTCAATTTTCGAAAACAAAAACTAATCTTACAGTGTTGTTGCTGGTCGGATTTGTTCCAGAACAGAATAAATAAACAAACTGCTACTAACGTTCAAACAGCCGAATCAAGTACAACTTTGGGAACCGATCTATCACGTGAATCATCTGTGAACGATAGAATATCAATAAGGACAAGTTCAACATATATTAAAAATAATTAATTTTTTGCATATATTTCAACAGAAATTTAAAAATAAATTCTTTTATTTTTTGAAAAATAAGACGTGAAACGTTTCACGCGCCACGTCATATTGTGACATTTCATAAAATGATTGACCTTATTCTTTCATTTTTCAAGAATACAAAATGAATGACGACGTGCTGACCGATAATAAAGGTTTGTTTTTTTTCGCAACATTTTGAATTTCGGGAAAAATGTTTTCATGACAACTTTTGCAAAAACTTTCAAACTCCCGCAATTTATTTGTGTGTCATTAGAGCGCACTTTGGTGTTTTGACTTTCGAACTTTGCGAGCGCGCGCGTAAAGACTAACTTTTGCATTGGTTTTCGAAATATTGAAAATGAGATTTTGTCCTTTCTTGGATTTTTATTAATTTGAGTTGTAATTTGATAAAAATGTGTAGATATCATTTGCTGTCCAGAATTGGGACGCGTAAGTTTTATGAACAAATGTTTTTCTGTTTTAACGATTTCGTGTTTTTCAGATCTCTCGTTACCTGTTTTCCTGTCGGAAACTTTCGATTCATTCGGAAATTCAACTACTCCAATTGTTTCCAAAAGCCAAACTTCAATAAAAAATGATCCAACGTTTTTGCACGATTTTAATGCGTCTGCCAGCAATGTTTTAGAACCAATGCAAATTGTTCACGATGATTCTGTAGTTCGACCAAGAAGAAATCGAAAAGATCGACAAAAGTGAGTTTGAAAATTATTTGATCAATATAAAACAATTTGTTTTGTTTAATTACAGATTCAGCCGTTGGAGACATAAAGAATATCAGTGTGATGAATGTGAACGTATGTTTACATTAAAACACAACTTACAAAATCACGTGATTCAATATCACATGGGATGTCGAAAACTTCAAAAACCTTGTTCATCTTCGAAATGCGATGTTTGTGGAAAAATTTATTCGACACCATCTGTCTTGGCAGAACATCTTTTGGACAGTCATAATATTCATATCAAAAAAGAAGAATGCTCACAGTGTGATGAGAAATTTTTAACATGTTCCGCTCTTCAACGTCACATAAAATCAGAACATGCAAGTAAAAGTAAAACGTGTACTTTTGAAGGATGTGATAATAAATTCAAATTCATGAAAGATCTCAACGAACATATCAAAAGCTGTCACAAACAAGAATTTTTCTGTACAATTTGCCATCTGTCATTCACAAGATTATCCAGTAAAAAGAAACACGAACAAGCACATATGGGACCTCGTTTGAAACGCGAAAGAAGACGAGAAAACTTTATCAAAGAAATCACAAAAGTTGAGATCAAGGTAAATATTTAAAATTTTCATTTTATTTTTTCATCATTGTTTTTCAGATGGAAGATGATGAAGTTCCAGTTGCGCCACGTCGAAAATTTCGACCAGAACTTGAAGCAGTTCCGATTATCCGCAAAACTACCAAGAAAATTAGCAAAGATGAGATTTTAGCAAAAATCAAGTAGATTCAATTCATAGAATTGTTTTTAAATGAATGAACACATTTTTAATTGTGCTTGTTTGAAAAAATTTTGTGGAAATTGGGTTTTTTTCCTCAAAAAAACGTGTTCTAAAAAATTTACGAACAAAACTAGGTCAGAATTTTGCTGTATTTTTTACGTGAAGAAACCTATGAAATTGAGCCCATTTTTATATGTTGGCTCTGAAGAAAATGATCAATATTCTTTCCAATAAAAATACAACAATAACGTATCTGATATTTGTTCTAATTGTGAGTTTGAAGTTTGTAACTCTGAAACTTCGAATAAATACTAATTTTTGCAGATATTCCCAGTTGTTATTCTATTCAAATGTACAACAAAGAGAAAAGAAAGAAAACAAAACAAACGTCGAAAACATTCAATGACATCTCCATTGGGCGAAGAAGTATCAGCCGAGGAAAAAACTGATGTAAATTGTCAGGCGGAATTACTCAATGATTATTTATCAAATGTCGAATTATTGGCTCCAACATTACCCGGGGGATGTATGGATGATGAAAATGCGGCAAAAGAAGCATATGGTCGTTATTCAACAAATTCTTATCTTCCGAAATTGGAGATTCAATCAAAACGAATTGTAAATGATATGATTCCATCAGATTTGATTGCAATGGTTAAAGCACTTCCAAAACATCCACCGAGAAGATTCAAGGAAAAAAAGAAGACTGAGTCTGTGAGAAAAGAAACAAGAGAACAAAAATGGAAAGAGTATGTTTAACTTTTTCTAATAATATCTAGGAGTTTCTGTATTTGTTTTCAGTGTTCATGTAAATTGGCATTCAATTGGACTTGTTTTCATTGTTCGAAGCAGCGATCCTTGCAGAGCAATTGATGAAGGAGTTGTGGATACTGTAGATTCATTAGATGCGGAATCACCCGGAAAAGGCGAAGAAAAAGTGAATTCTGAAATGACAATGTCACAAAGGAAAACAATGAATGAGGCAAATAAGAAGAAAGGAGCGGTAAAACACAGTAAGAAAAGTAAGAGGAGTCGCAAAGAATTACCACTCGAAAAAACAATGTTGTCCGAAAAATCAAAGAGTCTTGATAAGACTCAAACTGAAACTCAAAGAAAAAAGCTTATAAAATGAAAGTTTCAAAAAAATTCATTATTTTACAAAAAATACACAAAATTCTAAACTCTATAAAATACTTCATCTTGCTCATTTTCGTGTAACTCTTCAAAATCAAGAGCTGGATTGTTGACTTGTTCGAAAATATTATGAACATGATGATGTGGATGTGGAGGAGGCGGTGACGAGTGTTCCGATTCCTCATATCTCACTTCAACTTTTTCTGGAATTTCCATTATTACAGCATTTTTGGGAATACTTCCATTCGAATCGACAACTGTGTTTCCGCGAAGTTTTGCATGTCTCAAAAGAGCATCTGTGAATGCGATATTATTGAAATCACCGCGAGCAATTTGTTTGGCATCTTCCGCAATCAAATGCTGAAAATCAGGTATTTTTAAAGAAACTACCAAATTCCAATTTGGAAAACTCACATTATATTTTCTAACAAGATTACTTTTGTCAAGTTGTCTTGCACGTTTCTTATTGATCAACATTGGCTTTAAGTATTGATGATTGATATGATGCCAACTGAAAATAGGAAAATTAAGAGAATTTAATTGTAAGCCTTAAAAAGAACTAACGTATCACGAATCCAATGATGTCCTTTGAATCCAGCAATATCTTCCATTCCAACCATTGTATGATCAATAAGCTGAACAAAACATTTTTGAAAAGGTGTCCTCAGAATTTGAAAAGTCTTACTTGTTTGTAAATTGATTCAATCATATTATCTTCGTGTTCGAGTTTCTTTTCAACTTGAAGGAACTCGGCAATTGGTTTCAATGTAATTCCCTGAAAATTTCGATTTTATGGAAACATCTAGTTTTAGAAATAAATAATCCGAAATCTAATTATTCCCACTAACTTACTTGTAAGAAGACAGTAAAGTAAATAACAATAATACAACTTGTGACAAACATATTTTTCGCCGGAATGAAATCTGGGATAGCAACAACCAAACCGTAAGCAATTGCACCACGCAATCCACCATAAGCCATGATAAATTGATCAACCTAAACTATTTCATTTTCACTGTTTTCACTTATCAAAACTCACCTTTGTGAATTTATTCAATCGATATTTGTTCAAAATACTACACATAACTACAACTCCCAAAGTTCGATAAATCAAACAAAAAACTACAGTAAGAACAACGAATGGAGTATCCCAATGATGATCAGATGAAACTGTTGATAAACCGAGGAACACAAAAATAACAGTTTCAGAAGCCATCGATAAAACTTTGATGAAATAATTACTAGTTAACATTATTTTTTCATCCACATTTTCTTTGACATATTGATGCATTGCAGCACCACAGAATGCGATACTAGAAAAAGTTATTGATTGATTTTGGAAAAAAAAGTTCTACATATAAACTTACGCCATAATACTAGACAATCCTAACATTTCACCAACAAGATAACAGGTATACGGTAGAACAATGATGAAGACTGGATTGAGAACTCCGACTTGTTGAGAATATCTTAATTCAATTTGATCGGGTTACTTTATTTTTTGAGGAAACTTACTTGGTGACAAAACTGGTGATAAATGCAAAAATGAGACCGAGGGCGACACCACCGAAAGCAATTACAAAGAATGAAATTCCACCATTGATGTAATCTTGGGTGATCACATTTTCAGTACCGATTTCAGAGAATGTCAAGAACATACGATACAGTACCTGCAAATAATTGTTTTGTATATCGTGCTTGAAAGTTCGCACGAAATAAGGTCAAATTGAAGACAAAACCGAATTTTCATTCTCTGACCCGGTGGGTCGTTCAAAAATTGCGTATGCGACCCATATTTCAGGGGACATCGCGGGCAATTGGGAAAAGTTTTCAACCAGCAATAAACGCACCTCGGCAAAGCCTCATTGGTCACGTTATCGCCCCAGCGCAAAGCTAATTTGTCCCAAATTCAGGAAAACTAGTCATTAGTTTGGCTTGCCGACATAAATTGGGTTTTGCTTGTTGACATGCAATATGTGTGAAATGGGCGGAGCTTGTTTTTTCTAGAGAAGGAAGGGGAATTTTTGGATTTTTGGAATCGAAGAAGAAATTATTGAAAATTAAGGAATAGAGGATTGATTAAAAAGCAAAATGAATTTCAGAATCGTGAATTTTAAACCAATATTCCACCAAAAAATAATACCATTCTCAATAGAACAAAACTTACGACAGCAACTCCATCATTGAGAAGAGATTCTCCAAATACACTAATGAAAAGGACCTCATTGACCTAAAAATAAAAAAATAAGAACTATGCTGATTATCATATTAACTAACACCAAGTTCTTCGAAAATGACAATAACCGCAACTGGATCGACATCAGCAGCAACTGAACCAAAAAGTAACATATGCATCAAAGGAGTTTCGACAGAAAAAAGACCAGTGAGACCAATTGCCCATAGTGAGAGAGCTGGAAAGTATTTGTGAGAATCTTGAATCACAACAGCAAAAAATTACCGATTGCGATAATATTGAAAGATGTTCCAATAAACGCGAATACTAAAATAGATCCCAAATTATCGAAAAACTCTCTTGCTGGCATAAAATATCCAGCATCAAAAATCAAAGGAGGTAGAAGATATAGCATGAAAACTTCGGATTCCAAAAAGAATTCATTTTTTGAAACACCGATTAGATTGAAAACAATTCCAATAATCAAACCAATCATAATCAAAAGAGCAGAATCCGGGAAAAGACTGTTCAAATGAGGAATCAAGTTGAAAACTGAAATTTATTTGGCTTTTCAGATTCACATCTTTATTACTTACTAATTTTCGCAATTGATGCAACAATCAACCATAGTGAAATGGTCATCGGTATTTTCACATTTTTCCATTCAAAATTAAGAATATTGTAACGAGTTGGATATTCTTCTTCTTCCTGAAAAAAAAATACAATTATCGATTGAATTTTTAAAATTTCTCACCTCATCTGCACACTCAGCCGAAACCCAAGTCACCAATAAACAAAATGATAATAAAACGACTAGAAAACTCCAAGACCTATTCATTTTCAGTTTAGAAACCTGAAAAAATTCAATTTTCAAAAATTGGTACTTTCATTTTATCAATTGAAAATATTCCAAACATTTTGATGAGCAAATAATAGGATTAATTGTGGAAAATTGATTGGCCATAAAAACTTTTTAACTTTTCACAATATTTTTCCGAAAAGAGTTCCAACAAAAAAAAACTGAAAAAAAACCAAACCAATTTCTGCTCTCTCATTTTTCTAACTTTATTATTATTGAATGAAAATTGGTCATAAAGATAAGAACATTTACGTGGGAACCCAAAATAGTACGGAATTTGGAGAGAAAACAAGAAATATTGTGAAAATTGAACCGGAAAAATATGTTGAACTTCCAAATTCCACAATTTTTAGGGTTGCTGTAGTTACTTACTTTGACAGTAATTTTTGAAGCGAAATATAATGAAAAAATCTATAGTTGTACCTTTTTTGAATGAAGTTTTTGAAAATTAATATAAAAATTTTATTCAAAAAAATTAGTTCCAACTGTTAAACGAATTTTTCGGATAGGAAAATTCACAAAAGTAACCAAAGATTGTCTGGATTTCGGAGAGACAACGGAAATATGGAGAACGATGAACTGGAAAATAAATTACAATTCCAGATTCCACTTTTTTTAGGGTACTGTAGCTACTTAGTTAGTAAATGATGGTAAATGAAAAAAGTTAGAACGATGTTAAAAATTATAACTCTAGGTTATTGAAAAGGCAGATTTGATAAACAATGAAATGAAGTTCTGCACGGAAAATGTCAAAAAAAAGGTGTCACGTGTCAATCTGCAGAAAAATGAAAATTCGATAAAACAACCATGTAAAATTGTATCAATTAACACAAACGATACAAGATAATTAATTATTCTTGCTCCGTTTCGTTTTTTCCTTGTTATCGATAAGTATACTCTCGGCTCCCCTTTGATAACAACGTAAAAATGTTAATCATGATGTTCGGCCGAAGGTTCATCTTCAAAATTTATGAGGGAAAATGAAATTGCAAATTTACTTCTGAATAATAATAATATTGAAGAAGAACTTTTGAAAGTTAGTGATTCTTCATTAAAAAATCTTGGATTTTGAAGAAGAGAAATTGAAAAAAAAACAAAAACGAAATAAATTCTGAATTTTTACGTGAGAAAAATAATTCACGCAAGTTTAAAACATTCATTTCATAATTTTTAAAAACAATTTGTTGAGGTTAGTTTTTGCGAATCCACAGTGTGTAATTTACTACCCCAAGACTTCCAATTTTTTTCAAATTTTTTCGTGGTAGATCAAAAATATTTTTCTCTAAATATCTCACTTTTGAGTTGAATTTTTTCGATTTTTACTACACGCCTCTAAAATTGTGTCAGGTCTCAAAAAATGCGCAAAAATTTTTGGGTGGTGAAATATACTCTGTGGAAATCATTTGCAGTTTTAATCACTCCGTAATCGATCGATATCAATAGAAACAAAAATAAGCTGCTTGCAAATTACGGTACATTCAAAGGCACACAACAGTTCAATGTTTTCTTCGCGAGACCACGATTTTCAAATGTGTGTTTCTTTCTCAATACTGTATTTTTACTTTGTCTGCCGAGTAAGTTTCAACAACAAAAACTCTGAAAAACGTTATTATTTCCAGTTTTTCGATGATTGAGATTAATCCATGGACCAAAATAAGTACGAAAGAATCCGCTGCAAGTATCTATAGGTATTTTTTGATTTCAAAGCCTGAATTTTGCCTTGAATTTCAGAGTTGATCGTACAATTGATTTGGTAGATTTCACTGTAAACGGCCATGAAGAAACTGAACCATCGCTGATTGTAAGTTTGACTAAACTGAGTTTTGTGCAAAATTAATGAAATTTACAGCCATTTCAAAAAGAAATGAAAGAAGAATTTTGTCAAATTATGGGCGAAACAAAGAAAAATATACAACTTGAAGAGCATCAAAGATTTTCCATCGAACGAACAAATTGCAAATTGTATGACGAAGCATCATCTTCTCACATGGTTACATTGATTGAAGCTAAGCGAAACTGTTTTCAACCATACCCTGAAACTGAACTGTTGACAACAGTTGCAGCTTTGAAAATTATTGGAGACACGATTTTGCATCCAGCAAAGTGATAACTTTGTTTAAAAAAAATCATCAAACATATTAATTTTCAGAAATTGGAAAATTCGTGCATATCGAGAAGTTATTGATAGAAAGAGATGTATTATTTTATGTTCTGAAAATGAAAATGTGTTCGAAATAAAATCAAGTTTTCCGATAAAAAGAGATGAAGAAATGTTGGATTCGATGTGCGAGATAAATTCAGCAATTAATAAAATGACAGAAGATAATAGAAATAAGTCAATTTGTGGTGCACAATTCGTTGAATCCGAATTTCGATTGGAAAACAAATCTATTAAAGCTTGCGTGTTTGGAGAAATCGATATGATAATTGGAGTCCAAAATCAAATCAGATTTCGAGGTTTAATCACAACAACATATAATAAAATTGAAAGAAATCATCGAATTTCGTTTACCGACACTGAATTGTTTTACAAAAGTTTTGAAAATACATGGCCACGTGCATTTTGGATAGGAATTCCAGAAATAATATATGCTCTTCGACAAGATTCGGAAATGACTATTGAATCGGTGAGTTATAGGGTGAAAGTGATTTTAAAATTGAATAACATCTATTTCACAATTAAATACTTTTAACTGAAATTAGTTTTTTTGTAGCTGGAAAAAGTTCCAATCGAATGGATATCAAAAAGATACAATTGTGGAACAAGTCGATTAGTTGATCAATCAGTTTGGTGTGTTGCAAAAGTTTTATTCGAAATCAAATCAATGTTTGAATCGAAAACCAATTCACCGAATAATATTTTGGTGAGTATTTATGTATATTTATCCGAAAATATCTATTAATAAATTCAGGTAACATATGCTGGCGCAATTAATGAAGATGAAGATGTTCCAATTATTCTTGATTTCTGTCCGAATAGCTACAGTTTCCGATTGCTGCAAGAGCAGGTTTATCTGAAAAAGATTTTGGTAATAATTAGTTGTTTTGTTTGAAAAAAAAACAAGATTTTTTTCAGGATGAAATGAACAACAACGATACTCGAACAAGGAAATTACAATAGAAGTTTTAACGCATATTTGGAAACTCGTAAGATTTTTTTGTTTATGAATTTTTTGTTTAAACGTCGTGAGTGGCTACGTAGTTTTTCCAAAGTGTATGGATTTTTAGATTTTTAAAATTCATACGGCTCGGGAAATTGAAATATTTTTTGAGTTTACAGTTTTATTTTACTCCAAAATCGTTGCAGATTTTGGGTTTTTCAGTCACCTGATAAAAATTCTCAATTTCTATCAGTTATGATAGTGCAAAAAAAACTACTGTAAAATAGTACAATATTATCCAATTTGATATTTTTTTAATATCTTACGAAGCTTACTATCGGAAAGATGAATTATTTTCAAAGTATTTTTTATTGTTTTTCTTTGCTCTTTGGTTTTGCACTTTGTCTTTGTATGATATTTAAACATACAGTGTCGACATTTTCTTATCATTAAAATGTTTTACAAAAAGATTGTCATGTTCCAATTATAATTCCAGGTTTCGCAAGATGAATCGTTTTATTTTGTCAGCAATTTTGCTGACAATTTCAGCAGTTTCTGCTCAACAAGAAAATGATTTAGTGAAGAATTTGCCAGGATTGTTGTTCGAAGTCAATTTCAAGACATATTCTGGTTTCGTCGATGCAAATGCCAATGGAACATGGAAAATGCATTACACGTACGTGTTTTTCAATTTTTAATTTAAATATTATTTTTTTTGAAAATTTCCACCAAATCCTTCGTAAATTTAGTTTGGATTGACAAGTTCAAAATATGCTCTAGTCACTTCTCCAATATAATTTTGATGTGAAATATTCGACTTGTAATGTATAACTTGAGATATTTGCACTATGAGCATTAAAAATTATCAATGTCTTTTGAAAACCGCCATTTATCTTTATTTTCTAAAATAAGTGCGAATTTACTCGTAAAATGCCTATGTAAAATTTTCGAAAACCGATTTTAAACGTAAAAATTGCTGATAACCAATTTTATTACATCAGAAAATAGATAATGTTTATAGGTTGACCGAATCGAGATCGAATCCAGATGCTGACCCACTTCTTGTTTGGTTTAATGGTGGTCCTGGATGTTCTTCTCTTGGTGGACTTTTTGAGGAACTTGGACCATTTTATGTAAATTACGACGGAGAAACCTTGTATGAAAACCCGTATGCATGGAATGCAAAAGCAAATGTTTTATACTTAGAGTCACCAATTGGTGTTGGATTTTCATATGATACAACAACTCCAAATTATTTTCAAGCAAATGATGATCAAACTGCAGGGCAAAATTTTCTCGCACTTACCAATTTCTTCACTGTTGCTCAACCAAAATATGCAAACAGAACCTTTTTCTTGTCTGGAGAATCTTACGCCGGAATTTATATTCCAATGTTAACTGATTTATTGACAACCGCTATAAACAACAATTCTTTCCCAAACCCTAATTTTGCTGGATCTGCTATCGGTAATGGATTTATGAATGTTGCTGGACTTTTGAATGCTCTTGTTTTGTGGAGTGGATATCACGGAAGAATCTCTATTCAGTGAGTATTTTAATTTTTTTAAAATCATAAATATGGGAATTCAGAGATTGGGAACAAATCAAAACGCAATGTGTCAAAGGAGCCGATATCGACTATTTCGATTTCTCGGTATTTTTTCGAATCTCAATTTTAAATATTTTTTAATTTCAGCAATTTACTAACGCTTCAAACAAAATTGATTTTGCTGGAGATGGTTCTGTCTGTGGAAATCTCATTGATCCCCTCATTTCACAAAACGCTTTCGGAGATGGAGGGTAATTTATGAAATTTTTTGCTGTTTACAATTTTATTTTTCAGATTTGATCAATACAACTTTTATCAAGAATGTTATGATGTCTCGAGTTTCCAAGCTCCAGCTCCAACACCAGCTCCAGGAAAAAGAACAAAAAGAGCAAGTCATTTCAATGGTCAATCATCGATCAAAAAGAATTTGAGAAAACCAAATAATCTTGCATTTACTGGCACATCAAATCTCAATGCAAATACCGCTGCTTTGATTAATCGATATTCAAATGATAACAATTGGGGATATTTCTGTTGGAACGAAGATGCTGTCGGAAAATATTTGAATACTGATGCTGTTCAAACTGCTCTTAATATTCCACAAGCTTGGAAAGATCAGAAAAATACATGGCAAGATTGTAGAGATTCGATTTACAATAACTATGTTTTGACATATAATACAACTAATCAATTTTTCAAAAACATTATTACAAATGTCAAAACTGATTTCCGTTTCTTGATTTATAACGGTGATGTTGATACTGTTTGCAACTATCTCGGAGACGCTTATCACATCAAAAAGGTTGCCGAAGAAAATAATCTTACGGTAATAATCACTTATTTATGATCGTAAATGTTTTAATTCTCACCGATTACAGACAAACAGCAGAACTCCTTGGTTCTATAGTGATAATAGACAACTTGCTGGATATGTTCAAACATACACTGGTCAAAACGCAAACAATGCAACAATCACAATTGATGTTCTTACTGTAAAAGGAGCTGGGCATATGGTTCCATTTGATCGTGCTGGACCATCTGTTCAGATGATTACCAACTTTATCTTTGCCGCTTCGAAAGGAAATGTCAATTACACCGACAATTCGAACTTTGATACAAACATCAAGTTGTCACCATTGGTCACTGGTTCAAGTTCGACCAATTTTACAATGTTTATTTTAGCGATCGTTGCTCTCTTTGCTTTCTAATCAACTTTTTTAGATTTGTATATATTTATTATTTTCTTTTGAAAAAGTTCAGGAGTAAATTATATTCATTTTTAAAAATTCATACACAACATCCTAAGCATCTATGCTGATAACAATTTTCTGTTCTCTGGTTTATGTTCTTCTTCTACGTCAGGTAAATGCATTCCCAAAGTGAAATGATAGAACCAACCACCAATAAGAGTTCCAGCAAATGGCGCAATAGCTGGAGCAATCCAATATTGTGAATATGGCGAATGGAAAACACCTGATCCATAGATGAAATATGAGAAAAGACGTGGTCCGAGATCTCTTGCTGGATTAATTGGATATCCAATATTCATACCAAATCCGGTTCCGATCATCATTACCAAAAATCCAAAGAACATCGCATGCCATTCTTTGCGAATTTTATTACGTTCATCGATAATAACAGCTACGAAAAATGCCAAAACAGCTGGTCCAACAGTTTGATCAACATATGGTCCCCAATAACCAAGATCTTTGTGTGGATAACTTGCAAAACATCCAGCAGTACCATATCTTCCAAGAATTGTTCTATTACCTCCATCAAATGCATCAAATCTCTCTGAAAATTAATTTGTATTGTTTGTTGGACTAAAAGTTTTCTAACCATAATAATAAGCGTACATTCCGGCGGCTCCCAAGAATGCACCAATAGTTTGAGCAATCGAATATAATACAAACCATGAAAGTTTCAAGTGTCCCATTGACCAAAGAAGAAGAGAAACTGCTGGATTCAAATGGCCACCTAAAAATGATTACGGAATAAGTAAGAGGAGGTTTTGAAAATCTGGTACCTGATGTTTGTGCAGTTGCAATTACTGAGAACATAATAGCAAAGCCCCATCCAATATTAACACCAATCCATTGTGTTGTATCACCTCGTCCAATATGAAATTGGGCCACAATTGCCAAACCGACAAACTGTAATTATTTTACAATTAGCTTTTTTAATTGTCAGGTACCTCAACAGTCCTAGCTTTCAGATGTAATCAGGGAATATGATCACACATCAAAATTTAACTAGGAATTTTTAATCCGCTTTAGATTGTCATCTCCACGTGCTCTAAACCTCACCAAAACACGAAGGAAATATTTGGGTTCATAATCTGGTATCACTTCAGTCAAGAGGTATGAGTCAATTTTAAAGTTTTCGAACAAACAGAAACAAAGAACGACTCGATGAAAAATGCCACGTTTGGTATGTTTTTAAGTTGATTTCGTAAAAATTTCGGGTTTTACTATATTAAATATTGTTGAGATAAAATTTATTTGAATTTTTGAAATAATTGAACCACAATCCTTTTTCAAATTATTTTTGAGTTTGGAAAAATATAAACTTACAACTAGTGCAAATGTACCAAATAATTCGGCCAAAAGGTTCCTTATCAAAATTTTCTCTTGAAAGCCATGATTATGCAATCTCTCCGGTAGTTGATCTTCTTTTCGTGTCATCTGAAAATTTCTAGTTGAATTCCTACAGTAACTCAAATAATCATTGAACACACAAAATGAAACACGTGTTATCGGGGAAAATAAAAGTGGTTCGTAAATAATGAAAAAACTATCAAATATATATTTAACAAAATGATAAAGATTCCAAGCAAGCGAAAAGATGATAAGAAGCTTAAATGTGAAAATGAATACATTGGGAGTTCAACTTGCACCGGCCGACGGGTAAATATTTATGTGAAAAAAGAATAGGTGGAGTCTCAAATAGAGAAGGAGGAGATTCGAAATATGAACTACAGTCTGGCATATTTGACACATGGTGATTGTTGCGATTAAATTGAAGAATGGTTTGTGAAAATTTTTTACAATGAGAAAAAAATATTAAATTTATTAAGATGAAGAATTGTTTTTCAAATTTCAAAAAATCAAAAGCTTATCTAGAGAAGCCTTCGTAATTTTCTGAATATATTTTCCAGAATGAAAAATGGCGTCACACTTTAGTAGTTCACAAGTTCTTTGAAAAACATATGTTCCTAATCTTCGTATTACATTTTAATATTTTTGAAAATGATCTTCGAGCTAAGTGTCACGTGTTAACGTAAATATTGACCAATTAGATTTTTCCATTTTTCAATAAATATTATTTTTATAAAAAAAAGAGAAGAAGAATAAGAAACCGTGAAAAAGTCCTTGTCAATAATAGAAAAATTCTTTGTGCACAAACAAATGAAACAAAAGTCTTAGAGCACAAATAATCAGTACTTATGTTCAAATTTCTTATCAACTTAAATGAGATCTGGGTAGAAAATTTTACCTTTTTGTATCGGGTAAAATTTAGTTATGTCAGGTTTTCCGCAACTGTATACTTTCAATAAAAACGCGTGATTTTTTATAATTTCTTTTAGAAATTCTCTGATAAAAGCTCATTTTGCCATGCGTCTTGACGCTTCTTTGAAGTGTTTTATGATAATGGTAATAAAATCTGGAGTTGAATATTTTTATCAAAAAATCATCATCAAATTTTGATCGTTGATTCTCGATTTGAATGATTCTTGAAAATCAACTCAAAAATTCCTAAGCTTCAATCTAATCGTTTTGATATTCTTATTATTTGAACTCGATATAAACTGATATCGTACTCATATCCGACTGGTTTGAGAAAACAAAATTCATCAAATACAATGATTTATTCATTATGACACGATAATGTACAAGATATTTACAATTTTAGAATATAATCTATCAGCTGGTTATTGTCTTGCAAGGAAAACTGGTGAATACATTGGACTGGCAATATGTGGAACTTGAGCCCATCCAAGACTTGTTGGTCCACCGTAGAATCTATCATTTACCAAATTGTGAATAACTTGTCGACGAGTTCGAAGAACTGCACAATTTACAGCAAGAATTGTGATGAGAAGAATGAAGAAGATTGAACGAAGCATTTTTGATAGCAAGGAAGATATTTGTGTTGGAAGATACTTGATTTGAAACCGGTGATGTTTTTATATAACTCTGAATGGGCGGAGTTTCAGAAGGTTTGTTGTCTAAGAAACATAAACATGTGAAGATGATAGGATTGATAACAATGAGAATTTGGTAGATCAATGACGACTACAGTTTATGATATGATCACACATTTCTACAAAAAATTTTTATTTTTTGAAAGAAAAATATTTTGAGGTATGCAACTTTACCATACTTGGGAAAAAATTTCCAGAAAGGACACTTTAAAATTTTTCTCAGAAATCATGCTTCAGATATCTCAAAAAAAAAATATTGAATTTAAGCATTCGGCTTTTAACTAGTAATTGGTTAAATAAGCTACCTCATATTTTTAGAATCACTGGGAAAGCTATTCATATAATTCTTTAACCCTGCATATCGTCCTGACACATGATTATACATAAATCAAATGTTTGAAGTTGATCTATTTCTGTCTCTCTCTTTTCAATATTTTTTTATTAATTCCTTCCCATTTTTCTACAGTAACTCATTTAAAAAATATCAGAGATCATCTCAATGACGAATTGATATCAGAATTTGCAAACCATTCGGGTTTCCGTCGAAAAAAAAACTGTTTATATGATGAAACTGTTAACTAGACCTTGTGATCTCTGAAATAGAATGAAAAAGTCGAGTGATCTCCGATATAGTAGTTTTCGTATGTCTATTCTTCGAAATTGTATCATGTCTGTCAAATGAGTATTGAATTTAGAACTTTCAGCAAACTTTTCATGATGGTTACTGCCTTCAAATTGTGAAAGTGATATAATTATTTTTTTCAATTTTGTTTTTTACTTGATCAGACTTCTAAAAACAATATAGATGTAGTTCAATGTTCGGTGATTTCGTATGATGCAAAATATTTGTTTTAAATATCACATCATTATTTTGCTTGTCATCATTTTTTCCAAACAATTCTTTAAAAATAGTTTAATATCATCATTTTGGATAGACACTCAGATCTTTCTTGTTAAAGTCACGTATTATTTCGGGGATTCTCACGATTATCAAATTCAGTTTTGTCACGTATACAGTATTCTTGGGGTTGCATCAGCCGTGTTTGGAGAATTTGAAAGACCAAAAGAGAACAGCGAAATTTTCAAGAACTTATATTAGAAATTATTTGTTCAGGTAAAATCTAGAAAATCATAAATTTTCGTTATAAAAATATTGTAATCTAATAATATAAATCAGTACCTGAAACTTCCATATATTTCAAAATGGACAAGATCTAAGATAACGCATCTTATGAAACGATTAGACTTCCACGAATTATCCAAATTTTCAAATCTTCAGCCCAATGTCGAACATTGCAAATGAGCATTTTATGAACTAAAATTTGAAAAATGAACTATCACATTGAAAGCTTCGTATGAAAGTAAAATATTTATTAGGAGATCGAAAGATAAATACATAAAATAATACAAATATAATAAAAAATTAAATTATCCACCAAAAACCGGCGAGAACATTGGGCTCAAAACATGTGGAACTTGAGCCCATCCCAAACTTGTTGGTCCTCCAACTAAACGATCTGTTACAACATTATGAACTACGTGTGGATGTTGTTGTTGTTGTTGATAATAATATTGATGATGTGTTGGTTGATGGTAATCTTGAATTGCTCTTCGATAAATCGCGGATTGAATTGGTGAAATAAGAATAAGAATAATTGACAAACAGAAGAATGTTGTGTTCATTATTTAGATTGATGATGATATGAATTAGTCAGATTTTGGTATTTATACTGTATTGTTTTGAACAGATGGGAGGAGTTTTGAACCAGATTCAGGCAACAATATTGTTGATTCCGATAAATTTTCAACACATAATGAATGCATTTTGGATGACAAAGAAAAATAAATAATTCATTAAATCAAAATTCGAAGCTCATATACAATAATAATTATATCGTTTTTCTCATCATTTTCATTCGTAGAATATTTCCAAAAGTGAACAAACTGTTTGGTTTGTTGTTGGTATTCATAATTGGAAATGAATTTAACAGTAAGAATGAATTGGCAAAAATAGCCAGAAAAGATAAGAGAATAACAATTGATAATTTGAAATTCATTTTCATTTGTTTTTTCTTCTGAGTGTGTTCTGTTTTATATGAACAAACATTAATTCGAACAGTGCATTTAATTAGAGAAAAATAACATGAAGAACTGTCTGTATTGAAAAACTTTAGACTCTTAAAATGACAAATTTTCAAAGTTCTTTGCACTTTTCGGGAAGCTTCTTTCCATTTTATTCCATATCTACAGTATCCGTTCTCCAAGTTTCTCGAAATATCGTAGATCACATGCCTATTTTTATCATTCATTGATAATTCTAGAAAAAAATCATTCAATCAAAAGATGACTCGTCATTGACAACTGCATCTTCAAAGAATATATGCTTTTTTGGATGTTTGATCTTTTTGATCGTTTGTATTTGTATTGTTTAATGGTTTTAACAGATCAATGTCTTAAAATGGGGGAATAATAAAGGAAGTTATATTTTAATCAGATGGTAATATTATATTTCGAGAGGAAAGTGTACTTGTATGTATAACATGTGTGGTTTTTATTCACGAGATCTGGACTCACAATATAATTTTTATTTTGAAAGGTTCTCACAATCAGTAAGAGAAAAAACTGACAAGTGTTTTCGAATAACGTGGAAAAGTGTTTATACTCGGGGACTTAGTGTGTCAAATAAGGTGTTCATTTTCCCTAGTAGTTTACGGTAAATTCAAAAAACAGGAAGACGAAAAGTATCCGTTCCTCATTGATTTTTGAAAGGATTTTTATCCAAAAATGCGATATCTGCGTCAAATTTGAGTTTATTTTACAATCTTAAAACTTTTTATAAAAATTTTGTTGGATATGTATCTCCTGAAAATGTAATATTTTCTCATTTTCTATTCATTCCTAGATCACATGTCTATTCCTACGAAAACCGTTTGTCAATGATCTACCAAATTCCTTATGATAACAATCCTATCATCATTTTATGTTTTTTGCAATACAATCGGAAACTCCGCCCATTTAGAGTTATATAAAAACATCACCGGTTTCAAATCAAGTATCTTCCAACACAAACATCTTCGTTCCTATCAAAAATGTTTCGTTCAATCTTCTTCATTCTTCTCATCACAATTCTTGCTGTAAATTGTGCAGTTCTTCGAACTCGTCGACAAGTTATTCACAATTTGGTAAATGATAGATTCTACGGTGGACCAACAAGTCTTGGATGGGCTCAAGTTCCACATATTGCCAGTCCAATGTATTCACCAGTTTTTCTTGCAAGACAATAACTTGATCTGACAAAAATTACTGTAAATATATTCTAGTCAATGTATAATTTAATTGTTCTTGTAACAAAAATAAATGTTTTGTTTTGCATTTCAAAATATGAGAGCATTTTGGATCCAAAGACACTAAACATCTCTGTGTATCAGAGATTACAATATGAAAATTATTTATAAAATAATTTTATCAAGTTGTTCGCTGAAAAACTTGTTCGAATCTGAAACTTTTTTCTACCTGTTTTTCTCGCAGGATAATCTTATTTGACAAAAACTGTAAATATAGTCTAGTCAATCAAAAATATAATCGAATTGTTGTTATAATACAAATAAATATCTTGTTTTGTTTTGTATTAAAAACAGAAACTGTACAATGAGTACATTCTGAGTGCGTATTTGGTTCAAAGAAACACGATATCTTATATGCCGTGTAACAAAAATCAAAGACCAAATTGAAAAACTATCACATAAATAATAAACACTGGCAATTCAGTTGAGTTTTATCGAGAAAACAACTTCATTTTTCATCCCTCAACTTTTTGGAACTATTAATACAATACACTGAATCTGAATTAGAGTTTTTCACAAAATGAATTTCAAATTTTCAGCCAGAAGTATTTCAGAAAACAGAGAAACCTTCAAAAAATGATATGTTTCAACAATTTAATCAAGAATTATAGGAATTTATCATCCAAAAATCATTATCTATAGTTTTTCAGTCTATGATCATCAACAGTATCAATTAAGGTTTACGTGCCAAATATGAAATAAATTTTTCTGGGGGGATTCCCCGAAAAACTACGTGACTTTCGATAGAAAATTTCAAGTCGTCGTACAGAACATGATGATATTGCAAACTATTTTTAAAAAACAATTTTGTTCTGACCAGATGATGACTATCACAATGAATATGACGTGATGAACATCAAAAGGCAGATTTAACAATTTTAATTGTATTCTATTTGGTTTAGATCATAATTTCCTGTTCCATAGTGCAAACCCTTACTCCCCCACGCATAACAAAAATTCACAGAAATTGTGTTGTGGTTATCCAAATTTTTTGCTTTCTTCAATAAATAGACATTTCTATTGGGGTGATTCAAATGGCCCGGCAACGGAGATTATGAGCACTTTTAAAAATGTTCAAATGTTGATGAATGAAACTCAAAATGCACTTACTTGACAAAAAATTGAAGTTTAACATCCCAGCTTTAAGGTGCCTTCTAAGAAAAAAATATGTCTTGAAACAATTCGCAAACACGCTGAAAAATACTGAATGCACTAAACAACAAACACTACGCGCAAACCCTACAGTACTTCCCGGGAAAATAAATCCCAAACCTAAAGAAAGAACGGAAAAAATAAGAGTGTATGTCAACACCGAAAGCCCGCAAACAACAAATCCTACGCGCAACCTTGACGCGAAATACGCGCTGTGTGTTTTCGTAAAGAAATTTCTGGGGATTTTTAAAAATTGGGAACCCCCAGATTTTAGAAATGGACACGTTTAAAGTATAACATATGGGAACCCTGAGAATCTCTCCAATGTCGCTTTTCCCTTGGAGAATACTAGTTTGAAAAAAATAAAAACTGAAATTTCGAAAAAAAATAAAAGATATATGTGGCCGAACTATTTTGGTGGCCGAGTTATGTAGGGAATTCGGCCAAAGCAACAAACTCGCTTTAATGTTGCAAAAATTCTCATTGTTATTTATTATTTTTATACTTTTGCACAGCTGCAAAAACTGAATGATCGCGCGAAACGCGCCAGCACTTGACGCGTTTTCGGTTTTTGCACGAGAAAAAAATTTCTTTTTTTTTGTTTTTTTCCATCAGAAAATTAATTTTTTCTTCTTTTTTATTTTTTTGTGAGTTTTTCAGGAAGTTTCACATATTCGGACAGACTATCGTTTGTAGAGAATTTAAAGGAGAATTTTATTATGTTTGGATTGAGTGATGAAAATGGGGCTGACGGATGCTAAAGTTGTTTTTATGAAGTCCATTTTTTTCGAAGAAAATTTTTTTATTCTGGAATTGATCGAGTTTGAATTTTTGTGAGTTGGAATGAATATACAATTGGTTGGAGATGAATTTGCGATGATTTTGAGTGAGATGCGATGCATTAGAGAAGCATTTTTCGAGGTCGGCGAATCAATATTTTTCTTGTTGAAAAGTGAGTTATTCGTATCTAAATTTATCAAAAAATCATGATTTTATATTTAGATGAGCGTGATACGAGTTGACGGAAACATGAATATGTCGGAGAGTGCCAAACAAAAATTATTTCGATGAACGAATCCAATTGATTGCCAACCTGACCAGAAATTCACAAAGGAATTCACGTGGAGAGCCTCACGAAAAGAGTTTTAGGATTCTATGGAAGATTTTATTGAAGGTAATTCCAATTTTTGATTGATTTTTATAAAATAGTAAAATCACTTGAAGAAATAATAAAAATTCAATGTTTCCGTCATTTTGACGTTATTTCACCATGATAGAGGCACGGGGGAGTATCAAGACTTAGTCTATCTTTCTCAGCAGCAAAAACTATATCAAGATACATGTTCTAATATTATTTCTACCGTTCATTTTCGAAAAGTAAAATTATATTTTCATTTTCATCGCATTTTATTTTAATAAGAACTAATATTTCATATGTCCGTGATCCAAAACTGTTGAATTCAAACAAACAATTTTGTTTTCAGGTATTGCGAACGTCAACCAAGTGGAATCAGCGGTTTCGATCATGAACGAAGTGGAGTTAATAATACTATTCAAATAACAGATTTTTAATAAATTTTTGCTGCTTTCAACTTGAGCTTTGTTGATTTTCTTCAAATTTCGATCAAAAAGTGCCGCAAAATTAGGAGCTGTGGGATAGAACTTCAAATTTCGATGATTAATGTGGTATTCTGATTGTTAGAAGAGATCCTGCTTCAAAAGCTTCAGAAACATCTCAGCGAAAATAAAACATGATTTTATCATGAAATTGTAAGCCATATTTGTAATTTTTCAAATCACTGTTGAAATTTTTCCCGAAAAACATCGGTTCTTTGAAATTTTTGAGACAAAGGCTGGTTATTCTCTCGTCTAACAGTACAAATTCATTGTCCGGTAAGAAGTTCTTCTTTTTTTTTGCAACATAAGTATATTAAACATCTTATTTCATACAAAAAATTTGAAAGTTTTGCTTCAATATTTCAAAAATATCTTTTTTGTGAGGGTACTTCAAAATCTCACGTTTTTCACGCCTAATAAATTTTTTCACTCAGCAAATTATATTTCTCTGTCTTCGTCTCATTCTCCTCTATCTTCTCATGTACGATTCATTTGTTGAAACTTCCGCTAACTTCAGCTTTTTTTTTAAAAATTCGAGAAAAAATTAAAAAAAAAATTTTTTCGGCGAGAGAGTGTGTGCGCCTATAGAGACGCCGACAAACACACACGCCCGTGGAGGGCGAGAGAGAAGAGTGCAGGAGACATTGCTGGCGCACAATCGGTTTTTTGCAGCTGTGAATTTTGTAATACTTTTTTTTCAATTTTTTATTTTTTCTCAAATTCATGTTCAACTTTAATTTTGTGTGAAGTAAGTGCATTTTGAGTTTCATTCATCAACATTTGAACATTTTTAACAGTGCTCATAATCTCCGTTGCCGGGCCATTCAAGTCGAAAAAAAAAATAAAAAAACGTTTTTTTTTACAAAAAAATTCGATTCAGCAAATGTCAAAAAACTAATTTTCGAAATTTTTTGTCACAAAATGTTTTTTTTAAATTTTTTTTCGACTTGAATCACCCCAAATAGAAAACATCGTGATATTCAATTTCACGTGGTTTATTGTCATTTCGAAAAAATTGAAATGTCATGGCAGCAAATTTTTGGATTGAGGCTGACTTGTTAGTTTTTGGTTCAGGTTCGTGTTTGGGGAGGGTGACCATAGAAATAATTGGGACTCGAGTAGCTTCTGTTGAATTTCTAGTTTCTGATATTTGGAAGAATTCTCTATTTAATATTTTAATTTTCCTACTTTGGAAGTAAATTTTTGGCGGAGTATTGTTAGATGATATTACTAAATATCTCGTTCAAGAAGAATATTAATAGATTTCTATAATTTCAAAGTAACACATTATTTTTGATCTCGCATGTCAGGTCAGCACTTGGCGTCGCTTCCGATTTGTTTTATATTTAGATTATGCTTTGCTTTTCATAATTTTGATTTTATATTTCTTTGTTTTCTTTTATTATCACATCATTGTAAACTTCGATCTAACTATCATTAAACTTGAAGAATAGAAAAAACCTTTATCAATCTCCTCCCATTTTTGTAACTATAAATTCCTCCACCGCAAAAATGTTTGCAACAAAAAATGTTTCGTTCAATCTTCGTAATTCTTCTCATCACAATTCTTGCTGTAAATTGTGCAGTTCTTCGAACTCGTCGACAAGTTATTCAAAATGTTATAAATGATAGATTTTACGGTGGACCTACAAATCTTGGATGGGCTCAAGTTCCACATATCGCCAGTCCAATGTATTCACCAGTTTTCATTGCTAGACAATAAATATCTTGAATATTTAACAAGATGATTTGTATGTACAATTGAAATGTTCTCACAATTCTGTTTGTAATTGATGATATGATGTGAAATAAAAATTTCGAATGACGTCAAAACCAACTTTTTTATGAGAAAATATAAAGAACATGTGTTTATTTATTTTCTCTGGAGAATTCAATTCAATTATCGATAGCTTCTTCATTTTTCATTCAAATTCTCACAGTTCGTTGTTCTTCTCCCCCGCATTTTTCACACACGCAAGTGTTTGATTTGTGCTTTTTTGCCTGATTGCTTACGCAACGTGTTAGTATATTGACAAAAGCTGTGGAAGCCACCGACATTTTTTCCCATATTATTTGTTCTGGTCATTACGGATTTTTATTATTTTTTGCTTCTCTAGATATGTTCGGATATTATATCCAATCAACATTTATTTGTTCAGGTGCACTGTTTTTTGACGGAAGTTAACAATTTATTATAGCATTTGTGTGTATGAAGCCAGGAACTTTTTGAATAGCTCTGATTTTCCGATTTCATGCCTCCGTGTTTTGTTTTTCTGTTGCAAACTAATTCGAATGCTGTGAATATTTCAAGCCGATTTCCTGTTTTTTCTCGTTTTTTTTTTCAACTCACAGCACCGCCCAATTTCATCGGAAACCATGTTTGCGATGAGTGGCAGCAAAAAACAATTACTGATTTTTTGTTGAGTGCAATGAGCCTAATAGAACACTTTATTCTTACTGAATGTGTTCATTTTCTTCCTTCTCGTGTTTTTTTTTTCGAATAAATTGAGCTATTTTTCTGACTGAGTGAGAAATGTGTGGTTTCCTGTCAGCATTTTTTAAGGATCTCGGTTATTATGAAATAGCTAGTACTACGGTATTCATAAAAAAACGTTTGATAAAGTTTGCAGAAAAATATATCAAGTTTTTTTTAATGTCTAAATGGACCACCGAATTCCATGCCTCAAATTTTAAAAATTTGGTCTAACAAGGAATGGTTTTCAATGTTCCCCCAAGGAAAAAATCGAGAGTATGTGGAATGTTGAGGGTTCCCATGGGTAAGAAAAACCCTAACGGGAATAAGGAGAAAAATGCCTTATTCTCGAGAAAAAATGTATTTTAGGTCGATTTTTACACCATTTTTTGATTTTTAGAGCATCTGTAACTCGATTTTGAATCTATTTCATGAACTTTTGAGTCGTGGAAGTTGTTCAGAATGGTCGATTACGTGTTTGTGAAACTTTTTATCAAAAAATTAGACATTTTTTGAAATTTGGTTTTTTTAGTCGGGGTTTTTCTGATCAAATGGTCACCAAAAAACACAAAAAATAATTTTTTCCATTTTCAAATGAACGGAACTTGAAAAAATTATGACGGTCAACAGACGTAATTTGGTCCGTAGAATCCAAAAATCATAGTCTCGATTCACACAAACTTCTCCCTCACAACGAAAACGTTGATTTTCTATGAATTTTTCAAACTAGAAATTTGATTTAGTGGACTTTTGGAACCAAAATTATTTTATTCCTAATTTTAGTCGAAGTAATACTAAAGTACGCCGTTTGCGCTACAAATGGATTTTTAGACTGACATTTTTCATCAATTTTGAAAAAAGTTTCGATTTTTCTAAAAAATTTCATCGCAAAAATCAATAACACCAAAATTTTCGAAAACAAGGCATTTTTCTCCTTATTCCCGTTAGGGTTTTTCTTACCCATGGGAACCCTCAACATTCCACATACTCTCGATGTTTTCCTTGGGGGAACATTGAAAACCTTTCCTTGTAAAAATTCCTAATGTTTTTCAAAATTTACACCCACGAATTATTGGCCACGATAATTAAAATTTCTCGAACATTATTTTTCGAAAACAAGAAAAAACACTGAAAAATATTTTGTAACATTTTTGAGATTTTTGTGAGTCAGTTCAGCCGATTTGAAAACAAAATTTATTTTTATACAAAACCTTAGAATTCTCGCGTGACAGATTGATTTTCATTTCTTTTTTTTTGAAAAAAATATTGTTTTCTTGGAATGCGAAACAAAAAATTAATTTCCGAATTTTTGACTCGAATACTAATCTTTTTGGCCTTCATTTTTTTTATTTCAACTGCATTCCACATAAATTAAAACAATTGAACTGGAAGAAAAAGAAGCGAAAAGCAGCAGAAAAAAAACGATTTCAAGAGCACTTTGGTCTTCTTTTTTATTCAACATTTTTTAGTTTTGGAAAAATTGTGAATGTCATTTATGTTTTCTTGTTCTTCGCTTGGAAATCGTTGGAAGAGCAAGAAATAATGATAAAACGAACAACGAAATCTTTTGATCCGATTTGTTTCTCTTCTTCTTTTTATTCTTTCGTTCCTTTTTTTAAAGCTTTGCTGTAAACATTTCCCAGATTTAGCTTCCTCAGAGTTTCCTGTTTTTTTTTCTGATTTTTCCTCGAATCTTCTTTTCCAGATACCCGATTGCTCTATTATTTATTTGTTTTTTCTCCTTTTTCTTTTTTTTCATAACTTGTTTTTTTCTGTTTTTTTTTATAAAACTTCTCATACATATGGAAATTCTTTTCTCAAGCGTGTGACAAAAACAGGAAATTTATTCCAAATATTTGTCAAAACAGGCTACAAATAAATTCTTGACCTTTGTTCAAGAAGCCCCAAAAATATTAGTGTGATGATGTGATCTAAATATTTTCTTCCCTTCATTTTCTCCCCATTTTTTCATCCCAATTTAATCCCATCTTCCTATGTGTTTTTTTTTGCCATTTTGCTCGTGCTGCTCCTTATGTATTTTTTTTTGAGACCAAACGTCATTTTGCTAACCAACCAGCTAAAACTTTTCGTCTTTCTTAAAACTCATTATTTTCCGCTTCAAAACGATCTGAAAATAGCTGCTTTTTTTTCACAAATTGACACCAGCTGTTCACTAAATTTTCTATTTCTTTATGAATGATTGATCTATTTTTGACTGAAAATTTTTTTGTCAGGCGAAAAAAATGAGAGGAAATTGGAAGAAGACCTTTTCTTTCGTTTTACCTCAATGTTTTCGATTAGTTTTTTTGTGTCAAAATTGTCTTTTTCTTTGTTCCTCACAAGAATATCACGCTGTCTCAAAGATAAAACTGTCTCTGTAATTTTGAAAGTCGAAAAAGTATAAATATTCCAAAAATTCAAACTATGACGTGGGTTCTGAGTTCATTTTGTTGTCCAGGATGTTTAATACCAATAATTTTCAAGCAACTAGCTTATGAGATCCAAAATCTCAAAATTAAACTCGAATCTTTCTGAATCTTCCTTATATCTGAAAATGTTACAGTACTCCCGATATTGTCAGTTTGCTACGTCATAACTTTTTTATTGGGTTGTAAAGATTTTTGCAAAATTGAAATTTTTCCAACTCATAACTTATTTGTTTTCAGAATTTTTGAAATAGTTAAATTTTCAAGTTTTCTTTCACCTCCTAAATATTTTGAGCATTTCTTCTCAGTTTTTCAGTGTGTTTCTAATTATTCTACTCCCATTTTTTCTTCGAATTTCACACGTATCAAGTTTTTTTGTTGGTAATTCACGGAAAAGTCAAATTTCCAGCTGCTTTTTTTTTGATAAATGCATGAACTTTTGCAACGTCATAGATAGATGAGTAATTTTTAATTTGGAATCGCAATTTTCTGAGTCAACAAAAAAATCGAAAGATCATCTTTAATTTTCTAAATTAGACTATTTTGTGTCTATCGGATATTTTCTCGTTTCTTGAATAAAATCACATCATAAGTTCAATTCATTTACGTATCCAGTATTTTCCAGCTGTTTTTTCTTTTCTCAATTTTTCAGCTTATTATTAATCATTTCTCACAACTGGAAAATGGAAAATACATTCATTTTTCTTAACTAATTTTTGGTCGCAACGAAAAGGAGGAAAAAAATAAATAATTATAAATATTCTCAGAATTTTTTTGCTCGTCAACTATTTTTGTCTTCTCAAAATAAGTATTTTTCAAGAAAAAACTCTGTTCTGATTTTCTCATTCTATCAAATTAATTTCTGAAGTCCCAGAAAAATTGAATTAGGAATCGCGAAAACATTTTTCTTCGAGAAAACACAAATATTTCGTGAGATATAAACTTATTTTGTTTATTTTTTATTTCCAATGATTTTTGGTTTTTTCGATGCTAAAAGGATTAATACATGTTTTTTGGAGGCGGAGTTTTGTTTTTGTTTTATTTTATTTTAAACCTCATTTTATCTGAGCCCAGCTCAGTTCAGTTTAGTTATGTTTTGTAAGATCATTTTTCTCTTTTTCGAAAAAAAGGCTGAAAAGGATTACTCTTGTTGTTCGACAACATTTTTCTTGTTCCTTCGCATTTTTTCGTCTTCTCAAAAAAATCTGAAACTTTTTGGCATGTTCTCATTTTTCAGTCGCACTAATTGTGGATAAATGATATTTTGCTATATATTGATTTAGTATTAGGGATCCTTGATTTTTGAATCGAATCTGGAAAGGATTTCATTGATAAGTTAGATTACACTTTGGAAGGTCCCAATTTTTCCCCAAAGTTTCCAAGTGTGTATTTCGTAATGGGATCATTCGCGGGTTTTCAAAAGAAATATTGCCCCCCCCCCTTTTTTTTATGGTTTTCATTGAAAACTTGATAAACATTTAGAAGATTAAAAATTGTCAGATTTCCTCCTCAATATTGAGATTATCCATAATCCTTCTAAAAACTGAAGCTCAAACCACGAAAAACAATTAAGTTTTATCATAATTATATTGTGACGCATGCATGCGTATATCAAATTTGCGTACGAAAACTAAATTAAACAATCTTTTCGTTTCTTTTTTTCGGTCGATTCGTTTCTCATTTTGTAAGTGGTTGGTTTGTGGGCGAAATTTTTTGTGAAGTGTTTCGTACGTCTTCTTGCTTTGCAAACCAAAAACAGAAACAAATTGAAATTCGAGATGGCTATTTTGCAGCAATTTTCAGATTATTTTTTCCTCTTCCATTTTTTCTTTTATTCAAAGAAAAATATATGTTCCGAAAATAGTTTTATTTTTATTTTCATTTCTTTGCCGCAAAATTTTAAGAACAATAATATTTATTTATTTTTTCAATTTTTGTTCATTCATTGAAATTTGAGCCAATATTCAGACAATTTGAAAATGATTGTTCTTTCTTGCGGTCAAAAAAAATTTATATAAGGAAATGGGCATCATTAAATGTTTTTCTGGTGTTTGATGTTGTCAAATAGAAAAGAAAACAACCTAAAATCCTAAATTTAATTTGATTATTCTCAATGCTTTTCTCTTATTTTTTCACATACATATATTCTTTTCTACCTTATCTATTCCCTTTGGTACAATAAATATTCTCGATTTTATTACCCTTTTTCCTATAAAGCTATTTCCAGACATTTTCAATTTTCAGAAAAATGACGGCTGTCGCATTGTTGGGTGAAGAAATGGCGAAAAAGATTTCATTGTCTGAACCAGTTTCAAAAAGCCCCAAAAAATCGAGTGCAGTCAGTTTGCTCTCTTCGTCTTCAAGTGAGTTTTAATTTTTGCAGAAAACAATAAATTTGAATTTTAAAAATTGCAGGCGAAGATCCACCAAGAAAAAAGAGTTCGCTCAAGGAAAATATTGCCAATGTTTTGAGATCGCCAAATTTTTTGCTTCGCAGAGAAGCGACAAAGTGAGTTTGAAGAAAAAATTGGTGGATACAGTAATCCAAGAATTTTGTTGTGGAACTTTTGGAAAATTTTGTAGGAATCTTTTGAAGGAATTTTTTGAAAATACGGTAATTTAGAAATGTTGTAATACTTATTTTTCATTAAAAAAACCTTCTCTTTAATTTAATTTCGTATTTTATTTCAGACTTCGATGGGATCAAGTTCGTGATCGACTTCGCTTGAATCGCATCAAAATTTCAATAAAAGATCGGAGTCGCAGTCGAAAATCTTCAAAATCTAGTTAGTTTATCCTATTTATTTATTACTTATCCCCTGATTGGCTTATCTTTGATAATCCTAAAAAAAATTGGATCAGGAAAAAATGAGAACAAGATTATAATTTTGTTTTCTCATCTTCATTGTCAAATACCAAGTTTTGGGGTTCAAAAATAGAGTTGAATCTTGAGTTATTTTTAGAAAAGAAACTCGAATAAAATCAAATAAAATTGAATCAAATCTGCTGACCCGATGCATGTTTTTTTCTTCCGCGAAATATTTTTGCAGCCGGAGAAAAATTGCTTTTTTCGTCTCACACGATGTGAAAAAAATGTGTTAGTAAGCTGAAAACAATTATCAAATCACGTCATTTGACAGACAGACAACTGTGTTTTTCTGCGTTTTTTTTTTCTCATTTGATAGGTTCCTCTTTGTGTAACAAATATATCTATATCATATATTACTTTTTCACACGTGTTTTATTTTTTTCCTAATTTTAGAACTTTATATTATAATCACATCACTTGTTTTTGAACAATACTTATAATTAAAAATTTATTTTCTGTATGAGTTATTTTTAAATAGAAAGTTTCTGATGAGGAACTAAATTTTCACACTATTTTCTAAAAAAATTAACGATGTGAGAAAATTAGCATATTTGATACAGCGAAACGTAAACTGTGACGTGGCAATTTAAAACAAAATTTTAAAAAACCATGTTTTCCGATACCTTTTTACGTGAACTTCTATCTTGGCATTTAGGAACTTCATTTTAAAATTTAACTGGGATCACAAAAAACGCTAATGGAATCTTAGGTTCCAAAAGAAACTTCAAAATCACTTTCAATGTGGATTGTTTTTCCAATTCTCAAATTTTTCTTCAAAAAACTTGTCACGTCATTTTTAGAAAATTCAAATCATAACTGACAGATATACCTTTTCTTTTGTATATCAGTGACATTTCTGAAAAATTATGATTAAAATATACTGAAATAATTATTTTTCTCCTAAATTTTCGAAAATTCATACTACAAACTCCATAATTTTAAGTTCATTCAATTAACAAAAAATATTAATAGCCATAGTTCAAAACTGATGTCAGTTTTTCCTTCTTCATTTCTCTCATTTTTTTTGTTATTTTTTTTTGTTCCCCCAAGGGACATGTCATGTTTTTCGCTGTTATCTTCTCGCCATTTTCCCCCTCGTTTTTTTCGATTCTTCAGGCAGGCACCAAAAGAGAAGGCGGAGAATATTGGAGAAGAAAAAACGGACCACTCATTTCTCTCTTTATTTTTTGCTCTTCAACTTTGAGTTGAAAATATATACTTTTCATTGTTTTTGATTTTATTTCTCACAAATTCAAAGAATATCAATAATAGTAATGAGGGGCGAAACATTTTTGTGTCGTGTCGTGCAAACTGAGCTTTCATCCAAAGTGTCTCAAATTTCCTCTCACTTTTTCGTTGCTTTGAATTTTATTTTATGTTTTTCGATCATGGTTCTAAAAAAAACAAAACCAAACCATTATTTTCCTTTTTTCACACCGATTCCAACCAATAAAATAAGGAAATTTTCCCGAAATTTATGATCGACGAAAATTGAAAAAAGCCGAGAAAATTGAATCACGCGATTTTTCCGTTTTTCTGGGAGCCATAAGAATTCCTTTTTGCTCCCTCCTATTCTATTCTTATTGTTGTTGTTCCAATTTTTCTTCCGCATTTTCTTTTTTTTCAAAAATGAACACTGAATATCTACAGTAATCTACAGTATGCCACTGAAACGCCGGTTACCCAGAAGTATATCGGCACCAATTTTTGAAAAATCATCGCGTCGAAATGTTATTGATATTCTTACTTTGAAACTTCGAGAATTTTTACCGTTCAGTAAGTTGAAAGTATTTGGATTATTTGAGAAAAGTTTTTGAAAAATAAGAGCTTCATTAATAGTAACATTTTTGGGGATTTTTAATAGATCTTTTATTAATATTCCATTGGTGATCTTTCCATTTTCGAATAATTTTCTAGAGTTTTTATCATTTGTCGATTTGATGAAAGGATCTCACAAACTTGTCAGTATCCCCTGAAGAAAATTTTTTATCGAGATAATCCAACCTTTATTTCTGAGGAACCCCCATATTTTATGGACCCTTAGATTTTGACAAAGCCAATTTTTTGCCAACTTTTGTAAGCCATGACGTTTCTGAAAAATAAGTCGTTCAAAAATGCTTCCATATGATGATGTCTTTTGTTTTTGTCTCGTTAAAATTTATGAGAAAATGACTTACAGTAACCCAATGCACTTTTTTTTCTAATTTCAAATCAAATTTAATTTCATTTTCAATTCTTCAACAACAAAAAAAACAAAGAATTTATTTTTTCATTCTTCTTCTAACCAACTCAAATGTTAATCTTTTAATTCTGTGCTTTTTTGAGTCTCAAAATGTTTTCTTTTTCTTCGCTTCTTTTCATTTTTTTTCTGTGGCCAATGAATAGGAAATGAGAAGAAGAAAAAGGAAAAAAAGAAGGCTGGAAAATGAAGCGATGAAAAAAAAAACGAAGAGCATCCAATTATTTTTCGATCACACTTTGAACTAACAAACATTTGAATGAATGCTAAATTAGCAAAATTCAAATAAAAATTATCCTTTAGTGTTCAAAAAAAACTAAACTCCTGAAAAATTGTAACATTCCATGGGAGATTTTTGCCAAAACCTTAAGTCTTGGTCCCTTTTCTGGTTCCTCGAGGAACTCAAAAAGTATGAGTTCCTAGAAAATCGTCACTTTTCCTGAACTTAATTAAAAGTTTTTGTCGCATCAACCGGAAATATGAGAGCGCGAAAGGAAAAAAAGTGGAAAAAACAAAACAAAAATGTGTGCGTCATTTTTGGTTGCCTAACTCATAATTGGGTTGGAATAAAAATAAAATAAAATGGAAGGAAGGAAAAGTTTGCAAAGGTACTGTAGGTGGAGGGATTTGATACTTTGGAACAGATTTACTTACAGTAATAGTTATCTCTAGAGAGGGAAACGAGGAAACTCCGAAAATATGTTAAAGAACTATTCTGCGGTTAAACATTTTATTGATTATTTAAAATACGTTTCAATTTTCTCTGAATATGATTTTTTTATTTTTCGAATAGATCTCTCTATTCGATATACGGTATCTTCACTCGATATTTTAAGCTTCGTTTTTTTACCAACCTGGAATTTCCAGAATTCTTGAACAAAAAAACTAGACAATTTTATATCAAAAAACAATTTTTAATTTTCTCTGAATCTGATTCACTTTTCTATTTCTAAATTAATTAATTTTCGCTCAAAGAGTTCTCAACCTACTTTTTTCGAAAATAAGTAAAACTTGTTGCAACTTTCCGAGAAAAAAACTACAGTACTCTCTAGCTCCTAAAAAGACCAAAGACTTGTGTCGTAAATCATTGCTGCTGCCAAGTTTGTTTTTTCGTGTGGTAAACACTTCTTCTTCTTCTTCTTTCCCAAAGGAATCCCTTTTTTGACCTCGCAAAAAATCAAAAAAAGAAATTCTGACATTTTTCGAGGGACGACTAAAATAACTTGATATTTATTTTTCAGCTTTCGGAAATTAGGTAATCATAATTTCCGATATCCTGGTTATTTTGCAGAAACAAAAAATATTTTAGTTTGTGTCATTGTGCAGTGGAATCTGGTGTTTGGTTGATCAAAGTTTTTTGTTTCATTTTATGACTTGAGGTTTAGAGAGGATTATTTGAAATTGAAAGAAAGAGAAAACAATTTGTGTGGGGGTTCAGAATTTTTTTGAGAAACCTTTGAAAAATATGCCTGTTATTTTATTCAAAACTCAGTTTTTTTTTCCTCGAACAATGGAAAAATTCAATTCTTTTGTTTTACTCAAATTTCCATAATTTATGACTCAATTTTCTTCAAAAAGCTTCAAAATTTCAAATTAAAATTCAGCAAAGAAATGGTTGATATTTTGACCTCGAACACTTCCTTCTTTTCTTTTCTCAACATCATAAGCTCGGCAAAAAATACTTTTTTTTTTTTGAAAAACCCGGAAATCAGCCAACAAAAAACGTGCGGGTATTTTTCAAATAAATAGACGCAGACATACACTAAATTCAATTCGATGCAGAAAAAACGGGGAAAATGCGAAGATGGCTCCGCCCATTTTTTGGCTCTCCGTGTGCCAGCAGATTTTTTTCCATATTTTTTATTCGAATATTTATTTTATAATTTTAATATTGAGAAAAAGAATATCTATCCCAGAGGGCAAAAATTGGAAAATGAGATCGCCTAGAAAACTATTGAAACAATTGTCGATTTCAAGAGGTTTGCATCAAATATTTTTGGGAATAAAATTAGATCCCTGGGGTTCCCGAAGTCCCTGACTTTTTTGGTTTTTGAAAATCTTGATTTTTCAGGAGAACGTCGACGTCGATCAAATGATCAAACAAATGTTCCAACACCGCCAGCTTCTGCAAATTCGATCGGCTCAAATTGTGTTCCAGCATCGCCAAGATTGAGGTAATTTTAGAATGTTTTTGAGATTTTCTCGCGATTAGGTTCGCTAGAATACAAACCTTCCATTTCTGAAGTTAAAGGAGTTAACATTAAATAAAAAATATTTGAGACAGGAAACAAGTACTGTACGGCTTTTTCACTTGTGAGACAATTTTTCGAAATTCGTTTGAAATTTAATAAATGCGAAACATCTGGGTCTCGCGGCGGCGAGAAAAAGTACTGTAGTAAAATATTATATGATCTTCTTGGTTCCCAAATCTGAAATCATAGGGGTCTTGTTACTAAAAAGATACTGTAGAAAGGCGATTCCAAAAACATTTTTTATTTCGTCCAAAGACCTTGTCGGATTAATTTTCGAGGCCAACGACGATTTTCTTAAAAAGGCTTAAAAATGTTCTTGGCGAAAAAAAATGACAATCGGGTTAACTTTTGTTGAATAGAAACAGACCAGACATTTTCTCTCGAAAATGTGTGATTCATAAGTTCAACAACAAATCGAATCATCTCGAAAAGTCATACATTTTCGCTGAAATCCATACTAATCTTGAGCCAAACAAAATGATGATGTTTTTTCATTTTCTGTGTATAATTTTGCCTGATTTGTTATTTATTTCAAATGACGATAATTCGGTTTTTTCCCTCCAATCCTCTTCTCTCGTTTTTTTCTTTCTTTTTTTTTTGATTATTAGATTAGAACAATTCGGCTGTGACCGCATTTTTCGCACATAATAAAATAAAGTGAAAGAGGCTCCCTTTTCAGCTTTAAAATAAGGGAGGAAACCGGGGGGAAATATCGAATTTCAATCTGACGAGGAATGAGATCAGTTTTTTGTAGACAAAGTGCAGCGAGATCATAAAAACGAATAGCAATTATAGGAGGATAATTGAAAAATACTTAACGTTTCACTTTACTAAAAAAAACAGTTGATCATCTAAAAACATCATAATTGGCTTCATTAATTAATAATTAAAAATAATATTTTTGCAGTCCAAACGAATGGCAATTTGCATTTGATCATGTTATTTATGATCCAGATGGCAGAGCACAATTCACCAAATTTCTTCAATCAGAATATTCCGAAGAGAATATTCTTTTCTGGTGGGCAGTTGAAGAATTAAAAGCAGTCAGTTCTTCAGAAGGTCGGAAGAAATTCGAACAAACAGTTCAAGAAATGTATGACACTTTCATTGCTGCCGAATCGCCATTGGCTATTAATATTGATCATGATACAAGAACTGATATCATTGAAAGGTTTTTTATTGAATCGATTATTTTAAATTTCAACATTTTATTTTCAGAGTTGAGGGAAAAGATGCGACAACATTTCCGGAAAATATTTATGAAAGAGCACAAGCGCATGTTTATCGGCTAATGGAAAAGGTACAGTAATTTATGCTAATCCTTCGATTTTCTGAAACATAAAAAAACCACGTTTCAGTTTTGTTTCTTGGTGAAAAATAAGAAGATAGGATAAGATTAGATTAGCACATTAGTTTTTCGTTTCTATTTTTCTAATCCGATAAATCTTCGAAAGAAAAGGGAACATTTTTTCACAATTTTCTGAAAAATTCATTGATTTTCTTTTTTTGCAGGATTGTTTCTCACGATTTGTTCACACAAATGCTTACAAAGATGTTGCCAAAAAACTATCATTGCCTCAAACTTTTCGGTTTAACGTCCGACTTTCACCAGGAACCTAACACTAAATAATATTCAACCAAGGATTTTTTTTTCCTTCCTGACTACTGTATTTTCTCAAGGTTTTGATCTCTCCAAAATTCTTTATATTTTATTTTCCAAAAATGTTCTTCTTGTTAGTACCGTTTGCTTGACGGGTTATTTTTTAGTTTTAAAAATCTTCCCTCTTTTTTTTTCTTGTGACCAACTTTTTTCATTTTCATTTTTATTTTAACACAATATTTCAACAATTTGATAAAGAGAATAAACAAATTTAATATTTTTGTGAACTAGCCTGTTCGAAGAGCTCCAAACTTTTTGAGAAGTTTTGAAATGAGATCGCGGTTTGTTTGATCTAAATCACGTCGATTTTCCAGATCCAAAGATGTCAATAATTCATTTCTCAATTTTTCTTCAACATCTGCCCATTCAACATAATTCAATAAATATTCTCTGAAAATATTTTCGTCGTTTCAAATGAAAAATCAATTTAGACTTCCAACAAACCTGATATATTCTAACTCTGCAAAATGTTCTCCGTTTGAAACCAATAAAATATATGCACCAATAATTGGAATATTCAATTTCTTTGCGAATTCTGGATAATCTTGCATTGTATATGAAATGGAAGTGAGAATTCGAGCAGATTTTGCCGAGACTTGAACAGATTTTGAAGATTTCACGAGGTTTTCCAAAATACCCGAACCATTTACCTCCTCAAACTTTGAAAATGCTGATTTATTCGATCGAACTGATCCAGAAATTGCACTCAAAATTGCAGATAATAATCCCTGAAATAATTTATAACATGTTTCTACATTTGAAAGAAAAAACACTAACCGATGGAGTTTCAGGATTGGATAAAATCTTGAGAAGTTCGTTGAAAAGTTTACTATCGATAATTGCATTTTGTGCGATTTCATTGTTTTCAGCCCATGTTAAAATAACTTGTGCAAATCTAACACGAATCTCACTATCAACATTTTGTCCCACAATGAAAGTTTCTAATATGAGCAATCCTCCATTGTTTATGAATTGATTAGATAAATCAGCAATTGATAAAAGATCATCGAGTCTCTCAATTAAATCGAGAATCTGATCATTGTCTGATTGATTGATTTTCTCAATTGAAGAAGCATATTGATGAAGACTATCGATAACTTTTTGAAGTTGACGAAATGGATCAGTTTCATGAACTAAATCACGCATTACTTCTTCCAACCATTTTCGACTCTGAACAGACAATTAATTATTATTAAAAATTTTTTTAAAAATTATTAAAACGACTAACGTATTTAACATATTCAATCTTCAAAAAAAACTCACATCTCCATCCAAAACTTTTGGGATTTCTCTTTCAACTCGTTCAGTTGTATCATCTGCTTGTGCGCGAGTTGTGATAGCCAATAGATTCTTCCAATAATAATCCGGAATATCGCCCGACATTTTTGGAAATGGGTTTTCCGAGTGCCTCGTCAAACTATTTCAAAACTTTGCGAAAAAACCCGAAAATTCGAGAAAAATAAAAATAAAGCTGCAACTTCGCTCTAGCGAACATCGTTTTTTCTCTGTTCGCTCATTTTTGTGTACAGTCTCTCGCGGATAATTTTCGAATTTTTTCATTTCATTTTTCATTCGCAATTCTCAAGATCACATAGAACTATGAATACCAATTGTTTTGTAGATTCATATGACTCCAAGAAAAAGACCAGTGGGATATGTTAAATGTTTCAAATGTCTTGAAAATGTTCACATAGGAGACTGTACACTCGTTGAAACATATGACGATCGAATCAGTGATTCTGACTTGCTGTTCATTCTGGAAGAAGTTTTCGATGGAGCATATACTTGGAAAAAGAACACATTTATTTGTAACAAACATATTGGTCAAATCGAAAAACAACTTCTACGAAAATCTGGAGTTGAAGATGAACTCATATCTATTATGATGGAACACGATTATTATGAGCGAGATTATTATACTTTAGTGAGAAACATTATTGAAAGAAAGAAAAAAGAAAATGAAGAAAGGATGTATAATGATGTAACAGTTGAGAAAATCATAAAAGTGGAGGTTGATTTGGATAATGAACCTAGTTGTTCTTCTGCAAGAATATCCTCGAAGAAAACCCATATTGAAATTAAAAAAGAAACAGATGATAATGAAAATACAACGTGTAAAGAAGTAACATTTCTTCCGAATAAAGTGAAAGTTGAGGAAATCGTGGTAGAAGAAGAAGAAAATGAAAATAAACCGAGTTGTTCCTATGAAGACGTATTACAAGATGTGAAAGAGGAAATTGATGATATTCCAGAAGAAGTAGAATTTGAGGATGAAATAGATGAGGAAGAAAATGAACCTTCTACTGCTGATTCAAAAAATGTTATATGTTCGATGACTAGTTTAATAACATTGGTTTGTTATTGTCACGAATGTAAAGAATTTGGAATTTATCAGTTGAAAAATGAGGGAATGAATACACATGTAAGTAAATATTTTATTTACTCATTTGAAAATATGTTTATTTCAGATTTCCGTTGAATGTCGAGTATGTTGGAAAACTTGGACTTGGAGTGCAAATCCAGTCGAACCAGAAATTGTCGATGAACTTGGAGAATATCATAAAACAACACTTCAGAAAATACTCGATGTTCTCAAAATTCCAGATCCTGGATTCTGTTTGACACAAAACAGTATTATGCCAAAATATATGTTATGTTCTCAAAAAAGTCTGGTAAATATGGCCAGAATTTGTTGTACATGTAGAAGAAGATCGATTTTCACGATAAAGGAAGTTGGAATGGCTTTAGTGGTGATTTTACAAAATGTATTTGCTGAAAAGTCGTTTTTTTTCATTTCAGATGCAAATAAATTGTGCAATTTGTCCGAAAATATGGGAGTGGAAAACATCAAAATCAAATGATATTTCAATAAGATATCGATCTTGTTTCGATGTCAATTCGGATTTTTATATGGTTTCGAAAAAACTGTTTTTGACAAAACAAGAAGTTCAGAATATTTTTGAACGTTTCAAACTTCGAATGTTTCCGTGGAAAGCGACACCGCGTAAAAGTAACAGAACCAATGCTGACGGGTAAATTAATTTTTAAAGAAGTAAATCTTGTAAATATTTCTGAAATTCATTTATTTACAAAACAAAAACAATTTGGAAAAGAGAGAAATTATTCGAAATTAGTTCCAATCTGGATATCTTTTACGATGTTGATCGTCGAAACTGTGAAAATGATGATTTTTGAAATCTGCTCTTCTTTGTTCAGCCGAATAATTTGTTTTCATAAAATGCTCGAATGTTTGATATTCTGAGTTTGTAGTTGATGAACGGCTTCGTTGAGAAGAATTTGAAGAAGTATCATTGATATATTCATAATCATCTTGATTTGAAGAATTAGTAGTGGAAGACATTTTTTCAATTTCAGTTGTTGATTTCTTCTACAATCTGTCTCTCATTTTATACTGCTCATTTTTGAGCTGATAATTTATTGTTTCCGATGAAATAGTATTTGAAATTAAGAGGATTAGAGAACATAAAGAGTATGATATTTGATAAGAATAATGAAAACAATAGATGGTCATGTGATTTTTCAAAATGTATAGTTAGTTTTTTGGACACGTAAGCGATTGAGAAATTTCGAGAAAAAATAATTTATTGTGGTTGTGGTTGTTGAGCTTTTTCAGGAGTTAGAGCATTCGGATTTGGATTTGGATTTACTCTTCTTCTTTGCGATGCTCGAACTTTTTTCGTAATTCCAGGTGTAAAATTGATTGAATGTGTTGGATCAAATCGATTTTTCCTTGAAACATTTTTGAAGATATAAAATTGCCCGGAAACGAAGAAACAATCATGTTCTAAAATGAAAGCTTTTTTTTTGGCTCATGGAGCATTTTTATGACTTTTCAAATTCTAAACTAGTACATTCAGGTGATAAACTTTCATTTTAGAACATGATTATTTCTGTGTTGCCGGGCCATTTAAGAAAAAACATATTTTTAAAAAAAACCAACCTGTTATACTGCACCAAAGTTTTCGGTTTCACAAAAATCATTTTACTTTCTTTCTCCTTCTCTTTTGGTGTTTTTGCACCATCTTTAGTTTCAACATCATTTTCATCCGAATTATCTCTATTCCTTTTCCGGTTTTTACGTCCTTCATGTAATGCAGCCAATGAACGAATTGTGTTGCTCAAAACCTGGAGAAAAATAGGTGGACCAAATAGTATTTTTGGGACTTACTCTTTTATGTTTTTTGAAATATTCAGTATCTCTTCCTTGTAAATATTCCAAAGTATGAAAAGGATCCAGATCTTTTCTGAAAATCAATTTGCGACTTGAATTGTTTAAAAAATAGTTTTATTTATATGCTTCTTACCTATGATAAGGTTCAGCTGTTTCCGGAACCATTGTCCATTTTCCTTCAGTCAAATCCCGCATTGCATTTACAACAACACAGATTTTTGTAGACGGCGGTTTTTCATCGCGAACACACCAAAATGGTCGACCCTAAAATTTCTTTGATTTTTTCTAATTAATTATTTTTCGTAAACTTACATTCACAAAAAGATTACCACCATTGTCAAAATTGGAGACTGGTTTATCAGGAGGTTTTCCATAATCTTCAGGGCAACCATATTCGGGTCGAACATCATTTATTTTCATGTTAACTTCTGGATTACTGTAGGGAAACATTTTTTGATTTTCGATTTGGAAAAGGGAATGTTGAGACTCACGGAACAAATGTGTCATCAGATTTATTAAGACGTGAACCTATTGTTGTTTTGGCCTTATTGATCATTGATCGAAAAAATCCTTCTAAAAAAAATTAAATTGAAAACTCGGGATATTTTTTCTGGGATATAAAAAAGGAAGTACCTTGTTTTTCTTTCTTCTGCGCTTTTTTTGTGTTAGCATTTTCAGCGAGGTTCGATTTTGATTCCTGAAAAGTGGATAATTAGTGGCTAAAAAAGCATCAAAAGTTATAAATGAAGAATTGAACGTATATAAAAGTTCAAATCTTTGTTTTTCTGGTAAACTCACAGTTTTTGCTTTGTATCGTTTTTTCCTCTCAATATTCACAATATCCAAAATATCTTTTCCTAGATTATCTTTACTGTCTTGTGATGTTAATGGTGTTGTTGATCCAACTTTGTTCTTTTTCATTCTATTACTTTGTTCTATTTTTTTCGTCCTCGTACTTCCATCAATTTTCCTGGCTTTAGTTGGTGTTCTTGTATTATTTGGTACCATTTCTCCATCTTCTGTTGATTCCTTCTTTTTTATTTTTCTCGTTCCTCTTCTTGCAGTTCCCTCTTTTTTCTGACCATCTCCAACTTTTTTCGGCTCTTTTTTCTTCTTTTTTTCTTCCCATGAAATATCTTCATTACATATTTGTCCAATCGCATTATTTTCATCTTTCACTTCCACTGATTTAACTTTTTGCTTCTTCTTTTTCTTTTTTTCAACAGGTTTTGATGGTGTATCAGCTTTTGTTTCAACTTCACTATCGTCTAAAGTTTTTGCCTCACTTTTCATTTCGAAATTCGTTCCAGAAGCTTGAATATTTGGTGGATCATCTCTATCAATTCCAAGTTTTTCAGCTTCTTCTGCATCTTGTGTTGTCATTTCTCTCGACTTTTCATTTTTTCCTCTGAAAATTTTGGAATAAGATTCGAAGGAATAGTTAGTCTTCGTCTCAAGAATAAGGTCTTTCAGAATTTTTCAAAATTAAATGTTATCTTTCGGGAATCTTGATTTTCTATAGGACCTTCTTATTCTTTTTGTACCTACTCTTCAGTTTTTGCCTGACTTTTCGATTGTTTTCCTTCCAACCCAATATTATCAATCGAAACTTTGATGTTGATCACAGGCCTATAAATAATAAAAATCGACTAAGCCATAATTTCTGAAACAATAACTTACTCTTCATTTTCTTCCCTCGAAGATTGCTTTGTAATTGATTTAGTCCTAAAAAAAAACAACAAAAAAGTATATCTAATTTCAAACTACAGTAACCCACGCTTCAATTGTATTCTTATGTTTTTTCTTTTTCTTTCCATCGCCTCTGAAACAAAATTCGCATTATTTTGTGTTCTCGAAAAAAAATGAAAACTAACTCATCATTTTCCGAAATTTGTTTCTCCTCTTCATCTTTTGAACTGTCTTTTTTGATACTGTAAAAACAAACCACTTTTATTTTTTCATTTTCAAAACTTCCTCACTTATTTGTCTCGCTTTGCTGTTTTCTCGAAGCACGAACTGGTGTACATTTTTGTTCTTCAATACTGTAAGCCAACTGTAGTACAGTCCCGTAGGTATACAACGAAATCTGATCACTAAAAATTTTGTCACGTTTTTATTTCAAATTTTCACGTGAATTTTTTTTCATTTCTCAAATTTAAAGAAATTTTTTGAGACAATGGTCCAAATTAATTTATTCCGTGAGATAACGGGGAGCAAAAACTTTCACCACCAAATTGACTGCAAAACTTGTTTTTTTACTGGAATTCATCCATTTACAGAAGATTTAGTAACTGTTTGAGACGTTTTCAGCTCCAGAAATCTAAAAATTTTCAAAAAAAATTTCAGAAAACTTTCGAAAATTCTGATTATTTGTGAGACTTTGGGAACATTTTCACAAAATTGGATTATGAAGATTTCACCAAGACAAATCACTTTCCTGATTTTCCGGGCACAATTTCCGGATGATCGGAAAATTTTCCGTGAAAAACTGGAGAATTTCCGTCACAGGTCTACCCAAAAAGAAAAATTACTATTGCTAAAAATCACTACAGTAGGTACCAATAATATAGTGAAAATCAAAATCAAACAAAGCAAAAAAAATTCATTTTCAAGAAAAAACACTTCAAAATATCTTCGTTAATCCCGAAATTTCGTTGAAAATCTTCATTATTGAAACGTCAGCTTCACAAAATCATCATTCGATCGGTTTTTCGATGATAATAGTCGTAAATCGGCCGACTCCAATTTTTCTGAAGCCAGCTATAAAAAATTCAAAATTAAAACTGGCCAGAGGAATTTATTATTTACCGTAGATTCAATTGAGGCGAAACATTCGATCATCGCGTATTGGTTTACTGTTGAAGCAAAATCTGAAAACAAAAACATTTTTTCAATTTTTGATGTTCTGCTCACTCACCATTTTCCGGACGCAAAAAATTATCAATGACTGGACAAAATCCAGAAAAACAAGCAAAAGGCCGCCACGTATTTTCTGACAAAAGAGACGTGGCAAGATTTTTATCTCGTTGAAAAACAAAACAAAACAAAAATAAAAAACTGAAAAAAAAATTTTTAACGTGACACAAAAAATTGATCAGATTTCGTTGTACAAATACTGTTATATAACTGTAGTATATAATAGAATAGTACTGTGTTCAACTTACTCATCCATAATGTTATTATTTTGATTTTTTACACGACCAAATTTAGGAAATAAACTAAATTAAAAAATGACACTAAAAATTGTTTTTACTTTTTTTTCGGGAAGTTCCAAAAAAAATGGGTCACGTGTAAACAAATAACATTTTTTCAAGAAATAAAAATATTTATTTCGCATACTTTACTCTAATATTCAAAGCAATCATTCCAATAAAACGGTACACAAAAAATGAGGAAAATAAAATGAAAATGTTCCATTCCATTGGAGTTGTTATTCCACGTCTTTGCAAAATTTGATAACCATTTGAAGCTGGACAATATTCTCCAGTATTTGTGACATTGCCACATCCAGGAATATCATCAATTCCATTCCATTGATTCTCTTCCAAAGCTTCGAAACCATGTTTGAACCAAGAAATATAAGAGAATGGCATGAAATATTTCGGAATATTCAAGGCATTAATATAGAATCCACCAAAAACAAGCATTGGAAGAACAAACATTGGCATAAAAGTCACAACTAATCCTTCATCTCCAAAAATACAAGCACCAACATAAGCTGGAAATATCGATAGGTTTTCAAAGAAGTTTTTGAATTGGAACTTCGGTCTTTGATTTTTTAGAAAAAGTGAAATAGAATCGATGCTGATCCAAAATTTTGGACCATTTCTGAGAAATTAACAAACCTACAGAAACCGCAACCCAAGTAAGAGATATACTCCATCAGTCCAAGCTATATGAAGCCGCGAGTCGGTGGATTATAGTGCTGAGCCTCTACGTGGCGATGGGGATTTGCACACCTGGTTTACAACTTTACGGCAAGGTTTGGAGCCCTTGTCCAACCAGGTGTGTAGCCAAGAAGCTGGACATTCTCCCGAGTTGTCGCCCGCTGTCTCCAAGCTGGGTTCCAACGAGGCCCTAACTTAGGCCTAGCAAGCCTCTGTATGGGTAACCAGGAGAAAAAACTTGTAGCTAAAAACAGTTCCAAAAACTGCCTCAGTCCTCCGCACCCCACCTCTGCGTTCAACACGACGGGCTTGAAAGTAAATGGGGAGAGGCGATCAAATCTCGGAGCTCCGACCACCCGTCATTGGAAAAAGGATAAGGAAAAATGCCAGCCAAAAACCCGAAAAACCGACGCCAGGATTTGCACATTTAACTGCCGCTCTATCGCCACCGATGATCGTCTTGCTGATCTTCTTCAAGAAGCTGATCGAATCAAATACGACATCATCGGATTATCTGAAACAAAGCGAGGGGCAGAATTGCAAGCCAAAAGCGCTGACGGAACTGGTATTTTTCTAGGAAAACGAAATGAAGCCTCGGTATCTGGAGGGGTTGGATTTATCACTCATAAATCCATGACTCCAAAAGTCAAAGAAGTCAAATTCATAAACCATCGAATCGCAACCCTCACTTTTGGTGTTTCAAAAAGATTCAATTGCACAGTCATACAAACCTATGCACCAATTGGAACATCAAACGACGAGGAAATTGCAGAATTCTACGAAAGCGTTGAAGATGTCATCCGCCAATCCAAATCAAAATTCAAAATTATAATGGGCGACTTCAACGCAAGAATCGGCTGCCGAGCAAACCCGTCTGAAACATTCATTGGCCCACACTCAATGGAAGCCAGAAACGAACCCGGTGATTATCTAGCCAGTTTTTGTGAAAACAACCGTATTTTCCACACGAACTCCTTCTTCGAAAAAGCCTCAAATCGAAGATGGACTTTTGTATCACCTGATGGCAATCACAAACACGAAATCGATCACATCTTAGCCAATGGCCGCTTTTTCACCGACACACACGTCGTACCCTCTTTCACGATAGGAAGCGACCATAGGCTTGTTCGAACCCACCTCCACTTCAATCTAAAATTCGTGAAACACCAAGAATTTAGGTCGAGGAGGCTGCCAAGGAAAATGATCGATGAGTCGCTGATATCCACGAACTGCGAACTCACACAAGAACCACCACCAAATCCAATCATCGACGTGTATTATAACAACATTGTGAACATGCTAAATTCGATCCAAGAGAAGTCAATGGTTCCACAACCAAACCACTCGAATAATCGAATAAGCGAAGACACTCGAGAACTCCTGAAACTTCGGCGAGAAATGGACCGAACCAGTCCAACATTCCACATCTTCTCCGCACTATGCCGCGACGAAATCGCAAAAGATCACCAAGAATTCGCGACAACACGATTAGTAAACGCTGCAATGGCTAAGAAGAGTATGAAAAAAGTCGCCAGGAACCTGGCAGAATACTCATCAACAATTCCAAGTCTGAAATCATCCACCAACCGGAATCGTATCACCCAAAGACGCGGAATTGAACAAGAAATTCAGAAGTTCTACACAAACCTGTTCAAAAGTACCATCAACCCAACAATCCAGAGACGCCCAAGAAGACTCGGAAAACCACCATCATTTCTCCCGTGCGAAATCCGCTCAGCGCTTTCAACTTTTCCCAATGGGAAATCAGCTGGAGAGGACAAAATAACGGCCGACTTCTTGAAAAAGTGCACGGAAAAAATCATTGGGACGATCACAAAGTGCTTCAACCAAATCATAGACCAGTGCCAAATTCCACAAGCTTGGAAAAATTCAAAGACGATACTGATCTTCAAAAAAGGTGACCGCGAAAACTTGGAGAACTACCGACCAATCACCATCCTACCGGTACTCTACAAGCTCTTCACAAAATGTATTCTACGCAGAATCCGTCGGACACTCGAAGAAGCTCAACCAATCGAACAAGCGGGATTTAGAAGATCTTTCTCCACACTGGACCACATTTCAACCATTCAAAGAATCCTCGAGGCAAGCCGAGAACACCAAATTCCACTGGTGTTAGTATTTGTCGATTACCACAAAGCTTTTGATAGTATCGAACCATTTGCTGTCTGGACAGCATTACAAAATCAAGGAGTTGATCAATACTACATCAACATTCTTAAAAAATGCTATCAAAACTGCTCCACCACAATTTCCCCGTTCTTCAAGAAAGTCGCGATCCCGATTTCCAAAGGAGTCAGACAAGGAGATCCAATCTCCCCAAATCTCTTTTCTGCGTGCATCGAAGAAATCTTCAGAGCGACAAAATGGGATGATTATGGGATAAATATAAATGGTTGCAAGTTAAACCATCTCAGATTTGCTGATGACGTAGTTCTTATCGCACACAACCCACACCAGGCGACGTCAATGCTCAATGACTTGGTCAAAGAAAGCGCGAAAGTTGGTTTGAAAATCAATGAATCAAAAACAAAATCAATGCGCAATCGATTTGCTACATCAAGTCCAATAACAATCGCAAACACCCCAATCGGAAATGTTGAAGAATATGTGTATCTTGGAAGACAATTGAATCCACCAAATGAGATTCTTCCAGAAATTCACAGAAGAAGAAGAGCCGGTTGGGCCGCATTCAAGTCTATCGAACAAGCGACAGATTCCATGACCTGCCAGAAAACCAAGGCAAAACTCTTTGATCAAACAGTCCTCCCCGCTCTATGTTACGGAGCCGAAACCTGGACCTTGACAAAGAAAAATAGTGAAGCACTCCGAGTTTCACACGCGGCTCTCGAACGAAGATTAGTCGGAATTAAATTGAGCGAACAACGCGAACGCGGAATACATCAAGAAGATATTCGTCGATTATCGCAGGTGAAAGATCCACTCAAGCACATCCGCCAACAAAAACTTCGATGGGCTGGACACATCGCAAGAAGAACCGACAGCCGCTGGACAACAACAACCCTTGAATGGTGCCCAAAAGATTGGAAACGACCAGTTGGAAGACCGCCAATGAGATGGTCAGACGAATTAAGGAAAACTACTGTATATATGACAACAACAACAAAATGGTCAAACATTGGACTACTCGTGCCAAAGACCGAGATTTATGGAGAGCTGTGGTCCGCGCTATATGCTGATGAACGGATCAACTAAGTAAGTAAGTAACTATACTGTAAGCCAACTGTAGTATATAATAGAATAGTACTGTGTTCAACTTACTCATCCATAATGTTATTATTTTGATTTTTTACACGACCAAATTTAGGAAATAAACTAAATTAAAAAATGACACTAAAAATTGTTTTTACTTTTTTTTTCGGGAAGTTCCAAAAAAAATGGGTCACGTGTAAACAAATAACATTTTTTCAAGAAATAAAAATATTTATTTCGCATACTTTACTCTAATATTCAAAGCAATCATTCCAATAAAACGGTACACAAAAAATGAGGAAAATAAAATGAAAATGTTCCATTCCATTGGAGTTGTTATTCCACGTCTTTGCAAAATTTGATAACCATTTGAAGCTGGACAATATTCTCCAGTATTTGTGACATTGCCACATCCAGGAATATCATCAATTCCATTCCATTGATTCTCTTCCAAAGCTTCGAAACCATGTTTGAACCAAGAAATATAAGAGAATGGCATGAAATATTTCGGAATATTCAAGGCATTAATATAGAATCCACCAAAAACAAGCATTGGAAGAACAAACATTGGCATAAAAGTCACAACTAATCCTTCATCTCCAAAAATACAAGCACCAACATAAGCTGGAAATATCGATAGGTTTTCAAAGAAGTTTTTTGAATTGGAACTTCGGTCTTTGATTTTTAGAAAAAGTGAAATAGAATCGATGCTGATCCAAAATTTTGGACCATTTCTGAGAAATTAACAAACCTACAGAAACCGCAACCCAAGTAAGAGATATACAAACAGCAACAAATATCAAAAATGAGACAGCTGAAGTTGCCAAACCTGAAAAAATTAGATTGTCTACTCCTCTACAGTAATCTCAAATCCAACCTGCCATCCAATAAACAATAGTTCCATAAATAATTGGTAATACTGTATATTGTGGAAGTTCAGCTAAACTTTTGGCTAGAAAATATGCTTCAACTGAATAAATATTCGCTTTATGTTCTCTCATAAAAATTGGCAATTCACTTGTAATTACATTTACAGATGGAAAATAGAAAAGAAATGTCATATCTCTTGCACAATTATACATAACACCTTCAAGATTTTGAATTGTTGGACCACGAAGTTCAGTACGGAAATTTACAACTCCAACGATAAGAGCAGTTATCTGAAAATGATTATTTTCAGAAAATACTCGGTCAGAAAACGGCGGAGTCGCTACCGATCGGGGCGGAGTCGCTACACGTTTCGGGGAACTAAACTAAAAGGAACTAACTAAGGGAACTAAAAGGAACTAACTAAGGGAACTAAAAGGAACTAACTAAGGGAACTAAAAGGAACTAACTAAGGGAACTAAAAAAGAACTAAAAACGTGTAGCGACTCCGCCCCGATCGGTAGCGACTCCGCCGTTTTCTGACCGAGTAAATACAAAAAGTTCAAAAATTATTACCACAATTTGAGCAAATCTAACACGAAGAAGAAGTGGATCTCTAAAAGTTGTTTTCAATGATCTTTTTAAAAGAATTGTGAATTGTGTCATAAACGTGGCATTATATTTATGTTTCTCTTCAACTTCTTCATCTTCAACATAACTTCCAGCAATTGTGATAGATTTTCGAGTTTTTTTCAAAGTTTCATGGCCAACATCACTTTCTTGATATTTGCGAATTATGAACTGAAAAGAAACAAAACAAATTGTTATTTGGGAAAGTTTAGTAAATATCACCTCAATTCTTTGAACATCCTGTTGTTCAGTTCCAGATGAAACAGCAATTTGGCTCATTACAAAATCAGCAGGATTATAAGATTCAGGAACTCGAAAATCAGGTCCAAGACCATCGAAAAAATTGCATAAGTGTGTAACTTTTCCATGATACGCAGTTTTTCCAGTTGCCATAAAACAAACTTTATGAAACATTCGAAAAACAGAACTACTTGGTTGATGAAGTACAACAATTATAGTTTTTCCTTTTGCCGCCAAATCAAGAAGTGCTTTAACAACTTCAGAAGCCATGAATGCATCAAGTCCAGAAGTCGGTTCATCACAAAATAATATTTGTGGATCTGTCAATATTTCACATGCAAATGCAAGTCTCTTTTTTTCTCCAATTGATATTCCTTTTACACGATTTGGTATTCCAATTAAAGTATTTTGACAATCAATCAAATTCATTTCTCTCAAAACATTTTCAACGCGTTCTTCTTTTTCTTTTGCTGTTGTATTTTTCATTCGAAGCCAAGCTGTATACATTAATTGTTCTCGAACTGTAAGAGTTCCACAAAATATATCAACTTGTTGAACATAAGCACACATTCGCCGCATTTTTTGTTTCGTTATTTTCTTTCCATTTACAGTAACATCTCCTCGATACTACAAAAAATGGGAAATTTTCGAAAAACATTTTTCGGTTTTTTTCTACCTCAACACCAGGTGTATCCAAATGTGCCAAAATATTCATCAATGTTGTTTTTCCTGCTCCACTTCCACCCATCAAAGCAAGAACTTCTCCAGGTTCCGCGATCCCACTTACTAAATTTTCAAAGAAATTAGAAAATATCGAGAGAATCTTACCATCTCTGATCACTTCTTTTTGACCTCCGCCAGCTTGTGGTACTGTAGCTACAATATTATTCCATGCTAACGTTTTGCCACTTTTCTTTATGCTTATACTTGTATCTTTCTAAAAAATTTTGATATATAAATAAATAATTGGTATCTACAGTAACCCACTGTTTTGTTAGATTTTTCACTATTTACACTGGCTGTTGTTTGAATTGACATTTTCAAAAATGATTTATTCACATCAGAAAAATTGTTGAGATCATCAAAAAATACACGTGTCCCAAATTCCACGTCATTTATTTACAAGCACACGCGGATTTATGATTGCAGCCAACACCATTTTTGCACCACTGAAAAACACTATTATGATTGTAGTTGAGATCAAACCCACGACTGCGAAAAATATGCTACAAACTGCATCGAAACACCATCCAAACGAATAAACACCAATTACGGAAAAAGCGAGAAAAATGAGCCAAAACAAGTGAGACATTTTTGAGTTTCCTCGCGAAATGAACAACGACACTACGTTTTTGACGCCTGCGTGTTGTTTATCGTAAATCGAGATGAACGGATTTTTCTTTTTTTTTCCTCGAGTTTTTTTTCTAGTTTTTTGAGGAGTTTCGACATAGTTTCTCACTTTTTAAAACTCAATAATTTTGAGAAATTGATTTAATTCTGTTCCTGAAAAGTTTCCGTATCTAAAATCAACGTAAACTTGAAGTAAAATTTAGGACAAATCTCAGAATTCGTTGCTTCATTATTCTGGTAAAGTTTTCAGATTTTCATATGCTCAGTAGGCAGATTTTACAATGTCCTCGTCTTGGATATTGCGCTTCAACAAGCCAAGCTGTCTTTCACACCAATGTTCAAAATAATTCATTACCAAGAGTGAAACCGTTAGAAGAAGAAATGCCTGCAAAATCATTCAGAAAGACCGTGAGATCTCCAAGTGATATTTTAGATTTGACAAGTAGCAGTAAAAAGAAGAATATTGATATCATCGGTAGGTTTTCAAAATATACTGCACTATGTTAAACTCAACCATTTTCAGTGACCGATACACATTTATCGCAATGGTATAAAATGGAGCCAAAATCACTAGCTTCAGATTATTTACAATTATGTAAATCGAAATTGAGTATGTTTGTTGCATCAACAGCAGCATGTGGAGTTCTTATGGCACCAGTCCCAGTTGCTCTTGCTCCATTAGCAGCATGCACAGCTGGAACATTCCTATTATCTTCTGCTGCAAATGCTTGTAATCAATTGTTGGAAGCACCCTATGATGCACAAATGCGAAGAACCCAAGGAAGAGTATTAGTTGTTCATCGATTCTCACCATTACATGCATTCACTTTTGCCGGTGTAACTGGAATGACTGGAATTTCATTGTTAGCATATTTTGGAAATCCATTGACTGCCGCGCTTGGCGCATTGAATTGGTTTATCTATGCAGGAGTTTATACACCAATGAAAAGAGCTCATATTGGATGTACCTGGGCTGGAGCAGTTGTTGGTGCAATTCCACCATTAATGGGATATTCAGCAGCAACCGGTTATCTTGATCCAGCATCATTTTGTTTAGCAGCTATTTTGTTCTCTTGGCAATTCCCACATTTCAACGGGTTGAGTTGGAATTTACGTGGGGATTATAGTCGAGCTGGATATCGTGTGATGTGTGTGACAAATGAAAGATTATGTCGAATTACATCAATTCGACATAGTTTAGCACTTCTTGGATTATGTTCAATTGCAGCACCATTGACTGGATTAACCACTATGACATTTGCCATTGGTAACATTTTTTCACAAAAAAAATTAATTTGAAAATAATATGAAATTTTGCAGATTCTTTACCAGTTAATGCTTATCTCGTCTATCTTTCCTATAAATTTTACAAAGCACCGGATGCCAAAAATTCTCGAAAACTATTTTTCTATAGTTTACTCCATCTTCCTCTATGTATGCTTTTGATGGGAATTTCAAATTATGGAAGAAATGACGATGAAAAAATATCGATTAGTGATAAAATGCAGGTAAAAATAATTGTTCACAGGAAAAAACTCATACATAATTCAAATGTTTATAGAACGCGGTGGACAAAATTACCAAATATATAAAATAACTCAAGACAATTTTTGTTGATTTTCTGGTTTTCTTTTCTCTAGAAAAATTGTATAGAAATAGTTGTAGATTCATTGTTTTTTCTGTTCGCGTGTTTTTTTTTGCCTTGACAATAATATGAATTTTTCCTTTTTTGTTGTTTATTTTTGTTTCTTTCTAGAGAGACGTTTCAGACACGTTTCAATATTTGTTGTTTTTGTTATTTTCTATCTCGAAACAAGGCTTATTTTCCAAAAACATAAGTTTTTACGATTTTTCAAGCCTTCAAGAAAGAAAATTATTATTCGAATAAACCCCAACCAGAAAAAAAAACGGAATAAAATTTCCTTTTTTTTTGGGTGTTCTTTTTATCTTTTCTCTGACTTTTTCCCCAAAAAACACAATTTTTCTCCTTTTTTTGCTGGAAGAAAAAATGCAACAAAAAAGATTCGCGTTGAAACGCGATATTTCTTCGTTTTCTGTTGTATGAATTCGTGACCTTCTGAAAGTCCTAGAATAAAAAAAAAGAAGAAAGAAAAACCGGATATGATCATCTTCTTTTTTGGGATATTTATCGTTCCAACAAATATTTCTTATCTGTCGTATTTATTTATTAATTTTATTTGGCAGAAGATTTTTGTTGTTAATTTTTTGATGATTTGATAAGAATTGTGGAATTTTTCATAAAACCCTTTCGAAATTCTTAATCCAAAAAATTTTTTCAGCAAGTTTTAGTGATCGAATTTAAAGTCTAAAAACTCTAATTTTGTTTTTTTTTTCCAAATTATACTCTATGTATGTAGTCCGAACAACTCTCTTTACGCGAAGTCTAAAAAAATGCTCAGTACCGATTTTTTGCTAGAATTCCCTTATTTCAAGTGAATTTCACAGTGTACTTTGAAAAAAAGTATAAACTAAAATAGGGCACAAAAGGGCTTATGAGCAGCCAATCTAATCTAATTTAATAATAATTCTCATCGCCATTTTTCTTTCTCTTCGTTAAACCCCAAAAATGTATCTATCTATTTTTCTAAATGCATATCTACCCGTCAGTTTTTCATCCTCTGCCGACTTTTTTTTGCTGCTAACGAGGTATACACGGCATGGCTAATCGGTCGTTTGCCTTACTTCGTTTTTGTTGTCTTCTTCTTCTTTTTTGTTTTCCTTTGAATTTTTGATTCTAAAAATAAAATACGAAGTATTTTCATTTTCATGTTTTTTATTGATCAAAAAAAGTGCGTGGTCTCACGGGAATAATTTTTCTCCGTTTTCAACGAAAATTGTTCTAACAAGTTAGAAGTTATTTTTTCGATTTTTAGTTTTGAAAGAGGGAATTTTCAAGTTCACAGCAGATTTTATCTACATTCATTTGTCACCGCAGATATTTGTTTGATTTTGTTGAAAAATCAATAAAAACCAGATGTTTATTTCGTTTTTCTTCTTCCTTCCGTTCCATTGTGTAATAATCATTTCTCTTTCCCAATTTTGGTTCATTTTTCAAAAGTTATAAACATATTGATATCTAATATCATAATTATTTTAAAACAAATCCAAACTTCACTCTTTGTCTCATTTCTAATATTCGTTCCGTTTTGTTTGTTTTGTTTTGCTCCGGAATTTGCTCGTGTTTATTTTTTCGACCATTGGCTACCTCACACACAAAATCTCTTCTCTTTTTTGATATTATATAATAATAATTATTATTGATAGATATAGAAACTTTCAAGTATTCATTCATGAATACTTTAAAAAGAAGAGAAAAGTGCACGAATTTTTAATTATGAAGAAAAGAGCTATGAACATGAGAAAAAGGTGTGGATTATTGACTCGAGTGAGAGCAAACTATTCCATGACTCATTTTTTCTTCAAGTTTTTTCTTTTCTTTTTTCACTAACACTTTTGGAGCCAGCTAAGAAATCAATGAAAACCAACCTATGAGTCAAATTATTTAGCTCCAAATATCGGAAAATTTCGCTCAGAAAAGGTGTTTAAATGTTCCAAAAAAGTTTTCCTTCCAAAACTTCCATTCCCAACCTATTTTTTCGCTCCTCCCGATTATTTATTCCTTTTCTATTATATTGATGATCGGATTACGGTCGACGGTCGGATTATTTCTGTCATTTTCAATGTACAAACTGTTTCTCTTATTTGTATTTCTTTGTTTTTCGCGCAACTAAATTTTTCTTTTTTTTCAGATTGACGAATGTTCAGAAATGGGTGAAAGAGACCGAGCAAATACCGTGTATTATGATGCACACTCGAATTTGTAAGTTGTTTTTAAGTGTTTTCTATATGTATGTGTGTGTGAAAAGTTGAATATTTTTTACTTCAGTGGAACTCCGCCAAAAGATGGAAGTGGTGATTATAAAGTTCTTGGGATTGGTGGAATCGCAGCATATAATGTAAATAATAGTAATAGCAGTATACGAAAAGTGAATCCGGTGCCAATGGATGGAGATTCGATTAATGGCCCACCGATTTATGAAAGAGTTCACACGGTATGTTTTTTTCTCAGATTAAAAGTAAGGTTTTTTTGAACCATGAGTTACTTTCTTAAAAATAATATTCAAAACAGGATTTCTGACGTGGAAATTCGGAAATATTTACAAATTTTCGAAATGAAAAAAAAACATTTTTGCGAAATTTTTAAACGTGACCTCTAAATGTTTCCTATCCACGTTTTTCAAAAACATTATTTCTTTCATCATTTTTGTGAAAAAATATGTTAGAAAAAATAATTTACAGGAGCGACGATATAATCAATCATATCAGCGAAGAGATTATCCAGCAAATAATACAGTTATTCAGGTAATTTTTATTTATCATAAATATTTCATAATCACAATACATACATATTTTTAGTCAATGGCACATCGTTCACCAAATCGAATGATAATTGGTTCATCATCAAATTCAGTTCATATGCCACCAATGTCAACATCTTATGATTATTCAACAGGTCGTGCATATTCTGGTGGAAGAGAAACAGAAGATTTTCGACCTGGACCACGTGCCAGTTCTGCAGCTAACATTGATTCACTTTTCACAAAACATCGAAATTATTCTGGTTCTTCAAGTGGTTCTGCAGCACTTCCACCAGTTGGGCCAAGAAATGGAGATTCGTATCATAGAAGAGGACAAACACCAGAAAGACCAAGAGATTTTGGAGTTGTTGGAGCATATGATGAAAGATTTAATAATTCGAGAGAAAGAGGACGAATTAGAAATCATGGAAATGATTATGAATTAGATCCGAGATTGAATGTAACATATCCACAATATTATGTGAATGATTGGAAAGATCGACATGTTAGAGATAAAAGTGGTCAGTGTTTTTTGGAGAAAAAACTACATTTTATAGATCACTAAGCTTACATAATCCAAGAGAATAGTGGTTCTTTTCACAAAAAAAAACATTAGGAAAAGTTTCATTACCCAAGATGTTTTTTTTTTTGGCAAAGGTCAAAAAATGTTCTATGAAAAATATTTGATTTTCAAAAATCTAAATAATTTTGAATATGAATTTTGACTTGGAAAGTTTCATTTATGACTAAATTAGCCATAACTTACCTCAAATTGGTTTTATGAGGTAATTTATGTAAAACAATTTTTTCATGTGAAAAATGAATCAGAGAAATGAAAATTATTATAAATTTTTGTTGAAATGACATAAAATATTCTTACGTCATAATTTTTGAGTTTTCTCAAAAGTAGGAGAAACAAATGAGAATTTAGAAACATCAGCCGAGGCGGATTCATTATTTCTATTTTTGTATGAAAATTCATAATAATCGCCTGATTTTCGCAAGTTTTACTTCAATTTTTATTGAAAAAAAAATCCAAAGCCATCTGAAGTATAAATCACATATAATTTTCTGAAACCAATATTATCCTCCTATTATTTTTTCAGTTCCAACAAATCGTTCCCCTTCTTCATCTTCACAACCTCCTCCTCTTTCTCAAATAACTTCTTCATCTCCATATTCAATGTCATCTTCTTCATCTTCTCGCCTTCCTCCTCATTCGTCTTCTTCTCCTTTCAATAAATCAACTGTTGGTGTTGGAAGCGGTGGTCGAAGATTTTCAAGTGAACAAGCCAGGTTAGCTATTTTCTTTTCTCTTTTTTTTTCTTTTTTTTATATAAGCAACAACGAAAAAAAACACGAAAAAAGTTTTGAGAGCACACAAAAACATCTGCTCTTTATGGATTTTTTTCGAGAGAGAAAAAAACGACAATTGGAATTGTTTTTCTTGTTGCAGGAATTTATACGAAGAAGTGCCAATGGAAAACGAAAATAACGGGTATATTATTAGAAGACGTGAATCGGCTGGAAAAAATAAAGAGACTGCGATTTTGGATGATTATGATAATGTGCCTAATGAATTCCTGGAAAATGTGAGTTTTTTTGGAGATCGGGGGAGGTTTGAAGGAATATAACTAAAAGTTCAATTTTTTTCGAGTTTTGAAAATATCTTTTGAAAAAAAATTGGCTCAACATTTTGATTTATTAGAGAAAAATTATGAAAACTTCAAAGATTCATGGTAAACTGAAAATTGTTAACAATTTTTTTTAAATGTTCAACACTTTATCAGACCATAAAAGGTCGATTTAAATTAAGTAAAATATTTCAATCGGTTTTGGAAGGCTCTCTTGCTAATTATAGTTTTGAATTGAGGGTTTGAAATTTTTGACGAAATAAAATATGTTTTGAAAAATTTATCAAAAAAATCCTAACAGTTTTTGACATCAAATATGAGTATTTATAACATTCAAAAGTGAACTCTTCTTATTTTTTCCAATTTCCCTTTCATCTCATCTCAAATGCATTTTGCTCTCTTTCTTGACTTTTCTTTTTTGTTCCCTCAAAGTCCAAGAAATTAATGTACTTTACGAAAAAATCAAAGTATTTTTTGGTTTTCAGAACGACGACAAAATTTCGGACGTCTACCAACCAGGAAAATATCGACCATGTGAGTTTTTTTTTTTTTTGAAAAAATATCCAATTCCATTTGGGAATTATTTTTGAGTACACGCACGCGAGAAATGAAACAAAAAGTGTTTTCTTTGATGTTTTTCAAGTTGACATTTTATACTATTTTTCATTTTTTTTTGGTGAAAGATTGTTCTTTTCCCGTTTTTTTTTGCTTTTTGGATTAGATTTCATTTGGATGAAATTGTTATTTTACTCTTCCGGATTTTGGTTTTGTCGTGAATTTTGGTCTCGGTGAACATGAGTTGGATTAGATTTTTATATTTTTTGAATTCATGGTTTCTCTTATTTAAAAAAAAAGCTGAAAATATATTTTATTTTTGAAAAAGGAGTCAAATTTCACAGTTAATTTTCTCAAAAGTCCTTTTTTTTCCTCAACGAAAAAAAATGTTTTTCAATTAAATTAGATGTTCGTTTTTTCATTGGAAAAAAAGAAAAAGCTTGTTTTCTTCCCAATTTCAAAATATATACTCGAAACCTACAATTTTTCGAGAAATGTAATAATAATAGGATATGTCTATACTTAATTTCTGCAGATTTTTCAATACAATCTAGAAAAATCTAGAGAAAAAATTCATGAATAAAATATGTCGACACTGTTTTTATATGCAGTTGATGTTTTTTTTTTCTATTTTCTTTCTTGCTTTTCGGTTAAAAACTGGAAAAAATCGTTAAAAATTAATTATATAAAATTTTTCTACTTTTTTTTTCATGAGGAAACCAGACAAAATCTTGGAAATACACTGGCTTCATTATTATTTTGCTCATGAATTTTCCCATTTTTTTCTTTCATTTTGCTCCGAAGTATTTTGCAATATGTTATTTATTCGCCGTTCACAAAAAAACAGCAAAAACTGAATTTAAATGAACGACATATTTTTCGAGCACGGTGAAATAAGTGAAATAAGAGAAAAATAGAACACATAATCCGTTTTTTTTTCTTCTTCGTCTTCGTAAATGTTTAATCTCTTTATATAAAGCTTACAAGAATTATTTCAGTTGCTAGTTATTTTAACTGTTGATTAGTATTCCAAAGAAAAACTCAAACTTGTTGCGAAAATGAATGTTTCACCATCTGGAAGTTTAAAACTTCGATCGACTCCAATTGATAATCGGAGAAAAATTAGTGATAATTTGATGTTGCGAAAAATATCGATGGGATTTGGAACACCGCCAAGATCAAGTACAAATCCGATGGGTGGAATGTTGAATCAATTGGCTAAACAAGGAAGTTTGTCAAGTTTATCGAAAGCAAGAAAATTTAGCGAGAAAATTGCATCGTGGGTCAGTGTTAGTATATGTAAGTTTATTTTATTTTGATTATTTTTTGTATTTGATTTGTATTTGGTTGTCAAGTTTTCAAAGTTGTGAGAAATTGACATTGGGCTTATTTCGAAATAGAACATGAGATAAGCTTTCAAATGTATTCTCATTCTAATATTCTTCATACCAACGGAATCTTCTCGTATTAGAGAACTATTTCCTACTCACTGTCTAAGATATACGGGGCCCTGTCGTCACCAGATGTCAGATTTATTGAAATACTCGATGTTGGTACATACAAAAAGGTTTTTTGGGACGAAGATTTACTCGGCCAGGTGATCCATAACCGAACAAATGTTCTTCTCGAACGGGCTCACTAATTGTTTTTCCAAAGTAGTTTTTGTTTCACAAAAGTTAGGCTTCTACCCAAATCTCCTTCGAATCCAGTCTCCAGAGACTTTGAACCTTCGAATCCAGAATCCAGAGACTTTGAACCTGACCACATTGGAAAAAATTTCCCCGGTTAAAAAATAATAAATATCCGTAGTTTTATAAATTACGTGCCGCTTCCGAGTACATTTACATATCACATTTTTCTCGTTTTTTTCATTCTCGAAATTCCAGTTCTTTTCGAGTTCCGACGAATTTCCAATTATTTTTTCCTTGTTCATCTTTGTTTTCTTCTTCGTCTTCCGATGGCACTGTTATTTTCCCATGAAAAGATAAAGAAAGTTTATTATTAATGTGTTTTCCATGCTCCGCATATTTTTTCATCGAGGAAATCGAATTTGAAGATTACCAAGCTCTGGTTTATTTTTCTTTTCTGTTTGTTGCTATATATTTCCGGTTGTTTATTAATGTCAAAAAATAAAATGAAATAAGAAAAATAACTAGAACAGAATACTAATTCTACTTTCTTTTTTCCTATGTTTTCATATCCGAGAAATAATTTGTGGGAGTGTGAATGTACTCTGTGTGAAATTCTATCATACGGTAATCCCTTCTTCTTCTTTTCGAATATAGCTCAAAAAGAGCTCAACAAAAAATTTCACTTTTTATGAGTGTTGAAATGAGACAAGCGACCGGATAAACGCTATTTAATAGCAGATCGAAAGAGAAAAAAGTTTTTGAACTTTTTTTAGTTTTTTTTCCGTGATTTGTTCCGAGAACCTACTCAACTGACCTACACACGAGATAATTTAAATAACTTGATTAGTTATGCGTAATAATTTGTGTTTTGTCCAGGTTCACTCTTTCTTCTTTTTCTTCCTATTCAAACATAAACACTAGAATATCTAATTTAGTTTTCTTTTGTTCCAAAAGGTGTCTTACATTAGTTTTTCCCTTTGAAAAAGTTTTTGAATTTCAATTAGAGTTGTATTGTTCGAAGTTTTCAGCTATTTATAAGCACACACTTGCTGAAATCTTTATATAATCAAAAGTATATTTTTATCATTATTTTGCTCTTCAATAAAAAAATATTCTTTATATTTTGATGTCCGATTTATAGAACAAATAGAACCAAATCTTATTAAATCCAAAATTTAATAATACAATTTTCTTCTATTCATTCGAATTTTTGTTACCTAATCCAACCAAGCCAGTCAGCCACACATTCCGAAAAATAGACGACTTTTTCTTTCATCTTGGCTCTTTTTTAGAGACGAAATAAATTTTTAGAGGTTTTTTAATTAAATTTCTTGGAGTTGTCGTTACATAAATATTCAAAGGTTGTTGGTCGAATTTCGTGATACTAGATCATTTATTCCTATGTCTCCTGTCTGTCTAAATATAAAAATCGCATAAATTTTAGATAACTTTTTTTGCTGAAATTGTTCTGAAATGCATGTTCTGTTTTCTGCTCTTTGAAAATATTGAATAGCTGAACTAATTAGATTGTTGTTTTTTTCTACATTTTGAAAAACATTGAGTTTTTCATATACTTTCTTTCAATGAATAATTGAAATTCCAACACACTTATTTTCTCACACTTTTTCCTTTTTTTTCGCCGTCGCTAAGTCAATTTTCAAGATATACATATGAATAAAAATTGAGAGATGTATATTTTTCATATGTTTTTATCCGAATACGTTGAATTTCATTTTTCGAAAATTCAGCTTTTATAGTTTTTTTCTCCCAAAATAAGATTTTCGATCGATTGTTTTTCAATTTATGATGAATATAAAAGTTTTTAAAAATGACAGAATGACAGAAATTTGTCTTTTTTAAGACGTCATAAAAATTACTATGACTACAATTCGCGGATTTTGTCTTTTGAGCTCACGAGGAGATTATCAGAAAAATAACTCATAATCATCAAGTTGGAATTTCAATGTTCAAGCATACAATAAATATGAACTTTTATTAAGTCTTTTAGTGATCTTCCAAATAGGATTTCCGAAACCTTTTAACATTCTATCACATGTCTAGAAAAAATTATAACAATTTTTGATCGCAATAAAACACTTTGGCAAAAAATGGCGGAAGCTAATTTTAAATTTATTTATTCACCCAAATTCGTATTTTTTCATCCTAGTTATTCTTTTGTTTTCGAGTTTTTTTTCCACTAGAAATATCTATATTTCCTCATTCTATACTCTTTTTTCTGTTGTTGTTTCTATCGAAATGAACCTTTGTTTTTTTTCAAGTTTTAAAATTCTCTTGAGAAAATATTAAATTAATTGGCGCATTTCCGCAGATTTTTTTTCACACAGAAAAAACAGATAAATTAATAAGTGATTATGGGAAAATAGAGAAGATATTCCAAGATTCCTCTCTTTTCTATTTTTTTCTTCATTTGTCCAGTGCACAAATAAAGTTGGACATTTGAGCCGTTTTTTATGATTATTTCATGACCTCTAAATTTGTTGTTCGCCATGAATAGGATTTAGTTACATTTCTTTAGGATTTATTTAGATAATTGGGTTCATAGTTTTTTGATTCTTTCCTTCTCTTTTTTATTTTTGGATACACATACTTATATTTTTTTCTTGTTAGTGGCGAATAAGAAAAGTTATATTTTATTAGAATGAAAGTTCCTGTCATTTCTCTTGATGTTGATAGTGATGAAAATGAAAGCGAACCAACATCTTCTTCAAATCGTCTTCCACCTCCACATCGAAATGGATCAATTCGAAAAGTTCGACAAATAAATATTGATTCAAATATTGGAGATTGTGGAACTGAATCAACTTTGGAAAATGTGATGAATCGAATTGGAAGATCACAATCATTGCGAAGAAATGCGGCAGCTGTATCTTCTGCAAAAATGAAATTGGAAGGAGAATCGAGTAGAGCAACATCACCAACTCCAAGTTTTATTGATTTTAAACCAATGTTACGAACTGCAAGTCTTCGTGTAAAACAACAATTGACAACAAGATTGAGTGAACCATTGAAAAAAGCGTCGAAATTGTTGACCGTCGAAAATGGCGACGATGATCAACAATTCCAACATTATAGCCTTGTACATGGCTTAACTGGGCCAAATAATAATAATCACGGTGAAGGTGTGTAAGAATTTAAAAAAAATCATAAATTCAGGCAAACTAAAATGGGCTTTGTTTGTTTCAGCCTAGGCGTGCGTGTACTCTGAAAAAATTATCAAAATTAAAATGAATCCCTGCAAAAATATAATTTTTCAGCCGAAGATGCTGGTTCGTCAAGTGAAGATGAGGATGATCCAGAATATCTTGAACTCATGGAACGTGATTCGATAATAAATCGATATGAAAAAGGACCGGATAGTGGAGATGTTGATGCGTGGGAGAATCCGGATTTTGATGTTTATACAAAACTTGATCGATTCGGATTTGTTCAGTTAGTTTTTTTCAGATGTTCTTCGATTTTTGTGATCTCTCGAAATTTTATTGATTTTCAGCAAAGAAGGTGAACAATTTAGCGAGGCGAATGAAATCCAACGTCGTCGAATTTTGAAAGAATTAAGCCGCGAAAAGAAATGGTTGAAAATGGTAAATATTTGGAAATCTGGAGGACCATCGAAAAAAATGGAAGATCGAATATGGAAAGGGATTCCCGAAAAACTGCGATTAGTTGTTTGGCCACGTTTATTAGGAGCTGAGAGAATGAAAGACGAGAAAAAAGATGTATATAAAGATTTATTATTGAGAGCAAGATTGGTATCAAAAGATATCAAACAAATTGATCTGGATATTAATCGAACTTATCGAGATCATTTGGCATTTAGGAAAAGATATGATGTTAAGTGAGTTATTTGAAAACAACATTAATTTACAGTAACCTAGTAAGGTTTGTTTCAGACAAAAATCATTATTAAATGTATTAGCGGCTTATTCAATGTATAACACAGAAGTTGGATATTGTCAAGGAATGAGTCAAATTGCTGCACTTTTCCTTATGTATTTAGACGAAGAAGAAGCTTTTTGGTGTTTACATCAACTTATGGTTAGTCCAAAGCATACAATGCATGGATTTTTTGTACCTGGATTCCCTAAATTGCAACGATTTGAAGAGCATTTTAAGAAAGTTCTCAAAAAGTACAAACCGAGAATTTATAAACATTTGGAAAAACAAGATATTCCATATATTTATTTGACAAAATGGTGGTTTGGCTGCTTTTTGGATAGAGTTCCGTTTCCACTTGCTATGAGATTATGGGATGTTTTTCTGATCGAAGGAGATCCGATTCTTATTGCAATGTCTTTGAATATTATGAAAATGCATGAGAAATTTATTAGAAAATCGACAATGGAATCTTTTATGGAATTTATTCAAAATGATATTGCAAATAATTTTGGATATTCGGATGATGAAACAATGTATTCATTGAGAGAAACATTAACTAAATTAAAGGTAAACTTATTTGACATTTTCTGACCAGTGATCTTATATTGCGAGGACTTTTTTTGCCACTTGAATATTTTGTCAGACTTTTATATCAGTTCTAATTTTCTCCGAGCTTTCAATTGAAAAATTTTTCAAAACTGAAAGACAATTTTTTAAATCTTAAGCCACGTGGTATTTTTGCATGTCTTCACAGTATATTTCAAAACTGGGTTACTTATTCTAGAGTGACCGTCAACATGTTCCACCACCTCCACGCCCTGAAGATCTTTCTGAAGTTCCAACAAAAGCACTCGGTCCGATTCTTCAAAAACCGATGGGAACAATTCGCGAAGAAATTCATGAGATTCAATCACGTCGAAGTCGCGCAAATTGTAAGTTCAACAAAAATGAATATGATCGAAAATATTTATATTATCTCGAAAAATATTCAAAACTATTTGGGATTTCATGATTAATTTTTTGTGTTTATGTGTCGTCTAACCTGCATGATTCTTCTAATTATTTTTTTAACCTGTCTTCTTTTTATGTTTTTTTTGTGTTTTGTGATTGTGATAAATGTGCATGCTTTTTGAATTGTCTTCTAATTCGCGCACATCTTTTTAGCAACTGGAAGATCACCTTATCCGAAACGAAAAGAATCTGCAAGAAAAGGGCCTCCTCCTGTTCAACATAAATTTCAATCATCTCAAGATTCGATAAATAAAGAAGTTCCGTTTGAGGTAAGATTCGAAATGTTTGTAATTTTCAAAAATATTAGAGATTTTTCAGATTCCTTCAAGAAGAAATGTTGGTTCTCCATCCACGTCATCAGATATGAATGGACGGTAAGCGCTTTAAACTAACCTTTTGAAAAAACTTTGTTTATCCTATGTTTTGTCGAATGTCACGATAAAAATTTGAAAAAAACTGAATTAATTTGATTTGAAAGAAAGATCCCCCAGGTACTTTCAAATTAAATTTTGTTTGTTTTTTAGCAACTATCAGTCGGTTCAGTCGTCGCAGTTTTCAAACCACCACAATTCGAATTCATCTCGTTCCCGGCAAGAAACAAACGGACATTCAACCCCATCAATGCAAAGATTAAGAGATGAACGAAATGGTCAAATGGTTTTGTTGAGTAGAGCAAGTGATTCTGAAGGTGATTCTGCATCGCCAATGAAAGGTTTGTGACCGGGAAAAAACTTGTATTTAACTTGTAAAACATTTTAATGTTTCATAAATTTTGGGAAAATTAGACTTAAAGAAAGTAATTTTCAAAACAATTGTTGTTCCAATTCAAAATCCAGAAAGAGTTTAAAAAAAGGCCCAATTCAGAAATCTCAAATTTTTCATTCGAAATGTGATTTGAAAAAAGATCATGTCAACTCCAGTATATTTGAATTTGTTCAGATTCTCCAAATGGTTGGTCATCATCTTCTCATCAACATTATCATCAAGAATCAAAACATTCATCCTCTTCAAATTCTCGAATTATTCAAACTCCAAATCATGTGACACGTATTGAACTCGATGGTGATATTTCTGTAATTTAAACATTTTATATTTATTCATTTTTCTTTTTTTTGCTTCAGTTTTTCAACTGTCAAAATAGTAATTTTACGTGTATTTTATTAATTTATTTCAATTTCAATTCACCCCCGAACTTCATAATGTGAAATAATTAGGTATTTTGTGTATTTTTAATGAAGATTTTATTTTTAAAATTTGATTTTGTTAATTTTTATTCTCCGATAATTTCCAACGGGTCTAATGATTCTTTTTTCTAGTTTTTTAAGAAATATTTTAAAGGAAAAATAAACAAGAGTGTTCGGTAGAGCGAACTTGTCTCTCTATTGCGAAATGTACGCTTTGATTACTCAAAAATGTTTTATCGAATTTCTTTTCCTTTTTTTCGATTAAAAAATTTAAGTGTATTTTTTTAGCATGGATTTTTTGTTTGGTCGAAGGAAAACGCCAGCTGAAATGCTTCGGCAAAATCAGAGAGCCCTTAATAAGGTAACTTTAATTTATCTCAAGTTTTTATCTTTTGGTTTTTTTCAGGCAATTCGAGAACTTGACAGAGAACGTGCTCGAATGGAAGCACAAGAGAAGAAAATCATTGCAGACATCAAAAATATGGCGAAAAAGAATCAAATGGATTCAGTTCGAGTTATGGCTAAAGATTTGGTTCGAACTCGAAATTATGTCAAAAAGTTTATAATGATGAAAGCGAATATTCAAGCGGTTTCGTTGAAAGTTCAAACATTGAAAAGTCAAGATGCAATGGCTTCGGTTAGTATTTTAAATGTTTCAAAATAGAATATGATCCAGAAAAAGGTTCCATAGCTTTTTTTGGAACCCTTATAAACTCACAAGTTTCATATTTTCCATAAAAATTTTTTTAGGCGATGAAAGGTGTTACAAAAGCGATGCAATCAATGAACAGACAATTGAATTTGCCACAAATCCAGAAAATTATGATGGAATTTGAGAAACAAAGTGAAATAATGGATATGAAAGAGGAAATAATGGGAGATGCAATTGATGATGCATTGGGAGAAGCTGGAGATGAAGAAGAAACTGATGCTGTTGTTAATCAGGTATATTTATATTTTGTTATTTAAAAATTTCAATCGGAATGCGGAAATATTCATATTTACCAAAACGAAATTTTTTTCGGTTTCCTTAAAGAGAAAAAAATTGAGAGGTTGTTATTTCCAAATAATATTTTTTCCAGGTTCTCGATGAACTTGGTATTCAAATGGGCGAAGAAATGGCTGGTTTGCCATCCGCAGCTGGCGGTTTATCTGCTGGAGGTGAAAAAGTTGGAAGACAAGCAGTTGCTGCTGGAGGTGGACCGAGTGGAAGTGGAGGAATTGGTGGAAGCGGTGGGGGAGCTGATATTGATGATGATTTGCAAGCAAGATTGGATCAATTAAGACGAGAATAATTTGCGCGGTAAATACACATGTTTTATAATTATAAATATTGCAGTGAAAAAATGTAAATTGAAAATGAATATTTGAGTTTCCCAAAAGATTTTAGCATAGCAAGAAATATTGATTTCATTTAGAGAAATTTTCGAAAATATTTTCAATTTTTTTCAAAGTTCACCTTTCGATCTAGAAATTAGTGATCAACATAACTCAAAAAAACACCTTCATTTTAAAATGTTTAGTAAAATTTTCCGAAAACATTTCACTCATTTCTCAAATTCCCAAGTATTTCAAAGACTGACTTATTTTTTTGGGAAAAAATTAAATTCCAAAATCAATTCCAACATTTTTTCGTTTTTTTTGGATCTTCGAAGTCAGATTGCAAAAATAGTCTTCATTTCATAGCGCGATAAACATTTTCATTATAACTATAACTATTTTAGAAAAAAATAAGTTTAAAATGAATTTTCCCAAAGCTTCCCAAATGGCAAGAAATACAACGAAAGACAGTATAAAATTGGAATCAAACTGTAGTAGTTGTTGGATAAAAACGGCGAATAGTTTCATCTTTTTCGTATTTTTCTTTTATATGAATAATTTCTTCGATCGGCGAACCTTTTTGTGTTGTGTTTGGTTTTTGTGATTTTGGAATATTTTCCTCAGTTCTCTCATATTTTGTCGATTTATCATGATAATCTTGTGGTGGATATTTGAAATTCGGTTGATAACCTGGAATTATTGTTGGTTTGCATTCTATTGGTTCACGATGATCAAATTTTTCTTCGATTGCACAACTCGAAGATCTATCGGTGTAATCAGTTTTTGGAATTCCTCTGAAAAATGTCACATCTGGTTATTTTCATTCAAATAAACTTGTTCAATACCTTTGCAAAGATGGCGATCGACATGGAATTGGATCTTCAAACTTTTCTTCAATTGCTAATGGAACTGTACAAATTGTAGATCTTGAAGGTGGTCTAACATTTGTTGGTGGACATTTTGGGAATATCAAATCCATATCAATTGATGATTCTTCAATTCTTTCAATTGTAATTGTTCTTTCACTCGGTGTTCTACTATTTTCAATCGGTTTACATTCTTGAATCGGAGTTGTATTTCTATTAACTTCCGAACATCTAGAACATGTTATTTACAAATGAAAAAAAAATTAATTAAATTTCAAACCTGCTCAATTTTCTGTACTCCTCGTTGATGATTTCAGACGCCCTGAATTCAGAATTTTGCCTGAAATAATAATTCAACAAAAAATGTTGTCTCACCTTGTAGATTGTTGACATGGTTCATTTCTATTGATTTCTGATGACCTTGTCGACTGTCTGAATACTTCATTTATTTCAGATGAAGTCGTGCGTATTTCCGATTCCTTTCTAACAAAAAATTAGGTCAGATTTTGGAAAAACTTTGATTTATTTTCACCTGACTGCCGTTCCTTGAATTTGTGTTGAATGACATTCAGATGCTCTGAAAATTTTTGAATTTTCAGTTTTTTCAACAAAAAACAAAATGATTACTGTACCTTGTTGGTGGTCTGTTAATTGAACTACGTAATTCCGAATCAATTCGACTTGATTCTCGACAAATTTCATTTGATGCCAAATTTATTGGAACTTGTACAACTTGAGATTCTTTTCTGAAAATTGGTCAGATTTTTAAAATTCAAATTTATGATTCATGAATTCTCACCTGACTGGCGTTCCATGAATTTGTGTTGAATGACATTCAGATGCTCTGAAAATTTTTGAATTTTCAATTTTTCAACAAAATAAAAGATCACCTTGTTGGTGGTCGATTTATTGAGCTACGTAATTCGGATTCAATTCGACTTGATTCTCGACAAACTTCATTTGATGCCAAATTAATTGGGACTTGTACAATTTCCGATTCTTTTCTCAAAATTGAAGAACAACTTTGTGGTCGACTATGTCTTGGATTTGCAATTGGTTTTTGCTCAAATGATCCATTTTGTGAGAAACTATTATTTTTTGATGAAATCAATCCACAATCCTCTTTTGCAATTTCAATTTCATCTAATGTATAAATTGGTTCAACACCTTCTGGTTTAAAATAAACATTAATTTTCAATCTTGGCCCATTTTTATCAGTTTCTCTTCCTGGTGTAAATGGTCGACCAGTTTTTGAATCAACATAAACATCATGTGTATAAACATATCTTTGATCAGTTTCTGAAGAAATCGAACGAATATGTCCACGTGGTGCTTTTTGTGGTGGAGGCAATGGAGATTTTGAGCGAGGTCTTGGAATTGGCCGACTTATTGGAATTGAATTTTGATTTTCATCACATGGAATATTTCGAGAATTGATATATTCATTATATTCTGGAAGTGGTTTACGAAGTGCAATTCCATCATTTTTCGAATATGTTTCATAATCTAAAACTTCTCGATAAATTTCACTATATTTTGATCCAACTGGGCTATCAACTCGGATAACTGGATATTTTCGAAGATTTTGATTTGGGTTATGATTTCCCCGATAAATTACTGTATCTGGAGTTGCAGTTCGACATTCATCAAATGGGCGAGTTGTTGTTTCTTTTGTATATGTTTCAGTAATGACTTGATAAGGAGGTGGAAAATGATGAACAGATCGAGAACCTGCAAAAAACTGGATTTCGCAAAATTTTTATTCCGGTTCGAAAACTTGATCATAATTTTCTATATTTTTTTTAAATCAAAAAACCTTTTGGGTTGTAAAATTATTTTCCGATTTGTTTTATGTTATCAATCATTTGGAACAATTTTTTTTTTGGTCCCATTAATTTTTTCCGAATATTTTTTCCAAATAAACACACATTTTCCAAGTCTTATCTGATCTACAGTAATCCTAGAAAATTCCAAAAAATGAACTTACGACGATGAATTGGAAGTTGACGTGCTCCACGGCGTGACATTTCACTGGAAAAAATGTATGGAATTTTTTATTATTTAGAAATTCAATAAAGCATTCTTCGTTTTTTTTTCGCTTTCTTTCAAAAGTAAATATCGAATTTCATATGCAAAAAAAACGGAAGAAAATATAATGTATTATATGGGGAAAGAAAATGTGAAATGGGCTGAATGAAGGACTACACGGCTTTTTAATCGGCTCTTTGCAAGATTTTCAAAAGAACATTATGAAAATTAAAATTGACACAGAAATAAAAATTGTCAGGAAAAATAGGAAGAAGAAGCGGCGGCAGAAGCAGAAAAAGACAAAAATAATATGCATCTGTCTCCGAGAAAAAAATATAACAGTGTTTATTATAAAACATTTGTCATGTTTCATTTCTGTATTTCTTCGGCGAAGAGGAAAATGAAAATGAAAAAACAAAAAAATGCGAAAGAAAAGTCAACATTTCAGACTATACAAACACAGTATGTTGGATGATATTACTAACTCGAAAATCAAATGAAATAATATTTTATGACCACAAAAACAAAAAAAAATGAATATAATATGGGTCAAATACCACTTTAGTCATCAATTGTTTGACATTTTCAGGAACTCTGACAAAAAAGTTTGGGGCATTTTTTAACGTTTGTAAAAAATTTGGATTAGGAGAAAAAGTTTTCTCATAAAAAAGTTCAGCTTTGAGAATTCCGCGTGTTACTGTGATTTTGAAAGATTCGGAATTTCGGGCATTTTTAAAAAAAGTCTTTTACAAAAAAATAAACTACAGTATCCAGATTTAAAACCATTTTTCACTTGTTTTATATTTCAGACATATCTAAGAAAACTCAAATTTCCTACAGTATCCAGCATTTCATTTTCTAAAAAATAGTTTTTAATAATTTTTCACGTGGAACTGTAGTTTTGAGTTACATTTTTGTGAATGTTCAAAATTCAACATTTTTCCAGTTTCTGAAATACTGATTCCGCACCAAGTTACAAATTTTGTGCCGAAAAACTTCACTGTATTTTCAAATTACTGTGGCTTTTCAAGTTTTTTCGTTACAATCAAAATCCTTTTATTTTTTCTGATGTCAATTTTCCAATAGGAAATCCTGAAAACTTTCGGGTTTCCATAATTTTGAGTTTGAAGCTACATATTTTTGCAAAACTTTGAATTTTCCAACACTTTAATTCAATTTTTATTACCCAACAGTTTAGCACTAAAATTTATCACATGACCTAAAAGTATTTAAATTTCACAATTCAAAATCGTGTCTTTTTTGGAATTATTTTCCAACAAAATTTTTCCTCTTATAACTTTTTATCATATTTTTTAAACGCCCCCATTCATTTTATTTTCCATTTATTCATCCATCCAAAATTATGCATAGTAACGTGAAAAGCTTTCAATTAAGCACTTTCTTTCCTGGCGCAAGCTCGTTGAGCTGAAAAACGAGAGAGTGTGAAATCCACGGAGACGCAGAAAACGCCTTGACTGAGTATCATAACGCGTTGTGTGTGGTGGGGTACGCAGTGAAATTCGAAAATGCATTTTTTTCGTTTTTTTTTCTTGAGTTTTTTTTTGCATAAAAATCAAATACTTGAGTTGTTAACGTTTGAAGATGGATAATAACAATGTTTGGTTGTTTTATCCAAATCTAATTGGATATGGTCGGATTGTATTGGCAATTGTGTCAATGTATTACATGTCAACTGCTCCATTCACTGCAATTGTCTGTTATGCACTTTCTGCCGGTCTTGATGCTTTTGATGGTTGGGCAGCTCGAACTTATAATCAATCAAGTCGATTCGGAGCAATGCTCGATCAATTGACTGATCGATGCGCATTATTGTCAATTGTTATGGCATTGTGTAAATTCTACCCAAATTGGCTCTTCTTTTTACAACTTTCTGCTGTTATCGATATTGCTTCCCATTGGTTGCATTTACATGCAACTGATTTGTCTGGTGCAAATTCTCACAAACAAAGCTCCAATCCAATTCTCCATCTTTATTATACTAATCGTACTTTCCTTGGATTAATGTGTGGTGGAAATGAGGCATTCTACATCTTCCTTTACATCCGCGCTTTCTGGCCAGGTTAGTTCCAAGTTTAAATCGGATAGTTTTTCAAAATGTTCATTTTTTTAGGACCGTCGATTCTCGGAGCTCATTTCATGTCAATTCTTGCCTTTTTTGCTTTCTTCGTTGCTTTCATAAAAACTGCCATCAGCATTGTTCATCTTTTTACTGCTGCCGAAATGGTTGTTGCACATGATATCAGACTTCGCCAAGAAAGGAATGAATGATCTCGCCGAAAATAAACACATACATGAATAATAATACGAATATGTATATTTAGAATAGCTTTATTGCCCACCCACTAATAACTTGAAATATGTGAAAAGTTCCTAATCATCGAAGTAGAAAGAGCTTTATATTTATGATACATTCCTTCCAAATCCGATAAATATGTTGTGTGAAATATTGTTTTTTCGTTTTTATTTGATTGGTTCATAGAATCCAGAAATTATATCAATCGGTGTTTTCAACTGACTTCTTAAAAAAGCGATTTTTCAGTTAAGCTATAATTTGATCTCGAAACAAAAATGGCTGACGAGTTGGCCAGAATCCAGCAATATGAATACCGACAAAATTCTAATTTGGTTTTGTCGGTGGACAAAAATTTGATGGATAGAAAAGGGAAAGATGATGCGACTGGAGAAGTATTACCATTGACAGATAAAATGATAAAATCAATGAAAATGGGTGATCGAGCTATCAAATCAAAAGCACCAATTCAGGAACAAAAACGAAAAAAGTATGTTTTGGAAATTAATATTCGAAGTTCACGTGAAATATTTCGATTGAAATCTTGAAAAATATTTAATTATTTTACAGGAAGAAGAAGGATGAAAGTGACAAAACTCTTCGATTTGTTAGTAAAAGTGTTCTTGGAGACAATACGGAATTCGTGGGTGCTTATAAACCACGAACACAAGAAACAAAACAGACCTACGAAGTTATTTTGGCTTTTATTCAAGAAGCACTCGGTGATAATCCAAGAGATATTATGTGTGGTGCTGCGGATGAAGTTCTTGCGGTTTTGAAAAGTGATAAATTTCGAGAAAAGGAAAAAAAGCTCGAAGTTGAAGGATTATTGGGACCATTGACCGATGAAAGAACTGCAGTTTTGATCAATTTGGCCAAAAAGATTACCGATTTTTCGCTTGAAGAAGATAATAAAGTTGAAGGAGATGAGATTGATGAAAATGAAGGTGTTAATGTTCAATTTGATTCGGATGAAGAAGATGAAGATAATGTTGAGGGAGAAGTTAGAGATAGTGATGAAAGTGATGAAGAAGAAGAAGGAGTTGATACAAATTATTCAGAAACATTGAAAGGTGATGGATATATGGATGGAGATGAAGAAAAAGCAAGAGGTATTCTTCATCCAAGAGATATTGATGCACATTGGATTCAAAGATCACTTGCAAAGTTTTATAAAGATCCATTGATGGCTCAACAAAAAGTTACTGAAGTTGTACAAATTTTGAAAAATGCGAATGATGATCGAGAAGCTGAAAATCAACTTGTTTTGTTGTTAGGATTTGATCAATTTGAATTTATCAAAGTTTTGAGACAAAATAGATTGATGATTCTTTATTGTACACTTCTTCGACAAGCAAATGATGAAGAAAAACAGAAAATCGAAGATGAAATGAGAACTCGACCTGAATTACATTCAATTCTTGCCAAATTACAAGAGACTGATTCAACTGATGTTGTACAAACAGAAAGAACAAAAAGAGATCAAGAAAGATCGAAAAAAGCAGCTGCGGCAGCAGAAGAAGCGATAAATGCAGGACAATGGCAAGCTGGAAGAAAAGTTTTGGATTTGAATGATTTATCATTTAGTCAAGGATCACATTTGATGAGTAATAAAAGATGCGATTTGCCAGATGGATCATATAGAAAACAAAAGAAATCATATGAGGAAATTCATGTTCCAGCATTGAAACCAAAACCATTTGCAGAGGGAGAGGTAATCGTTATTTTTTTGATAATTTTTACAAGAAAAATACAATTTTCAGAAACTTGTTCCAATCTCTGAACTTCCAAAATGGGCTCAACCAGCTTTTGATGGATACAAATCATTGAATCGAATCCAATCGAGATTATGTGAAAGTGCTCTAAATTCAGATGAACATTTGTTGCTCTGTGCTCCAACTGGAGCTGGTAAAACAAATGTTGCGTTGCTCACAATTCTTCACGAAATCGGAAAACATTTGAACGATGATGGAAGTGTTAAATTAGATGAATTCAAAGCGATTTATATTGCTCCGATGAAATCTTTGGTACAAGAAATGGTTGGAAGTTTTTCGAAAAGATTGGCACCATTTGGTATTACTGTAAGTTGTTATTTTGAAATATATGTAGTCGAAATTTCATGTTTTAATTTTTTAGGTTGGTGAAATGACTGGAGATGCTCAAATGAGTAAAGAACAATTTATGGCAACTCAAATTATTGTTTGTACTCCAGAAAAATACGATGTTGTAACAAGAAAAGGAGGAGAAAGAGCCTATAATACAATGGTCAAATTATTGATTATTGATGAAATTCATCTTTTGCACGATGATCGTGGTATGTTTTTTCATCAATTTTTCAAAATTTCAATTCGAAAATTGTTTTCTTTTCAGGACCAGTTCTTGAGGCAATTGTTGTTCGAACAATTCGTCAAATGGAACAAAATCATGATGATTGTCGACTTGTTGGATTATCAGCTACTTTGCCAAATTATCAAGATGTTGCAACATTCCTTCGTGTCAAACCAGAACATCTTTATTTCTTTGATAACAGTTATCGTCCAGTTCCTTTAGAACAACAATATATTGGAGTTACGGAGAAAAAGGCGTTGAAACGATTCCAGGCAATGAATGAAGTGGTTTATGATAAAATTATGGAACATGCTGGAAAAAGTCAAGTTCTTGTTTTTGTTCATTCGAGAAAAGAAACTGCTAAAACAGCGAAAGCTATAAGAGATTCGTGTTTGGAAAAGGATACATTATCAGCATTTATGAGAGAAGGAAGTGCGAGTACAGAGATTTTGAGAACTGAAGCAGAACAAGTTAAGAATTTGGATTTGAAAGATCTGCTACCATATGGTTTCGCAATACACCACGCTGGAATGAATCGAGTTGATCGTACTCTTGTTGAAGATTTGTTTGCTGATCGACACATTCAAGTGTTATTCTCAACTGCAACATTGGCTTGGGGAGTTAATCTTCCAGCACATACAGTAATTATTAAAGGAACACAAATTTATAATCCAGAAAAAGGAAGATGGACTGAATTGGGAGCATTGGATATTATGCAAATGTTAGGAAGAGCTGGTCGACCACAATATGATTCAAAAGGAGAAGGTATTCTTATCACAAATCATTCCGAACTTCAATATTATTTATCATTGATGAATCAACAACTTCCTGTTGAAAGTCAAATGATTTCGAGATTGACGGATATGTTGAATGCTGAAATTGTTCTTGGAACTGTAAGCAGTGTAAGCGAAGCAACAAATTGGTTAGGATATACATATTTGTTTGTAAGAATGTTGAAGAATCCAACACTTTATGGAATTACACATGAACAAGCGGTAAGTTATTCTAAATAGTTTTTAGATAAAAGTTCGAAATAATTTTATTTCAGAGAGCTGATCCACTTCTTGAACAACGTCGAGCTGATTTGATTCATACAGCTTGTGTTCTTCTTGATAAAGCTGGTCTTATTAAATATGACAAAAGAAGTGGAATTATTCAAGCAACTGAACTTGGAAGAATTGCATCTCATTTTTATTGTACTTATGAATCGATGCAAACATATAACAAATTGCTTATCGAAACATGTTCAGATATTGATTTATTCCGAATTTTCTCAATGAGTTCTGAATTCAAACTTTTATCTGTGAGAGAAGAAGAAAAACTTGAATTGCAAAAATTGGCAGAACATGCACCTATTCCAATCAAAGAATCATTAGATGAAGCATCTGCTAAAACTAATGTTCTTCTTCAAGCTTATATTTCACAATTAAAATTGGAAGGTTTTGCTCTTCAAGCTGATATGGTTTTTGTTGCTCAATCAGCTGGTCGATTATTCCGTGCATTATTTGAAATTGTTTTGTGGAGAGGATGGGCTGGATTGGCACAAAAAGTATTGACATTATCCAAAATGGTGACACAAAGACAATGGGGATCATTGAATCCATTACATCAATTCAAGAAAATTCCAAGTGAAGTTGTTAGATCGATTGATAAGAAAAATTATTCATTTGATCGTTTATATGATTTGGATCAACATCAACTTGGAGATCTTATAAAAATGCCAAAAATGGGAAAACCTTTGTATAAATTTATCAGACAATTCCCAAAATTGGAAATGACAACACTTATTCAACCAATAACAAGAACAACTATGAGAATTGAGTTGACAATTACACCAGATTTCCAATGGGATGAAAAGTATGTTTATTTTCTATATATATTTTTTTGAAAGTTGAATTTCAATCATATTTTTTTCAGGGTTCATGGGAATGCTGAAGGATTCTGGATTTTCATTGAAGATACTGATGGCGAAAAGATTCTTCATCACGAATTCTTTTTGCTCAAACAAAAATTCTCAACGGATGAACATGTTGTCAAAATGATTGTTCCAATGTTTGATCCAATGCCACCACTTTATTATGTTCGACTTGTTTCTGATCGATGGATTGGTGCTGAAACTGTTCTTCCAGTTTCATTCCGCCATTTGATTCTTCCTGAAAAATATCCACCTCCAACCGAATTACTCGATCTTCAACCACTTCCAATTTCTGCTGTCAATAATCCAGCATTCGAAAAAGTGTTCAAAGATGCAGATATCGAAGTGTTTAATCCAATTCAAACACAAGTATTCCGAACAGTTTATGAAAGTAATGAGAATGTTATTGTTTGTGCACCAAATGGTTCTGGAAAAACAGCGATCGCTGAACTTGCAATTTTGAGACATTTCGAGAATTTGCCTGAATCCAAATGTGTTTATGTTACTCCGATGGAAGATGTTGCTGTGAAAATATTGGCAGATTGGAAAGAACGATTACAACCAGCAATTGAACAACAAGTTGTGTTATTAACAGGAGAACCATCGACTGATTTGAAATTATTGCAAAAAGGTAAATTGATTATTGCGACACCAGAAAGATGGGATAATGTATCGAGAAGATGGAAACAGAGAAAAAATGTGCAAGCGGTCAAATTATTTATTGCTGATGATTTGCATATGATTGGAGCTACTAATGGGGTAATTTTTTATTTCTTTGTTATTTTTTCGTTTTCATTTTTCAATTTAATTTATTTTTGAAATTTTTCAGCCAGTTCTTGAAGTTGTTTGTTCTCGAATGAGATATATTGCATCACAACTTGAAACAACAATTCGAGTTGTTGCACTTTCTTCATCTTTAACAAATGCAAGAGATCTTGGAATGTGGTTAGGTTGTTCAGCATCGGCTACATTCAATTTCTTACCGGTTACTCGACCAGTTCCTCTCGAACTCGAAATCAAAGGATTCAATTTATCACACAATGCATCTCGCTTTTCGGCAATGGAAAGACCAGTTTATCAAAGTATATCTCGACATGCTGGAAAACTTCGACCAAAACCAGCTCTTGTTTTTGTACCAGTTCGACGACAAACAAGACCAACTGCTGTCGGATTATTAACAATGGCATTAGCTGATGGAACACCAAAAAGATTCTTGCATATTTCGGAACAAGATGAGACATTTATATCATTGTTGGAAATGATTGAAGATGAAACATTGAAAGAAACTGTTTCATGTGGTGTTGGTTTTCTTCACGAAGGAACTAGTTCAAAAGATGTTGCAATTGTTGAACAACTTTTCACAAGTGGAGCTATTCAAGTATGTATTGTTCCACGTGGAATGTGTTATCAAATCAAAATGAGCGCTTATTTGGTGATTATTATGGATACACAATTTTACAATGGAAAATATCATGTTTATGAGGATTATCCAATTGGTGATATGTTGCATATGGTTGGATTAGCAAATCGGCCAACAGTTGATTCAGAAGGTGAATATTTGACGAATTTTTATCAAATCTGTTTTTTCTGGAAAAAAAGAAAATTCTTCACGTTTTTGTTATTTTCCACGTGACATTTCAACTCTTTAACCTTTTTATCATTTCTGACTCTTGACCCTTTCCAAAACATTAACAAAAACATTCGTCAAACTCAATTTTTCAGCAAAATGTGTGGTTATGTGTCAATCATCGAAAAAAACATATTTCAAGAAGTTTTTGTTCGACCCTCTTCCTGTCGAATCACATTTGGATCATTGTTTGCACGATCATTTCAACGCTGAAATTGTCACAAAAACCATTGAAAACAAACAAGATGCAATTGATGTAAGTATTTTTGGGTTAGAAATGAATAAAAAAATATAAAATGCGCGAAAAAACGTGAAATAATTTGGATCAAATCGGTCAAATGAGCTTAAAATATATGATTTCCCAGCGCCCGCGTGGCCTAATGGATAAGGCACCGGACTCCGGAACCGGGAATGGGGGTTCGAGTCCCTCCGTGGGCTAGATATATTTTGATCAATTTTAATTTACAGTATCTCACATGGACACTTCTTTATCGACGAATGACACAAAATCCGAATTATTATAATCTTCAAGGTGTTTCACATCGACATTTATCTGATGCTCTTTCTGAATTGGTTGAAAATACTTTGAAAGATTTGGAAAATAGTAAAGTAAGTTGTAAATTTTTCTGAAAAAGATTTCAAAATTTTTATTTTTAGTGTATTGCAATCAAAGATGATATGGATACACTTTCATTGAATTTGGGAATGATTGCTGCATATTATTATATTTCTTATACCACAATTGAATTGTTCTCAATGTCACTTCAAGCAAAAACAAAAATGCGCGCTTTGGTTGAAATTATTGCAAATGCAAGTGAATTTGCAAATGTTCCAATGCGCCACAAAGAAGATGTTATTTTGAAACAATTAGCTGGAAGATTGCCGGGACAATTGAAGAGTCAAAAATTCACTGATCCACATGTCAAAGTCAATTTATTGATTCATGCACATTTATCAAGAGTGAAATTGACAGCTGAATTGAACAAAGATACTGAATTAATTGTTCTGAAATCAATTCGATTGGTACAAGCTTGTGTTGATGTTTTATCAAGTAATGGATGGTTATCACCTGCAATTCATGCGATGGAATTATCACAAATGTTGACACAAGCAATGTATAGTAGTGAACCATATTTGAAACAATTGCCACATTCAACTGCTGCACTTTTCGAAAGAGCAAAAGCTAAGAATGTTGAATCTGTCTTCGAACTTTTGGATTTGGAAAATGACGATCGAATGGAAATTCTTCAAATGGAAGGTGGACAATTAGCTGATGTTGCCAAGTTTTGTAATCATTATCCATCAATTGAAGTGGAACACGAATTAGACAATGATACAGTATCTGCGTAAGTTTGGATTTAGGGACATAACTTGGGAAGTTTTTGAATTGGACTTTAGTTTCAGAACTTTTGAATCGAAGGTAACTATATTTTTATCCAAAAGCTGATTTTTTTTTGAAACATTCTGAACATATTTTTTAATTCTCTTTTTCGGTCAAAAATTTGGTAAAACGGGAAGATCTTCCAGTTTTACAAATCAATATTTTTCGAGCCAAAATTCATAATTTCAGTCTTCTTTTAGTTGATTTACATTATTTTCTACATTTCAAAAAATAGTCCGTTTTTGAAATTAGGAAATGAGAAAATTTAATTTTTTAAATTCAAATCTAGGGTAGAGAAGTCAGTAAGTAAGATATTTCCGAAAAAAAATACTGAAAGTTTGTTTTTTTGCAGAAACGATAATGTAATTGTTGGCGTTTCAATGGTCCGCGATAATGATATTGATGGATTGGCTCCTCCAGTTATTGCTCCACTTTTCCCACAAAAACGAAAAGAAGAAGGATGGTGGTTGGTTATTGGAGATCAAGCTACAAACACTTTGCTCTCGATTAAACGATTAATCATCAATGAAAAAGCACAAATGAAATTGGATTTCGCTGCACCGAAGCCTGGAAAATTCACATACAAATTGTATTTTATTTCGGATTCGTATTTGGGTGCGGATCAAGAATTTGATATTTCATTCAAAGTTGAAGGTGAGACATCTTTTTTTGAGTTAAAAATTATTCAAATTTTTCAGATTCCGGTCGAGGTCGTAAACGAAAACATGAAAAAGATGAAGAATAGATCTTGTTTTGTTTTGTTTTCATTTTATCGTTGTTGTATTTTTAACTTATTTGAGAATTGTTTCTCTGAATCTCTTTTATTATTATCATTGTTGTAAAATGAATTGAATATTCTAAATATTATCAATTTTTATTTTTATCTTTTTGAGATCAAAATGTTTTGAATCCTGATTTTGAAAATCATATTTTATAATATTTTCAGGAAATTTTATCGATGAAATACTACTTAACACAAACATTTTAGCAAAAGTTTTTATCTCTTTTATTATTGAAAAAGGAAATTAATTTTCTAATCTAAACAAAGATGATCTATTATTGGTTCAATGCATTTTTAACGAATTGTGGTAGAACAAAAGCCGCGCGATGAACTTCGGAATTATAAAAACGAAGTTGTGATTGAATCGATGGCGAAACTTCGCGAGATGGAACTGTCACATCACGGTTCTGTAAAAAATGATATTTTTTTTGGAAAAATAAGATGAAATACACTACAGCATTTTTTGCACAAATCAAATATCCCATGCTTCCAGATGGATAAGTTGAGACAATTGATTGACCATAATTGACAGTCGGGAAAATTTGGCGATTGAATTTGATAAGATGAGCAATCAAATTGAGATGCAACCAAACTGATTCACCTAAAACGAAAAAATCACACCACTACAGTCAACAACAAAAATTATTATATAGAAATTCACAACCATGCATTATTTTTAGATGAGAACTCAAAAACTAATTTAAACATGCAAGTACCTTATTTTTTGCACAAATTGTATAACCCATCAAACCCGATGTATAAGTTGGAACACTTCCAATTGCATATTTAACTATTGGATAAATATTAGAAGCCAATTTTTGAATTTTTTGAATCAGTTTTAAATCGATCCAAGGACATTCACCTACAGTATCCTTTTTTAGGTCAACATTTTTTAATGTTCAATAAAACTTACCTTGAGAAGATAGAATTCCGTCATCATTAAGAGCATCACGTAAAAGTTCATAATATGATTGGCCAAAAAGTGATTCGGCTGGACCAACTGGATCAGAGCTGTCAGTGATAATTACATCGAATTCATTCTGAGATTTGAAAAAGTATTATGAAGATTCTTCAAAAAATGTAATCAAACCTTGTGATTTTTCAAAAATTCGAAACCATCTCCACAATACAAATCAAGTTTTGGATCATTGAAACCGCAAGACATTCCAGGAAGATACTTTTTAGCTACTTCGATGACCATTTCATCGATTTCACACATTGTTACTTTTTCGACTTGTTCATGTTTCAAAACCTCGCGGAGAATTCCACCATCTCCTCCGCCAATAATAAGAACCTGCCATATTTTAAGTGTTTTTCTCGAAAATCTAAGTTTTTCGGACTCACTCTTTTTGGATTTGGATGGGCGAAAAGTGGAAGATGTGCAAGCATTTCTTGATAACTGAATTCATCACGTTCAGTCGCTTGAATTATTCCATCGAGAACCAGAACATTTCCGTATGTCGTGCTGAAATTTTCAGTTTATCCAAGATTACTGTATTATGCATTTTCGGAATCAAGAGTGTGCAAACACGGCCACGCGAAAATGCACAAACAACGTTTTTTTTTGAAAATTTTTTCAAGTTTCCTCCGTCGTTTCGTTGATTTATCATTTGTTTATTTACCTTTCAAAGACAAGAACATCTTGATACTTGCTTTTCTCGTGGAACAATGTCTTTTTGACTTGTAAAGAGAATGCCTGTCCAGGCCAAGCGCCGCCCATTTCTTGACCATCTGATTTTAATTGTTTCGAATCGGAATCTTGAAGAAAATCGTGTCAACGACGAAGAATTGGATTGTTCTTACCTGATCCGTTGATTTTCTCCAAATCATCTGGAGAGAATTCAGTGAACCATCCTTTGTGAAGACCGTCCATGATGTTTTTTGTGAGAATGAGAAAATGAGAAAAGTGCAAATTTGGCTGAGTGAGCAAAAAACGATAAGATAAGGAGGCGGGAAAGTAGGTTTTATGAGTTTTAGTATTTAATTAGAAGGTATCGTTGTCGCGTAATTGATCAAATGAACTTATCGAACAATATTTACACTAGGAACATGAAAAAACAACAAAATATTTGTTTACTCCAGTTTATTACGAACATTTTCTTCAGTTGAATTTAGCATTTGCGCTCCAATGAGCTCGTGTTCCTTTTTCCCGCTCAATAAATGGTTAGCACCATTCAATGAAATATTACACAACATTTTTCCAAGTACACTGTGATTATTAAGCAGATGTTCTTTATTTTTCTGTTGTGACGCCCGTTTTGTTTCATCAAACAATAGAAAAGACGGATAAGAAATTTCTCTTCCACACAAAATGTTTTCTCTTTCAATTTATTGATTTTCATGGTTTCGTTCTATTTATGCATGTGTGAACCAGTTTATCACATGTTTATATTCATTTTTTTTGTTTTCAGAAGCTTTCCTAGCTAAGAAAATGGGTGTCGCAAAGGACAACGAAGTTGCGCCAATTCGAATTATTGGAGAAATTGGAGAGTGAGTTGAATATGGAACATTTCTCTTGAGATTGCGCCATTTTCAGTTATGATCTATCCGATAGTGGCGACGAGATTGCATTCCATGCTCGTCAAATTTCTGTTGAACAACTTAATCAAATCCCGATTGGTCGAAAACATGCAATGTCGCCAAGAAAACCAAAAACATTCCGCGAAGAAGTCGAAACTGGCGGTGTAAATGTGAAAAGAAATATGGGATCAAGAAAATGGAGACGTGTTGAACTTGCTAGAAATATGCTGAACTTCACTGAATTGGAAGATATCTGCGAAGATTTCTCCGATGTTTTCCATCAACCATATTCTGCATTCGACAAGCTTTTTGCTGATCGACAAAATATGAAAAAATGGAATGATTTTATTGAAAAAGATGAAGTTGAACAACGCAAAATATTAGAAAATGGTGGAAATGATATTCAAGAAGAACAAAGTGGAAGCGGATGGGCTGTTTTAGGTGGAAAAACATTCACTCCAACAAAGAAAACTACTCCAAGAAAAACTACGGACGAATCGCCAGATAAAAGAAAACGTTAGTTATTGGGTAATTAATTGAAATCTTATTATTCGTTTTTAGATCATCCAGCATATTCTGGAAAAGCTTGTTTCGATCGAATTGATTCAAGAGGAAAAGGAACCCTGATGGGAAGAAGAGTCAATTGGGCTCTAATCGATCATCTCGAAACGGAACTTCGTTCTTTATTCTCAATGAATACAACTCCAACACTTTCTGATGCTGATACTATATTTGTTGCTCATTATCCGGCATCATCTGATCGTTTTCTGGCTCATATAATCTCTCAATATTTATGGCTAACATCTCAAAGTGTGACTGATCCATCAACTGGTGATCGAATCACTGAAATACGCAATCCTCGAACTTATTTCATTCCTCCACATGTTCGATTGATAAATTATCTCGAAGAAAATGTTGTCAAGAAAAAGATTGATTTTATACCATATTCGATGCGGGAAGTTGAAGTTGAATCTGAAAATGGAAATGGTATGTTTTTGTCAGAATAAAAAGATGTTTTAAGCGTGACATCTTATTATAATTTGGATTTCAGTTTTATTTAGAAATTTCATCCGTGCATTTTCATAGTTTTCTGTTTCAGATTCACTTGCCATTTCCGAAGAACTCAATCAATTAAACATCTCAACATGTTCTGATGATGAATGGGTCAATGTTCACAATAAATCGACATAGTGTTCTAAACAAAACACTTACATATTACCACGCATTTTTCAAATCTATCCCTGTAACTTTTCTGTATTATTATTTTTATTTTCAATGATTCTTTGGCTAATCAAAATGAATAAAAATATTGATTTCTAAAAAAATTTCCTGCTTTTTACTAATTATGTTGCTTCCAATGGAATGATATCTAACTTTTTCGGTGTTTTTCTTTCATGGGAATAGTTTATATTATGATCGATTTTTTGAATTAGAAATGATTTCTTCGAGGTCCATTAATTAATTAGGAAATGTTTTCAGAAAAAAAATGAGTGAACAACGTTTTTTTTTTGGAAAATTTTCAAATACACTTTTTCTGTAGTCAGATATATTTTCTAGCCTAATATATTTTCTAACCTATTTATATTCTTCCTGAACACACCCGCTCAAACAATGAAAAAATTAGCAAAATGCTGTTCTCATTGGCGTACCAATTTTAGCTACCTTAGAGGTCGTTATATGAAAAACTAAAAATACCATTAGAATCAGCGTCTCAAGATCTACATTAAACTATGTTACTCATATTTTTAGGGGTCCTGCGAAGAAAGTTACGATTTGCGTCGAGACCACGCGGCTAAATAAATACGTGTCCCTTTAATCTGCAACGTAAATTAATGAAATAGTTGGCGTACCAATTTTCGTTAGGAAAACAGGCGTTAGAGAAAAAATGAAAAATATCAGGAGATTCAGCGTGTCGAGATCTACATTAAACCATAAGATTCATAATTCCTAGGAGCCCAGGAAGGCCAGCTTTTCGAGACCCAATAAATTAATAAATGTATGTTCCTTTGAACGAACAAAACAGTGTGAATTCTCGAGAAACGCAGAGACGCGGTGTTTGCACACTTTTCGATTGCGGACTACAGTAGAAAAACAGTCATTTCTCGTTTCAGCGGGGTGTGTGAAACATAGTATTAATTTTAACTCGAAATTATCAGAAAAGTTCAAAAACTGAAAAATATTAATTGTCAAAAATATATCTCTCACTAACTGATCGAACATTTTCTTTCCGCAAAACATTGTACCCTGTACTTTGTTCTTCTCATTTTTTGTGAAATTCAAGAGAGAAACGACCTCGTGGAAAATATATCTGTTTTCTGTCTAGGTTAATCCGTGGGTTTTGATTTTTCGAATAACAAAGTATATTTTATAGCAAAACCAAACATGCTCCTTTGTACAACAAACAAATGAATTGTTTGTTTGATGTGGAATGTCCGAGACCGTTTCGCAAGCTTTTAGAAAGATTTCTTTTTTTTTTGAAAAATTGCAATTTTGTGTTATTCCAAGATTAATTAAGTCTATCAACTTCTGAGTGAAGTTTGAATAATAAAAATATCTCATTTTCGTTATCAAACCCGTTTTTTCTTTTCTGCTATACAATCTTATTTTTCGTACCAAAGTTCAAATGACGATTCGATTCTTATCTATAAAGTACTTCGTTCCCACAAAAATTGTGTTGTTGTGTTATAAATTTTCAACACATAATTTTTTTTATTTCAAAAATTTAATGATGTCATCAAACACGTTTTACTTGATATATTTTCAACTTTCTATTTTACAAAATTAATTAATTTTGAAACAAGTTTTCTTACTTAAAATTAAAAAAAAACGCAACAATTATTCTTATCTATGCTCTTTGTAGCCTCCATCATTCATTCATTCAAAAAAGTAGGGAAACAGATTGAACACGTGGATTTATGGAACACCAGCAGAAAACGAAGGAGGAAAAAAAGAGATAAGATTTTCTCGTGACAAAATAGACAATGATAAAATAAGTTAGACGCAGAGAAAAATAGGCGGAGCATAGTGTACTTTGTATCATAAATGAAGGAAAAAGAAAAAGGCATACTACTTGGGCGGCCGACCACTCATTCTCAGTTTGTTTATTATGAGACATTGTTTTAAATTTTTTTCATTTGGTTTGGTTTGGTTTGTGACTGTATCTAAAGTTGGTTTGAATCGGCTTGAATTCAAAATTTCATCCATGAAATAGAACAAATTTGGCCTTTGATCATCCAAACAAAAATAAGGATACGTTGATTTTGTTTCCCTATTTTCTTGTTATAAATTCCCCCATATGAATTGGTTTGGTTTTCTCGAATTTCCTTCAAGAAAACATATATTTATATAACCAAAAAACAACAACAACACATGATTTCTCTAGTTTTTTTCTACCCGTTATCAGCCGCGAGAAAAAACAACAACAACTGTCTTTTTTATTCCACTTTTTGTTTCTCTTTTCTTGCATGTGAATAATTGCTTTGTTTTTCCTGTGTTCCTTGAAGAATCGAAAACCATACGGTTTTTTTGCAGGTTTGAACATCTGCTGATATGGCGGAGGCTCGTAGTGCGGCTGCAGTTTCATTTGCTGGTTTGTTTTTGAATAAATTTTTTATAGGAGGGGGGTAGAAAATAAATCAAGTATATTTCAAAAATCAGGAAATTTTGGTATATGAATATTTATCGGAAACTATAGAATTTGGTGGGAAAATTCGTTTGTTTGAAATTATGAAGTTTTAGATTTTTTCTTTTTCTTATAAATGTTTAATTTTAAAATGTCACAAAAATTCACTCCAAAAAGCTAGAAAAATCAAGAAATTCTTCAAAAGTTTTTTATTTGGGAATTTTTAAACTGATGAAAATCAAAAGGATCATAAATTCAGATAATTTTCTAAAATTTTGATATATTTGGTCTCTGAAAACTAAATAATATTGTTCCAGTAACTCACGATGGAGTTTCGGTCAGCTACGATCAAGAACTTCTTCGAGACATTTGGCATGGAATCAGTCGAAGTTATAAAAGAAGATTTGGTCGATTCAAGAATGACTTCGTAAATGGAATGTTTCCTGCCAATTCTTGGACTCTTGGTTTAGTTGTGGTTGTTGTTGGAATTATATCAATTCTCAAATATGATTTATCCTTCGGAGTTTTTCCATTCATTCAAGATTATATTGTTCATTTTATCTTTGGGTTAGTTTTATTTTTGAAAAAAATTATCAAGTGTAATATATCTTATTTTTCAGAGATGGATATATCGGTCAAACAATCACTGTTATTCTTGCTGGCGCTCTAACTTGGTTCATTTTCGTTCAAATCCTTCGACTTTCAATCAAAACACTTTTGGAATACAAAGGTTGGATGTATGAGTCACCAGGGAAACCAGTTTCAACTGCCACAAAATTATGGCTTGGAGTTCTTCATTTCATCTCAAAAGCTGAACCAATGCTCCACTCTTTCCAAGGTGCTTTGCCACGTCTTCCACTTCCAAATCTCGATGATACAGTACGCAAACATTTGTTGTCAATGAAACCAATTTTGAGCAGCGAGGAATTCGGAGAACTCGAATTTTTGAGTGAAAGATTCAGAAAAGGAGTTGGACGGAGACTTCAAAGATATTTGAGACTCAAATCGTGGTTCAGTTCAAATTATGTTACCGATTGGTGGGAGGAATTTGTTTATATGAGACAAAGAAGTCCAATTATGATCAACAGTAATTATTATGGTTTTGATACTTTGAATGAGCATCCAACTAAAAACCAAGCATCAAGAGCTGCTAATTTGACATATACATCTTTGCAATTCAGAAGAATGGTTGATAGACAAGAAGTTTCACCGGTTCGTTTTTCTTATTTTTTTTCTATAATTTTGATGAAAAATTTCCATTTTTAGTTCTCAATTTCACCGCGAACAAAAGTACCATTCTGCACAATGCAATACGAACGCCTTTTTAATACTTGCCGTGTTCCTGGAGAAGAAGTTGATCGACTTCTTCATTGGGATGATGCTAAACATGTTGCTGTTTATTGTCGTGGTGCTTGGTTCAAAGTAATTGTACACAACGGAAAAAGACTTTTGACACCAAGTGAACTTCAAATTCAATATGATGTTATTTATTCACATACTCATGAACCAAGTGAAGGCGAAAAACATTTGGCTTGTTTGACTGCTGGAGAAAGAGCCGATTGGGCAAAAATCCGAAGAGCTCATTTCAGATCTGGTATCAATAAAACTAGCTTGAATGATATTGAAAGAGCTGCATTTGTTGTTATTTTGGATGATGAAGAGACTCATTATGATCCAAAAGATCCATCAAAATTGGATTTCTGGGCACATAATTTATTGCATGGAAAAGCTTATGATCGTTGGTTTGACAAATCTTTCAATATGATTATCTCGAAAAATGGACATGTTGGAATCAATACCGAACATTCTTGGGGAGATGCTGCTGTTATGGCACATTTTACCGAATGGTCACTTTTGCAAGATATTGTGTTTATTGGATATGATGAAAATGGAAGATGTAAAGGAGAACCTGTTGAAAATATTCAACCAGAATTATTGAAATGGGATATTCCGGCACCGGCTTTGGAACAAATTCAAAAATCATTGAAAGTTGCGCAAGCTTTGATTGATGATGTTGAAATGGCATTGCTTGTTTGGACTGATTATGGAAAAGGTTTTGCAAAAAAATTGGGAGTATCACCTGATGCATTCTTGCAAATGACACTTCAATATACTTACTTCAAAAATCAAAACAAATTCTCATTAACTTATGAAGCTTCAATGACTCGTCTTTTCCGTGAAGGAAGAACTGAAACTGTCAGATCTTGCACTGTTCAATCTTCTGATTTTGTTCTTTCAATGCTTGACCAAAAAAATGCTGTAAGTTTAGATTTTTTTATGCTTCAAAGATTATTGTTTGGTTTTTTCAGCCAAAAGATCGTCTCGAATTGTTGAGAAAAGCTTGCGAAAAACATCAAGAATTATATCGCGACGCAATGTGTGGACAAGGAGTTGATAGACATCTTTTCGCTTTGTAAGTTTGAAAAAAATAAAAAAATGCAAAAGTTCAAAACTAAAATATGGCATTTTGTAGATATATTATCAAGAGATATCTCGAAGAAGAATCTCCATTCTTTGATAAAATCTTCCCACCAACTTATCTTCTCTCAACTTCTCAAACTCCAATGAATCAATGTGAAGCAGATGCAAAAGGATTATCAAATGAAGTTCGATTGAGATTGATTACTGCTGGAGGTGGTTTCGGTCCAGTCGCTGATCGCGGTTATGGTGTTTCATATATTGTAGCTGGTGAAGATTGCCTTTCTTTCCATATTTCGAGTAAACGATCTGCTGATAATACTGTAAGTTTTCACATTCTCATTCATACCCGGGATTTTTTAGTCTGTTCGGAAAACAGATGTTTTCTCTTCTTCACTACTGTATCATTGAAATTCGGGGTTATATCAAAAATTTAGATCCACGTATTTTCTGAGAAATATGACAATAAAAATTTTCAAAATTAACTATATTTTGAAAAAATGCAGTATGTGATTATTTGTCAATTAAATTTCTCAATTTGAATCAAAAACGAATATTTAGGTTTTTCTTGATGTTTCCCAGAAATCCATTCAATTTCATTCCCATAACATTATGTTTTCAGAGCTCTGCTGAATTCCGTGAAGAATTGAAGCGATCGTTGACAGATATGAAGAAATTGGCTGATGCCATTGAATCGAAGAAAAAATAATTTAGCTTTTTTTTAATTTCACCCTCATTTTTTATCTCTTCAGACTGGTATTTTTATTGTTTTGCTCATTTTTTTATTGTAAATAGTGCCAAATTAAAATTCTGAAATTGATTTCGCATAATGTTTTTTGGACCAAATGAAATTATTTCAAAAATCATGATAGTTTTTATTCTAAAAGGGTTCCGGCTTCACCAAATTCTATTTTAGTAAATTTTTGGGGGAAAAATATTATATTTTTCAAAGAATGCGATTAACGCTGGCAATAAGAAATTTGATAAAATTTCAAAATTTGGATAAATGGCCGATTGAAATGATTGAAGAAATGAAAACGTGTTGTTACGTGAAACGGTAATTTTTTTCGAACTCAAAAAATATTCATTTTCAATTTTTTAGAGATTTTATTACCAAAACTGAAGAATCTGCATTGCTTAAAGAAGTTGAACCACATATGAAAAGATTGAGATATGAAAAAAGTCATTGGGATGATGTAAGAAATTGAATTTTGAAATAAAATATTAAGAAATTCTGATTTGTTCAGGCAATTCATTTATATCGAGAAAGAGAACAAAGAAAATGGTCAGATGAAAATTGTGAAGTAATTAAACGAATTCGAAGCGAATCTTTTGGACCAAATGCGGAACATTTAACCTATGTTCATATTTTGGATTTACATAAAAATGGTGTGATTAAACCACATATTGATAGTATTCGTGTGAGTTTTATTGAAAAGGGCGATTTTTAACATCAAAATATTTACAAAAATAATCTTTTGAAAAGAAATTCTGTCTGTAAAAATTTCAGTTTCAAAAATTCCCTCGTTCTTTTTCCAATTTCCCTTATTCGTTTTTTCATCTTAATTTTTCAGTATTGTGGAGATGTAATTACCGGAGTGTCGTTGTTATCCGATGCAATTATGAGATTGAGACATAAAGATCGAAAAGATGAACTGATTGTTGATTTATTGATGCCACGTAGAAGTTTATATAGATTAGGGTAATTTTTAAATATTTTGAACAAAACTGGAAAAAAATGTATCCCATTTTTAATTTTCAAACAGTTTGAAAACAAAATTGTATTTTTAGCTTGGGCAATTAAAAAATACCAAAAAATCATAAAATTGTATATTTTCACATATTTTTTACAGAGAATTGGGTCGATATGAATTCACACATGAAGTTCTTGGAGAAAATGAAAGTATTTGGGAATCTTCGAAAATTGAGAGAAATCGACGAATATCAATAATATGCCGAGATATTCCGAAAAAATGTAATATTCAACAAGAAAACATTGAACTAAAACCAATTCCAGAAACTTTATAGAATTCCATTATGTAAAAGATAAAGAATAAAATAGGCAATTAGACAAAAAATGAATAAAATTGAACATGTGATATACAATCCGGTGAAAATTCTTTCTTTTTTCTTGTATTTTTTCAACAATTCTCGTTTTTCATTTTCTCCAACTCCTGATGTTATTGTTACTGTATTTGTCCGTGTTTTTGAACGACTTGCAATCCGTTTCGACGTTTTTTTGTGCTCAACAAGTTGCCGATTTTCTTCGTCGTGTTGTTTGTATTTTCTACGTTGAGATTCCAGTCTTTGCTGAATTTTGAATTTCATATTCAGAAAATAATGAATATATTGATTTACCTGATACTGTTCATCTGTCCATACTCGACTTGCCACTTTTGAAGGACCTAATAATGTTTTCTGTGTTTTGTTATATTCAGAAGCTGCTGATATTTTAGACATTTTTATTATTAGAAAATGACATTGTTTTTGCTGATTTCTCACGTGATCGATTTATCATTATTTTTTAACTTAAGTTCAATTTTATTATTAAATAAAATTTATTTTCATTTATTTTACTGTTTTGAAATTGACTTTCACATCCCAAAGGTAAAAAAAAAATTCTAAAGAAAACACAAGAAATTTCAAAGCGCCGCGCGCAAGTACTGTAGTTTGTTGGAAAATGCATATCTAACTAATTTATTTTTGTAAGTTTTTTCATTTCGCAAAAAATGCACTTGTTTTTTATCGCCTTTTTTTGTGGAAGCTTTTTGTAGTTCTATTAATCCTTCTAATCCATTTTTTCCGAGTTTAAATTATTGAATTCAGTATTTCTCTCCCTATTCTGTAATGCAGAATTCGTATAGTTATTACTTTCGAATTATTTGAGATTGATTTCATGTTTTCATAATAATTAAAGATTTCTAGAAGAATTTTTCTATTTATTTATTTCCGATTGAAATTGTTTAGTTTATATACAAGTGTGTAAAGTTTGAACTTTTTATTAGTAAATCGGATACAACTGTAGATAAAATTTTTGAACACTTTAAATGTATGATTTCCTGATTATGATTTAGGTGAGTATTTTTATTATATGAAGAGTGAAGATGACAGGGGATTTATACACCCGGAATGTGGCAATGTTTTGGAGGTTTTATGAAGAAAAGTGTTGATTCAAGCCCAGAACATCTTGCAAGAAATAGTACATTTGTTTAATTCTTCTGTAAGGGCTTTCAACAGTTCTCCATTTTCGTCGGGTTTCATTTCTTGTCGGTCTATTGATCGTCCTTCTCTTCTTAGGAGTTTTCTGTAAATTAATCATTTTTCAAGCTACGAAGAACTGAACTTACTGATACGTTATGAAATTATTTCTACCACGTTTCGCCATATTTCCAGCAGCGTACAGCACATTTGGAACACCTGGCGCTTGATAGCTTACCTGGTGTCCAAATGCTAGGAAATATGTCATATGCGATATCTCATTAACAGTCCATTTTGGATCATTAACTATTACGCTATAACGAGCTGGTCGGATTGTTCCCTAAAATAATAAAAAATTACAATTCATAATGAATGTTAATTAAATTATTTCAGTAAATACTTACAATTAGGGCAGATTGACTGACGAGATAAAACTCATCCCTTCCATATGATGTTAGTACAGAAGATATGCATGTACCGGATGGCACATTTTGTTCAATTGCTTTACCACCAATTATTTCTTTTGGATAGATTCGCATGTGAGTTGTTTTTGAAACAACTATCATTAAAAATGGCGGGATAGTTCTTCCTTTGAATCTTGTATCAGTTTTGAAAACCGATTTCATTTGTTCCACTTCCTTTTCAATTTGCTCAAACCCTCCTTCTCCGACACCACTTCTATAAACTACAATGTTTTCTGGCAATTTGTTTCTAGCTTTTAAGTAGTTCGAAAGAATTTCAGCCATATGATCCGACAAAAACCTGGAAGAACCCAAATTAGATATGGTTATTTTTTGTTATGACCTACATGAGAGAGTGTTCTCTTGATTTCTGTAGATATGAACCACCACCAAGTTCACACGGATCTCCGTAACTATAGGAATATCCAACAACTGATGGTTCTCCGCTTGTTATGTTATTTTGTCGATCAAACAGACAATCTGCACCTGAATGAGATAGCTCGAAACCAATGAAAAGAGTATTTCCGAATAGTTTTTGTTGAACTCTGTAAATACATAAATAATTTGAATTTTTAGATAATTGAATTGCTTACTGATTAGCATTACTGCATATTTCTTTACTGTTTTCCGATCTTGGTATTGAGAATTTGAAGTTGAGTCCTCCACATTTCAAATTTAATTTTCGAATCACATTTTCCGTGGTCTATAAGAAAAATCTCAATTTTGGAATTCAAAAAAATATGGAAAACTACATACCGTCCTTGCTCCTTTGGATAGTTGTTCAAATGTAGCCAAACAAATTTGCTGTGTTTGAATTCCGATTTGACTTTCAAGAAGCTTGAGTACATCATGAACCTCTGGTCGCTGATCTCGTGTGATTGCGAAAATCAAAGAAATGTTCCGTCTTTTCGCGTCAACCATAATCGATTCCAATTTCCGTTGATCCGCTTCGGCACAATTTTCAATCTTCCAATCGATAGTTTCTATTTTCGGGAGCTTTTGATTTTGCAATTCCTTTTTCAGTTTTGTTATCATGGATCTGAATAGAAAAGTTTAAATTAATCATTATTTAAATGAAACATACGTGATCCTTTCTTTTTGTAAAACTTCATCAAAGTTAATAACAATGACTCCATTCAATTTGGCAGGACTTGAAAATACTTTGCTTCTGGCTTCAATTAGTGGTGGTCGTTGACCTCCAGTAATCGGTGTAAAAGCGCCATTTCCAAAATTTATTACGGGGGCTGGAAGAATATGAGCAGAAAGTTTAGTTGACTCTCGTTTGATCTGAAGACCGAAGGCTTGCAAGAATTTGTTATCGTCAATTGATAAATATTCGTCCAAAACACGTTCTGCTCTGCTGATTTGCTCAAGTGGCAACATCGACAACTTCGAAGTCATAATTGATTGCTTAAATATGACAATTTTCATGAGTAATGATATTAGAAGTAAACTCACCACTGATGAAGTTACATTGTTTTGTTTAACACGTTGCCCTCGTTCAATTTTCAAGACTTCCAATGGATAACAAATTATTCTTTTTCCTCTTTTTTGAAATGCCAATGGTAATCGCGGATACTTCAAGCGAATTTGGTATTTTTCCAGAAAATAATCATACACCGATATTTCCATTTTAGAATCATCGGCAGGAAATGTGAACCTGAAAAATTATTCATAAATTGAAAATTATGTTTGATAACGTACTGTTCTGCTGATTCTTGCGTAAAACCATTGATATAGAATAAGTTCATCCTGTTGTTTGGTAAATGTACAGGAAAAACTGCCATGCTTTTCAACTCGCTCAGTTTTCTGTTCATTTGAGTTTCTCCATCTCTTTGCATTTGGTAGAGAATATCATTCATATCATCAACTGAAGGGCTTCCTTGCTGTCGTCCGCCTCTTCGAGATTGATATAAGATTCTCACCATATCGATAACATCCATTTCCTGATTGAATGGTGATCGGCGTACATCGATTGTCATTATGAATTCTGGTTTTCCATCTGTTCCCGTAATATATCGCATAGTTTTTTCGAATCCAGTTTTGATCTCTTTTCCTTCTTGATTTATTTGGCATCTCTCATCCAATATGCCATTGTTTTTATCACTAGATCGAGTGTAAGTTGAGTTGCCAAATTGAAAGAAATCGCGACTGCTGGTTTTTTGAGATGTTAATACTTCAAGAAACCGTACCAATTCTGTTACACTTTCGGGACGTGTAGAATCGATGCCACGCGTGTAAATCTGGAATCATTGACATTTCAATAAGAATTAGGAAAAATACGGTGGAATGAGTTTAGATTCCTCGTGTTAGCTCCTTGAGGAAGGCTATAGCGCTGCTATTAACAAATAAACCACGATAATGTTTCGTAAAACATACCTTTTTAGCTTTTGTTCTCGATATCATAACTTTAATTGTCTCGATTTGACCACTTGCCAGTTTTGAAATTGGTTGCCAAATTTTTTCTTCGAATTCACTTCTATGTAGAAATATATGTTCCGATTCTTCTCCTTTATATAAACCAGCGGGAAAATATATTGCTGCACCACAGTCATATGCGCCATCTTGGTACGATATGGGTTTAGTGAATAAATCAGGATTTGATTTCACACTCAACTTCCAGATATTCCAGAGTCCCCATCGACGATATTGGATTGGAAGACTGTAAAAAAAGGAGAACATTTCAAAAATTACAATTTCCAACTCACTCTCCGTGTACTACTATTTTTTCGTTGATTGGAATGGTTTTTGCTTGTTTGGTGGAATCTTTAGTAGAAAATGTGGCGTATACATCAAACTGAAATTGTTCGATAACTTCTGGTAAACCATCCAATATTACTTTGTAGCTATTAGTTTGTACATCACAATGCTTGATATTTTTAAAAGTTGCCATTGTTTTATCTCCTAGAAAATAAGATTAGATGATTTTGTTAAAATTCGATAGAGATATGAAAACTCACTCTTAACATTCGGGGCACCCAAACCACTTCCACTATCCAATGGTGATCTTTTGAATGTACTTGGGATTCGAGAAGCGCTGCTCTATAAAATTAAAAATTGAAATATAGCCTAATATTTCCAAAATACCTCAGCAATATTCAATGGTGTTTTCTTCTTAATTCTGTAGGGTTGTGCTGATGTTGTTGGCTGATCCGATGACGACGTTTTTGGTTTCGCCTCACCCATTGTTCCCATGATGCTATCAAGTAGATCCATTATTATCTGAAATTACCCTGGTTGGTGTTTTTTTTTTTTGAAATAGTAAATACGAAAATGGAAGACAATTTAAAAATGAGGATGGAAAGTCTATAATCTAGTCGTTGTATTTTCAAATTAAATGTTATTTTTACCAGTCTAGTTGAAATTTAGATGAAATTAGAATAGTAAATTTTTGCTGATATTTTAACTTCTATGTGCACTATTGAAAAATAGAATATCTTGAATTGTCTCAAAATTACAGAGTGTAATGTCTTCACTTAGCACCAATCCACAATCTGAACTTCCTGCGAAACAATCAACTAAAACTGGTCAAGTTCCACCACCATTGCTATCTCCTAATCAAGTTCAATCGACCCCAATTCAACTATATCCAACTGGTGCGACAGCTTTGGTGCCAGCTCCTCCGACATACGAATTAATTCCGAATCGCATTTTTGTGGGCGGATTTCCGTCAGCGGTGAGTTTGTTTGAGAAATAACGTTTTCGTTTAAAAATAGTAATTTTTAAGACTACGGAAAGCGAATTGCGGGAACATTTCGAACAATTTTATGAGGTGAAGGATGTTAAAATCGTAAAATCTATGGAGGGAATTTCCAAAGGGTTCGGATTTGTTACTTTTGAGACCGAAGATCATGCAGAGGAAGTCAGGAAACTGGTTAGTTGTTTATTTGTCACGTATTAAAATAATATCTTTGTACAGTCTCCCAAGCAATTGGAATTTCGCAACAGAAAGCTGAATCTAGGTCCGGCCATTCGGAAAATAAATTCGAGCCCCTACAATTCAGGTTAGAATATTACAGTTTTCTTTAAATTAGACTTGGACCTATTTAGCCGCTGGATTTACAATTGCAACTCCAAGTCAGCTGGTACCAGCATCGCCAACACCTTTTGGTTTGATATCATCGGCTGTCTCTACAAATTCACCAGTGTTTGTATTTCCTCCCGTGGTGAGAAAAACAAAATATTTGGTGATCTTTTGAAAATATCATGAAAAATTGCAGTCTTCAAGCGATCAAACAAAAAGTCCGTCGTTGAGCCCAACTTCACAACAACAATTCTTTGTTCAAACAGAAATTCCAACACCAACAAAGAGCTATGCAAATGCAGTTGCGGGATCTGTTCATACAAATGATAAAACACCAATTGAAATAAATCAATCGGACTCTGTCAATTCTGTACATAATTCAATTTCGAATTCAACTATGACTCCACCCCAAACCCAACAATCTTATTCGAACTCATTTGTTTATCCGAATATGGTAGGTTTCATATTCAAAAATAAAGGAATGAGAATTCGATAAAAAGAATATTTCAGTCTACCAACAATGCGGAAAACAATGGTTTCTACAATAATAATTATGGTAATAATGCGGAGTCAAATAATTGTGGAAATACGAGCTCATTGCAACAAAGTGATTATCCAAACAATAATTATTTCTATGGAAACAATTCAATGTACAATGGTTATCCATATGTTCAACCATATCAATCCTACAATAATTATCCCTACCATCCATCTCCTTATTATCAACCACATCAATATTATCAACAATATCAAAACATGTACGGTTTCCAACAATATAATAATTCTCCTAATTATGATTATGCTTCACACTATTATCAACAGCAACAACAATATCAACAGTATCCCAATTCAATGTATTCACAAATTCCGAATGATATTCAAACACAAACAAATGGAAATCCTTTTATGAATCAGATACGTGAAAATGACGGGCGAAACATTTCGGAAACTCGCGATGAAGTATTTAAAATATCAAATATTCATTCGACACCGAAAAAAGGTAAAATAGGGGACAGAAAAATTTAGAGAATTTAGTATATTTGTTATATATAAAAAACAGTTGGTATTCATACAGACATTTTGAATCTATAGAATCCCAATGTTTCACAATAATGAATAAACAAATAAGATAACATCTAACAAGACAATGGGTTGGTTTCCCAAACAGAGCTGTAAAGCGGCCATCTGGTGAACCCAAAAGAGCTCTTGATATAACCTAATTTGGGAATATATATATGTGGGGAGCGTCAAAATTAGATCAAACATGTAATAAAATACATTTAATTATCCTTGAAATTTTGGTGTCGAATTTCCTATCTTCTGTAGAATAATTGAATGAGAAGGTGTTGATTTGATTATTATTTTTTATGAGTTCAGATTTTGAAATTTTAAATTAGGTATGATTAAAATAATAATAGATTGCTAATTATTCATGAATAGAGAGACGAAAATTCCATGTTATCTAGAGAAACACCAGAAATATTGAAAGCAAAGAATGTTACATATTGCCTCGAATCAATAAACCACACTGCCTTCCTTTCATAGAATCGTGGTCACTAAAAGTGCAAGTGAACTTTAGTTCTTCGGGAAGAAAAAAAGAACGGATAAAGAAAAAGAGAGAAGAACGCTGAGAACACTGCATGGATAGATAACAATCCGTGTTTATAGTAATAATATAAATAACTAACGCCAGCTGTCGTTTTGTTTTATCGATTTACTATTTTTATGGCACCGAAACACTATGATAAGTAACACATCAATCAAAACAGATTGAGAATATGACTACTTTTTTTCGATGGTTAATGGTTGTATAATTAATCTCAAATTTCCGACTGTCAAGTCAATAATCATAAAATTAACATTTTGAAACAAATATAGGATCTGTTATGAACAACTGAATGTTTATTAAGTAAGGAACAAGTCAATGAAACATTTGGGAAGAATCCTCACTATACAACATTTAACACATGCAATGGTGAACATGTTGCCGAGTGCTGTGTATTCACACCAGATGTTCAATTCATTATGAGACCACGAGGTGGAAGAAAGACACGAGGTGCAAGAATAAATTAGAAGAAACAGGAAGATAAATTAGAAGAAAGAGGAAGTTTGGGATAGAAATAGGTGTGGTGACGAAAGCGTCGGTTTCTGAGAACATTTTTCCGCGCGCCGAAAAGATTGCGTAATTTTTAAGACCTGTTAAGTTTTCTTGATCTACCGCAAAATTTGAAAGTCTAAAGATAATGAGTATTATGTGAACTCATACACTTCCAATTTTAAATGCATTCTTGGTTAGAGAAAAAATCGTTGGGATTGTTTTCTTTTTTTTTATAAAACATTAAAAGGCAAACAAACGTCGGACAGAAATTTTCAGAATTATACATTTAAATTGTTGTTTCCGTAAAATGTTTATATTATTTAAGTGCACCAAGATGGATTCTATAAACCTCAGAAAGTTGGAATATATAATAAACAAATCAAACATTTATAAATTTGGGAAAAACTACAAATCAATTTCGATCACAATTCATTAGCAAACGAATAAATAATTCGATTAAATTTCTAAAAATTTGCAGATTGTTCTCGTGGTGACAAGAGAATTTGGAATGGGGATGGAATGAGAAGCCGGCAAGAAAGTTTCAACAGTGATTCAGCACAACAACGTGTCAAAGTAAGAGTTTCAAAAAATTAAGGAAAAGTGTATAATGCGTAATTTCAGCCTTCTCCAAAATCTCGTACAACATCTCTATCATCAAAAATGCAGTCTTTGTCACTTGTTCCACCAAGAAAATGATTGGTATTTATTAGAGAGAAAAACCCCAACAAATGTATTTTTGTTCGTGTTAAATATGTATTTCGGTAAGTTTTCTATTTCTATTGGCACAGTTATCCCATTTCCCCCTATTTTTTGCACTTTCTTATAAAATAAGCTTTAGATTTTGAATCACAAATTTATAAGTAATAAACTCCACTAGTACTTTAGCATATTCGTGTTCTCTTTTTTTGTAAAATTTTATTTTTTCATATATAAATGTTAAAAATGTCGGGAAAACTAACAAACTAAATTATTATGGATAGAACTAGCGCAATATTTGTCAAGAAACTTCAACTAAACCTTGACAAAATATAAATATAACATTTCCAAAAAAAAATACATGTTTGTGTGACAGACGCCAAAAAGTTCAAACGAGAATTTTGCGGCATTTTTGATGGTGTGCACATTCTGCGTAATTACTCTTGAGCGTCTCCCATTCAGCGAAAATAAACACAGTATGAGATTTTGTTTGAAAAGGAAAACAATTCTCGTGGAAGGCAGGTGGACAATACAATGTCCTTTCGTTTTCTGTTTTTCTCTTCGAAAAACGAAACGGAAAACTGACCAATTCTGAAGCACGCCGACAAAAATATTGATTTTTGGAATAGAAAGGGCTGTAGAAATGTTTGCGAACAATTATTTTTTCTATGGGGTCATTCAAGTAAAAAAAGTATAATTTTTAAAGAAAATAATCCGAAATACCAATTGTCAAAAAATTAGACTTCCTATATTTTTTCTGTGGAAAAATGAGTGTAATTTGAACATTTGAACATTATTTTTTATTGATTTTTCTAGGCTTGAATCACCCTCCAAATTTCAAGCAAAAAAGAAAAAATAAACGGAAAAGAAAAAAATTAGAGAATACTGCAGAGAATCCTTTGTTTTTATACATTCAATGTTACAACAAAAATTGTTCGGATTGAAGAATGCTGTTTAATATCTTTTCGTTTTCAATAATGTATTTATTGAAAAATGGAACCCTGCTGATTGGATTGATAAAGTTGATATTTTCGATATATTTATTGTTGCGAAAAAACATAAGTCTACATTTTTTGAAAAACACAAACTCGGAAGGAAAACGAAGAAAGCCTGGAAAAAATCAGTTTTTAAAAATCCGATATTTCAAAGGAAACCCAAGCTACAGTATTCCATTTCGAACTCCTTTTTTCAATTTTCGCTCATTTATTTGTAATTAAGATTAAAACACATTCTCGTAAATATTTTCCAATTCCTATCGATTTTTTTTTTGAATAGCCAAAAAAAAACCACTAATTTTATTCACGCAAATCTGTCATTTTGTTCCGGTTTTGTTCAATCATCGATTTTATTCGAAAAATACCCTACTTCTTTTTTTTATTGTCAAAAGTTTAAAATGCCGAGTTTCATGAGAACTTTGTTATTTTTATATTTTATCAAAATTCTGAAATCTGAATTGGTTTTGGTTGAAACGGTAAGATTTTTTGAAACATTTTTTTGGAAATAAAAAAAATAGATTTGGCGTCATGGAGATCGTAGTCCAACAGCAAAAATCAACGCAATTTCAAAAAATGAAAGTGATTGGATATTTGGAGGAGGCGGATTGGGAGAACTAACTACAGTAAGCTGCAAAAATTTGAGCTGCAAAAAATTTGGGAAAATAAACAATTTGCAGATTGGAATGAAGGAACAATTTATACTTGGACAAAAAATGAAAAAACGCTACATTGAAAGTGGATTTTTGCACAAATTCTATGATTCGAAGCAAATTCATATTCGATCAACCGATAAAAATAGAACATTAGTTTCAGCGATGGCAAATATGTTAGGAATGTTTTCGAGTGGAGGAAGACCGGGTATTTATTAGTTTCAAAAAAATAAATTTTTTGAGCCCCAAATTCTATTCTCTATTTTGACTTCAAGTTATCTCTAGGAACTGAGTATTTTTTAAATTTAAAAAATTTAAAAATTTTGCAAAAAAAAATGTTTTTTTGAAAACTTAGATGAAAAAATAAAATAACAAAAACTGTTAAGGAATCGATTATCCTGAAATAGATGGTTGGCCACGTGGATATATGCCAGTTCCAATTCATGCACCAGAAGAATCTGAAAATGATTGTCTTTTGAATAGTTTATGCAAATGTAAAAGATCTGATAAACTTCTCGAAGAAGCGAAAAAAGGCGAAGAATATCAACAATTTATAAGTTCATCAAAATATATCGAAGTTTGCAAAAACCTTTCAATTTTAACGAATGAACACATAAATGCGGATAATTTATGGAAAATTGAGGATATTCTTATTTCACAGGTTGAATACTTGAATATTTTGAGATGTCAAATTTTGAATTCATAATTTTTAGAGAGCTAATTTTCCAAATTCAACTGAATTAATCGACGAAAAATTATATAAAGCATACAGAAAAGAATTATTAATGACAAACAAGTTTTTAATTGGAATTTATGATCCGGAAATTATAAATGGAATTAATATCCGAGATGAACTTTTGAAATTGCGAGCTGGATTATTGGTGAATTTTCGAAAAAAACAAATAAAGTAATATTTATGTTTTTCAGATAAATGATATTGTGAAGAGAATGCGATCAATTGCAGATTGTTATTCAAATAATTCAAAATGCGATGAAAAATTGAAATATTATGCATATTCTTCTCATGATCATACACTTATGTCACTTCTATCAATTCTTCACCTCGAAAATGTGATAACTGCAAAAGAAAAAATATACGAAGGAGAATGGCCAGATTATTCTGCAGATATTACATTTGAATTATATTTGAATAATTCAACGGCTTCTTTTAAAATTTTTTATCTTCAAAATACGGATTCAGATTTCGAAGATGTAACAAATCAAATAGCCGGGTGTGAAGGTTCAGAATTTTGCGATCTGGAAATAATAGAAGAAATTGCCCTCAAATATCTTCCACCAAAAGAAATCGAAGAATTCTGTGAAATTCCACCTGGTTTGGAACTTTTCTCTCCAAAAATGCAAGCATTGTCAAAAAATTCGAATAAATTTCATGCATTTTTATTTTTCTCATATTTCTCCATATTAATTGTTATTTTTGTTAAATAAAAATAATTTATTTTTATTTCAAATTTCAAACTTGAAAATCTTGATCATCTTCACAAACCCATTGATAAATAAGTTGTCCCGAAGCAGTCAATAATCGTTCAATTTCCGATTCTTTATTTAGCTCAATTTTTTGGATAAAAATGTGCAATCCTAAAACTACAGTAATCCAAACTAGTTGTTGAAAATGTGACTTTTGTAGTTTGGGTTACTGTAGTTCATAAAAAATCTGGAAAATATCATCGTCTTATCAAAAATTTCATTTTCTAAAAACTAGCGCAATTCAAAATGTCTTTTTTGGATTTTCTAGACTTTGTAGGTTCCACCACTTTTTTTCGAAACTACAAATGTTTCAAAAAATTTCCAAAATGTTTACTTTTTTGTTGCTGAAAATTATTTTTTTGTTGTTGTTTGTGTTGTTTTTTTTTAAATGTTATAATGAAAAAAAATGACGAGTTCATTTGACGAGTAATTCGGATATCTTTCAATCTTTTTTTTCTGCGGGTTCTTCGATTTCTCCTTTGTTTTTCTGTTTTTCGTATATGTCCAATTGCAATTTAATATTGATTGATTGAACCTTACATAGAATTGCAAGTTTTTCAACAATGTAGTTCCAATCAGTCACATCCAAAAATTGCTTCCATCTAAAAATGATCGTTGAAATTATTGTTATTGTTATCTCTATTATTCCCAATAAAATAAAACATACATTGCAAGTTTTTCATAAATAATGCTACTAACACGCTGGTTTGGTGACTTGTTTTTCGAGATGTCTTTCTCGAAAATTTGTACATTCTCAAAAATTCCATGCATTCTCAATATGGATAAAATTTGAGATTTGATCTGAATAAGGTTATTTTAAATATAAAATTCTTATTGAAAACAACTAACTTCATTTGCCTTCACTATACTACCCAAATTCAACACATTAGAGGCAGTTGAGAACGTATTTCTGAAACTTCATTATCTCAAATAAAAAACCCTAGCCTGGTAAACCAGAAAAATTCAAATCTGAAGTCAGATTCCCCCAGGATTGTTATTTTTCGATTTTTGACGATTAACTTACTTGGTGGATGATGCCATTTCAGACTCTTTGAACTCCAATGTTTCATCATCATTCAGCCATTGTCGGTCTGAGTCAATCGTGTTTTCGAAGATCTGTTTCTCAACATGACCGATAGTTTTCTGATGGTCGAATCGAATTCAGTTTCAACAGATCCTTCCAAAACTTCATTTCCAGAAGGCGGTTTCTGAAATAGATACATTTTACAATAGGGATTATACATTAAAAAAAATATTACTATTTTCGAAAAATCCTCAACCAAAACCTTGTTGACTATTTGCACTGTCTCGACCCGATTATCAATAATAAAATGCAATGTATCTTCATGGATTGGCATGAATACAAAAACTTTTACATTGAAGTTGTGCAAAACATCCTGGCAATGTTTCAATTCTTTTTTGGTGGATTCTGAAAAATTGTGATTATGTTAATATTTACCAAACATTTTCAAACACTTGAAAACAATAATCATTTTTCACTTACTCAAATAGATCTTCCTAGTGACATGTTCCAAATATTTATCGTCTTTGACGAATACGACAGCTGGTGCTCCGGCATAAATTTTTTGATGGCATCCGGATCCAGATATTTCCATGCTAGTCGTTTTGTTGGTGTATAGTTCAAACAATGAAGTCAATTCTGTAAAATAATTTTCATAAAATTCTAGTCTCCAACACTCCGCAAAAAAAAACAATTCGGGAAAAATGGAAATATTTTTCTAAAATTCTGAAATTTTCTGGACACTGGATTCAAATATTTTTCCTTGGTAATTTTGAAAAAAAAATCATTTTTGGAAAAATTAGAACGTGACCTAGTTCTGCTCATTTCGTTGCCTAAGATTTGAAGTGACGAATAACTCTTTACAAAAAATACGCCTAAGAAAATCTCTCGATTTCTACAATTTCAAACTACGAACAGATCATCATAATTTTGTCAATTTTATTTTTTATTTAAAACTAAATAAAGATTTTTTATAAAAAACTAATTAGTGGGCAAAATGTTATTCCGGTTCACTCGTACTAAAGATTTTAATAAAATTATTATCGCATCATTCAATATTTTGATATAATATAACATTTTTCTAACATATTCTTCACTTACCAATTTACTTTTTGGCAAAATGATTTGCTATAGGAATATAAATCCAAAATGACCAAATTCATTTCAATTTGATTGAAAAAAATTGGGACAACAAGATAAGAGACGTGACCTAGTCTATGGAATAAATCAAAAACGTGTTCATTCTTTTAAATACAATAAAAAGATAATTTTCAAAAATTTCAAGTTGAAAACATTTTGTACAATATCACGGGTTAAGCGGGGTGATATTGAAGAGTGGAGATAAATGTAGGTTGGGTAGATTCCATAGAAATTCTATAGAAATTCAAAATTCCGAAAAAAAATGGATCAAAAAATATTCTCTAGAATAACTATTTTTCTAGTGAAAAAACACACCAACGTGGTGAATAAAAAACATCATTAGGCGAGAATTTTTGTGAAAACCCCTCCGCTTTTGGGGCAACTGGTATCTGTCAACTTTTCTAGATTTGGGAACAAATTGCTTGCGACTCTTTTAGTCGGATTAGAAAAAGAGTTTTGTCCTAAAAAATAATCATGTAAATTTTTTCAGAAAATAATTGTAACTAACTCTGCACAGGAAAAGTTTTCGGGGCCTTTTGATCCACCATTTGATCGTCTGGAACACACATGATGTTTGTTTTCTTTTGAAAATGTATATTTTTGGAAAATTATCAAAAAAACCTTACCAGCTGGTTCGAAATGTCGGCTAGCCACCTTGGATACAAATCCGAATGAATGAATGAATAAAAAATGTTCCTGGCGAAAAGACCAAAGGGACGGAGTCTAAGGCTTTGATTTCATATGCAAAATTACTACGGTACTTCCCTAATTGAAATTTATGGGTTCACCAAACTCTGACAAGAATTTAATGCGAATTGTGTCAAAACAACCATTCATAATAGGAAAACGACGATGATCACAACATTTTAGGCTAATGATAAAATGCAATAGGGTGAGAGGAAGAGATTTAGAGAAAAACATAAAAGAATTCACGTTTTGTTGATTATTCGCGTGAACTCTTGTCGCCTCGCTTCATTTTTCAAAAAAAGAAAGAAAAATAATACATGTGTGTATAGCGCTTGGCCATTTGTTTGATCTATGTCGGCAATACGTTTGAACGACCTCTCAGAAAATGTTCGAAAAAATTGAGTTTTTGTTCTCATTCGAGCACGTTTGCCCAATAAAAACGTATGTTTTCTCTAGAATCTCTCTCCTCTCACCCAATTGCGTTTCGGAACGTTGTGTGATTAGGAAAAATGTGGTGTACCATTTCACCGTATTTACCCTTACAAGAAATAACAGTCAGGAGATTGTACTTACATTTCCAAAAAAGTCAATAGCATGAAGAGCTACAGTAGTCTTTTCCACATTTTCTCCCAAAAATGCAAGCATTGTCAAAAAATTCAAATAAATTCCATGAATTTTTATTTTTCTCGTATTTCTCGATATTAATTGTTATTTTTGTTAAATAAAAATAATTTATTTTTATTTCAAATTTCAAACATGAAAATCTTGATCATCTTCACAAACCCATTGATAAATAAGTTGTCCCGAAGCAGTCAATAATCGTTCTTTTTTCGGATGAGAAGATAAAGATGGAATAACTTTTGATGGATGGTCAAGTTTCGCAACAATATCCGAATCCATAAGACTATAAATATAAACAAATCCATCTTCAGATCCAGTTGCAATGAATTCAATTGATTGAAGAATGCAACTGTCGATTTTATACGTTGAATTTTCATGTCCTTTGTAGCTGAAAAATTTGAAAGTTGATTTCTGTGAGTTTCAAATAATGAACCATAGTGTCATCATTTTTCACTAAAATTTGAAGCTTTGATTTTTTGCGAATTTTTTGAAATTTTCGTGTAATTTTTTTCAGTTCAAACATCTCTACAAAAACTAGGTTAAAAAATACCTGGCCAACAGTTTTCCATTCGATTTATCCATCAATCTAACATTTCCATCACCAGTCGAAGCGAGAATACAATTTCCATCCGGTGTAAAATGAACACTATTCACAGCATCTCCCATAAAATCAACTGTCATCTGAAATTCAGTACACTTTTCTTTTCTTTGTTTACAAAAAATCTTAAATATTGACTTACATTACCATCTCGAATATTATATGTCCGATAATTACAATCAGCACTTCCAACAACAATTTCATGTTGATTCACATCAATTGAAAGTATTCCATCAGTTGATTCATTGAATATTTGAATTGGTTTTTCACTTCGAGATCGAACATCAAATGCATGCATTGTGCAATCTGTCGAACCCGAAAAACACACATTTGATTCTTCGTTGAAAGCAACTGCATTTACTTGAGCTGAAACAATTTATACTTGAGAAAAAAATTGGAAAAATAATTTATCGGATTTTTTAATTTTCTTTCATCAAAACTCATAACCAAAAAATACATTTAGAATTCATAAACTTGGAGACAACTATCTCATTAAAAAATAGATTTATAAGTAAATATTTCCAATCTGAGATCAAAAGTAACCCAGTAGTATTTTTAATATCAAATTTCAAATTCCTACCTCCCTGTGTTCTCCACCTTCTCAATTGTTTTCCAGTTTCAACATCAAATACAGTACAGGCTCGATCAGCTCCTCCAGCCACAATTTGTGAATTATCAGATGAAGAACAAGCATCTAATACTTCATTTCCAGTTCCTGAATATGTTTTCAATAAACTTCCTTTCAACGGATTCCATAATTTGATAGTTTTATCACTTCCACTTGTTATACAATAATTTCCATCAACATTATATCGAACAGCACGAACGGCACCTTGTTTACAATCAATCACTTTTGCACGAATCTTGGGAACTTTTGACATCTCTGAAAAGGAATTACATAGAAGATTTATTTTATTTTATGGTTGAGATAAAAATAAAAATATCGAAAGGCTTGCAACCTTTTCTTGTTTGACAAAAACAATTCAAATTCACATTCAAAAAAAGAGCATTCATTATTCCCGTAATAATTTTTTCGACTTAGGCGGTGCAATCCAATCAATTGGTCGTTCTTTTTGTTCACTCAATGCACGTGATTCGTGGATAATTGCATCAAAAGAAACACCTTGATGATAGGCAGATGATAGAAAATGTTTATTTGCTGTTACAGTAATCGCACGATAATAATCACCAGATCCGAAAATTATCTGGAACAAAAACACTATTTCGAATATCAGGGGAACTCCAATCGTACTGAAATGAATCAAATTTTTCGAATTTGATTTTTTCAGAAGTTTGGAATTGTCTTTTTTACTTTAATTTTTGAAATTTCTCCTTGAATTTTTGGAATTTAAGAAAATTATGGAAAATGAGGAAATTTAAAAGTGCGCCTAAAAAATATTTTTGAACCATTCTGAAAAAGTTCCCTTGTTAAATTTCAAAAATTACCAGATTTCGATTATTGATTCGATCCGATTCTTTCAATTTTTTCGTTCTTTCAGAAATACAATCCTCATAAACTTGAATATTTTTCGCCAACTTTTCCCATCGTATTTTTTCCTGTTCCCCACTAACAGTTTTCATAATTCGATTCACGGAATCAAATGCCGTTTTACACATGACCCATCTACGATCTTGAATTTGTGGCAAAAGTTCTTCTCTCGCTGATATTTTTCTTTCTTGTTCAGCTTGTTGTTCAAGTAAAGTACTTGCAAATTTATGATTTGTTCCATTTTCATGTGTCATATTTGAAATCAAAACAAAAACAGCAGAAACATCCAAATTCACAGCAGCCTTTTTCCCTTCCTCTATTTTTCCTTCCTCATTTTTCTCTTCTCTTCTTTTTTCATTTTGATATTCCTCTGTTTCTCTGCAACCAACCAACATAAATAAAATGACAATTGCAAGAGGGAGAAATAACAGCCGCCATAGCTCAGTCGGTTAGAGCGTGGGTCTAATAAGCCCAAGGTCGCAGGTTCGACCCCTGCTGGCGGCAAATATTTTTGTTTTTTTTACTCACCCTAGTTCAGAATTTGAATCTTCTTCATTTTCTTCATCGCTATAATCAGAATCTTCTGAATCTTCTTCAAGCATTTCCAAATATTCTTCTGGTATTTTGGCAAGACTATTTGTATCAATTCGTTTACCAATAATTATCACATTTTTTCTCTCCAGTTTTTCAGCAATTTTATCAGGAACTCCAGATATAAAAATAAAGCAAACTTGAGGTGGAATAAATTGTTGCTGGAACTTCCGAGACATCTGAAAAACCAGAATTTTGATTTGAGAAGAGGAGAAGAATAACTCACAGTCAAATAATCATCAGCTTGTTCAAAAATGTTTCTCGAACATCCAGTCATCCAATCCATTAATATTCCACGAGCAGATCGAGATATCACTTTCACCTGAAAATAATAATCATTTTATATTTTGTTATTAAACTCAAATTTGAGAAAATACCCATTGTTTTCCATTTTTGGCAACAATATCAACCATATGTTTAATTGTAACTGGTTTTCCTCGATTTTCCTCGATTTCAATGTCAGTATCTCGAATTGCAAATGTGTGAAGAATTGCGGTAACATCATCAAGTTTCTGAAATTATAATTTGAATAGGGGACGTGTTTGAAATTGAAAAAAAAATTCATAAACAGGTCGAGTAATTTGTCTAAAAATATTAATGAAAGAAATTGAATTTAATTATTTACATTTACAGAACCTGAAAAAAATGTTTTTTTTAGAAGTTCGGAACTCAAACTCAGCCCACAAGTTGATTGTTTTCCTCGTTTGAAAACATTTTCAAAAAAAATCCCTCAAAAAAACTCACGGCAGCTTGCGAAATAATATTCTGTAGATGTGATACATTACTCGTTTCGAGATATTTCATTTCTAGCCGCTTTTCTCCGGTTTTAAACTGAAATAAATTATTCAAACATTTCCTTCTTATTATTCAAAAAAAAAACCAACCGCCTTCAAGAATTTCTTTTCAGATTCCAAGCGATTTTTCATTTTCCCAACTCCATCAATTTTCTCAAACTTTTCCGTTGACAATTCTTCCATTGCTGATAAACATTGATCACATCTTTTATTCAACAATTCGATAAGTTCATTTTCTTCCATCTAGATTTTTCGTTTTTTTTTTCATATTTTCAATTCTACAATTTCAGATACTTCAAAATTGATTGCAACAAGAAATGTGTTCAATTTCCAGTGTTAAAAATCGAAACTAGTTTATTTCAAAAATAAATAAATACACATAAATAAAAATGAGATAGTATTCAAATTAGCTCAGATCAGTGAGGCCCGTAAAATAGAAAATAAGGTGAGTAATTAAAACAAATTGCCATTAAAATGAAAATCAGGACTGAGTTGGAGTTGGTGAACCGGTTTAACTGAGCATCTTATGCATTTTGAATATCTGTAAGATATAAATATTGTTTAATATTCCTAATTTCTCATTAAAAGATCGACTATTTCAAATTTAGTCTGATCCACAAGAATTTTAAATTTCCTAACAGTTTTTTTCTACTTCTATCATAACGAAACCTTTTCTCTTTATAAAAAACTCACGCTATAACTAAATTTTGATTAACAACATCGATTTCTTCTTGAGCTACTGATCCCGACTCTTTCTGTTTTGCTGTAACACTTCGAATTTGTGTTAGATGTCCACAAACTGAACATAAATCCACTGATTGTTCCGTAGCTTGTGGATCATTCGAATTCACGTATTCGTGTGACAATTGCTTTGGAATGATTTGTTGAGCAATTGTACGAAGATTGCTGCAAATTTTTGGAGGATTAGTTTAGTTTCAAAAAAACAGAACTTACTTGGTGGTATTCACAACATGAGCAGCAATTGTAGCAAGTCGATCAACTCCTCCTGGATGCGAATATTCAAAACCCCATGGATTTTCTAATCGTCTCGTTGTTTCATCAAATCTTCGACCTATTCTGTAAAAATACAAATTGAGAGTCGTTTATGAGATGTGATTTTCGAGAAATTTAATTTCAAATAATTCGAAAGTTTAGGTAAAAATTGACTTCAAATAATCGGAAAAACTTTAATGAAAAACTCACGGCAAAACAGCTGGATTTTGATTGCAAAAAAATTTGGGCAATTGTAGAGTTTCAATTGTTGAAGGAAATGATGACAAATTATTTGAACTGACATCAAGATGAATGAGATTTCTTAGCAATACAATCTAAATTTCAATTCAAAATTTAATTATATTCGAAAAACTAAAACAAACCTTCCACGGAATTCTGGTTAATAAATTTCTTGAAATATCCAAACGTCTAAGTTGAGTTATGGGGATTACTCTCGGAAATTTTCGAATTTCATTATTAGATAAATTCAAATAATGAATAGTTGGAGATAATTGAGATATCGCTTTATTCTGAAAAAACAACCTTCCGTTATTAATTGTTTCAAAAGACAAGAAACTAACAAGTTTTGCAACTGGAATAGTTCCCAATCGACATTGACTAATTTCCAAAATAAGTAAATGTCGAAAACTTGCAAGAATTTCCAATGAATCCGGATTGGGTCCATCTCCAAATAGATTTCCATTCAAAACAAGTCTTGTTAAATTTGGCATATTCCTCCATCTTGGATCACAAACTCGCTTTCCAATTGGTTGAATTATAAAAGTTGTTACTTGATCCGTAAAGTTAATAGCATGTGCCAAATAATCTTCTGCATTCCTTATTAAGACTGATGATGGTCTAGAAATACCACCTCTTCTACTCTAAAAAATTCAAAATGTGAAAAAACTAACAAAAATGAATGAATGAATTACCTGAGATGGTTGTAATGTCACATCAACTCCATTTCTTATATTTTCAAGTGCAATCATTAATTCTCTCAATTGTCGTAAATCTATATTATCACATAAAACTAGTGTTTGTGGCCGGCGTGGAAATGTCAAAGAGATTCTTCCAGGTCCAACTGGTTGAACAATTTGTGGGAATGGGTTAAGCTGAAATTTTTGAACTTAGAATTTTTATTCTACTTTTGATTCGAAGACATACCGGAAAAACATTTCTCTCTCTGTTATTCTGAACTTCGAATCTGATTTGATAATTTCCGCCAACCTAAAAAATAATATTCCTTTGAGGAGTACAAAAATGCCTTACTCTTTCCAAAATCAAATCAGCCTCTGTTCTTCTCGATAATTGTGGTCGTCCTCTGCCAGTTATCGAACTTCTCGAAAATACAACACAACATCTTATCCTCATTCCATAAAACCAATTTTTTTCCTAAAATCCAGATGACCCAGAAAAGAAAAGCGTGATAATTAAGTAAATTTGGTGAGGGTTAACACAACACACACAACAATCAATTTTTTCCTCAAAAGAAAGTAGCACTATTCTAAATCTCAATTTATTCCCTTTTAATTAAATATATATTTACAAAACGAAAAAAACATCACACATTAAAATGACTACATGCATTATTTGAAATCTAATGAAAATTAAGAGAGTTAAAGTGATATAGCGAAAGAAAGGCAGAAGGACAACAAAAATAAATTAATAAAAAATATATATGGAGAAGAAGAAAACATGATAAATAAATACCCCTTGATTTGAAATATAAATTAATCTGATGAATTATGTCATATAAAATCACAGCTCTTGCAAATCTCCAATACATTGTGTACAATGTAATTGGCCATTTAAAACTGGTTGTGGACGCTGTAAACCAACTAATGTGCAAGAAATATTGAAAAATTAACTAACCGAAATATCCGAAATTATTTCCAAAATTCGACGGACCGATGCATCTTGTTCTAATGGTGATCTGAAAAGCAGGACAGAATATTTAGAACAAAAATTAGGGCGGGGGTTTTCTATGTATATTTTTCAAAAACTCATAACTGTCTAAAAATTGGGAAAATTTCTAGGAAAACTGAATTTGAGATTAAAAGTTGAAACACTCAAAAATTATTTGAAATTGGGATAAAAATTTCATTCAGAAATTTTCCAGCCCCTTCCTTTAAAAACTCACCCTTCCAACAATGGCGATAAACTTCTAGCAGGTGAAACTGCACCAGTTTCCGTCTCAACAATTTCTTGTTTTGAATGATTTGCTTTTTGTCCATGAATATTTGCATGATCCAAACTTCGACTAGGAATTTCTTCCATTTTTGCATCAACAATCATATCTTCATCACCACTCAATTCATCTACAGTACTGTGACTATAACTTCTTGATAATCTCCGAGCTGCTTTTCTTGCTAACGAATTCGTTTCATATTCTTTCAATATTCCTCCTTTATTCAAAACGGTCATAAGAACATTTTGTAATTCTTGACATCTTGCAACAGTTCGAGTTCGATCTTCTTCCATTGTTCTTAATTGTTCATCTTTTACACGAAGTCTTTCTCGAATCAATTTTCTTTGATGTTGATATAAAATAACATGATCAGCAATTGTATCATTTTCCAATTCTAATTGTTGATTGATATGTTCTAATCTATCAATTGATTCTGATAATTCAGCATTTTGCAACATTGCGCGAGCAAATCTTTTTTCCAATTCTTTGTGAGCCCAAAGATCTTCTTGATTCAATTCTTTACTCTCTTTCGGTTTTTCATTCTCATCTTTTCGATTTCTCTCAATTTCATCTAATTTTTTCTCCGATTCAACAACTCGACTTCTTTCTTCATTCAATTGGACACTCAAATCATTAATAGCTTCTCGAAGTTGTTCATTTTCAGCTGCTAAATCATTAACTCTTCCGATTGCTTGTGTCAATTCAACATGAATTGAATTTTGATTTTCATCTTCAGCATTTTGTCTCATTATTTCATCCATTTGTTCATTTTGTGTATTACTTCTTCGAAGATCAGCTCGAACTTGTTGCAAAGCAGCTGATGAATTCTCCAAGTTTCCTCGCAAATTCGCGTTTTCTAATTCAAGTGATTGAATTTTGGCAACAAATTCGGCGATACTATCATCTGAACTGTTTTTATTGAGAGAATCTGAAATATATCATCTGTTGAAAAAAATTAAAAAAAAACACTAACTGTTCTCATCTCTTGGAGTTTCTGAATTCAAATGTGGTTGAGATGCGATAACTTCAGAAATATTTGTGACTAATCCAGCACTTTCCAAATTCAATTGTTTTATCAATTCTTTAACTTGATGTTCTGCTGATTGTTTTTCCAATTCAATTTTTGCTTTTTCTTCTGTCAATGCAATCAATCGATCTTCTGTTTCAATCAACTGCGATTTCAATTCTCGATTTTGGGCAACAGCACGAGAAACAGTTGCTTTTTCATTTTGCAATTGTTCAGACAATGACAAAAGATCAGCTCCATTTGTTGTTGTTTCAAGAGTTCTTTCTTCTAATAATCGATATTTCATTTCAACTTCAGCCAAACTTTGTTCTCTTTCAAAAATAATTCGATCTTTATCAAGAATTTCTTCTTCTCTGTGTGTTTGCTCATCTTCCAATTTCTTCTCCCATTTTCGAGTTTCTGCATGAATTGCTTCTCGAATACGTTTAACAACCTCTTCTTCAGTGATAATCTGAATAGATTCTTCAACAGATTGAGTAGGAATAGAAGCAGCTCGCAATTTTTCAACTTCCTGAAACAAGTTTATAAATAAATAACAAATAAAAAATTAGCTGAAAACTGACCGCATTAGCCCAATGTAACTGATGTTCGAGTGTTTGAATTCGATCATCTGAACTGAATCTTTGATTTTGAACTTGTTCCAATTGAGCCGCTAATTCTATTTGTTTTTGTTGCAAAGCTTGTTCCCGTTCCAAATAATGTGATTTCAAAGCAGCAACTTCAGCTAACAATCGAGATCGTTCGTTTCGAAGTTCAATTAATTCAATTTCATATTTTTCATCTGAATTCAAATAATTTTTAAATTTTACAATGAATTTGAAATGTTTTAATCTCAAAAATGGAAAAATCATACCATGAGGAGTATTTTCGTTTGAAACATTTGCCAAATTATGTGCCCCTCCAAGTTGTTTCAAATTCAAATCTTTCATTTGAATATCTTTTCTACATTGTTGAATAATTTGTTCAAGTTGCGAATTTTCGCGAACCAAACTTTTAACCCGTGCTTGAGCTTCACTTCTTTCATGTTGAACAGATAATAAATTAGCTTGAATATTTGAATTCTCTTTTCTTATATTTTCGAGTTCTCCATGTCTTGCAAATAGCAATGCATCCTTTTCAGCAATTCTAGCTAATAAACTTTTTACTTCGAAACTTTCTTCATCGTTTTTTGGAACCTCCGCTTTCTTCACACTTTCTTCAGTGTGCTTCTTTTTCAGATTTTCCATAGCTTCTTTACATTGTCGAAGTTCAGTTTGACATGCCAATTTTTCTTCAACCATTGTTGAAAGAGCAGCTTGTAATTGAACTATTTGATTTTCAGCATCAATATGAACTCCATTTTCATTAACTTGTGAATAAGCAGAATGAAGTTGGGCATAGTGAGAAACCTGATATTTTTGAATATATAATTGGCTCGAATTAATATTTTTTAAAACTCACAAGTTCATCGTGTTGCGTTTTCAACTGCGCATAAGCTTGATACCACTCGTTTCCATTTGTCATTGTTTGTTGGAATGGCGAAATCTATTTGAAAATAAAAATTTGAAAAATACCACGTGGAAAACGTGAAATTTTCTGTTAAATATTTAAAATTAAAAACGTGAATTTTCTTATCACAAAAATACAGTTTTTTGTCTTTTTTTTTTGGAAAAAAGCTTCTTTACTCGGAATATTATCTTACTTACCGATGCAATTTTGACACCATTATGCAGGTTCGAGCTGACCGATTCTTCTTCACTTATTCCACTACTTCTACCATTCATTCCTCCAGCAGGTTCAGATGAAATAACACTTGAAGTGGGAGAATCACGATTTCGTTTTGACTCATAATCTTTCAGCTGAAAATAAAAGGTTCATTACAATTTCTTGAAACTTGTTTCGAAATACCTTTCTCTTTGCGGCAGCCAACATGTCGGCTTTCGACAATCCGCCACCATCGCTCATCACAAAATCTTGTTCAAAACTTCAACTTTTGCTGCAGAAAAAAGGAAAATAAATAAAATCGACGTGGAAATTTAAAAAGTGTCGTCAATTGTGGTGTTTTGTTTTGCGGACAAAGGAAAAACAAATAATTTTGTGTGCGGAAAAAAAGAAATTGAAGAAGTCAAAAATGAAGTAATATAAAAATAAAAACGTGTTACGTGGTGACACGAAATGATAAAATAAAATGGTTATAAATCATTTCGAGTATGTCAAAAATTTGGATTTGCATACTTTTTGGAATCAGTTCTATTTCTACTATTTCGGAAGAGGATTCAATTGGATCCTTGATATCAAAAGATTTTCTAACAACCGAAGGTATTTTCATCTCCATTAACGCTTTTATGTATATTTTCGTTGAATACAGGAAATAATACAACCGAATTGGAAAATGGAACGACCTTCGGTAGTTATACATCAACTACTGTAATAATATCAACAACAGAAAGGCCAGGAAGTATGTACTAAATAGATAAGATTCGAGTTAGAAATTCAATATTTCAGAGTGTCGAGTCCCTCCGGACATTCTACTTAAGGACGATTGTGATTGGTTTGATACAAATGGAGCATAGTAAGAAATTCTTGACTTTAAAAATTAAATTCGTGAATTTTTTAGTGTCGAAATTAATACTGATTTATTAAATGATGAAATTCTAATGAAGCTGGCCAACCGCCTGGTTTATCTTAGTAAAGTCAAATTAATAATCTCGGGCTTCTTGTCAAGTGGTACTAATGTGAATAAGATATATGACAAGCGGAATTTAACTGGTATATTATTCTCGAAATTGAGTCAAATCGAAGGTAATGAGTTATCCAAGAATATGAACTATATATTGATTTTGTATACTGTAGTTCTTATTCTTTCAGATGCTGAGATAGTCATTGAAAATGGGCGCAATCTTGATTTCAATTTATTATTTCCTACTTATGAAAATATATCGATCAGAAATTTCTCCCTAACAATTCATGGAAATGAGCAGATAGTAAATCTTTCGAATCGCGCTGAATTAATGGAAAGAATTTGTGACACAGCAATTTGCGATATTCAGGAAAAGGAAGAATGCATGTTTTTGAATTCAATTCAAAACATAAACGAGTATAAAAAATGTGAAATTGTGTATGGAGATATGGTATTTGATCAAGAATTCCAAGATTTTATACCAAGACACATGAATTTTGTGCTTTATGGATGTTTTATTGTGGATCAAGCCAATATTCGTATTCTCATGCATTTTTCTTTCGTAGAAACACACTGTACAACTGCTCATGGTAGATATACTATTTTCTGAATCCTTTTAAAAACTTTTTTTCACAGAATTCACACTCAACAATTTGCTATGTCGCGAAGATCGCATTATGACAGTCAAACATTTCAGACAAGGTATTGTTGAAGTCAGAATTGCTGAAGAAGAGGCAGAATGTTCGAGTATGTTGAACTATTTTTTTGGAACAATTATTTTGTTTTTTGTTCAGAGGGCGAGTGCTTTGGTAATTTGGTAATCGAAAGAGAAACACAATATTTTCTCACGTGTGAAAAGGTAAAGAAATCTTTGGTGATCAATGAAAAAAGTGGAAACTTGTCGGATAGAATACCAGATTTTGCTTTCATCCGTTTAATAGAAGGAACATTCAAAATCACAAACAATCCAAGCATCGAAGTTCTAATCCTCCCATTGTTGAAAAAAATTGAAGGTGATAAATGTAAGTTTAACTATTTTGAGAAATAAATGAACGAAAGCAACAATTTCAAGGTCCCGCTCTGACAATTGAAAATATGCCAAATTTGAAGAAAATTATTTTTCATCCATCGTTTTCTGTTTCATGTAATGCCGATTCAAATGCACCAGCTATATCAATTTCGAATTGTTCTAAACTTGTATTACCAAATGATATATACGATTGGGATAAAAATGAAAGAGTTGAAATCGGGACAACACAAGTAGCACCGCCAAGTCCGTTTCATTGTAAGTTTGAAAAAAAAAGAATACCATTAATGCGAATCAATTCAAAATGTTTTCAAGTTATACAATACGCAATTTATGCAGCATTTGGAATAATGATTATTATCGAGATTATACTATTCATATACAACAAAAACAAAGATCCGGAAAGAATTGAAGATATTGATGATCTACTCGAGTATACCAACAAAGGGTAAATAATTCAATTTTTGTCAGTTCAATAGTTCAAATTCAAAAAATATTTCGCTTATAATAACTACGTATTTTACTTATTGAATTTTAAAATTCATAAACAATATTCATTATTTTTATTTTTATTTTATCGGTGGCATATGATCAGGTGAAATAGGAAGATTTTGTTGATCCTTAGTCAACCACGCAAATGGTTCTCGAGTTATTGTTCGGAAATATTCTAGAAAATCGAAAATTTCTTTTTATCTTTCAATGTATAATACTTACGTGACCATTTTGAGCCCGGATTAATTTCATCTTGGAAATGCGCATAAGAGAAAACGAACATGACTATTCCAAAACCGATGACAGCATTCTATAATGTATTTACTTCTTTACATTTTTAAAAATATGAGGTAAATTACCTGTCGGAACGACAATTTTTTGCCACCTTTTGGTAATTTGTTTTCGGTTATCTCTTTCCACACCGCTTGGCCGTCTTTTCCTAGTATCATAACTCGTAAAACTTGAGAAAGGCGCATTTTCTAGTAAAATAAATGAATAAATAAATGTGACGGTGGCCTAGAAACCGACAGAACTCGACCACGAGGGTTTCTTCTTCATTTGTTGAAAAAAAAACACAAAAAATTCCTCAAAATTTTACGGAGAATTCAGAAAAGGGAAAAGAATTAACTGAAGCATAGAATAATCGAAATAGTACATAGAAGTCGGAAAACAATGCATTCTCGAATAGAAAATTCGAATCTAGTTTGAATATTCATGTGTATCAACAACTAAAGTTTCCAGAAATGCAAATAAGAAAGAAGATACCGCATTTACCTTGAGGTAATTAGGCACACCATGAATTTAAATTCAACATCAAAATTTCCTGATATTACTATTACACCAAGAAACTTACTTGAGAATTACAATTAATTGGCTATTAACTCGTTTATGCCACAATCTGCCTAGCCAGCTGGTTTTTATTTGAAACACTCAAAAAAAGCATCAATTGTGTAAAATGCTAGTTAATCGTTTATCCCTGTTTTTTTCGATAAATAACATTGTCCGTCAAAATTATTTTAATTTTTAGTAAGTAAGTTGTTAAATCCCTCCCATTGTTTATTCAAAGTTTTCACTTGTTGTTTTTGTCGAAGTGTCAAAGTTGTCACTTCAATATACATTTTCATCTCATCCGAAAATGTTTCAATTCTTTTTTTTGCTGAGATTACTCTCTCTTTTTGCATCCTACTTACGAAGACATGGCACGGCAAAAAAAGTGGCTTTATTTCTCTGACCACACTATGCTCGCCTGCTCTTCTTTTCTTTTTTTCGTCTCAAAATAGTAGTGCCGCTTTCTATGGTGTCAGCTGTATTAGTTCAACTTTTGAGAGAGAAAGAGACGTTTTCTTATCCATTGTTAGAGGAAGATCGAGTAGTTAATTGAATATTCATTTGTTGACCCACGAGTTATTTGAGTTAATAAACGGATACATATGCTAATTAGTCGAGATTTGTTTATACACCATTTGTCACGCATTTTTGACGAATCCGACTTTTTATTTTCGTCTAGTTCCTAATCCCTTTCTTTTTTCCGATACCGACAAAAGAAAATTATAGTTATATTTATCTCATATTCCGAAGTCAAGGTCTCTCTCAACAAAAGTCGGAAAACCTAATTAACTCGTTTCTCATTCGTTCACATAATTTCGATATATGATTCCCTTTTTTCGAGAAGTTGTTTTGTTAGAATTTGTTGTTATTTCCTTACACTATGAATTGTTTATTCAGTGCCAACTCCACTTTTGACACGACTAAAAATACTTTGAAATGTATACAATTTGCCATAAGAATACAAGTTTTCGTATAATAATTACAAGCAATTATTATTTCTAAACATACATTCGATAATTGATGTGCCAAAAATATTTTATATGGTTTCGTATTATTGTGAGACATGTTTATATTTATTTTTGGAGAAAATTTTACGGTCTTTTTTTTAACGACCTTCGTTGCCATTCATTTTTCATTGTCTATCAAGATTTATGATGTCAAAATCGCATGTTGCATGAAAATGACCACCGCTTGTAAACTGACACTTCTCATGGTCAGCATATAGACCGAAAAGTCAACATCCGTTTTTTGCGTTTCGCGAATCGACAAAAATTTAGAATAAATATATTCATCATAAATACGTCGTCTCCGAAGGGACTACTTAATCTCGAGTATTTTTGCATTTGAATATTTGTGTGTGAATTTTGATTAACTAGGTCTCTTCAATACTCTCAATAGAGAAAAAGTCTAGTTTAGAGTAAAATTAAGAAGTTTTGGAAACTGATAATACAAATATGCCATTGAATTTTGAACAATGATCTCTTCAAAATTGCACAAAAAAGACCGACAAGTTTTCAAATATTTTCTACCAAGCTCGGCACTCAATGGCACAAGTGAAATTGGCTGCAAACCAGCCAGAAAAAAGATGGGATGTAGTCCTCATTTGTCAAAAAAATGGAATAGAATAAGTGGTTATTCTGTTCTCTTTTTTTTTCGCTTACGCGTTTCCATTATTCTAGTGAGAGAAAAATCGAGAAGAACTTGCACTTCCAACTTTTTTTCGTAAAATAAAAAAACGGAAATTTCGTGCCACTGACCATAGTCACACAATTTTATAATAAATATTTAACTACTTATGTTCATTTCCACAATTCGGCTCTCTATTTCTCTTTCATTAATTCATCCATTCTTCTCTTCTTTTTTTCTTATTTTTCGAACCCTCTTCACTCAAATTGTTTAATACTTTCTCACTTTTCATGACACAATATACTAATCTATTATCTCTTTTCTTATGACTTCTCGTTTTTACTTTTACTACTAACACAACTGACACTTTTTGTGTGTGAAAATGATAGCCAAAAGATGAAATGTTTCGGTTTTCACTAATATTTTTGTACTCTATCTAACGTTCATTTTTTGTTTCAAAATAAAACTGGTTTGAAATTTAAAAATACTAAACTAATTTGTGAATCAAATTAATTTCAGAAACCAAAACAGTTTCAGCCGAGGTAAATTCAAAAAAAAAATGCGCTAGGCAATATAGTGAAAGTTTATATTAACCACCAGATGATAAATATCTTATTTCATTATAAATCACCCATTTATTATCTAAATTTCTCTGCGTTTCTCAAAGTATACTATAAACTGCATAAATATATATTCTTCTTTTTATGTATTTACTATTATAATATATAATAATAAAAAAAACCATAGCTTTCACATCCAAGCAAACACAGAAACAAAAATAAACCAGCCGGCTCGGACAGGTCACTGTTTGTCTGCGTCTCCAAATCTTTCTCTTATATGGTCAGCGTTCTTTGCAGGTATTTTTTCCGACAAAATTGTATTCTTTTTTCTTTCCCACTAAAAAATAGGAAAATTTGTATTTGGCATGGCCACAACAAAAAACAAGTTCAATTTGTGCTTCTGCTCGTCTTTTTTGTTTTCGTACAATCTTTTTCCGATTTTTCGTTGAACTATTTTTATGCTAATTTCTAATGTAAAGAAAAAACTTGTCCTTGTTTCCTATAAAACTTCGAATACATTTGAAAATAGCATATCTTTTTGAACTATCTAAAAGTTCATCTTGTTTCTGTTATTAAATTGTGATGTGTGTGCCTCTCTATTTTTTTTCATTTTTTGTGCTGATCTACTTTTTATTTCTCCTTTTCTTCATATATTTGTAATATGTCTCATGTTTTTTGTTGAAGACAAAACATGTGTTTATTGGTTTTTTTATGTTGGTACTATTTTTTGCTTTCGTTAGAAAAACGTTTCCTTGCACACCTTCTAGTTTTTCGAATCAAAGTTTTCTGTGAAAGTTAATTCTGACACTTATTATATAAAAATGTGGATGTCGACAAACATACATGGTCTTTTACACAAATTCTATTTGTCCACAATATTTTTGCACACAAACATACAATTTTTCGCACATTTCACGATGATAAAATTATGTTTTTTTATTCGCGCTCTTTTTCCTCCGAATCGATATATTGCACATTATAACATCCGGTCACAAATGGTTAAACACATCAAAAAAACTAAAGATGTGATTCATTTTTTTTTAAGAAGAGGAAAACTAATGTTTTGTCTTTCTCCATTTTAAAAGTGTATCAAATGTCACTAATACGTTTATGTATGCACAAAAAAGGAGAATTTTCTTTCAAAAAATACTCTTCCTTTTTTCTTTTTCCGTGGCTCAGAAACAATGAGGCTAAAATTATATGTCTGCGTCTCCATGTGTTTTTTGTGGCGCAAAGCGCCACCAATTATATTCCATTTTACCTTCTTCTCACACTTTTTTTTAGTTCAATTCTAATTCAACCCTTTATACTTCTGTCTTTTTCGTTGTCGAGTGGTGTACTCGGTTTTTTTGGAGGGCTTTGTTTTGACGAGAGACAACGATAGCGAACGACCTTTCTTTTTCATATATTTTTTTCGCGCCAAAATTTTTCCGCTGTTCTTCTAGTTTGATAGAGTGGGGTTTCCTGTCTTCACAAAGGATTTTGATTTTTTTTATTAAAAATTTGTTTCAATCAAAGAAACACGTTTATCAAATTAGTAGTTCAAATTTTGAAAGTTATTATCTTGTTCCGTCATGTGATTTTCTCTCGACAATTATTTTTCCTCCTTTTTTATAGGTAATATGCCTTCATCATTTATCCGAAAACATGTGAGAGGTTTATTACGAAATAAATTTGGACCATCGACTAGCATCGATCAAGATAACCAAGATATTGAGGTGAGAAAACAAAATGATCAACTACATCAATCAAAAAGGTGGCTGACTTGTTGACCGGCTCATTCTTTTTATTTACTCCTACTTTTCATCAAAATATCATCATTTTTGAAAGGGATAAATGAACAATTTTGATTTACAGGAAGAAGAAGCAACAACTCCAAGAGGAGAAAATTCTGGATTCAATGATTTTTTCGGAGGAATTGATACGACTAAATATGAATTTCCTGAGGTTAGTGGAATATTTAATGAGAAAAAGAAAATATTATGGGATTATAATTATGTTTTTAGGTATACTTCGGAAAAACCGGCCTTGATCTACCTTCAATTCAACTAGAACAATTGGACAGCGAAGTTTTCGCATCCTATACTGGACCAAACGGAGGACTAACTCAAGTTGGAGAAATTCGAGCTCACCAACCAGCCAGAATGGCAAATATTGATGATGAAATGTCATTATCAATCGGTGGAACAACAGATGATGAAGCTGAAGATGAGGAAGATTTGGATGGTCCAATTTCAATGAGTTTGAAACGAAGTTCAAGAAATTCACTTCTTCTTGGAAGTTGTTCTTCTTTATTAGGACCAAATGGAGAAAATGATTCAAATTTTGGAAAAATATCCGCTGACAATTACGATTGGACAGCTCATAATACTGAATCAGCATTTGGTATAAGTGTTTCACTTTATGAGAAAAATCCAATTACTGGAGTTAATGCTGGTGAGCCAGTTGCTGATGTTTGGGGAGTTGTTGGTCGAGCTAACAATGGGGTAATTAAATATTTATTATAAACAATTATAATTACCAACCATATTCATTTCAGATAATGGCTTTAGCAGACGGTGTTAATTGGGGAGAAGGATCTAGATTAGCAGCAAGATGTGCAATTCGTGGTGCAATCGATCATTTAAACTCAAGAGTCATCCAAAATGTATTACCAAGTACAACGGAAGTATTTCACGAGTTACTCGGCGCATTTCATTCGGCACATTCATTAATTCTTCAAGAAGGTGGAATGTTAACAACTCTTTGTGTTGCATTGGTTGCACCTGTCAAATGTGGAAATGGATGGGCTCTTTGTGTTTGTAATGTCGGAGATTCTTTATGTTTTGTGTACAATCGAAATTATGGTGTTCGCGAAGTTACGTTAGGGAGTCATGATATTGATCAAATGAGAGATATGAGAGATGCTGGAGGTGCTCTTGGACCTGTAGATGGAAGAAATCCTCAATTACATAATTTGACATGTAGTATGACATTTGTTGAAACAGGTAACTTGCTCGAATTTTTCTGAAAAACATTCAAACATCAATTTTTCAGGTGATATTGTGTTCATTACATCTGATGGTGTTTCCGATAATTTCGATCCAGTTGTTGGTAAATTTTGTGTAATAAAGAAAACAGAAGCTGAGAATAAAGAAAATAGTAAACTACCTCCAAGGGAAGATCGAACAATTGATGTGTCGACAAGAGATTCGTCAAAAAATCAAGAATATGCAAGAAATCGAACATGCGCAGCTTCTCTCCCATGTGTAGACGCAACTCGGCGACATGAATTAATGCTAGTAAGAATGAGAGATGTTATAGCAAATGGATTGAATCCACAACCAAATACACCCACTTCTCCTAGAAGAAGAATTGAATATCCAGCAGTTTCTGCTTCAGTTTTATGTCAGCGATTGATACAATTTGCAACACAACTTAGCCAGTAAGAAACTAAAATTGTTCGAAGAATTAAAGATAATAATCGTTTTTCAGAGCCAAACGACGAGTTTTGGAAAATCCAGAACTTTATAAGAAGGAAAAAATGACGAAGGCTGAACAGAGAGCAAGAAGAAAAATGGTTCGTGAAAAGATAGCTGATATGCCTGGAAAGTTAGATCATGCATCGGTTGTGGCTTATCATGTTTCAAGAAATGAGCAAATCGATTCGAAGTCTCCAGAACTAAGAAATTTGCAAAATACGAAAACAAATGATTTTGAAGAAATATCAACAATTTCTTCTAATGCCAAATTTGAAAATTTCACAAGAGTTTCCACTGCACAATGTTCTGGAACATTTTATGAATTCGCATCTGAAAAAATCAGTATTTCTCTGAAAGCAGCATCTCCACCATCGCCAATGAGAACAAAACCAGAACAACTAACACTTTTTGATATTGTTGATAAATCAGAAAAGAATAACAATAGTATTCCACCGAAACCAATCGTGGAAAGACCAATGAGTCCTTATGAACAGATTCCGGTTAGTTTTTCAAAAAATATACTTGAATCATTTTAAAAATAATCTTGAATTCAGATTTCATCGAGAGAAAACGGAAAACGACGAAAGAAGCATGCTAGAGGATCAATCGGTAGACACACGTTGGGTGTCGATGTTCAATGGCTTAAAAAGTTGGTATCGAAAAAAGACGAATCAGCTAAAACTGAAAACGAAGTAGAAGAATTGAGGTAATAACAATCAATTCCGTAGATTTAAACAAAATTATATAATTTCAGTGGTGATGCAACAATGTCTAACGGTGATAGGATTTCTTTACGACAAAAATTACGGAGTATGATCGGATCGACTAGGAATCTATCAATCAACGAAAATGTTAATAGAAAAATTTGATAATGACTAGGTCACGTTTTACTAATATTCATTCCATGTAATTACTACTGAAAACACAAGGTGTTGTTCCCGATGACTTTTCATTTTGTATTTTCCAATGTTTTCTTTATAAACGAGTTGGTTTTTAAATTTTACAGTTCTATGAACAAATTAAATTTACAGTTCTATGAACACAAAAACAAGTAATAACTTATCGAATATCGATATTTGGGACTTCGGATAAAAGATTTTCAAGACTTGAACGAACTAAAAAATGCGGTGAAACTCAAAATTCGACAGAACAGCTCAAAATACCGAAAACAGAAACGAAAAACGAAAAAAACAAAAATAAATTTCAAATTTCGTTGCGACGAGAGAGCGTGGGAATGAGTGAGAGTTAGAACACACAGCTGACTAACTGCTACAGTAGTCTTCGTGGTAAGACTCTTCATTTTTCTTTCTGTTTATTTTTATTCTTTTCTTTTCGAGTGGCCTAAAATGTTTTCCTTCTCACAGTTGCCTTTTTCTATTTTTTGTTTCGTTCGTTTATTTTTTGGGTTTAAAATGTGAAATGTCAATTATTTGAAGCTTTGCATCAGATTTTTACCTTCTCCCCGGACAAATCTAATTAAAGTTCTCATTTTTCTTCGAAGTTATTAATTTTTCGATCATATTAATTTAAAAAAAACATTATAATTTTTACAGGGTTAAATTAAAATGGTTGCCAAGCCAGCTCCAAAGACCGCCAGAAAGACCCTTCGCAAGAAGAAGGTCCATCTTAAATTCAACGTTGAATGCAAGAACCCAGTTGAGGATGGTATTATCAGAATCGATGACTTCGTAAGTTTTGGTTATTATTCTATCCGTTAGTCACTAGAGGGCCGTCTCTAGTGCACACAGCTAGGCTTAGGGTTATTCAGGCCCCTAATAAGTCCTGGTTGTTTTCAGGAAGCTTTCTTGAACGAGAAGATCAAGATCAACGGAAAGACCGGACATTTGGCTTCCAACAACGTCAAGGTTGAAGTTGCCAAGACCAAGATCTCAGTTGTCTCTGAGATTCCATTCTCCAAGAGGTTTGTATTTTCTCCAGAGTTTTCAAAAAATCAAAATACAAATTTCAGATACCTCAAGTATCTTACCAAGAAATACTTGAAGAGAAACTCACTCCGTGACTGGCTCCGTGTTGTCGCTGTCAACAAGAACACTTATGAGATCAGATACTTCCACATCAACGATGGAGAGGATGCCGGAAGCGACCACGAATAAGCTTGTTGTTATTTTCCAATAAATTGTTGTTACAGCATGGAATACTTTATTAATCAAAAACTCAAAAGAAATGGCTTTTCTACATATTTAAAAATTTTAGAATCAAATTCTGTCTTGTTGAATGAGTCATTCTCCAAAATCCATTCGCAGAAATATTCCCATCTCTTGGAGTAGTATTCCGAGATCAGTCCTCTCCATTCTCTGTGCGCGTAGTCTGAAATTCATCACTAATTGTAAGTCGAGGGATAGATGCTTGATGCTCACCTAAATTTTCCCCCTGTTCTCCCCAAGTCGTCAACAAATCTCTAGAAGATATTGTGAATAATCCACGCTCTTCAGAACTTCCAGCGAGACGTTTCGCAGCGCTTGTCCATGAGACCAAATCACGATTTGCCAATTCATCAATTTTGTCAAACATGGCCATCAAAGAATCACAGCTATTTGCAACTTGATCTCGATCATCCAACAAATATGCTTCGCCTAACGTGAGAATTGCTTCATTCCCAACTTCATATTGTAAAATACTTCGAAGAATATCATAGGAATCTTCAACAAATAATGCATTTCTTCCTATCATATTTTGCAATTGGCCAATGATAGCTTTCAAAAGAGGAAACACTTTTTCAACGGAGAACCAATACTGAAAAGTTTGAGGTTAAGTAGGAAAAGGGACACGATTTACCTGAATTCGTTTCTCAAAACCTGGTCGATGATAAAGAAAAACCGAAAATCGATGTGTTCTGATTGGCTCATCATAAAACGTTTGAGCCAATAGTGACCATAATTTATGAGCCAATTCAGATTTTGTTGAATATCTTGATTCACTATATATTTTCAACCAATTATTAATCGAAATAATATTATCCGTCCACATTCTATCAATCATAAATTGATAAATAATATAATTCTGATCAATTGCTTCCATTGTTAATCCACCTCCAATCATATTTTTCGAATTTTTCATAATTCCCAATTGATATCCTTTATCAATTTGTTTCAGATTTCCCCGAATTTCTCGAGTTCCTCCAAAATTATGAAGTAAACACCAAACAAAATAATGACCATAAAAAGAGTTTGTTGAGCTCCAAGATGGTTCAATTTCAGCATAAAGATCAAGAATTATTAATTGTCCGATTGGAACAGCAGAAAGGAATGTTTTAATCGCCCAATTTGGCCATTTATCATAAGAAAATTGCCAAGATTGAAGAAGCCAAATACAGTTTTTATCGAATTTTCTACAAGATCCGCCAATCGATTGTGCCATCTGCTTCAAATATTTTGCATCAAATTTCGAACTTTTCGGTGTTATTTCATTAAATGGATCTGCACTATAAATATGACTTATATCACCAAATCGCATTTTTTGTTCTTTCAAAAATCGATTAGCAATTTTCCCAAATAATTGATCAGATGGTGAAACAGTCAATAAACACGAATATTCTGAAGTGAAATTATTCCAACACGGCATTCTATTGAATTTTGAATCGGGAAATAGTTTTGCCATCGAATCTGGAACAAAACCAGCAAATGTTGGGAGAATTGGAACAATTCCAAGTTCAACAAATCGAGATGTGATTCTTTTTGCTAATTCGAAATCTTTTTCCATTTGATCATCTGAAATTGCGACACCGTATGACTTCAAATTTCCCATTCGATGCCTGAAAATTTCAAATTTTTCATTGAAAAAAAATAATCCCGAAGTTTTTTATTCTGATTTAAAAATTCTGGATTTCTGTAATCAAATTTGATCTTTCTGGAGGTTCGGGGAAAAAAAAACAATTTTTGGGAATAATTTTGGTTTTTTTCATACAATTTTGAGCTTTGAATTTTTTGAGGATCAGAGAATGTTTTGAAACCCCAGATTTGAACCAACCACGCCAAATAAGCTTGCGATGTAAAATAATCATCCAATTGTTTTCTCGAAACTCCAAATGACATAAAAACATCTCGCCAAATCAATTCTTGTCCAATCGGCATCAGAACACTATTAAAGCCATCTGAAAATGATTTTTGACGTTATTTTCAAAATTGTCCAGCTACAGTAACCCACTCAATGCCAACCAATCGATAAATTCTTCCCATTCTTCCCATTTCCACCAAACAAATGAATATGAAAATGTGCACATATTTCCGAAATATCGAATTCTTTAAAAACAAATGAAAATTTAGATTTAATTTTTCAAACTGGGCAAATTAAAACTCACTTTTTCGATTTGAAATTCTTAGTTGACATTGGTTTTTGAAGCTTGCATTCATTTCCAAAAGAACTATTTGACCAGGATATTTGAGTATAGCATTCAGATCGAAGATAAGACTGCAAATATATTTTGAAATTTTAAAAGTGAAATAATATTATTTTTACATTTATGGCAAAAAGAGCATCGACTGGAGTTGTTGCATAAACACTTCGACGAGAAGATTCATCGAATCGTATTTTTGCTTCACCATTTTCTGGGAGCTGAAAATGAGAATTGAAAGAAATGAGTAAAAAGGAAAGAGTTCATTTATAATTTCAATTTTTTAAAATTTAGTTAGAATCATGAATTTGTAACTAGACTTCCTACTGTATGTAAATATATAGTTAAATTCCCATGTTGAAAAAATACTGTTTTGAAAACTTTTTCAAAATTTAGAATCTTATTCTTATTTCACAAGCTGATGTTCACGTTTTAAATACCGTGTTCTCTTATTTTTCTCACCTGGTTTTTGTTGTCATCCGAACTTAGAACTTGAATAACATCAAACTGCTCGATCATCTAAAAAAAACCATTTCGCTCAAAAATTAACTATTTTTCCAAATCTCACCCATGATGGAATTCGTCTTCTCAAAACTCCATTAACACTTTCAACATCATAATTTGGAATTGGAACTTTGATTGATTCTAAGTTGACAACTATAGAAATCAGCAATAATATTAGAAACACCATCTTCCTTCACATTTATACCCTTCTAAAAATCACATGTATATATATTTGGGCTACAGTAATCTCTCAAAAGATTGCTCAATAAAAAAGTGACGAGAAAATAACCCAAACAACCTTTGACCTATGACAATAAAAACATAATAAATTGTTATTCCCTGGTGGAAAAAAAGAAGAAAAAATGAACAGGAAATGTTGCAGAAACGAAAAACATGCCATTTTTCCAGGCAAAAATAGAATATCTCCTGGCTCACTTTTTTTAGGAAGGAAAAGGAAAAACATCACGTGGTTGTACAAAACACACACAGACTTTGTTGCAAAGAAGTTCATCTCATTTTGAAACAAAACAGGAAAAGCTTGCGTCGAACATGATCCAATTTCAATTCCAAATTCTTTTATTTTATTTTTCTTCAATGCTCAAATATTCTGGAAAACCCCCGTCTTTTATGAGAAAAAACCAAACAAAAAAGGGCATTTTTCTATTCTCAAATAATAAAAAGTTCAAAAACCTATTTTATTTACGTCAGAATCTGAAAAGCTTCTATTTTTGATTTTCAAAAGTATATATTTTGGAAGAAAAACCTGTCTGGAACTTCTAATCTCATTTTTTTCTAAAGATCCAGAAAATTCTCTTGGGAGAAAAATAAAAGGAAGATGGATTTGAGAAGGGAAATCCTGGTTTTATGTGTGTGTTTTTTGAAAATCACATCATAATAACCCATGGGAATCTTAAAAATGTAGAAAAATACTTTTCATAAGTGTATCTTCAAGGGATAAAATTATTACGGTAATTTCAAAGTTTGGACTTGTAAAATACATGTTTAGAACTGGAGTATGAAGATTTTTTTTCTGAAACCTGAATTTTTTTCTAGAAAACTTTGAATTATCACAATTGTTCAGGACTCAATTTCAAAGTCTCGTTTTTTTCGAATGTCAGATTTTCTCTATCTAAATTTAGAATGCAAGTTGGAATTCTAGACTTTTTTGTAGTTATTGAATCAATTTAAATTTAGCCACGTTATAACATTTTCGGAACATGGAATTCTAGACTTCTTCTTTTTTTCAAATTCCAAAAATACACAACATTTTTTAATCCTCAACCTAATTTTAAACAACAATTTTCTGCATCTCTACAGTAACCCTTCTCAATTCCTAGATCAAAAAGTCATGCAAAAAACATGCAAAAATATACACACATCTAACCGGAAAATGTCTAGTTTAATTTTGTGTCAACCGAAACGAACAAAATATATAAGTAAGAAAAACGGAAGTGACAAAAACACACACGTTTTCCGTTTTTTTTTCTATTTTCTCCCTCAAAATATCTAAGCCACGCCTTTTTCTGTTCCAATGAATATTCTACAGTAATCCAGGCTTTGTGACGTCGCTTTATGGAGAACAAAATGAAACAGATCTTCTTCCAAAAATAAAATCATGTTATTTTTTGTTCGTCAAAAATAAAACAGAAAAACCTTCTGGTCGATTTTTAATTTGATTGATTAGTCTTGATAACTTTTTACTTCCCTTTATTTTCTGTTTTTGGTTGGTTTGTCATTTCTAATTCTTTCTCTATTTAGTCTTGATTATTTTTAAAATACAATAAATACTGTTATTAGTTTTCAAAAATGAAACAAATATTAATGGTATTTCTACTTGTTGGTTTCGTCGTTTCACAATTTGTAAGTTTGACTAAAATTTCCAAAACTTAGAATTTCTTCTCTGAGTTCTTACGTATGTTAGAAATCCACAACTTCAACAACGACTACAAAAAAACAAGGATGGGTTCGATCAAAAGTAACAAGATTTCAAGAATTTGTTGGAATTCGGAGAAAATCAACAACTGAATCAACGCCAAGATCACGAAAAACAACAGTTTCACGATCTTTTATAGATCGAGTTCTTGGAAGGACAAAAACTACCACAACACATATTCCACGTCATAGTATTACAACTACAGTATCCCCAACAACTCGATTTTTTGATAGATTTACTAGAAGAAAAACTACAGTAACCATAACAACATCGACAATTATTCCAACAACAATTCCATTCACAAGTTCAACTCGATCATCATTTTTTGATCGAGTTTTGGGAAAATTTCGACCTACAATAACACCGATTCCTAGTCATTTTCATCCAATTAATGATGATGGATTTGTAACAACTACAACTCAAATAGTTACAACAACTGATAAATCAATATTCTCTAGAATATTTGACAAAATAAAATCGGCATTTCAAAATGAAAAAGTTCAAAAATATGGGAAAAAAGCGATTGAGAAGTTATCCCCAATGGTTTTGAAAAAAGTCAAAGATTATTTTGCGAATCGAAATAAGAAAACTGAAGATGGAAATGGAAATAGAAATGATAAAGATAAAGTATTCATATTTTTAAAATCAAAACCTCTATCAAGTTTAAGAAAAAATAAAATAAAAAAGGATAATATTTCAGAACTTCCATGGTTTCAACTCATTTTTCTCGACTGATGAAGAATTTCCAACACAATTGCAAAATTTCGAGGGAAATACACAAAGAGATTTGAAGGAATTGAAAGCAAAAGTTGAAAGATTGGAAAAATTAGTGGAAGGTTTGCAATCAACTATTTTGAAAGATTGGAATACAACTGAAAGTGGATCGAGATTTAAATTGTTTGAGGAGAGAAAAAATTGGGATGAAGCAGAGGTAAAAAAATGTTTTTGGAAAATTTGAAAACCACGAGATATTTTTTTAAAAAGTGAAATAAAATGTTATTTTCAGAAAACCTGTCAATCTTTTGGTGGACATTTAGTTGTTGTGGATAACGATAATAGAAATAATTATGTCAAAGGTCAGCATAAATTTTTTTCAAAATAGAATATCACAATTTCAGAATTACTTAAATCATCAAGTCAAACAGCTGACTTCGCTTGGATTGGAATGAAAACAAAAACAACAACCCAAACCTCAACTTTCACCAATTTCGCATCTGAAAATCCAATCGATGGTTGTGCAGTTATTGATAAAACTGGAGTTTGGGCAATTCGTTCATGTGTTCAATTGAGACCTTTTATATGCCAAATAATCAAAATTGATGTCAATATTTGAAAAGATTATCCTTACTATAAATATATTTTTTCTTTCCGTATTCATTTACGAAATTAAATCGTTCTTTATTTAAGATGTACTCCGTGGGATGTTTTTGTTAATATCTTTCAAGATCAGAGAACAAGCTTTGTTATTCATTATCAATTTATTTTTAAAAATTTGAATCATCTGATGGTATTAATTACATTGAAATTTGAAACCATTCAAAACATATAATGTTTATTTTTTCAAAAACTGTCAGTCATTGAATCCTAAAAATAATGAAGATTGTGATCTTCCTTATTTTTCTTTTAATTGTAATTGTGGTATCTTCTGTCACCAAAAAACCAGGATGGTTCAAATCAAAAGTTTCGAGTGCAAAAGATTGGGCAAAAAGTCACAGACCAAGATGGAGTTCGAAATCAGATGGAAAAGATAAAAGTTGGTCGAGAAATATGATTGATAAGGCAAAATCTAAGGTTTTTGGAGAAAAGAAAAATACGGGAGGATCTCCAAGTATTTCTAGTAGTGGAACAGGACATTCAGGTGAATAAGTTTTAGGAGAATTTTTTGAATGAATTGTTTTTTTCAGGTGTTGGCGGTTCATATCCAAAGCGTGAGTTCATTTTCAAAAAAGGAATTTTTGAAAAAAAAAACATTTCAGAACATGGCGGATTTCCAGCACAAAATGGGGGAGGTGGACATCAACCAAGTGAGTTGGTAAAAAATGTTTCAGAAAAATTTTGGAATTTTATAAATCAGATCTAGATTTTTATGGACCAGTTTTTTCCAAAAAAAAATTGGATCAAATTTTGAAACTCTCAAAACTTACATTGTTTCAGATAGTCGTGGACAAACTGGTGGTTCATATCCAAAAAGTATGTTATTTGAAAAAAAGGTATTTTTCTACAGATATTTTTAGATCAAGGTGGTTATCCAGCAAATAATGGTGGAGGACAAAATTCAAGTTAGTTTGATTTTAAAAAAAATTCAAAACCTATAGAAATTATTCGGAACTTCTAGAAAAACATAAAAATTATTTTTCGTTTTTTTCAGATAGCCACGGACAATCTGGTGGATCATATCCAAAAAGTATGTTACTCAAAAAATATTATAATTTTCTAAAAAAAATAAATATTTTTAAAGATCAAGGTTATCCAGTGAATAATGGCGGAGGAATTCATTCGAGTGAGTTTATTGACTTTTTTTTTAATTTAGGGAGTTGAGCCAGGTCCCAATTTTCAAATATTTTGGCTTGATTCAGATTTCTTCAGAGCAATTTCAAAGCAATTTTTTCAAATTTATTTTTTCCAGATATTGGTGGCTATCCGGCACAGAATGGAGGTTATCCAATTCAGAATCCTATTCAACCATTCGGCAGTAATATTTGCCCAACCTTATTTCCAAAAATCCTTGATATTCCAGATTCGATCACCAAAAAACCATCATTTTTCGAGCGAGCAAAACAAAAAGTAAAGAGTTCTGGAATTGTTGGAAAAGCAATTGGATTTGTGAAAAAAGATTTGGGAATTGGAGTTGTTGGACCGAAACAACCATCAAAAATCTTGAAATACGGCGGGAAAGCATTTGAAAAATTACTTGGAAAGGTGAATTGATTATTACAATTAGATTTTCTTCGATTAAAAAAAATTCAGAAAAAAGTTGCGGCTGGTGCTGGAATTGGAGGTGCGGCTGGATATGTAGCTGGTTCAAATTTGAATAATTATGATGGAAACCAGAATCCACAAGAATATGTTGGTGGAGCAATTCGAGGAGCTCTTCAAAAACAGATATCAGTTGTTGAAGAAGAAGTTGATGAAATTCAAAACGAGTTTCAAGCTTCTTGGAATGTTAGTGAAGCTGGAAGTCGATATAAAATATTTGAGCAACCAATTTTAAACTGGGAAGATGCTCAAGAATTTTGCTATAATCATGGCGCTAATTTGGCTGTAATTGATAGTGATTCGAAAAATCAATTTGTTAAAGAACTTCTTCTTGAAACTGAATTCAATACAACTCAAGTGTTATGGTTTGGATTGCACACTGAAATATCAACAGGAACTGGAGACAATCAGAAAAAAGATGAAAAAGGAAAAACATTTTCAAATTTTCAAGCAGAATCAATTCCTGGTTGTGGAGTTGTTGATTTGAATGGAGTTTGGTCGATCAGTTCATGCTCTTTGCAATTACCATTTATTTGTCAAGCAATTAAATTGAACGGCGAAGTTTTCATTCCTTGAACATTCTGTATATTTTCTGTTAAAATGAAGCATTTATTGTAAAACATGGGGTACTGTAATTTTTGAAATATTCCAAAAATAAAAACTGGGCCATTTTATCCGCGTGACCCAATTTTTTCATCCGTTTTTTTCAGAGCCTCGCACAAAAATATAGAATATTTTTATGTTTTTGTGAAGTACTAAAAATTAACTAAAACTATTCAAAATAATAATCAAATAATGGCGAAAAAAGAACCGGATGCGAAAGAAAGAACTTTTGATGATACGCAAAAAGAGAAAGAAAAAGAGAAAGAAAAAGAGAAGGAAAAAGATATAAAAGAGGAAAGCAAAAGAAAGAAAAATGGAACGAAAAGAGCAGCAAGATCGATGAAACCTGAAAAAACACAAGCCAGCCAAAAATCCAAACAAAATCAGAAGGATAAAGAGAAAGAGGATGATGAATCAATAATTTCATCGATTGGATTGGAACCGCCAAAAACAAGAAGCGAAGATTTCAAAGCAATCGAAGAATCAGTTCAAAATCTCGATTGTTTTCACGGTTTCATTTGTCGCGAAGATGTTCAAGGAATGTTGAAAAAGTTTGGCGATTATTTGATACGAAAAAGTTGTCATGGATTGGCAGCTAGTGAAAGACCAAATCGAGCAAAGAAAGGTGGAACTGAAAGAAAAAGAAAAGTTGTTGCAAGTTCGGGTGGAAATAATAATGAAAAAGAAAAAGAAAAAGAAAAGGAAAAAGAGAAAGAAAAGGAACGAGATAATGCAATATCAACTCAAGATATTGTTGTATCGATATATGCAAGTAAGTATTTTATATTTAATTATTTATTGAGTACGGTATCTGACAGTTTTTTTGGAAAAAGGGTTTTTCACACTTGTGTATTCTCCTGAATTTCAGAGCCCAAAGATCCAAAAATCAAAAAGAAATCATCAATCCGAAATCTTGCACTTCGCCGAACTTTGGACGCTGGAATATATCTCGAACCACAAAAAAGTTTCAAAGAAGTCAAAGAACTTATCGAATATTATTCCAAAAATATTGGATACTCCAAAGGGGTTAGTCTTTTCTTGTTCAAACTTTTTACTCTTTCAAACAAATTATTTTTGCAGTTTGATTTCCAACTTTTGAAACCGATTGAATTAAGTAATTGGGAATACAAACATAGTGAAATTGATGTTTCGGAAAAGAAATTAGGGGAAGGTGCATTTGGAGAAGTTCGAATTGGAAAAGTTAAATTGAGAGAAACTACGAAAACTATTGAAGTAGCGGTGAAAATGATGAAAACTACAGAAGGTTTGACAAGAGAAAGGGTTGTTGAATTGATGCATGAAGGAAGAATTATGAAGTTTTTAGAGCACAAAGTAAGATTTTGATCCAAAAGTTTCACTACAAACTATGTATTATTTTTTTGTAGAATGTTCTTCGTTGGTATGGAATGGCAATTTCGAAAGAACCACTTTATCTAATGTGTGAACTTTGTAATTGTGCACTTCGTGAATATCTTCGAAAAAATGCAAAAACTGTGACTGATTCTGAAAGACTTCAATTTTGTTTTGGATCTGCAAAAGGTGTTGAATATTTGCATTCACAAAAATTGATTCATCGTGATTTGGCAACTAGAAATATATTGTTGACAGATGATAAAACTGTATGTTTTTTCGAAATCCAAATACGTCTCAAAATCATAATTTTCAGCCGAAAATATCGGATTTCGGTTTATCGAAAATAACAGATCGTTATGAAATGAAAGAAGCTTGCAAAATTCCAGTCAGATATTTGGCCCCCGAAACTTTGGAATCATATTATTTCAGTTCAAAATCTGATGTTTTCGCATTTGGAATGGTTATTTGGGAGATTTACGAAAATGGACAACAACCGCATGATGGAAAAAATGCACAAACAATCAAGGAATTGACCAAAAAACAACAATTTTTGAAAGTGAATGATAAAGCGCCGGCGGATCTACGCAAATTTGTCAGCGAGAAAATATTCGTGTCAGATCCAGAAAATCGATGTAATATGAATACTGTAGTACAAGTTATTGAGAAATTAGTGAAATGAATGAATTTTTGAATGAATGATTTTTGCTGGAGAAAGAAGCATTTATTTTTGAGATGTGTTGGTAGGCTGGCAAAAATATTGCAACAATACAACACTTATATTTAGAAATGTTAAAAATGGCCAGTTGAATATGAAAAAATCAAGGCGAAAAACCTATAATCACATTTTGTGGTGTTTGTTGAAACGTTTTCGAGGTTTTTCTTTTTGCCATTTCTATTCTCGAGGATTTGCTATCTTTTGTCGTAAAGATTGTGAAATTTGGTTAAGTATGAACGATTTTATCATTTTTTGTGAAAAAACGAAAAATGTTTTTGAGGTTGGAAAAAATTCACAAACGTCGTGTTGTCTGCTCAGCAATCCGCCCCGTAATTACATTGTAAATTGGAGTGAGTTGTGATTACATTGATGTTACAACGTAAATACAGAGTTGAATTTTGCAAAATTGTAATCACATTGTATTTCCACACTCTTTACAATTTGGGTGAAAACTGTAATTACATCGAACACATTTTGTAATTTCTTTGTAACGTGGGTCTCGTTGCGAAGACGCTCAAGCAACGCGCTGCTGTTCATTTCGAAACAATTTTCTTGTTTTTTTTCCAAGTTTTTCCCTATTTCAGTGATTTATGCTCAATTTTCAGGTCAAATCAAATTCAGACAGTTTCATGCAATCGATATAACAATGGAAAAGTGTGAGGGTGAGTGAAACATGACAAATTTTCATGATTTTTTCTGATAAATTCTAATTTTTGATATTTTAGATTTGCCGGGACTTGGGTTTTCGACCAATCGCTTTTACGATCACCGTCTGATGGATACAACAAGAGAAAAATTATGGTTAGTGACTTAGTGATTCAATTTCTATTCAAACTAGAACATTATTTCTTTTCAGATTTCGCAGAAATTTATCAAAACGAACTCATCGAATACCGGAGATGTTTTGAAAGTAAGTGGTTTTTTGAACAATAAGTTAATTTTTCAACGTTGTGAAGAAACTCTATTCAGAAACCCTCTCAGAATAGAAAAGCTGCTGTAAAAATATGTTTTCTGGATTTCTTCTACTTTCTCACAGTGTTGACAAATTTTCTCATGATTCTTATAGGAATTCATACTTAAATTGAACTTTTCAGGTCTAAAGCAACAATCTACAACAACAAACTACACCAGCCCAACTTCCCATGATTCAAACGCTTCATCTTCTCAACAACGACAACAATCAATATTGAACGAGAATCGTTAAGAGGCCTGCCTATTTGTCAAGGAAGTCTGGATTTATATAATTTATTTTTGTTGTTTTTTTTCTGATAAATAAATTCTTGATTTATTCGAAACATTTCGAAAATGCATGGGAGAGGGGAGGGAAAACTGTAATTACATCGTAAGGCCCGCGCTCGCGACACACACAAAACTGTAATTACATTGTAAAAGCGCTGCTCGCGAAAAACACGAAACTGTAATTACATTGTTGGAGAACTGAGTTTACATTGGAACCCTAGTCTCGTTACAGAAACGCAACAATGTGATTACAGAAATCGTGCAATGTAATTACGGGACGGATTGCTGAGTGGTGTTCTCTCTTACCCATTTCTATCTCTCATTTTCTCTCCTTCTCTCTCCTCGTCTCTTCTAGGTGCAACACTCTCTCGTTTATTTTTTCAATTCGGTTTTTTTTCTTCAAGCGAACACACAGTTTCAAGCCGGCTCTTCGGTAAATTCAAAAATTTTCTTTTCATAAAATAACAGTATTTTTCGCAAATTCAAAAGTTTATTCTCATTTTTATTTTTTTGTATCCGTATTTGTATTTGTATATTTCAATTCTTGATGATCCGATCGAATTGATTTGACAAGTCTGAAAATTTCAATACATCTACTTTTTGGAGAATCGAAACTTACTCCAAAGTTTTTTCTTCTTTAACCATTGGCGAAATTGGAACATTTGATGGAGGAACTCTTCAAAAACCAGTTTTCATATAAATTTGCAAACTTTCAAAGTTAAAACTTACACGCATTTTGGTGATTCGATTCTTGTCGAATTTGCACACTTTTTCGAAGATGCTGGGTCTACCAAAACAACCTGAATTCAAATATTTCTAAAAATCGAGACATTTTCTAAGAAAATACCCTTGCATCACTTTCAAAAGCGGCTTTTTTTGCACATTGGAAAATCATTGAAATTGATAATATTGAAAACATAATGATCTGAAAACTCGTTTTTTTTCCTGAAAATGTAATCTAGTTCTCTTACATTATTTAGGAAACATGGAATACTGATTAAGAAAAACATGGAAATAAATAATGAATAAGTATTTTATTTGAGTCCCACGTGAAAATAAATAGAAAATATAAATAATGTGCAAGCCCAATATTTTTTAAACAGAAAAAAAAGAATCTAGAATTCTTCCAAAAATGGGAAATGTGGGTGATCTCCATCTCTTGGAGTTGGATCAACTAAACGCCAATTTTTATTAAGTCCGTCGATTTGTGAAACTTCGGCTGGAGTCAATTGGAAGTCGAAGATATTGAAATTTTCCTTGATGCGATCTAACACAGAGTGTAATTTACTACCCGAAAAATTTCGCGCATTTTTTGAGACCTGACACGATGTTAGGGGTGGGACTAAAATCGACGAAATTCAAAGCAAAAACGAGAGATTTAGAGAAAAATTATTTTTGATCTACCCAAAAATTAATTAAAAATTTGAGGTCTAGCGATTTGAGGTAGTAAATTACACCCTGTGTCTAAAAGAAAAAACATTTTCGTGAGGCCAAGTAGGCTGAAAAATTTTACTAATGTACTAATGTTTTGAAACGATTCAGACACCCTGTTACTTTTTGAAAAAAATTCCGAAATTTCGGAAGTGGGCCGATTAATTTTTGTTGTTCGAATTATCACTTACTTTCAGAAATTGATTTTGGGATAACAATAATTCCGTGTTCAATAAACCATCTCAAAGTAACTTGAGCTGCAGTTTTTCCATGAGTTTTTGCAATTCCTCCAATAACTTCATTTGTCAAAACATCAGGATCTCCAGATTTTCGGAAAAATGCAGATCCTGGATTTCCCAATGGACTATAAGCAGTTACTGCAATATTTTTCGCTTTGCAGAAATCGCGAAGTTTTTGTTGTTGGAAAAATGGATGTAATTCGACTTGCAAAACTGATGGTTTAATATTGGCAGAATTCCAAAGTCTTTCAATTTGTTTATGATTGAAATTTGAGATTCCAATCGATCGAACTTTTCCAGCTTTTTGTGCTTCTTCCAATGCTTTCCATGTATCCAAATAATCTTCATTTGAATATCTCATTTTTCCACTTTCAGTTAATGGAAAGATTTCACCACCTTCTTCATATCCTTGTGGCCAATGAATCAATAACAAATCAATATATTGCAATTCCAAATCATTGATAATTGTTTGAATATTCAATTTAGCTTGTTCAAAAGAATGAAAAGTATTCCAAACTTTTGAAGTGATAAAAACTTCTTCTCTTTTGATTTTTCCTTCGGCAAAGATTTTTGTCAAGACTTCTCCAATTTCTTTTTGATTTTGATAAGCAAATGCGCAATCAATATGACGATATCCGGCTTCCAAAGCAATTCTAACAGCAGCCGCAACTTCTCCTGGTTTTGATTGCCAGGTTCCAAGACCGAAAATTGGCATATTATAGCCACTGCTCAAATGAACATTTGGAACAACCATTTTTGCTGGAAAATTGAAATCGTAAAGTGATTTTTAAAAGTGAATAAATAAATGATAATTGTTTCTATGATAAGAAAAGTGTCCGAGAAATAAAACAAGAAATTTGGAAAAACAATACTGATAAAGACGGAATGAACATTTTATACAATAAACTTTGGTTCGAAATTTATACATTTTATGAAATATCAGAAGATTTTTCACAATTTGTTAATGTTTTTTTCATACTTTGAAACATATGAAATAAACATTTTTTAGAACATTTTTTTTTTGAAAAATTGGAATACCTATAGTATATTAATTCTAGAAAATTTAATTTCACTTCTTGGAGTTAAACTAAAAATTTTCCTAGCACCAAAATTTCATGTTTTGTATCTAACAAGGGAACCTCTTCAGCTCGCGGTCGAGTTTTGAGCTGAAAATTTTTTTGGGGGTACTTTGAGATGTTCTAATGGCCATATAAAAAATTCAGCTGCTGAACTCCACTCTGAGCACAAGAAAGTGTGCTCCGAAGTTTGAGCATTTTCAAGGGCGCACGCGCCAGTTTTATTCTCTTTGAAATTTCAACTGCAGAAAAAATAACTAGCAAAGCGCAGCAGGTTATAACTTTCTTGTGCTCAGAGTGGAGTTCAGCAGCTGAATTTTTTATATGGCCATTAGAACATCTCAAAGTACCCCCAAAAAAATTTTCAGCTCAAAACTCGACCGCGAGCTGAAGAGGTTCCCTTGTAAATACAAAAAAACTCGACCATAAAACGAATCCAAAAAAAAAATAAAATGAAAATGATTACAAAACAAAAACGAAAGAATAGAGAGAAAAAGGGAAAAAGGAACACAAAATAATGTTTGATGCCACAAAAATGAGTATACACAATCTCTAAAAATATCAATAGTATTTTTTGGGTCGATCAACAACATTTGAGGTCAAATAAAAAGACCTTGAAAAAAAGTTTATTATTCGAAAAAAATATTATTCAATAACAAAACAAAAAGGTGGAGTAATAATTAAAATTAAAATAATAAAATGGAATATACAGAGATCAAAAAAAGGTGTTCAGTTATCATCAGATTTAGCTTGTTCTTCAATTTCTTCTTCAACATTTTCTTCTTCATCTTGCTCATTGCTCATTTCAACTTTTTGATCATCCGTTTTTTCAACAATTGTTGTATGAATTATTTCATCAACTTGTTGTTCTTCATTCAATTCAACTTCTTGCATATTTTCCACATTTCCTTCTTCCGAAATATACTGTTCATTTTCTTCGTCGTTCTGCATTTTTTGAAGCAAAAGTTCTTCGAGATCTCCGCGTCGAACATAATTTCCCTGGAAAAAAAATATATTTGAAAAAAAAAAATATTTCTAAATATATTTGTGACGTGTTTTTTTGGTTTCTCGAGAAAATCATTTCAAAAAAATTGTCTGGTGCGAAATAATGAAAATTTTCGGCGGATGTGAGTTTTCCGGGGATTCAAAACATTTCTAATTAGTTTGGCCAAATGAAGAAAAATTAGAAAATCTTTTTTCAAAACCTCTGGTTTTAGAAAGAAAATTCACCAAGCAGCTATGAATATTTTCGGGTCTTTTTCTGAAGGAAAGTCAATATTTGTGAAAAAAACAAACAAGTACATATTTGAAAATTTAGATGTTGAAGAATTAAAAAAAACAAGTATCTTGAATTTTAATCGAAACATAAACTATTGCAATTCGAAAATTATGATTTTTAGTGCAAAATTCGAACTATTCACTCTATTTTTCTAAGTAAATCTTATTTTTCGCCCTAAAAACTAACCGAATATTGTGGTTTTTTCATCAATAAATGTTGAACACTTGGATCATTATGCGATGCAGCCGCTGACCAAATAGTTTGTCCTTTTGTTTGTGATGTTTTTGGTTGTGGTCCAGCTGACATACTAACTGCATAAGTTTCATCTTCAATTCCAACCACATCAATTGTATCATCAATTAATTCTCGTCTTTCTCCATATCCTTCGATGATTATGTTGTTCAACTTCTTCCATAAATCGACTGCCTTTTTCTTCCATTAATTCCAAATATGTTTTCGACATATCTTGTTTTTCCAATTTCTGACTATTTGACAAAATAACCTCCATTCTTTGTAAATATTCTATCACTTTTTCGCAACTTTCGAAATGCTCATTTTGTGGATTGACTTTGATAACATCAAATGTTTTGAAAAGTGTATGAGCAGATGAAAGTCGATGAACAAATGATTCGAAAATTGTTCGTTTATCATTTTCCTCTTTTGTTTTTTCGTGCAAAACATGCATAACATCATCACGATTTGTATCAAATAAATCCAAATATTTTCGTTCAACAACAGACAAATTACATCTATTAATTCGTTGTTGAGGCACTGCAAAAAAATTATTGTTTTTTGTAATATAGAAAATCTTATTATCAAAATAAAAAAATTTGGCAAAAAATCGGAGCCCAGAAATTCAAATGACACTGTTCCCAAGTACGGTGTTTCTGCCAGTCGCTGCGAGACCCATATGTGCGTCTTTGACTTTGTTTCTCTGCCCAATGGTGTGGTCTCGAAACGGTGTTAGTGACGCAGAGGAATACCGTACTTGGGGAAATTGGGATTTGAATTTCTGGCTTCTCTTTTTTTGCCAATTTTTTTTTACTTTGATAATACAAGTATAGAAATAATAAAAATTACAAACTTACATGGTCTAATTTCAACCCAATCATTATTTGGATCCTCTTCTGTTGGCAAAAGCACTCCATTTTCTTCAACAATTCGAATTCTTTGTCTCGATGCTCCTCCATTTTTAACACGTGTTCTTTCTTGTCGATTATTTCCAGCCAATATTTGTCGTATGTCTTGTGTTTTCATATCTTGAATTCGTCGATCATTTGCTGAATCTCTTGTGCAATATTTATATCTTTCATCTGCAAAAAGAACAATTTGAATTTTTTAAATCAATTTTAAAAATTCAGTCGAATTTTTTTTTCAGAATTTCTAGTTAAAATTTTTTAAACCATAAATTCTAATTATCTGTGTTATATTTCATGCATTTCCAACAGGCTTTTTCTATATACCTTTAACAATCATAAGAACAACAATATGAGGCAATTGTTTTCTGGCTAATTCAATAACTCGTGTTTTGACAGCTTCCGGAAGTCGAAGTCTTTCATCGTCATGCAAATGATGATCACAAAATCGAACCTCAATTGTTCTAAAAAAATTGTTTTTCTTCATCTAGACCTCTATAATCTGAAACCTACCCATTTTCCAAATATGCTTTATTATAAAATGCAGTACACGAATTTTCGGTCCGAATGATTTGTTTACTTCCAGTTGTCAACTTTTCATTCAATTTTCCTCGTCTTTTATTCGAAGGAAGCTGTAATTACAGGTTTTCATTAAATAATTCATGGTTTTCAAATTTGAAAAAAACTTACATCTTGTTCAGTTGGATTATCAACAAGTCGATAAGTTTGATTTTTGGAAAGAGTTTGTAAACGATTACATCGGAAATATTGAACAACTCCTTTTTTGCTCTTTTTATTTCCTCGAGCCATTCGGAAATTTCCACCTTTTCCTTCTAATTCAATACGAAAAGCCTAAACAAATACATCATTATAAATAATTGATTAATCTGAACTTACGGCAAAATCATCTTCGGATGTAAAAACAGAAACTTTAATTTCTGTTGGCAATCCATGAATTTGTTCCGAATGTTGACAAAGTTTTTCCAAAGTTCCCAATTTTGCATCACAAGATGGACAAGGAAAACGTTGAGGAGTGAATAAATTACAAGCTCCTTTTTCTCGAATCATTCTTGCATGATGATAATAAACACTTCTTCTTAAAGACATATTGCAACATGGACAATGTCTGAATGTTGATTTATCATAATTATCTGCACTATATGATGCTTGCTCAATAACAGCTCTTGTAGGATCAGTATGATTTAGAAATTCAGGATCATCGTAGGATTGTGAAAAAGATTGAGAAGATGATTCGGCAGATTGATTGTTATAATAAAATGATGTATTTTGTGTTGATTGATTTAATGTTGTTCTGTGAGGAGCTTGAACTCTTTTCTTGCTAACTGGCATTTTTTCAAAAGAATATCCAGTTGTACGTTTTGAATCAATAATAAAACCTCGCTTGGCACAAACTCTTTTATATCTGTCGTGCAAACTCGGTGGCAAACTGTCCATTATCTCATAGATATCAAGTTTTCTGAAAAAAAATAATTATTGAATATATATATATATATATCTAAATGTAATGGTAATTCGTTTTTGTTTTCAAAAATAAGTTTTTCCAAAAATCGAACTCACAATTTTTGATCTGATTTCCAATCTCTTCTTCCACCTTGTTGTAATTGAGCAGGCAACAATTTCTCAAATTCCAAATCATCATCTTCTGCGAAATCATATTCTTCCTCATATTGATACTGTGGTGAACCAGTTGCATATTCTGTTTCAATATTTCCATCACCAGTCATAACAACTTCCATTTCAACAGGAATATTTGAATCAACCAACATATTATCATCTGTTGTATATTCCATATCTTCAATCGGATGAGGCATTTCATTCGATCCCATCTTTGAATGGCTTAAAATTTTCGAAAAATTCGTTAATTTGGGGAGTATATCAAAAGAGCGTGGATGCGTTTGTTTGAAGGGAAAGGAAAGGTGGTTGCAAAAGGCAATCAATAGAGCGCGTTTGCTGTCTCTTCATGAAGAGACACAGACAAACAGAGAGAAAAAACGAAAGGCTGTTGGTTGTGTCTCTTTGTCTAATATAAAAATATGGCCTCAAAGATGTTGGAATATGTTGAATTTTAATTGAAGAAAAAAATAGTTAAACATAAATCTTTGGGAAAACACATAAAAATAATTATAATATATTTTCAGCGAGAAACTGAGTCCTGAGATAAACCTACAAATAAAATATAAAATGTATTTTCAGCTTAAATTAGAGCAGCACGTTTGATAACGAATTTTCGTCGCGACTTCAAAAAGATCGAAAATATTTTTTTCGAAAATTGAGTGAATTTTATATTCAAACGTTCGCGGGATGTGTCCTGCAACGATCGTTTCGAAATAATATGCGTGTGTGGTGTTGCGCCTTGAATCTACTACAGGCATACAATTGTTTGTTTTTTTCGAAATTTCGCGCACAATATCCACAGGACGACGCGAGGTGTGTGCGCTCTCTCGTTGTCTGCGTCTCTACAGCAAACAACACTCTCTCATTTTTTTTTCAATTTTTTTTAATTTTTTCGAAATTTTTCAAAAAATTCGAGAAATTCACGGGTAAATGGTATATGAGTGAGTAGAGGAGGATGAAAGGAAGGCAGAGAAATAACATTTCAATTCATTTTTGAAATTTTTAAGGCTATAAAATCGAAAGAAAAACTAATGTTTTTTTGAAAAAGTATTTTAGCTGAAATTTCACCAAATTTTTGGTAAATTTACTTCTAGAGGCCAGGAATTACGTGAATCAAAGTATACCAGTTTATTTGATGCTAGGAATGAGAAGTTTCGAACCTAAAAATTCTCGCAATTAGCAAAACACGTTTATTTGAGCGTTTTTTTATTAAAAAATAAGAAATACCTGAATTCAAGTGTGAAAAATTGAAAAATTTAAATGATAAAGTTTCATGTAACAAAAAACGAACTATCTAAATAAATATTCATTAATAAATAATAGAAAGTCGTGTCTTACAAAAACATTTTTGAAAAACCGGCTGAAAATTAACATCAGCAGAAAGACCATATGAAAATATACAACAAAAAGATTGTCAGGATCCGCATGAACTTCTTATCTGAGTTATATAGCTCCGAATATCACAAATCTATAATTTTGGCCAATACGGAACGTCATTCTTCGATTCAAACTCAACTTTTCCAATCAACTTCAGAAAAAATATCGTCAAATCTCTACCAAGCTCCAAAATTTTAATTTAGCAATAAGAAGAGTCGGATGTTACTGTTGAAATATGAGTTCCTCTCAATTAATCATTTTTTGATCCATCAAACATTTACAACCAGCTCCAACGGCCGCTATTTTCTTCATAGTTCCAACATATACATTGTCAAGTGGATTTTCATGTGTGTTCTCGATGTTTTTCACTGTCCTCTAGTACTCTGAATAACACATTTCCTGATGTTGGTGTTGGAAAGCCAGATCCTCCAATGCGAGTTTATCGCAATGTTCCTCATTGAAAAAATGTGTGGTTGATTCGAAATTACGATCAGATACATCCAATGCGATTCCGTTTTTGTCAAAAATCAAATATCACAAGCAGTTACATATTTTTTGAGCCAGTAAATGTCCAAAAGTAGCGATGACCAGCGTGAACCTGCAATAATACCGTTATAAATTCCGTTATTATCCAATTTCTGACGCAAAAAAACCTACGAAAAGCTTGATTTTCTTCTCTCCCATCATAATCGAATCATTTATATCCAAACAAGCATCAGAAAATAGTTCAACAGCACCACTGGTAACATCCATCGATTCATATGAAAATAAATCTGTCGTCGTTACAATTGGTCCAAATATATCCCATTTCATCCCAAATGTGGTCCTCGTATCCCAAAAAGTTCGAAAAATGAGTATTCTTCACTTTTTGGTGACACCCAAAAAAACCTGAAAAACGAACAAAAATCTTTAAAATTTTTGAACGACATTATGGCGTCACTTCATGAAACGATCTATACATTAAAATGTTCTCTGATATTCATAAAATAAGAAATCGTTCATTAAAATTTGCAAAAACAACAATGAAAATGAGTAAAAACAAGAAAAAGTTGAAAAATCGGCAAAAAATTCGATTTTTCCATTGAAAAAAGACAAACGAGCAAACGCGCTCTACCGAAACGAGAGATTTTTTGAAAAGAGACGCAGAAACGTCGTTTTGTGGACACTGTGGCGCGAAACAAAATTGGCCGCTGCTTTCGTTCCTCATTTCCTCTGTACTCGTAGTTGCTTTTGCATTGATATTTATGATTCGCTATACATGTAGATAGTGAGTGTCAAAAATCTGGTGTGCCTATTCTCATTGCATAATAACTTTTTTTGTAAAATATTGGGCTAACTCAGAGAAGTTGGACGATTAATCGCCTGAACTAAATTAACACAGGCGATTAATCGGTTAGCCAGCAGCTAATTCAAGTTACTAGGCGATTAATCGTCCAATTTCTCTGAGTAATTTTCAATTTAACTTTCTGAGGATGTTCTAATTTTAAGTTGCTTTTTACAATGCTTAATCACACCAAATTCCTGCAAGAACCAATAACCAAACAATCTAACGCATCGCTAAACCGCGGGCATTTGAGTTGTGTCGTTAATTTTTTTTTATTCTTTTTTTCTGGATTTTTTAAATTCCAATACATCGATTTTACTTATTTCAGACAAATATGGTATTTCGTAAATACCGCGCCGTCAAACAATGGGGTAAAATGGATACGAGGATTTTCAAAGAAATCTATAATTCTCGTAATAAACGGAAAATGCCAGCTTTTCAAGTTCCAGAAGCAATCGAAGCTCTTGGTGTCAAAATATTTGAAGCAAATGATCCAATGATTTTTGCCAGACAACAACAAAGAAATATTATTGAAACTGCGGCAAATGATTATAATCAAAGAATAGTGCAAAATGAGCAACAACATCCATTGTTCAAATCAAATAAAGCATATATTTTTGAAGGAGAAGAACCAATGAGTGATGGAATTGCGCAAGCATCACTTTTAACAAAAAGTATTGTTAGAAATGGATTACCAGAATCAATTATTCATAGTTCTTCGAAAATCGAGATTGATGAAGAAACAGTGAGTCATACATTTATTTTCAGAATGTGCGAATACTTTTCTGGAGAAAATTCTTTTGTTTTCAGGTTTGTGATGCAATTCTCCACGGTGAAAGATATGATCCAACTCTCGAGAAACTACCAAAAAGATTCGATCCAGTTCTTTTCTGGGTAAAACATATTCGAGTTCACGGAACACCAGTTGTCAAGCGAAACAATATAATTCTAGATAATTTATTACGCCAAGTTGTATTTGCTGGTTTACGAACAAATACGCTGAAAACAAATATGCAGTGAGTATTTAGAAACATTCATTCCTTTTTTTAAAGTTGGAATCGAATCCAAAGTAATCGAATTTGAATTTCAGAATAAATCGTGATTCTCCATTGTCAGTTCATCTCTCAGGAGGTCTCTATTTTTATGATAATCCACTTGTTCTTCGAGGTCAACCTCATTTAACAGTTCAATCTTCTGATAGTAATATAACATCAGCATGGGCTGGAAAATCGGATATCGATGCAGCAAATCAAGAACCACTTCCAGATATTTATCCAATCTCTCCAATTATTGATTTCAACAAAGATAATATTTATAATGACGATTTATTATTGACAAGAAAAACCCATCAATCGCATATTCATTCAGTTCTTTGGTCGAGAGAACAAGATCAAAAATATGCATGGACGAAAGAACAAAATATGGCAAATGCTATTTTAACAACGTATGCAGCTGCAGTTGCAGAAGCAACAAGAAATGGGCAAACTGAACTCGAAAAACCATTGGTAAGATACGATTATTTCAAAAAGGCTATCCAATATTTTACTTATTTTCTTTCAGTTAGTTCGTGGAGTTCAATTAGTAGATGGCCGCTTGGATCTCGTTGCATTCCAATTAAATACATTAGAATTGACCGAAGAAGAAAATCCAGTCAAAAATATTGTTTGGATTGAAAAAGGAATCGAATTATATAAACCAAAACCATTCTATGAACAAATGGAACAAGTCGAAAAACTCAATATGGAAACTTTCAAAAAATTCGTTGCTCTTATGCTTGGACATATCCATTAGGTAATTTCGTTTTTTTTTACTTATTTAGATTTTATTGTTATTTGTTTTTTTCTTGTTTGATAAATAGGACTTCTTTATTATTGTTTTTGAAATGATTTTGGGTTGACAATATGCCCTTATACATATCTGATATTTTCCATGTTTTATTTATTTTTGATAATTGATTAAATAGGTAGAGAAACAATCGCCAAATGGGCGATTATTTGACCGAAAGTGAACTTTTCAAGCGTGCCAGACAAGGTTAATTTTAAGAAAATGAATATTTTCGAGCCAAAATAACATTTCAGCGATTGAAAACGACGAACCACAAAAACTGACAATCGACAAACACGTGGCATTTTTGATAAGACATTTGAACGTTTTCCCAGAAGCTTATAATTCTTTGGATTCAAATCAGTAAGTTAAATTATCACATAAGAAGAAACGCGGGCCTTATCAAAAAATGTTTGAAACAAATTATTTTGGGTCCGAAAAATTCCATCTGAATCTTTGAAAATATTTCGTGAAAAAAATCAAAATTTTTTTTCCAGAATCACACTTTTATATTTTGCTCTTTCTGGTCTCGATCTTTTGGGAGAACTCGACTCATTACTTAGCCCAACTCGTCGTCAAGAATATATCGATTGGATTTATCGACTTCAATTCACAAAAGGTTAGTCTTTTAATTCAAAAATTCGTATAGTTTCTGTCGCCAATTCCCTCTTCTTTTTTTATATTTATATTTTTTGTATGTCTTTTTTACTGTTGTTAAATTGTTAGATGTGTGCACTTTATTGTGAGCCGACTTTTCGAGATTTCGGTGTTCATTGGTTCGGCCAACGTGGATTTGGCGGGTTATTAGAAGATTATTCTAAAAGAACTGATGGTAAAAGTATTTGGATTCCTCAATATAATTTACAAGCATATTGGAGGTAATTTATTTTGACTCATATTTAAATATAACACTACCTTTATTTTTAGGCGTTCGATTCCTCCAATAAGTGTTGGTTTTGTTGAACCATTAATCCCAGCAAGATTGAGAAATTCGAAATTTGATAGACTTCCTGGAAGTTTTTCTCATAAAACTCCGCCATATCTTCTTGAAAATAGGAATTTGTTAGGAACGAAATATTCTGAAGATGATAAAATAGTTGAAATCTGGACTGTGAATGAAAGATCGAGAAGAAATTGTGTGGAGAAATTCGATTTGAAAATTGATGAAAAAGGAGAAATTATTGGAGATAATTGGTGTGAAGATGAAAATAATAAAGAATGGATTATTGAAAATGATACTGTTCTTGAAATAAGAAAATCGAAATGGAAAGAAAAGGATTCGATGTGGATTCGAACTACAGAAAGTCTCAAATTTCTACAAGCAGATATTCAACAGACCATTTTCAAATCTTCTGTCAAAAATTTCAGTGAAAGTTATTCGATTCTTGGCGAATTTTGTGTGATTGATTATGGTGGAATGATTTGGTTGGGAGATTTAGAAGAAGTTGGTGGAAAATTAAGTCGATTAAAAATTGAAAATAAAGAAGATGATGGAAATGTATTTGAACATGTTGCTTGGTGTAATCATCCGAGACAAATTGCATTTTCAACAAAATATAAATTGAATATATTTGATATAAGGACAAAAGATGATATTTTATCATTATTTCAAACAAAACAATTTGATGCGAGAAAACAAGATGAGCCAATTCTTATTCAGGAAAAACCCCCAGATCGAGAAACTGTTAAACATATTCGACAATTAAATAAAAGCACTCATAATTTTATAGTTTTAACTAATCATTCTCTATATTTACTCGATGATCGATTCCCAATGAATCCAGTTGTCACAATTAATCATACATTCAATCCACATTCAATTATAATATCTGAAAAAGGGTGTAAAGAAGATGAAGGAGAGGTAAATTTTGAATAAAAACATAACTGTTTTTATTAATTTTTTTTCAGATTTCATCAATATTTGCAATCGATCAATTGATTCCTGCAATTTATCACTGTAAATTATATAAACATAAAACTGAAGTATGGTCAGATGTAAATGGATTTGTTAAATTGGATCAAATTGATTCTTTCAATTCCACTTGTAGAAGAGGAAAATTTGCGAATAAAAAATCGGTAAGTTTTTTAATTTCACAAACAAAAAATCATGAATTTTTACAGATTCGAAATGAATATTCTCGCGCAATTTCGTTGGTTGAAGGAATTATTGATCGAAAACAAAACGAAAGTTGTATTTTATTGCGGCAAGCTGATGATGGATCAATTTGGAGCCAGAAATTCGTCAATAAAACTATAAATGAGAAAAAAATTATGGAAAAAGAGCAGAAAAGTTGGAAACGGGTTAAAAGTTATATTGAGAAATGTGATAATGTTGAACCGGTTTATGTTGTGGATTTTGACAAAGAATTGAGATGTGATGCAAAGGAAGAAAGGTTTGTAAAAAATGCTCTATTTTTAAATTCAAATATAATGCGATTTTTCAGAATTGCTGTATCTATCGATGGAAATCTAGAGAAAAAGATTGTTCGAAAACTAAACACAAAATCAAATGATGAAATGCGAAGAGTTGGAGGTCTTCATTTTGAATCAACTTCTTCTTCTTCTTCTTCTTCTTCTTCTTCTCGAAATACTCCTAAAAACCTTGAATCATTCAATCATATTTTATCAAAAGTTGTTATGGATGCTTGGAAATAGCAATCTAAAAATGCTTATTTGTTTATTTTGTAAACTTTTGTTGAATTTTTGCAGCCTCTTTTGTTGTTGTTGTTTTTTTCTGTGTTCTCTTTCATTTGTTTTGGCGACAGAAACTACCTTTATATCAGATTTATTTTTTTTTTAATTTTATTATTTTCAACTTGTTATTCCAGGAAAAGTATGCGGTTTTCGTGGTAGTCATGCTTGTGATAATAGCGATTATGACGTGGCAAATTTGGCACAAACATATAGCGCGTTGTTGAGTTTGGTTATTTTGGGCGATGATTTATCGAGAGTTGATCGAACTGCCATTTTGGAAACGATTCGGGGATCACAGAGAGAAAATGGATGGTGGGTTTGAGAACTTTTAACATTTATTTATTTATTTTTGATTATATTAATTAGAAAACTTGTTGATGTTATTTTCGAACTTTACAACTTTTTGACTCATCGGTTAATTAATCCCCTCTTTTTGCAGTTTCTGGAGTCAAGATGAAGGATCGGAAAGTGATATGAGATTTGTGTTTTGCGCCGTTGCAGTTTGTCATATTTTACACGACGAAACAGTTATTGATTGGAAAAAATTGGGAGATTTTATCAAAAAATCAGTGAACCTCGATGGAGGAATTGGACAAGGACCAGGAGATGAAAGTCATGGTAATTGTAGCAAAATATTATTTTCTGTAAAATAATTCAAATATTTGTTTATAGGAGGCTCGATTTTTTGTGCAGTTGCCAGTTTATCTTTGTCGAAATCGTCTTTGGAATGAAGAAGTTTTGACGAAAAAACAATTGCAAAGATTAATCAGATGGGGAATTCAGAAACAAGATATGGGATTTCATGGAAGAGCACATAAACCGGATGATAGTTGCTATGCTTTTTGGATTGGAGCATCTTTGAATGTAATTATTATTTATAACGAAAATGTTCAGTAAATTGGCTGTTTTCAGATTCTTGGAGCATATAATCTTGTTTCAACAACACATGTTCGAGAATTTTTGATGATTGCTCAACATTCTCATATTGGTGGTTTTTGTAAACTTCCTGAAGTTTCCGGGTATTCTGGTCAGTTTTTTTTTGATAATAAAACGCAAAAGTTAAATCTGGAGCATTTTCAGAATTCTATTTTTTTAATTGAAATAAGAAATTAATTTCAAATATTTTCAAAAAATATTTTTTTCAGATTTACTCCACACATATTTTTCAATTGCCGCTTTGTCTCTTATGCATCATCCAGCTATAAATCCAGTTCATTCCGCAATGAATGTATCAAAACGAGCATATGAAAGAATTGTTCATCTCAAATTCTGATTTGCTCAAGAAAAAATGAATATGATTTCCCATAATTCTTCTTATCGTTTATCTCAAACTGTAATTTCACAGTTTTGTATATCTTATCATTCTCCGTTTTTATTTTTGAACACTCCAAAAAGTATATATTTTGTCAGATTCTATTGTATTATAAATGTATAGTGTCCCGTTGGTTCCGGGTGATGTGAACCATGAGGAGACAATATTTCAAAGTCATCAAGCATTGAAAATATTGCAAGAAACGGCTACAAAAATATTTGGAAAAGTTGGCAAAAAATTGGAGGATTTGGATGAAATTTGTAGAGATATCAATACACGAGCTGATATTGTTCAGAGGAAAGTGGAAGTTTTGAAAAAGGTAAGGTTTTTTTTTAATTTTTCCGATCCTACGAAATTTTACAATTCAGAAATATTGAAAATCTGATCCGGTTCCTATTAAAAATTTGCCAATTTTTTCAGACTAATAATATAATTGTCCTCGAAGTTCCTTCCATATTTCCATCATCAGAATATCAGCCAACCAAAATCGATTTTCAATTATTCTGATGGAATTACTATTGCTACAGTTACACGTAAGTCCTCTTCCCATTTCCAATTTCCCCTCCAAACTTTTTATTTTCAGCCGATATTTCCGAATTTTCGAGTAAAGAAATCAAATCAACAAATATTGATGTTAAAAAAGAACTCGAAGCTCGCAAAAAGTTCTTTGTAACAAGTGATGCTCTTCGTGATATAAAAACAGCTGAAGAAAGAAAAATGAGAAAATCGAAGAATTTGCGAGAAAAACCGGCTGATTTGACATATGTCAATGATTTGTTTTATTTTGGAACTGGAAAACCCGCATATTTGGGAATTGATAGAATTGAAGGAGATTTGGATATTGAAAGAAGTATTATGACTTCGAAAAAGAGTCGAGAAGATGAAATGCATTTACAATTATTGGAAGATTCTGCCATTTCAAATCTTGAATTAACAAATCAAGATAATCATCCATTAGCATATCGACCTGATATTACACCTGTTCAAGATTTGCCACTTCCAGAAACATTACCCAATTTATTTGGATTTGCGCAAGATTTTAATTTGGATGATTTAGGATTGGAAGAAGGAATGTTACCAGATCTCATGGAAGATGTCAACATTCCCGAGCCTTTGATAACCAAGCAAGAATCAATGCCAGAAATATCTTCTCCTCCACAATCTCATTTATATCTTCCTCCACCGTCTCCTACTACACCTATTCCACAACTTACACCATCTCAATCTTCATCCGCATCAACTTCTACTCAAATATCTCCTCCTGCGCCTCCACCTCCACCTCCTCCTCCTCCGCCGCCTCCTCCACCTCCACCATCTGCATCGATGTCACCAAGAAAGGAATTAGTTAGTCCAATTGAAGCACAAGATGGAAGATCAGATTTGATGGCAGCAATTCGAGCAGCTGGTGGAGCTGGAAATGCTCGATTAAAAAGTGTTGATGAAGATGGAAATAAACCGGCAAATAGTTCGAGAAGAAAAGGAAAGGTGCGTTTAGGGAGCAAATTTTGAAAAGGCTTAGGAATTTTTAAATGAAATCCGACCTAATTCATTTTATTTTATGTCAAATCAAGGATGGTCCTTTTTTGGCCATTTTTCTCTATTTCTTTGGTCACTCTAGTCTGATTCAATTACCTCAAATTAACAAGAGGATTACTGTCAATTTTTCAAAAAAGGTGTTTTTTTCCCAGTTGTTTTCTGGGTTGTTTTTGAAAATATTGTATTTGTATTATTGTATTTAACCATAAAAACAGTAGTACATTTTTCGAAAAACAATAATATTAAGGATTACTGTAGTGTTTAGATATATGGATCTATCGAAAAACTGAAATCTAGAATCATATTTTTCTTCAAAAACTAAAAAAAATAGAGGAAATAAAATGAATGCAATTTCAAAATGTTCATCACAACTTTTTTTCGAAAAAGTACATATTCCCTTTTCGTTTCCAAGAGAAAAAAAATTAATTTTGATGATTATTAAAAAATCAACTGAAGTTGTTTTCTGGACTTTCGGCCTCGAGAACAAAACTAGGGAAAACTTCATCACTTTTTGCAGCAAATTAACTTGAGAGAAACATTTTTCTCTGAAAAATCCTCAAGAACATTTTGTTGAAATTCGGGGCTTTTCAGCTCCCCAAATAAATTTCATCTGTAACTTTTTAAATCAAAACAACTTCACTTTTTTCATAATATTTTTTATTTAACAATTTCTCAAATCAACACGAGAATTTACAAAATGTCGCATTTGCTTTTCTCGGCCCACGGATTTGTTTTGTTGTCGATTGGAGTGCAAAGTGGATCCTCGTTTGTCTCAACGTAATTACGAAGTTGAGCACTTGAAACACTAACAAGTGTTCTTTCCATATTCAATTGATTGTTGTACGATTCAACGGTTTTTTGCATTACATTTCTGTCCATTTTCAGTCTGAAAAACAATGAATCGAAAAGTTAATTTAGTATTTATTAAATAGTAGAGACACAGGAAATTGTGGAAAAAGTGCTAGAAAAAAGGTAAATGAAAATAATAAATAAAAAAGGGAAGAATGAAAAGGATCAGCACGGGCGAAAAAATGAGGGGGCAATCGATAGGCAAATGTGTGAGCTTTATTTTATCATCATCGTTGTGAGTTATTTCGAAAAAAGAGTGACATGAAATAATTGGATGTCTGGGGAATTTAAATTAAATCTTTTGGAATTTTCCTTCCGAAGTCACGTATGAAAAACAAACAGAAAATTAATTAAACCTGAAATGACTCAACAATTGCCACGTCATATGAACATTTAATTTCAGTACGATGGATTGTTGGAATCAACAGCTTTATCAACAGAAAATAAGAATTCTGGAACATCTGGCGGAGGAGATTTGATGTCAGCACTTTCGAGAGCTTTGAATGCGAGAAGAACTGCGATAAGTGGAAAAAAGCCGACGAAAAAAACTGAAAATGATGATGAATGGGATTGAAAAAATTGCCGAACATAGACACTGTGATACATTTGCCTTATACAATTTTACGGATACTGCAGATTTTTATATTGGATGATAAATAGAATGAAAATATAATTATTTGTTTTTTTTTTGTTATTGAGACTTTTGAAATGCGTTTTAAATTCGCATGAGATATACTTTTAATAATTGCTTTGAAAATCGATTCGAGATTTTTCTGACGAAGGAAAATCCACAAAATTTGGTCTCTAGCTTCTCTAAAGCAAGTTTTCATTAAAAAAACAAGGACAGATTCTGTTGTTTTTTTTTGGCTCCCAAGTCCATTCCGGTCCTAATTTTTTTTTTGGTTAAGTTTCATATCGTTTCTCAAAATTTCATCGACTTTTCAGCCGGTTCCCAAAAAGGTTCCATTGTGACAAAATTCTAAAAAAAAACATTGGAAAGTTTAATTTATTTTCATCACGTGTACGTGAAAATTCCAACAAAAATTAATCATTTTAAATATTCAGAAAAATATTTTATGTGAGTTTCATATATGATAGAGTATTACTGTAGATGACCCCGGATACTGTGGCTCTAACACCTAGTAATGTTTCCAATCTTTGCGAATTCTTATTTTCATTATCTAAAATGAAACATGTTTCCTGTTTTTTTCAGTTGTGAGTGGCTGAATGGGAGTGAAGAAGAATCCATCAGCATCTGAAGAGATTCATCTACCTGGACCACATCCGGCAAGAGGAATTTACGGTTTTGCACTTTATATTGTATCTTGGTGTTTATTGATTGCTTATTTATTTTGGGCAATTGTTCCAGTTCCAGTTTTACACAGTTTAGGTAACTCCTTTTGTTTTTTTTTTTTTTTGAAAAATTATATATTTTTTCAGGAATAACATATTTTCCATCGAAACTTTGGGCTCTTATAATTGGTTTTACTCTTCCTTTCCTTGTTATTTTATACATTTTGATTGTTTTCTCAATTAATTGTTGGAGATTTGGCGGGTATTCGATTTTCAAAAACGTGGAGGTTTGTTTGAAAAATTTAAAAGAAAAACGATTTATTTCATTTCCAGGAAGTTCAAAACGATTTTGGTGAACGAACTTCGGATACACCAATAAACGTATCACCGGCAAATTCAGTTATTCGAAAAAACAAAAAGAAAATCGTGAAAAAATGTTGAGAATTTCAAGAAGGTTTTTGGCAACAAGAGCTGAAATTCGAAAAACTCTCGAATCTGTGAAAAGAACAAGTATTAATCGGTCAGAGAAAATTGGAGAAATTCATAAAATTTGGCAGGAATTTGAAAGATCTGAAATTGCAAATGAAAATGTTATAAAAGCAAAAGATGATTATATGGCAGAATCAATGATTGGAGAAATGTTTTTGAAAAAAGACAAGGATTTTGCAAAGGTTTTGAAGAAGCGGGAATATTTGAACAAAATTGATGAGAAGAAAATAGAGGAAAATAATATTGAAGTGCAGAATTTTCCATTGAAATCGAATTCGATTGTTGAAATGGTTGAGAGTAAAGGATTTGAAGAAAATCAAGAAGAAAATGAAATGGATCGAGGATTTTATATTGAAGCTGATGTTTTGGTTGATGAATATGTGGCTGGAAGTTCGATGGATTTAGATCCTGGAGATGATATGGTGTAAGTTTAAACATGTTCAGATTTTTTGTAATAATGATGGCTAATTTTGACAAAATAAATAAATGTGATTTTAAGACATAAAAATTATGACAGTTCAGGACAATTGAAAGGTCAAACAAATGAAAATTCAAAGTTTCATACTTAAAAATATTAGCGTACAATTTGTAAATTTGAAAAGCACGATTCTGGTCGGAATGTGACTATATCCCTTATCCGAATCATTTTCTCAACCATTTTTTTCAGCTCTTCTCGTCAATATTTTGGTTCTGATGATGCTGTTGAACAAATTTCATTCCAACTTCCTGGACAGAAAAATCGAGAAAAAGATGATGATTATTCATCTGTAAGTTCTAAAATTGAAATTTAAAATCATATATCTAAAATTTCTTCAGAGTCCCGAAAAAGACATTGAACCTGAAATCACTGGAACAATTGTTGAAGAAATGCCAGCTTCGAGTCAACAATGTTCAGGTTGTGGAGCAAATTTTCATTGTAAAGACAGTTCGCTTCCCGGTTTTGTTCCTTTGGAAATTTTTGAAGTTTTGGAATCAAAAAAGAGAACAAAATCGAAAACTTCACTGTGTAAACGATGTCATCTTTTGCAGGAACATAATTTCTTGGTCAGTGTTTTTGAACAGAATATTTTTTTAAAGTTGATTTCAAATTTTCAGTTGAATGTAAATGTTTGCGATGTTGATTATTCTTCAATGATGAGTGAACTCAAAAAACAACCCGAATCATTAATTCTTCTCGTTGTTGATGTCACTGATTTACCAGGAAGTATTTATCCGAAATTAGCCGAAGTTATTGGTAGTCGAAAACCAATGATTGTTATTGGTAATAAAGTTGATTTATTACCACCGGATGCAAAAACAGGATATATGTACAGGTTCAAAACTACGGTTGAAAAAGCAATCGAAAAAGCTGGTTATCGAGATTCTTTCAATATTTTGCATACGGCTTTGGTTAGTGCAAAAACTGGATATGGAGTTGAAGATTTGATCACTGAAATTTATATGAAATATACAAATGTGAAAATGGGAATGAGAGGAAATATATTCCTGGTTGGATGTACGAATGCCGGAAAATCGTAAGTTTTTTTTTAACTGAAAATTAACTTTTGGATATTCAGAAGATACGAACCTTGTCAATTTTAACATCTTCTTATGTTTTTATATTTAAACATTTTTCAAAAATGAACTATGATTTTTACAATGCTCATATGTTCCAGAACAATGTTCAATGCACTTCTTCAATCTGATTTATGCAAAGTTCGAGCTGTTGATTTAGTCGATCGAGCAACAACAAGCATTTGGCCAGGAACAACAATTTCACTGCTCAAATTTCCTGTCATGAAACCATCGCCATATAAATTAGAAATGAGAAGAAGACGACTTATGGCCCATCGAGCATGGATGAAAAAAGAAATGCATTCTCGAAAACTATTACTTGAACAAACTGGAGATGATCGATATGCAATTCCAACTGCAGTTATACAAAATACATTTAAAGATTCGGAAGAAGAATTACAACCAATGGCATTGAAAGAATTAGAAGGTGGAAATGAAAATGGAAATGGAAATGGAAAAGATAATAAAGGATGGACACTTGAAGATTCAATATTTGTTAAAGGAAAATGGTGTTTTGATACACCAGGAACTGTAAATAATAATCAATGTTTATCAATGTTTACATTGGATGAATTGGTTAATGTAATTCCAAGAAGAATTCTTCGACCAAGAACTGCAATTGTTAAAAAAGGCGAAAGTTTATTGATTGGCGGAGTTGCGAGAATTGATATTATTGAAGTAAAAGATAGTGTTTTATTGACAACATTTGCTAATTCAAAATTGCCATTAAATGTTATGCCAACTGAAGAAATTAATGGATTTTTGGAAAAATGGTCGAAAACTTCAGCTCTTATTGTTCCGAATGGTATGTTAATCTAAAAAATAGGAAAAATTATGAGAAAATAATCCGGTTGAAGTTTTTGAAAAATAGTAAAACATCTTTAAACTTGACTAAAAATTATTTATTTTTTCACAAATCTTGGAATTTCAGTTTTCATTAATTTTTGATTTAATGAACCCCTGAAAAATCAAATTTTTCACAGGCGGTGCTCAAAGAATGTCTGAATGGCCTGGCCTTGGAACAGGACGAATTTTCGAAATGCACGGCCGAAAAAATGAAGGATGTTGTGATATTGTTCTTTCATCAATTGGTTGGGTTATGGTAACTTCAGATCGAGATGTCAAATTATCAGCATTTTCACCGGATTCAAAAGGTCTAACAGCTCGAGTTCAACCAATTCTTCCATTTTCGGCGAATTTGCGAGGAAAACGAACTGCTGGAACAAGTTTCTATAAAACCGAACCGATTGAATTTCCTGTAAATCTCAGAAGACAGAAAGCCAAAAATCGAGGAAAATCCAAAAATTAATATTTATTTTTGTTATGGTGCTATATAATAGGTTAGGTTTTGTTGTTATTTGTTTGTTATAAACTGTTTTTTCTTTGATTTGATTTTCTATATTTATTTAACAATTTGATGGTAAATGAAAACCATGTTATAATATCTGAAAAATTTCACAAATTATTTAAGTAATTTTTTTGTAGGTTCGAAAATGAATTGATCCGAAAATCTGATCTCAAAACAAAATGGATAAATTTTTCACAGATGAACGAAAAATTCATATATCATCTGCGGCTGTTTTGATTTTTGTCATTTTTTATGGAATTATTGGGTGAGTAAAGATATTTTCAGAAAATCTTAATTTATTTGAAAATTCCAGATTTTTGCCGAGTTTGTTGATTGTCGCAAGTTTATTTGCTGGAATTGCAGTATCGTTATGGTGTTTTTCGAGTGCGAATGGAGAAATGTTCGATGCATGGAAGGTACTGTAGTTTTGCTGCCAAGGAAATGTATACCTGCTTTTTTTATTTGGCAACCGACTTTTCGGAATTTAGAAAAATATTATTTTAAAAAATTCCATATTCCAGACATCACTTACATCAAAATTGATGTCAATTCTTCCATCAACTGCAACTTCAACAAGCAATTCAAAAATCGATTTTGAAAGTGAAAAAACTCGTCGAATGCCATGGGAAGGTTTAACACTTCCCTCGTCACTCAATGAAAGTCTCGAAAATCTTTTGAATGAAATCGTTGAACAATATTTTAATTGGTGGTATGGTCGAAATATCAGTCAGGATCGAGCATTTCTCAATGAAATACGGTATATTTTTGATTGGAAAATATTTATTGTTTTATATTGTTTTTTTTGTTGTTAAAATTACACATATTTCAGCTATCAATTGAGATATTCTTCGGCTAATTTGGTAAAATGTATTCGAAGAATTGATTTAGCTGAATTTGTAACTGAAAAAGCACTACCAATTTCACTATTTCATGTGACAAGATTGGATGAAATGGAAAGAAAAATAAAAGAAAATGGAGCAAATTGTCCACGATCAATGATTGAATCAAAAATGGCTGAAATGTTAACAGATTGTCATATTGCATTAACAAATCGAGAACAAGAAACTGAATATCTCAAACAAGTCGCTGATTTTCTTATTCCAAGATTATTAGATGAAACTCGATTAGCTGGAAGAGCACATGATGATGATAGTCCATTTAAAATATTTGGAAGATCAAAAAATGAAAGACCGTGGCCATCAAAATCAGTTCGAAATTGTATGAGAGAAATGTTGACAAATGCTGTATTAATACCATTATTGGATATGTTATCACAACCAGATACAATTAATTATTGGCTTATTCTACTTTTTGATGATAATAAACAACAACAAATAAGTGATCCTGTTGATTTGACAGAAGTTCAATTTTTGAAAGGATTATCTTGTGATGCAATTATTGACAATGTTCCTGATTCATTACTTCAATTGAAATTGAGTGAAATTTTGAGAGATGCAAAATATTATTCAATATTTCGAATGTATCTTCAAGATATTCGTGGACCTGTTCATGAATTGCAATTTTTAGCAGAAGCAACAAGAATTCATGAAAGTATTCAACGAAAATCTGAAAAAGCAAGTCAAATTGCATATGATATTTGGCAATTATACACACAATTTATACATGAAAGTGCGCAGGAAAAAGTAATTCTTGATGAAAAATTAGTGGCAAAATATGAAGAAGCTGTGGAAAGTAAAGATATCGAAATTCTTGAAGGTATTATTGAAACATCTTATCAAGTTGTATATAATCGAATGCAAACTGATCATGTTATATCATTTTGTCAATCTGAATGTTTTCTTGGATTTTTATGTGGCTCACCGCCGATTACAATTAATGAATTAATCGATAGAGATACACAAGAAAGAAGAAAACATCAACCAGTTGAGAAAACATTTTCATTATCACAACTTCGTGCAAGAGTTCGAAAAGCATTGATAAGTGATGGAGATTCGGAAGAAGAACAACAAGCAAATACACCTGAATCCCAATCTTCTTCTTCAACAAGTTCTTTTGTAAATGTTCCATCAATTGATGTCATATCAGAAGAAGAAGGAGATATTGTTCAAGAAGAATCAATTGCAGCTGAAGAAAGATGTGAAAATGTTGGAGGTGGATTAATTATGGATGCGGATGCAAGAGATTTGAATACTTGGAAAGTAAATGTTGCCAAAGTTGCACCATTAAAAGATACTTATACAGGTTTGTGACACAAAAACAATTGCATATAAATTTATTTTCAAAATTTTCAGACCGAACAATTTATGTGTTTGTTATTGAAGTTGAAAGACCAGATGCAAAACCACACGAAACTCGAAGTTGGTCTATTCATCGATCATTTAATGAATTCTATGTTCTCGAATCAAAACTCAATGTTTTCCACGGCGATTCTCTTCGTTTTGCTGCTCTTCCTATTCGAAAAACATTTGTCACACGAAATCGTCCATTTATGGAACAACATCGTCTCATTTTCTCAACTTTTATCTCAACTCTTTGCAAACAAAAAGTTCTGAATCGATCTGAACTCTTACTTACATTTTTGTCGAGTAACGAAGAATTTCGAGATACTCTTATGTTGAGTGATTTGAATCCGTGGAAAGTTGTCAAAAAGATGCCTGGAAAATTGTCGAGAGAAAAAGGGCAGAATTTAAAACCATATTTATTGAAAACATTGGCAAATACACTTGCACCAGTTATTCTTCCTTCAGAAGAGAAAGTATTTGATAAAACATTTAGTTCTGATATTCAAGAAAATGGGTAAGCTTGAACTTCAGAATTTTGAAACAATTTTTAAAAATATTTCAGAAGTATCGGTTCACTTGGTCTAACTTCTCCTCCAATAAATACAGTTGCAACAAATGTAATTTATTCATCAGTTTATGGAAATAATTTTGGTGGAATTATTGATTCCGAAATTGCTCGAAATAATGTAATCGAAAGATCAATTTGGAGTAAAAGTTCATTCGATGCAATTCTTCTTTTAATTTGGTCGACTTTCTCAAAATTCCCCTATATTTTGAATATTCTTTCGGCTATCAGAACACTTTGTTCGACAACAATCAATTCAACAATTCGATTGATTTTTGATGGAGTTTTTCAAAAATGTTTGCGAATTGAGAATCTTGTTTATCTTGTTCAACATATTCAATATACACTTTTTAATAATGATCAACCTTGGCCAACAGAACAAGAAATGAAAATGAGAGAAGAATTAGCAAAAAGAAGAACATTGGAATATTTTCAAAATTTTGTAAGTTTTTTAAAACTTTATAAAAATATATTATTTTTCTCAACTTGTATTTTCAGATAAATCACCGTGCTGAACGATTAATTGGTCGAGAACATATCAAAGATCTAGTGAGCCGCCTTTTAGAAGGACTACAGTATCCACGAATGAATAAACAATTGCTATATGTTATTTTAGATCAATTATTAGTTGATGTATTTACGGAACTCAGCGAAGAAGGACATCATCCATTACAATAATAATTATAATTTAAATGGTGCTATTTATATATTTATTTGCATGAATGTAAATATAAATTATATTTGTTAACAATATTCGCAAGTTTTTGCACAGAATCTTTTCTTATCCTCATCTGAATAATGTGTATTCATACAAAAACCATTTCGATTCCAAGCTTGACATTTTGCAGCATCCAAATCTGCACATTTTGGAGGAGTTGTTGTTGTGGCACCTGGGCATAAATTACATGTCACTGGACAAAATCTGGAAATAATTTGATGTCTTTCAGTTTTATCGAAAATGATTTACTCTTTGAGCATCTTTTGAAGTTTCGAATTATTGCAATTGCTTTTTAGAGAAGCACAATCTGTATCTGGATCATCTTTACAAACCACGGTTATTGTTGTTTTTGGAACTTCTGTACTGGTTTTATCATCTCCAGCTGCGTGGGTTACTGTACCTGAGCCAATTGATTTTTTTTCCAAAAAAAACTGAACTTACAAGCTAATGCTAGACAAAGAAGGATTATAGATAAGAAACGATTCATTTTTTGAAATCAAATGAAATGCTCACAAAAATGGTTTTTATAAGTAGAGAACGGATTAAAATGATAACAAATTTTTCTGTTTGATTTTCAATGAAAAATGATATCATGGAAAGGTGTGGTTTGAAAAAAATTTACTAGCTCAAGGAAGAATTGGCCCAAAAAATTATGATGTGGCAAACTTTTCATTTTTCTGAAAACCGGACAAAAATAATTTAAACAGTAAAATTTAGTGTTTCAACTAAGCTAACAAAATGTAGTCCCAAAATGCATTATTTATTTTTTACACGTTCACAAAAATTCCATTTTTACATGTTCTCGTTGAAAATCGTGAAATTTCCAGATTTCACAAAAAACCGAAATGAAGAAGTAAACGAGAGAGTGTTGCGTCTAGAAGAGACGAGGAGAGAGAAGGAGAGAAAATGAGAGATAGAAACAGGTAAGAGAGAACGCCAGACAACACGATGTTTGTGAATTTTTTCAAACCTCAAAAACAGGTCAATTTTTTTTCCCAAGCTATTTTTCCCAAATTTTTTTCCCAAGTTGATTTTTCATTTTCCCAAGTTTTATTTTTCCCAAATTTTTTTCACAAGTAAGTTTTTGTTTTTCCCAAGTTTTTTTCCCAATTTTTCTTTTTTTCCCAAATTGTCGTTTTTTACCCAATTCTTCAAGTTTTTTTTCCGGTATTTCCTATTTTTCAAAGCCAATTGAGTACTGATCCCACATATCAGCTTCTCCCGGTCATAACCTGAAATTATGCAATTCCTAAATGCGAAAATGCTAAAATTAGTCGAAAAAAATTTTGTTTTTGGAATGAACATTGTGATTTTTCACAAGTTTGTCGGAACGAAAACAGCAGATTCAGACTGATATTTTGAGAGGCCGACTGTAAAAAATGTACCAACATTCAGTTTTCTGGGCGTTTAACTAAGCCTAAGCCTAATTCTGAAGTTGAGAAGCCAAAAGTAAGATTTTTTAATTTTTCTATTATTCTTTCTAGGCTTAGGCTTAGTGAACCCTCCTGGAAACATACAGACTCGCCGAAAATTGAAAAAAACACACCACACTTTACACAAGAAAAACTCTCATTTTTCTAGTAGCTATTTTTGACGGACCCTTCTATTTTATAAAATTTCGAGATCCTCATATAGAGAATCAAAATCCCTGATGTTCTTAAAAAACGAACCAATTTCATGCGATCCGAAAATTTGGGAAAAAAACTAAAAATTGGGAAAAAAACTTGGGAAAATGAAAAAATAACTTGGGAAAAAAATTTGGGAAAAATAAAACTTGGGAAAATGAAAAATCAACTTGGGAAAAAAATTTGGGAAAAATAGCTTGGGAAAAAAAATTGACCCAAAAACATTTTTCGTTTTTTCACAAAAAATGCTAAAATCCTTCATACTTAACCAAATTTCAAAATCTTTGCGGCAAAAGATAGTAAATCCTCGAGAATAGAAATGGCAAAAAGAAAAACCTCAAAAGTGTTTCACCAAACACCAAAAAATGTGATTATAGGTTTTCCCCCTTGATTTTTATAATGTTCAACTTGTTTTCTATGAACACTTTAAATGTTATTCATTTTCTATACAAAAAGAATTCTGGGTGACCATTTTAAACATTTCTAAAAGTGTTGTATTATTGCATTATTTTTGCCAGCCTAGTTTCAAAAGATTTTGCTTTGCAAATTATTTGAACTTTATAATTCTCAATTTTTTCGAGAAAAACAAATTCATTTGATTAGGTTTTTGCAGTGAGTTCTTCCATCAATTCATCCATCATCATTTTTTTGAGTCCTTTTGTCAAAATTTCATCGCTAAAACCACTGAAATCCAAAGTCAATTTCAAATCGATCTAAAAAATACAGTTTTATTTTAATTATCAATAAAAAATGAGCTTACATCGCCAAATTCTAAAGGTGGCATTTCTTGAAAAACTCGATCTGCCACTGCTTTGCACCATGGACGAATTTGTTCGATTGTCAGATTTTGGCGCATTTTCTGAAATTTGAAACGATTATTTTATTTTCTGAAGTGTGAGACGGGATAAAACTCACAACGCTGAGTCGCTTTCTTGGACGTTTTGATGAACTGAAATTGTTTTTCAGATTATTTTTTTAATTAGGGAAAACTCACTCATCTGATTTTTTCTTCTCTTTTTCTGTTTTCCGACATTTTCAAAAATATTATATTTAGGAATGATTAGAAAATTCTGGAGGAAATTTTGGATTTGAAAAAAATTTCACGTGCACGTTTTTATTTTATCCACAAAAAATTCCAAATTTTTGTTCAAAATTATTCGGGTTACTGTAGTTTTTAAGTTAGAAAAATGTTCATTTTTGTGGTTCAAGTAAGTTTTTCCGCCAAACTTCTGACTTACGTACAGTAACCCAAGCTCCTATGGTCTGAATTTCCAAATAAAAAATTGTTTTTCAGAAATCCACAATTTTACAAAAACAGTTTGTCACTTTCATTTTCTATAAAACAAACCGGTATATCCAAAAGTACGATTTAATAATTATTTGGGTTCAATCCGTCTCAAGAATATACAATTTATATGTATTTATTTATCTGCTGTCTAGTTTTATATTTTACTCGAGTGTTGTTTTTTTCTGTCGTGAAATGAATAACAAATAAATATTCATGTTTTTTCTCAAAAAATCTCACTTTCATTCCGAAACTTTTTTTATTTCTGTGGATGAGTAAAACAAAAATTTGGGATTTTTTCAACTTTTCATATATTTTCTTGGGTGTGACTTCAACAGGAAAAAAACGAGTATTTTTGTATTTGGATCGATTAATCATAACATACATAGTCTTTTTCTAAATATTTGAACATGGATACTTTGGGTATCGGATGAGAAGAAGAAGAAGAAGAAGAAGAAGATGACAAAATGAAGAAGAAGAAATCCGGTTTATCCGAATATCCAGTCAGCTTCATTTCGTTTTCTTCTTTCGTCTTCTCCGAAACGAAATGACCACACAAATATGTTTTTATGACACTGTTTCTGTTTCAAATAATATTTCAAACTTTTTTCTTTTAACCTGAAACCGTTTTACTTTATATCCACTTAAAAGTTATCTACTCCTATGAAAAACCTTTATTTTTTGCAGAATGATTTTATATCTCGTGCTGATATTTATTCCATTTTCATTATCTCAATTTACTTCTCAAACTTATCCCGATCCACGTTTGGATCCTCTTTCGTGTCGTTTGGCATTGCCAAGTCAAGTTTGTGATCCATCAGCAATTGTAACTGATGAAGAGAGAACTCGACTTGTTGGAAGAATTAATCAACTTCATGGAATAACATCTGGAATTCGGAATACTTCACCAGCTTGTTCTTTGCAGCCAGACAGAAATCTTGAGGTATTTGAACTTTTAACTTTTTTAAAAATAACTTTTATATGTAAGATCAGGGATTTAATTTCTGGAAAAAAAGTTCCAGAATTTTTGGCTGGACCACTTTTATGAATCTGGTCTCAGGACTAATTTTTTGGAACTCTACTTCAGTTATAGTTTTATGACTAGAAATCAGTTATAGAAAAAAATTTTAAATAACAATTATTTTGACAATTTTTGGGGTGAGACCAGAAAAAGTTTATCTCACAATCAACATTAAAATAACTTTTTTCATTTTTTTCTTCCAGATAATTGTTGCAATAATCGATAAAATCGGAAGTGTTCCTGGTGCTCCGATTGACATCGAAAAATTCGCTAACAATTTGAAAAGAAGATATCAAAATTTCCAAGATGTTGGAATGTGTGATACAACTGTTCTGATTGTAAATTCACGACAAGATCGACAAGTTTTTACGGTTGCTGGACGAGATGCAAAAATCTCAAAGGAAACATTGAAATCTGCTTTTGAGCGAAACATTGGACATTTCAAATCTGGTCATTATGCATTGGGTCTCGAAGGAATGATTGAAGTTATTGTTGCCGCATATTCAAATGGACATATTGTACAAGTTCCAACTCCAGATATCTTCAAACCAACAGAGTTAGTTCAAAACTAAACCTTTGAGAGATCAAATCAATCTGAATTTTCAGTTTCATGACACCATCTTCCGCTTCCGAAACTCAACAATTCCGCGCTGCCGGTCTTCCAAACTCAGTTCAACCAGCTAAAAAATCCTTCACCGCTTTGCCAACTGAAAATGTTGACGAAGATGACAAAATCTGGGTTTCAATTCTTCAACAAGCAATGTCTCGATGTGGCCAAAATGAAGGAGATTTGGCAAGAAATGTGAGAGCTGTTGTTGAAGAAGCAATGAATATTTCGTTGAAATTAATCTCTGATCAAAGATATAATAATATTGAGGAAGAAGTTGAAACAAATAAAGATATAATTGGAAGTCGACAAAAAGCATGGGATAATGCTTATTCCGAATTTATTCAACCAATTTATGCGAAGTATCGAAATAATGTTTTGAATGGAGTTGGAGCATCAACTTGTCCAGTTTCAAAGAATTTGAAAAGAAGAAGACATCATCAATAATCAATTATTGATTGTTTTTTTGTTTTGAAAATTCTTCTATTTTATTTTTGAAAATTATCAACATTTTGTTGTTTATTTATTTTTATTTATTTTTTTGTAAAACGGGTCGAGTAAAATAAACAATTAGAGATAAAGAAGTTTTTTGAAATGATGTCTAATCTGATTGAAAATAGAATTTTGAAAATTTCAAAAACAATTCGCACTCCCCTGAAAAATTCCATTTTTATGAAATCGTGAAATAAATATATTTTTTTCAAAACGTGTGACCTGAAAAAATCCAATCATTTTCTATTTATTTACGGTTGGAAAATGCCAAGAAGGGTAATCAATTAATCAATCTACAGTAACCCCTAAAATATTTTTGTAGAGAGCTGAACATGGACATCAAAAGCCAGGTTGCTGTGAATTATTATTGAATTTAATATGTGGTTGTGGAATGTGTTGTTTCATGTTTTGTTGTCCTCCAATTCCATCAATTATTGTAAAAAAGTTTGCATTTCATCCACCGGAAAAAGATTTAACATATCGTATTGTATCAAAAAATGAATCTGATCGAAAAATAAAAAATATTTCTGATTTAAAAAATAATGAAGATATCGAATTGATTATTCGGAAAATGGACAAGAAAAATGAGGAACATTGTTTTTCGAAAGAAGAAGTTGAAGTATTTTCAGTGGAAACTGATCGAAAAAATAATATTGTTTGTGTTCGATGTTATCCAAAACAACAATCAAAACATTCACAACTTCAAGATCAAGTTATATTATTTTGTCAACCAAATTCTTCTGATCTTGGCGGATATCTTCAACCAACTTTCATGAATTTTTTGAGTTATGCAAACTATTTTGAAATGGATGTGTTTGCGTTCGATTATTCTGGGTAATTTTGATTTTGGGAGTTCAGAAAATTTCGATTTTTGTCTAGGAATAAAGATTGATGTTGAGTAATCTGATTGTGAACATGACTGGGTTACTGTAGCTTGATTTTCAAAATAATTTTTCAGATTTGGATATTCATCTGGTTCACCAAGCGAGAAAAATATCAATTCAGATGTTCGTGCAGTTTACAAAAAAGTTCGAGAATTGTGTCCAGAAAAGCGGATAGTTTTATTTGGTTTTAGTATTGGAACAACTGCTGTCATTGATTTAGCATCTTCAAATCCTGATGATTTGGCTGGTGTTATTTTGGTTGCACCATTTACAAGTGGAATAAGATTGATGACTGGAAAAGCAGATGATCCAAAGACATGTTGTGCTGATTCTTTTACAAGGTGGGCAAATCCTGATGCTGACTCAAATTAGAAAACCCTATTTTGGTCCAATAATTCACTCTCATAAGCTTTGTGTCCTCAATGAGTTGCCTTTATCATCAAATCAAATCATAAAAAAGTGAATCTACACAAGGAAAAAATCGAAAGTCAATCCAAAAATCTCGTTTTCAACCCTCTCTCTTTCTCTTTTTATCATTTCCCAAAAAACAAGCATTTTCCAGCTATGATAAAATTGGAAAAATCGACTGCAAAGTGTTAATTTGTCATGGTGATTCGGATGAAATGATACCATTAATTCACGGTTTAACATTAAATGAAAAACTGAAAAATCCGGCACCAATTGCAATAATTCGAGGAGCAACACATCAAAATATATTGAGTCCATCGCATATTACAACTTTTGATCGAATTTTGAGGTTTTTGAAAACTGAAACAAATTTGAGCTCGAGGTCGAATGAAAGAAAAAGAAAAGAGGATAAAAATGAGGAAAGTGTAGAAAGTGAACATGATGATAAATGATAATTTGAACTGTTTTTTTAAGAAATTAAATTTTTTAACTGAAACTAGAACTCTCGAATTGTCATTCTCAATTTGGAATTTTTTAAAAGAAACACCAGGCGGCCTCGGTCCCGTCTTGAAAAATGTTGGACGTTTTGAATTTTTGGCGCGCAATTCCAATTCGAGTTAACAAAGATTACTGTAGACTTCAGGAAACTCTGCTGAAAATTTGAATTAATATTTTTCAAAAAAAATCGATCATATTTGCAAACGTCATAAAAGTACTGTATAAAATATAGATTTTCAGTTTTTAATAATTAAGTTTTGTTTCGTTGAACCGTGCCGTGGATTTGCTAAATTCGGAAAAATGTTTATTAATTATTTTTCTTGTTTTCTCAAATGTTTTATTCAAATAGATTTGAATATTATTTTCCATTAGAGAAGTTTTATAAAAAAGATTTCGTGGAACCTATATTTTTGTAATGAGATGTCTATTGTTTCCCAATACATTTTTTGTTAAACCGAATCCTCATTGTTTCTTTTCGCATATAAATACAATTAAAAATAGTTAGAGGTCGCACATAATTATTATCAGCCTAGTTTTTATCTACAACATCTTGTTTATTTTTTCATTTTCATTTTCTCATTCAATTTTCAATGTTTTCCCTCAAATTTTCCTCAAGGACAGCCACAATTTTCTGCAGTCTGTCTGTCTTCTTATTTATAGATCTATATATAAATGATTTTTACCGGAGTGATATATTATTTATCCATCGTCATTTTTTCTCTTTCAATATTATTGCATAAGAGATTTGATTTGCCTTTTTTTGTAGAAATAAGAACAGGTTTCGAAGACTCATAGACAGGAAGAAAAAAAGGAACATTGATGGCATTTTCCATTTTTTCTCATTCCATTCTTTTGAAACGCTTTTTAATGATTTTTTTGAGGTATGTGTTAATATTCTGAATATGTTTGGAAAAAATAAAACTTCAAACATTTTTTCCGAACCATTTTTTCTGTAGGATCAGATTAGACATATTACTTTCATCGGTTATTGAGTTTTTTGTAAAGCTATTCATGTGTGAAATTATTACGTCAAATTCTGAAAATATTCTTAAAGTTGAAACATGTGTGACAGATTTTATGAGATTCGTAATTTTCATTATTTTTCTCTCTATTAATTTTTATGATGTTGTAAATTGTGTGTTGCATTTTCAGAATTCGTAATTCATCAATGTTGGAAACTGAACTGAACTCAATTTTATGTGAGACTGAAACTTCATATTTTTCCAATTCCGATAAATTTTCCATTTCATATGCTCGAAAATTGAAAATTTATGAACTTTTGGAACATAATAATTTTTGAATATTGCAATTTTAAATTTTAAACCCATCTTAATTTTCAATATTCAATACTCCTTTGCGTCAAATTCTGAAAAAAATTTTTGCAAAAAGCAAAAATCCTTATATATTAGAATTTCATATCTTGTAATATAATACTGCAGACTTTCAATCAATTTCCGATTGTCTGTAAAAATTTGGCAGAAAATCGAAAATCCACAAAAACTGTCAAAGATCTCTCGGCATACCTCCTGCGTCATTTTTATCTTCAATTCTTGTTGAATTTCTCTTTCCATCTTTGATCAAGTAAATCCATCTTCTTTTTTCTTTTTTCTTTTTTCGTTTTTTACGGAACAAGCTTTTTTATCAATGTGTTACGTAATTTCTGGATGACTGGCTAGTTGGGATCTTTCGTTAATTAAGTTATTTAGTTAATTATTCGATAAACAGGTTTATATTTTGAGATGAGAAATGAGATGTTTTTAGTTATGTAATAAAATAGTTAACTAAAAAGTAATGACTTTCAGACAGATAAAAATCGGTTTCAGTTGATTCGAAATCTCTATAAAATAATTTATTTTTATTCAGATTGAAAATCGACAAATCTCGAATATTTCTATCGATTCTCGCTTGTTTTCTTCTTATCAATAAGCTTCTTTTGTCATATTCATTCAGATATATCAGCTAACATATGTAGTTTTTTCCTTTTTTTTTTTGTTTCAAAAAATGCTAACTTGAGAATAAAGGCAAATTTATCTGTGTTATTCGATTCAAATTGTTTTTAATAAAATCTATCTTATTTTTGAAGATTGCCACTTGAGAATTTTGGCATTAGCATGCCAAAAACCACGTTGTTGAAATTTTGAAAAGAAAGTGAGAGAAATAGATTATGATCTTATTATTCCACTCTTATTTGTGTATTTTTTATTGAATAAATTATATTTTTTAATTAATTGATTTTTCAGATGAAAAACGAGAAAAATGATACAAAATTAGAAGTTGGGAAATTACCGGATCAATATAAATCATCTGGAAAATTGAACACGAAATATTATTTAATAATTCCTGCGTTAATTTGTGGTTGTTTAGTTTGGTTTGCTTATAATCAATGGCAAAATCCACCAGAATTACAAAAAACACCCGAAAGTTTACTTCGTAAGTTATATATATATATATATTTGAAAAGCGAATCTAATTTAATCATATTTTTTTAGCAAAAGAACGAGTTTGGTGGATGCCTGATTTATTAAAAACACTTCCAGCATTGGCTGATGGATTTAGAAGTGAAAAAGTGAGTTAGAATTGTAAATACTAACAAGTCAGCCTTAGGAGTTTCATGAAGTTGTTTTTGAAACAATTTTAATGTTTTTTTTGCAGTATTTGGAGCGTTACAATATGTCAACTTGTTTGATCGAAGGAAACTTCGAGAAAACAGCAGCTGCTGTTAGTTGTTATCTTTTGAATCCAGAAAATTATGCGAAGAATAATAAAAGTATTTCGACAGATACAGTAGGACATGGGTAAGTGTTTTATTTTTGAAAAAAACACAGAAAAAGCTACAGTAATCCTCAGAAATTGTGTAGTTTCTCTGATCTACAGTACTCCTAGTTCCTGAATCTGAAAAATTTCAAATCTACATTTTAATTAAAATTTGTTTAGATTCTGTGGAAACTCTCCTCCACTTTCACTTTATTCTTGGGGAGATTGGAAAAAATATCTATCAAAACCAATGCGAAAATTAGTTATGATTCAACAACCTTTGGAGAGATTTGTGAGGCAATTCTCTGAATTTTGTGTTCGTCAAAAAATATGTTTTGATTGTGGAACAGATGTTGCATGTTTTCTTCGCAAAATCAAAAAAGATTTGGAAAAAATTGCGGAAGGTTTGAAAGGAAATATTCGAACACCGTTGACACGTGTTTTCAGTCCACAATCATGGTAAGTATTTTTTAGCGTAGTTCAGGAAAAAGTCATGTTCAAATTTAGGTATTGTCATTTGAATCATCATCTTCGAGAATACGAATTCATAAAACTTGGAGGAAATTCGACTGAAAAAGAAGAATATATCAATCAATGGACAACAATTCTTGAAAAACAAGGAGTAAAAGAAAATTTGCTAGAAAATATTAAAAATGAAATAAATAAAATAGCAATGGAACTAACAACAGATGATATGAAATTATATGCAAATATTCGAAAAGATGTTGATCTATTTCGACTTTTTCGACAAGTTTATGAATATGATTATTTGATTTTTGGCTACTCATTGGAAGTTTAAATAGTTTTGTTTTTCAAATTTCAAAAAAAAAATACGGGTTTCTATCTGGTGCTTTTTTTGTATGTATCGAATGAAGTTGTTTTTTTCTGAGTCATTAAAACAGTCATTTGCAAAATTTACAGATAATTTTTAAGAGCTAGCCAGAGTCTAGCTAGAAAATATATAATTCTAGTGTAGTCTTATCAAAATTCTCCGACTGTTTTTTCATAGATGATTTTTCCCTCGAGTAAACACATATAATTGTTGGTTCATTTTATTTTTCTTATCATTTTTGCTCATTTTTTGGCCTCACAGATGGGTTTTGCTATTTATATTTTCACCGTTTTTGTACTTTATTTAGCTATAAATGCTTCAAAAATATACAAATTTCTGAAAAAACGGCTGAAAATCTATAAATATGTTGGACAAATTGATGGTCCAACGGCAATGCCAATTCTAGGAACCACGTGGCAATTTAAACTCGATTCGAAGGGTAAGTTCAGAATATTTGAAGATGTAAGATTTCGTAGTTTCAAATAGGATTTTCGCTTCAATTATATAACTGGGCTATGGAATACTGTGAAAAAGGAGCTGGATTAGCAACATTTTGGATTGGACCACAACCTTTGATTGTTGTATTAAATGCAGATGCAGTTAAGGTAATTTAAAAATAAGAATTTTTCTGAAAGTACTGATTGAAATTGATCTTTAGATTGTCAGAAAAATTGTATAATGACGTTTTCAAAGTTCTTATATGTCATAATTTTTAAATTCCGAATATCTTGTTTCTGAACCAGTTTGTCTTGTGACCCAAAATATCTTCTGTCATTTTTCAGACAGTTTTGGAAAGTAACAAACTAATCGATAAAAGTGATGAATATAATGTATTCCTTCCATGGTTGGGTGATGGTTTATTACTTTCTGGCGGAGATCGATGGAGACAACGAAGAAAACTTCTAACTCCCTCATTTCATTTCAATGTTCTTCAAGAATTCCAACAAGTTTTTGATTTTCAGTCAAAAGTTTTGATTGAAAAAATAGAAGAAGAAATGAAAAAACAAACGACATTTGACGTGTTTCCTTTTATCAAAAGATGTGCACTTGATATCATTTGTGGTAAGTGATATAAATAAATATAATTTTGGGAAATTTCCTAGAATTCTCAAAGAAAACAATTAAAATATAGTATTTTTTAAATAGAAACTGCCATGGGAACAACAGTCGATGCTCAAACAAATCATAATCATCCGTATGTTTTGGCTGTGGCAGAAATGAATAAATTAGCCTATGAATATCAAAGAAAACCATGGCTTTGGATTCCAATTTTGGCAAAAGTTTTGGGATTTACAAGTCGACATAAATATAATCTTGATCTTGTGTTGGATTTCACACGAAAAGTGATTGACGAAAAACAAAAAGAGTTTGAAGAATCTGGAAATATTGATGATGGAAAAAGAAAAGCTTTTCTTGATATGCTTATTGAAGTATGATTAGTGATAATCTCAAATTTCTCAACAAATGATACATTTCAGATGAAAGAAGAAGGCGGATTAAATGATGAAGATATTCGATCAGAAGTTGATACATTTATGTTTGAAGGACATGATACAACATCTGCTGGAATTGGATGGACACTTTGGTGTTTAGCAACACATCCCGAATATCAGAAAAAGTGCCACGAAGAATTGGATAGTGTTTTCGGTAAGTTTATTATCCAAATTGTTGTCATAATTATTTAAAAACAATTTGATAATTTTCAGAGAGCATAAATCAAGAATGTTCTACAGATGATTTGAAAAATCTAAAATATCTCGATAAATGTATCAAAGAATCACTGCGAATGAGACCATCTGTACCACAATTTGCAAGAGAAGTTCGAGAAGACATTGTAGTCGGTAAGAAAAAGATAATAAATTTTAAGACTTTTTCCCAAAGATAAGAAAAAGTTTCAGACAATTTTTATCGATAAAAAAGTTTGCAATAATGTTTTTGCAGATGGCAAAATAATTCCCGAAGGTTGCTCAATTATGGTTTCTCCTGCTTTTATGCACAATAATCCGAGAAACTATGAGAGATTTGAAGAATATGATCCAGAAAGATTTTCAGAGGATAATATTTCGAAAAGACATGCTTATGCTTATATTCCTTTTAGTGCTGGACCAAGGAATTGTATAGGTTTGTGAAAAAAAAAGTGTCGAGGACAAAAAACAGCATATGTAACTTCGAACAAAAAAATATAACTGTTTTGAAATATTTCAGGTCAAAAATTTGCAATGCAAGAAGAAAAAACGGTAATCTCATGGGTTCTCCGCCGTTTCGAAATATCAACAACAACCCCATTTCTTGATAATATGCCACTTCCCGAAACAATCACTAGACCAGAATTTGGTTTTCCAATTACATTCAAACTTCGCACCTGATTTTTTGTTTTGTTTTCATTTTTTAATAAAAATAATTTCTTGTTTTGTTTTGTTTTGTTTTGAATTCAATCAGCTGGTTCAAAAATCATCATGAAAATATTATTTTTTATAGAGAAGGGCGCGCGCCAAAAACATTCACTCAAACAACTCGAATAATATAAATATTTTTGTTTTTCAACAAAAAAATGACCGAATGACTATTTCGGTTCCTTTTTTCGTCTTTGCATCTTAAAAAACACGAAAACACGCATTTATTCTTTTTCTTCTGTTTTTGTTGATATTGTTTTTGTCCAACTCATTTTTCTTGGATTACTGTAATTGTGTTATTTGAAAATTTGAAAAACAGTTCCAATTTTAAGAATTACTGTAGATGAGTAAAATATGAAGAACTAGAAGAAGAATAAGTATCTAGTATCTGAAGAAAACAATTTTCAAGATTTCGTCGCACAAAAAAACTTGAAAACAAACTCATTTTCATTGCGCGCGCCGCGGCAAAAATATTTTTCTGCTATTTTTCGTCGTGTCTCAGTCAAAAACAACTAGATTTTACGAAAAAAATATTTCACATAATCCAACAAAAATATTTTTCGTTTGCTTGTTTTCTTCGTGTCTGCAAATTACGGTAGAATATTTTTCTTATACATTAGTTTTCTTGATTCATTTTCAGAAAAGGAAAAATTAATTTTGAGAAAAAAAAACGAATGATTATATTTCTAGAAAAAAAAACAGAAACTATATTGATACAGTTTGTGGAAAGAAACATGGAAGAAAAAAGACAGTTTTCCGACCACATGTTATTTTCTGCTCACAAAGAAAACTATTTTGGAATTATTCGAGAGCTCTAAAATTATCTCATGTTGATAAAACTAAGCAATTCAAAATTTTCAGAGCGCATTTGATAATCGTTATGTTCTCAAGTTTAAAATTTGCACTAATTTCCAAAGTGACTCAAATTATTTTTCAGTTAACCTTAAAGTTCATTCAATCAAATTAGAAAATATTCAGCTGTCTGAGATCTCAAATTCAATTAAAATGTTTTCATGATATTTATGAATCATGTTCTCTGAAAAAAATAAGAAAGACAGTCAGAATAAAATTTTAATTTTTTAATGACGTGATCTACTTTTTTTCACTTGAGACATAATTTCAAAAAATTTCTTTTGAAACGCATTTGATTATTTTGAAAAACGATCGTTGGAGAAAATAACATGCTTTCAAAACATTGCTGGAAAAATTGTTTTGCTGTGATTTCAAAACATTTTTAGATATATTTTTTCCAAAAATTTGCAATAAATTTTTCTAATTTTTTTTGCATATTTTATTCTAGTTTTTTGCGAGTTGTACTTTCAATGAATGTACTTCGTAGGCTCCAACTTTTTCCCCGCTCCCAGACCAAAAAAGTTCTCTAAATCTCTCTCGCCATGTATCGGTTTTTGATTCGCGCCGCTCCGCCCATAATAATCTCTAAAATCTCAGAACCAAGTTCGAGCAAGCAAGCAGAATAACATTTCTGCTCTGCTTATATCATAAATCAGTGTTATGTCAGAAAATCTATTCAAATTTCTTCTTTTAGTAGTTCCTTTGTCTCTGGAGAATCAGTTCATGTGTTTTATTTATCCGTCTTCTAAAAAAACATGTCATGTTTATTGCATATTTTTGTTGACCACAATAATACAACCCGCCCGTTTGTTCGTTCCAATAATAAATGAAATAAAAGAGAAAAACGAGGAGAGAAGCTGAAGGAGACCATTACCAGCAAACAAAAACTTGTTTCTCTGCTGCTTCTTCTGTTTTTGTGTGCCCCAAATTTATTCTTCAATTTAGTAAACATCTGTGAAGTCAGCCTTTTGATAAAAACTTCTTCTCGATTAAAAAGATCAATTGTCTCCGAAAAAAAGAATTGATCCTTGCAAAAGTTCCTCTGCACTTTTCCCTCCTACTTCATATAATTTTTGATCCGAATACTCTCTTTTCAAAGCAGAGACGCAGGAGGGCAAACAAAATTCGCCCATCTATTCTTTTTGCTTGCACATTCATTCGATTTTTGTCTTTTCGTTCGGATTGCTGTATATTTCTTAAGAGAAAAAATGCAAACTATTTCGTAATCTTTCGAAACATACTTCCGCATGTTTCTGTGTTTCTATTTTTACATCAGCAACCGAGTGTGGCATTTCCGCTTTCGGAAGGAGGTTGCAAATTTCCGATTTTTTGGGAAAAAAAAAATGTATCGTCGGTTTAAATGTACAGTGTGCAAACACCGCGACGAACTGTTACACATATTGTTGATTTTTTTGTACGTTTTTTTCGCTTTTTTTCAAAGCGTTTTTCACGTCAAAGTCGAGAATTCAAGGTAGAAAAACCGAAAAACTGCTACAGTATTCTGACACATTCTCAATTTTGGTCCTGACACGACTTCTGTATACTTTCGGTTTTTATTTTATCGTCTCTCATACAAATATACCCCAAACTTACCTGTGATATAATTTAACACAAATCACTGTGTTTTCTCTCCCAAAACCAAATCCCAAAACCCAATTAAACTGACCTGACATGAGTTGCAGTTGTATGTAGAACCAAATCCTCAAACTCATTTTGTTTTGTTTTTCTCTCGCAATCTGGAATTTCTCTGGATCATAGAAAGCAAAATAAATTTAAGACAGGCCAAATAAATACAAAATAAAATATTTCGAGAAATGAGCGTCCAACATGAGAAAATATTTTTATTCATAAAATAAAAACGTGAACACTTTTTTTCCGACAAAACAAAAAATTCATTTCAAAAATGTTTTTCTTGAAATGTGGGCTGCCAATCGATATGGAAGAACAACGAAAAATTGTTGAAATCCCGCGTGATCTACACTATATATTTTTTGCTGGTCTAGGATTTATGAATTTAAATTAAAAATCAGGTTTCAGCTAAAGTGAAGCTTGTGAGATTCTCAGGGTTTCCGGAATAATAATTCATAGGAAAAACCTCTAGGTTCCCATCAAATAACCCCCGTGGGGTTCCTGTTACACTTTTCCCGGGAAGTACTGTAGGCTTTGAGCATAGTATTTGTTGTTTCCGTATTTTTTCGAGGCCTATTTTTTCTTTAGAGGTTGGGATTTTAACGATCGTACGATTCAACATTGCTTGTTTCATTCCTTTTCCGATGTGATTTGTGTTTTATTTTTCATTCCTTTTTCGATGTGATTTGTGTTATTATTTTTCTGTTAGAATAGTGGAACCTTATAATTATTCGGAATTCACGTTTAATATTTTTTTCACCTGTCTAAAAGCTCGCATGATTTTTTGTCAAATTCGTCTGACCGGTTGAAAACTATTGAATTTCCATTATTTATCTCTCATTCTCACGCCATTAAACAAACCGAATTCCGTTTCGCGAGAACTAGGAAAAAACATCAGAATAATTCTTCTCCGAAGGCTCATTAATCTATCAAATATACTGTATTGTTTTGTTTATATCATTGTTTTTGGTTGGTTAGGCGATGATGCAGATTGGTTTCTCCCCCGAGCTAATTGAGGAGAAAGAGGAGAAACGTGTTGCACGTGGAGGCGAAATAATGTATTTTTCTAATTTCGCCCCATTTCTCCTCATTTCTCCTCGGAGGAGAAACTCATCTGCAACATCGCCTTAGTTGTGTTGAATAACGAAGAAGACGAGAAAAAACATATTTTGTCTTCTTGTTGCGAGCACCGGCGAGCAAAAGCAAGCAAATATTTTTGTTTTTCTCGAATTTTCGCCGCTGTCTCGCGAAAAATATCGAAAAAATGAAAACACATGAAGAAACCCAAAGTGATTTACAAGAAAACGATGAGGAAAAACAAAAATAATATTTTTATTTTCGCTTCTTCTTCTTCTTCTTTCTCTTTATTAGTCGATTTGTGGTGTTGTTGTTTTTGTTGTTGGCAAGGTGAAAACATTATTTTTTGTTGATCACATACTGTCTTTTCTTTTGATGTTTTTGTATTTCGTTTTAAAGTTTATTCACAAAAAACAACAATTTCTAGATTTTTGTTTGGAATAGCGTAGGATAAATTATTCTTGTTTCGTTGGTAGCGAAAAAGGAAAGGAAACAGGTCGATTTTTCCGAAACCAGTGATTCATTCAAAATCACGTGTCTCATTTTTGATTCTTTCAACACCGATCAATCTTGAAGCTAACAAATAGTAGATTAGTAGAAAGTTGTTATTCAAAATAACTTGTGTTATCTACTTTTGTTTTTTCTTATTCTTCTTCCCCATTCCCCCGTCTAAATAAAAACAAAAGGCCACCCAAACAATGTCTGCGCCTCTTATACAATCCAGAGAAAAACATCTAGTAAAGTTGTACTTTCACTGTTTTTTTTTCAAAAATATTTATGTTTTCGTTTTTTTCTCGTTTGCTTGAAGTATACGGTAGAAATGACACCAGATGGATAGAAGAGAATAAATGCACCATGAAATAAAAATAAAATGACCTGTGAAACACTGAAAACTGAAGAAAAAGAAAAGAGATGAACAAATAATAATCTCTGCGTCTCTAACAAACCTTAACCAAAAGATCATTGTATGTATGTATGCCCTCTGCCTGTCTATCTTCGCATTTATATGTGAGTGTTGGTCGACTGCCTGGTTGGTCGGCCTTTTTTCCTTCGCTCCTCATCTTCTTGCACGTAAATTTCTTGCTAGAAATGCTTGGTTTTTGACCCCATTCTAGTCATGAACTTTTTTCTGCCCTGTTTAGTCATCACGCGGATTTTTCCCATTTTTTCTTATCGCTTGGGCGTATTTGCTGTTGTGCAATGTGTTCTGATCATAAAAATTATATTTAATCTATGAGTAGTTCTGAATCAGGGTAGTATCAGCTGATCTTTGAAAGAATATAATCCTCGTAATCCTCGATTTTTTCTCGTTCATAATAAGTTTTCGGTTTATTCCCAGACACACCTAAATTTAAAAGTGTTTGTTCATATGTGACCATTTGCGCAGTTATATCCTAAATTTTTCCCCAAATAATTTCAAATTGACTCATAATTTTTGAAGTTATGAAATTTTCTCTTTTATTTTCTCCTTTTAATTCCGCCGACAAAAAAGTGTCAATAAATTCATTTAAGAATTGGTATTATTGATCCGATCAAAGTACAATTAATAGTTTCGTTATATTTCACAATATATCGTATTATCTCATTGTTCTCTTATTATTCATTCAATTATTCTTCTTGTTTTCTAGAAAATGGATGGTATATTAACACCTCTCCGAATACCAGCTGATAGTTGGTCAACAACAGAAGTTCGAAGTATAACACATACACATCTATGGACAATCAAAGGATTTTCACAATGTGAATGTCGATATTTGGAAACTACAGCCAAAATCAAAGATATTAGTGTAAGTTGTTTTTTCGATTCATCTGTAAAAAATCTAAATTTCATAATTTTTCAGGCTACTCCTCAACCAAATCTACCGTCCAGTTCTGGTGGTCTCCCAGATCTTCCTGTTATCACATTTCGTATTCGATTACACCCTCAAGGAAATAAAGAATCAAACAAGGATTTCACTTTCTTTCAAGTGAGTTTTATTCAATATTCTCTTCTTATTATAAAAAAAAATAATTTGTAGTGTTTCTCTAATCAAAATTCAACAACATCAAACACGCCATCTTACAAAGCCAAATTCAAATTTACGGTATTCAATTCGCGAGCTGAAGAAACGCCAACAACAGTTTACTCGGGTACACAGCAGGTAAAGGTAACATCAAATTTTCATATTGTAATATACTCTTAAAATGAAACCAAAAAAACTAATTCGAAAATAGACTTCTAACTAGATTATTTGCAGCTTCACGGGTACTTTGAATATATTCGCCGCGATGTTCTCATATCTCATGTTCAACCATCAGATGAGCTTCAATTAAGCTTGAATATTACGGTCACTTTCGATACAATTACCAAGTAAGATTTTTTGATTTTTTTCGAGAGAGAACATTGAAAAATAACTAACCCTTTTGCAGAGTTGTGCATAATATGAAACCAGCTGGAACTCAACCACCAAAACCAGTCGAAGTTACAAGAGATTTGGAAAATTTGCTAAGATCGGGAAAGCATACGGATTTCACGTTGGTTATTGATGATCAAGAAATGAAGACGCACAGGGTGAGAATTTTAAAAATTCACAAATTTCACGTTCCAAAAATTTTTAATTTTCTGAAATAGCAATTTTCATTTCAAAAAAATTTTCTTTTGTTTTAAGTTTTTATTATTATTTTTATAAGCAAATTTCCTTGAAAAAAGATTATTACTTTTATAAATCAGATGTTTTCTAAATTATGTGTCTGAAATTAACGATTAACTATATTGTTCATTTGAACAAAATTTCTATTTTGCAGACAATACTCGCAGCTCGATCTCCAGTTTTTGCTGCAATGCTTGAACCACATACCGAAGAATCGCAAACGGGTCGTGTTATTTTGAGAGATATCGATTATGATGTGATGTATGATTTGTTATATTATATGTATACTGGAAAATGTCCAACAATGCAGCCAAACACACTGGAAATACTCGCAGCTGCCGATCGATTCCAACTTCCAGGTCTCAAAGATATGGCCGATGTTGTAAGTTTGAATTATCATTTTTTTTATTTTTAAAAATAAATATGTTTTGTAGAGTCTGCGGAACAGTTTGACGGTTGATTCGGTTTGTCGTCATTTGGTGTATGCAGATATGTACACGGCTTTGGAATTGCGAAAAGAAGCAATCAAGTTTATTGTATATAATGCGAATGCGGTGACACAAACTGATGGATTTCGATTGATGTCGAAAGATCATCCGGCTTTGATGACTGAGATTTTTCAAAGTCTAGCCAATGATCGACAAATTGGACCATCACAAACAACAACAATTACAACGAAAGTCACAGACACATCAGGTAAATCACTTTTTCATAAAATACAACCTTTTTCTAAATATTACCGTTTCCAGAGAGTAATCCTCCTGTAAAACGAGCTCGAATGAGTGATGTTTAAAGGAATCTGGACTTATTATTCTTTCAATCTATAGCCACGTCATTGAATTTACTTTAAGAAAATATAAACTTATTCTGTCAAATGTTCCCTTTTTTCTTTCCCCCTAATTCTCTCCCACTTAATTTTCTTTGTCGCATATTTTTTTATATTAACCCCTTCATTTTTTCCGACTAAATCATTCCCGTTTTCATTTATATTTTTGTTCATTTATTTGATCCGGGTTATCTCGGGACCCTTTATTTTTATTTTCACAAATTTTCCACTCAATTCTCGTGGTTTTTCTATTTTTTGGGTATAGTTATTGTTTAGACAGCCCCTATATTCCTTTAACGTGTTTGTTCTTCAAAAATAAAATGAAATAAGTTATTGTAAATGAACAATTTATTGATTAGCTTAAAAACAATTTAAAAACCGGTATCATTTGAATTTTGGATGTGTTGACGAATTGCTGGAATATTATCAACTTTATTGTACCATTCTTGAATTTCTGGATATTCTTTTGTATATTCTGGCCACCATTTCAATAATGTTCGCATATTATCGCAAATTATCAAATCGGCAAAAGTAACACCGCTGTCAACAAGATAACCAGATTTCGAATGTTTCAAATATTTCAACAAAATCTTGAAGAATTTGTCTCTTGCTGGAATCAATACTTTGGTTTTTTCCTCTTCTGGATCATGATTCATAAATCCGAGTTTCGAATAATAATATGTTTTAATTTCAACATAGAAATCTTTGAATTGATCTGCAAATGCGTCAGTCAATGCTTTTTCTTCTTCAGTTTTTCCAGAAAATCCAAATTTATTCGCCAGATATCTTGCAATCGCCAAAGATTGCGGAATTTTTAGACCAGTTTTTGTTTCGAGAACTGGAAGTTGGCCAAATGGAGCATCGTTTTTGATTGTTGCCCAAGTTTCGTGAGAAACACGAATATCTTCGAATTTTACATTTGCCAATGCAAAAAGCTGCAAAAAAAAATGATTGGATGGATTTGATAAAAAATGAAAGATTACTGTATAAAAATTTTTTTGAAATTTTTCGATGAGAATTATTACACAAAATAATTTTCAAGATCTGATTTTTTAAGTTAAAAAAGATTACTGTAGTTTTGTGAGTAAATTCAAATTTTTTAACTAGAATTTTTATCTTATTTTTCTTTGTAACTATTCATTTACTATGCTCACCTGTCTTGAAACATCAGCCAATCCTCTTCCATCAAAATAAGTCAACTTGTATTCGACAGCCATTTCTTCTTTTTTGTCTTAGATTTTTGTGCGAAACCAATGAATCAAATCGAAAACCAACACCACACGTGCTACCTTTATACATTTCGTTTTTTCTGTTTTCCCGCCCCCATTTTTTCTTGAGATCAATGACACGAAATGCTATTGATACGATCAAGACTGGTTACATTTCACATTATTTTTCATTTTTCTTCGACACCGAAAAAAAACAGTAATTAGGGTCCAACAAAATGATGACAATTCAGAAAAAGAGATTGTTTTCGATGATATCGTTTTTTTTTTGTTCGAAGATGATGACAATTGATGATTTGATAATCTTTTATTCATTTATTCATTCATATATACAATCAATTCAAATAAAAATCAACCGGAAAATTTTACAAAATGTAGTAGTTATGAAAATAGATTAATTTGGCATCGATGGGGATCTTCTTGCTGAATTTGCACGGCGAGAAGAAGATGTTGGATTACTCCTGAAATATTCAAAAATTGAAATCTCAAGTTAGCAAAACATATTTTAACAGTTCTGAATCATCAAACTGTATTTAGAACCTGATTTAAAAATTGTAACTTTTAAGTTATTGTTGATTTTTCAAGCTTAGGATCTAATTTCTTTAATTTACTCTCGAATTCGAAAACATTGGCTCACAAAACTACAGTATCCAAAGTTTCCAAATTTACAAACACAGTAAGTCATAAATTTTGCATTATTCCTAAGTTCCTGAGGAAATTTGGGCTTTATAAAAATTCGAAATTTTGAAACTTCCAATAGATCTTCCTGAACATTGTTTTCGAACATACAGTATCGAAATACTTGATTCTAGTTTTGAAATATTTTCCATATTCTAAATAGCTTATTCAAGAAATTGATTTTGATCTTCCTTTGCAACTCACGTGTTATTAGCCGATGATTTTGATCCAGGATAAGTAACAGCAACTGAAGCTGACAAAAGACCAGTAGAAATTGGAGGAAAAATACGATGTGGACTTGATGGAGAAGTCAAAGGTGGAGATGTTTGTTGAGAAGCTCGACGTCGATGTTGCGAAGTTGCCATTGCTTCGCGAAGCCGAATTGAACGAAGTTGTTGACTCAAATGGGTTACTGTTTGATTTCGATCATTCAATTCATCGTTTAATTGACGGATTCTTTCGCTCTACAAAATTAGGAAAAATCATAAAAGTTGCATTATTTTTTTTCATTTCTTGAACTCACTTGAATCTGAATTTGTTCCTGTAATTTTTGAATAGTTGCCGTTACTTTCTTTTCAAGATTTTTAGTGTACATCTCTTTTTCAGCCAATTTCTTCTCTAATTCTTTAATTCTCTCCGAATTCTCTTCCCCATTTTCTTCATTTTCTTCTCCCATTATTTGTCTTCTTTGAGCTTCTCTCAATTGATTTTGCAAATTGTTAACTTCTTGATGCAAAGATTTCAACATTGAAGATGTTTCGTTTTGCAAAAATTGAATTTGTGATTTTTCATGTCTTCTCCATTGATCATCTCTTTCGCGAAGCATTAATTCGATTCGACTTTCGAGATCATTTTCCTGAAAAATGAGATATTTTCGAGAAGTGCAAAATAAGTTCATTGTGAAAAATATAATCAACATTTTTCGCGTGACTTTTTTGGATTATTAGAATTTCATTTCATGACTTTTCATCAATGATTCAGAAAGAAGTAACGGGCTCAGAAAAAAAATCAAATTCGTCTGGATTTCTTTTTTCTTCTACAGTATCTTGTTTTCATTCAATGAGAATATATCAAAATCCGATTGTTTTCCGTGACTTTTCTTCTAAAAAAGTCATAGAACAGGCTTAATTTTTAGATTAACAAGAAACTGAAATGAATGTTTTATTGATCAACAAATTCTGAGTTTGTATTTTTTTAATGAACTTCTTCGTTTTTCTTTTTAATTAAAACAAATTTGTAATCGAATTACAGTTTGTGACCCTTTTCGATTGTTCCATTAGAAATTAATTTTCTGAAAATCTTGTCAGTGTCGAAATCAGGTTTAATTTTAATTTTAATTTTTATTTACGCTGCGGAAAGGCAGGTTACTGCAGATCACATTTATTCCAAAGAAGCCCTAGCTAATCTAGAACTAAAAATTATAATATTATTTTATGAGGATAAGAAAAATTTTCACAATAACCGGAAACTTTTTAACAATTTTCTGTAGTTTCAAATTTTTCAATACGAATTTTTTCATCGCCACTCAGACAATCTCTTCTAACTCCTGTCAAGTTCAAAAAAAGTGATTCTCATAAATGAATTTCAAAAAGTTCGGCGGTTCAGCTGACCGTGACATATGTCTCGAAAAAGAATTATAAACCAAACCTCAACATGTGACACAGAAACATCTTCGATTGGTTTTTGAGAAGATGAAGATGTCGAACATCGGTTAGACATTGGAATTTCAGAATAATAATCTGAAAAAAATGTAATGGTTTTGAAAAAAAAAATTAATAATAGATTCAAAGAATATATACCTGCAGTTGTTGGTCGACGATTACAAGCAATTGCAGTCGACATAATTTCAGTCTGAAAATATTTTCATGTAAAATGAATGAATGAAAAAATCAAAACATTGGAAAAAAGAAAGAAAGACGAGGGAAAAGTATTCTATAAAAAGAAGTGAAGTGAAAAGAGACGACAGACAACTAGATGGATTAGTAATGACCAACTGGAAAAAATTGTGAATAGAAGAAAAAAGAGGAAGAACGGACCGCGACGCGTTTGCAAAATGAACTTCGATGAGAAATTTATAATATTTGTGTCAGGCTGACTGAGAATTTCCCACAAATAAATCCAAATCATGTAATTAAAAAACTCAATAAAAATTCTATTGATCGTTTCAATGAAAATTGAATGAAATGTGGGTGTTCTTTTGAAAAATAATATTGTTTACTTACTTTATAAAGAGAAAAAATGAGTCAATACCGACTCTTCAAAAAAAAGTGACTATAAATATTCATGAGAAAAAAAAGAGGATTCTGTTTTTGAAAAAGGAAACCAGAAAGTACATTGGCTAAAAAGGACATTTCCGAAAAAAAATATGTGAGATAAAAATAAAACCAAATCAATTAATTTATATTGTAAAGAGACAAAATCATATGACAACAATTTATCCAAAAAAAAAAATTGTAACAAATGTTCTCCGCCCAAATTCAGAAATTAAATGAAATGAGAAAAAAACAAATTTGTTTGGTTTTATTTTTCATTATGCAGTCAGTTTTTCGAGTAAATAAACGAGAATCAATAGCTCGGATAAGGTGAAATTCGAGAGGCCAAAAATATATATCTGATGGACGAAAAACGAAAAAAAAAGAAACGAAAAGTTGGAGGAACACAAAAAGTGAGCAATATTTATGAATGAAGGGGCAAAAAAGGAGAAGAAAAAAGAGATTTGACTATTTCGAAACAGCTTTTTGGTGATGTTGAATAGAAATTGAATTTATTTACGCAGCAAAGTTTGGAAAGGGATTACTGTAGTTTGGGTTCAGATTTGGAGAATTCTCGATCGAGAATGAAAACCGTTTTCATTAGACATGAAAATGTTTTCTCAAAATATCAACAAAAAAATTTCAAAATTACAATAACTCAGAACATTTCTTATTTTGAAAAATATATGAAAATTTCTACAGTGTTCATTAGTTTTTATTGAATTCAGAGTTTTCGAACAATTCAAATGAGATTATTGTAGTCTCAAAAATATATGAAACAAAGTGAAACAAACTTGAGAGATAAGTAAGTTGTCGTCAAAGAATCTCTAAAAAAAATAAAAACTATTCTCATTTTGCGTTTCTCTCCTCCTCTTTCAATTATTACAACGGACCTTTTCGTTGTTCGCAGTGCAACCGAGGGTCCGAAAAATATTATTGATTTTTGATTTTTTTGTTCTCGCAATGGATTTGGATCAAAAATCGACAACAACTTCAAGAGAAGAAGGATCTCTTGAAGATTATGAAATAACTGGATTAAGATCGAAACGATTAGTTGCTATGATTGTATGTTTGATTATTTTATTTATTCTAACAACACTGATTTTAATTGTAAGTTTTTGAATATAGTTATTTGAAATTTTTATAATTTTGATAAATAATTTTCAGCTAAATATAATGATAATTACAACACTTCGAATGGATCCAACAGGAATCAAATTTCTTCGATTTCATCAAAATTATAATAAACAAAATGGAAAATATGAGAAAGTGAGATATAATTAATATTTAGATACAAAATATAATCATAACTTTCAGACAGTTGAAATGGCTGGTGATAAAATCCAATTTGATAATGTTGTCACAAGCAAAGTTTTTGGATTTCCTGAAAAAAATATTGATGTGTCAGCTCCGCGAATTCTTGTTTCAGCAAAGAAAAATGGGAGTTTTTTGGAAATGACTGAAAAATATTGTAGAATCAAAAATGTGAATAACTTTCAAGTTCTTTCGCGCGGCGATAAAAATCGAACAATTTTCTCGGCTCGACATCCAACATTTATGATTGATAAGAAAATCAAGCAAATTTCGGCAGAAAAAATAATCACCGATAAAATTCGATCTGCGATTGATGAGGATTTGAAAATTGATGGAAAAGATGTTGTGGTTCATGGTGATCAACAAGTTCGAATTGATGCTAGAAATATATCATTTGATGCTTTGACAAGAATTGCATTCAATGTTACGGTAAATGAAAAATGAAAAATACCTATACTGTGATATTTTTGGTTTTAACGTTTCAATTCTCTACAAAAACCAAGGGGAAAACTGTTTACTTCATCTTAGTTCTGACAGGATTAATGTTTTTCAACAATGCCAAAAATTGTTGTCAAACTTTTGTTCTGAATCGTTCTAGTTCTAACGTTTTGTTCCCTAAATTCTGTAATAAAAAACTGACGCCAAGTTTTATAATTAGATCATGCAAATCCGAAAAAAAAACTTTGGTAAAGTTACAGTACAGAAACAAATTTTCCACATCATATGTTTTTTTTCCAGGGTGAAATGCGTCTTCGCGGAAAAATTCGATTTGGTGATGGAAGTTCAGATCGACTCTCCCTTCCATTTTCAACAACTCCACTAATTAGCGCAAGTAGTGCAGAATTACGTCTCTGTGCTTGTGCTCAAAACCATCACAAACTCTTCGTGGTGCCAGCCAACAAACATTGTAATGTTATTCGTTTTTGTGATCTCCATTAATTAATTACCTCAATTTGAATTCGAAACATAAAATTAATTATGTAACACTGATTTTTGTATTTTGTTCAAGCAAATGAAACAAAAAAGGGAGCATATCTATTGGAATAAGACGAAGAAAAAAGAACTGTTATCTTAGTTTTTGTCCTGATAACACAACTTGTCCTCTCAATTTTTTCTGGCTCATTTTTTTTTGAAACAAAGAAAATATGGCGAGCGAATTGGTGCCATTGACTGGCATCAGGTATGTTCATTTTAATTTGTTTTTTTTATTGTTATACTTATCCTAACTTAAATAGATTGCCAACAATGGGTGAAATGTTTGCTTCGCGAGTTCGAGATTCTCGATCAATTTCAGCAGATCAAGCATTAGTTCATATGATTAAAGTAATGATGGGAACTGGAATGTTATCACTTCCATTGGCATTTAAACATTCTGGAATTTGGTTGGGAATGATATTATTGGCTATTATTTGTGCTATTTGTATTTATTGTACAAGGCAATTGGTTTATGGACAACATTATATCACTTTTATGTTAGTTTCTCAAAGAATTTTGAAATTTTGAAGAATGCACGTTTTCTGGAATTTTGACACTTGGAAAAGAGAGTTCGAGAGGAAATTATTCAAAAAATGTGTGCTCGTGACAATTTACGTGACAAAGTTGTTTTTGATTCACAATCAGAAACTCTAACTTCAATTTTTCAGAGATTTTATTTTTGAAATTTAAGTTCCCAGGAAGAAAATTCCAAAAATTATGTCTAAAAGTTTTTCGTATTTTTTTTTTATTAAAATTCATCCTAAAATTCAAAGCTACAGTAATCTGATCTATTTTTTGTAGAAAACGAGAACAACGAATGGATTATGCAAATGTTATGAGAAATGCAGTTGAACTTGGGCCATCGTGGATTCGAGGACATGGATATCTTTTCAAGTAAAATATTTCAATCTTAATTTGGGAAATTGATTTTTTGGAATTTAGAAATTCACATTCAATAATTCTGAAATTTCGAGTTTTTACTTGGAATTCCAAAAAAAAATATTCATACCAAATCATCTTCAAATATTTTCAGACAATTGGTGAACGTGAACATGTTTGTGGCACAATTTGGTTTCTGTTGTGTATATTTTGTTTTCATGGCTGACAATTTGAAGCAATTTTTTGACCAAACTTCAAATATTCATTTATCACAAGCCACATGGATTGCACTTCTCATGATTCCAATCACAGCTTTGTGCACAATTCGAGAATTAAAAGCGTTGGCTCCGTTGGCAGCCTGTGCAAATGCTGTTTATTTGATTGCAGTCACAATTGTTTTGGCTGATCTATTTTCTGATTGGTATCCATGGACAAGTTTACCAGCATTTGGAGCTGTTGAATCTCTTCCGTTATTTTTCGGAACTGTTATGTTTGCTTTTGAAGGTGTCGCTGTTGTAAGAATTATTTTGGTTTTTATTTCGAAAATTCATCAAAATTTGTTTTAGGTTCTTCCAATTGAAAATCAAATGAATGAACCAATTCATTTTATAACTCCAAATGGAGTTTTGAATACTTCGTGTATTCTTGTTCTTCTTCTTTATATGACTGTTGGATTTTTCGGATTTTTGAGATATGGAAATGATATCAAAGACACTCTTACATTGAATTTGCCACAAACACCGTTAGTTTTTTCAAAAAAAAATCTATTGATGAATTTCTAGATGTTTCAGAACATGTTTTCGAAAAAAAAAACATAAAATTTTTTCAGGTTTTATCAGGCGATCAAAATCATGTTCGTTCTTTGTATTCTTGTTTCGTATCCTTTACAATTTTATGTTCCAATGGAAAGAGTTGAAAAATGGATAAAAAGAAAAGTTGTGGAAAATAAACAAGAGCCGCTAATCTATGCTATACGATTTGGAGGGGTTTTATTGACATGTAAGAAGACGTTGAGGATATTTTGAAAAATAATCGGATTTCAGGTGCGATGGCACAGTTAATCCCACACTTGGCTTTGTTTATTTCTTTGGTTGGAAGTGTTGCTGGAACATCGTTGACCCTTGTTTTCCCACCACTCATTGAACTTTTGTGTTGTTACTCGAAACAACAACTGACACCTTGGGTTTGGTTGCGAAATATTGGATTGATGTTATTTGCACTTGTTGGATTTTCAACAGGAACATATGCTAGCATTGTTCAGATTATTGAGGCGTTCGGACAATCAGATGTTTGATGAATAATAATGATCTCTTTTTATATTGTAGCTCAGAACATTATTGATTTAGAAATAAGTTTCATATGATAAAACATGCAACTTTTAAAATTAGAAAATTATAAATATTGGAGATTAAGAAGAGATGAAGATACTGTGAAATTATGATTGGAGTTGTCCACAATCGGCGATGACGCATTGGCTTGTTGGTTTTCCGGATTGAGTTCCATTCGATTCAACCTTTGAGACAACTTCCAAACCTTCAATAACGCGTCCGAAAACAACGTGTTTTCCGTCGAGCCATTCAGTTTTGACGGTGCAAAGGAAGAATTGAGATCCGTTGGTGTTTGGTCCAGCGTTGGCCATTGACAAAACTCCTGGTCCGGTGTGCTTCTCCTTGAAGTTCTCATCAGGGAACTTTTCTCCGTAGATTGATTCACCTCCGGTTCCGTTACCGCGAGTGAAGTCTCCTCCTTGAATCATGAAGTTTGGAATGATACGATGGAAAGCAGATCCCTTGAAGTGGAGTGGTTTTCCAGACTTTCCGATTCCTTTTTCTCCAGTGCAGAGAGCGCGGAAGTTTTCGGCAGTCTTTGGAACGATGTCGTCGTAAAGCTAAAGATATATAATTCGTTTGTTTCATAATTCAAATAGAATGTTTACCTCCATGACAATACGGCCAGCAGCCTTTCCTCCAACGGTGATATCAAAGAAAACCTTTGAGCGACCCATGATTTAGCAAGGAAATTACTGAAATAAAAATGTTTGGTTATAAAGAATACATTGTTTTCAACAGTGGTTGATAAGAGAAGAAACGAGAGAAAAACATCACCATATATGATGAAAGTACACAATTTTATGTTTGAAACTAAACATGCTTCAAAATTTATATGAAATCAAGAATAATTTGAGATATTTTATGATTGAGAGTCATGAATATAACTTTGAAGACAAGGGAAAAACTAATCGAATTGCTATAAAATGAATATTAACATCGCAATAAACCAAATGAGGGAGCGAGAATCCGATTAGAGCCTAGCAACCGAAACGTCCACAAGGCAACACTCTGAATATGGGCGAACAACAAAGATGAGAGTAAAATGTTGACAGAGATTAGAGAAAAACAGAGGAGCAGTCGACGCTGAGACGCGGCGTCGAAGGCACGCACCGCCCCCAACTCTCTCCGTCTTTCATACTATCTCACCGACCCAACATAAAACAACACTGACCATCAACACCCGAAAAAATTCAGTTTTTAGGGGAGAACAAAACGTGCGGCGATTGCATTTTTGAAAGTGTGCAACGCTTGCACGATGGGCGGGGCTTTCGCTAGAGCATGTTTGGTGCAGTGAATATTCTTTGATGGGGAAATTTTGAAAAATAAACCAAGTTCTGAATTTGTGCAGAAATGTGTCCACATCATAATAAATACAGATAAATATACGGGATTAATCAACGAATCCAGTTATTTGTAAAGTTTTCTTTTTAATACTTAAAACATTCATATAATGAACAGAACATGCAATTTTATAACATATAAAATTACTCAAATAAACGGAATGTAATACCAATTTAAAGTTGTCCACAGTCAGCAATGACGCAAGTCTTGAGTGGTTTTCCAGATTGGCTTCCATTCGATTCAACAGCCTTGACAACATCCATTCCTTCGATAACGCGTCCGAAAACAACGTGTTTTCCGTTGAGCCATTCAGTCTTGACAGTGCAAAGGAAGAATTGAGATCCGTTGGTGTTTGGTCCAGCGTTGGCCATTGACAAAACTCCTGGTCCGGTGTGCTTCTCCTTGAAGTTCTCATCAGGGAACTTTTCTCCGTAGATTGATTCACCTCCGGTTCCGTTACCGCGAGTGAAGTCTCCTCCTTGAATCATGAAGTTTGGAATGATACGATGGAAAGCAGATCCCTTGAAGTGAAGTGGTTTTCCAGATTGTCCAACCCCTTTTTCTCCAGTGCAGAGAGCGCGGAAGTTTTCGGCAGTCTTTGGAACGATGTCAGCATAAAGCTGAAATATGGCAAAATTAACTATAATCCTATAGAATATAATTTAATTTTTCTAAGTTACCTCCATTACGATACGTCCTGCGGCACTTCCTCCAATGGTGATGTCAAAGAAAACCTTTGGGCGACTCATGATTCAGAACGGGAATCACTGCAAAAAAATCAACTGTATGAAAAAAACTAAAAATTAAGAAGATAGTTTGTTTTTTGAGTAGTTAGTTGATAAGAAAACAATCAAAAGGCAACATAGCGTGATATTGATAAATATGGAGAAAAAACTCGAAATTTTAACACTGATACGAACAGTGGGCGGGAGAAAATATATAATTTTTAGGCCTATTCACTAAATTAAATTTAAGAATGAACACGATTTCGAGAACAATTAGAGACGCTCATGACAAAAAAGGTGTTCTGCATAAAATGAAGAAATTCTCATCTAAAAATTCCCTTTTATAGGCAGGTCTAGTCTACAAAAAACCGCGCGCGCGGGGCATTTGGAAAGTTCGAGAAAAAATATTTTTGGCGCCGTGGCCGAAGAGACCAAAACATTCCTCGTCCTCGTTTTACCTCGACCCCAAACAAACTGCAGAATCTAGAAAACAAAATCGTCGTTTTTTCCGTTTTTCTTCATTCTGGAATGTTTCAAAACTTCTCCTGATTGTGAGTTGCTTTCTTTCTTTATCACAAAAATAAATAAGTTTCGATTGCTAAGCTACCAGGAAATTAATATAATAGAAAAAACATGAAATAAGATTCTGATATATAAATATTTCGAAAATGATACGAAAGTTCACGTTGAAAAAAAAGGCATTTATTTTTTAACGCGTTTTCAAGAAATTGGAGAAATTTGAGCGCTTGGAAATTTTACTTTTGAAACGAAAATATTCCGATAATTCCAAGTTCGAAAATACAGATAAATGTATCTGAATGTTTTTATATTTATAATAAATGTCGTTTGAACAATTGCAGTTGAAATAACACAATAACGAAAATCGTAATTCAAAAATTCATATCCATGAATATTATTTGGATCCAAATAACATGAGATCAGAAGTATGGCCTAAATTCAAATTTTTCCAAAAAATAATAATATTTTTCTAACCCTTGAAACTAATAATGGAATACCACCATAAAGATAAGAAGATTCTGGGAGATTCCAAATACGAAAATATCTTTTTGTATAAAGTTTCCAGACGAAAGAAACATAAAAGAAAAAAATAAATATTAGAAATACCAAATCGAAAAAGTTTGAAAATCTTTGATAAATAATTGTTAGATTATTTTGATAGAAAACTTTAAATTGAATATACATTTTCAGCTGTCTTTCTCTTTACTCACCTAAATAAACTAAAGTTGATCTAAAAATAAATGTTATTATTGAAAGAGCAATAATAAAACATTTCAAATTCGATCTGCAAAAATGTTTGATTCGAAGACAAACTATTCAGTTCAACCTTTCAAATAAAAATTTGAAATCCAGCAAAGAAAAAATAATAACAGCTCTATAAAACAACAATATAATTATGAAAGTATCCAATAAATTAGACGAGGTAAATAAATATAATAAAATTACAGAATATCCAATTATGTATAAAATTAATGAAAGAATTGAAGAAATTAAAATGATAACTGTTGAAGATGTCGAATAAAATACGGTATTAATTCTGAAAAAAGTCAAAATGTTTCCAAATATTTTTATGATGAACTCACAAACATTCAAAAAATACACTCAAAACAATGAAACAACAAGCGAAACTCGGAACTCTTATAAGTGAAACAATTAATCCAAGAGTATCATCTGGCTGCAAAATTCATATTTTTCAAAAAATTCGAAAAAATAGAACTCACAAATTCTCTAACATGATTTTTTCTGAATTGTGTTGCATAATAAATTGGTGTTAAAAATGTGACAAGAAACATGGAAACAAATGATAATTTTGCTGTAAAATCCGATAGTACCGTATACCTAAATTCATCTGGCGGTAATAAATATGAAAGACGAAACCAGCTAATATTCATTTTTTGTTTGTTAAGTTGTAAGCTCTCGAGAAATGGAATAATTTTCACCTGCTCAATATTATTTTGGCAATAAAAATTCTAACTCGTATATGGAATAAAACTCAAATAAACAAATAAAAGTTTTATTACCGGCAAATCTTTAAAAAATTCTGAAGGCGTATTTAAAACATTTGATTTTCAATAAAAACATTTGATTTTCAATTTTGAAAAAAAGTAACTCAGAAGGAAGGCAGCATGTCAGGTGATGTTCCTCACTTACAGTCTAGTACCTGACTTTCGATCATTGTTAATTTCAGACACCACGCGGTGTCGAACTTGCGACATTGTGAACAAACGGCGCGCCTGTTATCCACTCAGCCACAAGTAAAACAACCGCTCTCACACAAATTTTTGTTGACATTTGCGACGAGGAGAGATAGGAAAACGGTGGTTAGAAGAGAAAATAAATAAATATTTTTGGAATTTTGTTTTCATTGTTCAGATCCAGTCAGAGTCCTTGTTAATTTTAAAACTTCAATTAATTACAAATTAATTGATGAATGATAGTAGCTAATCATTGTGTTCCCTTCAGACTTTTTGTAATTCTTTGAACTTTAAAAATGATGATAAGATCTGCTAAATAATTCGATGTTTCTTTAGAAAGGCACGTAGGCCAATGGTTTTATTGTATTTTTCTAATTGTCACGTAGCATAAGTTTGAATATTTCAATTGTAAATCTAAAAAATCAGTTTTTCGGAAATTATTTCCGGTTATTAAAATAAACAATTTTTTGATCTACCACGCATTATTCAAAATTTGAGGCCTAGAAAATCTCTAAAACATTTCTAGTGAGCTACAGTAACCCAATAATCAAAAACTACAGTAATATTGATGTTACTAATAATCAGATGATCATTTAATTTTTCAAGATCTAATGCTCATCTCAAGGTTTTTCTACAAATCACAATGTCATCATTTAATTGCATCACGTATTAAAAAAAAGAGACGCAGAGATACAGAAAATAGTATATAAGATGATGATTATCGTTGTTCATTTCATACAACTTTTGTTTTGTTCTTCTAAGTACTACTAATTTTTCCAAAAAAACAACAATGTCTCGCGATTTGATGGTTGAAACTGGCGGTGAACTGATCGGAAATACTCCACTTTTGAAATTGAATAAAATCGGAAAAGGACTTGAGGCAACCATTGGTGAGTTCAATACTTTCAGAACTTCAAGATTTTACCTTGATTTTTTCAGGTGTGAAAGTGGAATATATGAATCCAGCATGTTCTGTGAAAGATCGAATTGCTTACAATATGATTGACAGTGCTGAAAAAGCCGGTCTCATAACTCCTGGAAAAACTGTTTTAATTGAACCAACATCTGGAAATATGGGAATAGCTTTGGCTTATTGTGGAAAATTGCGAGGATATAAAGTGATTCTAACAATGCCAGCATCAATGAGTATTGAAAGAAGATGTTTGTTGAAAGCTTATGGAGCTGAAGTTATTTTAACTGATCCAGCAACAGCTGTAAAAGGAGCAGTTGAAAGAGCACAACAACTTAGAGATGCTATTCCGAATGCGTATATTCTTAATCAATTTTCGAATCCAGCAAATCCAGAAGCACATTATAAAACAACTGGACCTGAAATTTGGAAACAAACACAAGGAAAAGTTGATATTGTATGTTTTGGAGTTGGATCAGGTGGAACATGTACTGGAGTTGGAAGATATTTGAAAGAAAAGAATCCACATATTCAAGTATTTCCAGTAGAACCATTCGAATCTTCTGCAATTAATGGACTTCCACATAGTCCACATAAAATTCAAGGTATTTTCTATTTTCTAAATCAGATTTTTCAAAAAAATCTGGATTTTTTGCAGGAATGGGAATTGGAATGATCCCAGAAGTTCTCGATCTTTCATTATTCAAAGAAGCTCTTCGAGTTCATTCGGATGATGCGATTGCAATGGCAAAAAGATTAGCAGATGAGGAATCGATTTTGGGTGGAATTTCATCTGGTGCAAATGTTTGCGCTGCTGTTCAACTCGCAAAAAGACCAGAAAATCGGGGAAAATTGATTGTCACCACTGTTAATAGTTTTGGAGAAAGATACTTGTAAGTTTTTCTGGAAATACTCTCAATTTAAAAATTTTTTAAATTTATTTTTTTCCAGATCAACTGTTCTTTATTCTGACCTTCGCGAAGAAGCCGCAAATATGCAACAATTAAATCTAGAGGACTCAATTAATTTGGCAAAGGCTTATTTGAAATTGTAATCATCATACTGTGAATTTTGAAAATAAATATTTTGAAACATTCATGAAGACTAGCGAAAAAAAAGATGTAAAAAAACAGAGGAGAAAAAACCCGCAAAGTGCCTCCCAAAAAAGTGATAAATAAATACAAAAATAAGTAATTACACGTGCAATAAAATTGAAAAATTATTATGATCACATTTTCGACTCATCACAGAGAGAATAATTAAGAAAGAGCATGAATTGAATATAATTAATTAATTAAATGATTTTCTGACCGGTACCTAGCAAAATATAAACCATGGCACCTAAAACACATTGTGCCGATGTTACTACAAATACATATGCCCAATTATTATTTGTTGCTTCAAGAATATGACCGGCTACGTAAACACCAACAAATCCAGTGATTGCGCCACAAGCATTAAAAACACCTAAATTTTAACCTTGTTTTTTTTAAAAAATAATTTGAATGATTTTTTCTAAAAATATCAATTCGGTGGAGAACTTGAGAAATATTTATGATTTTCTCTATTTCTTGTTTTTCTCCGGAAATATTCTACAAATAAAACGGAATAAGTTTACAAGAGAATCTCGTATACATAAGAAGTTGTGAACTTGAAATTGAAACAATTTCGTCTCTGACAAAATCCCACAGCAAATTTCCGGTTTTTGAAAACTTTGCCACGTTATAACTTTTTTGTCAAGTGCGTTCCTAAGATTTCAGAAATACAAATTTCATGTGAAAATTTTCAACTACCATTTTTTGAAATTTCATGATAATTTTTTATTGAGAAATTTGAATAATCAATATTCTCACACGAAATCACGGCAAAGAATATTTAATTCAATTTTTCAATAAAAATTATAAAATAATTTCGGAATTTTCATAAAACACTCACCGAAAACAGATCCAGCATAATTTGGAGCAAAATCATGTGGATTCACAGAAACTCCACCATGATGTAATCCTCTTGCAGCCATTGCCAAAGTGAAAATCAAAAGACAAAACCAAAATGAATCAGTCATTGGAACAATCAAAAGACAAATAGCAATTCCGAATAAACTAGCTCCTTCCATCAATTTTCTTGTATAAGTCACAGTTTTTCCGTCTGCCAATGCTTGTGATGCCATTATTGGAGCAATAAGACTTGTTACAACAATTGCCAAAGAAGGAACAACATTATAAACAATTCCTTTTGCATTTGGATATGTTTCGTGGAAATATGAAGGAAGCCAATTGAAAAGTATTGAATATGAATTTCCACCTGTGTATTGAGCAATTGCAGCAGCCCTAAAATTTAAGATTTTTGAAAAATATTTTATAATTTTTATTTTAGAATTGATCATACCAAAAACCAGGATGCCGGAAAAGTGTTCCCCATGGAACAGGTGGAGATTGGGGATTTTGAGAAAGATGCGATTCTGGTTCATTATCCTGAAATTCATTTTGTCTTGATTCTGAACATACAAATTCCAAATACAAAATACTCACATGTTTTTTGTTCAAAAGAACTTCTTCATCTGGAATTGGAGACGATCTTCCATTTGCCGCATTTTTTCCATTTTCCAAAACCCATCGAAACATCCAACACCAAATTAATGAGATCACACCAACAAATTGAAATAGAGATCGCCAACCAACCCATTCAAGAAGTGTACTTCCAACTAAACCAGCTAATACAGTTCCACAATGAGATCCAGCGAGAACAATTCCAAAAACACGACCTTTGTCAGTCGCCGCTAAATGTTTCGAAACAATTGAAGCTAGCGAAGGAATATGGAATGCTATAAGAAAACTTCAACAAATTTCAAATTCCAGGAGTTCGGTTATACCTTGACATATTCCAGTTAAAATTCTGACACTCAACAGAACAACTAGCGGATAATCTGTCCAATATGCAAAATCAAATAAAGTTGGAGTGAAAAATGTTATCATTGTCCATGCCAAACTTGAATATGGTAAGATCTATGAATTTCAATATGTTTTTTTTTGAATTTCCAAAAAAAAACTTACATTTTCAGCTCCATATTTATCAGCAAGTCTTCCAGCAAACATTTGTGTTAATGCATATCCCCAGAAAAAACATGATAAAACAGTTCCAGAATCGGTTTTATTCCAAGCAAATTCTTTCGAGACTGCAGCTGCTGAAATTGGAAGAGCAGCTCGTGCAGCATATAAAACACAAGTTCCAGAAAACATGATTGTGGTCCATGTTCGAGCTTCTGCTCGATTCCATATTTTTCCTAATGGTGGTTCATATTCTCCAGGTCGTTTTAAAATAGTCATCAAATCTGAAAAGCGAAAATTAAACAAATAATAGTCATCAAAGTATATAAAAAAAGAAATATTTACAGAGACTGTATAAATGAGAGAAACGTAGAGAAAATAGAGGGAAATTTAAAAGGACACATACGTGGATGATGTGTATTATGGGGGAAGAGAATTCGATTATTCACATGTTCGTCCATATTTTTTCGCATGATTTAGTTTTATGTTTTTATCGTTTCAAGATCGTGGGAATAATTTTTTCAAAAAAAAAATTTTCGATGAAGAAATCTATCGACACAAAAATGTCACATGTTATTATTCAACATAAAAACTTGGAATAGGTTACAGATTATATTCATTTGATCCTCCACCTATGCGGAAATGTTTATGAAAAATGAATGAAATCCAGTTCCATAAGATACAGATTACAGATTAGATAATTTGCAAATGAAAAGCGTATGCTTTCATGAATTTTCCAAAATTTTAAAAAAGGAAAAAGGGCTTCATTTCACATGATAAGAACTATGTTTTCTGATAATGGAATTTTTAAAGTATTATCAGAAGATAATTATTTTTCGGATTAGCTAATAACATGACTAATCTATGAAAATTTCCTCTGGAAAAATTGAAATATGTTCTCGGCTGAAAAGTGCATATCGGATTCAAAAAATTTTTGAAAGAAACTTTTTGATAATTGCGAAAATCCTAACAAAAAATTACAAAACTAAGCACATGAAAAGCTTTTTTCAAGAGAAAATGTTACACCAGAAAAGCAGACTCGTGGGATTACGTGGAACCTTACAAAAAATAAGAAATGATTTTTTTCAAAAAAAAAGAAAGAAAGAATACAATTCAAATAAACGTTGCCGCGCGACCAAACTTCCACACAAGACTCCATATTTATTGTTTGTGCGCCTTCTAAAACACCGTAATCTCAAAAATTATTTATTTTCTAAAATTTTATTTTCCGTTTTTTTTCTTCGCGAAACAAAAGGTTTTCCGTAAATCGCGAACTAAGTACCTATTTCCGAATTGACCTCATTTAATAGAATGCATATTTTAATACTTTTCGAACCACATCTTTCATGTACATTCTTTGAAGTTTCGAAATTTTGGCTGAGATGTTTGAAAGTCTTTCAAAATACCCAACCTGTTTCCGGCGGAGTGTCGTTAGTAAATTTGTGTTGTTTGTTTGTCTACACATGTGTCAGAGTTTTTTGTCTGTTTCTGGTGGGCCAACTTTTTATTGTTTGGCTTCCTTAATATTTTTAAAACTATCGATTATTTATTGTTCTTCTAATCAAAATTTTTACAGATTATTTCAGATGAAATGGCGGGAGGAAGTCCTTCAGCCGGATGTTGTTGTTGTCTCAATAATGTTCGATTCCTCATTTTATTCTTAACAACTTTCGCCATTTCCGCCATGTACTCAAATGTTATTCTTTTCAACTTGACATCAATTTTACACACCGATTTGGAGGACAATAGTCGACCTGTTGCCGGATTAGTTTCTATTCACGAATATACTACATGGCATGGTAAATTAATTAAAAAATGTTTAATATTTGCAAGATTATCTATTTTAGGTCGCAAAAAACGTGAATCCGAACCAAATTTTGATGAAGGACACCCTATTTTACCGAGTACGACTACCAAGCCAACAACAACCACTTTACCATTGATAACTCGAAAAAAGACAGAGAAACCAAAAACTATCTTCATCACAAATTCAGCACCAGTTCTAACAACTACAACTCCACTCCCAACAACAACCGAATATGATGTTGTGAAAGCAGAAGTTGAAAAATCGTTGAAGAAATTAAAAGAAGCAGAAGATTATCCATCAAAAGTTGCTGAAGAAGAAAATGTTGATAACAAGGCGCCAAAACCAGAATTCACTCAAAAAATAAGTCGAACAATTTTATACGCGGCTCCTGGTTTTGGAGTTCTTATTGGACTTCTAGTCACAATTCAACTCACTAAAAAAGTTGAAACCAGAAAAATATTTGGATTGTTTTTGCTGATTTCAGGATGTCTCAGTTGTTCGATACCATTTGCAGTTCATCTTGGTGAGATTTTTGATAATTTATTTTTTTTTAGATAATTATGTTGTTTCAGGTTATTTCGTGCTATTCACTCTTCGTTTCCTTCAAGGAATTTTATTCTCGATTGTGTTTCCAGTAATGGGAAATGTTTTGATAAATTGGGGTCCGTTAAAAGAGCAACTTTTCTTCATTTCAACAATGTTCATGTTTGTCTCGGTGAGTATTTTGAGTTTATTGGTTGGTAGAGTTATACTGAAATATTTTATTTTTAGTTTGGATCATTTGTCTCATGGCCATTTACAATGTTATTACATTCAAATGAAGTTCCGTTATATATTTTATATGCAATTCATGCTTCATCGTTGTTCCTTTTTGCTTTGATGTAAGTTTTTTTGAATATTAAAAAAACAGTTATCAAAAATCACATTTTAGCTGGATAATATTCTACCGTGATCGCCCAGAACAACATCCATGGGTTTCTGGAGTTGAACTCAACAAAATAGTTGCTGGAAAAGTTCAAGAACTTCAATCAAAACGAACTCCATCTGATTCTTACGCATGTTTGCTGAAATCTCTATCAGCTTGGTCAATTTGGATCTCAGCTTTTGGATTTTTCTCAACCACTGCGTTCTTTGCTATTTATATTCCATCATTTTTATCATCACAAGATGTATTTGTTGATGATTATTTGGGAATATTTTCCGGACTTCCATTTCTACCACTTGTATGTTAATATTTTAAAATAATTTCATGGGCGAGGAAAAAAATTCAATTCAATTTTTCAGCCTTTATTTTGTGTTTTAATCGGAATAACTGTTCGATTTGCTCATCCATCAACAAAATTAGTTCGAATTTTGAATACAACTGGATTTGCTATTGAAGCATTGGTAGTTCTAGCAATTCCGGCTGTTGTCTATTCAGCAGAACAAAACAGGTGATTTTTTTCAATTCGAATATTCAGAACCAAAATTGAGTCAAATATTTCAGCCCACTTCTAATTTTATCAATTGCCACAATTCCTCTTTCATTATCAATTGTTGGTGGATTTTTGAAAAGTTTGACAATTGTTGGAAGAGTTTTTGCCAAGCAAATTGTGGCGATTTGTGGTGTCTCATTTGCTATTGCTTTTATTATTTTGCCTATTGTTGTTAATTCAGTTGTTGAGCAAAAGTAAGATTTTCAAAAATATTTGTGATATATTATTTCAATTTTTTATAGTTCGCTAGCCGATTGGACCAAAGTATTCATGGCTTTAGTTTTCATTTTATTGGTCGTCGCTGTTGAATTTGCAGTTTTTGGCAGAGGTACTTATTTTTAATTCTAATTTAATCAACAAAAATAAATAAAATTCAGGAAGATCAGCTTCATGGGCCGAATCCTCTTGGGATCCATTAGTTGCCTCAACAAAAATGCAATCTCTTGCCTTGATTGATTTCAATCAGGATGAATGTGGTTTATATGAACTTCGACGTGTAGAACCTTCGGATAAAAAATAATAAAAATCGCTTTTGAAGCTGCTCAATTTTATCATATTTTTGTATTTATATGCCTTTAATAAAATTATTGAAATATAGTTTTCCGACAAAACCAAAACTTTAGAGTAACTTTTTTGACAAATATTTATTTGGTGAAACTAGTTCTCCGAAATGCACATTTATTTTTTGAAGATTTTCTTTTTTTGAAATATGAATTTCATTTTTTAAATTAATTTACTTATAAATAATAACTTTTGATATTTTTAGATATAGTTTTTTTTTTCAAAAACCGCTAAAATGTCTCGCTTTTTTTCCTTTTAAAAAGAATTCCTGCAAGTTTGAAACTTTTTTCCTACGGTATGGTTCAAAAGTGTGCATTGCGTACACAAACATCAGAACCGACGAGATTTCGAGGTTTTTTTTTTGTTAACAGCTGTTGATTTGAAGCCCTCAAGGATTCTTTTCATGTTGATTTGCCAAACTTTCTCTCTTCTTGTTATTTTTCTGTTTTTCTCCTGATATTTATCGCTTTTTATCCTCTGAAACTTTGTCGTTTTTCAGGCATGAAAATTGTTATTTTAGGACGAAATATATTTATTGGTTTTCAGTTTCGAGATAGAATGTTGTAAACATTCTGAAACTTTTCTATTTTAGTCGATTATTTGTAGATTTGAGATTGAAGAAAAATCTATCTTGAGTAAATATAGAATTTTTCAGTAAAAATATTTGTCACTTGATCGAACTTTGTGTTTTTTATCTGCGTAATCCAATTAATCTCATTGATTTCCAATTTTTAAATTGAAACCTCATAAAAAACTTCTGAATTCATCAACTAAATCACCACATTTTTAAGGTAATTCACATATGCTGCGCTACCAAGCATCCATTTATAGTGGAGATCAGTATGATAACAATGACACTGATAACTGTCATGCTCATTTACAGGTATTTTACGAGTTGGCAATCATTTTAAATTTAAATAAAATATCTTGCAGCCATCAACAATCGCCTCTTCAAATGGGATGCGAGGGCAGCAGCAGCAACAACAACAACAAGGAAGAGTGATAAAAAGACAACCTGCGCCAACTTATAAAAGTATACCAACTAGTCGATTAGCACCACGTCGAAGATATTTTGTTATGGATGCACAGAAATCGCATAGCAGTAGTTGTAATAGTTCGGCGAGTGGAACTTTTCAGTTTCCTGGTCCGGATTATTTGAAAAGAATGAAGGAAAATTATGAGAATGGAAAAATTGTAAGCATTTTTATTTACACGTGGCAAAGTTCGGAATTCCAAGAATCGTATTATGAGTTACTCAGTTCACTAAGTTACAATTTTTGAGATATTTGAAATTTCCCACGTCATAAATCAGCTCCAGAGTAGAAATTAGGATTGTAAAATATTTTTGAATGTGAAAATAAGAAAAAATTCTAGATTTATATTCGTCGAAATAATACGGGCCTCAAAAACTCTTCAATACCATCAAAAATGACGTCAACGATTACAAATTCAATAAGATCGACAACATATCACACAACAACTACAACAGTTCCAAGTGGAAAAGTTACAGTTGAAACAACTGGAAATGTTCCAAAATATGTTTTTCGTTTGCCAAAAACATCGGAATTTTCTACAGTTCCTGGATCGAAGTTTGATGAGTGAGTGTTTTTTTTGAATTCGATTTAAACAAATTCAAAAATAAATAAATATATACAGAAATCGACCAAATACCAATAATATGTATGTTCCGGCTTATGAACCAGTAAAAATGCAATATACAACAGTACCAGCTTGTATGTCAATGGGAGGAGAATATTTATATGAAGAAGAAGTTGAAGAAGAAACAACTAGCAAAGATTCAAATGATATGTCACAATTAGATAGTGTTCCAAAATCGGAACAAGATGATGATTGTGCATATTTGAAAACTTCTGGACAATTAGTGCATCATTCTTCAACAGGAACAACAACATCTTCGAGTTCAACATGTTCAACGCCTTCATATATGAACAATCAAAATGGGAATAATTCGAACTCAACGTATAAAATGTTGCCGTTAAGAAATCGATTACAACCAACAAGATTCACGTGAGTTTTTGGCGAAAATATGTTTGAATGCCCCATTCATAGTCCCAACACCAGTTTAGAAGTTCGAGTCATGTCCAACTAATGCCAGATAAAGGTCATAAACATCCACACCCATGCAAATCAGCCGTACCCCATTTTATCTTTAAAAAACCTCACTTTAGTTTCATTCAGCTTGTTCCTCAAATTTCTGTCAAGTTTTTCCACTGATTGGTATGAAAAGATTAGAAATACCACCGTTTTCTTTTTCGATCAGAAAAATAAATGAGGAATTATATCGACCACGTTATTCAGGACACGTTCCTTTTTTCAGAGAAAAAATTGTACACGTTCATTTTTTTAGAACATTCTTTTGATTCATTTCGAAATTTTCAGATGTCCTCAACAAGACTGTTTTTGGCGTGGTCCAACTGATATGGCACTTCGTAAACATATGCAAGTTCACGGTGCAAAACAACCAGTTATTTATTCTGGAAACAAGCCAAATGGAACGAATTCGAATGATCCACAAGTAAAAGTTCAACTTGTACAACCAAAACCGAAAGGAGTGAAATGCAGTGAATGTGATACTTTTGCATATTCGAGACCATTGTTGTTGAGACATATGCATGATTCTCATGGAATTGAAGCGCCTCTTATTAGAAGAACATTTGCAAATCGAGAAATGTTACAGGTTGGTAGTTTTTTTCAAAAATGCGAAAAAATTTCACCAGAAGCCACTTCAAGAAATTGTTCTCCTTAAAACTTTTTTTTAAGACAAATAAAATTTATTTTTGTATGCACACGCGGGATTTTTGAGAAGAATAAGGATGAATAAAAAAATAATTTCATTAAAAAACAATTTCATAACTTATTTTCAGACTTGGCTCGATTCACTTCGTGAAACCCACGCAGTCGAATTCGTCGTTTCTTCTGGCTCGAAAAAATGGGGACGTGGACTCCAAGTTCATTATTTGACATGTTCGAGAAGTGGAGATCAAAAAGAAAGACCGAATAAAAAATATGTTCGGCCACCAAGACCATCAATTAAATGTGGACGAAATTGTATGGCTTATTTGAAGGTTAGATTTTAATTAGAAAATTATGGGGAGATGAAGCTGAGATTATTTTTTTGAACCAAATAATGTTATTCCAGATAAAACAAAATCCAACAGTTTCGGAACTTCAAATTGAAGGATGTTTACATCACAGTGGACATGAAATTGATCACACAAGAATGATGTTGGAACCAAATGAGGTAAACAAAAATTCCAGATTTTTTTAAACTTCTAAATTTTGCAGTTATCGAGTGTTGGTTGTATTGTTGATGCTGTAAATGAAGGAATGGATATAATGGGAAGTGTCGAAACACTTCGATCTTATCTTGGAAATTCAGGAAGATTTAGACTAGTCAATGATAGAGGAATTATTGAACAAATGCCAGTTTGGTTTGATCAGGTAATTTTATTTTTTGAATAGATGGGTTCACACTTCGGCCAGAATCGTGGTTTCCAAAATAAAAAAATGTACGTTAACTTTTTAGAATAGGAAAACTGTGCATTTTTCAGTTTCTGCCCTCTAAAAACTGAAATTCAGTTGTTTTTTCAAAATTGTACTCTGGTTAGCCACAGATTGGCCAAGGTGTGGATGGATTTATGATTATTTGTTATCCCAACAATAGGCTACTTAAGTTGTTGATTTTTCATATTTCTAATGTTTCAGTATCACCGTGCGATGTCTGATTATATGAATGACGGAAGTCATCCGATTCCTTCAATGTATCGTGGATCTGGAGCTTTGGCGATTCCGGCAACACAAAACGGACAACCAAAATCAGGAAGACGTTTTAATTTTGCGATGAATCGAGATATCAAACGAGAAATGGATTATGAATATAAAAGTGTTCCGATTCGTTTTAATGGAAATACAATTCAACGAAATTATGGACAACAACAATCTTTCACACCAACACTTTATGATGAAAAGGTAATATTTTTGTTTCATGAAAATTATGTAGAAATATTGTAGTTTGGACCACTTAAGAAATCCAGAATATTATTTTTTAAACGGTCGATTACATTAAAAATGTGTAATTTTGGAACTAATTTTCTCAAAACTTTTTCCAAAAAAATCGCAAAAACGTTTGTTTTCCAGAAAATAAAAATCGAAATAGATGAAGAGGAATATCTAGCATCACAAAGTTTGTTGAATAATGAAAATTGTTTGATGGAAATGAAACATGAAGATATTTTCGATTCTCCAATGATTGGAGGCGAAGAAAGTCGACTTTTAGAAGATGATGATATTTTATGTGGAGGAGAAGAAGCTTCTGGAATAACATCAACTATTGATGGAATATTAAATGCAAATCTTCCTGATAATTTTGGCGATGTTATGTGCGGAGTTGATGATTTGAATACTGATTTTAATTGTGGAATGGACGATGCTGAATTTAATGAGGTAAATTGTTTTATTATTTTTAATTTGCAAATTAATAAAAATTATAATTCTTTTCAGTTGCTCGGTTTTGATTTCGATCAACGTGGAAGTATTAATTGTTCGTAGATAGAACAGAATAGATCAGAAGTAATAAATTCAATAGTGGTGAAAGAAACTGTGACAAAAATAATTAATATTTCTGATGTCAAGTTTTCATATTTTTATTTCAAAATTAATTAGTCAGAGAGATTTTTATCTAGTTTTTAAATTTTCATTGTTTTTGCCTCTTTTTTTGATTATTTACCGGGACTGGATCCTGGTAGTGGTCGTATTTAGTTTTTAGAAAAATTGCATGTTAAAATATGTATATTTACCCATCGTAGGATAGTTGAATTTTGTTTTTCCTTGAATTTTATATAAAAATAAAATGTTTGAGAAGCCACATAAAAATGGCTTTAGACGCGAAATTGCGACAAAAAACTCTGATCCGACCCGACCCTCTCTAAAAAGTGCAATTTTGCGGCGCACTTTTCATTTTCCCTTGAAAAATTTCGCATTCTAGAAAATTATTTTGCGGCTCTCACTCTTTTTCGTCTGTGCATCTCAAAAAAAAACAATTTGTTGTGTTGAAAGAAAAAATCAATTTGAATCTTCAAACACCGCGCTGCAACAAAAGTTTTATTTTTTCTATGTTGAAAAAGTGTTTGTAGATTCGGCGAAGTTTGGAACAAAAATTTTGAATATCGAAAATGATATTTTTTGTCCTGAAATTTCAGAATTATTTCTGAACATAAATTTATTTGCATTTCTTTTGGATGCATTTATAAAATTTAAATTCGGCCAGTTTTTGCGAATTTTTCGATTTAAAATTAACTGTTTGTTTGATTCTGGATAAAACTTCATGTATGATCTATAGATAATACGCAAACTATAAGAACTATAAGGAGGGGATTGGGAAAAAATTGGGAGGGGGAGTAAGGGGGAAAATGTGCAACATTAGACTGCGCTTAAAAATATAAAAAACAATTTTCTGGAAAAATCTCGTTACTTCTTTCGAAAAATGGCTGGCTTTTCATCGAGCTTCGGCCTTTTATCCCAATTTCTCAAAAGCTTCTCCTTCTGTTTGATCTCTTCGTCATAAAATTGGCGTTCTGAAAATTATGCTTATCTCTTTAATAACTCGAAAACAAAATTATTGAAAACCCTAGGCCCGTTGCTTATAAACATATACTTTAAAAAACTGACTTTTCTCCAATCGCTCTTTTTCGCTTTTGTTACTTTCCATGTCGAATTTCAACAATACGCCATCCTTTCTTTTGCTGTATTCTTTTTTGAGATCCTCAGTCTCTGTGACTTCATCTCGAAACGCTTGTTGCAAATCTTTCCAAAGGACGAATTCTTGAGTTGTTGGTGCTTTTCGTTTGATAGAATATGTGTTGGATCTGGAAAGTGACATTCAAAAACAAGATAATTTAACAATCGAATGTTAAATAAACTCACTTATTTTTCTCAGAATCGGTGAGCATTGATTGAGTGACGAAGTCCGGGTAATTCGTGTATAAAACACAAATCAATGGTCTATAAAAAATTACATGATGACTTGGTGAAAGATTCATAATATCGACGTGAAAGACTTTAATGTCAATTTTTGAAGAAACACATTATTTTTTAGAAAATAATCAATAACTTATTTACATTGATTTCACATTTTCAGATATCTTACGATTTTCAATATTCAAAATAAATTTCTATATTTGGAGCATACCACGCCCAGCTTCGTGCAAATTAACTTTAAAAATTGGCGGTGTGGGTTTTGAAAATTTTTGGCGAGGTGAAAACAACCTTTTTGACTGAAAAATACGACTTTTTTTACGGAAAAACAAGCAAAAATTTGTTGTTTTTCAAGAAAATCTCAAATTGGCGAGGTGAATTTCCGAAATTTTTTATTGGCGCCGTGCAAATGCCTCACCCTGGGCGTGGTATGATTTGGAGTTCAGAGTTTTAGAAAAATAGTTTGTCTTTCTCATTCAACGTTCATAATATCGACTTTTTTCTAAATTATATTTTCTTATGGTGTGATTCAATTCGTTTTTTTAACGATTAATTGACAGAAAATCCGAGTCATTTTTGTGCGATTTTTTCACGTTTTTGTCGATTAATTCCATATTTTTCTGCAATTCATTGTATTCAAAAATGAGGAGTTGCAACATGAAATAGAGTTTATTTGACCTTTTTTTCGAAACGTGTTCTAAATTCTCTGGTTTTTTTTTGAATTCATTTCGAAATGAAAGAAAAAGTGAGAGAAGATGAGTTTTCTGTTGATAATTGCAACTCATATAGGTCACGTTTTAAAATATAGGTCAAAATTTTATTTTTAATGCAATTAATCGCATTTTTTGCCAAGAAATGAAAGCGAGGAATTAACAAAAACGTGAAATTAATCGCACTAAAAGACTCGGATTTTTTGCCAATTAATTGACAAATTCACGTCGATTAATTCGACTGAATCACCCCATTACTAAAAAATAATTTGATTTTATTTCACGTACCGGTTGTCCAAGATCCAATACATATTATCGTTGAGGTTAGTGAAGTCCTGTTGAGCAATTGTTATATCATAATAGAACAATTTGATCACTCCAGTGGTTCCAGCCGAGTCCATAATTTGTTCAACTCCAATTGGGTTCAAAATGGTGCAGACAAGACTGAAACAGTCTACTTGCGACAGCAAACTCGGAAAATTTGACACTTCCAGCACGATCTCTCTTCTTTTTTTCACGATTAAATCAAAACCACCTATTTGAATTGATCCGTTTCGTGCAATTTCTTCAGTTTTTGCAATAGTTTTCTAAAAAAATCGGTCAACTTTTCATTTACTAATGACGAATCTTTTAAAAAATGTTCAAAAAAAATTCACGTGTTTCAGCAAGAAAAACGTGAATTTTACTTATTTTTCCGAAGGATCATGTGTAATATCAGGAAAGCACAATTTTAATATCAAAATTTAAAAAAAAACGTCAATTTTTTGTAGAATGATTAAGTCACAATATTTTTTTCAAACTGAACTTTTATATACTTAAATTGTTTATCAAATTTAGATGACACAAAGGAAAAAACTCACAAATGTGATAAAACCTGCATTCCCTGTTTTTGATCTTTCAAAACTTTCATAGCCTCCATCATTTCCAAAACTTTTCAACAATTTAGCGTGGTTGATCTCATTGGGGACGTAGACGATCTGCAGCACTCTTCTGAAATATGAAATACTTGAATTATTTGAAACAATCATTAAACGATAAACCGTGAAAAATGTGTGAGAATCTTACCTAAACACTGAAGATTTCAATAGATGTTGCCCACGTTCTCGAATTTTGTCAGTTAATTGTATTTCTCCCCCGATTGCGATTGACAAACAATTGGTTTTATTCGAATTTCCTTGTGTGAGTTGTTGTGGAACAGGTTGTGGTAGAGGATTTTGAGGTTGTTGAGGTTGTTGCTGCTGATTCGGTTGTAGTGGTTGTTGTTGTTGTGTTGGAAAAGCTTGTGATTGAGTTTGTGAAGCTGGCTGTTGTTGAAGTTGCAGAGATTGTTGAGGCTGATGCGGTTGTGGCGGTTGTTGTTGTTGTGTTGGAGAAGGTTGTGGTTGAATTTGTGAAGCTGGCTGTTGTTGAAGTTGCTGAGATTGTTGCTGCTGATGCGGTTGTGGCGGTTGTTGTTGTTGTGTTGGAGAAGGTTGTGGTTGAATTTGTGAAGCTGGCTGTTGTTGAATTTGCTGAGATTGTTGAGGCTGATGCGGTTGTGGCGGTTGTTGTTGTTGTGTTGGAAAAGTTTGTGGTTGAGTTTGTGAAGCTGGCGGTTGTTGAAGTTGTTGTTGCGGTGGTTGTTGTTGAAATGGAACATGTTGTGGTTGGTGTGGTTGTTGTGGTTGTGGTTGAGTCCCCATTTTCACCTGTAAATAAAATTAATTTGACGGATATTTTTAAAAGTTTTTAAATCTTAGAACAAGAAAAAGACGCAATAACGCGAATAGGAAAATGCTTAGAGAAACCGACGTCGAATCGAAATCAGACGACTAATCATCTGTCAATCGTCTGTTTGTCGCAAGTTCGTTGGCGAAGAGTGTGTGCTTCCCGGAAACGCAGATGAAACAGTTTCAGGCGACTAATCAGAAGTAAGTCGACTAACTTCTGGCTGATATATGGTTACAGTATATTGTTGACTTGTTAGTCAACTACCTCTAAATCTTTTTTGTTTGCGTCTTCGCAGAGGTTCTCGAAGCAGAAAATGGGAAACCAGCGAACAACTGGCGGAGAAAAATTTCTAGTTTCAAGTGCAAAAAATTTCAAAAGACGCATAGCGGAGAACCAAGGAAAACTGTAGGAGAACCGATGGAAAATTTTCGGTGAACAGGCGGAGAACTCTTGGCGAATCGTCAGCCATCGGCTGAATCTCCGAAAGTTGTCCGCCGGTTCTTCAGCCTCTGAGCGTGCATGAATGGTTGGCAGCAAAACGAGGAAATCATTCAAAAATTGGCGGCAACCTTTCGCTGCAAGATATCGCAGCAGTGAAAATGTGTGTGCCTTTAAACTGCAGCAATGGAAAGGTTGCAGAATTTTCCAATATGTTCTAGCTCCGGTCAAGTTCGCTCCACCGCACTAGTGGAGGAAATTCAAATTTGAATTTTTCTTTCTTGTTTTTTCTTTTCATTTTTTCTCTTCGTTTTGATTTTTCTCTTCGTCTTCATTTTTAGAAATGTTATTGTGATAAGATGATCACTTCGTGCATATAAACTCAATCATTTCGCTGTTTACCCTACTGTTAAGTTGAACTCGTGTTGTTTTCGTTTTTTTTTATTATCACAACATGTCAGCCCATCAGTATCTTCATCGATGAATCGAGTTAAATGTTTCGCTCTCCAACATTATCATCCGCATCGATATCAAAATCAAGTGGATTCGAATTCGATTGATTAAAGAAAGAACATGAATGGTAAGTGTTTTCAAATCACAACATGTCAGCTCAATGAAAATTAGCAATCGGCGAGAGTGAGCGAGATGCAGACATTTTCACGTGAAAATCTAATTTTTTGCATTGAAAAAAATATGATAATTATTTTTAATAAAAACGTGAACTAGTCTGTCTCTTTTTCTGTCTGTCTCTTTTTTAATTGGAGAGTTTCTCTGCGTCCCCATCACTCTCACCGATTGCTCTTTGACATGATGTGAAATATCATTATTATTAAAATTAATATTGATATTTTCGAAAAATAAGGAAGTATTGTTACATTTAAAAATCTAGTTCCTGTTGTCTAGTTCTTTTTTCCCTGAAGAATTAAAAAAAATATTACCCATTTTCATGTTAGCGATGTGTAGGTGTTTGCAGTCACAGCAAATTTTTCTCTACGTCGCGTGAAACAAAAAAAAATTGCAGTGTTACTCAGAAAACGTCTCATCAGCCGTCGGCGAGAAAATATCACAGGCATAAATTCTTGACTTTCGATTGCAACCAACAAGATTCACGTTAGTTTTTGGCGAAAATATGTTTGAATGCCCCATTCATAGTCCCAACACCAGTTTAGAAGTCGCAGCCATGCCCTACTACTGCCAGATAAAGGTCATAAACATCCACACCCATGCAAATCAGCCGTACCCCATTTTATCTTTAAAAAAATCCTCACCTTAGTTTAATTCAGCTTGTTACTCAAATTTCTGCCAACTTTTTTCCACTGATTGATATGAAAAGATTAGAAATACCATCGTTTTCTTATTCGATCAGAAAAATAAATGAGGAATTATCGACCACGTTATTCAGGACACGTTCCTTTTTTTTCAGAAAAACAAATTGTACACGTTCATTTTTCTAGAACATTCTTTTCATTTATTTCGAAATTTTCAGATGTCCTCAACAAGACTGTTTTTGGCGTGGTCCAACTGATATGGCACTTCGTAAACATATGCAAGTTCACGGTGCAAAACAACCAGTTATTTATTCTGGAAACAAGCCAAATGGAACGAATTCGAATGATCCACAAGTAAAAGTTCAACTTGTACAACCGAAACCGAAAGGAGTGAAATGCAGTGAATGTGATACTTTTGCATATTCGAGACCATTGTTGTTGAGACATATGCATGATTCTCATGGAATTGAAGCGCCTCTTATTAGAAGAACATTTGCAAATCGAGAAATGTTACAGGTTGGTTGTTTTTTTCAAAAATGCGAAAACATTTCACCAGAAATTGTTCTCCTTCTTGATATAAAAACTTTTCATAAAAAAATTCATAACTTATTTTCAGACTTGGCTCGATTCACTTCGTGAAACCCACGCAGTCGAATTCGTCGTTTCTTCTGGCTCGAAAAAATGGGGACGTGGACTCCAAGTTCATTATTTGACATGTTCGAGAAGTGGAGATCAAAAAGAAAGACCGAATAAAAAATATGTTCGGCCACCAAGACCATCAATTAAATGTGGACGAAATTGTATGGCTTATTTGAAGGTTAGATTTTAATTAGAAAATTATGGGGAGATGAGGCTGAGATTATTTTTTTGAACCAAATAATGTTATTCCAGATAAAACAAAATCCAACAGTTTCGGAACTTCAAATTGAAGGATGTTTACATCACAGTGGACATGAAATTGATCACACAAGAATGATGTTGGAACCAAATGAGGTAAACAAAAATTCCAGATTTTTTTAAACTTCTAAATTTTGCAGTTATCGAGTGTTGGTTGTATTGTTGATGCTGTAAATGAAGGAATGGATATAATGGGAAGTGTCGAAACACTTCGATCTTATCTTGGAAATTCAGGAAGATTTAGACTAGTCAATGATAGAGGAATTATTGAACAAATGCCAGTTTGGTTTGATCAGGTAATTTTATTTTTGAATAGATGGGTTCACACTTCGGCCAGAATCGTGGTTTCCAAAATAAAAAATGTACGTTAACTTTTTAGAATAGGAAAACTGTGCATTTTTCAGTTTCTGCCCTCTAAAAACTGAAATTCAGTTGTTTTTTCAAAATTGTACTCTGGTTAGCCACAGATTGGCCAAGGTGTGGATGGATTTATGATTATTTGTTATCCCAACAATAGGCTACTTAAGTTGTTGATTTTTCATATTTCTAATGTTTCAGTATCACCGTGCGATGTCTGATTATATGAATGACGGAAGTCATCCGATTCCTTCAATGTATCGTGGATCTGGAGCTTTGGCGATTCCGGCAACACAAAACGGACAACCAAAATCAGGAAGACGTTTTAATTTTGCGATGAATCGAGATATCAAACGAGAAATGGATTATGAATATAAAAGTGTTCCGATTCGTTTTAATGGAAATACAATTCAACGAAATTATGGACAACAACAATCTTTCACACCAACACTTTATGATGAAAAGGTAATATTTTTGTTTCATGAAAATTATGTAGGAATATTGTAGTTTGGACCACTTAAGAAATCCAGAATATTATTTTTTAAACGGTCGATTACATTAAAAATTTGTAATTTTGGAACTAATTTTCTCAAATAATTTTTTCCAAAAAAATCGCAAAAACGTTTGTTTTCCAGAAAATAAAAATCGAAATAGATGAAGAGGAAAATCTAGCATCACAAAGTTTGTTGAATAATGAAAATTGTTTGATGGAAATGAAACATGAAGATATTTTCGATTCTCCAATGATTGGAGGCGAAGAAAGTCGACTTTTAGAAGATGATGATATTTTATGTGGAGGAGAAGAAGCTTCTGGAATAACATCAACAATTGATGGAATATTAAATGCAAATCTTCCTGATAATTTTGGCGATGTTATGTGCGGAGTTGATGATTTGAATACTGATTTTAATTGTGGAATGGACGATGCTGAATTTAATGAGGTAAATTGTTTTATTATTTTTAATTTGCAAATTAATAAAAATTATAATTCTTTTCAGTTGCTCGGTTTTGATTTCGATCAACGTGGAAGTATTAATTGTTCGTAGATAGAACAGAATAGATCAGAAGTAATACATTCAATAGTGGTGAAAAAAACTGTGACAAAAATAATTAATATTTATGATGTCAAGTTTTCATATTTTTATTTCAAAATTAATTAGTCAGAAAGATTTTTATCTAGTTCTTAAATTTTCATTGTTTTTGCCTCTTTTTTTGATTATTTACCGGGACTGGATCCTGGTAGTGGTCGTATTTAGTTTTTAGAAAAATTGCATGTTAAAATGTGTATATTTACCCATCGTAGGATAGTTGAATTTTGTTTTTCCTTGAATTTTATTTTATATAAAAATAAAATGTTTGAAAAGTTATTTGTTGACTCTACCTTTTTAATAAAATCCCGACTAGGGGCTGTTGGCCCCCAGGCGTAAAAGTCTTCTCATTTATTTCAGTTTCACTTTTTTCTGTGGAAAATTGACTTACAGTCATGGAAAATTACAACCAAATTTAGATATAGAAAGTTTCACATTTTTTGATCGAAAAATGTCTCGTGGCTAAATTAGGAATAGTTCCTAATTTTGCCATGGATGGCTTCATCGATCAATTTTTCGAAAAAAAACTTTTTAAATCTATTGTTTGAATTAAATTTACTCGAAAGATGTTAAGAATAAGAATTACAATTGAATTCATGAAAATTTCCAAGTTATTTGATCAAAAAATTACTCGATTTTCCATGAATTCAATTGTAAGTCAATTTTCCACAGAAAAAAGTGTACCTAGATGAAAAAAAAATCGGCCCGAGTATTTAAAAAAAAACGGCCCGAGTTTTTTCAAAAAAAAATTGGCCCGAGTTTTTAGAAAAAAAAATTGGCCTTTTTGATCGAAAAATGACTCGTGGCTAAATTAGAAATGATTCCTGATTTTGCCATGGATGAAGTCATCCATCAATTTTTTTCTTTTTTTACTCGGGCCGATTTTTTTTGAAAATACTCGGGCCGTTTTTTTTTTTTGAAAAAATTCGGGCCGATTTTTTTTTAAATACTCGGGCCGATTTTTTTTTCTAAAAACTCGGGCCGATTTTTTTTTGAAAAAACTCGGGCCGTTTTTTTGATAAAACTCGGGCCGATTTTTTTTGAAAAAACTCGGGCCGATTTTTTTGAAAAAACTCGGGCCGATTTTTTTTTTTGAAAAATTTTTTCTGTGGAAAATTGACTTACAATTGAATTCATGGAAAATCGAGTCATTTTTTGATCAAATAACTTGGAAATTTTCATGAATTCAATTGTAATTCTTATTCTTAACATCTTTCGAGTAAATTTAATTCAAAAAAATAGATTTAAAAAGTTTTTTTTTCGAAAAATTGATCGATGAAGCCATCCATGGCAAAATTAGGAACTATTCCTAATTTAGCCACGAGACATTTTTCGATCAAAAAATGTGAAACTTTCTATATCTAAATTTGGTTGTAATTTTCCATGACTGTAAGTCAATTTTCCACAGAAAAAAATGAAACTGAAATAAATGAGAAGACTTTTACGCCTGGGGGCCAACAGCCCCTAGTCGGTAAAAATCTAAAATTTCAAATCATTTCTGAAAATTTATTTCGATAGATAAATTGGGCCAATTTTTCTTAATTTTTAGATTCAAAAATTAAGAAGAATTGGCAGGAACTGTTTTCTCCTAAACCTTTTTTCGAAGCGACAAGTCGAGAAGCGGCACTAGTTAGTTAAAAATTTGTCAATTGTCCCATAATTATTTATTGTTTTTCGATTAAAACTAAATAAAAAACCAGTTCATTCATATATTACTCGAATAAATTATCAATAAAATAACCTCATCAATTTATTGTTTTTTCTTATCTTCTGATTTCTTTGTAGCTACTCCAGTAGTTCGGTCTTCTTTATGATAAAGATAAACGATTGAAAAAAGAACCAATCCAATCATCATCGAAAAACTTGATGCATAATATGGATAGGCAGATCGAATAAATCTTTCGTATTGTGTATGCCAAAGTGGACGAACTGACATTTGTTGAACATCGTATAAATGAGTATATCCAACACGACGGTAATCAACCAAGAATTTGAAAACACCATAAACATCTGGCAATTTGAAGTTGGCTGTGAGAACTCCATTCTGTAATAAGAAATTTGTAAAAACATTTCAACGATCAAATTCAAACCTTATTTTGAAGAACAGTTCTGACGAATGGATCAATACGGACGAATTCCAATTGAACATCTTTTCCTTGGAATGGAACCCATTTTCCGTTTTTCAATTCTTCAATTTCAATTGTGTATACAACATCATCAGTAATTGTATATTCTTGTGGTGGTGGTTGAGTTTCTCCGACCAAATGATGATTGACTTTTTTGACTCGAATAACTCCATTTTCTTTCAATACCCATTTTGTGATTGCGTCGGCAAGAGCAGCATTTCCAGATTGAGCATTTTTATCTTGAACTGATGGATTAGCGGAATTGACTTTAGCTCCGAAGAAAGCATTTGAGAACAAATCAGCACTTCCAGTGAAAACAATTCGAGCATTATTGCGAGCTTGAAGTCCACCAACAAGCAATGTTCTTGTTCCAGCAATAACTGGATTTGTAACGCGTTGAGCTTTTGGATCGAATGAATATGATGTTGTTGTTCCTTTAATAATTGACAAAGCGAGACGATTTTGTCTGCCAGCAACTAATCCAATTCCACGGAAAAGAACTGGTTTCAATTTCGAAGCATCTCCGACAATTAATTGAGCATTAATCAATTGATTTTTGTTGATAACCAAAGTTGTATGATCTCCCGAATCAAGTGATGTATCATAATTGTGATGATCAATAACAGCAGTTCCAGGAGCATCGAATTCGAAACCATTTTCAACGGCAAGTTCGCGAATAGCATCTCCGATGTTTGAACCAGCAGCAACCAGAACATTACCACCAGCATCAACGAATTTCGAAATTTCGCTCGAAGAAAGTGAACCACCAAAAACTTGTACTCCTGGAGCAAGAACAATAAGATGTTCGAAGATCAATTCACCATGTTTGAAGAGAGCAAGATTGGCATCATCAGCTGCACGAATTGTCAATTCATGTCCTCGTGCTGAAACATTTGATTTGTCTAGGGGTTTTAGTTTTGGAATTTTAACAACAGAGAAAGAGCTTGTTCTGAAAATAGAGGAATTCCGCAAAAATGATCCTTACTAGAATATTTTTGATCCCACAAGGTTACCCAATGTTATTCTCCCACATAATCGAAATTTCTTATTTTTCAATACTAACCTGTAATCGAGTTCAAATAAACTGAATGTGTATCTTTGATAGCGGCAGTTTCTCCCAAAACCAATACTCGATCGGCCAAAGTATTTTGTAAAATCACGAGAAGTACGATTAACCACTTCATGGTTTTCCCCTGGAAAAAGAGAAATGATAAAAATTTGTCGTGTCAAAAATGCACAATGCCACGTCGAAAAATTGAAAACGCATTTTATTGTATGTGTAAACACGGCGACGAACAATTGCACACAAAAAAGGGAATTTTTCGCGACGAAATGAAGAGTACGGTATTGTTATACTGTTTTGGACAGTGAATTTTTCAACAAAAATACAGAGGAAAGGTAAATTGGGAAATAAGTAATTTATAAATGTGTTGCAATAAAAATTAAAGACCAGGATGAGAGCACAAATTAGCATCAAGTTGCTTTAATTGCGGCAGAGCCATCATAACTTTTCTACGATAACCAGTTCGATCATTGTTATAAATTGGATTTCTTTCCAAATAAATAGTGTCCAATTGAGAAAGTTTTGCAAACTTGTCAATTTCTGGCCAAGAATCAACACGGTTATCGTTTGCCTGAAACATATACAAGTTAATTTCAAAATATTTTTTACGAAAGAAAAACTTACCCAAAAATCTTCCAAGTTTTCCAATAACTGGATGTTCGAAAATGTGGTTATTTCGTTGTTCGAAACATCAAGAACCCGCAACTTTTTCAATTCTTCGATTCCTTCCAAATTTTGCAGTCCTTGATCGCTCAAATATAATTCTTCCAAGTTTTTCAAATTATCCACATTTTCAATTTTCACGAAACGATTTCCCTTAAAAATTATATTAATTAAAAGATAATTCTTTATTTTTGAAAAGATAAAAAACCAACGGGTACACTGAAAAGCTTCAACTTCTTCAAATTTTCCACATTTTCGATGCACTTCAATTTATTTTTTCCCAAGTATAATTCTTCTAAATTTTCCAAATGATTGATATTTTCGATAACTTTGATTCGATTGTCTCCGAGTTCGAGGAGTTTCAACTGCGTTTGATTCTCAAGATTTTCGATTTTTGAAATTTTGTTATGAACAAAGTAGAGTTCAACAAGTTTTGTGAGCGTTGAAATTCCACTGATTTCTCGAAGTCTGTAAAAATAAAAAAATTGAATGAAAATTAACAGAAATATCTTTTAAAAAAATACCTATTATAACTGAGATCTAGTTTTATCAAATTTACAAGTGGTTCCAAATTGGCAATTTCTGTGAGTTGATTTTCGTATAAATCCAATTCTACTAAAGTTGTTAAAGGTAACATATTTTCGGATATCGAAGTCAGAAGATTTGTTCGAACAGACAATTCTTCGAGTTTTGTGAATCTAGTCATATCTGGAATATGATCAGCCCGTGAATGTGTTAAATCAATTACAGTTTCGTCATCTTTCAGAGTTGATAGATCGAATTGATTTTTTTGAATCGCTTCATTTTGTTCCACGTTTTCTTCTTCGTTTTCCGATGGCGCTCCGCTCATTTCTGAAAATATTTATTTAAAGAAAATGAACTCAACTAATCGCAAAAATTCAGAGAAGAAATATTTACAACAAAAACAAAAATCCTAACGATAAAAATATGAAAAGTTATTTTTTCTCGAATGGATCTCTCCATGCATTTTGTGGTCCGGCCAATTGTTCACGATCCAGTCGAAGTAAAGCGCGTTCTTCTTTTTGTGCATTTTTATAGTAATCATTATAATACTTTGGATAGACAGTAACAGCGCAAACAGCTAAACAAGTGATGATTCCAGTTGTAATAACAGCCACTGTTCCAACAGTTGGTCGAGCGGTTTTTGCAAGACGTGGAAATCTATTACGAATCGAAAGCCAAAAAGGAACTGGGGCTCCTTCTGGGATACGCATTCTAAACTCGATTGAAAGTTATTTTAGAACACAAAAATGAAATGGCGAAAAAGTTTTTTGTCGAAAAATTCGAAATTAATTTTACGATAAACAACAGGCAAGCGAAATGTCGTTGTCATTTAAAAATATTTTCCCAAACGAGGCTACGTTCGCAACTATGCGCCTGTCAATTTTTGCTGGTTTAAACATTTTCAAAGTTCTATTTAGACGGCTATAAAATCGTTGGTGCTGGCGATTTGGATTCAACACGTTTTTATTTCAAACATTGAAAATGTCAGAATCACCCGAAAGAGGTAAGTGTGTTTGATTTGTGATTACAATTGAGAAAACACTATCTTCCCAGGTAACACTCCTGATCTTGACCGACTTGTTCCAAAAAATCATGAATCAGACAGTGATGAAGGACCATTGCCTTCTGCAGCAGAAGGTAAATCTGATGAGGTTTATGAAGTGCAAAAAATTTTGGAACATATATTATCGACGGATGGATTCTTTTTGAAAGTTAGATGGGAAGGATATGGCGAAGATGAAGACAGTTGGGAACCTGAGACAGATTTAAAAGAATGTGCTGGTGAAATTGTTAAAGAGTATATGAGTAAATTGACTGAAAAGGAAAGAAGAACGATTAGCAAATTCAAACGAGATATGGAAGCAAAAGAATTAGCAAAAAAGAAAAAGTCAACAACTCCAAAATCTAAAGCTAACAACAAAAAGGAGAATAAAACAAATGCAAGAATCAAAGAAGAAATCGATTCAGACAATGAGTAAGTTTTTTTTATAAATGTCTGGTTTATAAAAGTCTTTTTCGCAGAACACCAGAAAAGAAGTCGAAATATGTGGAAAGTGACGATTCTTTTAGTGAAGATACAACTCCTAAAAATAAAAGTAGAACTAAAAAGAGAGGAAAATCGAGAGAGGATAGTTTCGAACCAACTGAAAAGAAATCAAGGAAAACTGAAAAAGAGAGAAAGACTGTAACAACAAAAGCAGCTTTGAAACAATATCCTAGTAGTGCAAGACAAGCAGCAATAAAACATCGTCAAACATGGCTGAATGATTCTGATTCTTCAGATAATGAAAGAGAAGAACCTAATGAAAATTCAACATCTTTTGATGATGAAATAAAAGCAAAAGTTCAAACAAAGAAACGAGAAAGAGTTAGTTTTCTTTTTTTTCTCGATCAATGACGCAATAATGATAATTTCAGGCAGAAAAGAAAGAAGAAAGTCAAGTTATGAAAGTCAAAAAAACAGAGAAACGCAAATTGAACGAGGATAGAGAAGAAAGTGAGTTACCAGAAGATGATAGTGAACTTACTCAAACATCTCCTCACGTTACTTTCAAAGAAGTCATTGGCAAAGAAGGAGCAGCTGAAATGGTTCTTCAATTGACCAACACAAGCGAAAATGATCAAGAAGCTCGAAATGGTTAGTTACTGTATATTATTGAAAAAATTAAGGTAAGTTAATGATTTTCCAGGAGAATCTTCAGAATGGAACATCGAAGGTATCACTCAACATATTGGTGAAGACAATAAGACAATCATTGTTCTCTTGGCTAATTCATCAACCGGTGAGAAAAAAGCTGTTTCTGCTTATGGTAGGTTATAAAATTCTGGATTTATCTAAAAATATTATTTTTGCAGAAGGTTATAAATTAGCTGGTTGGAATTTGTGTAAATGGTTAATCAATCGGTGCAGTTTCTAAATATTTTTCTCATATTCAAATATCATTTTTCCCTCTTCCTCTAATTCATCTCTGATCCACTTTATTACGAGTTTTCGTTTTTGATGTAAAATTTTGTTCATTTTGGTTTGAATTTTTACTTATTTCATTTTTGTAATATGAACAACTTTTTTGGTTATTTTTGAAAATCTAAATGTTTGGGTTGATTTTCACCCTGTAGCTTATCTTTTTCAAAATTGAAAGATTTTGTTAATTACCAGTTTTTACAGTAATGCGAATAGGATGAGTGATCGACATATGTCAAGTATATTTCCAGAATGTGATCAACTCAAACAAGTTAGTTTTTTCCCCCAATATTTATTTCAAAATTAAATGTGGACATTTTTCAGATTTATGACAAATGCTTTACAGAATTCTTTCAAAAATTTATCACACCAAATTATCGACATCAATACGCGGTGAATCCGTGTGAAAGGTTACATGAAGTTTATAAACAATGTGTAGAAGAGGTTAGTTGTTTTTCAAAAAATAATTGTTTGATTGAAGAATATTTTTAGCGATTAGCAAACCAACGTCCTTTTGAAATTGATCTCGATGAAATTCGCAAAGAATACCTTAATTCGGAAAAAGATGACCTCAAAGATCGACAAAAGTAATTTATTCTTCAATTGTAAATTTTTCATTGGAATTTTTCTTGTTGATAGTGATTTTTTGTTATTTTTCTTTATCTATTTATGAAAAATATTGAAAATTTATATTTTTTTAATCCGAATTTTGGTTTTCAACCATAATTGATACTTTATTATTAAATTTGTGGCAATTCTATTCAAAAAAATTCAGAAATGGATCCACATCAGCAACAACAACAACAGCAGCAATATCCAATGTATCCGCAACCAAATCAACCAACTTCAAGTTCAGTTCCTGGAACATCAACACCGCCACAAGAAGTTGACCGATTCACTCTTTTGGAAAGAAAATTGGAACAATTTCAGGTTGGCTACAACAATAATTTTCAAATGTTTTTGTTATCGTCGAATTACAAAGTTCGAACAATTCAAAATTATTGAAATTGAAAACTTTTTCGAATTCATGTTCAAAAAATAAAACATCTAATTTTCAAGGAAACTGCGAGACATATCGGTGTAATTGCAAGTGATTTCAATCAAAGAAGTCAAGATACTCTGAATGGAAAAATATATGCATTGATTCACGGATTACAGGTAATATTATTTTGATTCATCTAAATTACTCCAAAATCTATATAAAAAAATTTCCAGGACCTTGATCGCGTCAAAAATGGCTTTGCTGACACCAAAATTCCTCTCGAAATTCTCTCATTTTTAGATGAGGGAAAAAATCCACAATTGTATTCGAAAGAAGTACTTGAAAGAACTTTGCAGAAAAACAAAGAAGTTAATGGGAAAATTGAGATTTATAAAAAGTTTCGAGCTCATTTATTGAAAGAATTTGGAGAAGAAATGCCGGATTTGGTTCTGAAATATCGAAATATGAGAGATGATTCGGATATTGTGTAAAAAATATGAATAAATTTTTTGAAAAACTATTTTTTAATTTTTTTTTGTGGTTTTCTAACCAATTTCAATATCTTCATTAAAAAAATGTTTCTGACTGAAGCCGATTCAGAATTTACCGTTTTTAAATTTTCCAAATTTTGAAGTTTCTAAAAATACAGTACGATTAGCCGAAATTGAACTGTTTCAAAAACTCCAAGTTTTTTAAAAACACTTGCAGATGTCGATTGGGGCGAACGTAATAATGCAGGTTCAAAACGCGGCATCCGCCAAAATAATTCGTTTTGTTCCGCATTTTGTTTCACTTCGATTGAGTTGGACACACAATGATTTGAAAGCTGAAGGTTTAGAACAATTTGTTGAGGAATTTTTGCCGGTTATTCGCGAAAACAATCCACAAGTCAAATATTTCATGCAACGAAGTTATACAACTTGTGATCCATTTGTTGTTGGAGAGTTAGTTTTTTCAAAAAAATATTTTGTTTATATTGAAAATTGTTTATAAAACCACCTTCGATGTTTATATTTTAAATTTCATACAATTTAATTTTAGATATAAATGGTTACGTCATCGAAAGAAGCGAGTGAGTTGGAAATCGAAAGAGCAAGTTTTGTCAATGGTTGAGGAAATGTCGATTGGCGGAGATTATAGAGAAGGTTTGTAAAAGAAAAACATCTGGGAAGAATTAATTTTCATCGCCGGCTAATAGTTGAAAAGAATTGCCGAAAAAAATATGTGTGAGAATTTCACAAGGGAACATTTTTATTTTGTTTTTGATTTATGAAAATTTGGTTCACACACTTGAAAATCTGTAATTTGAAAAGATAAAAATTACACCGTAATGGTTTGCCATTTCACAAAAAGTTATGACGTAGCAAATCTTCTATTTTTGTCAGAAATTGGATTTTTGGGTACTGTAGATTTTTTTTATACGATTTTAAAATTTTGCTCTTAGATATATATAAATCAGTTTTCCATGTCATAACTTTTGTTAATAGTATTTGCTAAACAAATTTTAACAGTGATCGACCGGTCAAAAATCAATCAGAAAATACATGAAATCTTTTAGTCCAAAAGTTTTATCAATATCTTTTCAGGATATAAACGAGGTGTCAACAAACGTCTTCCACGTGGACAAGAATTATGGGACACAGAAACAATGGGACATGATATTTTCCAAGTTTATAGCAAATGGAAAGCTGACGAGACACCGAAAAACGAAGAAGATTTACCAATAACCGCAAAAACCCATCCAAATTTCACATTCAGAAAATATTAGGAAATCTTTGTTTTATTCATATTTAGAGAATAGATTTATTGTTTTTCGTTCCTTTTTGTTGATAAATATTATGCCGTCTTTTTTTTTCATTTTCTCACAGATATTTATGTTTTAGTCGGCATTTTTCTCTTTGATGTTCAATTTTTGAATTATTACATTTTGAAGGCAACCACGATTTATTTACTTTGTGACTCGCCAAAAAAAACCACAAGTGTCGTTTTTTGCGGAATTCAAAAAAAGAAGAACATTTTAAGAAAAGAAATCCTTATCTTTTCATCTTCTGACAATTTATTTTGTTTTTATTCGTTTTTTTTCGGCCGCGAGAAAAAAGACACAAGGTTTTATGGGTTTTTGCCTCGACCTTGTGTCGATTTATGAGCCTTTCTCCTCTTTTTTTCGGTCATTTCTTCCTAGATCGGATTATTTATTTTATTTCATAGTTCTCTTCAAAAATATTCCTATATTTATTTATTTCGAATTCGATTACACACACAAACCGAGATATTTTTCCCCATCAAATAATTCAATCATTCGAAAATGTGGGCGGCGTTTTTCTTTTTTTCATTTCTTTCGCTTTTTGTCCTCCCAAACTCCGCCCACTTTTGGGATTTTTATTGGATTTTTCGGACATAAACTTTATGTCTTTTTGTCGTTCGACTGGGTCAAGGTGGTAGTTAAATTTTATTTTTGTCTATTTTCTGGCAAGGAAAAAGCAGGTAAGATTTGCGTTGAAAGTTTTTGATTTGTTTACCCTGTAGATCGAGCTGTGTGTGCTTTTTTGAAATATTGCCCACAAGCTAGACCACATGGTGAATGAATTTGAGAACTAATTTTTTTTTGAATAATTTTTATTCGGGTGTTTTTGGAATTTTGACGAAAATTTTTACACAATTTTGAGATACAGTAATTTTTCTTTGAAAGACTACAGTTCCCTAATTTTTTTTTTAGAATTTTGGCACTTTCTTTGGAAAACTACAGTAATCTAAATATTCCGAATTTTGGCATTCCCGATAATATCTTTAAAATTCTTCCGTTAAATTTTAATAATTTATTCAATTTCCTAGAAAACTAACTAATTGTCAAATAAAACTATCAACAATTAAAATATAACCGGGGCTAAAAAATCCACCATGTTTTTGGTTTTCCCTTATTAGCATCCTTCTCAAGATCACGTAAAAATTGTTGGGTGAATTTCCGAACTCGTTCATCTCCACTTCGACTCATTTGAACAGCTTTTCTCGCATATTCAAGAGCCTCCTCCTGAAAAATGCTAACACGGGCAAAATGAAATGGCTCCGCAGCGGGTCCGCTGCGGGCCCATCTCTCAAATGGCCCCGCAGCGGGGCCATTGTGGGGCCACATCTGAGCCACATATCGCTATGGTGGTTGGTTGGTGGCTCCACCGGTGGGGCGTCGGCGGGTGTTGGTGACGCAATGATTTTTTCAAACTAATCATCATTGTTTCAAATAGTTTAAACAAATTTTAGCATGGGAGGTTGTTCAGGAGGGTCGACAACATATATTTCGACTTCAAAATTGAAAAAAAATCAAAATGTTTTTTTTCAGTGATCTGACCCGCAGCAGAGCCGCCGAAGAGGCGCTGCGGAGCCATTTCATTTTTGTCTGCAAACATGTAGAAAACACAATACTTTGAACATCTATGTTTTATGGATTCAATGATTAACTTTATTTTAACCCGATATGAATAATCATCCAAAAAGTCAAAACATGAAATGACTGGTTAGCCGAGCATTAGTGCTTCGAACTTCGAAAAATCTCAATTTATTTTTTGTTTGAGACTTGAACATCGGGTAACAATCATCTTACACAATTCACTACAAATCCATTAAATTAATAATTCTTGTTAAAAAGTTCGAAAAATTTCTCTAATGTTTTCTCGTGGTTCCATGATGGAACTTCCATCCACATTTCAAATTTTAACTTTTTCGAAAAATGTGAAATCTTGGAATTTTTTTTATGAACGAGAGATTTCTAGTAAATTAACAACGGTGAACATTTTTCAGTACTCGGTTTATACAGAAAACTGTTTTCCGCCGAGATATGATGGCTTTTTGGAGTCCTTTCTGTTTTTTCGGAATTCTGGGGAAAAAACTCTTTAATTTATGATTTTCAGCAGCGAAATTTGAAAATTCAGTGACTCGTGCCTTTGCTTCAATCATAAATTTCTTTAAAACCGACTTTACTTGGGAAATATTCTTTTTATGCTTGAAAAACTAGAAAAAAATGCATTTGTTACTGTAGCGCGCGAAATGTGTGCAAACACACACACACAAACATTTTATTTGACGCGCACTTATTTTTATTTTTCGTTTTTCCTATTTGTCCTATTTTTACGCTTTTTTCTTGTTTCTTCCAAGTTTTACATGATTTCACATGATTTTACAGGTTTACCATGGGCAACAAGTCACCTGCATCACGAAGAATTTGGAGAATTTCGAAAAAAGTAAGAAAAATCATGAAAATAGGAAAAACAAAGAAATTCGATTTTTCAGGGTCCCTTCACAAACAGTGCAATTATAGGAGCGAGAAAAACGATAGTGAGTGGATCGGTCGGATGAAATGGACTGTTGGTGAGTAGTTTTTTGTTTTTGAGCGAGTAAATTTCAAACTCGACATTCTATGATTTTGTGAACTTCAAGTCTGACCATGTGTCACAGGCATAAATTTCTTACTTTTTTCCTGTCGGCTCCGCCCCCTGCCACGATTACACGTTTCACGTTTTTTAAATAATTTTTTCGATTTCATCTTTTTTTCTTCACTAAATTTCGAAATGCAAAAAATCAGAAATAATTATTGCTTGAAAAAAAACGTGCCGCACCTTGCAAAATAAATCCCGCCTCCCGAATCACGCGAGAATTTTTTTTTTCTGCGACAGGCATTTCTGAATTAAAAAAGTCAAGAATTTATGCCTGTGTGTGTATTGCAAGAAGCATCTGCTTATGTTTTACACATGTCAAATTTAGTAAAGATTCAATATCAAAATGAAAAGTTTGTGAAGAGCTGAGAGAATTACATGTTTCTCTCTCAAAAAATACATATGTCTTGGTGGAGAATGCTCAGCCAGTTTTCAACCCAAAATTGGCCGAAATGTTGATAAAACTTTGGTGAAACTTTGACTAAGTGACTCTAGCATCCATACGTGTTTTTTTCCGACTCTAGCATCCATACGTGTTTTATAACATCGAAATTGAATGGGAAATTTATTGAAATGAATGATAGAAAACTTGAAGTCTTTGGGTAATTGAATCACCATTGCTTGTCGATATTTTACTTTTCACAAGACATTTGAAACTGTATTACGAAATCGACCAGAAGTTTCAGAATATTATTCAGACTTGGAAAGAAAGAAAATCATAGAAATGAACAAAACTATAATTATCAAACTAACTTTTTTCAGACATCACCCACCAACACCAAAAATTGCCGACTTCATCTTCGAACAATCGATTTTGGACAATCGACGATGGACTAAATGATTTTTTTAGTCTAAATAAATTTTTTTCTCGAAACTTGTGAAAAATTTTACAAAAATTTACAGAGCCACTAGAAAGCCACAATAGAGCCACCCACCAGCCACCGAAAAAATCAGAGCGCACATTATGGGCCCGCCGCGGCTCAATCATTTTGTGGGCCCGCAGCGGACCCGCTGCGGAGCCATTTCATTTTGCCCGTGAATTATCCGAAATTATTAACAAATTCAAAGAAGATACCTTATTTCCAGTATGAAAAAGTGCTTCAGCATAATTACAATAATATCCAGGTAACATATGTGCACATTCATTCACATATAATATCCGATCAATTCCAACAGCCAAATATTTTTTAGCCAATGCAAAACGATTTTTGAGAATCAAAGAAGCTCCGAAATTGTTCAGAATATTGATTGTATGCGCTGAACTTGGTCCGTATATCTGATATGATATCTACAAGATATGTTAGAATTTCTTAGAATTAAGAATTGATCGATTAATTACCTTCATTACTTCGTCCATATATTCTTCAGCTTCTGCAAGTCGACTTTCATCGCGGAAATTTATCTGGAACATATTTTATAAGGAAAGATTCGCTATTTTCATTTTTATTTCTTTTTAAAAATGACGGGCTCCAAAAATATTTACAGAAAAACATTTTTTAGAAGAAAGCCTTACAGTAATCAAATTTTTCAGGCTAAATTTTAGAAATCTCACCAGAAAATTAGCGTATGCTTCTAATGTCATTCCAAACAATGCAATTGGATCAGTGAACACATGTCCATATGTATCAACAGTATGCCGATCTTCAATAAGTGCTCCATGAGCAACACTGAACTTTTTCATATGTTCTTCCATAACTTTCATTTGTCTTCTCACACAATGTTTATAGCCACTTTCAGCATTATCCAATTCTCCTTTATGCGAAAGAATATCAGCCAATTTCAAAGAAACTCCAATGAATTCTGGATCATAATCTTTTTTCGCATGCAATTCGACTAAACGATGAATAACTATTCGAAAATATTTATCAGCTTCATCCAAATCATTTTTCTCGTAATATGTATTGGCTAATTCATCATAAACTCGAGTTATTGGCAATTCTTCTTTTCTTTCTTCAGCTTCTTCGAGAGCAATTTGGAGAACTTGAATTGCATCATTATATTGACGATGTTTTCGATAAAGCCATGACTAAAAAAACAGATGGAATTAAATGATATCCTTTTTCTTCAAAAAAATTACCTGTTTCACTTTTTCCTTCAATGGATCAGCATCTAATTGCACTTTCTCAATTCCTAAAACATCTTTAATAGTTGTCATCCAGGATAATGCAAATACAGTAGTTGTTCCAGCAGCTCCTCGATTAAACCATTTATTATTTTGCTCCTGATTTCTTTGTTTCCTATGATAATAGTTATTCTGCCTTTTCTGATACGAAGAATTTTGGAAATTACTCGAACTTGAGAAGGCTGAACATTGTCGAAATGTAACACCGCGAATCCTTGATAATGTTTGCATCATCTAAAAAAATATCAAAAATGAAAAAAAGATCCAAAAATTATTCAGAAATATACAAATGGCTTTGTACAAAAAACCCATTGAAAATATAATTCAACTTCAAAAGCTTTGCGACAATTCATAATTACATATAGTACAAAAGTACAAAACACCCGATAAAAGTAGATACTAATAAAAATCTGAATCTAATAAAATCTATGATCTATGAAACAAAAAAAAAACGAGGGGATCTAATCCATTTTCAGTGCAAAACTTGATCCACATGAGCAGCCTTTTTCAGCGACTGGATTATTAACAATTCGAAATGAGCATTTCATGAGATCTTCTACAAAATCGACAGTTGCTCCTTTCATATAACCAATTGACAACTGAAAAATATTTGTTTAAAAAAATATAAGTTTTGAAATTACTGATAAAAATAAATGGAAAGTTAAATATAAACAATGATTTTTCCTATGTAAAAACAAGAGTCAACCTACTTCATCAACTACAATTTCAGCATTACCATCTTCAGATTTCCAAATAAGATCATCATTATTCAATTTTGCATCCAATCTTATTTTATATTCGAAACCTGAACATCCACCTCCGTCAACTTCAACTCGAAGACGTTCACCATTTTCAGTTATTTCCTGAACAATATTTTAAAAATTTGTTATTTTCGAAATGCAAACTCACTTTCAATCTTTGAACTGCTCTTGGTGTCACCTGAATTTGTTCATTCGTCAATAATTTTTGATTTCTAAACGAACTTGTTGATATATTTCGACTACATGAAGCCACCAAACCTCCGATTATTCTTCTTCCTAACATTCGCTTTCTGAATAACAAGTTTTCTCATTCGTCAAATTTGTGATCTAAAAATTTCAGATAATGAAAGTCGGTGAATAATTACCGAAATAATCGTGCATTAATAATCAATTTAAAAATTAGATTTATGAATGATTATAATTCTGGCATACATGAATGAATAAACAGAGCACCTTTTTGTGTGAAACAGAAAATTAAAGCAATACGAAGGTGAGATAAGAAAAAAGAGAGCCTGAAGATTTTGGCGAAAGAAAGGGTAACATAATATATACATAGAAATCAGTAGAAATACATAAAATCTAAACTATCTTCGAGAAGTTGATGGTTGATGAGTTGGACTTTGTTGATTTGAGCGAATTCTTTGGCGTTCAAAGCGACTGAAAATATATTTTAGAAACTTAATGCTTGAACAATTTTGACTATCAAAAATATTTCAAATATATATTTTTAAAAACCTCACCGTTCCATTTCGTCAAGAAGTGTTGGAGTATATCTTACAACTAATTTCACAGTTCCAACAGCAGATTTCAGCAAATCGACGGCTTTTTCGTGGCATTCACTTTCGACATTCTGTAAAATATTTTTTAACCAAAACCAACAAAAATTATTTTAAAAAACCCTACCACTCCATTAACAGCTATTAATTGATCGCCTCGCTTCAATGCGCCATTTCTATCTGCAACTCCACCTGGTATAATTCTTGATATGTAAATTGGCGAATTTTGTTCTTTTCCACCCATCACATTAAATCCTAAACCTTGGTCTGTTTTTGGCAATTCGACAATTCGAGGATGTGCATGACCTTCTGCGGCTGCAAATGCAGCCACTGTTGCTTTTGCTGTAGCAGCGGCTCGGACCTTAAATTAATTATATTTCGCTAAAAATTATAATAAGAATTTACCTCTGCGGATCCTTCAACATCAATCGATTCATAAACTGTTTCATAGACATCTCTGACCGCGTTGAAAAAATCAGATTGAAGAATTTTTTGAAGAGTAGCCAATTTTGGATTTGTAACTTCACCCGTTTTTTGTACATGCTCAATTAACTCTAATATCCGTTGAACATCGCGTTCCAAATTTGGACCGTCTGGGTTTCCATCCATCTAAAATATATATTAAGGTTGAAGATCATTTTAAAATAAAATTGAAAGAGGTAACAAATGGTGAACTCGTAACCATTGAAAATCGGAAATTAAAATATGACGAAAAATCAGATGAAATATTTAAAACAACCAAAAAATAACAATAAGAAAAAACCTAGCTAATAAATTTACAGGCAAAAAAAAATAATCAATCCTAAACTTCATGCCGGAGAGTATGTGATTGAGACATTTCGAAAGGAACAACATTGAAAGTAAGCTTGTAGAGGTCAACATCTTTTCTATATTCGTAAACTTGCATTTCCTCAATACTATAATCCGGTGAACACTTCTCTTTTGAGATTCTAACAATTCCATCACAATTGGCTCGCAATAACTTCTCGCCGCGATCATTCTCGTAATAAACCTGAAAACCTCAATCATTAATCAGTGAAAGCAATCAAAAACATACGTTTAGTCCAGGATGATAATTCAATTTGAATTGATTTACTAATAATTCATCTTTTCTCACAACTTCACCATCTGTTCTGAAAATTAAAAAAGTGATGCAAAGTTTAAAAAAAATCACAAACCTATAAATTCCTCGATATGGCAAGTTTTTCGGCGGTCTCAAAAGTCCACGTGTTTGATAAACAATACAAGTTTTCAATAAACTGTTTTTAAAGCTCATCTGCAAAGCAAAAAGTCAAGAAATCGACAATTTTATCCCGCTGAAGAGGAAATCCGATTAAAATAATGGATTACGGTAAGCAAACGAAAAAGTGTGCAATACACATTGGTGTTGCGTACCGTAGTATAGCTAACATGCACATCTTATGTTTTCTCAAACGCGCCGAATTTTCATTTCGAAATAAAAATGGAAGACATTTCAATGCTGTTTTTCTCTGTTCTCAAAACGCGTGACACAGATTAATTGATCATTTCAGAATCTTCAACTAAAACGAAACTGCAAAATGGGAAAGCGAAAGTCGAAGAGAAAGCCACCACCAAAAATGAAGTCTGTTATGCCGTTGGATACACAATTCAATTGTCCATTTTGTAATCATGAACGTGTATGCGAAGTAAAAATGTAAGTATTTCTATTTATTCCCATTTTAAAAACAATTCATTGCAAAAGTCAGCTTTCTTTTTATTAAGGAAAAAGAGCGATGTTTGAAATTTGTTTGAAGTCTTATTCGAAATAACTATTTGTACTGAATAAAAATATATATCCAGATTACTGTTTCTTCTAAAAATTGAATAAATATTTCAACAATAAAATTTTCCAGGGATCGTGAGAAAAATATTGGTTATATTTCATGCCGAGTTTGCCTTGAAGACTTCCAAACCGTAATCAATTACCTTTCCGAACCTATTGATGTATATTCCGATTGGGTAGATGCCTGCGAAACAGCAAATGCAACATAACCTCAACATCAAACAATTTGTTACGGTACCACGTTTTCCATATCTTTGATCTCTTCTTTTTTCAATTCCCTCCACCTTGTAACACACAATTTGTATAATAATTTTTATTCTGTTCATGATGGACTATAAATTTAATATTTATCACTATTTTTCTCGACAAGAAAAGGCCTTTGTAAGTTAGACTAATTAATATTCGACTAGATTTGTGCAATATTATTCAATTTTGAGCAAGCTTCAATAAGACATCCTACGGACCACGCTTGAGCTGGGCAACTAGCATTACAATAATCTCCATTAGCATTTGTTAGTTCTGGCAAAGATCGCCATGGTGAATCAATTATATGTTTGTAAGCATTTCCCAATCGTGATTGAACTTGTTTCACAGCATATTCAAGTTTTTCTCCACCAATTCTTTCACCAATTGAAAGTCGTGCGAGTAAATAGAAACCAGCAACCCAAACCCATTCAGGTCCTTGATGATAATTCCATCCTTTTGCTATTTTCTTATCCGTTCCATCATCATCATTATTATAATATCCATTATAAGCCCAATCTCTAAAAACCAATGATTTTTCGAAGTTGACAAAAAAGTAAATCAAAAACTCACATCGGATCAAGTGTTTTTATTCCAAGCGGACCAAGAAGCACTTCAGCCGAGTCAAGTGCTTTCCAAGCTTTTTGAGCATCAAGTAAATCAGGAGAAATAGCAAGAGCAATTGCAAAATTACATCGTAGTTGATAATCTGTATAACCAAAGGTGGATCCAACAGTGTCTTTCACAATATTTCGCCGATTTACATATTTGTTGGAATCATTTTCATCAACAAAGAAATGTTTCTCGAAATTTTCCTTGATTTTTTGAGCCCAATTCAACCAAGTCCAAGTTTCATCTACAATAACAAAAATGACATAATTTTTTCAAAAATTCAAAAAACCAACCGGATGAAACTGAATTTCTTTGTATAAACCCTCTCCGATTCCAATCATCTAAACTAATCAATAATTTATAAGCTAATGATTGTATTTCAACAGGTGCTCCATCTCTCGGAGTTGCTGGCTCTCCTCGATTTCCCGCTTTTTCGCTACTTCCCATTTTATCCATCCAAGTTCCACAATTCCATCGATTTCCTCCACAAATAAATCCAGTTTCTCGATCAACATCAACTTTGATATTGAAACCTTCATCTTTCATATGTTCATCAATTTGATTTCCAGCATTTCTTTCTCGATAAGAAATTCCAGAAAAATGCTTGTCAAGTGCTTCGTAAATTGTATCAATCAGTGGTTGTTCCTAAAGTGAAACTAAGTAGTTTTAAAATAAAACCGGAGCTGAAGAAAACTAAACTTACTAAATCTAAATCGCCATAAACGGCATCATCAGTCGGATAAATTCTTCTAACAGTATCCTTCAAAATCTCTTGTCCATTTGGAGCCAATTCAACATATTTTACAATTGATACAAGCCAAAACCATACAGCATCCCGACAATTATATCGAGCACCTGAAAATAAATAAAACCTGTGGAAAAATGAGAAATTCTAAAAAAAATTACCTATTCCTTCAGCCAAAAGATTTGGAATCAATCCATGTCTCAAAGAACCAGCAAATGCCAAAATGATATTTCTGAAAAATTCAAAAATGAATAGAAAAAGCAGAGATTCCCACAAGAAAAAAAGAGTTTCATTTCAAATTATTGACTAATTTTTTTCTGGTTCAAAACTTCAAAATTTTTAAGACCAAAATCCAAATCTAACCTTGCATCCTTAAAACGACCAGTTGATAAAAGACATCCAGGTAATGCAATAAATGTATCTCTTCCCCAATTTCTCCAAATTCCAACTGCAAAATGAGGCAAACCGGCAGCTAGCGAAGATGCTTTTTTGTCTTCTAATTCAATTTTTGGTGAAATTGGAGCTAATCCGGCACCAGAAATATCACCAACAAATGAAACTGTTGAAATTGCTAACCATCGATATAATGATGAAGAATCAGCAATCTCTCTGAAATTAATTTTTGAAAAAAAAAAATGTTTTTTTTAAATAATAATTTTTTTGGTGCTCTGAATCTTCAAATTTTATAGACTAAACTTACGGTGACATTCTTCCAAAAACTTCATTTTTTGCTTTTCCATAAATATATGAAATAATTGCTTCAAAATAAGCAGGTCTCAAATAATACGGTACATGTTTGAGAGGCTTCAAAATTTCAGAAATAATACTTGCAAGGTTTTCGAGTCCTTGATATTTTTGCAATCTTCCAATAATATAATCACAAATCCAAGTTCCATCTCGAAGATTTTGGCAAACTGGATGACCCAAATCGTTGTTATCTCGAATTTTGTCCAAAATTGGGATCAAACCTGAATATTCAGAATTTTAAAAGATGTTTGAAATGTTTCACTGACCTTGTAGACCACAATACACAAATTTTCCGAAATTCGGAACATCATATCCTCCTTGTTGAATTGTTGAATATTCTTCAGATTCGCATGAGAAAAGAATATGATTAAATTGTTGAAGGGTTGCTTTTTTCAAAACATTTACTAATTCTGAAAATGTTTTAAATTTCATATGAACTTCAAAATTAAAACTTACCAATTTCTTGTTTATTATTTGGGACCTTTATTATATTTTGAATATTTTCAATAGCTTGTTGTGCTTCATCAGATGGTTTAATTTTGAAGCCAATAACAGATCCAGACGAAAAACCAGTCAATTCAATAAATCCTTGATTTCCTCCATGAACTTTGAACATATTCGATGATCCATTAATTTCAACATTTTGATTAACTTCAAGTGAATAATTCGATAATCCAACCAAAACTTCACTATTTTCCTTATCCCAATTTGGTGATATTTCATTTAATTTCATTTCGAATAAAACCTTTTCCAAAACTCCTCCAATTGGAATATGTTTCAAACCTCCAGGATAATGAACATAATTGAAACTATTGAATGAAGTATGAGAAACAACAACAACAGTTTCATGCGTAATTGGATTATGTCGAGTTATTCCAACAATATCCGAATTCATTTGATCAACAAATACTTGAGAATATCCATTTTGTGCCAACCAAACATGCAAATCATTTAGAATTTTACGACCTCGGATAATACCTTTTTCAAGGCTAACTTCTTCTTTTTTCAACCAACTTGAATAAGGACGAGCTTCAGAAACAACATGGATCTATAAGAAACATTAATTCAATTTATGTGAGATAATTCAAAAGAGAAACTTTAGAACTTACATGATCTCGTATGAATTCATCATAACCACGATTTGATCCAACAGCACATGAAGCCATAGATAACATTGCAGCAGTTGGTAGAATATCTCGAACACTTCTTGTTCGAATTGGTGACGGATTATCGTGTGATTGATCCAAAAATAAACCATGTGCAATTGAAGATGGTGCCAATCTGGTAGATCTTTGGATAAATGCACCAACACAATCTCCACCATATCTATAAACCAATCGACCTTGTTCATGACTGTCATGGGCAGATTGAGCTTCTGAAATATATAATTCTGTAATTGATAATTGTTAAAAAATAATTTTTTTAAAGATTCCTGAAGTTCGGGCAATTTGTTGAACTATATAAAAATGTTCCTTTCAATTTTTTTCTTTAAAATTTTTTTTTGACAAAAATACATACCTCTAATAAGTGAAGAGATTCCAAGTCGATTTACAAACATATTATCAGCATATTCACTTCCAGTAAACAATTCAGCAAAAACATAAATATCTGGTCGAATTTCTCGAGCTGATTTCAAAAGTGCTTCAGCAACATGAATCGGGGTTCCATGAGCATTATCAATTCGAAGACCGTGGAAAATTTTTGCGCATTGTTGCCTGAATTTATTTTATTTTCAAAAGAGTTTCGAATAAAAAACCTACGTATATTCTTTCATATAATTCCATAAAAATGGGCTATCTTCTTGTTTTTCTCCATAATTTAGTTTAACTGAATCTCCCCAACAAACAAGTTCTCTTCGAAGATAAACTTGTGAAGTGGGCAATGCGAAATTATTCAAAGGATTTGAACTCATAACCCAACCATTGAAAACCATCAAATATTGTCCTTTCTTTTCGTCATATGCTAATTTTTCTTCTTCTTCCCAAGTTGAATCAGGTTCGAGGTGAAGGAAGTAACTGTAAAAAGATAAGAATAAAATGAGATTTTCAGAGTTTTCTAGAGACAATTAAATATTTGAAGGGCTTATTTTTACTTAAAAATGTTTTTAAAAAACTATGAATCTCTAAGTATCAAAATATGTTTTCATTCAATTTTCCCAAACAACTCACTCTGTTGTCAATGGTGAATCTGGTGAAACCAATCCTTTTTTGGGCCCATGATCCGCAATTCTTTCATAACTTATATGTCCCATTACAGCATTCAATCCACCCAAAATTATATTCCAAGATTCTTCTCCCGCTTTCATATTCAATTTTTCTAAATGTTCTCCAAAACTTGCAACACATTTTTGAATTCTTTCATTTTCATTTGATGCATCTCCTCTTTCTTGATTATAAATTCTCAAAGCTTTTTCAAAATCAACCGAACTTCCAAATCTTCTCCATTTTAAATCTTGGATTATTTCAATTGTTTCACCATCTAACGGATCTTTTGTTGGACCATTTTTTATCAAATTTTCGAAATGACTTTTCGTTTTTATTATATCAATTTGGAAGAATTCGTGAAGTCTAGCTTTGGGTAAAACTTCAGCTCTCAACAAATATTCAATATTCTGAAAATATGTGGATTTTATTCTGTAAATTAAACGAGAATACCCACATTAATATGATGAATATTATCAACAATTTTCGGAACTCCTCGATTTTCCCAAACTCCTTCTCCAATTTGTTTTCCAAAATGATGATAAATTCGATCAATCACATAAGCCGGCCGTAAATGTGGACTATTTATACAATTATATGCAGATTCTGGATGTTCCTAAAATTATATTTTTGAATTGAATTGTTTAAAAAAAAGTATTGTTCGTACAAGAATCCACTTTGCATTTTTTGCAGCATGATTCCAAACAACATCTTGTACAGTCAATATATTCCATTCTTTTTCAATTTCCTTCACAAGTGTATCGACATCTTTTAGAGTCGCTTTATGACCAGGCTGTAAAAATATATATTTATTTGGAATTTATGAAAAAAATCAATGAATAAATTTTGATTCGATCAAAAAGAAATCATTTTGTGCAAAACGAAATGAGGCTATTAGCGCTCTTACTTTCGGTTCAATTTTTGGTTCCATCATATTTTTGTGGTAAATGAGTGAAAATTTGTGAGCAGTTTCAGTTATTTTTTAAATGGGTTTTCAGATGGACATAATCACGAATTCGCTGATGAAAAAGAAGTTAGAGATGAGAGGTTTGTTTTTTTTTCGGTTAAAAAATACAAATCAAAACTTTTAGTCATATAAAAGAGCATTTGCAAGACAAAATCGATATAAGCAAAATGAACGATGAGCAATTAACATTTCATTATTTCAATATGTTTGATGTCAATCATGACAAATTCATCGATGGATTAGAAATTTCAGGACATCTCATATCTGACACAGGTTGTTTCATTTTAAATTTCTAAATTGAAAATATTTGTTTACTTTCAGGTAAAACTTTGGAAATTTTGAAAGAAGATAACATCGAAAAATTAGTGGATGATGCTTTGGAAAAAATCGATAAAAATAAAGATGGTTTGATCGATTTTGCAGAATTAAAATCAAAATTACCGAATCGAGAGTCGAATTCAACGAATGATGGTCACTGATTGAATAACTGCTATTTGAAATTCCTAATTCGTGAATTGGTGTTAAATGAATCATATTATATCCACTTTCTTTTGCAACTTGTAAACGACTTTTCCAAGACGGCAAATCTTCTAATAATTTTGTAAGATAAGTTTGACAAACAACACCATCCAAAGGAAGAGGTTTTCCATTGACTTTCAATTCAGGCATTATGAGAAAATATCCAGATCCTGATTCTTTTCCATCTGTTGAAAATGAATATTTGAATGAGCCGGCAACATTGCACTGAATTTCACAATAAACTGCAAGATGATCAGACCCTTCAGACCATTTTAATTGTTCATCTGGCGACATTGTTGTTGTTACTGTAACTTGTTTTCCAAGAAGTGAAGTTCCTCTTTTGAATCGAACAATCCATCCTTTTTCAATTTTTCGAATAACACTTTCTAAATGTTCGCCTTCTTCCAATACAATTATTCGGACCTCGTTGTTTTGTGACATCTGAAAAATAATTGGTATCGAAAAAAATAAAATCAACCACTATAATATATTGATAAGATTGTTGTTGATCGCCGAAAAAACGAGTTTGTAAACATTGAAAGTTCAAAAATATTTTGTGGTCAATAAAAATATCTTGAGAGAGAAAAGATGCAGATATTTTTGAAAAACGTGACTTTCAAAAAATAATTATACACCCCGCTGAAACGAGAAATGACTGTTTTTCTACTGTAGAACGCAATCGAAAAGTGTGCAAACACCGCGTCTCTGCGTCTCTCGAAAATTCACACTGTTTTGTTCGTTCAAAGGAACATACATTAATTAATTTATTGGGTCTCGAAAAGCTGGCCTTCCTGGGTTCCTAGGAATTATGAATCTTATGGATTAATGTAGATCTCGACACGCTGAATCTCGTGTTATTTTTCATTTTTTCTCTAACGCCTGTTTTCCTAACAAAAATTGGTACGCCAACTTTTTCATTGATTTACGTTGCTGATTAAAGGGACTTGTATTTATTTAACCGCGTGGTCTCGACGCAAATCGTAACTTTCTTCGCAGGAACCCTAAAAATATGAGTTACATAGTTTAATGTAGATATTGAGACGCTGATTCTAATGGTATTTTTAGTTTTTCATATAACGACCTCTAAGGTAGCTAAAATTGGTACGCCAATGAGAACAGCATTTTGCTAATTTTTTCATTGTTTGAGCGGGTGTGCGCGAGGGCCCAAACTTTTAAAAATATATCACAGCTAAAAAAAGATTTTTTCTGTTACCGCGGATACGGTATGCAGCGGTATTTGCAGAAAGAGGAGGCGTCGCCTCTTGCGAACAAAAAAAACACACAAAAAATTGTGCGGCAACAAAAAACACACACGCCGCACAATCAACATATGGGCACCGCCAACTTTTTTTTTCTGGAAAAAAGGGGGGAGTCCGCAACTAAAGTGTTTAATGTATTTTCTTCTTTTTTCTTGCTGTGAAAAATCATAAACCAAATAATAGAAACTATTTCTGAAAGATCTCAGAGATTTTGATTGAATCCAAACAGAAAACAAACAAGTTTAGGAAGGAGAAATAGTATTCAAAACGAAGAAGAGCTCGAGTTGTGTTGCTCGAGAGAAATAATGCATTTTTCCAGAGAAGAAAGAGAAAACGAGAGAGAAAAAATTTTTACAGCACTGGTCCTGGGAGTTTGACCAAAAATTGGTCAATTTTTGGTCAAAAAAATTTTGAACAAAAATTGACCAAAAATGCACCAAAAAAATTTTCACCATTTTTTGGTCAATTTTTCAACTTTTTCCCACCAATTTTTCACCATTTTTTGATCATTTTTCCCAACTTTTTTCAAATCAAAAACACATTTTTTTCACAAAAATTTATTGAAAAGAACAAAAAAGAAACAAAAAATGGTTCTAACTGTTAGGAATCTGCTTATATTATGAACTTTAATTTTCATTGAAAAACATTTTTAGCTAATTAGAGAAAAGAGTTGGAGGCTTGTGCTCGGAAGAATGTAAATTTTGCCCTAAGAAAGTCAATTTTAGAGCAATCGCAGACTCCTAACAGTTTGTGAACCTTACAAACAATAAAAATTGCATCAGTTTCGACTAATACTTCTGCTTTCTCTGCACCAGCAGAAAGAGCAGTGTCAACTTGTTCCTTGATTTGCTCACGTCCTTTTTCTGACAATTTATCCGGATTACCATATTGTTCCTCGTCGATTGAATCGTTGTTGGCATCACCTTCTTCTACGGTTGGCAATTAGTCATGGCATCTGAGAAAACTTGATCTTCAAGTTATCCAAAGGGCTTGTCCATAGTAGAAGCAAGGTTCAAATGATTGTTCGCTGTCGTCTCCGAAGAGTTTACCACTGAAATGCATAGAAATAGAAAATGTATGAAAATTTCAAAACTTACGCAAGTTGAGAAGCCAAACTCAAGAGATCAGCACCCATGCTGAATTCGCTTGTCAACAAATGACGCTTTCCAGATGTCAAGTTGTTCTTCAATTATGTAGTCCTGGAAATAAGAACCAACTTTGATTAAAATTCTTCAGAAGAAAAAACTGACTTTTCCTCGGCAGTGAGCTCTTTGGTGGCAGCGGTGGAAGTTTCAGCAGTAGTTGGACTCGAGTTGCTTCTTCAGTAGTGGTGGTCTTGACATTTTCAACTGGAACAGTGGTTTCTCCGGTCATTGTGTTGGTAGTCTCAGCAAGAGCAGTAGTCATTCTTTCTTGGTTAGTAGTTTCTAAAAACAGCAGAAATATCAATATTGCGAAATAAGATCGATAAGAATCGAATTTTAAAACCCCGACGGCCGTCTACCGGCTGTTGAGACACTTCTGATTGTAACATAGAAACTCATGCAAATGTTGCTGAAAACTTGTCAAATTGAGAAACAGCCCCGTTCTGATAAAAAATCTAAAACTCAAAGAAAACCAATTTTTTGTTTTTGGCCTAAATTCAAGTTTAATATGTGAATTTCAAAGTTCTGGTAAAACTTGCTGCTAGATCCTAGTCGGGGAACAAGCTTTATATCTTATTAGCAGTCGTGAACAATCAATTTCTCTATAAGTAGGGCAACACACAAAAAAAACGAAAAAAAAAGAAAAAATTTGGTGGCGTGCATTTCGTCCGAGAGAAGTACGCACACACATTTCGCTGCAGGACCACATTGCATAAATATGTGCGCCTTTAATCTATTGTTTTCGCGCACCAATTAGTAGTGTTTGGTGATAAATAGTTTGCACCATTCGATTCAGAATTTCACGCTGAGTAAAATGATATAAAAATCATCTCTATGTGTGGAAGTTTTTGAGTTCACGTTTTTGGGAAAAAATGCACGATTTTTGGAACACTGGTGTTAAAAAATAATGGAAATTATTGCCCCTGAACCCAATACTTCTGATTTCTCTGAGCCCTTGTTCTTGATAAATCAAGGATCGATCAATACAACTGATAGATTCGAGATAGGCACCAGGCCTGGTCGGAATGGACCTTGTCGGAAGGTTCGGAATGAGCACGCTCGTTCCGAGTGGTCAGATCGTAATTCCGAATTCCGAACCTCCATTCCGACATTTTTACCTCGGAATTTCGGAATTTTTCGGAATGATATAAAACTTCAAAAATTTGTCTTCAAAAGTTACATTTTTCGAGAATCACAAGAGAAAAAGAGATTTTTTGAAAATGACAGGTAAAATTCATCAATTTTTCCTTTTTTTTGTTGAATTTTTCACTAATTTCAACTCAAACATTCCGAAAAATTCCGAACTTCGGTAGAAAAATTCCGAAATTCGGAAGAGAAACACATTCCGAAATTCCAAAAAGTTTCGGAAGTAACATCGGAATGATTCCGATTCCGAGAAAATAGATTCCGATTCCGAGACACGTTTGTCTCATTCCGAAAAACCTGTCGGTTTCGGAATTTCGGAATTCCGACATTCCGATTCCGATCAGGCCTGATAGGCACAGGGTGTAATTTACTACCTCAATCGCTAGACCTCAAAATTTTCATTAATTTTTGGGTAGATCAAAAATCAATTTTCTCTAAATCTCTCATTTTTGCGTTGAATTTCGTCGATTTTAGTCCCACCCCTAAGATCGTGTCAGGTCTCAAAAAATGCGCGAATTTTTTCGGGTAGTAAATTACACTCTGTGATAGGTCTCTGCTTGGTAAAAATAGCTCCAAGATAAGTCAAAACTGATTTTAGTTGAAGATTTGGGGCTGAAATTTGCGCCAATGGTGAAATTGGTGTGAGTGGCGCCAAAATTCACCAAACGAAGTATTTTACTCCTATTTATTGATTCATCAGTAGAAAAACAACGAAATTCATCAACCTAACTTCACCAAAAGCCGCAAAACGACATGCCTGCCCAACAACATTAAGATTTTCGAAATTTTTCACAATTAAAATTTTCACTGATTTTTGGCCAAATTTCGACCAATTTTTCGGCCAATTTCTGACCATATTTTGGCCAATAAATATTTTTGATCAATTTTTGGTCAAAATTCGACCAATTTTCGTTTTTGGCCAAAATTTGGTCAATTTTTGGTCAACCTCCCAGGACCAGTGAGGGGGCTATTCAACGAAAAAAACATGTTTTCTCAGCGTTAAGAAAACGGTAGAAAAGCGAAGAAAACCTATTCAGGTCAGTTAAGACAACATAAGAATAAAACACGTTCATTGAACTACGACCGGGCCGGACCGGCTGGGCCGAATGGAAGGGCTTGAAGACACAAGAAACACTTAAAAAAAAACAGATTTCACGCATTTATTTTGAAACGACAAAAGCAGCATGTGCGCTCTAGCGACACACTGTGTGCAAACACTTTCGAAATTTCCGTCGGCTGAGCGATTTCAAAAACAATTATTTTATTTTTACATTTTTGCTAGACTCAAAATTTTCTCTTGATTTTCATGAATTTCGATTACTTGAAAGGTGTTGAGAATGAATAACAAACTGATTTTCTGCTCATTTCTACGCGCTCTTGTGTCTTTAAGGGCTCGACCCGGCCGTTCGCTCTATGGCCTCTAAAAAGCCGGTCAGAGCCGAGACGGGCCCTTCTATTTTTTTTTCAACAACACACTTTTTTGAAAGTCGCCTCCTCCGTTAGAATTAGGTTCTAGAATTAGGTAACTACCCAGACTATGTTTTCAAACACGGCGCGCTTTCCTTTACGAGAGCAGCCGTCGAGAAAAAAATGGAAAAAGAAGCAGAAAAAAGGTCAGAGAAAGAGAGGAAATAAGTGAAAAAATGATGGCGCAATGAGAAAATTGTGTGCGATAGAGCGCGCTTTCTCTCCTCTCCAAAAAATTTCTCGACTCTCGACATGATGTGAAAAGCGCACTGTGTGAAACTGTGAAAAAGGCAAGAAACATGATTTTCGACTAGGATCAAGTAGCACATTTCAACAGAACTTTGAAATTCACATGCTGCACACAAATCTAGGCCAAAAAGAAGTACTGCTCATCGATCAGTGTTATCGCTCACACTCAGGTTTGTTGATTTGAATATGAAAATCAATTTTACTGGTTTTTCGTTTTCAGACATCTGGAAAATAACAATTCAATTTTGTAGCTCAAAACGTGTTGAAAGGCCTTGTTTCGCGGATCCATTTTGACAGTCTCAAAATATTCACCGCGAATTCATTTTTTTTTTGATTTGGTAGCTCGAAGGCATTTTGGTACTGCCTCTCAACTCATAACCTTCGAAAATCAAAAACAACCCTTAAATAAATTCAAAAAAAAAAACCCTAATTTTTAGAACCTAACTAATAAAATAATCTAATTTTCTAACTAAATTTCACTAATAAAAAAATGAGTAATTCTAAAAAAAATAAGGTTTTAATTCAAACTCAAATAAAGGTTAATTTTTATAGAAATTCGAAAGTTTTTTATGAATCGAGTAGGTATTGCCTCTCGATTCATTTATAAGTTGAGAGGTACTGCCTCTCAACTCATAACCTTCGAAAATCAAAAACAACCCTTAAATAAATTCAAAAAAAACCCTTATTTTAAGAACTTAACTAATAAAATAATCTAATTTTCTAACTAAATTTCTCTAATAAAAAAATGAGTAATTCTAAAAAATAAGGTTTTAATTCAAACTCAAATAAAGGTTAATTTTTATAGAAATTCGAAAGTTTTTTATGAATCGAGTAGGTATTGCCTCTCGATTCATTTATAAGTTGAGAGGTACTGCCTCTCAACTCATAACCTTCGAAAATCAAAAATAACCCTTAAATAAATTTTAAAAAAAACCCTTATTTTAAGAACTTAACTAATAAAATAATCTAATTTTCTAACTAAATTTCTCTAATAAAAAAATGAGTAATTCTAAAAAATAAGGTTTTAATTCAAACTCAAATAAAGGTTAATTTTTATAGAAATTCGAAAGTTTTTTATGAATCGAGTAGGTATTGCCTCTCGATTCATTTATAAGTTGAGAGGTACTGCCTCTCAACTCATAACCTTCGAAAATCAAAAATAACCCTTAAATAAATTCAAAAAAAAACCCTTATTTTAAGAACTTAACTAATAAAATAATCTAATTTTCTAACTAAATTTCTCTAATAAAAAAATGAGTAATTCTAAAAAATAAGGTTTTAATTCAAACTCAAATAAAGGTTAATTTTTATAGAAATTCGAAAGTTTTTTATGAATCGAGTAGGTATTGCCTCTCGATTCATTTATAAGTTGAGAGGTACTGCCTCTCAACTCATAACCTTCGAAAACCAAAAACAACCCTTAAATAAATTCAAAAAAAACCCTTATTTTAAGAACTTAACTAATAAAATAATCTAATTTTCTAACTAAATTTCTCTAATAAAAAAATGAGTAATTCTAAAAAATAAGGTTTTAATTCAAACTCAAATAAAGGTTAATTTTTATAGAAATTCGAAAGTTTTTTATGAATCGAGTAGGTATTGCCTCTCGATTCATTTATAAGTTGAGAGGTACTGCCTCTCAACTCATAACCTTCGAAAATCAAAAATAACCCTTAAATAAATTCAAAAAAAACCCTTATTTTAAGAACTTAACTAATAAAATAATCTAATTTTCTAACTAAATTTCTCTAATAAAAAAATGAGTAATTCTAAAAAATAAGGTTTTAATTCAAACTCAAATAAAGGTTAATTTTTATAGAAATTCGAAAGTTTTTTATGAATCGAGTAGGTATTGCCTCTCGATTCATTTATAAGTTGAGAGGTACTGCCTCTCAACTCATAACCTTCGAAAATCAAAAACAACCCTTAAATAAATTCAAAAAAAAACCCTAATTTTTAGAACCTAACTAATAAAATAATCTAATTTTCTAACTAAATTTCACTAATAAAAAAAATGAGTAATTCTAAAAAAATAAGGTTTTAATTCAAACTCAAATAAAGGTTAATTTTTATAGAAATTCGAAAGTTTTTTATGAATCGAGTAGGTATTGCCTCTCGATTCATTTATAAGTTGAGAGGTACTGCCTCTCAACTCATAACCTTCGAAAATCAAAAACAACCCTTAAATAAATTAAAAAAAAAAACCCTTATTTTAAGAACTTAACTAATAAAATAATCTAATTTTCTAACTAAATTTCTCTAATAAAAAAATGAGTAATTCTAAAAAATAAGGTTTTAATTCAAACTCAAATAAAGGTTAATTTTTATAGAAATTCGAAAGTTTTTTATGAATCGAGTAGGTATTGCCTCTCGATTCATTTATAAGTTGAGAGGTACTGCCTCTCAACTCATAACCTTCGAAAATCAAAAATAACCCTTAAATAAATTAAAAAAAAACCCTTATTTTAAGAACTTAACTAATAAAATAATCTAATTTTCTAACTAAATTTCTCTAATAAAAAAATGAGTAATTCTAAAAAATAAGGTTTTAATTCAAACTCAAATAAAGGTTAATTTTTATAGAAATTCGAAAGTTTTTTATGAATCGAGTAGGTATTGCCTCTCGATTCATTTATAAGTTGAGAGGTACTGCCTCTCAACTCATAACCTTCGAAAATCAAAAATAACCCTTAAATAAATTAAAAAAAAAACCCTTATTTTAAGAACTTAACTAATAAAATAATCTAATTTTCTAACTAAATTTCTCTAATAAAAAAATGAGTAATTCTAAAAAATAAGGTTTTAATTCAAACTCAAATAAAGGTTAATTTTTATAGAAATTCGAAAGTTTTTTATGAATCGAGTAGGTATTGCCTCTCGATTCATTTATAAGTTGAGAGGTACTGCCTCTCAACTCATAACCTTCGAAAACCAAAAACAACCCTTAAATAAATTCAAAAAAAAAACCCTTATTTTAAGAACTTAACTAATAAAATAATCTAATTTTCTAACTAAATTTCTCTAATAAAAAAAATGAGTAATTCTAAAAAATAAGGTTTTAATTCAAACTCAAATAAAGGTTAATTTTTATAGAAATTCGAAAGTTTTTTATGAATCGAGTAGGTATTGCCTCTCGATTCATTTATAAGTTGAGAGGTACTGCCTCTCAACTCATAACCTTCGAAAATCAAAAATAACCCTTAAATAAATTCAAAAAAAAACCCTTATTTTAAGAACTTAACTAATAAAATAATCTAATTTTCTAACTAAATTTCTCTAATAAAAAAATGAGTAATTCTAAAAAATAAGGTTTTAATTCAAACTCAAATAAAGGTTAATTTTTATAGAAATTCGAAAGTTTTTTATGAATCGAGTAGGTATTGCCTCTCGATTCATTTATAAGTTGAGAGGTACTGCCTCTCAACTCATAACCTTCGAAAATCAAAAACAACCCTTAAATAAATTTAAAAAAAAACCCTAATTTTTAGAACAAAACTACAAAATTATCACTAAATGTAAGATTTTAATTCCTTAAATAAATTCAAAAAGAAACCCTAATTCTTAGAACAAAACTACAAAATTATCACTAAATATCTAATTAAAAATACTCTAATAAAATAAGATATTCTAAAAACTAATTTTTGTTAAAAATTCTTAAATTCTTAATCTAAACCCGAAAAATAAATAAACTAACTCTTCTGCAACTGTCGTCGTCCTCCTCCTTGTCGTCGATTTGTGGCATCCGAGTGGTGCAATTTGGTGGTGGTGGTGAGCAGAATCCTAGTAGAGTTGATTGCAGAAGACGATGACTGCTGACTGAGAAGTGGCGACATTGGCAATTCTGGAAAAAAATGGTTAGTATCGGAATTTTGGGAAAGTCAGTCGATTGGGGATATCAAAAACACATTACAAAAAAAAACATTTATTATTTTATTGTTGAGCGCAGGATGCGCTAGTGGCAAAATCCAGAAAGAGCCCGATTTAAGCCAGAAAAATGGAAATTTCCAGCATGCTGGAAATTTCTTCAAAATTTCTGGCGAGCCAGGCTTGTTTCTAGATTTTGCCACTCGACGGTGACTCGAGCTCGAAAAAGGTTCTCAGTCAGACTGGGAACGAGCTCGAAATCACCATCAGCAACTGAAGAGACGATGGCTTGATGAGACGGCGGCTTGATGAGATGGCGGCTTGATGAGAAGAAAGAAGGCGATTTTACAGCAAAGAACTGAAGCAGCTGATTACGGTTGTGGTTGTTCCTGGAAAAAACAAAAACAGAACAAAAATCTAGAAAAATGAACAAAAACTCATCTGAACAACGATCCTTTGTGCAACAGCATGACGTGGCATATTGAATTGGCGGCGGACGTCGGCGGCGGCAGGAGGCGGAAGACGGTGGCAGGCAGGCAGCATGACGACAGCAGGTAGAGAGAAGTCTCCCGTAAGAGGAGAATATGCCAACCAACGCCGAACGCTCGTCTTTTATACTCCAAACTAGACTATAGTCTAGCAAATTCAAAACTTCCCGCGGCCGCCCCCCACTAAATCAGATCAAAAAAATATTTATTTTTGTGTCAACACGGGTAAAAGGCTGGCGTATTTACGCCCGTCGTCGCTTTTTATTTTCCTAATTTTTTAAAATCATTTTTTTGAGCGTTTTTTTATAGGGAAGATTTTTGAATTTGTTTCTGGAAAAAACATGGTTTTCAGCTGTTTTTTGCGTTTTTTCATATTCAAAAAACGAAGCGGTGTTTGCACATATAGAAACAACTGATGTGACGTTAAATTTTCAGTGATTTTGTGATAAGGGAGATATAATATAGTTGGACATCGACTAAATCGACTAAATAACAGTTGCATGTTTTTTAAGCAAGTGAGTTGAAATATTGGTTTTTAATTTTATTCATATGATAGAATTGTCTGATAGAAATAGTCATCAAAATTTAAATCATTCTGTTTGTCTTAGACCATTCTATTATATGAATAAGAATAAAACCCAATATTTCGACTCAGTTGCTTAAAAAAACATGAAAATGTCATTTAGTCGATTTAGTCGATGTCCAACTACAAGAGATATCGATATCGAAATAGATTTCTTCGCTGAAACTCTTTTCTAAACTAAGTAATCACGCTGATTTCATTTCTCAATCTTTACATGTTTTTGAAAATTTCTATCTTTTCATAAGTTCTTCATTATAATTTTCTATCAGTCAAGTTCCATTCTTGTAATTCAGCCATTGGACCCTCGGTCAGAAAACGGCGGGGTCGCTACCAATCGGGGCGGAGTCGCTACACGTTTCGGGGAACAAAACACGTGTAGCGACTCCGCCCCGATCGGTAGCGTCCCCGCCGTTTTCTGACCGAGCCCCTCAAAACATTTTTGCGCGTCTATTTTTCTGTTTTGTCCGCAATACACTTCCAATTGCACACAATTTCATTTGGCGTTTTCAGAATTTGCTTTCGATTTGATTTGTGGTTTTATCAATTGTAGATGTCAACAAATAAACGGTGAATAATTTGGTTGGAATACAAATCTACGGAAACGGAAAATGGTGAGTTGTTTTCTGAAGTATTTGACGTGTTTCTAGAATACGTGGAACGCAACCTGGTTTGATTTTTGAAATTTATTTTGAAAAAAATTATTGATAATCACTCAGGCACAGTTTGGCAATGTTACGTTGACAATTCAACCTTCGACATCTTCTATGCCTTCACAAACATTGCAACCCAGAATGCGATATAATCCAGCTGCAGCGGTTAGTTTTGTTTAACATTTAAATCGGCTAATTTTCTTTGTAAAATGGTCCAGAAAAATTATAATCAATTCACAATAATATTGAACACATAAAATCAAAACTGAAATAACGTTTATTTTTCAGTTCCAAATGGGTATAACAGATATGATGGGAGATGGACCAGGTCGAAGACTTCGAAAAAATGTTGCAAATGTTCGAAGACATGTTGATTATGTGTCAACAGTTCTAAATCATACAGAAGTAGTTTTCCCATTGCCTTTTCATTATTTTATTTTATTTTATTTTAGGCTCGATTATGGCAATATGGTCGAAAGCAACGTGTACTTCAACAACCAGATATTCTATATCAAAGTACTGCTCTACCAGTTCATAGTACTCCAGATGTTCCAGTTGATTGTGTGCTAACAAAATTTATTCGAACAGCTATGAATAAAGTGAAATGTCCAGTTTATAGTGTTGCTGTAAGCTAATGTTTTAGAGTTTATTGAAAAATATACTTTTTTTTAGTGGTCACCAGAAGGTAAAAGATTGATCACCGGAACACAAACAGGCGAATTCACATTATGGAATGGTACTGCATTCAATTTCGAAACTATTCTACAGGTAATTAAATGTATTTTGTATGATTATTCTAATAAAATATTCACATCTATTTCTTATCCATCGTTATCTAGCGGTGTGTTTGATGTGAATAAAGATTTTATATTTGAAGAAGTTTTGAAATGCAACATAAGTAAATAGTAAGTTGGGAAAACAATTTGAGACAAGCGTCAAGGTTGAAAAGGTCACTGTAGAATCTGGTCAATAATTTTTCGAATGAAAATGTTCGACTTTTTGGGAAATTCTACTGATCCGGATTTGAACAACCGAAAATTGAGTTTTGAAGTGCTTGAATATTAGACCCCCCAAAAAACTTGAAACTCATACCAAAATTAATTGACCTAAAATTTGAATTCATAATTTGTTTATTCAAAATAAAGTAGTTGTATTGGGGGAAACAGTTGCGAAATTATAGGCACATGATGCTGCAATTCGCGCTTTGAAATGGTCATCAAATGAGCAATGGTTATTAAGTGCAGATCAAGATGGATATGTTAAATATTGGCAACCAAATATGAATAATGCACATATGTTTGCCGCACATAAAGATGAAGCAATTAGAGGAATCGCGTTAGTTTGATTTATGTTTTGAACAAAAATTTGAAGAGAAATCGATTACTGTAGAGAGTTACATATTTGTTTCAATTGTTTGGGCCATCAAAATTTAAACAAAAAAATCCTGTATTTTTTCAGATTCTCCCCAACAGATATCAAATTCGCAACAGCTTCCGACGATGGAACTGCAAAAATCTGGGATTTCGCCAGATACACAGAAGATCGTGTACTTCGAGGTCATGGTTCAGAAGTTCGAGCAATTGATTGGCATCCAACAAAAGGACTTGTTGTAACTGGTTCAAGAGATACACAACAACCTGTTAAATTATGGGATCCAAAATCTGGAACTTGTTTGGCAACTTTGTAAGTTATAATTTTCTTCTCCCGATTTCCCTGCCTAAAAATTTAATATAATTTGCAGACAAGAACATAAAAGTAGTGTAATGGCAGTTGAATTTAATCAAAATGGAAATTGGCTTTTAACTGGTGGAAGAGATCATCTTTTGAAAATGTATGATATTCGAGTTATGAAAGAAGTTCATACTTATCGAGCTCATAAAAAAGAAGTTATATGTAAGAATTTATTTTGTTTTTTTCTATAAAAAAACTTGAATTTTGTAGCTCTCGCTTGGCATCCAGTTCATGAAGGATTATTTGTTTCTGGAGGCGGTGATGGTTCAATTGTTTATTGGATGGTTGATAGTGAAAAAGAGATTGGATTACTTGAACATGCACATGATCAAGCTATTTGGTCAATGAAATGGCATCCAATGGGACATATTCTTGCAACTGGATCAAATGATAATAATACCAAATTTTGGGCAAGAAATCGGCCAGGAGATACTGTAGAGGATATTTTTGGATTATCAACAACTATTAGTGTTGGACATTTGGATAAAGAAAGAGAACCGAGACAAATTCAACAGAAAATTACGATTGATGATACTGATTTATATACAAAAGATACATTTATTCCTGGAATGGGTTTGGATGATGGATTATATGAACAGGTAAATTATTATTGATATTAAAAGTGTTGAAGTTATTATAATTAGGAGTTTATGAATTCTATTCTAGAAATTGCATTTGAATTTTATGAAAAATGGTCCAACTTACAATAGGAAATGTAGGCGACCAAGCCGGATTATTTCAGTCAGGTTTAACAACTTCTGAATTTTTTTATAGATCAGCCGTGATATTTCTGTTGATTCGACACTTTTATTCCCTGATGATTTGAATCGATCTCAAAATGGCCCGATGATTGGAGCAAAACGAACTTTGATCAAACAACCGCCAGCCAAAAAAGCGCAAAGACAATTTGAAAGAATGTGGAATAATTCGAAAGGAATTGGAGCTGGTTAGTTTTTTTTATTAGTTTGAGAGAAAAACTATTGAAATTTTGGATGAAATTCCGACTTTCTGAATTTTCGGTAGAATTTATATTCTGAAGAAAAAATCTACAGGTAATAATCGTTTTGACAAATATTTATTTTTCGGCAAAATGAATTGTGAAAATTATTTAAAAAAGAAAAAAATAGGAATTCGGACATGAATAAGACACTTGAAAATTTCTGATCTAAGGTTTTTGAAATATATTTTTAAAAAGTTCGAATTCTAAATTTCACGTGGTTTCATTTCAGGGACTGACGATTTTAATACAATGATTGGTGGAATGGGAAGAGATGATGGTATGGCACCATCCCAGAATCCAATTCCATCATTTCTTGGTCCTCCATCAACCGGAGCTTCTCTTCTTGGTCCAAGTCAACCTCGACCTCCACCGCCTTCTTCTTCTTCTCAATCTCAACAACAACCATCACCAAATCAAAATCCCGAAGAATTTAATTCATGGAGAAATCCACAATTTAATAATCAAAAAGATTCGGATGACCGTCGACCTCCTCTTTCATCTTCTACTTCCTCACAAATGGCACCACATCCTCCAGCGATTAAATTCGATCAGAATGGTATGCCAATAATTCCACAAGGTTTACCAAGACATCTTTGGCCAATGCCACCTGGAATGCGACCACCTGGCGGTCCGCCAACACAAAACGGGCCTCCTCCACAAATGGGTAATGATATTGATTATCGATCGGTTCCACCGCCAGCAAATGCAAATGGCCAAAAACCGCCGGGAGGAGATATTGATTTGAGAGGAGGTGGAGGTGGAGGTGGATTAAGAGGACCACCGCCACAACAACAACAACAATCCCAACAAAATTGGCGAATGGATCCACGTTCAAATGGTGCACCGCCAAATCGGCCATCTTCGCAGCAATCACAACTTCCGCCACAACAAATTCCACCATCGAATGGTGGACATCCGCCTGGTTGGATGCCACAATTTGAAACTATTGGTGGACCACTTTCAATTGGAAGAGGCGGACCAATTCGACCTGGTCAACAACATCAGCCTCAACAACAACAACAACAAAGGCCACCAATGGGAAGAGGAAGGAATCCACCGTATTAGAAACTTTTTATTTATTTATTTCAATATTTATCCACTTTTTCTCTGTTTCATTTTTTTCATAGTGATATTTGATGTTGTTTCTTTTCTTTTTTGTCAGAACTAAATTTAATTTTTTATCGAATAGAAATTTTTCTCAAAAAGAAATCATTTGTTTTACATAATTATCCAATTCTTCCTCATTTTTTCCATGGAAAAATGTTCGAATAATTTCGGATTTCGTGATTTGGAGAATTGTTAGAGGAATCAGCAGGATTTGTGAATTTTGCGATAAGTTCTGGAAATTTCGAAAAATATTGAATTCGGCGAGAATACTCATAGCATTATTTTGAAATTGTTGGATTTCGAATTTGTTCTCAATTCGATTATCTTCTGATCTATAAATAATTATAATCATAATTGCCCAACATTCGAAGAAATTCAAATTCATCGATTGGATGTTACGAGAAATTTGGCAAAGTTTCTCGTTCGAACAATCTATAACATTTTATTTTAAATTTATGTTTTTTTTTTCAAACTTACCATTTACAATATTCACACCCGGTTGAGTTATCGCGCTGAACAAAAACATGAAATGCCACGAGTTGGAAAATATAATCTGGAAAAATTTAAAAGTTCGGGAAAACGTTGAACTATTATTACCCGACGATCTGAAGGTGTTAGGAATTTAGCGGAAATTGACCAATTTGAAATAAGGTTCAAAAGATAAGCAGAGAAATCAAAGTCGAGATTTGCGAGGCGGGAAATTGTGAATAATTTATAATTTGATTTTGAAATATTTTCAGATAATCGATTTCTTTCATTTTGAACTGCTGAAAATATAAATATTTAAATTTGCTATAGTTTGGGTGAATACGAGAAAATGGGAAAATCACAACTAACTACAGTATTTTTTCTAAAGTTGATATCTCTGGACATTATTAGTATTTTATTGGCTTACTGTAGTTTATTTTCGGAAGTTTCGAATTTTTCAAACGGATTCCAGATATTTGGAACTTTTTCTGAATTTTTACCAGAAAGTTGCGAAAAAATTTCGAAGTAATGATAAATATTCCAAATTTTAAATTTTCAAAAAAATGTTCAAACTCGGGAAAATTTTCTATTTTTCTTATAAATCTAACCATGTGGATTCATGGAAACAGCCAAACATTTTTGAAATCTACAAAATTGACATTGATTTCTTCGAATAACATTGATGATACAATTTTGAGATTCTTTACAAACAAAATTCAAATTTCGACGAATTGATCTGAAACAACTAATAGGTTCAATGGTTATTGTAGCTCAAAAATGCTCACCTTTTGAAAAATCCACGACATCCATCACAAGAAATAACTCCATAATGTCTTCCAGATGCTCGATCTCCGCAAATTCGACATGAAACCAACATTTTCCAACAAAAAAAAATTTGAAAAGATTACTTCGAGAAAGGAAAATAAGTCAATGATCGTGTGAAAGTGTCAAGTGAGTTAGGACAAATTACGTATGATCCCAGGCTAAGTGGTACGGAAAAAATCATATTTTGAAAAGAAAAAGGAAGATTTATTTTTTGACAACTTTAAACATAATATCAACTGGTGGATTGAGAAATTGATCACAAAATTGATCGCCGAGAACTTGTCTACCGTAATCGCTGAAAATTGGAGAAATCCATTCGATTTCCGAAAAACCCGAATTTTTAAAACATTGATTGTAGAAATCGCGAGAATGTAGGGCAATTTGAGCATTTCCACAGATCTCGTTTTTGTCGTAGAAATTGATGTTGACTAATTCGCCATCGATGAAAGCAGAACTTGGAGATTTGTCGATTGAAGCACCTGGAAATAAATATTTTGAAGAACTTTCTAAATTTTGAACAATTGAGTTTTGGTTAACAGAATCAATATTAGAAATTTGACAACTGTATTTTGAAAAATGTATGTGATTTTCAAAATGTTGTTCCAGATCTGATTTTGAATGGTTTTTAAAAATGAAAATTTTCTAGTAATACATCAAGACGCGAACTTTGACGTGCCATTTTGGAAAAATTCCAATCCAATTTTCAACACAAAAAATCACCTAAAAAGCTGTCCCATATTTTGTGGTCCATTAATTCCTTCAACTCCATTTGGCACCAATCCATAAAATATTCCGCCACTTTTCAAATGATTTGAAATATTTTTGATCGCTTTTTCCAGCTCTGATTTATCATGAATAAATTGAAGAACAAAAAATGCTGTTGCAATTTGAAATTGTGAATTTATGTGGAAATTTGTAATATCAGCAACTTCGAATCGAATTGTATTTTTTGCAATTGATTCATTTTCTATTGATTTTTTGCAAAGTTCAATCATTTCTGTCGATTTATCGATTCCCACAACACGAGAAGCACCCCAACGACAAAAATCGAATGAATAATGACCTGAAAAAATTAATTATTAACAAAATAATTGATTTTAAAAATCATACCATTTCCACAACCAATATCCAAAACAGTTTTATCAGTCAAAACATCTCCAAAAACTTTTCGAATCGTTGGAGTAATCAGATGATCGCGGCCCAGCCATTTTTCTTGAGCTGATGTATATGCGGCAGATGGAAATTCTTGAGACATTTGATAAAACAAAAATTAATCGATATCAATTTTTTTTTGACTTTGGAGTTTATGATAAGGGCGAGAAACAGTTAGGGGGCGTGGTTTTTTGCGAAAAACTATATATAAATAAAAATCTGTTTATCTCTGAAGTTTTGAACATTCACACGATTGACTTTCACACGTTTCGATAAGGACAAGATAATAGGGGAAAGGGGGATAGAAATTTATAGAGAAGAAGGGCAATATTATTTTACAGATTGGGATGGGGGAAAAGGAAAAGGGGAAGGGCTTGGGAATATGGAATAAAGAGTGAAATATTGAAACAAAATAGTTATTGTACAAAATATAGAAATCTGATATTCTCTTTAAATTAATACTAAAATACAAAAAATTATTGTGGCACTGTTATAAGTGTCTGTAGAAGCGGTAAAAGAGCGATTTGACTTTGATATTCGGCTGATATATCCGAAAATGTATCTGAATTATTTAATTACTCGTTGTCTTTTCTTAAAAATAAACTAACCATAACGTTCTCTCAGCTCATTGATGTTTGTTTGGTGCCACATCCAAATGCAATCGTGTAGTTGACGAAGTTGATTTACTGGAAGGCTTTCCACAATCGATTTGAAAGGTAATGAAAGATATTCTTCAACATTGTTTCCCCATCGATGAAGTAACAATTTCATTGTACATAACATGTCACCAGCTTCTTGTTCGTGATCTTTTTGCATCCGAGCGACAATTGATATTGGAATTAAACATGGTTGCATCAAAAGAAGTGACACAAATGTGTTCATCGACCAAGGTTCTGGATATGCTGGAAAAACGTTGTGTTTTATGAAAAGCTGTGAAATTCGAAATTTACTTGTCATTTCCTCCATCAAATTGAATATCGAATTTTTCATCCATGGTTTCTCAGCAGAACTTCTCTTACATTCCATTAAAGCGCGAAGTGCATTTGCCATCGGCTTCAAGACACTTTGGGCCTCATCTTCAGTTGTTACAACAAGTTCGCTGAAACGACTCCAATGAATAATTTCTGAAACAAGGTAATTATAAAATAGCTAGGACAGTTAGAACACGGTTTAAAAAATTACTGACCATGGTGACGGATTCTAATGGTTGGAGCAAAAAGAAGATACATCAACTTTGAAAGTTTCGACATTCCTTTGTGTTTGAACTCATTCAGGAAAAAACTTAGAAAACAACGATTAGATTCAGAATTTGGATCAGTATCCATGTTTGACAAAAACAAATTTTTGATAGTTTTTCGGACGTTCATTTCGTGTATCATTTTCGGCAAAGAAAAGAAAGGTCCAGCTGGTTTCCGATATGTTTCATCTACAACATCCAATATAACTTCTAATTGCCACTTCACACCATGAAAAACATTGAAAACAACTTGAAAAAATAAGGAATATTGTTGCGGTGTCATTGATGAGTGATCTTTCATGAAACCATGAATCATGCGTCCACATCCTTCCGTTGATTTCGTGTGCAATCGAGCTACTTTTAAATACTGTTGGAATACCGAAAGACGATTTTCAAACGATTTTTCAGATGAAGTAAGCTTTCTAACCAAAACTCCTGAAAGAAAATGTTCAAATTTTTTATGTCGAAACTAAAAATTGCATACCCATTCCATAAAATGGATCCATTTCGGTATATTTTTCTGGAGATTTATTGTCGAATGCCAGCATCTCTTTGACCCATTTTTTCTCAAAAACCAAACTATTTACATATAATTGAATATTCTTCATCCAATCTTTAGAAGTGACTGACAAACTGCCAAGATGAGAATCTACAAAAAATCATAGTTCAGCCGTATGTTTTGTAATTTCTTACATTTCAATGTATCGAGAAAAAAATTGACAACATCGATTGGAAGGTTTTCGAATGAGCCAAATGGTGTTGGTTCCTCAAAACTGATAGGCCGAAGTGGAAATCCTCGAGCTCTCATAAGAAGAGGAGATATATTCCGACCATCCGGAGATGAAACAACTGAAACTGGAGACTTCACTTTGACACCATCATCAACGTATGAACGACGACGTTTTGTAGCAGTTGGAAGACTAGAATTCTCCGAATAACGTTTTCTTACTCCAAAAAACGATGTGAGTTTGTTTGATATATTTGTCTGAAAATTATTTTTTTTAAAGGTAAAAAGGTTTTTCAAATTAGTTGGAACAAAGTCTCAAAAATTATCTGACAGATTCTTACCGCTAAATTTCTCGTGTTCCTCCTGAAACTGTTTTCATTTCGATGTGAACTTGGAGTTGTTGGAGTTTCCATTGTGACGAAACAATGCCTTCTTGAATGAGTTCCCCACTAGAGACTTTTCTCGAGAAAAAACACGAAAGAAAAACGAAAATTGAAACACGCGGCTCCAAAATACTGTAGTTTGTTGGATCGTGGCAAGACCATACTGTGTGCCTTTGATTGGTTACGCGGCAATTCGAACAAGAAATATGTTTTGAAATTTTATTTTCGTTTTCTGATTTTTCCTAGTACTATAGTTTCTCCGTAAAGAGAACATGTTGTGCGTTACGATTTTTGTGATTGTTAAGGAGTTTTAAATAGTTTACTGACTTATTCAAAGTTATATATGATTGAAGCTTGTAGGCGCTCATATTTTTATAAATTGACCTTTTTTATTCATATTTATTCTCATAAAATCTGACAAAATTAGTTTGATTTTGTAATTTTGAAGTTGTGTTTTTTCTATTCCAAATATTCTACATAAAATAATAAATTTGAAAAAAAAAATCCTGAACGTGAAGAAAGCGTTTTGTGATTTTTTGGATTTCCGATTTGCACTGCAATGTTTATTAATTTTCTGTTATTATTCAACAAATTAATTGCATTTTTCAATTTCTATAGCAGTGTTGAAAAAATTGCGCACAACAAAAAATTGTGTCAGGTTTTCAACACTGACCCAAAAAATGTGTATTTTGTGTGTTTTTATTTTGGGTGTTCATTATATATCACATAAAGGCTTTCTTTGAAGGGTATAATTATTATATCAATTTTTCAGTTTTTCAATATATGTATTAACCAATGTGGCAACCAGACGGAGAAGAACTCGGACAGGTAATCGATTTTATTCAAGAAATATTCTAAAATATTGATGATTTTTAGGTGGTTGCACTTTTGCAACATTCTCAATCAACAGATCGAGATGTTCAGAAAAATGTTCAACTTCGGTTGAATCAATTAAATGAGCATCAACGATTTGGATGTTATTTGGTTTATATTTTTAGTCAAATGAAAGAAGATGTTGATGTGAGTTTTCTTTTCATAAAATAAATAGAGCAATTGATTATCTAAAGTTTATTTGTAGTCTACTAGTCGATCACTAGCCGGTTTGTTATTGAAAAACAACATTCGACAAAAATGGACAACATATCCGGCAGATATCAAAGGTTTCATCAGAAATCACTGTTTAACATGTATTGCTGATGATACTTCATTGATTCGTGCAACTGTTGGAATTATTGGTAATTTTCATACAAAGTTTTGATATAATCAAGTTTTCCTTACAGTTACAACAATTGTTGTCGAAGAAAACATTTCTGATTGGCCAGATTTGTTAGCAACTCTTTCAACAATGACAACAACACAAAATGAGAATATGCAAGAAGGAGCACTTAGTGCTTTGCAAAAGATATTCGAAGATTCAGCGGATAGATTTGAAAACGAAGTGTTGAATCCAATAATCCCTCAACTTTTAGTATTTTTCGATAATCCATCAGAAAGATTGAGATCATTGGCAATGAATTCAATCAATTGTATTTTAATGGTTAATAATGATCCAATTGATCTTGTTATTGATGATTTTCTCAATTCTTTATTTGCAAGAGCACATGATCAAGATGAAGAAGTTCAAAAACAACTTTGTCGATCATTGACACTTCTTTTGGATACTCATATCGAAAAAATGATGCCTCATCTTCCAAATGTTGTTGATTATATTATATTGAAAACACAAGATTCAAATGAATTAATTGCTTTAGAAGCATGCGAGTTTTGGTTATCACTCGCCGAAAACAGTGAAATCTGTCGACAATTATTACAACCATTTTTGGAAAAATTGGTGCCTGTTTTGGTGAAATGTATGAGATATTCTGAAAATGATCCAGCACTCAAGGTTGGTTGTGTTTTGGTGTAAAAAAACGTATCCCGAGTATAATAATTAGATAACAATCACTTCTTTTTAATAGGCAAACGAAGACGATGCATCAGTTCCCGATCGAGAAGAAGATATTCGACCGAGATTTCATAAGTCAAAACAACACGGTTTGATGAATGGAATTGGAGAAGATGAAGTAAATATATTTGATATTATTTTTGGTTTTATTTTCTGTGAAACAAAAACTGTTTTTTTCAGGATGAAGACGAAGATGACGATGATGATGAAGGTAGTGGTGATTGGAATATCAGAAGATGTTCAGCTGCTTCCCTCGATGTTCTTGCATCCATTTTCTCGAAAGAGCTTCTACAATATTTGCTTCCAATCTTGAAGGAAACTCTTGTTCATCCAGATTGGCTTGTGAGTTTTCAATGTTTTTCACAAATTTTGATTATATAAAACGACATTTTTTCAGGTGAAAGAATCGGGAATTTTGGCACTTGGAGCGATTGCTGAAGGATGTATGGATGGAATTACACCGCATTTAGGAGAACTTATACCATATTTACTTGGAATGTTGCAAGATAAAAAACCGCTCGTTCGATCAATATCTTGTTGGACACTTTCCAGATATTGTACATTTGTTGTGACTGATGAAAATGCCAGAAATCATTATTTTCAACCATTATTGGCTAATGTAAGTTTCATAATTTCTGTTTTCCTCGAAAACTTTATTTTTTGCAGTATTTGAATTGTTCATTGGATATTAATAAAAAGGTACAAGAAGCAGCTTGTAGTGCATTTGCAACATTAGAAGAAGAAGCTGGCGATCAATTAATTCCATTCCTTCCAAATATTCTTGATACTCTTGTTCGAGCATTTGCTATTTATCAAGCCAAAAACCTGTTGATTCTCTATGACGCACTTGGAACTTTAGCAAATTCTGTCGGCGACGCTCTCTGCCGACCAGAATATGTTCAAGCTTTGATGCCGCCATTAATGGAAAAATGGGAAAGATTGAGCGATGATGATAAAGAACTATTTCCACTTTTAGAATGTATTTCTGCAGTTGTTTCTGCTATGGGTTTAGCATTTTTGCCGTATATTGAACCAGTTTTTAGGAGGTATGTTGGTTTTTAAAATAAGGGTTGGAGTAGTGAATGACAAGTTTCTGATCCGATTTTTGGAAAATGTTCTTCTTTGTTTAATTTTTTCCAAATTTCTGAACAGAAACTGAAAATCATGTTTCATGAACAACGCTTCTCTTTTTCTCCAATTAATATTTTTTAGATGTGTGACGTTGATTACGAAAAGTATCGAACAAGTTCAACAATTCAATATGAACCCGAATGAATATGAAGAACCAGAGACTGATTTCATGATTGTTGCTCTCGATCTTCTATCGGGTCTTGCTGAATCACTTCCAGTTCAAATCGAACAATTAACACAACAATGCAATCTTGTCGAAATGATCATATTTTGTGCAATGTTACAAGATCAACGAGCCGATGTTCGACAATCTTGTTTTGCTTTGCTTGGTGATTTGATCAAAGCGTGTTATCCATTGATAAAACCTCACAGTCGTAAGTCATTGGAAACAATAATAAATAAATCAAAATTAAATTTCAGAAACATTTTTAATGTTGCTTGCTCAAAATATGGATCCAAGCAAGATAAGTGTTTGTAATAATGCGATTTGGGCATTGGGTGAATTGGCATTGAAAATGGGAATTGAAATGAAACCGTTTGTTGCGCCACTCATTGAAGGCCTAATTACTGTTATCAACACACCGCAAAATATGCAAAGAACTCTTTTAGAAAATACTGGTAGGTCTTTTTTTTTTTGAAGTTTTAAATCTTTTTCGTATAGTGAATGGCTTTAAAAAAAGTTTGATGAGTTTGAAAAGAGCAAAAATCAAATTTTTTTTTCAGCAATTACAATTGGTCGAATGGGACAAGCATGTGGTGAAGAAACTGCACCATATTTGGTGCGTTTCATTCGCCCAGTCTGTTATTCTCTTCGAAACATCAAAGATAATTTGGAAAAGGAATCTGCTTTTATTGGATTATGTAATATGATCAATTTGAATCCTGGTGGAATTTTACCAGATTTCGTATTTTGGTGTGATGCTGTTGTATCGTGGAATACACCAAAACCAGAGTTGAAGGATATGTTTAATAGGGTGAGTTTTTTTTGGAGATATGATTTTTTTCAAAATTTGAAAATTTGGTGAAAAAACGTTCTCCGGGGTCTTGGCCACTGATTTCTGCCATAAGTTTTTTTGCAATGTTTTTCGGGCTTTTGCAAAATCAAGTTAAAAGTTTGATAATTTTCAGTCAAGCCGAAATCTTCAAAAAATTATAACCCAATAAAATTTTATTTGATTTCATGTGATCAATATGTTTTTTGTCGATTTTTTCAGATTCTATTAGGATTCAAACAACAAGTTGGTGAACCAAATTGGTCGATGTTTATTGCTCAATTACCAGCTCCACTTCGAGAAAGATTATATACACAATACGGTATTTAGTTGTAACCAAACCAGCGAGCCAGTTTTTGTTTATAGGTGGTGATTTATTTTATTTTTCGATTAATTAATTTATATATGTAATTTATTATATATAATTCATACATTCATTCATTACCCTATCAAAACTCCCCCAAACTTTTTTACCGGTTCATTTTCTTTCTCTTTTTTTCGCTTTGAGAACACTTTGTGTGTCCCTTTAATTGCGCTGTTCCATTTGTTTTTTTTTTCAAAAAGGTTCCTAGGTTCCCTTGAGAAAAAACAAGTTTTCATGAATTTTAAATGTTCATTGTGTGTTTTTCTGAAATTCTGTCTGTTGTGAACTCACTCATATCAATTTTGCAGAAGTGGCAGCTTAAAATGTTCCACCACCCATTCTATTTTCTTTTCTGCTCTCACAGTTTTTCGTTGTCTCTCGTCCCATTTTATCCACGTGTACTTGTCCCCCCCTCTCTCTCTCTCTGTTTGTCTGCGTCTCTCTTTCTCTCTCTCTCTCGATACAGTAATCAGTAATACGGTAATTTGTTCTTGTTGTGTTTTTTTTGTTCATTTTGTCGATAAATAAAATTTGTTGTTTTTGGATTGTAATTCAATATTATCGAGAAGTGCTAGACTAGACTAATTCAATTTTCAGCTGGACCAAATGACTCGCTGAAATTTTTAATTAAGGAAATTACAATTTTCCAGCAAACGCTTTTTTTGCCACCAAGTTTTTTTTTCCAGAGAGAAAATAAAAACCAACACTAAAAATTTGTGGGCGGAGCTTGATTGTTCCGACACATTTTTCTTGATATTTTCACGCCTCGTCGGACCCGTTTTACTTATTTTTTTCCAAAATATACTGGAATTTTTGTTTTTGGATGTGAAATTCTATACAAAGAAAATGGGAAAAAATGAAAAAAATATATATCGAAAATTACCCAAATTATACATTTTTCGTTTTTCTTCTTTTCTTGTCTGAAAATTTTTTATCAATGTAATGAATGTTTTTCAGAATCAGACTCAAATCTGCAATTTTCTTTTGTTTTCCATAATCTTTTTTTGTGTTTTTCCAAGAAAAAATGTCAAAAAGAATCACATAAAAGTTCGGGCTGAGTAGCAAAAAATGCATAATTCATTACTTGAATAAATTTTCTTTGCGCACAAAAAATGTGAGATATGCTTGAAAGCCTAATTATTTTGTCATATTTTTTGAATTCTATTTTTTGGTCTAATTATTTTGTTTTGAAGTTTGACTTTGTCATTTTTTAGAGATCTTTTCTGACTACTGTAAAAGATTTTTAGTTTGATGTTTGTCTGTTTGCACAGCAGAATTTTATTATTTTTTTAAACAAATTAGTACATTTTTAATCAAAAATCATATTAAAATTTTCCTCATAACCAATACAAAATTTTTGTCTGAAACTCTGCTTTCATTTCAAAGCCAGCTCTTTTTTCATTCATAATCAGAAAAACTTTATTGAATATGAAATTTACTTATTACTTTTCTTGATTCGAATATGTCACGCAAACTTTTGTCGAAAAAAACCCAAAATTATTTTTTATCAAATTAAGTAGAAATAATTTCCAAACTACGAAAGCAAGAAGTCAAAACTCTTTTTGCAAAATAAAATTGAAACTTTTTTGCAAATGTGTTTTTTTAGATTTCCAAATTTTAACTACAGTAATATTTCTTGAAAATGATTTTTGAACTTTGAGAAATCAAAAGCAATAAACTAACGTTCAATAAAGAAACAAAAACTTTTTTATTTTCCTCTTTTTTTGCGCAGAATAATTGAATCATTTTCCTTCTCGTGGGTCTCAAATTCCACAACTCTCAAAGAAAAGTTCAAGAATCACATTAAAGAATTTATTGATTCTTTTTTTACAAAACGTCTTTAATTTCCGAATTGTTTTTTTCATTCAAACACCACATTTTATGCCACCCTTTTGCTATTCTCGAACTTAAATTGCATTTTATTTTTTCCGTCCTTTTTTTCATTTTGTTTATTCTCGATTTAACCTTTCTTTTCTTTGTCTGACGCTGAAAACACTTATTTTTATTTTCAGATGATTATTCTTCGACTTCTAATATTTCTTATTTTCACATTTATTTCTGCAGGTAAATAATCTATTTTTGGAATAATTTAAAAAGATCACATTTTTTCGGATCGTTTCGTTTTTGCCGTTTCCTTTATCCGGAAATCAAAACTAAACGGTTCATTTCATTTTCGAAAACTTGAAAAAATATATAAAAATCGTTTTTTGAATGAACAATATATTAAAAGATTACTGTACTTTTTCAAAACCAATCTATTTTTTTCCTGCTGAAAAGACTTTGTCATAAAATTTTTTTGTTCTGTTCAGTTTAATTCTCAAGGGATTGAAGTTGGGTAAAAGATTGACTGACATCAAATAATAAAATGAACACTGGAACAAAAAAAAAAACAAAATAAAACGGGTTACAGAATCGGATCAATATAAAATTGCGGATAAAATTCTGAAACATTATAAACCTGGATTGTTGCCAACAAATAATACAAGAGATCCAATTCAAGTTCATTTTTCAATGGAATTGTATCAAATTATTGAAGTGGTGAGGAAAAAATAGAGAGAAAAATGACAATAGAGATTAATTGAGAATATGAATTTAGAATGAACCTCAACAATATTTGATGATAAATGCTTGGATAATTGAAAGGTGGACAGATCATTTACTTGGTTGGGATCCGGAAAAATATGGAAATGTAACTGATATTATGTTACCACATCAAACTATTTGGATACCGGATACGACTTTGTATAACTCGTGAGTTGCAAAAAAAAAAGAGGAAGTGGAATTTTTCCGAGTCTTGGAAGTTTCAGGAAACAAGAATTTATGTCTTTTTCTTTTTTCAATACTAAAAGGACAGTCTGGACAATTTTAATTTGGTCTGAAAAAATTTGAAAAATTTTATTAGGACACTTTTAGGTCAGATGAATCGAATTTTCAGCTCCAAATTCCATTCCAATTTTTCAGACTTGTCATGAAAGACGACGAAAATCGTCGACTTCTCCACGCAAAAATCACAACTCTCGGAGAAGGAAAAGGTGCTTATATCGAACTTCTTTACCCAACAATTTATAAACTTTCCTGCCTTCTAAATCTGAAGCTTTTTCCGTTTGATAATCAGGTATTTTGATTTTCTTTTAACAAAAAAAAACATTGAAAATTCAAGTCTTGTCGATTATTATTCGGAAGTTGGACTTTCGATAATACAAAAATTGATTATTTTTTATTCAACACTAAAAAAGAGATTGGAACTTCGAATTGTATCGAAAATGAGGGATGGAATGTTTTGACAACTGCAGGTGACTTATTAATTAAAAAACTGATTAGTTAACTCGGGCAATTCTTTCAGCAAATCGGCTCGAAAATAAATATGATTGTTGCCCAAATAATTACACACTTCTCGAATTTAATCTAACAATTCAAAGAAAACCATTATATTATATTATTAATCTAATAATTCCGACATCTATTATAACTTTTATTTCAATTATTGGATTTTTTAGGTCAGTTAATACCCGTTTTTCTCTTACAACTCCTTAATAATTACAGTACTTCTTCAATAAACGAACCACGTGAAGAAAAAATAACACTTGGAATCACAACTTTGTTATCAATGTCAATTCTAATTTTCATGGTTTCTGATAAAATGCCATCAACATCTTCATTTATTCCACTTATTGGTTTATTTTATACTTCGATGATTCTTTTGATTTCATTTTCAACAATTTGTTCATCAATTGTAATTTATGTCCAAAAACAGGGAAATATTGGAAATCCTCCATCAAAAAAACTAATGAATATTGCGAGAGGAGTTAATCGATTTATAAGAATGGAAATGCCACTAATTATGAAACAGGCATATGCACAAAAAGCTAGGGTAACTTTTACTGAAAATTCGGAAACAAGAATTCAGGTCAGGTCCGATTTATCAGAAAAATTTTCCGAAAATTTGAAAAGGGACCAAAAAACTCCGATCTTTATTCTTCTAAAAAATATTTTGTTACAGGAAGAAAAAGTTCGTCGTCAACAAATCGGCCGAAAACAAAGTCTGTGGACTCGAGTATATAAATTAGCCAGAGATCAAGCTGTCAAAAAATCGCCAGCTAAATTTCCCGAAGTTCTGACACCCGAAAAATTGGTGACTGAAAATGGTGGATCAAAAAGATGCACGATAAATGAGGATGTGACGTGTATTAGTGAGTTGTTTTTTAATGTTCTAGTGAAGCGATGATAATAATTTAGATTCAGACGATTCGGGAATTGTTGCAATGACTGTTGGATGTGGAATACCAACATTAGCTGCATCTGAAGATGATGATTGTGATATGTCATTATTGGATCCGAATGATAATCAACCTCCACAATTACAACAACACAGAGAGAGACCGAATAAATTACACAAGGCTTCTACTTGTGGAAGTTTTGATAGTATGATGTTTAGGCAAATTGAAGGTGAGATTAATATTCCGGTTACTGTAGTTATCATTTCCAAAAGATACTCCTCGCTTGTGTGAAACCATTTAAAAAATAACTTTGCATTTTTTCCAAATTTCGGATTGTTTTAAATAATACAGAACATGTGATTTTGAAAATGATTCGGAAATTGTTTACGAAGTTCTTCATTTCTCTAATTTTCTCTCAATTGCAGTTCCAATATCTCCACGAACTGCTCGAAATTTTGCCGAAATCGAATATGATTGGCTTGCGGCACTTCTCGAACGATTTTTCCTAATAATGTTTTTGATTATTTTTGCACTTACCTCAATTGGTATCAATTTGATTGGTTTTTTCCGATGGTATATGGCTCTAGATACGGTTCATCACAAATAATCATTTTTTTTCGATTTTTGTAAATACTGTAGATATATTTTCCAAAACTTCAATAAAAGTTATGAAGAAAAACATGTTGAAATTCCGATGTCACGACTCGGGCGGTGTTTTCTAATTCCAAACTTTCCGATCAGACTTGGAAAGTAGTCATTTAATATATAAAATTTATGAAGAAAAATAAAATAAAAACGAAAGAAAGAAAAAAAAAAACTCAACAAAAATGTAACAAGAAAAACAATGATTGATCTATCTATTTAGCTGGCCAACTATTTTGTCTCAACTTTTTTCAAACCGTAAACAACTTTCATATGCTCGTATTTTTTTCGATCTGATTCAGTAACAGAAGGGCGTATTCGACTGGCGGCTTCGATAAAATGACTCATATTTACACCAGTTATGCTATCATCATTTTGAAGAACTCTTGCTTGAAGTGCTAAAAGTGATGATTCGTGGATCAATGCAGTCAAATCAGCACCACTGAAAAATATAACCAAGTGAAGATATTTGGAGCAATTGAAGAAAATACTTACGTGAATCCATTGAGTTCCGGTAATTTTGCAATTTCATCAAAGTTGACATCTTTATCGAGCATTGGACGTGTTCCATTCTGGAAAAATAAGGAATCAACTGGTTTCAAAAATTCCATAAGAAAATTCAATCAAATTTTTATGGTCCTTTTTTTCGTTCAAAAAATTTGGTATGATATTTAGAATACGGAAACACTTTTAGCTACGGTTTAACTTTCAAACGGATTTTGGTATTGAAGACACATCAGCCATTAGAAAAACAGATTTCCCGCATTTATTTTCAAATGACAAAAACAGCATGTGCGCTCTATTGCTTCGTTGTGTGCAAACTATTTCGAAAATCCCGTCGGCTGAGCGATTTCAAAAACAATTATTTTTGTTTTTTTCACTTTTGCCAGACTCAAAATTTTTACTTGATTTTTATGAATTCCGATTACTTGAAAGGTGTTATGAAAGAATAACAAACTCATTTTCTGTTCATTTCTAGTGGATTGTGTGTCTTTAAAATTCTCACTTTTTTCTGGTTGTAAACCCATCCCAAATATTAAAAATTACCTTTGTACTTTTTCTCAAAATATCAGCCCGATCCTCGACTGATGGAAAATCAACAAATAAAATCTTATCAAGTCTTCCTGGACGAAGAATCGCAGCATCAACAATATCCGGTCGATTTGTTGCACCAATCAAAAATACTTTCTGTCTACCTTCAACTCCATCCATTTCAGTCAATAACTGATTCACAAGTCTTGCTCCTCCAGATGTTTCATTATGCGATCTTTTCGGACACAACGCATCGATTTCATCAAAGAAAATGACACATGGTTGGGAATCTCTTGCTCTTTGGAATACTGTTCGAACAGCTCTTTCACTTTCTCCAACATACATATTCAATAATTCTGGTCCTTTTACACTGATAAAATTCATTCCAGTTTCGTTTGCAACCGCTTTTGCTAGCAATGTTTTACCGCAACCAGGCGGACCACATAATAAAATACCTTGTGGTCGACTATCAATTCCAAGCGCAGCAAAATCATCGACTCGTTTAATTGGATATAAAATACTCCATTCTAATTGCTTTCGAACATCTCCGAGTGCTCCAATATCTTCCCAGCTAACATTTGGAACTGTTGCAAAACCTTCTCGTTTTGCAGCTGGTTGGATTTTTTCGAGAGCTCTTTCGAAATCCTCAAATGAAATTTGAAGTCCACCAGAAAGTTCAGAAAGTGTTGTTGGATCGTCTTCTCCTTGTAACCAAGCAAGAACTGAAAATATTGAATGATAAGATTTTGTAAATCTGAAATTCAGAAGCTTACCTCTTTCCAATTCCTCATTGACTTGTTCAACTGTCAAACTTTTTTGTCCATCATTTTTGGCAACAATCGTATCAAAAACTCGATCAATCGCAACTTTCGCTGCTTCCCGAATCAACGCTTGTAAATCAGCTCCAACATATCCTGGTGTAAGTCGAGCAATTTGTTTCAGATTTACATCTTCCGCCAAATTTACTCGACAAATCTTTTCGAGAATTTTCATTCTTGCACTTTCATCAGGAATTCCAAGTGATATTTCGTTTTCAAATCGTCCAGCTCTTCGAAGTCCGCCATCAACAGCTTCCGGTCGAGATGTGGTTCCAATAACAAGAACTCCATTTGGTGTTGATGAGCATGGTTCTGGATTTTCCACCGAAACATTTCCATCATCACCAAACTTTAGTTGATCTTTCAATGGCTTTTCGCGAGGAGGCAACACGAGTTCTGAAAAATACGATAATTTGTATATTTTCCCAAAATATCAATATTACCATCTAATGAAGAACATAATTGACTAACAACTCTTCTTTCCATTTCTCGTTGAGCAGTTTCACGACGAGGAGCAATTGCATCGATATCATCAAGAATCTGAAAATGTTTTTACTCGTTCTTCTGATTTTTAGGAAGATAAAACATACCAATATGCATGGTGCGTGCTGTTTTGCGCTATCAAAAAGTCTTCGAATTTTCTCTTCAGTTTCTCCAGAAACTCCAGATACCAATTCAGTTGCAGCTAATTGAACCATTGGAATTCCCAATTCTCCAGCAACAGCTTGTGCAAATAATGTTTTGCCACATCCCGGAGGACCATGAACAATGAAACCACGCGGCGGATCTACTCCCAATAAATTGAATGTTTTTGGTCGTTTGAGATGCATTGCAAGTCGACAAACTTCTAAGAACTGTTTATCGCATCCTCCAATATCTTTGAAACGAACATTTGATTCTCTTGGAACCAAATTCATATCAGTAACTGCTCCGAGTCCACGTGGAAGTTCTTTTGGGCCATTTTGTGGAGGGCCTGCTTTTCTAACTGATTGTTTGGGTTGTTGAACAGGAGTTTTTGGAGTTGGAGTAGAATTTGAATATAAATTGAGAAGCGATTTATTTGCTCGATTATTCTTTTTCAATGCTTCAACTCGTTGTGCTTCTTTTTCATGATCATTTTCATCATCGCTTGAAACTAATATCTCTTTTGCAATTGGCGGTTTTTTCGATATATTCGGTGCCGCTTTTCTTTTTCTTGTCTCAATTCTTCTCGGCTCTTGCATTATTTCTTGCACATCATCCATTGCATCTTCAATTTCTCCTCTTCCAGTTTCTATTTTTGTCTCCTTTTCTTCTGTTTCCAACACCTCATTTTCTTCTTCGGCTCCAAATTGTTGAATTTGTATTTTCTCCAAAGCAACTCTAACCATCATTACGAGAATTTTGAACTTCTGTCTTTTATACTCTCTGAAACATGAATTCATTGGAAAAAACATCAGCCAACTTCTAGACAAATATTGAGAAAAAACTCACGGATATTTTTGCTGTAAATCAAAAGCAACAGTGTCAGGTCGAAAACTTTTGATTCCGGGAAAATGTCGACAATGTTCTTGAATTCGTGGCAAAAGAAGAGGATCATGTACAAAACCAGATGGTGGTGGCATTTCTGAAACTATTTACGCATATATTTTGTGAGAAAAAATGAAAAGAAAAACGAGTTTAGAAGGACATCAATGGTTTATAATGGGGTGATTCAGGTCGAAAAACCCTATTTTTCGACATTTTTTTTCATATAAAAATATTGAAACAATTTCGCTGCGAGATATTTTTCATTTTTGTGTGGAAAAATAGTTTTTTGACATTTTCTGAATCGAAAATTTTTGTTAAAAAGCGTTTTTTTCGACCTGAATCACCCCATAATCTAAATCTAGAGTTCGAGGAATTTACGTGGAAAAAAACGCTCAGAAATTTGCTGACGTCATTGACAAAGCGTTTCTGAAAATTTTTCGCAAAAATGTTGTTGCAAAAAATTCACATTAGAGCACACTTTCACTCAAAATTTTCTTCCAATGATGAGAATTTCGATTTTTGCAAAATAGGTTTTGTGAAATTACAACACAAAATATTAAATGTTCAAAAATTAAGAAATAAAATGTTTATTTATTCGACACCTTTAAACATTAAGTATCAAAAAAAACTGGAAATAAATTATCGAAATCAATATTTGGCTTAAAAATGTGAAATGTGGGGGAAAAAGACATTCACTAGAAAAAAGACAAAATATACAAAGAGAAATGAGAATTGCACCATTATTGTTAGTATTTATTGTAAATAAGTGAGAATTTTCAGCAGATACTTTTTGATTTTTTAAATGTTGTTGTTTTTTTGAAATAGTTGCTGTTTCAGAATCTACATTGAGGGGAAAAAAACAAAACATCGAATAATTTAGAGGTGTTTGAGGGGGAAAACGATAAATGCCAAATTACCCTTTTTAACAAAAAAAAACATAGAAAATCGGAGAAAATAGATAAATATTTGTATATTAATAAACATTTTTTGGGGTTGATTTCTTGTAGGATGCAAAGAGAATTCAAGTATAAAATGATGCTTCAGAACCTTCAGTTTTCATAAAACCATCTAGGAGACCTTCTTTGATTTTTGATATTTCGCTATCGTCCTGAAATGTATGGAAATATTGATGAGATGGAAAAGAGGAGGAGGGCTTGAAAATTATTTGATCAGAAGTTGGTTTTTCTTGAAGCGAATATGAGGCAATTTAGGTAGAAAAAAACATGACAAATTTCTTTTTACAAAAAATTCGAATTCGATAGATACATCAAAAATTACATTTTTTTGATAAAAAGTTTTTTCTCCCATTTTTTCCATTGAAAAAATTCTATAATTTTTAATTTTGAGTTATATTTGAAAAACAGACCAAGCCTTTGAGATTTTTTCGATTTTCAAAAGAAAAAAAAACAAACCTTAAAATCAGCTATTGGTGCACCAGCAGATAATGGCGGATGACTTGGTGGTCCACCAGAAGGTGTTCCAGGTTGCATTGCTCCAACACTTTGTGCACTTCCAGGTGCCGGTGTTCCCGATCCAGCCATATTTCCATTTCCACCATGCGGTGTTGTTACTGGCGATGTTTTGATATCATCTCCATTTATTAATGATGTTGGTGCTCCAACACTTGGTATACTTCCATTTGTTGTCGCTGCTCCTCCTCCTCCTCCACATCCTCCACTACTTGACGGACCAGCCGAACTTGGACCACCAATAACAGTTCCACCGGGAGTTGCTGCAGATGTTGTTGTTGGTGGCGTATCATTTGAGGATGATGCAACAGGTGGAACAGAACCTGGAGGAACACTTCCAGGTGCTGTTGCAGATGCTGTACTTGTTGCGATTGGATCCATTCCAAACTGAAAAAAAAACCCCATTTTTTGTTGATATTTCCTAATTTTCCTCTATTTCCCCTTCCAGAAAGTTAATAATATATGACGAAAGCAAAAACGAATATAAGATTGAAAAAGACAAATATTGACATAGACTGGATAGAGTCGACTATCGATTTAATATGACCATCACTTTTGTAACACAAAAAAAAGAACAAGAAAAATGAGAAGATGATAAAAAATAAGGAGAAAAACTAACCGGTGGCATTGAACTAGCTGATGATGCTCCAGGCATTCCCATAAATGGTGGCTGTCCAGCAGCAATTGCTTCGGCACTTCCAGGTGGTGGAGGCATTCCGGGTGATGACATCGACATTGGTGGAATACCAGCCCCATTTGGCATCATGCCACTTCCACTTGGAAACGCTGATCCAGGTGGTCCGCCCATAAAATCGTTATACCTTGGCATACCTGAAATATATATTTTCAAATTTTTGTAGCCAATTTTTTCTGTTACAAATTCTTAAAATGAATTTGTGATTATGACACCATTTGAGAATACAAATACAGAATTTGTAGTTTTTTTAAACTACAATTAAAATAATTCTTAAAAAATAACAAACCTGGCATTTGTGGTGGTTGTCCAGGTCGCATTGATCCAGGCGGAGGTGCTCCGGGAAATGATGCTCCTGGAGGCATTCTCATCTGATTTCCGGGTATTCGAGCCATTCTTGGATCGGGAAACATTCCAAATCCACCTGGTGGCATTGGACCAGGTGGTATTCGACCAGGAAACCTTCCAAAACCATGCGCTCCCATCATATCTGGACCACCGAGACCCATTGGATGACCAAACTGCAAATATATATTTATTGAGGAGGATTTCAAAATAAATCGAATTTGGACTTGAATTATTTTCGATCCTTCTTCCGATTTTAGAGTTTAAATCTTTAATTTTGCGATATCTTCAGATTTTTCTCAAATCTTTTATCAAAGTTTAAAAAAAACTGTGTTTTGCATGAAAAAAAAACAAAACACAAAATGTTATCATAAAATTTAGATTCAATGTGAAAAAGGAGAGCGCAGAAGAAACGATTATCAAAAGATGTTCTACATGCTAGTTTATTATAAGCAATAATTTTCTATATTTGAACCCCCGGAAGAACTTACATGTCCATTCATAACAGGCGGTTGCATAGGCCCAATAACATTCTAAAATAACAGAAAATTATAATTTTGAAAAAATTGAATTGTTGAAACTCACATCATGAAAATATTTAGCCTCCTGTGTATAAGCACCTTCGCCCATATCTCGCCTTTCTGGTGCCGCACAATATAAATCCCAGAATATCGTCCACCAGTCTAATAGAAATGAGGGACCTTTTTCAGCTGGTTTGAAATTTGCGAATGATGGGTTTGCCTAAAAAATTTCACCTATAGTTTCAGATTCTAAAAAGGTAAGAAATGAAGATAAAACTTACATTCAGAACTTCTTCTTTGAATGCTTCGGCTGTTTTTGGTGCACCAGTCAATGTTAAATATTCATATATTAATGTTGTTAATTTTTCCTTTGCTTGCAAATCACTTTGACATTGTATTAATGCAGAAGGTTGCTGTACTTGAGGTGGTTGTCCCGGCATTCCAGGAGGTCCATTTCCTCTTGCTTGTTGTTGAAACATTTATTGATAATAATGTTTCGATTTTTATTCAGAAATTAATCGATTTGTTTTATTATGTTCACAATATATTCTTCTTCTTCTTCTATTTGTTAATTAATTTCAGAAGTTATAAAATCAAAACCGCATTATATATTATTTGATATAGAAATATTGTTTGCTGTAAATAACAATAATAAGTGAGTGAGTAAATGAAATCTTATATTTATCGATCAGTGAGAGCAAGAAGAAGCGGAAGAAGGAAAAACAACTGAGAGATGAGAAAAAAGGAGGAACAAAAAAACAATAAATATTCGATTTTAGTGGTTTAGCAGCTGCCAATAAAACAGAATAAAATCAAGAATTACGAGGATTGAAATTTTAATTTCTAAAAAAATACCGAAAAAGGGCAGAGTGCAAAACAATTATGAAAATTCAACTTTTGGGATTTAAATTACCTCGAGGGATTAATTCTAGAAGTCGATAATTATAAGCTATTGTTCAATTAGTGAAAAGTTACTCAAAACTTTTGAATTTGAAACAAACTATTGAAACTCTTCAAAAATTCCGAATGCCACAATCACAAAACAATGGCGCTCGAAGAAACATATGTTTTGATAAAAAAGTTTTTGTAAAACATAACAATTGATTTACGAAACTCGTAATAATATTTGAGCCGAACTTCTAAGCTGCTTTTTTGGGATTATCCATGAGCTTTAGGAGCACATTGAAACAGCTCAAATTCAAAGAGGGAGGGGATTAAAGAAACATATTAATCGGATAAAAATTGTGACTACACTACAAAATTTGTTTTTTTTTTGCATGAAATACAATATGATTTGAGGAGCTGTGAAAAAAAAAACTAATAATTAGTAAGAAGAATACAAACAAAAACCGCGAAACGAGGTCGAAAAACGAGGGCATCTGAGAAGAAGAATAAGAATACGAAGAAGAAGAGGAAGATGCTTCTTCTGACGAATACAACAAACCCAAAGATGACAACGAAGCAGCAAAATAAGAAGACGAAGACGACGAGAAACAGACATATTGACATTCACCTAAAAGATAACTCAAAACAAAGAGACATAGACACTCTCATATATACACAGCTTGGAGTATACGTACTCTCTGTCTTCTCTTTTTCTATATTACTGTCTCTTCATTCATAGATAGAGGCCAGCCATGCATTGTTGGACATATAGGAGGAGGGGTGACCCTTAGCTCTTGGCAGCTAGCCAATCGATCAGCGCGTGTTGAGAGGTCTCGCAACGATGTCTATGTCTCTCACTATCTCGTCAAAAAGGGGAGGAGCAATTGCGCTCTATTGATTGGTGAGGGTTCGTGTTGTGTATTAACTTGGACGGACGGACGGACGAAAAAGAAGAATATTCGAAGGCCGAAAACATTGTTAGTATCGAAGTTTTCAACGAGGATGAGGGAGAAGAACAAGGGAAGAAGTAGAAGTAGAAGAAAAAAATAAAAGAATAAGATGACAGAGGGACGAATTTGGGTATATCGACTTATTTCTCTTTCTTATTAGAACTTTTTTGAGGTCATTGATATAATCAGAAAAAGTGAAGGTGTGAACAATATTTATTTTATACATACACACAATTTGTGTTTTGTAGCAACAAAATAATATACTTCTTTTTTGTGAAAATTTTTCGAGAGCACAAGAATAAAAAACTGCGTTTGATAAATGTTGCATCTATGAATAAGAATAACATCTTACTGTGATTCATCAAGCATTTAAAGAGACCGAAAAATGACTCATGAGGGAAATTGTATATATTTGAATATAAACGTCGCCTATACAAAAATACATTTAGTTCAATAAGCCAGGTAACAATGATAAAAAACAATTTAATGAATCGATCTGATGTGACAAGAGTGATGTTCGCGCATTTTTTCAAATAAAAAACGGAAGTCTGCTATGATCCAGTTTTTGGTGTTCGTGGAAGACAAAAGAACAAAAGTTTGAGTGTTTCGAAGCATACTATCTATTGCGTAGAAAAGTTATTTAATTTGTTGCAAAAACCAAATGTCAATAATGTGGGTCAATAAAGCTTTTTTTGCATATAATGTATCTCTTCTAGTTATTTTTTGCATTCATAAATGGAATACATCCAAAAGTCGAGCAAAAACATTAAAAAAACTTACATTGCTATCGAAAATATTTCTGGAGTTATAATTGAGAGCAATAGGCGGCAGGAATCATATACAGATTTTACCTGAAAGATAATATAAACTTGATAATTTGTAATCGGAGGGGAAAATAATTGTCACGAGTCGACGAAACAAATCGGAAAAATGATGAACTTTTGATCAAAGAAAAATTACATAATTGATAAACGAAAAATGATGGTTAAATATGAAATTCAGCTTTACTACACCATTTTTCTTAGAGAACTCGCAGCGAAATATTTCGAATACATCGGTATCCCAAATGTGCCGGCTCGGAGAGATCGCAATATTATTTAAAAAGAAAAGTGGGATTACCCTTCATTTTCGTGACAAATGTCCGCGATCACAAATTTGGCCTGTTTCTCGCCTGTGCCGTTGCAAAAAAAACAGACATGAAAAAATTTTCGGAAACAAACAATGCGCGTGAACTTAAATGCAGAATACGTAAATTATTGTGCGTATTGCACTATTTGAAAAGAACTACAGTAACCCACCGCGTTTTTTTTGAGGTTTTTTTCCGCGGCAACGCTGCATGCAGCAAAAGTACAATTTAAATATTTCAGCTGTGTTTTATACATTCGTTGAAGGTTCTACATAAATTGGCTCAATGAATCCTGCTCAAGAACATATTGCCTGGCTAATAACAAATGTGATCAATAAAGCAGATTCATCAAATGCAAAAAGTATTGCTATTCTTGGAACACAACTTGAAACACTTGGGGGACTTTTGAGAGATTTTTCGGAGGTATTTTTTTTTAAATCAAATTTTGTGAAGCACATAGAAACTCACCTACTCGATCCAAAGAATTCGCTAGCCGTTTCTTGATTGAGAAAAAAACAAAATGGAACATATTTTTAAATTTTTTAAATAAAAAACAATTGATAAGGTCACGTAAAAATTGAGTATTTTTCCGTTTTTCAAAATTGTTAGTTCGTAAACCAAATTTCTAAAATGCCATATAAACTTTATTATCTTCGAAATTTTTCTGAAAAAATAATTTCAGGTGACATTAGAAGACGAAGAAAGTATTAAAAGTGATGTTCGAGCAGAAGTTGGAAAATTAAAACTGGCACGAAAACGTGGAAATTCGAAAAAAGGAACCGTGAGTTTAACTTGGAAGTGGGGAATTGTTTAAAAAATTAAAATTATCTTAGATGTCGTCTTCAAGTTCTACAGAAGTACAACCGGCATTCGTTTCTAGTGATGTTCCATCAACTGAAAGTGAACCATTGGTTTACATTTGGAAATATAAAGGAATACCATTAAAAGATCGACCATGCACATTTTGTGAAGAATATAGTCATAAATCAGAGGATTGTTATAATTATCCATCATTTCAAGATCGGTATGATATTTTGAATTATCGTGGTTATTGTACACGATGCTGTACTCCTCATCAATCTTCAAAATGTCCCGAAATGCGACCAAAATGTCAAAATTGTCCAAGAGGAACTCATTCAACATGGCTCTGCCCAGCTATACAGGGTGGCTGATAAGTATACAACGCTGTGTTTTAAGTAGTAACTAATGATTTGGCGTGAAATTTTTCTCAGGATGTTTTTTCTCGTGTTACTAGAGACCTAACGAACACTGTTTGATAATAGTTTAATTGATGTTTCAATTGGTCCCAAGTTCTGATTCCGATTTAGCGAACAAAAATTGAGGGGGTGCGGCGCCCTAGTTAGTAAGGTTCGGGGTGTTCTAAACGGACTCAAAATGGGCCAATATAGATGGAAATTTTTTTTTGAAATGTCAGAGGTTTAATTTTAATGTTCCAGTACACATTTGATGAAAATTCATCATTTTGAGTTCCTGGAGAACCTTCGAAGTCAAAACTCAAAAAATCACTTTTTCCCAATTTTTCCGAAAAAAATTGTTTTTTCAAAATACTTGAAATTCTGCGGATTTTCAAAATATTTTCCTGTTGGATAGGATAGAAGTAGATGTTTCAGAAAAATAAACTCAAGATTTCAATTGTTAATTCGAAATTTTCCGGTAAAATGTGACATTTTTCGAAAAATGAAGATTTCTAGCAAATTTCGATAGTTATGACGGTCAGAATTTTCAAAACGTGATGTGATGATGTGTAATGGGTTGAGAACATCATATTTGTTCATATTCAGAAAGTTGAGATCTCATTTTAAGCTCTAGCTCATATCACAGTACGCTAAACTGCCAACACTCAAAAAACAACAGTTTCGCGCCGCACACATATTCCGATTTTCTGAAAAGGTGCTCTTGAACTGAATTTCTTTTGAATAAGGTTTATGAATGCTGGAAATAGAACATAACGATGTCTAAAAAGTGTGTCTGGTTGTATATAACTGATTTCTTCGTTTTTCACAAAGTTCTGATAGAGGAAAGTTGACCTAAAATCAATGTAAAATGGACCTTTTTCAGCTGAAATCACCAATACACACCCAAAAATGAACTTTTCTCAAAACACTCTCACATTAGCTTTCTAGACTCATTGGACTATCCGATTAACACTTAAAATAAGAAAAATGACAATCGGGGGCTTTCTGGGAAGGGCTTGAAAAACGTTGTATACTTATCAGCCACCCTGTATATTGCGTTCGATGTTAGTTTATTTTTTATCTGTTAATTAAAAATTTCAAAAATTATTTATTGAGCACGTAAGTTTCAAATAAATAAGTTTAATAAACGAAAACCCAGCGAAAAAAATTGAAAAAATTCAGCGAGATAACAAAAACCCGTAATTCATTTCTATAAATCTTATTTAAAGTATCGCATAATTTTCAGTCTTGTCGATATGACAATTTGTGATAATAACAGTATTATGTTCCAAAAGTGGATCATGTCCAGAAGAAGCTCGAACCGGGCTGAAATCAATGATTTGTTGCAAACATAGAATAAAAAATAAGTCTTACCTTGAAGGAGGACATAATCTGGCAATAAATGATGAAGCCTTTTTGACACATGCAACATCTTTGAATGCACTTCTGATTCTTCCATTCATTGAACATAACAATGAAAAAATTATAATTGAAGTGAGAAGAGTTAAAAGTTCTGTCAAATCACCTGAAAATTATAATTAATTTTATAATTTGAATATTTTTATTCGAAAACTTACCAAGTTCAAAGATTAGTTGAATATCAGTAAAAGTTGATAGAACAGCCAAAACTCCTTGAGGTAATTCAACAAAAATAAAAAGAACCATTATTGCCAAAATCATATTTGTAGTTCTTTGATGTTGTTTATCTCTTTCAACTGATGCAAATCTCGAACTCAAAACTTGGATTTTTTTGAGTTGATCCAAAATCAAACATGTCATCAAACAAAGAATTATCTGAACAATTTTCAAAATTGTGAAAATTAAAAAAAAAATTTTGATATTTACCGAAGGAATAACTTTTGACGATAAATAGAAAAGCCAGAAGTTGAAGTCTTTCAATGAAACATTTGATGTATACGATAATTGCCAAGCTGGTTTTTGTTTCAAATGTGGAAACCTCTCGGCACATCCCTCGTTTTCTGGCACCTAAATAAAATAATTGAACTTTGATGTCCTTCTTCTTGGAAAAGGGTTCACGAAAATCCTCCCTAATACCCGTCTGAAACATTGACAACAAGATGTCATGTCACATGCGTAATTAAAACTTCTCTTCTTTTTTCAAGAATTTTGTTTGGAAAATGCGGATGAAGTTTAATTAGGTTCAATCAAGATGCAGCAAAAACAAATTGGACACTTGCACTCAAAAAAAAAACAGAAAAGGATTACTGTACCTCGGCAACTTTTGATGTAAAATGTAGTGGAATGCAGAGAACAACTACTGTAACATAGATCAAAATGATTGCAAATCTTGATTTTTGCCAAGTAAACCAAGCAACATTTGAATTTGCACTTGATAATTGAGCAAGCGAAAAATAACGAATTAGAGAAAGAGCAACAACATGAAAAACCTGTAAAACTTGAATTTATATTTTTGAAGAATAGTTTGAACTAACCGCCGACATATGAACCAAAACTGAAATAGTCACTGAGAAATGCATTGTACTTGCTAGAAACCAAGAAAAAAAGAATGGTTGGCACAGTTGATCAGACATGAATTTGAAAAATGTTGAATAGAGAAAATTGACACACAGTGCTAGCTGAGAGCTGCAAAATAATTTTTTGGGGAGGTTCTGAATCGGGACCGATACTTTCTTGAAAAATTTTATGAGATTACTGTAGTCCCTAGATATTTTCATTTTTTTCCAAAAAAAATATTTGAAAAAAACAAAAGATTGAAACAATTTGATAAGCGAGCATCGAACTGCTATCGTTTGACACATCTTTATGAGATTATTGAATTTTTGCTATTTTTGTTTTGTTTTTCCTTTTTGTTTTTTCTTTTCTTTTCTTATTGTTCACCAAAAAGCACGAAACAAAAACAAGCCCTTTTCTGCAACTTTTTTTTTCTTCCAATTTTTCCCCCCTACGTTTTTTCTAGTCTTTTACGGGCCAATGGATATTCAACAACTTCCGTCTCTTTTAGAGTAAAGAGTGTGTCTCGAGAACAAAATTTATGGATATTTTAGATAATGGAGGATTCTTTCGACTTCGTGGGAGATTTATTTGTCTCGATAGATCAATTTGAGCAATTTGTCACGAGTTGGAAATTTATGACTCAACGCGTGCGAATAAATATAAATCGTGAATTTTTCGGGAGACAGAAAAACAACTATAATTGGTACTTACCATGACATTGATATCAAAAACATATTTGTTGGATTTAACATTGACGATAATGTTGTTATAGTTAACATATGTCCGAGTGCACCGGAAATACATAAAACCAATACCAATGGAGGATGTAATATTCGACCATATTCAGCTACGGCTGTTTCGAACAATGTGGAATTTGTATCAATATGACTCATCCTAAATGTATTTTTTTTTCTATTTGGAAAGTGAATACGAATGAAATAATGGAAAAGTTCACACATTATTCATATACTTTTTGTAAAAAAATGAAACGAACGAAACAAAAAAGTATAGATATCGGAGGTGTGAGAAAAATCAAATCTAGAAAAAAGGCAGCCAAGACGAGATGATACACGAAACCAAACTACGTCGATAATTTTCTAGGATAATCTTTATCAGAAATTAGATCGGATCAAACAAATCAAGAATAAATAAATAAATACATAAAATGCAAAAGATGAAATATTTTTTCGTTTTTTCTACTAATAAATTTGCTTGGTTGCAAAAAAAGTACATATTTATTGGACAAAGAAATGTTTCCAGACAAAAACCTTTTTTCCTATGTGCATGCGAAAACCAGAAATTGAATCAAAATGGAACTTTTTGTTGGCCCAAAGATGAGTCAAGTTTATCCTTTTCTAAAAATTTTTCTATTCTTTATAGAGTCGATTTTTGACAAACCCATTTCAGTAAATAAAAATATCAAATTTCTTGCGAGACAATGCTGGAAGAAATGAAAAGTCATTACTTTTGAATGTGATTCGAAAAAAATCATAAAAAATTATGAGCAGAAAATATTAGGAAATATTTAGGCACAAGCATAAACCCAAAATTTTCCGACTGGATGAGTTGAACTTTTTGTTTGGCCCGCCCAATATCAAACTCCGCCCACATTTCAAAAAGGCGTGGCTTGCAGAACATCATTTGTCTGGTTGTTTGAAAATTAAGTAATGGAAGTTTTTTTCGAAATGAATGTGTGGTGCAAAATGCATTTACTCTCAACACAATTATCCACCCACTACAGTGGTATGTATTTATATAAATAAATGAAAAATGGAAGAATATCAGACCTCACAATTTGCAACCAAAAAAAGAGGAAAAATAACAAGTTCAACTCTTTTCGAAGAAGACGAAAAAAGATGAAGAAATTGAATTTGAAAACTGCGAGAAGGAAGTTTTGTGTGATAAGGAAATACGATTAAAGGAGGACAGGAAATAGCTAGAAAATAAGCAAAAAATGAAGAATGATTTTAAGAATTTGAAAATGAGATCTTCGAAGAAATTTCACAAAACTTTACAAGTTAGTTGAAAAATTGGATGAATTTATGAGCATTGATGTTTGAGAAAATATCTTTTTAATTTCCGGTGTAACTCAATACTCCCACACTTTACCGGAATTCCATGAGATCTTCCAATTTATTTTCAATAGTTTTCATAAATACTTGTTCTATTGATGTAAGGAACTTTGTTAGTTATTCTTACAAAACTAATATTTTATTAGTTTTACTGCAGACTTCCTTCGAAATGAATGAATTAATTAATTTAAAAATACTGTGAGAATATCACGAGATTTTCAAAAATCTACCTTTCGATGTCCTTACTTTTTCAATAAAATAAACGAGACAAATTGGATTATAGTGAAAGAATTTGAATGAGCACAGCAGTCTCATCATTCTGTAAGGACACAAAAACATAACAATTCCAGTCGATTGAATAAAAATATTCGATTATTCAAAAAAACATAAAAAGAACGCACTTTTCGTTTTTTTTTTTACTTTATGAATTTGAATTTGAATTTTCTACTGTAGATTTGAAAACAATAAACAAAGATATCTAATGATTATTCTTTGATTGGCTTTATTTTTCTCTCTTCAAGATTCTGTGGATTCACAGTAACCCAGACAAAAAGAATTCAAAATTTGGTAGATCAAAACTACAGTAACCCATGGGGTCTTTCACAGATCCCTAAATAAGTTCTAGTTCACTACAATACCAGGTGGACACTATCTTATGATAGTAAAAACACGACTTTGAATTTTAGGTTTCCAAAATATTCCATTATTATCAATTTGTTCAGGTTTTTAATTTTTAAAAGAAAACAAAACAATCCACGCAAAAAAAAGAGAAAAAAAACAAGAAAATAGCAATTTCCGATAGTTGAAAACTGAAAAAAGAGCGGAGTACAAAAATATTATTTCTGGAAAAAAGTGGATTTATAATTTTGTTTTATATGGAAAAAGAAAACAAAATCTTACTCCATCGAGATTTCCGGAAAACTTTTGTGTTATTTTTTGCTGCAAATAGAAATAATTGGAGTTTTATTATTATGATTATTTTCTATTTTTTTATTCAAAATATAAAAAAATTGAATTTGAAAGAAAATTGGGTTGAGCATTTTTCTATTAACCAATAAGAAAAAACCACCCAAAACAGAAATAAACGCGGAACATTTTAAATGATGAGAAAATAAACCAAAAATAAAACAAAATCTTGAATTGAATTGAGTTGAGTTGAATGATGTTGGCACAAAAAAATCATAGAGAAAAGAGTAAAAATTGCGAAGGGCACGATTTATGCAAATTCAATCAGTTGAATTGGTGGCAAAGAAGGAACGAATAAATGAATGAATGAATGAATCACAACAAAAAAAACAAGATGAAATTGGAAAAAAATAGATAGTCATTTGTTAGATTAAAATACTATATTGCAGTGTCAAATAAAAATATATAAATATTTTGAGATTTATCGTTTTTATTTGTTCCAAATGAGTTCCATGGAAAAAATTGGGTGAATGAAAAATAGACCAAGAAAAAGAAGAATAAATTAATTTTTAGTCAATGTTTGTAACCTTGGGAAAATTCATATAAAATAAATGATGGCGTCACTTTTGATAATAGATTCTCAGAGTTCATTCAAAAGTCTCATATTTCTCGGAAAAAATATTTGGGAGTTCTTTGAATTGCACTAAACATATCGGAACTTATTTTGTTTCAAAACATCGGGCAATGTTTTTCAAAATATTCCAATTTTTCCGTAAGACTGTTTCAACAGTTGTTCAATTTTCTTTTGATCCAAGTCTTAATTGGAAAAATCAACAAATTTTAATTTTTGAAAACTAAACGAGCCATACAAATCAATATTGTTCAAGTGTTTTTTGGTGGTGTCAATTATTCGTTTAGACGTCTCCTTTGAGCCACACTTGTGAATAAATAATTAGATGTGGAAAAAAGAAAAACGAAGATGAACGGTGGAAAAATGTTGAGAAAAAGCGGTAAAAAATAACAAAATAATAATAATCATAATCATAATATTTTTGGCTCTCATTAGAATTTTATTTTTCATTCGTTGCAAATATTATCGCAAAAAAGAAAGAGAGAGACAAAATTCCAAAGTCTAAAAATATTTGAGGGGATCAGAAATTATCGCGGAAATTGAAAATAAATAAACATAATAACAAAAAAATGAAAAGAAAACGTTCGGAATTTGACGAAAAAAAGAAATAGCAAAACGATTTTAAATTGGTTTAGGCAACCAACAACACAATTGTTGAACTTTCATATTTTCTTCAGATATGTGAAACATATGTGAAAAAGAAGACAATATATAAACACATTCTTCGTTTTTTTCTCGCTTTTAGAATTCAAATAAAATTCTAACAAAATAGGAAAACAATGTGTGTTGAAAATGCAGAAAATGGAAGAATTTAGTACGACCAATGACTAATCTCACTATTAATTCATTGATGGTGTCACGAGAAAACATTACAACCTAATTTTAAATTAAGGAAAAATCGTCTAGAATTAATCGTTAAATAGAAAAACAATAGTTCTATTCATAAGGTTAAAACCAAAAAATTTGGAGTTAGGTTTTGCTGAAAAAGTAAGTATTTTTGGTTGAAAAGCTACATGTTTTTTGTTTTTTTTTGAGAAAAACTGGAAAACATGGCAAAGAAAAAACGAAGAACCAATTCTAGGTTATACCGAAAATGAAAATAACAAATATCAATTATGAGCGAATAGATAATTTTTGATTTCTAATTAATGATATCTGAACGGAAATTTACTAGAAATTATGAAATTGAAACGAATACCGTATTTTTTCCCACATATTTCCAAATCAACAAAAAAGTTCTAACTTATGAATATTCCATGATTTTTTCTCACTGGCTGACCTTTTCAATAGAATCTTCATATTATTGATGAGATTTCTGATCATTTAGGGATGAAAAAAAAACGAAAAAGAACTCCGAAAAAAACATTGGGTGGGAAAAACTTTTTTTTTCGAGGTTCATCGAATATTTATAGAGGAAACGTTTTTTTTGGCACTTATGAATTTTTGAAATTTTGTTTACACAAGAGCATTTGAGCTTGAGCTTGAGCTCGAGTTCGAAAAAATTCCAAATTTCACATGATAAATTTGAGGGAAATTTGAAATATATGTTTTCAGAAAAAACTACAAGACAGAAATATGTTCAGTCAGATTAGCATAAACAAATTATCTCGGAAAATCTATATAAACAAAAAATAATCCTGGAAAATTTGGGATTATTTTATTTATTTCATCGTGAACTTTGAACGTTTGAACCTTTTATTTGACAATTAAATTTTGAAAAAAAAAAGAAGTTTCATGAGGACAAAAATGAGTCATTTAATGAGGGAGGAAAAAAGTCTGGAAAAATGAAAATATCAAAACAAAAAATCGATGCGCGACAAAATTAGGTAAGCTAATTTTATTTTGCTTTTTTTTAATATTTGATGAATATGTTAATTTCAGAAAATTGAATATATGTGAGAAAAGGAAAAGTCTCGCGTTTTTTCATCCAAATATAAATATTTCTGAAAAACCAATACATTTTAAAATTGTCTTTGTTTTTTTCTGGAAAAGCTCGAAAGAATGGGATTTTTCCATGGATACGTTCAGATTTTTGACACGATTTTGGATTTATTCCGACTAAAAATTGTGACTCGAAAAAAAACACGGAAAATGATCTGGATGGAATTTATGGTTTCCTGATTTTCTATTATTTTTTTTTCATTTTCAGCTGGAAAAAATGATTCTTCTGATTCGAAAAGACCCGAAAAGAAAAACAAAAAAACCAAAGCTGGAAAAAGTTTGTGGCATGCACAGGATTTTCAGAAGATTAGCTTCTGAAAACTTCACACATTTTTTGGAATGACAAATATAGAAAAAAACAATAATAATAATATATAATCAGTGTTGACTTGATCTGGAAAATGATCTGAAAAATACTAAAAATAGGGAATGAAGGGAATAAAAAACAATTTCAGCTTTGTGTTTTTTCCAAAGATCTTTTGAAGATAAAGGAAGTTTGATTTATTTTGCAAATTATTTCAAATAAGAATTCAAGATTTTAATCCTTTTTTTGTCAGAATGACTAGACCCACCCAGTCTGTTTTTAATAAAACAAAGCTTTCAGAATTTACTCGTCCGGAATGGAAAAAAACTCATAAATTTTTTTATTACTGTTTTTTGTGTTTCAGATGAAATTTTTTCTGGCTCAAGAAATAAGAAAATATGAACTTTCTACATTAAATCTTGAAAAAAATGGAAGTAGGAACAACTTGAAAACTAATAAAGTCCTTCTATAAAAGCGGAACAAAAGAAGTGCTCATTTTATTGGAAGAACCAAATGGAAATTCTGAAAAAAAACGAGAATACTAACAAATTTTTAAAGAATCATTTGAAAAATCAAATGTTAAAAGCACTTTTGTTTTTCAAAAATCTTTAAAATGAAACCCTTTTCTGCTGAATGTTTGAGCCACCTTTCTGAAATCCGAGCAAAAAACGAATTAATAATTTATTGGTGACCAACTAGCTCTTTTCTACCTACACTCATTTTGATTCGTCAGATTTTTGGCCCAAAAAGTTGTGGAGGTGTGTTTACTTTGATTGAGCTCAAAAAGTACACGCAATAATATTTTTGTTGTTATTCGTGGGCAGAAAAAATAATAACAGGAACAAATAATTGGTTCAAGTCACGCTTTATGGGATTTGTATACTGTAGTTTTTCACATGAATTTTTTTATATATAATGTTCCCATTATTATATGAAAATTATTGAGATTTGTGGGGACTGGGAAAGATTTTCAAAAAAAAAAAAACATGTGATATCTGAATTTCAAAATTTTCATATTTTTAGTTTGGAGTAGCTCAAAATGATAATTCTGGAAATGAGAAAATGTTTGATCTTATTTTTTTCTGTTCTTTGATTTTCAATGAATAATTGAAAATTGTTTGAAATATGATACAAATTAACACAAAGTTTATCTACATGCTACTAAAACAGAATGAATATTTTATTGATCAAGTCCTTCGTAAACTCGAATAATCTTTTCAAAACTGAATGGTTCGAATTGGATTCCAGTTCCACCGTAGAATTTCGATTGGAATTCGACCCTACAAATTTTGATTTTTTTTCCCGTTGAGATTTCAGAGAATCCAAAAAGCCTACCAATGAAGACGAATTGCGTGGAGGAAAGCAGAAAGACCTTCCATCAAAATCAGAATACAAACTGAGAGAATTGAGAAGAAGAAGTAGAAGATGATTGTGATGGCAACTGAACCACCCCAGCCACCCATTGATAAAGCAATGTTCAAAACCATTGTCCACAAAACATCAGAAAGTTCTGGAAATAGAAAACATGAACATGAATACAATATTCGAATCGGTTAAGGGTGACAATATAAATTTGACCTCCTAGAAAGAGAGGACTCAGCTTTTTGTCATTTTATAAAAACACCATTTCTTGAAATTTTAATCAAAAATTTTCCGGATACAAAACTTCAATGAAACTTACGTGCGTGAGCCAGAGAAAGAGCCCACAAACGAAGATATGAAGCAGTGTGTGAAACACATCCAAGAACAAATTCAATAGTATGAATAGCTTGATGAACCATAACATCTCCAAAATTAAATTCTCCATGTTCTTCACTTCCATGTCCCAAATCAACTGGCAATCCTTTTCCATGTCTCCATTTGAAGTAAAATGGTTTAACGAAAAGCATAACTGGTACAGAAATAACAGCGATCAAAAGAAGAATAACTTCGACAAGTGATTCATTTGGATACCATTGTTGAAGATAACATTGATCGATTACTGTATATGTCACATTTTGACCATTTACAATAACCGAATCTGTTCCATTTCCATTGTTGAGATTTGTAACAAATCCGGGCTGAAAAAATGTGATGAATATTTATCCTAACTCAAAACAACTAACATCTCTTGATTTAACCATGAACATGTTAATCAAACCAATCAAAAGAGATGGTGCACAATTTGAACCTGGATATAATTGTCCGAAAATATAAGCTGGTTTAACCCAGAAGAATAACCATTTGATGACAATTTGAATGCACAAATAAACAAAAATACAACCAAGGAAAAGACATTGTGGAATGAAAACAAAGAAAATATCGACAGCTGAACGATTTCCACTGAAAACAAATTATTCATCTATTTTTTTCTTTCAACTATTGAAACTTACAGATGATTGAAGAGTGATAACATAATACCGAAAGCCATTTGAGCAATACCAAGAAGAACGGATGTTTTCATTTTCATTGGATTCAAAAAGTTGAGTCGATTTTTGGCCAAATTCCAAACTGGATCAACACCAAATGGATATGGTCCTTGATCGTGAAGAAAAGCAACTTCTGGTGGGAATGTTAGATCCAATTCAGAACCAGCTTCGGTTCCTTGAAGATCCATTGAAGCCAAAAGTGTTTGACTGTAAATATAAAAATTAAACATAAGTGAATCAATTGCGTGTCAGGGTACAATTTTGAATTTATTAGAGTTCAAACACTCAACAAAAATTCTGTAGTGATCTTGAAACTTAAAAAATTTTCAGAAAAATCAAAAACTTTAGAGTAAAATAGAAACTCACTTGTAAGGATTTACCCAACTTGATCCAAAGATGTTAATTGATTTGGAATAGATATCATTATAAATGAATCCAGTGTAAATGGCAAAAACACCCATCAATAAAACAACATATCTTCCACCAAAGAATGTGTTGAAGATCTCATCCTTAATTTTCATGCTGATCAATTTGTTTTCGAAAACAACAAGAGCAAGTGCAGCCAAAAGCATAATAATTCCGTGTCCAGCATCTCCAAACATAACAGCAAATAAGAATGGGAAAGAAATAATTGTCCATGGAGCTGGATTAACTTCTCGATAATTTGCAATACCGTATGCATCAACAATATTTTGGAATCCTTGAGTAAATCTATTCAATTTGAAATATGTTGGAGGATATTTATGAGTTTCCATCTCGTTGAGAATTGCTGGAACATTTGAGCCAGAATGCAATGTTCCTTGATCCAAAGCATGTCGAACATTGAAAATATCAACTTCTGGAACCCAACATTCGGCAATCAAACATTTTTGTGTAACATCAACTGAAAACATGTTCAAAGTGTGGAAAATTGATTTGAGTTTCAACAACATAATTCCCCATTTTCTCAAATTCAATGAAGCAGCTCGAACAATTCTTGCACGATAATCCAATGTTTCTTGAATTACTTTGTGAAGATCAGCTGTTTGAGTTCGAATATTATCCAAAAGTCGAGTTCTTTCAACTGCACTGTCTGGACAATTGTAAATCTTAGCGTGGAATCTGAAAATTGCGGTTTAGTTTCAAATATTTAGAACAAACATTAAAATAAACGAAACTAACCCATCACAAATCTTCTTAACTCTTGTTCTCAATTGATCTCCGGAAAAGAACAAAATGAAGACTGATTTATCCTCAAATTCATTCGAGAAAACTTCAGTTCTCTCGGCGATGTGAACGAATTTCGCGAAGACTTTTGCGCGGCACATTCTCCACAAAAATCTTTCGAACGCAATGATTTTTGATTGTTTGATGACACCGGTCACGAATCTCAACTCGTTTTCATCGCGAACAACTTTATCTTTTTCAGGTCGTTGTCCGATTACAAATGGACCAGCTTCTCCACGAACAGCTTCAGAGATTGACAAAGCAGCTTCACGTTTGTGTTGCTAGAAAAAAAATATTTCAAAAAAAATTTAAAAAAAACGGCGACAAGCCATTTTTGGACCACAACAAATTTTTGAATCAAAATTTCGATCGGCCAACATTTTGAAGTGGTTATGAGATTTTCAAATTATTTTCAAACAAGAATCCGATTGAGAAATATATTACACAAATCTATAATCCCTCATTGAAGAACTCACAGCATCAATTAATTGAGTAACATGTTCCAAAACAGCTTTCATTTCCAACATTTCAATATGATTCTTCAACAAAGCTTTTGAAGATTTATTATTTTGAATAAGTTCTTCTTCCATTTTTTCAAAATTAGCTTCCATTTCAGTCATATGTTTTGGTTGTGGTGCTGGAACATGTTCATTATGATCTGGAATTGCAATTCCTTCTTTTTCAATTTCTTCTTCAATAAATCTCAATTTTCTATCCATTTCTTCGCATCTTTTCACTTCATTCACATATTTTCTTTGATACGAATTCAATTCTTCATTCAAATCAATGAATTGTGCCATTCCAAGTTCTCCTAATTCAGCAACACATTGATATGCGGATTCAGATTGGAAAAAGATTTGGCACAATTTCATGTGCTCCGATCGATAAATTGATCCCATTTTTTCAAATTTGAGTTACTTGCGAACAACACTTTCACTGCAAAAAAAAGATTTTCTGAATACCTACAGTATCTTGAACTGAAAGTTTCTAGAAATCTACAGTAATCAGAGATGAAAATTCCTTCTAAAAAATCTATACTACAGTAACCAAGTTCCGGAAAACCGTTAGCACTTAAAATGTATCCAACTTAATGTTTTTTCCCAAAACACTACGGTATCTAGGGGCTTTTTCGAAAAACTTCTACCTAAAGTAACCAAATTCAGATAGCTGTAGCTCTACTAAAAAATGAAAAATAAAAAACAAAAGCAAAAAACTGGACGGAAACCGAAAGAATTTGGCACTAAAAAAGAGCACACATTGATTATTCACCTCACGGCCGAAAAACTGAAAATCAAAGACAAACAATTTCTTATCATCTAATTTTACAAGCGGCACATTCAAAAATTTTAGGAATAAAATAAAATAAAATAATTCATTACGTATACTTTGTAAGCGAGAAAGAAAAAAGTGAAGACAAAAAAATTAACAAGTGAAAAAATGCGGATAAATTTGAGATTATTTCTTTTTTGATGCAGTAAACAAGTAAAACAGTATATTTAGTTGAATGGACATTGAGATGCCATGTGGCATGATTCGAGATTTGCACCACATTTTGGACAACCGTTGAAGTAGAGATTTGGACAACTGGACATTCAAAAAATAAAAATATTTTTGGGTTCAACTCAAAAATGTTTTCTCAACTCACGTGATTCTTCCATTTTTGTATGTTCCGTGATTATTCCAGGGTGCATTTGGATCATTTCTTTGTGGTGATGACAGACGATTTTCGTTGTTCATTTGAACTTTTTTATCATAGCAGTAGCTACAAAAGTTTCTACATTCTCCAACATTATTATTGTTGACTGGGTTCTGAAAAATATATCGATTGACTTCAAAATACCGCTATACCTCTATTTTTCAGAGAAATTTCCAGGTTACTGGGTGAGTTGAGAATAAATTAGGCTTAAAATTGAGAAAAAGTGTACCTTTGGTCTTTTCGATGTTGATGGTTGTCTTGATCTTCGCCCATTTAATGGTTGAACTCCTGAACTTGTCGATGGAATATCTACTTGAACAGCCTTCTTTTTGGTTATTGGTTTGCCCTTAAAAAAAAACTCGAACTCGAATTTTCCTTTCTCCAAAATAAAACTCACAAATCCATAGAAAAGTGCGAAATCTTTGAACAACTCATGTTTTTCTCTTGAAGGTTCTAATAGTTTTGGAAACAATATATCTTTTTGATCTTTTATATAATCGATTTCTTGTTCGATTGGCATTAGGTCATTGATTTTGAAAAAATTGAGTGGATCTTTGATTTCCGTGTCAGTTTTGGTAATTGGTGTTAGTGGATTTTCGAAGAATTTCTGAAAATTTCAAGAATTTTTGAGAAATATTTTAGGGAAAAATCTTACAGTGTAATAAAGATCTTCAATTCTATCATTAATAAGCAAGCGTGCAAGACTTAGTCTAACTTTTGAGTTGAAATCTTCATTTTTTTGTGACTGTAAGGAAATGTTGAATTTTTAGGAAACTTTACCAACAAGGAAAAAACTCACATTAACCATTTTTGAACGCCGATAGAAACAAGTGAAGTACGTTCATCGAAAAAAAACCCGTTCACATTACCTGAAAATAAATATATAAATTGTGCGCGCGCTGAGATCAAAATGAGAAAATGTTTATTTTTCCAAATTCTGAAACCTGTCTTTTTACACTTTTTTTATTTTGTTATCAATCTCATCCTTCCCTCATATATTATCATTTTCCCTATTTTTAGTTGTCATGAAAAACTTATTTATTTTTTCCGTTATTTTTCTGACACTTTTGTCAAGTTTTAGTGGTAAGAAAATTCTCAAACTATTTTATTGATTTCGAAAAAAATTCAGAATGCAAAGATTCATTAGAAGAAGATCAACCATTTCCGCATGGTTTGAATAGCAATAGAAATCCGTTTTCGAAAAAATCAGGAATTCGACAAGAAAGAGCGAAAAATCGAAGTCGAATTGATCGATACAATCAAGAGAATAATTGGGGTTTTCGAGAAGATGTTGAATCAACAACAAAACAACCAATTGTTAGAATGACAACTACTGTAAATCCAGATACATTACCAGTAGATCCGAGACATAATGGATTATTAAAAGATATTGGATCAGTTGGTTAGTTTTTTCTATCTTCGAAAAGTACGAAAAAGTGATTCCTTCAAATCATTCTGAAATTTTTCCTGAAACACTTTTTGTCAAGCAACATATAATTTTTATTCAATTTTAGGTGTGGGCGGTGGTGTTGGTGTCGGAGTTCCGGGAAATGATCCAGTTAGCGTTGGTTGGGGTGTTAGTGTTGGTTTGGATGGTTCTGGCCCTGCTGGTGGTCTTCCACCGTTCGCTCAAACAATATTCCCAAGACAAGTGAGTTGTCTTTTTTTTTTCTTTTCATAAACTATAACCGTAAAATCGACTCTAAGCAGAGGGCTGACAGGTAATTTATTATCATAATTTCTATTACCTGCGGCACCACTACTTATAGACGAAATGGTTATTTCTGAATTGAATACAATATCATAGAATAGAGAAGAAGAGTTATCACAACTAACATGGCTGATGGCTCTTTTTATAGTGAATAGAAATATGTGGGCGGAGAAATAGGCGTGGCTAAGACAAAACGGGAGGGGAAAAGGGGAGAATTGGTATAGAAGAATGGAATAGTAGAGAACCCAAAAGCTGAATAAACAATCATAATATTGGAATGATTGAATAGAGAATAATAGAGTGAATTCATATTTATTTTTGATTTCTACAGTAAGTATATAAATATGTTACAATTAATATTGCGAATTTAGTTTCAAAGCATACCACCCGCTGTGCAAATTTTTAATTTTGATGAATGGAAAAATTGTTATTATGTCGATGAATATGAAAATTGAAAATATCGAATAATCGATATAAAATTAAATATTAATGATGGAAAAGTCCAGAAACCATCAAATCGTTATTCTATTCACATAAAAGTTGGCGGAATGTTTTGTAAAATAAAAATTTCAAATTTCAACTATTTCCAACTTCTATTTAAAAATTTGGAAATGAATTTACTATAAAAATTGTGACAAGTTAAATTTTAAAAACGTGAACTACTTTTTTTCTCGGAATTTAAAACTCAAATTTCATTTCTAACAACAAGTAAACTCATTTCTATTGGTTACTGTAGTTTGGCATGGATCAGTGTACCTTCCAGAAATAATATTGAGATATCTAGCTTTTTCGAGTTATCAAATATATGAAAAGAATGCATGTTGAAATGTTCTCACGATTCATCATAAAAAGCAAAATTGTTCACAAATTCCTCTGAATCAAACATTCCAGAAGAAACTTTTTCGAGAATGAAGCTGTTATTTCCAATTTTATATTTGGTTATCGGTTTAAATTGTGGCGAAGCAAGTGGTATTGATTTCATTTTTCATGTTAATTTAAAATGTACACTCGCGAACATACAAGAATATTGGTATTCTATTGAATTCAAAACAGAACATGGTGAAATCAATGGTGCTACGTTTGAAGGTTTCATGCCACGTGGCAACAGAACTCTACACATTTCTGTGACTGTGGAGAAATGGAAAAAAAATGTAGAAAATACTGTTAAGGTTGTATTAACTCATGGTTGCACAATGTCCGGAGAAAATAAAACTATCCGATTAAAACTTATACAAAAGAGTCCAGGAAAGAATCATTGCTCTTTCAGTTTAGATGAAATCCCTTTGGGAAACTTCGGGGTATCTGAATGGATGGATTGGAATGCTAACGTGACGCAACATTCATAATTTTTGTTCGCTTTTGTTCAAAATGTTTTTCTATAAAAACGTATAATAATTATACACATACATTACTTTTCTCAATCAATATATTTATATTCAATTCTCACGACTAATAACTATTCTCAAAAATTACGACGTGCGTTCTTAACAACAATCATTCCCAGAGCCGTAAAAATTCAAATCATCTATAGTTATGTCGTATAAAAATTATTCACATAATTTATATATTTGTGTCCCTAACATGGGGCTTGTTGTTTTTTCTTCTTCTTCTTTTTTTTCGATTTGATTTGATTGAATCATAAAGGGAATCGACAAAAATAATAATGTTATGTATATGTGTACATTTTGGAAAAAATAATGTATATTGGAATTCTCGGAAAATTGAAAGGGGGCCAAATATTGTTTTTTTTTGCAGGGAGAAGCACAATCCCTAAATGATTATGATGGAAATAAAGATACAATTCAATCTTCGAAATATTTGAATTATATCAATGCAATTCGTCTTGGATATATAAAACTTCCACAATATGCTCCCCCTAAATCAACTGTCAATGTAAATACCGGAATTGGAGTATTAGGAGGACAGGCACCATCAGGAGGATGATAATTATTTCATCAATTTTTTCTTTATTATCACCACGTTTTCTGATAACAATTTCATTTTCCATTATTTTATATAAAAAGTTATGTTTGTAGCATGTGAGTTGAGAAATGATTAAAAAATACCGGTTATTCAAATAATTACAGTAATACTACTTGTATTTGGTTTTGTTTCGGCTGCTCAAAAAGATTTGGGAGCACCAAGCTGGTCATGTGATGCAAATGTTATGGCAAAATCTAAAAAAGTTCCAACGAGTGCGCATAGTGTCAGATTTGCTGATATCAAAGTTATTGGAGCTTTAGGAGACTCGTTAACGGTAAATTAATTGATTTTTCTAAAATTTTGGAATTCGGTTACTGTAATTCTCATTTGAAAAAAGAACAAAATATTAATTGAACAACAATTTCAGGTTAATAGATAAATTTGAAATCTGAGAAAATAGTTCTAACATTCTCTAACCTCACAGACCTCGTAAAACTTCGATCACATTGTTTTACTGTTAAAAAATATGAGATTCGTTCCAAAAAATTGATAACTGTTCAAAATACACTCAAATATTGCCTATTTTATCATCTAGGCAGCAAATGGTGCGGGTGCAAAACAAGGTGACCCTTTGGCTGTTGTTCTACAATATCGTGGCCTTGCTTTTCAAATTGGAGGAGACAAATCACTTGATGATCATATCACTGTTGCCAGTACGACTTATTCTAAAAAATCAGAAACTAAACTATTTGAAGTTTTTCAGATGTATTGAGAAAATTCAACCCAAATCTCGTAGGATATTCAACAGGAATTGGATCAGAAAATGTTTGGGAAGTTGCGAAATTGAATATGGGAGTGCCTGGAGCAGAATCGAAAGATATTGTTGTTCAAGCAAGAAGATTAGTGAACCTAATGCATTCTCATTCTGAAGTCAGTGTTATTAGATTAGGATGTAAAATTTGACTATAAGAAATTTCAGATCAATGTCAAGGAAGATTGGAAACTTGTCAATATTTTCATCGGTGCCAATGATATTTGTGTTTATTGTGAAGATCCGTATTCAAATTCAACGGTATTTACCTATAAATTTTCCTGTTAAGAACTCAACATTGAAAACATTCTAGGCTCCACATGGAAAGACAACATTTGAAAACAATATTATCGAAGCTGTCAAAATTTTACACGACGGACTTCCAAGGTATTTTTCGACAGATGTAAAACACCAGAGAATATGTAAATTCCAGAACTATTGTATCGTTAACTGGAATGTTTAATATGAGAATGTTGAGAAAAATCGATCATGATAGATATTTTTGCGAAGGTTTGCATATGTAAGTTATTTACTTGATCGATCGATCAGAAGTAAGTATGATTTTTAGTTTCGAATGTGATTGTGAATCGAATAAAAAGTATACAGATGATGATATTCAATCAGTCTGCTTCGATTATATGGTAAATCCTACAGGTTTTCGATAGAAAATTAATCAATAAAAAATTCTTGCAGAATGCTGAAAAAAACATTCAAGATTCTGGAATGTTTGATGACAAAGAAGATTTTACATTTGTAGTTCAACCATTCTTTAATGGAATCACTGATCCACCATATATTGCACCTGGTGATGTTGACATGACATTTTTTGCACCAGATTGTTTCCATTTTTCTGCTTTTGGTCATGCTAATATTGGTATGCATTTATGGAATACTATTGTGCAACCAGTGAGTTATTAAAAATCAATATGTTTCCGAAAACGAATTATGAAATTAAGGTCGGATTCAAACAAACCAGTGTAAATTTGAGTGATCATACAGTTGCTTTAAGCTGCCCACAAACAAATTGCCCTTATTTCCCAACAACCAAAAATAGTCAAAATTGCGCGAGTTATCACACGATGAGCGAATTGGATTAAAATTAAAATAAAGTTCATAATTTATTGGATGATAAAACTGATTATATAAAATATTTTTTGGAGTTCTGAACGATAAATAAATAGAAACAACGGGTTATTTTTTGGATTGATTTTTAAAATTATATGGAATGATTATTAGATTAACGGGATGGTGATGGAGATCTCGAGTCGCGTGGCGATGCTCTTTCCTTCTTTGGTGAAAGCGATCTAGATGGCGAACGATTTTCTCCACGTGGTGATGGGCTGCGTGATCTTCTGGGCGAGCGGCTTCTTCCGCGTCTATCACCGCCTCCACGACGAGGCGAAGCGCTGCGAGAGCGAGATCTGCCAGGTGGTGAACGGCTGCGAGAGCGAGAACGACTGCGTGAACGAGATGGCGAACGTCTACGGCTGCGGCTTCTTGAGCGAGAGCGAGAACGATCTTCTTGAGTATCATCTATACATCTCAATTTTCTTCCATTCAATTCTTCTCCTTGCAATTTGTCAAGAGCACGACGAAGATCGTCGTGAGTGGAGAAGCAGACGAGCCTGAAAAATTACTTATTGCCATTTTAATTTTAAATTTGGTAACGTTCAAAACTTACGCTTCATTCAATGTTTTCTTGTGAGCTTCAGAGTATGTGGGCTCGATTCCCATGCGACGAATGTGATCCTTGATTTCCTAAAAAAAATTGGCACTTGATTTCATGCAAGTTTGGCTTTTAAGATGCAAAATTCTTGAGCAATGTCAATAGCAGCTCGGCACAAATGTGCAATTGGGAAACAATTGTTTGGGTTGTTTGTTTGAAATTCGATTGAATGCGATTACCAAAAGATTTGATTGAATGACGCAATGTGCGGCTGTATCACAAAACATTAAATTTTGAAAAGGTGAACACGATCAATTTTTAGTTAGTTAGTAATGAAATATATGAATCACGCTGGAACGTACCTGCCAAGTATATCTGGTTGACAAATTTTCAATGACAAGGCGGAATCGAGTTGAGCATGGTCTTCCATAACGGCTCGAGAATTCTCTACGTCCTGAATCGCGCTCACGTTCGCGCTCGCGTCCACGTCCATTGAATCCTCCTCCACTTCCTCGTTCACGATCTTCATTATAGCCAACTTTTCTGCGTGGGAACTCCAAAATGACACGTTCACCACACAAGTCTTTTCCATTCAAATCATGTACAGCATCATCGGCATCGCGAGCATCGGCAAACTCCTGAAAATGTATTATTCATGAAATGTTTCAAAATACCACCAAAATGTTTCAAAATACCACCGTGTCTTTATCACTGAACATTGAACTTACAACAAAGCCGAATCCGTTTTTCATGATAATATCGACGAGTTTTCCATAACCGCGGAAGAAATGTTCAATATCCCGATCAGAAGCGCGACTCGAAAGACGTCCAACGTAAATTCTCGACATTCTCTGTAATGCAAAAAGTTTACAACTGAAAATAGGCTAGGAGCAGAAACGAAAAAACGCCGAATTGCTGGCAGCGCGCCAACGAAATGTCGATAATTTAAAATTTTGCGTCAGTGAACAGCTGACGCGCAATTCAAACATGCCGCGTCGCGGCTGCGTTGCGTGCGGCGGTTTTTCATTTTTTCGCCATCCAATCTCGGGCCATTTTACAGATTTTGTTCGTTGGCAAATAGTTTTAATTGACGTGTGTAGTTAAGATAAATGAAATTCTTACTTATAAGATGCCAAAAACCTTATTTAGATGATCAGAAAATAGCTAAGTTGTTGGTGAAATAACATAAGGCCTAAAAACAAAAGAACAACTGAAAAATTAACTAATTTCTTTCTCAATGCTCGTTTTATTTATGGTGTTAGAAAAGGGGCGTGGCATAAAATTGCTGTTTTAAGTACCATCTGGCGTTTTTCTCAGCCCGCCTTATCATTGTTTCAAATAGTCATCGTTAGGGTGTGAGTAGATAGTATACCTGTTGTTTTCATTCATTTATATATTTTTCTCTCTGCGTTTTATGTTTGTTTATATTTAATATTCAAATTTACAGAATGTCGGACGCTCGAATTTACATTGGTCGCATCAGCTCACGAGTTTCCGAAAGAGATGTCGAACACTTCTTCAGAGGCTACGGACAAATAAGAGACATTCTTTTGAAAAATGGTTTTGGGTTCGTCGAGTTTGACGACAAACGTGATGCCGAAGATGCGGTTTACGATTTGAATGGTAAAGAATTGAATGGCGAGCGTGTCATTCTCGACTACTCGAAGCCACGTGGAGGAGGTACTGGAGGCCGTGGAGGTGGTCGCGCTGGAGCATACGGTGGAAGATATGAGCGTCCAAGAAGAGAAGGGTAAATAAATAAACAACAAATTTCAGTCTATTACGCGTTTCCTTCATTACAGAACTAGCAGTCGTTATGGTCGTCCATACAGTACTCGTCATCGTTTGGTTGTTGAGAATCTTTCATCAAGAATTTCATGGCAGGTTAGTTATCTCGTATGAACATTTCGTAGAAGGTCACGTTATAATAATTCAAAAATTTCAAACCATTGCTCATTGTACATAATCATTTCTAACTTTCTGACGAGTAAAAAATAATCATAATAATTTATGCAGAATCTCGGTTTCGAAGAAATTGATTGATTGTAAATAATGGAAGTTTCTTGTCCAGTTGAAAATTGTGAATGAGATGTGAATCTTCATTTTTGCACCAAAGTTCCTTTGAGCATTTGTCTGGTTAGGCTGTCTGACGGACAATGATTGTATTTGTGTTGTTGTTGAATATGGTTCGGGGTGAATTGAACTGACGGAATTGTTCTCCTGGTTCTGGGTACATTGAGTTGATCGAGCTGATTTTAAATGGTATGGATATTGATCTCAAACAATAGAATCTGTATAGGCCGATATTTCATGGGTTCCATTTGGGTCTTTTCTGCCATTCATATAATTCGTTTTTTCAGGATTTGAAAGACCAAATCAGAAAGCATGGAATCGAACCAACTTATGCTGAGGCCCACAAGAGACCTAATGAAGCGTAAGTTCTAATTTTAATTTTTCAAAATCTAAAACTGATTATAATTTTTCAGACTCATGTGCTTCGCTAGTTCAAGCGATTTGAGAAAATGTATTGATAAGTGTGACGGAATGGAGTTGAATGGTCGAAAAATCAAGCTTGTTGATGATTCAAGCTCGGCTAGATCGCGCAGCAACAGCAGAAGCCGCAGTCCACCAACTCGTCGTCGTTCGCGAAGCGCATCAAGAAGTCGCTCTCCACAAGAGAGACGCAAGCGTGATAAAAAATCCCGCTCTCGTTCAAACAGTAGAAGCAGAAGTCGTAGTGGTGAAAGGTAATAACTAAAAATCAGCTGGAAAACTATGTATATATGGTTATTAATTTCAGATCGATGTTCCGCAAGTCGAGTCCAAAAGCATCTCGCTCTCGTTCAAGATCTCCATCGAGATCCCCATCACCAAAAAGAGAGTCTCAAAGATCTGCTAGTAACTCACCCCGCGATGACGGTGACAACTAAATGTTATCCCAAACTTAAAATTTTTAAAACTATTTTTCAAAAGAAAAATTCGTTGTTTTTATAATTAAATCTGAACTTCTATTTTCCTGTATTGTTGTATTCAGATCTCAATAAATTAATCTTCTCCAAACAAAACACTTCAACATCTGTTAACACATTATGGGAATATTTTATTGTTATGATGATTTTCAACAAATGTGACATGTTTTTCATTGTGCCAACGTTTGATGTATAACTTTGGCAAGTTTATGTTGTTCTTCGAAAAATTCTGCAGAAAATGATTTCTTTATCAGATCTTCATTGTTAGAAATTCTCACCATTTTTAAAAGTGAAATTGTTTCCAACTTCCAAATATTGGCGTTTTATAGTTGTGGGTGAGAATTGTATTCCAACAATAGATGGATTCCTCAAATCAGAAATTCTGTCGGTGAAATTTTATCCATAAAACAAACCCGGTTTTAATAAAATTGATTAACGATTCCACATAAAACTTCTGAATTTCGGTATCTTTTTGAGTGAATGTGAAATTATGACTATAAAATTCATCGATTGTATAAGGAAGAATTGTTGTATGGAAAGATTCTGAAAATATAGAATATTTAAAATGAAAATCTATTTAGAACTGTCTCACGTTTGAAACTAAAATCGTCTTTGAAAATTTTTGGATTGAAGTATTTGTGATGATAAACAAAAACATTCGAATTAGATTTGAGAACTCTTTCATCTATTTCCATAAGAACTGGTCCATCAAATTGAATTACTGATAAAATCTGAGAAAATTATGAATTATAAAATCAATGAAAAACTTACTCGTATTGCTGCTTCGGCTGGCGATATTCCATATTGCTGCATTAGTCGATATATAAGTTTATCTATTGGTAGATTAGTTAACTTGAGACCGCTTTGAATGATATCAATTGATTCTTGAACTGTTAGTTGGTCCAGTTTAGAACTACTGTTTACTTTCAGAACTGAAGTAAATATGAAACATTCCAAAAATGAATCATTTGTTTCTCACCGAAATACAACGATTCCAAAGAAGTTAAACCAATAAAAACATTCTGAGAATATGTAAAAGAGTGATTAAATGGAAGAAGGGAATCTCCAACATCTGGTAACATCACGTTTGGAGTGTTTTTAATAATAACAGAAGGATCGACTTTGTTAAAACAACTAACATATTCGGAAGAGTTTGTGCATCCCAACTCATTTAAGATACTGGAAAAATATTTAAAATCGGGAGTTAAAATTCCGAAGAATCAACTAACTTGATTGAATTTCGCTTATGATCATTAAATCTTTTGGCAAAATCTAATCCATAAGATGATCCACTCATTTCAATGAAATTTTTGAAATATCCCGAAGATATTGGTGATTTTGAATGAATACTAGCTGAAATTGAACCTGCACTATGTCCCCATAATGTCATTTTCTTCGGATTTCCACCAAATGAATGAATTGTTTGATTGATAAATTTGAAAGCTGTTACTTGATCCCATAATCCAATATTACATGGAAAACTTGCAGAATTATCACATCCAACTGATAAAAAACCAGACAAACCAAGTCGATACTGTATTGTTACAACAACAATACCTTTCTTAGCATATTGTTGAGCGAAAAAATTGGATGATTTCTCATTGACGGATCCTGTGTTTTGTTTTTATAAATATTTGGGGTTACTGTAAATTGAAAATTACCCGAAACAAATGCACCTCCATGAATATAAACAACAACTGGAACATTCGAATTTTTGTGGATATTTGAAGGTTTATAAATATCAAGAAAAAGACAATCATCTGAAGTATTATGAATATTCAATTTTAGATATTGAATACATTTTGGAGCATAATCAGTTGCATTTAAAATCGAAGACCATCGATGAATCAATGTGGATTTCTAACAAAAAAAGATTCGGAGTTTCAAAATGATTTTCTGATTTTCTGAGAATCACCTCTAATCTTTTTGCCTTATTTGAATACGGAATACCACGAAAAATGTCAACATTCGAGATTGGATCATGGATACCTCGAACTGTTCCAAACAGAGTTTGGACATCCACAAAATCACCGAAGACTTTGGTTGCTAATAATAGGAAAAACAGAATCATTTCAATATGATTATCATTTTACCATTGCTTCTTTTAAATGTAAAATTCTTATTGTTCGATAAAAATTCGTCATTTTGTATAGATTCGAATAAAATTCCATATCGATGATTCTGAACAAAATTCTTTTTTTTGTTAGAAAGTTCAAAAAATGAACAGATATAAAGTATGAACTAGTTGAAATATTCAGAACAATAGGGAAAACTATTTTTTTCAAAAAATCTACAATAATCCGTTTGAGGCACAACTTTTATTGTCCAAACTCCGTGGCAACACAGTGAACAATTCTTTTCAGAATTTTGAAATTGCACTTACTGAAAAATTAATCGAAACATTTATTTTTTATTTTTCAAAAAAAAAGCCAAATCTCCGATTCCCCTTTTTGTAAATAATTTCGGGAAGTTCACTTCACTGCTTTTTACACTTTTGAAATTCAGAAAATTTCTGCCGGCATTTTATTTTATTAATAGTTCTTTTCCAATCCTGAATGTACGAGGAAGGTTTTGGAAATTTATTTCATATTTCTTGTAGTGGTTTGACTTGTCGAGACATTCCTAGAGATTTGGAATATGGAAATAGAAAACTTGGTGAGCTCACAATTGTCAGAATTTTGCAATTAACAACTAGTTGTCCCAACTTTTTTTTGAAACATAAAAGTTCCAATGCTGTATTCTAGAAAAATAGGAAATTTTTCATATATGAAATTTTTCAGTTCATCATAACAATCAAGGTCGACGAATTCGAAAACACCGTGATGGTCGACTATTTCTTCTCAAAGATGTAGGAATCGATGGAAAGCAAATTAAAAAACCGAGAATTGGATCGCCAAGTGGAAATCGAAAACAACTGAAAAATAAATTGGAAAATGCGGAAACTAGAGATGTTATTCATGAGGAAAGTCTTCCAGAATTTCCAGGATGGTATGGACAACTTGAAGGACTTCAGAAAAAATTAGGAGAAAGTTGGAAATTTTCCGAAAATGTGGTAATTCAAGAAGAAATCAAGAAACTTTGGAAAACTTGGACGAAAGAATCGGCAAAAATCTATCTTCAAAATGATATTCATATTCCTCGATATATTGGTAGAGCCCCATGGAAAGATCAGTTAACTCGAAACACACAAAAAATAAGTGATCAACTACAACTGAATACAAAAATAATAAGCATGTTTTTCGAGAAATTTCGTGATCGTTGTTTGGTTGATTGTAGTTTTTTGCTATCTGAAAATGGTCGAAGTGTTGGAGAATTGGAAAAACAATTGGCTGATTTTGTGCATCAAACAAAGCGAATTTTGAATTTTGAGTGGCCAATGGAAGTGGCAAATTTGATGTTAGATGAAGGTGATAAATGGATACCATTATTAGTAAATTCAACAAGTCATACAGTTTTTAACGCGGTTGCTGCAACAATGGCAAGGTTTGATTTTGAAAAATATGTTTTGCCGGTGGAAATGGTATTCAAATTTTTTGCAGACTTCTCTACGATTTGATTTTCGAAAATATCAACCGTGTCAAGGATTATTTTAATTTAGATGATCGTGCCAGACTTATAATAGTTCTAAATGAAGGAGAAGAAGTTTTCGATTATTGGCAGAAGATAAATGTTCTTTTAGAACTATCCAAAGTTCCTCGAGTAGATCATAAAATATATCCCCGAATGTTTACTGAAGCATGGATTGATGTTCGAAGTTGGTTTGATGCTCATTCCATTATTTTTAAACCTCTTCCACAACCCTTTGGATCAATGAATCTTCGAATTTTTGAAATTGAAAAAATGCTTGAGAAATATGAGGAAAAACCTGAAAATATTGAGTTTTGGAATGAAATTTCGAAAGAGATTTTGAATGTCAGAGATCAAATTCTGAGACAAAGAAGTAAAACACAAAGAGATTTTATTATTTTCGATAGCGCTGGAATAAAACAGAGAAGTTTGGTGAGAATAACAGAATTGGAAGAACGAGCGAAGAAAATTATATTAGATGATTTGGGGCATAAAAATAATGAGTTAGTTTTAATTTTGATATGTTTTTATTGATTCCTAAAAAAGAAAACAATTTCATGATTCGATCAATGTTCTCATTATGTTCTGCTAAATTATTTCGAAACGATGTACTAATTCAACTACGAAACATCGAACAAGTTCAAAATCAACTTCCCAATATCCACCATAAAATTAATACAGTTCATCAATCCTATAAAAGTTATATGGAATATTTTGTTATGCCAGATTATGATATCAGACAATATTATGAAATCAGTAGATTGGGTCGGAAACTGGAACAATTGGTTAATTTTGTATGGGATCGAATACATCATGAAAGGCAGTGGATTACCAAACAGGTAAGGAATCTATTTGAAAAATTAAAACTTATCATATAAACTAGGAAATGTATTATTCTTCAGGTTTCGGAACAAACATCAAAAAACTATTACGAATGTGAAATGATTGAAAAAGAATGGTTAGACTGTCTCAAAAAATATCGAAGTGCTATAAGAGTAAACGAAGTTCAAAAAGTTCAATCAAAAATGGCAAATTTAGCAGAACGAAGTGTTATTTTAACAGAAAGAGATGAAAAATTGATTGGACAAAGAAGTTTGTTAGGATTACCATCATCGCCAATTGATTGTGTTCGAATCTCGAAAATGTGTGAATTTTTTGCGAGATTGACATCGTTGCATTATCAAACACTTTTACATCATGAAAGTTGTTTGAGAAGTGAGTTGAATTATTTTTTGGACAATTCCAAAAAAAAAGCGGAATAGTTTTTTGATTAAAAATATTTTTAGTGCGAATATCGGATGTAAATCACGCGGATCTTGTTGCTGAAACTGAACGACTTCAAGATGAAAAAGATATAATGGTTGATGAAGTAACATTAATGAATGAACATGTAACAACTTCAAATGAAGCTCTTTCTAAAATTCAAAATGTTCTGAACGAATTCGAAAAATTATTGCCAGTTCTTGGTGCAATTTCTTGTCAAGCAATGAAAGATCGACATTGGCAACAAATATTGCAAGATTCTGAAAATCCGGTGAAAGTTGAAGGAAATCCATTGGTTAGCGAATTGCTCGAAATGAATTTCATTGAAAAAGCAGACAAATTTGAGCAAGTTGGAGCTCAGGCAGAAAAAGAAAGAGTTCTTGAAAAAAGTATAGAAGTTATGAGAGAACAATGGAAATCGGCAAAGTTTGTGACTCATCAACAAGGAAAAGCAGGAAGTTCAGGAGAATTATTGACCACTGAATTGAATGTACAAATGCAAGCTCATTTGGCAAGAAGTCAAACTATTTTATCATCTCCGTTTGCTTTTTCAATTTTGGATCAAATTCGACATTGGTTGGATACTTTATTGAATTTGAATACTTTTGTTGTACTTTACAAAAATTGTGATTCGCGTTGGAAAAAGATTGAAGGTGTATTTTCAACAGAAGATATTGCCTATCAAATGCCACATGAATTCAGAACATTCAAGAAAATCTCATTGCGATGGTTGCACATTAATAATCAGATTGTAAGTTTCAAAACTTCGAAAGTTCTAATTCCCATAATTTTTAGACGGAAGAAAGACCAATTCTTGAACAAATGGAACTTGTTATCAAACTGAACACCGAACTTGCGGAACTCGAAGTTCTTTTTGGAAAAATGGAAACCGGCTTCCATGCATATCTTCGCAAAAAACGAGCCGTATTTCCTCGCCTTTTCTGTCTTTCCGATGAACTTGTGCTAAGTCTAATTTGTGATTCAAGAGAACCTTCCAATTGTAAATCATATATCCCATTATTATTCCCAGCGTTGACAACTTTTGATCAAAATACAAAGATGGAAATAGTGTCCGTGTCAACGCGGAGTGATGTAATACAACTTGCAAAACCTGTCAACGTTAATTTATCGAAGCGCCACGTTGAAAAATGGATGCATGAATTGGATGTTCAAATTCGAAGTACTGTTAAAATTCGAATTCGGCAACTTATTGAAAAACTGAATTTTAAAATCGGACCAGTTGAAACCTTGCTGTCAGAACCAACACAAGTGGCAGTGATTTATTTGAGAATTGCAATTACACAACAAATTGAACTTGCAATGAAACAAAATACTATGACAGTAAGATTTATTATATCTTTATTAGGAATCCTTGAAAGTTCTATAATATTGTTTAATTGTAGATTTTCTCGAGCGATCTCAAGCTTTATATTCGTGAATGTCAACATTGTATTATTCAAAAACTTTCTCGTCGTAAATTTCTTCCAATGATTTATCATACTTATAAACATGCAAATAATCTTGTCACAAAATTTATATCAGAACAAGTTGTATTTATCGATGATCATAGATGGACAAATCAATTGAGATATTATTGGCATATGGAAAATGTATTCATAAGAATTGGAACTGTTTCAGTTAGATATGATTATGAAATTCAAGATTTTGCAAATTTTTTGGATTATAAATTGATCGATGAATCATTAAGGTGAGATTGACTGAATTGAAATATCCGGAATTTTGAAACCTTTTTATCACAAGGGATTTTCAGATACATGATATTTATGAATCATTTTGGTTGGAATTGTAAACCTCGTCAAATAAATGAACTTCTTGCTCGATGTCTTGCAGGTGCTCTTGGTCGCCCTTTTGTTATTTGTGATTATCACAAAAATTCGGCTGAATTCAAAATGATAATCGATGGTGCATTATTGTTTGGTGGACTAGTTTTTGTTAAAAATTATGGTGGAAAATCTGTGGAGCGAGATATTTATACGGCTCATAATCTTAACAATCTGAAATATCATTTCGAAACAGAAATAACAATCAATTCTTCATTTATGCTATTTTTGGAAGAAAAGAGTTTTGGAACATGTAGAAATGTGGATTTTGAGAATCCAAATCATCTTCGAATTGTTGAACAAATTTTCTCATTGAATTCGATTTCTCATCGAGATAAATTAACTCAGAAATTTCAAATCATCAGCGAGTTTCAAAATTTTTTCTATCCCAACTTATGGAAAAATCATATAAATTCAACTATTTTTGAAATATTAGAAAAAAATGAGGAACTTTTGGAAGGTGATTTGGAAATTGGTGAAATTATTCTCGAGAACTATACAGTTGGAATGAAAAACGAACATCGAAAGAAGTTTTCGGATTTATTAATGTTATCAAAGAAAGTGGTAAAGGACAAATCAAAATATCATTTTGCTGAAAGATTGTGCAAAATGTTGGAAAATCATCAAGTTGTTGTGGTACTCGGGGAAAGTATGACTGGTAAATCGAAAATAATTGAAGAAGCGGCAAAAATACGAAATTCCGAATTGCATATAGAATTTGGATTATGGCAGGATTTACAGAATTATGGAGAATCGGTTAGTTATTTTCTTTGGAAACTTGAGATTCACTGAAACACAATTTTTTTTGAAAAAAAGACAGGGCTACTTCAAACTATAAATTGATGGTTACATAAATCCAGAGACAGGACAGCATAGAGTAATAAAATATCAGCACAATTAAAATTGCAGCTCAAAAACACTCGCCGTCTCAATAAATGGATAGTTTTGGATGGTTTTATTGATGTTCAAACAATATCATGGATTTATCGACTTTTGAATGAAAATACACTTTTCCCTTGGAGCGAACTACCATTTTTGGCACCAAATGAAAAATTGATAATTGAAACTAATGTGGAGATTTTCAACGGGAAACTTCCTGTTATTCGAATTGAACACGATTTAGAAAAAACTGAATCCGAATTTTCCGAAAAATTAAGTGAATATGAAAAGCAACGGATTCATGATGTTTTTGAAATTTACGAAGAAGCAAATCATTTGAAGCCGGAAGTTACGAGAATCGTTCAAATTATTGAAAATTCATTAACAAATTGTGATGAAAAAATATTTGAGAATCTATTGAAAACCACAATGCTATCATTTATTCCTCTTCAACAACTCGATCCAATTCTTTTGAAAAAAGAGGATTTTGTGAAAAATGTTCCGTTTTTTGAAGGATGGTACAATTTTAGTAGCACTTCTGATGGTTTCACTGCCGAGGAATTTTATATATCTCGAATAATCGCTTTGATTCTAAACACAGATTTGATACCATTGCTCATATCAACTCAAAATTGTTGCGAATTTTCGGGATTTTTGACAAAACTTCTGGGTGATTTAGATGGTCTTGGATGGCATGTTATTACTTTGAGTTTGGATGATCAAACAACAGTTGAGGATATTAAAACTTTTGTTCAAAATTGTTCAATTATGTTGTAAGTTTCCTATATTAGCTTTAGAATCAAAACTATAAACATTTTTTTAGTGGTGGACGTGATGAAATGGAAAATCGAAATGAAGGTTCAAATTTTCTTATGATCCATGGAATTGAAATGTGTCAACCAAATGTTGTTGACTGGATTCGATATTCGTATGACAGAAAATTGATTACTGTGAGTTTCAATCATTTTTTCTCTCTCATCTCTAATTTTTTTGAAGAAAATTCTGTTTGTTTCTACTAAATCGCGTGATTTCTTTGCGCCACGAATACGGAGATATATTTTTGCAATCGACTTTTTACAAATCACCGAATTATCCGAACCCACCAAATATCCATATGCTAATTATAAAAATATGTTGCAAATAATGACGAAAGATATAAAAATCAAAGATATTCGAGATTCAATCACAAATCAGTTAGTCGATGCATTGTGCGATGCACAGATTCTCAATTTTTATGAGAAGATTATGTCGATGAAAATAGCTGGAGAATATCGAATTGTAAGAGGAAAAGGATTCATGGAAATTGGAGAATTAGTTATACTTTATCAAAAGTTTGTTTTTTTCATATTCAAATTCCAAAAATGCGTTTAGAGCCCCGCCTGTATTTATAGTCCCAACACTATTTTGGGAGAGCCAGCTCTTTTCCCACCAACGTAGATCAAGCCGCCAATTTTGTACGAAATTCAAAAAATCCTACGAGTGTACTCATATGCTTCTAGCCCCGTTAGTGCCCATTCATAAAACCATACCTTCCTGACACTTCTTATTGGTTTTCGGATAGAGTAGACATCTATATATATGTACAAAAAATAGAACAGAAAACCGCCGTTTCCTATCTGAATTAGAAACATAAATAAATGAGCCAAGACATCTCGTGGCATTCTCGAAACCATAATTTAGAACACGTTAGTCAGGACACGTTTTTTTTCAGTTTCATTTTTTCAGCATAACTTTATCATAAATTGTTCTGAATAAATTTCAGAATTTGGTGCCTGATCTTTTCTAAATTTTTTTCAGTGCTATAATCGAACGTGAAAAACGAGACAAAAAATATCGTAAGCACCCGATAATAATTCATCAATTTCTTGCAAGAAATATTAATTTTATCGAAAAAGTCACTTCGGCTTCATTTGGACATATGTTGATAGTTTCGGAAAATTTGAAAAACATCGAAACTGCTCTCAGAATATCAACAGAACTGAACAAACAAATGATTTATTTCACAGATGGTATTGATGGAATTCAAGAATGGAGAGATCTTTTCAAAGATAAAATTATTCGAGAATGTTTATTGGATGGAAAAGAAACGGTTGTATCAATTAGCATAACTCATAAAGAAATATTGGCAGATGTCAATTCAATTTGTTGCCATAAAATGATTCCACCGAGATATTTAACAAGACTTTTATTATCCGAATTTGGTGAAAAACATACTTTGGAAGGAAAAGGAATTTGGGAAATGCTCGAATCCAAACTATCAGTTTTGAAATTCTGTGTGATCTTGAAACCTTCGGATTTTTCATGGTTTCTTGAAACTTATCCGAAACTTGCATCTCGATTGATTTTGAATATATGGGGAAATCAGACGAAAAATGAAATTGACATGGAAATGATTGAGGATTTGGGAAAATCAGAAATATTTTCGAAAATTCAAATCAATCAAATTATTTTGGCTATTGATAAATTGGTTGAACTTAAATTGATCAAAAATATCCAGGAAAAACAGAAACTTTTGAATACAATAATTCGAATTGCGATAAATAAAAAATTGGAAGTTGAAAAAACAATGAGTAAATATGAAAAAGGAATGGACAAAATGAAAAAAGCTGAAGAACAAGTGGCTGGAATGCAAGGAGAATTGCTCAGATTACAACCACAATTATTGAGAACATCAATTGAAACATCAATGTTGATGAGTACTATTGAAAAAGAAACAATTGAAGTCGAAAATGCTAGGTGAGATTTTTTTTTTGAAAATCACAAAACATAAAATTTAAAGACGTGAACTTTTTCCAAAAAAAAATCATTTTTTGATTTATTTCAATATATTATTGACAGAGAAGTCGTTGCTGCTAATGAAAATAAAGCGAATGAAGCCGCAACCAAAGCTCAAAGTTTAAAAGCAGAATCAGAAGCTGAATTAGCCTCAGCAATTCCAGCATTGGAAGCAGCAGTTGAAGCATTAGAAACAATGACACAAAGTGATGTATCATCATTGAAAACTATGAGATTTCCACCGTATGCTGTAAGATTATGTATGGAAGCTGTATGTATTATATTAGGAGTTAAACCAACAAAAGTTGCAAATGATCGAGGTGAAGTTGTAAATGATTATTGGATTTCTGGTCAAAAATTATTATCCGATATTCATTTTTTGAACAAAATTCGAACTTTTCCACGAGATGAAACATCGAGAAGAACAATGAAATTGATTCGTGACAAATATTTGTCGAAAGAAGAATTTGATCCGGAAAAAGTTAGACAATGTTCTTTGGCGGCTGAAGGGCTATGTAGATGGGTTTTAGCAATTGATATGTATAATCAAATTAGTAAAATTGTTGAACCAAAACGAGAAAGATTGAGAAAATCAGAAATGTTAGTCAAACAACATTTGAAACAATTAGAAGTTAAGAGAAAAGCATTATTAGTAAGTTTTTTAACGCAAAAAATCTGATAATTCATCGAACTTTATTTTCAGAAAGTGACCGAAAAACTTCAAGGATTATCTGATCAATTCAGTCAGATGTGTCAGAAAAAACAAGAACTCGAATCGCAAATCTCAAGTTGTGAAATAAAAATGGAAAGAGCTGAAAGACTTGTTCAAGCTCTTGGAGGAGAAAAGGATAAATGGCAAACAAAAATAACAGATATTCAACATGAAGATTCACTTTGTGTTCCATATTCAATTGGAACAAGTTTGGTTCTTCATATTTTTGCAAAACTTCCGATTGATGAAAGAGAAATCGAGATTCGAAAAACAATGCGAATTTTATTTCCAAAATTAGAAATTCGAATTAGTTGTGATCTTCGAAGCCTTGTAAAACTTGTTGATGATCCAATTTTATTTATCAACGATGATGGAAGAGCTATTGAAGTTCTCAAATCGATTTATCCAAAAGTAATTGAATCGAATAAATTCAGTGAAAAGGAGAGGACTGAAGCATTGACACAAGATTCTGTAATTATTCTAGATAACTCGCAAAATATTACAAAAGAAATCGAAAATTCCGAAGTTTATCTCCAAAAAGATCAAGAAGTTATTCTAAAAATTTATGAGAAAGAACACGAAGTAAATAAAGGATTTCGAATTTTTATACGAAGCCATGTGGAATGTAATGGAAATATGATCGTATTGAATAATAAATTTAGTGATGCTGAAATAAGATTTGAAATTTGCGAAAAAATGGGAAGTGTGAATTGGGATGAAACATTGAATCATTATAATGAAATGGTACAGAAAAAGGATATGGATATTGGATTATTGGATAGTAAGAATTTTTTAAGAAAAAAGTTCTAAAAAAGTGGAATTTTCAGAAACCGAGAATGAGATGCTTGATTTATTGGGAAGATCAAAAGATTTGGACGATGAACGAGCCATCGATCTTCTAGCTGAAGCTAGAAATCTTCAAGCTGCTGTAGCTGCAAGAGAAAAAGATATTGCTGAAATTGAAGGGTCTTTGAGATCTATTGAATTTCAAATGTCACCAGCTATCGAATGGTCAATAAAAATTGTGAAAATGTTATACAGCTTGTGTAAACTGGACTCATTCTATCGAACATCTTTGAAATCTTTAGTCAATGTTTTAGGAACGGTGAGATTTTTATTTGAGGGGGAGAATACAAAATTCACTTGTTTAGAAATTGTTTGAAAATTTGGCCACAGTGAATTTGGATGAAGTTATCAAAAAAATTTCAACACTTTTTTGGAAGTTCTGCCAACATTTTCTTGCTTGGGATGATAAACTTATTGTATATCATTTACTTCATCAAAATATGAATTTCCGAAGTGAGCAAATGATAAATTCATGTTCTGGAGATTCAGATTGCCCACTTCAATTTACACAATTTATTCTGAAATCAACTTGTCGATCAATAATATTTTTGAAATATGATTCAGAAACTTATGCAAGTATTTTGCAAGCTGCTAACTTTGGGAAAACTTCGCTTTGGAGAGTATACTCAATTCTGGATCATGTTATTTTGAAAATCGAAAAACTCACTGATGAACCATCTTGGCTTTTTTTGAATTTGAATGATATGAACGAAAATACTTTGGAAAAATTGAAAGAGATCAAAGAAAAAATAGAGACATTGCATGCAGTTCATCCGTCATTCCGGTGTATCGTTGGATTATCAACAGATATTTTTGAAATCGATGAGCAAGAAGCTGTATTGATGTTGTCATCAAAAAGATTTTATTATTCCGCCGCAGCAAATCTTTCACAGATGTTGACTAGATTTAATAATAATACAAATCTTAGAGTTCAGTTTGATAAATCTGAAGAATCTCAAAGACATCAAGTTATACGATTGATATGTCTTCATTTTGCATTGAGAACTAGGAGTCAAGTTGATACAGGTCTGAGTTTGTTAAATTGATCTTTAAAAAGAAATTAATTACAGGTTTCAAAGTTCAAGTGGATGACGCTGATTTATTGGCAATGCTCAAATTATATCAAGAACTTCGAAATCTCAGCGATCAACCAAATGAAGCATTAGATATTCCAAAAGTTCGGACAAATATTATCGAACCCATTTATTTTGCAAAATCAAGACTAACTGTAGAATTCGGAATTGTACAGGCAATGACTAATTGGATTTTTGAACAGAATTTATCGATTTCTGCAGATACGTTATTGAAAAAATTGTTGCGAGAGGAATCATCGAATTTTGTTAGTTAAAATAAAATGTATCCTCAATCAACTTTTAAAAATTCGAATTTTCAGGAAGACTTTGCTCATTTTATCCAAACTCATGATGATATTCTATTTTGCGGATTTAATGCTCGAATTTGTCGCGATCTTCAACAAATTCGCCAGAAAAAGTTGTCACATCGAATGAGAAGCTTATTTGAAGATGACTTCAATATAACTTCATCTTCACTTCTTGGAAATCCTATTGAAAAATCGACTAAATTTCGACCAAGAAGTTGGCTGCGAGATGTGGAATCTGAAGGTGAAAATGTGATTGATGCTAGAGAAATTTCGAATTTGACTGAATTAGTAACTTTTTTGAAGATGAAATTTGCATTGAGATACAAGATTCAAATTGTTGAAGTGAGTTTTTTTTCGAATTCGGGAAATTATCAGATCAATAAATTTCCAAATAATTACCAAATTTAAGACTAGTATTACTGCTGAATTTATTTCCGTCTCTGAATCTCTCGAAAGATGTTCAGCAAAAGAAATGGCCGAACATCCAACAATTCGTCTTTCCCATTGTATTTTATGTTCTGCTCAAATGTCGAAAAATGAACTCAAAGAGCCACATTCTCGTCAAGATCAATTTGTGGCAATTCAACTGAGAGCTGTTCGTCGAAGTGGAAGTGCAAATCCTAGAAGTATTCCACTCATATGTCCGATGTCTCAAAAACCCGTGGCCAATTTGCCGATTCAATCACAATTTCCAATTGGTCATTGGCATTTACGTGGAACTCATGTTACAGTAGGAAAAAATGGAAACTTCGCGAAACAATTATGAAAATTATGCAAAGACTGTACAGTTTTTATTTGTATTTTTATATACTATTTTGATGGGGAAGATATTCCTACGCTTCACAAGTTATTATAAAGAAAAATAACACTGAAAAAATCAAGAAGTCTGGTTTTTATCATCATCATCATCGAACTGGAAGATGGCACCCTTGGTTATTTTATGATAATTATCCGAAACTAAGCTATGCACCGCGAAATGTTCATTGAATAAAGATTGAAAATTGTTTAGTATCGAAAAATCAGCTTACAAATTTTTGAATTTTTTCCAAATTTTTGAATTTTTTCCTGGAAATTTACAAATTTTTGAATTTTTACAAATTTTTGAATTTTTTCCTGGAAATTTTCTTATTCTTAACCCCAAAAAATAAATAAACTAACTGTACTGCAATTGTCCTGCTAGTTGTCGTCGATGTGTGGCTTCCGAGTGGTGCAATTGGTGTTGGTGTTGAGAAGAGTCGGAGTGAACCAGAATGGCAAAGCCTAGAAACAGCACGATTTGAGTCAGAAAAATAGAACATTTCCAGCGGGCTGGAAAAAGATAAAAAGTTTTTTAAATGAATTCACAACTTGCAAGAAAAAAACAATTTTTTTTGCGTCAACACAGTAAAAGACTGGCGCATTTTCCATCCTCGCTTTTCATTTTCTTTGTTTTTTTTAAATTTGTTTCTGGAAAAAAGTGGTTTTCCATGGTTTTTCAGCTGTTTTTTTGCATTTTTATTATTAGAAAAAAAATTCACAATTGTGTATTAGGCGAATTTCAAGAATTTCAGCCGAAAATTATTGATTTTTATTCTAAAATTTGAATTTTTCTTTCTAAAATTATGTGGATATGTTGATAAATAATCGATAAAAAGTTTTTTTTAGGTTGGACGCTCAAATCTTGAAATATTTGATTTTGTATTCGACCTGTCTTCAATGAGAGCTCTCAATAAAACGTAAGAGGGAGTTTATTTTTCTTTCTATGACCCAGAGAAATTCCAGATTGCTCGAGAATTCGGAATTGAGTGAGACGACTCCAATTTCAATGATGATAACAAAATGAATTCGAGGATTTGGTTCTTATACAACAACAACTGCAACTCATGTCAGGTCAGTTTAATGGGTTTTGGGTTTGGTTTTGGGTGAAAGAACAGATTTGTGTTAAATTATATCAAGTAAGTTTGGGGCATAGTTGCATAAAGTTTGGGGTATTGTTAAATAATGTATAATTTGAGACGAGATATGCACTCTCAGTTGCTCACAAGCCAGGACTTGTGGAAAAAGAGGAAAATCCCTCAAAATGTTTTTTTCATTTTTTTTCTCTTATTTTTATTGTTTTTTTTTTTAAATATTCCACACATTTTGATTTATCTGCAGTTAGAAAAATTGAAGAAAACAAAAAAAAACATTTTCTATCGTAGTAAATCTTCAAAGAAACATGTGATAATTTGCGACTCACCCATCAAAATGAATACGCGAAAAAGAAAAATGTTTCATTTATATTTTCTTTGTTTCTATACAAGTAATTGTTCAATTTTACTTACGAAAACAGAAAAAAAGTAGCTACTTTGAAATATTTACAAGCCACCTCTTGACATGTATAAAGCATGGAAACCTAGAGGAATTCGTTGTTCAGGAATAACAAATCGACCAAGTTCTTCAAGATTTTTAGCATTCAAAATAACAACATATGGATGTTCTGATGGATCAATTGTCATAACTGGAACAATGAGACAACCTGAAATATTAAACAAATATATTTTTTAAGAAATTTGATCAAGTTTGTTTGAAAAAACAAACTAACCATCATCTTCCAATTTTCCATTTGGATCAGCAACAAATATTGGTTCTCCACACAATTGATTCTGATTTTCTCTTCTCCAAATGAGACTTTCACATGTTTCAACATTTACTTTGATAACTCCAACAAGATCTTCAGATTGTCTTTCTCCCAAAACACTTGAACCGTAACAATATTTATATTCTTTTGAGTTGACTTTTTCCGAATATCTTGGGAATTCCATTGCTAAAAATAATCAGAAGGAATTTAAGTAATGATAACTATTTCAGAAAATAAGATGCGCGTAATTTCTGACTATAAAATTGAGAGGTAAATTTTTCTCAACTCACATGTTTCACAAAGTCTTTTTTCTTTCAAATGAATACTTCCATCTTCTTTCAAAATAGCTGAACATCCATTAGCCCAAGCCAAATCCTTCAAAATATTACTTCCAATTTCTGCGCTTTTCGGAATTTCTAATGGAATAACCAAACGAGAAAAGAATGGAAGGAATCTCGGATTCTGAAAACGTTGTACTTATGAATTTCAGAATTCTTGAAGAATTACTTACGTTTTTGAAAGCTCCAGTTTTCATATTTTCAATAAGAAGCGCTTCAAAGTTACCAGATTCTTCAATTCTACAGTAATCAACAACAAGAAATCCATCTTTTTCAAAAGTATTTGCATGATGAAACGTGAAAAATGGATCGACAGTGATTTTCAACTCAAGTTTTTGTCCAGTTGTTTTGCTCAAAATAAACACATTGACATTTTTAGTTGCATCCCAATAAATACAATCTCTATAACTTATCGAGAGTATTTTTTTCATCAAGAATTTTTTGAGATTAAATCGAACTGGTGATTCAAACATAATCATATGATTTTTCGACATTCCAAATGAATGCATATATGTTGGATTGAAAACATCGGAACATCGAACTTCCCCAATTTTTGTAGTATTTTCCCAAGGTTGTTCAGAATTTGGTTGTGGATTTTTAGTAACTGTGAAAACATGTGAAGAATCTGGACCAAATCTCGCTCCAACATTATAAATATTTCCTTCTTCATCAAAACAATGATGTGCGGTGCAAGTATGAAGAGCAACTAATTTTGAAAAATCAAATTTTTCCTTGGTTTCCAATGTTTCTGGATCAACTCTCAACATATGTGGTGTTTCTGTACAAGCAAACAATTGATCTCCGATTGGAGCAAAGAAAACATTTGCATTATCATGTTTTTCAGTTTCTTTATTTGGGAAGAAATATGAGAAAAATCTGGAATATCGGATTAAATTTATTGTAGTTTGTGTAATTCATTTACCTTTGAAAAATAGTTTTGCATGGATCAGGAAATTCAGCTGTTCCAAAACTTCCCATAACAATTCTATTTTTTGACATATTTGTTTTATATGTTTCTGACTCGAGAAATCTTGCCGAGTAAAACATCTGAAAAATGAAATGTTATGTTTGTTTTCTGGAAACATTGACATACCTTGCCATTTTCGAAGTTATAACTCTGCATATAAGCTAATCCATCAAACCAATGATTATATTTTGAATCACCAATTTCAAACATCCCAGGTCCATTTCTAACCATTGTTCCTTTCAAATATTCCGGAACCGAACCTTAAAATTTCGAAATTCGAATTTCAAACCAAGAAAAGTTAACTCAACTCACCTTTTAATTCACATTCTTTTGGTTCAAGAATATTTTCAAAATTTTCAAAAAGATGAGCATACGACATTTCAAAAATCAAATGAAAAAAGACTGGGAAAGTGTGTAAATAAATACCCGTTGGTTGAGAGATAAGAAAAGAAAGACACAAAAACAGACACAAAAAAATTGCGAAATTGTTGTTCATGGAAACTACACCGTACTCAAATTTATGTCATCATTTATTTTGGAACTGCAGAAAAAATATAGATGAAATTTATTAGTGTAATCAGTTGATCTCTGATTGAAGTCATACATGGCCAAATTTATTTCGTTTAAAATCTAGAAAAAATACGAATTAATTTTCTTTTTTCTACTGTTCCTGAAATTTCAAAAAAAAAATAGTGGATAACAAAATCTGCTCGAACATACTCGCAATTATCATTTCTTAATTTTTTGATGATTGCTAGAATTTCAAGCTGATTCTAATATTCATTCAAAATAAATAGAACTAGGAATATAAATAATAAGAAGAACTATTCGAACATACTCGCAATTATCAGATTTCGAGAATTTCAGATGATTGGTAGTTGTTCAAATTGTTCTTCTTATTATTTTTAAGAATTTTATGATTTATGCATAATTTGAGCCCCAGTTTTATACTGCTAAAATGGGCGTGGCTTTATAACCACCTTCCCATGTGCAACAATATCGGAACTACAAATAACAAAAATGTGCCCGGAAAGAGTACTTCACACTTCAAATCTACACCTTGAATGTGCCGACCATAGAAATTGACTGCTGGGAAAACTGTAGGACAATGAACATGAAACATAATTCCAGAGAAAGTAAGAAAGTAATCCTTCAATTCTGAAAATTGAGAAAATGTGAAGATTATAGTCATCTATGGATTTACAGTAATGTTCTCAATTTTTCAAAAAAACAGATATTCCAAAATATGTTTATAGATTGGGCCTATTTAAAATATCTGATACTCATTTTTTCTCATCTTCCTTCTTTTCTTCTTTCTTTTCCTCTTCTTTCTTTTCATCCTTTTTCTCATCTTTTTTCTCATCTTCTTTCTTTTCATCTTCTTTTTTATCTTCCTTCTTTTCTCCATCTTCTTTCTTTTCAGTTTCTTCAATTGCAGCTTGAAGACGAATAACACCTTCTGGTTTTGTTTCAGATGTCCAACACTGCAAAACATTACAAACTAGTAGCAAAAATTTCAAAAATAGTAAAAACTAACAGCTCTTGCAGTTGTTGCCTTCGTTTCACAAGCAACATGATAAATAGCAAAGAAATGACGTTGTGGATCTGGCAAACTTTTTGCTTTCAATGTTATTTTGACTGTTGTTGATTCATTTGGTTTAACGAATCCAAGTGGAGGACGAACACGGAAAATTTCATTGTCTGTGCATTTTACCTGGAATAAACATCAAATATTTTCTCACGTAGTTTTTTAAAATCTACAGTAATACCTTGAAACTTTGTCTATCTTTCAATGGATTTGTTATTTTCAAATCAACAGTTGTTTCTTCGCCAGCTTTAAATTTCAAGCTGATTTTATCATTTGGTTCAAGTTTCAATTTGAATTCAGGTTCTCCGGCCTTATTTGGTAACGGCATCTGAAAATCAAAACAAACCTGATTTATAATTCTTGGCTATTTTTTCTCACCTTGTTCAGATCTTGAAAAACAGTTTACTGAAAGAGTTTCAATCCTAAATGACTGATTTTTCAATTTGTCTGATTTTTTATTTTTATGAATTTAGGTCACGTGAAATAGGTACACGTTTAAAATAATCTCGTGAAAATGTTTTTCTGTTTCGGAAAATAACATTCACTATTTCAAAGGAGAAGAAGACGGATCTAATTAACTTTTTGGGATTAATATTCTGAATTTTGGCTTGAAAAGTTCTGTTTTTGAGAATATTTTAGGTTTCTTCAATTCGAACAAAACCGGTATCATGATTTTTCCGATGAAAACTCCAAAATGGTGATCTAAATTTGGAGTAAATTTTGAAATGTGGAAAAGCGGTAGATATGAAAATTTTTAATAATTTGAAATTTATTTGTAAAATAAAATTGTAAAATTGTTTTATTTTCTTGACCCTGATAAATTATGTGCTTGAAGATTTCAATATCATTTTCCCAGCAGTCAATTTTTATGGTCGGTACATTCAAGGTGTAGATTTGAAGTGTGAAGTACTCTTTCCGGGCACATTTTTGTTATTTGTAGTTCCGATATTGTTGCACATGGGAAGGTGGTTATAAAGCCACGCCCATTTTAGCAGTATAAAACTGGGGCTCAAGTAATGCATAAATCATAAAATTCTTAAAAATAATAAGAAGAACAATTTGAACAACTACCAATCATCTGAAATTCTAAAAATCTGATAATTGCGAGTATGTTCGAATAGTTCTTCTTATTATTTATATTCCTAGTTCTATTCATTTTTAATGAATATTAGAATCAGCTTGAAATTCTAGCAATCATCAAAAAATTAAGAAATGATAATTGCGAGTATGTTCGAGCAGATTTTATTGTTCACATTTTTTAAAACTTTTCGTTGGGATGTAAAAATTTCATTTGAAGTGAAGTTCACTATTTTTCAAATACAAAAAAAGAAAGAAGCACGAGTAAGAAAAAGGGAAATTAGATTTGAAGAGTTTCAAATTTTTCGTTGATATTTTCATCATTTTCATCATCAAATTCAATATTAATCGAATTTTGTGGTGCACGAACAAGTGTATTTTCTCTACAAGTTGATCCATCTAAACGAGTAATTTGTGGCAATAATCTCAATACTTTTCCACGATAACTATCATTTTCAGATATTGGATTGAAATCCAAATAAACCACATTTAAATGTGGCAAATTAGCCAATTCATCAAAAAGTGTCCAATCAGTCAATTTGTTACTTCTCGCCCAAAAATCAGTTAAACGATTCAAATGTTTGATATTTTCAACTTTTGCCAATCGATTTTGATTCAAATCTAATATTTCCAAATTATGATTATCCCCAAGTCCGCCAATATATTGAATTCCATTTTGAGCCAAATATATTTCTTTCATATTTGTTAATCCACCAACATTTTCAATTTGAGTAATTGCATTTGCAGGAAGACTTAAAACAGTCAAAGATTTCAAATGATCCACATTTTCAATTGTATAAATTTGATTTGCACCAAGGAACAATCTGAATTATTATTATTTTTTAAATTTCTGTTTTATTATTTACATACCTATCCAATTTCAAATTATTATCCAAATTTTCGATTTTCTTGATTCTATTATCTCCCAATTCCAAATATTCCAATTCTGTCAATTTTTCCAATCCTTCGATTTTTTCCAATTTGTTATGAACAAAGTACAAAGTTTTTAATTTTGTTAATTTGTCCAAATTTTCGATTTTAGCAATTCTATTGAATGATAAATCAAGGGTTTCCAAATTGACCAAAGAATCCAAATTTTCGACTTTTTCGATCTATTTACAAAAATATTTCAAAATCATAGAAATAACAAAAACTACAATATGTTAACTCACTTGATTATCATACAATTCGAGATAAGTCAAAGTTGTCAAACAATCCAAATTTTCAATTTTTTTGATAAGATTCCATCTGAATGAAATATGTTCGACTTTCGTCAACCATGAATAATCTTCAATTTTTTTGATACGATGTCTTGTCAAATCAACAAATTTCGAATCAGCAGCTATTTCCGTATATTCAATTTCTTCTTCAAATGCAACTGTTTCCACTTTTCTTTCACCATCTCGATCATCAATTGTTGTCACATTCATTTTTGATTTCTGGAGATTTTTTGCCAAAATACTAATCTACGTCGTGTTTTTCATTCTTTTTATAGTCATCAAACACGTGCAACGTTATTTTATTGATTTAAAAAATGATGTAAAATTTTTCTATTTTTTTGTCTTCAATTTCACATTACAATGATTTTTGAGGGTAAATAACATTTGTTTTATTTATGAATTTTTTCCCACACAACTGACCGAAAGTCACTTTAATCTACTAAAACGTCTTTTTTTTCCTCGAAACATATATAAATATCGAATTGCCTGTGAAATTCAATATTTGATGGAAATCTGAAACAAAGAATTGAGAGAAACAAAAAGTGTTTTTCTCGCTTCAAAGAACCGATTATGATTATTTTTCTCAAGTCAGTTTTCTCATGCGAGTTCAAGAGTTCTTTCGTCTTGTCTTCTTTTTTCTCGTGTTTTTCAAGTGCTCACATTTTAAAGTTTCAAGACACAGTTCTTTTTTGTTTCTGAAAATTCTATATTTTTTTTGCATGTTTCCGGGTTGGAAAAACAAATTTGTTTCATGTCAATTTTCAAAAAAAAAAGTACTCGAAACTCTCACTTAATGTAAACAAGAAATATATCTCTCATCACTTTTTTTGTTTCCTTTTTTCTTCATTTTTGTTCTCAAGAATTTTAATTCTATTTATGTATTTAAATTGCCTTCATTTGTGCTCTTTTTGAGGACATTTTTTGCAGTTTTTTTCTAAAAGAATAATGAGTAACAATATTACGAAAAATGAAACAATTCAAGAAATATGCCAATTGGTAAGTTGAAAAAATTCATTGTCAAAATAATTAATAATATTTCAGAACACTTTGATAGCGTTCTATGCTCCATATCAAATTGTTTATATAATTAATGTAATTATTTCAATATGCGCAATTTTCACAGGAATTGTTTTCATAAAAACTCATATTTGGCGTTCAACATTTCATCAGAATTTTAAGTTTTTATTATTTCTATATTTTTTGGCAGCAATTATGCATTCAATACTTTATTGTGTTTCCTATGTAAGTTTTGAATTTTAAAAGTATTTGTTTGGTTAAAAGTTTAACATTCTTATGTTCTAACTAAACATAAGTTCTTACATCAAAGTTCGAAAACAAAAATAATAAATTTTTCAGATTCTTTTAATCGAACGTTTATCAAATTTTCAATATGCATGTGATATAAATCTTCATCAAGAACCTTATAAAATAGTTCATTTTATGATTGCATCTTGTGTCTACAGTATTATGTTTATTCAATGTTTTATGGTTGTTGAAAGAGTTGTGGCAACTATTAAAGTAACAACATACGAATCAAATCACAAATCTTCGTTTTACTATTTTTTCTTCACATTTTTTGTGAGTTTACTGTAGTTTACAAAGCATTAAAATTCAAATTAAGTGTATAATTGTGCCAGTTTCATTCATTTGTTGGGCATATGAAGAAGCTGATTACTCTTATCCAGTTATTCATGCAATTAGTCCTCCAAAAGGATCTGATAACCGTTTGAATATTGTTTATATTATTGGATTTCTCACATCAATTTCTGCATTGTTAGTTTTGAAAATATTGAAGAGAATAAACAAATCACAAGAATCAAGGTATACTCAAAACCTTCAGAGTGTTTCTCTACATCTGATTTTTCAGAATCGAGTTTACATTATCTGGAAGATATCAAGCACTTGAAAATATTTATACAACAAAATTCACAACATGTATCCTTGTCAATAATATGCTTCTAGCGGCTGTTTATACTTTGGCGACTTTTATTCTTCGAAATTTTGAATTTGCCAAATTTTCTGATCCTTTGTATTCAACAGTGAAAGGAATATTTTATGTGAGTTTCTTTTTTTCTTGAAATGCTTATTGTGCTCCTTTTTCCAGCTTAATCCATTGTTTGCATTTTCTTTGCCATTAATAGCTAGTTGGCAGCTTTCGAAGATCAAACGAGAAAGATTACAAAAATCTGAAAAAATAATGGCATTGAAAACAAAAGGTCGTGAAGGTTCTGATGCGTACAATCAATTATTAAATGATCAATGGGCACAACATTTTTCAAAATGTTGAAACGTGACCTTAATTTTTCTAACGTTTTTTCCCGGTTAAAATCTGTCATTGTGAATAAATTAATTGTTATTATCTACTAGCCAAATGGCACAAAGTCGGTAAAAATACAGTAATCCAAAATTTAAAATTCCAATTTTCAGACGGTAATTATGAAAATTTAGCAACGGTTGCAGCGAATGTTAAAAAAGAAAGTGAAGATGTTGCAAGTGTTTTGAGTAATGTTATTGGAAAATGGTTTGGTTTGAAAGATATTGTCAAGGATTATATCGCATTCATCGGAGAATTGAAAAATTCTGCACTTGATTCTTTGATCGATCTTCAACCAACAGTTGAAAGAGCAAAAAAAGAATTCGAAATATTTATTGAAACAATGATTGAACATCGTTCAATTTCAACACCAAATGGTCTTCATATTGCTGAACTTTATATTTTGTCTTGCATTTTCATAATTGTTTCATGGGTTGGAACATTGATAGGTTTCTATTTCGCCGGTTCTGTTCTCTCAGTTTTCCTTTTGGATTTTGGTGCAATTCTTATGGCAGTTATTGTGATTCCTTTACTTGCATATTATTGGTTTAATGGGAATCTTTCACTTATCAAGAGACAATTTCTTGCTGCAACATTTATTTTTGAACAAGGAATTATATTTGGATATATCAATCAGAAACATTATCTTGATTCTCCTTATTTGTTTCTTACTCAAGCAGTAAGTCATTTTCAATATCATTGTTTTTTCCAAAGATTTGTTAAACGGGAATATTATATCCAGGTTGCCTCATTTGCATTTCCATTAGCTTTGGATCACTCATCAGAACGACCAAAAGTTCTTGGTACAGTTCTTGGTTCAACATTATTTGCACAAATATTAGCTGGTTTATGTCTTGGCCATCTTTCATTGGGTTTTCTTATTATTTCAATTCTTTATACTGCTCTTGCAATTGCACTTATTCAATTCACACTTGGATATCGTCAAAGAATCGATTTTGATGATGTATTTGTATCAATGCATTATGTATTCATTCTTGCCACATTCAAATCAATTGGTTTGTGTTTATTTGGATTAACTTCGGATCAATATAGTAGCCAACATTGAATATTTTAATAAAATGATTTTATTGAAGTTAATGAGATTATTATTGTAATTAATATTATGTACTTATTATTTAAATTATTTGAACTTGAAGGAGTAGGTTTGTTATACTTTAGACCTGTAATTGCGTCAAAATTGAAAATGCGCACCATTTTGTCCCAAAACGTGAAGTCATCTTTGAAAAGATCTGCAATTTTTGTTTTATTTTTCTGAATACAATTCTGAAATTTTCTTACCATATTGGATTGTAACATTTGGAGTTATTCTAACATGCCTCAAATCATTATTTGTAACTGGCCAACTAAAATTATTTGTTGATGGATTTCCCGTAATAATAAATTGTACAAGAGCTTCAACCATGAATCTCCCAACAATATGATCATCTTCGTCCAATTCGAATTCGACATCTTCATAAGTTCCCCAAACAAACGGAAACTCATTACAATGATAACTCGATTTCAGTGGAAAATCTTTAGCAAACTGATTTTTACTGAAATGTTCAAAATGGTAAACATATATGTTTGGAGAGAATTCGAGTTTTTGTATGATTTCTCGTAGAACTGCGATATCGAACATTGCATTGGATTGAATCTGTAATTGTTTGAATTTACCTTCGAATTGTTGGAAATAATTGTACCTTTGTTTTTTGTCTCATATAATATACATAATCATTATCAGAAGTTTGTCCAGGCGGAATAAAATATTCAACAAGATCAGCAAATGCGGTCACAGAATCTAATCCATAATACCTAGCAAAAGAAGAATTGATATATTCGATTACTGTATCTCTATCAACATTTTTGAATTCAGCAGGATCAGAATCAAGATAAGCTAAAATTTAAAATAATTTTCCAAAAAAATTCAAGAAATTCTTACTGAAGTAAAGAGCTTCTAAAGTTTGAAGACCCGTGAAAAGATTTTGGCCCTTTGTTTCATTTGATAAAAACACTGGATGTTTTGGCATAATTTCATCTCCGAAAGCAGGCCAAACATGTCTACCAACTTGAGCTGTATATAATTCATCAAGTGTTTTATCTTTGATACATGTTACGATATTTGTTAAATTACAGTTGAGATCTCGAATTATTCTGGAAACAAATATGTTAGTTGTTTTCCCAGAAAATAAAAAACCTTACTCAACAGATAATGGATAATTATCCCGATTATCAGATCCAAGAGTGAACGATGATCCACTTAATTCAATATAATTTATGAAAAACTTTGAAGTTAGTGGTGAATGTGAATGAATACTAACAGCTACAGATCCTGCACTATGTCCCCATAATGTCATATTTTTTGGATTTCCTCCAAATGATTCAATTGTCTGATTAATAAATTGAAATGCTGTGTAATGATCCCATAATCCGAGATTACATTGAAGAACTGTTGAATTACAACCTAATGTTAAAAATCCAAGTGCTCCAACTCGATATTGAAATGTTACAACAACAATTCCCCGTTTCACAAATCTTGTCATAAATCCATTTGCTTGTTTTTCATCAACACTTCCTTTTTCAAAACCCCCACCATAAATAAAAACGGCCACTGGAAGTTTTGAACTATTTTTCTGGAAATAAAATTGTTGAAAAAAGTTAATATACGAAAGAATCAACAAACATCTCTATCAGCTGGTGTAAATATATTCATGAGAAGACAATCTTCACTATATCTATCAGGATGTTCTGGTCTTCTAGCTTTTATACATTTTGGACCATAATCAGTTGCATTTACAATTCCTTCCCATCGATTGATCACTTTTGATTTGACAAGTCGATCCGGTTGATTAGCATATCTCAAACCATGAAATGAATCAACATTATCAAATTGTCGTAATCCTCGAATCCATCCAAATTTTGATTGAAGTAGAACATCTTGTTGAAATGTGAAATTGATTAAAATTAGTAGAGATAAATATAAAAACATGCTGAAATGATTGAATTCGAATCAATTGAATGACTTTTATACATCGATGAAACTACGTTGATCAAACATGAAAACATTTACATATTTTTTTATGTTATGGACTAGATTCAAATTTTCAGAGTGAAAGGGAATAAAAAAATAATCACGTCAACTGGGGAATTAGAATAAATCAACCGAAGATTGATTCAAATTCGCGAACGTTTTTTTTCAGAGAACATTGTACTTTAAACAATGTTAATATTCAAATTCCCGAATTTTCATAGCAAAACCCCTTGTCCTGAATTACTGTGGAACAAATTTTGGCACTAGAATACTAGTATTACTGTAGGTAAATTTTAGGTGTGCCAGATTATCGACGTTTTTTGAATTTTGGATCTTTCAGTTGGTGAATTATGAAAATACAAATTTCAATATTTACGTCGTTTTACGAGATGTTCAATTTTTTGATTTTGTGCTTAAATTTTCCAGGAACATAAAATTTCAACTATAAAAAATTGTGACCCTTTTCTTTTCTGAAATTCTTCGGAGTTCTTTTAGTCCATAAAAATCCACACAAAATGTCTAGACATTCGTGTTTTTTTCTTACCCGAGTATAATTTTCAGTAAGCACGAAACTTTTTAACAAAAAAAAAATTCAAAAAAACAAAAAATGAAAAATTTATAGCCAACAAAACAATATTGAAATTAATAACAATATTTTAAATCCAACTAGTTTTTCATGCGAACATTGGAAAAAAACAAAGAAATAAAACATATGTGCTCTTCGATAACATTTTCTCGTCCAAAGTTGATTGGGTGATATGACAATTAATGAATCTGGTGATAAGAACAAATTGGTTGATGATAAATCAAAGGAGAAGCTGGCTGAAAATAATATCATTTTCTGGAAAATAATATTAGTTTTTTTTGGAAAAAAAGGAGAGGAGAAAAAGGAAAATGTCATGGTTTCAAATTGGCTCAATTATAAAATGGGCTGATTAAAATATTCGTTCTCCTCTCTCGAAGTTAGTTGCTTCAAGTAATTGCATTCAAGAATATTTCGACCCGAAATATAAATCTTTTCGAGGTTCTCAGAAAACTAGGAGGATTTTTTTTTAGAAATTCATTTCATCCCGAAAAATATTTTTTACATAAAAATGTTTAGTGGTTTAATTTTCTCGAAAATTATAAACTTCAATATTTTCTTATTCTTGCTTGTTTTCTCTTTCAACACATGATTAAATCATTCTGGGAAAGTGCATTTTTTCGCTTTCTCTCCATCTCTTTATTATAATTTTTCTCGAGATATAAATTTTCTCTGGAAAAAATTGTTTTTTTTTTCGGTCTGTGCAAAAAGGATGGAATAAACAAATAAATAGGATTTAATCTAAACATTCATTTTGTGCTCATTAAAGCCTTCTTTTCTCAATTTTTCTTTTTTTTATTTCGAAATGAAAAGAAAGGCTGCAATTTTAAATCGGAAATGTCACCTTCATTTCCCTTCTATTTCGCCTTTTTCTTCTATTTCACTTGTGTATTTTTTCTTCGATTCGAAGAAGTTCAATGAACTTTTCCTATTTTTTCTCAAACATGTGGACGATAAATCAAAAATAAAACAGACACAAAAAAATCAGTGATTGAAATTTATTGATGAATTTTTTTCGTGTACTTTTGTTCTCTTTCGAAATTACATTTTTAGTCATTTTCCATCACAAAAAATATGAGCGATACCAAAAATACATTTTTTTTTCTCCTACGTTTTTTTTCTTCTAGAATTATAGTTTTGTGGCGTTCTCGTCTAAAATTCGATGAATAATGAATACTTATTTTTTGAGATCTTTAGTTCTTTCCATTTTTAGAAAGATACAATTTTGTGTTTCTGAGAGTTTCTCAATTTTCCTTCTTCTTTTTTCTTTTTTTTTTGTTTTCTTTTGTTTTTGTGCAGTCAAAAAGAACCAATTTTCGGATGCATTTTAAATCGACTGAATTCGTTTTATTATTTTTTGTGTTTGTGCTTTTTTTTCGGCCGGCGGCTTTTCAAACTTTTATTTCATTTTTTTCGCGCAGATTTCGATTTCTGTCTCTTCTAAGAATAGTAATGTTCAAAATCCGTTTTGAGATTAACTAGTAATCTAATCTCATATACATTATCATCAAAAATGTTCTCTTTTTTCTTTTTCTCAAAAAATCTTTCTTCTTCTTTTTTTCTAGAAAAACTGAAAAGATTAGAGGTTTCACATACATATACATTGGCGAAATTGAATCATTTTATTATTCAGAAGCAGCTCTTGCGCGCGGCTGAAAAAAAAGATTGGATTAGCTAATGAAATTTTTCCTTCTTTCGGGATTATTTGCTTTTGCGAATGAATGACACGTCGAAATTTTCGGAAATTTTTCGTTGATGTTGGTCTCCATGAAATTATTTTTTTTTCAATGGGAAATCAAACTTAGCTTAGATTTTTTATGTTCTTATAATTCTCAAAAAGAATGTTTCAAATTCAATTTTTTCAACCAAAATACAGTTATTCGCCAGGGGTACTGTATTCCAAACACAATTAGATATTTTGAAAGAAGTATTTTGTTCGGAAATGTTCATTTTTCATTATTCGCTCTGAAGTATTTATTATGTTTTCGGTTACAGTACTTTTTAAAAAAAATTTCGATTTAATTTTGATTGTTCTATTCATAAAAGGTGTTTGAAGATTCAAAATTTGAAAAATATTTTTCCAGTCAGAAAATATTATAACACAATAATCCTTCTATAGATACTTCAATCCATTTTTTGGATGAAAAAATGCTGCACCTCGAAAAGTCTCTGCACAAAATCAGAGATCTTCAGAGATCATTTGAAGAAACAAAAATCTATACTTTCTCCAATTTCAGTTACTGTACTTCTCTGAAAATTCCACAAAGTTGCGCACTTCTAAATTGTTGCAATTTATTATTTTCTAGTCCATATTCTTTATATTTTTCCAAAGTATCTTCCTCTATCTAGTATAATAGTTTTTCTTTTAATTAGAGGGAGTTGTCATCATCAGAAAAAATATATTTATCCGTATTTTTCATTTGAGATGTATATTATTTTTTTGTACACTCACATTTTCTTCTTCTAATCCTATTTTTTGTACTATCCAACTATAAAAATATGTAGTTTTAGCTTCTTATTTTCTCTATCGACAGTTTATATCACAGATGATATGTTTTTGATTTCATGAATCTTGTGACTAATAATAATTTTTATTAGGTAATGAAATTTGAAATAATTTGTATGTAATGAAAAATTTCGAATTTAGTCATGAAGAAAATTGAAGATGTGTCAGCTTGTACCGGTTGTTCTTTGATTTTATATATATATAAATCTGAAAATAATATAAAAATCATTTATTCTCTTGTTACTTTTTTTTGCATATATTCGTTAGTCTTTGAAGGCTGAAAATAATAAGCAATTTAAGTCACTCATCTTCTTCGTTTTTTCCCTTCTCCTTTTCTATTTCTTTTTTTTCTCCTTCAAATTATTCACACTTTTTCCTTCATTTTTCTTCTTCGTTTTCCTTCATTTATTTTTCTTCTACGGATTTTCGTTTAGTTCTAGAACTTTTTTCCAATTATTTTTTCTTCACAGAAGAAAATAATAGTTTCGCTTATTATTTTTTAAGCTTTATTAGTGGCAGGAAGTTAGCATAATTTAAAAGAGCAAAAGTACGTTTCTTTCTAAATATCTGATTCATAATAATATTTTGAATTTTGCAAATGAAGAAAGAAAAAAACGCACAAAAAAAATGAAAAAATGAAAAATAAATAAATAAAAATTGTTAATTTCGTTGCGTGACCCATTAAGCGAACACGTTGTGTGTTTCTTTATTTGTTATTTATTTTCTTTTTTTTTCGAAAAATGAACGCACTTTCTATTCGCTACGCCTAAAATGGATTATTGGGATTTCAAGAATGAATATTCGGTAAGTTTAAATTTTTCCCTAGAAAAGTAATAACCATTTTTCAAAAACGTTACAAAAAATTTGCAAAACTTCTGTTTTCCCCGACTTCCTACTTCCTTTTCTCATTTCATTTTTTCATGATGAATGTTCGAAATGTAATATTAAATTGTGCAGTTCAGTTCGAACTAAACGAGGTTCAGCTGTTTGTTTTTTTGTCGAATTCAAATTCTCATTTTTACTCACATTAAGTTCAGAGCGGATGCAAATTTCATCTGGAAATATTTAGCAACATTATTTCACGCATCGTGTAAAGCGACGATGTTTTATTTATTTGTATGTATGTCAACTTGTTCATTTTATTTTGAAAAATTGTGCACATTCTCTTTTTTTTTCGAAAAAAGAGCATTTCCTGTGAGAAAAATGCTCTCGAGCCTACTGCCATTTCTCTGCGTCTCTCGACTCGATACGTCATTTTGTAAGCTTCTAAAAATGGAGAAAAAAAGTTGAACGACGTTCAACAAGTCTTCTTGTTCTACTTTTACTTGCTTTTTTTCTTGATTTTTTTGTTGCATAGTTTTTTCTCGTTGGAAACTTTACTGTTCGAAAAAAAAAGCAATATTTATTCCAACGTAGCAATATTTCATTTTATTTATAACTAATTCTGTTATCGATTTTTATCTATTTTTCCGGGAGTATTAATTTCAGAAATAACAATTTTGTTTTCTCTGAGTTTGGAAATTTTGTGTGAAGCCCTTCTAATCCTCTGAAACAGGCGATTAGCCGAGCTGAAATAATTCACCTGCTCTTTTTTGTCTTCTTCTATATTTTTTTCGATTTTTCCATAACGATTTTTTTTTGTATTTTTTCCCATATTTTATTTGATATTTTGACTTCCGTCTTTTTCTTATCAATAATAATTTCTTTTCACCCGCTTTTTTTCCCGTTGTTACCTTTTCCAGCAAGCGAAAAACTACAATTTTTCCAAAAACGAATTATTTTATTCGATCATAAAAGTAGGGTAATTCAATTTCCGAATCACTATAAAACATAGATTGGCTCAATAATTATTATGCTGGACGGCGACACAGCTGAAATTATATTTTTATTTATTTATTTATCTAATTTTGTTCGTGCCAGTACCTATTTTTTCAGAAAGAAAAAATGTTATATATTTATTTTCTAGAATAATAATAATATCCTTTTTTCTCATATTCTATCGAATTCTTTCTGTTTCATGCTTCTGCTTCTGCTGAAAAGTTCATAATCATCTAATAATATACAAATGTATAATGATATATATTTAGTGCTCGTTATAATCCATTCTTATCCCTCTTTTTTTCATTTTATTTTTCGTTTCTTTTACATTTTTTTCATTTTTTCAGAATTTTCGTTCTCATCAAACTGGAGTCGAACACATATCGTACATCGAATTATGAAATCACATATACATCATCGATTTCGAGAAATAATAATACAACATCTTCTGCAACGTCATCAAATGCTTCAACAAGTTTCGGAAGTATGCTGAATCCATTAAGAGGATTGTATGTTACTTTTTTCTTCAAAATTTGAATTACAAATAAAATTGGAAATTAATTTTCAGCAGCGGAATGGCAGCAACTTTGGCTCCACTTCGAAAAGTTTCCGAATCTGAAGAAGATGAAGATGAAGAAGAAGATGATGATGAACCAGATGAAGTCGAACAATTTGAGAAGAAAATATATTTTCCAAATGGAATCAGGTTAGTTTTTGAAATTGTATTATTTGTGTTGCACCTGTCTTCATTATTTTTCTCTATAAGTTCGTTTTTGTTATTTAGTTTCTTCATGAGAATCTAATAATTCATGCGTAGGCCTTCGAAAAATAATAATTTCAAATTATTCTAGTTGAGAGCGTTGGGAATTTTTTGATTCAAAAAATCGAAAAAAATATTGTGAACTCTTGGAAATAAGAGAACAACAACACAATTCTAACAAGACCTATAATTTTAGATTCATTTTGTAATGATCAATCACATTTTTTTGATTCGGATATTTTTTCTTTTTTTCACAAATGAGAAATTGAATAAATTATAAGTCTCCAACTTTTTTTTTCAATTCAAAAATTTGAATTTCTCTGTCTGAATTTTGAGAATTTCATAGTGAAAATCAACAGTTTACTGTAGAAATTTGGTGCTAGAATATGTTTTCAAGAAATTTCAGCCGTGGTTTGTATCAGTAAATTAAAATGTATACAGTTTTTGAGCAACACTCTAAAACTGTCATTTTTAATTTCACTTTCAATTTATCATTTTATTTTGTCTATAGAAAATATCAAACTTACGAAATCAGCAACAGAGAACGCTTTTTGTTTATGCTTTTTTGAAATTTTCTGAAAAATAGTTGTTTTTATCATTTTAAAAATGATAATATTCGTGTGAAAACCCTCCATTTTCCTCTAATTCTTCTTTTCTTTCATTTTTCTTCTCCTTTTCACAAATATTTTTTCGCAATGTAAATATCGACGTCAACCGAAAAATCATTTTTTTTTTCAATTTTTTTCTTCTGTTCGTTTTCTGTTCGAAATTGACAAAAAACGCTCTAGTGGTTGCGGGTTATACTCTTGTTCATCTCATCATAAATATACACTCAAAACTTTGCCAATTTTTCTCTAAACTCTCTTGAAATATAAAGTATTCTCGACTGAAAACAACCGGTTTTTTTTTCGAATTTTGTGCGCAACAATTTTTTATTGTTCAATCGGTTGTTCTGTTCTATTTTGAAATCGAGAATAAAACTTTTTGGTTTTTTAAAATTCTTTTGGAAAAAAATATTTCAGAAAAATTTCGAAATTCTTTATAACTCTTCCGTGCTGACATGAGTAACTAATTCATCATGCAGTTCGGAATTTCTAAAAAAAAAGAAAGTTTTTTCTTCTTACCGAACCCCAAAATATTATGTGTTTGCTCTTATCTTTTTCGATTATCTATTTTTTTGCTTGCCAGATAGAAAAAAAGACAAAAAACTCTAAATTTTTGAGGATAGCAAAAAAAAACGGATATTTTCTTTTATTCTTTTGTTTTATCCGAATTGACCCGACCAAACAAAAAATGAGAGTAATTTAGCGATTGTTTAGAAATACAACCTTTTATAAACATAGATTTCCGCCCGTTTAGTTTAGTTTATTTTGTTCCAAATACTGTGTTATTATGTTTCCAAGTACTTTAAAATCTGCTCCCTTTATATTTTTCAAATTTTTCTTTGTTTTTTGATTTTTTAATGGAAAAAAATTAAACAATTACAAAAATGACTGATTATTTGCACAAACGAATTTCATAAATTTCTCATAAATATCGATTTTGTCGTCTGTTTGGTGACAAAAAATTCTCATATATTATTTACATTTCAAATACAAATAATGGCATTTTTTTGTCGTTTTGTGTAAACTATTTTTTTTCCTGGATGCGATGTTCGAATAGGTCAAATCTTTGCCTGCAAAATTTCATCACATTGATTTATTTATTTTTGAAAAATAAATCAATGTGATGAAGTTATGGTTTCGTAATTGCGTAGATTTTGAAGAATTGGTTTACTGATTTATAATGTTAAATGTTTAATGAATCGAGAATAAGTTATTTTTATTAAGAAAAAAAGTAAACCGGTTGGAAATTTTTTTCTAGAAATTCAAAAAAAATTGAAACGGCCACGTCACTTTTTTTGAGGGAATTAGTGTGTGAATTGGACCTCAAATCTGAATTGATCTTCTTGATTTTAGGGTGTTTTAGTTGGACCACCAAATATAATCAGATCGAGCTAATATGCCTCAAATATAATAATTTTGGACCCGTTCTGAAAAATTCACATATTCGTTCAATTTTCTTTATGTTGGAGCATAAAATGTGTTCCACATGTTTTTTTTTTGAAAATCCTCCAAGCACATTTTATTTTGCGAAAAAAATGTCCTTGAATTTTTTTTGGCTGATGTTTTCTTTCTTATAAAGATTTTTTTCGGTCTTCCCCCCGACCTCTACGAATTAGTGAATAACCCAAGGACGTGTACGAATTTTAAGTAGTTTTTCTCTGTTTTTTCGAGGAATAAGAACATATTTTTTTGTTGTTATTTATTTTTTCTTACAAAACTAATACTCATTGTTTGAATGAAAATCTTATGTACAATCGTTTTTTTTTAGTTTTTTTCTGTGTTGAATAATGTTTAGAGACGACTGATAAGATAAATTCTACATTTTTCTATTGTTAGTTTCTCATTTTCTTTTTACTTTTTTCTGGAACAAACAATTTTCGAAATCTTCTTTTTCCTATGTTTTTTTTTCTTCGCCGATAACCATAAAAAATGTCTGACTAGCAAAAAAGGAAAAAACAAAGCACATAAAAAAGACCCATAATATCTGAGATCTAAATTTTTTTAATGGTTGGCAATTTATGTGCACTTTTTTGCTGGTAAAAATAAAGACTATAAATTAGTTTTGTTGTCTATTTATTTTGATGGAGACAAGATATATACTTGAGAACATCGGAAAATTTGAAGGTCTTTCTAAATTTTTTGTTGTTGTCTTTTGGTTTGTTGAGAAATTCTTGGGAACTCATAAAGTCGCAGAACGGAACCTTTTTGGGGAAAAAATCTAGAAAGATAGATTACAAATCCAAAAATTTTGCAATTTCAAAAATTCTAGTGATTTTTTTTTGAGACAAATATAGTGTAGAATTTTCAGATTTTTGAGTCCACAAAACATTTTCAAAGCTTTTGTATTTATTGTTCAAAATCCAAACATTTTCTTTGAAGATGAGATGATTTTTCAATTCCCAATTCTCATCGGGTTGAAAATATTTCGTGCGATCAGATAAAAACGGGAAGTTTTATTGTCTTTTTTAACGAACTTTCTTTTTTATTTCTCCTCCGGGCGGCAGCTTGGCAAAATTTTAGTGCGGTTTTTTTTTGAATTTCGAGATATTTAATTCGCTCATAATAATTTTTGAATACCATTTCCCCTTGTGTGAGAAAAAACGGAAAATACCCAATAGATAGATAGATATATGCATAGTTGGAGCGGAAGTTTTTCAAAAGAAGGCAACGGAAATTGTGGGTTTTTTCTTTCGTTTTTTTCTTCTTCTCTTTTTTTTCCCAACCAACTTTTTTGTCCCTTTTTTCCTTTTTTTACTACTATTCTACATTACTATGTACAACTTTAACTCTTTCTACTTTTTTGTGCAAAAAAAAACTCATAAAAACTTCACCTGTTTTTTATTATTCATTTTCATCTTTCAAAAATAGAAAAATTTATATTAATGAGATTTTCGTTCGTTCGTTCGTCTCACATAGAATTTTTATTTGTTTCCGTATGTTCCATATGGTGGATTGGTGTAGTCATATGGTGAAGGAAAGAAAGAAAAGAGTCGTCAGGGGACTAAAATACACTTGGAAAATAAGAAATAGAAGATCTTAAACAAATATAATTATAGTTTATTGTTGGGTTTTGGATCGGATTAAAATCACTTTTTTGACCTAACAGAGGTTACGGATTTATAGAAATAGGGGAATTTTGTATCAAAAATTATTTGAAATTGGTGAATCAAAAAAATTGATTTTCACAATTTTTTTCACAACCTTAAATTCAGGTCGAAATTTTTTCACACTGTCCGTTTCCCCTCATTTTCAGACGAAATCAGGGCGAAGTTTCTCTGTATCAGATTCCGGAATTAGTTATGTCTGTCTTCGATTTGTTGGAATTATTTTCAAAGCATAGAATGTTTCTAAATTCTCACGAATCCATCCAATTTCCAATTCGGATTGTCCTAATTCAAAATTCAACATTATTTTGTTTATTTATTTATTCCAAAAATTCCTTGTTTTTTTCTTGGTTTCTATGGATACGGTACCATTGTGTTCTTTTTTTGTTGTTACACGAAGTTAACACAAAATGAATGAATAATTGGATTAATTTTCAGTTGAGAATAATAAAATGCATGGTTGATATCTATGTTTTGAATTCTAAACATCTATCTATATTTTTTTTCGTTCTATCCTTCAATTTTATTTATTCATTCATTCAATCTATCTATCTATTCATTCTGCTCCAATTACATTGGTGTATGGCGAAAGAGAGCAGAAAATAAAAAGAAGGGAAAAGAAACGAGAGACACACGCCAAACACCCCACCAAATGTATGGCAAAAAATAGACGCAGACATAATCTATTCTCAAGTGTCAGAGACGGAGACTTTATTTATTTCTTCTAAAAACACTCGATTTTTTCTATTTTTCTGTATTTTTAAAATACTTGAATTATTTTCCGAATCCTTTACTTAAAAACCAATTTTTTTCCAAATACCCGAATCGAATTTTTGTTTATTTATTTATCGATTTTTTTCTTTCTCTCATTTTTTTGCGAAATTTCTTCTTTTTTGGTTTCGTTCTTTTTTTTCGTGTGTATGTCGTGTTTGTTACGCTGGAAATTCATTGATTTTCAATGAACTTTTATGGAATCAGAAAATGTTTATTGATTAGAAGAAAAAAGGAAATTGGTTTTTGGTTTCCTGGAAAAAATGGTTCGAAAAAAGTTTCATACAAAATTGTTGCTACTTTCTCAATAAATAAAATGAAACGAAACAATATTGTTTGAGAAATGAAAAAAAATCGAATTGTTTTTTTTTTTTGAAAATGCAGTTTCCACGTGAATAAAAAAGTTTGATAACAGTTTGTTATATGAAAATGCCAAAATAATCTAACTTATTTTTAGAATACGAATATTTCTTAAGAAGTTCCGGAAAATTTAAAATCCTTGCAATTCTATAAAAACCAATCTACTTCTGTATTTAGTATGATTCCCAAAAAATAATCTTCTTCCAAGTAGTATTTTTTATTACACATAGTAAGTTTCTTTCCGTTTATTTTATGATGACCTAACCTGTCATAAATATATATTATTAATATGACTTTCTACAATCTCGCCACCAGAGAAAATATGCTTAATTGACATGTTCTTCTTGTTTTTCCGCTCTTGTATTATGTTAAGTATATACCAGCCCAAAAATGCACCTGTCCATGTTTTTCTTTTCTTTTTGCTTGCTCATACAAAATATCTACTTATTCATTTTTGCGAGTGCATTTGGTTATATATTATTTTTAATATGATACCGGATTCCCCTAATCCTTCTTTGAATATTCATTAACTCAGAAGACGAGGAGAACTCGAAAATAATCAATTTTTCGTTCATTTTAACCAACCAGCTGTCGGGTTCATCAAACTTGATGGATTTTTAATTCGTTTTTTTTAGATAGCTCTTCCTTTTTTCTGAAGAACATTTCTCACGAATTTTTTCTTTGATGATAAAACAAAAGAAATAAAAATAAATAAATGTGCATTCTAAAATATTTCTTTTTTTCTCTCTTTTTTCTTCCCACCACAAAAACCACCTTCTTTCTGCTATTTTTGTCGATCAAATGAATAATGTATGTATATTCTAATATTACATAGCATTCTTCTTCTATTCTCCGTTTTTCTTTAAAAAAATATTGACGAGCTCTTTTGTTAGAAGCAACAAAAAAAAGAACGAGCAACAACACAACAAAAAAATGGCGTGTCTTTGTCTCTCGATTTTATATTCTGTTTTTTTCGTCTTCGTTTTTTTTCGCATGTCCCAAATAAGCCTCAATTTTCTCTTTTTTTCCGCGTTTTTTTGTGCAGCGCCTCTGACATTTCATCTTTTATATATATTTTCTTGGATGAACTTTTTCGTTTTTTATCTTGCCCGCGGCAGGTTTTATTAGAAATTTTCGAGTTTCGAAAGAGTCCACGATTTTTTGAGTCATTTTGTAAACAAATTTTCCAAAAGTTTAGCTGTCAAAACTAAACCACTGTGTTTTTTACCTAGAAAAAACTTGAAAAAAGCTAATTTGTAATAAGATATTTCTGTATGAAATTCAATCTTTTCCTTGGCCAAACATGTTACTTACTTCGTTTTTTCTCTGCTTCCACATAGATATTTATGTTCTATTTTTTTTGTTCCATGTTCCAACCTTCTTTTTTTTTGCAGACCGCACATAATTCGAAAATCTCCACTTGTCAGCGGTCTGACATCTTGTTCTTCATCAAATAATACAAATTGTTCGACTTCGACATCAATTTCAAAATCGAGGAACGAGCAAAAAATAGTTGTAGAATCAAGAGACTTGAAGTCAGTGAAAAATAGATTATCAAATATTTCGGAGAACGTGAGTTTTTGTTGTTGTTTTCTTGGGGGACTAGAAATTGCGGAACTAGAAACCAACTCGGCCACACATTTTTAATTTTTATTTTTTGAAAAAAAAAAGTTTTTTATTGAGAAAAGAACTCGTTCGAATTAGGTTAATTTATTTGAAAAATGTTCATGAAAAAATATTCTTTGAATGTTATTGTTTGTTGCATTTTTCTTGTCTTTTGCATCCATCTCATTTTGAGAGCAGCAAAAACCTAATTAATTATATTTTCTCCCTTTTCTCGATTAGTTTTCCGCTCGCTCGGCTCTTGAAAAAGCTTCTTTCTCCTTCTTCTTCCTCCTCCCCGTTTTACGCGCATCTCATATGAATAAATTAGTATTCATAAACAATTTATGAAAATGAAAATTGTCAATTTCACAAAATATTCTAATTTTGTATAATATTGTTATTTGCAGGTAAATGCTCCTCGTCTAAATTCGATGGAGGGCCTTCCCCTCAGTCAAAGTCGACAATCTGATGATTTCGGCACATTTACAACAGCACTGTTAGAACCGCCCTCATCTAATCATCACGATGTTATGTCGATGGAAATGCAACAAATGGGCGGATATTTAGATCCGAATAGTTTTGGTGGATCATCACGTGGAACTGCTGGAAGTTCGTCGATGGATTATGATGATTTTGGTATGGTTTTTTGTTGAAATTTTGAAAAAAAATATTCTGAAAAAGCTTCAGATCCATTTTTGTGTTCTTTGAAATAAGTTCAATGTTTTTTTCAGGTCAATCGAGTTCTATGTATGATATGCAACATGATTCATTTGATGAATCTACCAAATTTTCATCACATTCGAATAATTCAACGAATGATATGAAATATGAGATTCGATATGAACCCCAACCGCAACAGCAACATCAGCAGCAAATTCAACAACAACCACAACATCATATTCAATCAATAGCCTTGCAATCACATCAGCAACCATCTCAAATACCACAACAACATTTACATCAAACGCATACAATTCAACGAACTTTTGTACCAGCTTATCCTGTCAAAACTGTTGATCCATTATCACATTATGGACAAGGAATGAGAAATGTTGCACAGTAAGTTTTGTTTTCAAAAATGAATTTTTTTTTCCAATAGTTTAAAAAAAAACTGAAATATTTTCCAGTCTTCCACCAAATGCTGCTATTCCAAAAAGAAAATCTGGTGGAGCACGATCGACGGCGCATAAAAAACCAGAGCCAGTTGATCCGCTACGTGTTGAATTTGAAGTTGCGAGAAATGTTTCGCAGATTTTGTCAGCTACAAAACAACAGAAATTGGCAGCAGAAGCACAGCAAAAGTGAGTTATTTTTGTGATAATTAAAAAAAACATTGTTTTTCTTCTTATAGAACTGGGCTGCCTCCTGCACCTCTTCCACAAATTCGAGCAAATTTCCCATGCCCGAATTGTAATCGGCAAATGTCAAATGCTAGAAATTTACAAAGGCATCGACAAACTTGTCCACCAACGTCGCTAAATCCGTCGATGCCTCCCCCAATGACCCCAGTCACACCAACACCTTCTTCGCCAGCACATACACCAACACATTTTCAATTTCAACAATCATCAACATCTGTGAATTCGGCAACAACTACAACAACCACAATGTATACGGTAACAACATCAAATAATTCGAATCAACAAAGTTCGTCGTCGAATTTTTATGACTTCAAAATCACTGATGATATAACATATTCTGATTGGTCAAGAAGTGATAGTTATTCTGGTCCACATTCTGTATCAGCTGATCCTGAATTTACTGAAGCTTTAGCTTTTACGGAACAATTGAGAATGGATCCAAATGAGAAAAGAGAAGAAATTAATACACTTGATCCAAATCCACAAATGTGAGTTGAAAACATTATTTTTATTTTCAAAAATAAATTATTTTTGTTTTAGGAGTATGCAAATGGGAATTGATGCCGAACTTGGTATGCCCCTTTCACTTGATTGTGATGAACCAATTGCTCATTCTTCATCAACTTCAATGTCTTCGAATTCACAAGGAACACCTCAAAATTATCAATGTGAATCTTGTAAAAAGGCAGTTTCTTCGATTCGAAGTTTGAAAAGACATCATACAACTTGTAAACAATATGTGGCTGAATATGGAATATCACCTGAAGAGTTAGTTTTTATTTTCCATATTAATAGATATTATTTTTTGAATTGAGTTTTATTAGATGTTGTGATGTTCATGTGTTTTTATTGTGTATTTCAGATCAACATGCACAACAAATCCACAATTAATCACGAATAGTACGGGTAAAACTGTTCGAAAGAATAAAGTGATGAAACGACCTCTGTTATTAGATGAAGAAGAAGTTCAGGAAAAACTACCAATGGGTGGACGGGTTTTGGTGACAAAAGTGACGGGTACAATGACACCGATGAGACAAATGTTACCGGCTGTATTACGGATACATCATACAATGGAACCAACGGGAAAAAGTGCGCTGATTGAGGCATTGAAATCTGATGGACCTGTGAAACAACAAATTGTTCCCAATCCTTATCAGTCACAATCGCAACCTCAAACTCCACAACCACAATTTCAACAGCCATATAATTATTATCCGCAACCACAGTCTCAACCCCAACAACAATATCAAATTGTACATAATCCGTACCCTCAACAACAACAACAACAACATTCAAATCCGAATCCAAATCCTAATCCCCAACCTCAACCATCAACGTCAGGACTTCCACCAATAACAGCGTCACCCTGGTTTTCATCAATGCCTAATGCATCCTCGTCCTCCACTCTTTCTTCCTCAGTTGTTGTCGCTGAAAATTCTAGTGATTGTGATTGTGGTGGTGTAAAGTGTAAAGAGAATTGTGATGGGTACATTTCATTTTTTTTTCTGAATTTTTTCCATAATTCATTTATTGTTTTCAGTCTCCCGAAAAGTGGATTAGCTGCAAATACGTGTGAAGATTGCTCAAGACAATTGTGTTCGGCTAGCAATTTGAAACGACATCGCGCAACTTGTAAAATGGCGATTCAGAGGTATTTTTAATCTGGAACTTGAACTTTTTTGGAAAAAATTATTATCGAAAAGATTTGAAAATTTAGTTCAAAAAAATTTTTTTTTGAAAAATCATTTTTCCGAGCAGACAAAACTTCTTGTATTTTTTGTCACAATATTTTTTCACCAACCTCGTTTTTAAGGTTATGTGGATCTTCGTCATCAACATCTCAACCAACCACACCTCAAACACCGAGTCAAATGTCATTACTTCAAGTGCCTCCACAATCTGCGCCACCTCAAACATCGACAACAACATCTATAAAACCAGCAGTTGTTCTAACTCCGCAACCAACAACAGCTACAGTAACCTATACAAAAGTGAACGGTGTTGGTGGAACAACTGCGTGGAGTGCTGAAAAAGCGTTGACATCGCCAAGAATCAAAACATTGGCTCCGCCACAAATTATGCAAGTGAATAATATTCCTCCTCCTCCTCCTCAACAGCAGCAGCAACAACAGATGCAACAACAAGCTCTTCCGCCACCATCTTCAAATATTCAACCAATTCAACCTCCTCCACAATCTCTGATTCCTGCTCCTTCACCTGCTCCAATTTCTGCTCCACCATCCAATATTCAACCATCTCAACCACTTCCACCAACATCTTCTTCTTCATCTTCATCCTCGTCTTCTTCAATGCCACAACCTCCAATCACACCGAATTCGATAAACAATACGAGTGCGAATTATGTGATAACAAGTGAACCGGCTGCTTCAAAACCATGGATTACTGTAGGCGAACATTTGCGAGCACAACATGTTCAACAACAAAGAATGTTGGAAGCTGAAAGAACTACTGCTTATCATATGCAAATCAAACCGATTCCGATGCATCATCAACAGTATCCTCAGCAAAACCATAATCATAATTATAACCAACAGCCTCAGCAAATTCATCCGAATCAACAACATCAACAAAATCAACAGCAGCAAATGATGAATCAATCACATCAAATTCAAAATCAACAAATATACCACCAACCAATGCATTCTCAACCTAAACAACTTCACCAAAATCTTCCGATTCAGCAACATCAGCAACCGAATCAACCGAATCAACAGAATCAACAGCAGAAATACGGAGTTGTTGAACATCAACATAATGATAATGTGCATATCTCATCACATCCTATTTTAAATGATAGCCGACAATCTTTCGTCTCTTCGTTTAGCGATTTAGGAAGTGATGATGAATTTGATGATATTGATATGGATGCATTTGAAGAGGATTTGAATCGAGGAATTGTTGAAATGTATCAGCCGCCACCAAAAGAGCAACCAATTAAGACAACAAGCGAAGAGTGAGTTTGGGATATTTTTAAATCGAAGTTCGTTCTAATTTTCCAAATTTTCAGTTTTACTATCACTACAATGCCTAAAACGAAATATCCTCAAATGTTGCCACCTCCATCTCAACAACCACAAGTTCAAAATCAGCAACAGAAAACGAAAAAGACAATTGTTGTGAAAAAATTGGATTCGAAGATTGAGTACGTTTCACGTTTTTCTGGAATTTTTATTGTTTTCTGAAAAAAATTATGGAAAATTTAATTATTTTTAAAAAATTAAATTATTTTTAATTTTCAGAATGACACCTGATCACACAGTTTCTCCATTGGATAGTATTATTACAACCGAACCACTTCCTGGAGACGTGATTTTGCATGAAAAGAAGTTTGATCCCGCTCCGATCAAGAATTTCGAACCAGTTTCGATTGAAATTCAACCTTTGCAAGGCGGCGGACCGTCGAAACCGAAAAAAGTGCAACAGGAATATCAGTGTCCGGAATGTTTGAAAACGTATTCGTGTCGAAAAAATGTGAAAAGACATCGAATGGCTGTTCATAAATTGACACCAGATGAAATTGCTCGAAAACCAGCGCAAATTGCTCCAGCATCAGCTGCGTCTTCATCGTCGGCAGCAAGTTCTTCTTCATCTTCAACACAACCGGTTACTGCTCGAAGGCATACTGTAGCTGGAACTGCGCCAACGAGTGCTGAATTGATGAATACATCGCCCAATTTCCAATTTAGACTGCAAAAACAGCAGCCACCGATGCAACAGAATCAACCACAGCAACATCAAACTCCAAAATCACAAACACAGATGATTTCACCTCGATCTGATTGGAATTCTTCTGGACCATCATCTGCGAGTAATTGGAGTAGAGCAAGAAGTGGTGAATATGTTGATGAAGAACAATCAAAAGAAACAGCTCGAATTGCTGCTGAATTAAAAAGATCAGCTGAAGAAGAAATGGCTGAAATTGAAGGAAAGAAACCGCGAACTGAATTAGCAGAAGCTGATACAACATTCACGGAAGATAACGAGAAAACAAGTCTCGCTTCTTTGCCGCCACTTTCAACTTCATCCAGTTTGGGACTTCCATCATTGTCCTCTCCAAATACTGATCAATGTATCCAACCATCTTTGCCACCACCGCAACAACATCAGCAACAAGTTCAAGCTCCAATTAATCATCATACTCCAAAAATGACAGCTCCACAATTGCAAAAACAAACTTCAGTTCAGCAAATGATTGTAGCACCGATGCAGCAACAACAATCACAGCCTCAGCCTCAGCCGCAACAAATGCTTCCTCCACAATCTCAACAACACAATCATTATCCTATGTATCAAACATCATCAACTGGAATGGCTGCATCTTTACCATCGATTGGAAGTTGGAATGAATACAATTATAATATGCAACCATATCATCAAGTTGTACCACAACAACCTCAACCACAATCACAAACTTATACGGTTCAAGTTGTTTCACAAGTCCAAGTGCAGCAACAATCGCAGCCACCGGTTCCACAACCAACTCAACAACCATCTCTTCCACAAACACCAGTTGAAGAAGTTCCCTCAGAATCATCGGCTGAAAAACCAACTGTTGTTCCGAAAAAGAAGAAGACACATACTTGTACTGGATGTCATAAGTGAGTTAAAAATATTATTAATTTTTTCTAATTTTTGAAATTGAAACTCAATTTTTATAGGATCTTATCATCTGATTATTCTCTCCGACGACATCGTTCAACTTGCCCTGAAGTCAAAAATGCGCAAGCTAACAAAGCAATTCAAATGAGTCAACGAAGTGGATCGAAAAAGAAATCATCTTCAACAACTCCAACACAACCACAAGACAGTGAAGGAGAATCGCAACATTCGACAACATCTTCTTCATTGATTCCGCCAATCACCGAACAACAAAATCAAACATCCAATTGTGATGTTGAAATTAAAGAAGAAGAAAAAGTTGAAGAAAAAGTTGAGAAAAAGGAGGATATTCCGGATAGTACAACAAGTCAACGACATGATCGATCAACTTCGCCACTTTCTCGAGATTGTTTGAATGGAAATGGAATCACAACACAACAATCAACAACTGTCGAATCAAAACCAATTGTTGAAGTGAAACCACAAATGATGAATCCGAAATTGGAAAAAGAAGAAGAAGAAGACGAAGAACAGGCGAGAAATTTGTGTCAGGTGTGCATGCGCAAACTTTGGGTTACTGTAGTTTCATTATTTTGAAACTTCGTAACTCAGAAAAATGCTTTTGTGAATGTCCTATTTTTCTTATTTTTGTTTTAAATAAATTTTGAATTTCAGGATTGTGGAAAGATTTATCCGAATGAGTGGGATTTTGATAAACATCGAACCGAAGAATGCTCAGATTATCATCCATAGTGAGTTTTTTGAGTCAGATTTTTATTTAAAAAAAACTTATTCCATGTTTTTAAATTTTTAGATTAAATTTATATTTCTTAAAGGTGGAGTCTGAGCAAAAAATGAGTTATGCTCGTTTGAAACAGCATGTTCTAATTAGTCAAATCCTCGAAGGATTTTTCTAGAAGCTTCTCAAACATTAGCTCAAAAATTTCAATGTTCGTAAAAACAATGAAACACCGCGTAAAATGCCTTGAGAGTCCAGAAGTCCAGTAAGTTGGAGCTGCGTTTCTCTGTGAATTCCAATTTTTATTTAAAACGTTTTAATGGCTTTTTTAGCCAGATGGCAAACTTTTGAATTGAAACTGATTCAAATAAATCCATTTTTAATTCAGACTCCACCTTTAAAAAATTCAAGGGAATTTAATTTTGGACAATTTTTGTTGACATCATTCGATCAATTAATTTTTTTCCAGCGAACCAACTCATGAAATGGATGAACTTTTCATTGTTTTCAATGGAAATCCAAACAAAATCCGAATCTCGAAAAATCTTTTGACCAACTCTTCTCCATATTTTGCACAACATCTTCAAAATTACGAGACTTCAATGGGAAATTTTCGAGTTTCTGATTGCGAATGGCCACAATTTCGGGTTTTATTAGATGTTTTGACAAATAAATGTAGTATAAATGGTAAGCAATTGATTTTCAGATGAAAAAAACCAACAATAATTAATTTTTTGCAGAAGATACTATAGATTTTATAGTTGAGTTAGCTATAAAATATCAATTCAATGGATTGATCGAGTCGATTCAACAATTTATATCTGATGTGGTATGTTTTAGAGATTTTTGAATGAAAAATAAAAAATGTGGTATTTCAGCTTCCAAAATCGTCAATAATGCATGCAATTTTATTGGCGGAAAAACATCGATTTTCGAGCATCAAACAACATTTGTTCAACTCGATGTCAATTGATGTTTTCAGGTTAGTAAATATTTATTCACAAATCTTAATTCTGAAAATATTATCATTTATGTATTACAGAACTCTGACAGCTGATCAACATTATAAAATAATGGACGCCGATCTAAAAGCTGAATTGATTGAAAAATGGGGAACATTTCTCTAATTCTAATCTCATTTACAAATATTGTGATTTTTAAAGTACCCTTTCGAATTCCGATTTGCTACCTCGGTGAACTAATATATTATTTACTATAACTAACTAATTTAAGCTTTCTCAGAATGTCCTATCGGTAAACTAATCTTTGATACTCTATCGTTTTTTTTCTTGAATTTTTTATTCTATTTTTATTGAACTGTTGTGATCTCTCGATTTTTCCTTCTACCCTTATTGTTTTGTTTCCTGGTGATTTTTTTCAAAGAAATGTTTCTCTTCAAAATTTTCGGGAATTTATATATTTTTCTCTTTTCATTTTCTTATCGCTAGATGCCTGTCATAATTTAACTAATTTTCTGAGAATTTGAGTTATATATTTTTAATTCTTTACAAGATATGTGTTGATGCTCGATCTCTTTTTTTTTCTCGCGCAGATGAATAAAATATATTCTAAATTTAAAAAATGAAAACTTGTTAGCATATCATTTATGAATAGATTCGTGTTTAGCTAATTTGTCTAATTGTCTCGAATATATTTTTCCACCAAATTGGCGCTTTTGGATTGTTTTGTAGTTTTTGCCCACAATTTTTTCGTCGAATAGTTTATGAGCATTTTTGTTGTTTTTATTTTATTTAATGAAAATTCAGTTTAAAACTTTGAAATTTAATTAAAAATTTTTGGGAACTTGTAAATGTTTCAAATCATATTTATTCACCAAATACCATCTTCTTCGACATATTCGAATTGATCAAAATTTCAGAAACATTTATGTGATGTTCAATAATTTTACCCAAGAAGATGGTAAGGTTTTTCTAAAATATCTCAATTTTTTTGAAACAAATATTTTTAGACGGTTCAATTTGTCTTATACTGGTCTCGATTACATTTTTTCTAGTTGCTTTTGCATATTTTTCAACAAAGTTGATATACAAACTTGCCAATCAGAGGTTGTTTTACTGCATATTTCAATTTAGAAGTTACCATTTTGTTTTAGGTTTGCTCAACTTGTAGCCGAGCAAAAACTTATTGATGATCAAAATCGGGAACATGAAAATGAAAAAGAAGAATAGTCGGGTGCATAAATTTTAAACAAATGTATGAAAAATGCGTTTGAAAACTTTCATGTATAAATAATTACAAAAATATAATATCTTTTTTCTAACAAAAAAACCTATGACATGGAAATGGTTAAATATCGAGACGACTTAAAATGAAAGACAATACATCACAAATACTTTTTTGTTACACACGTTGAAATGGTGAAAGAATAAATACTTTAATGCAGGATAAGATTGTTATAAACCGACAGCTCCCGATTGAAAATATGATTTCGGGTTTGACATTCGACGAAGTCGATCAATTAGGGGCAACCCCCCACGCCCAATCGATGGAGAAGAAACGTTTCCGTGCCAGCCCGACGCTGCCTGAAACACAATTTTGGAAATTATAAGGATTTTTGTTTTGGAAAATCTGAAAAGGACCAAGGCTGGAATTTTACTTTCAGAAATTTGGAACACTATGAAATGTGGTCTCTTTCAGTATGATAAATAACCTGTATGAGACGTAGCCGTTGTCGATAGTTGTTGGCACGTGTGTGGTCATTGATGATGTTCTGAACGTATGATGAGGGAAACCATCCACCCACGGAATCGGTGACTCTCTCTCCATACAACCATCCTAAACATCAAATTGTTTGTTTTCCACCTCAAAAGACCGTGAAAACACCCCCAAGTTACCATTCACTCAAAAACAAAAAATTCAAGTTAGTTTAGTACTTACCATCGGGCATTTTTCGAAGAATATTAATCATATCGCCGATATTCAATTGTAATTCGTCATTTTGTGATGGCTGATATGAATGAACAACAACAGCTTGTGGACAATCCCATTCAGCATATACTTTTTCTTCGGGGTTAGTTGACTGCAAAAGAGAGAGAAGGTTAAAAAAGAGGAATCCCAAAACATTAGGCACACTTTCGGAAAAAAAGGGAAAACTTACTGTAGGTGGTCTAACTGCACTCAACCATCTTTCTCGATCTGTTTCGCTATCCGCCGAAAGCAATAATTCGGTTTGTTTATCTCTTGCATTTCTCATCAATGTACAAAGAAATAGATGAGGCCGCCCGACAAGCGAACTTATTGCACCAAGTGGGATTTTTGGATTATCTGGTTCGATTGGCTGCATATCAACGAATCGACGTGTTGCATAATCTTTGCACACAAATGTTCCGTTTCTAGAAAAAAAACCAATTATTCAAGCAGCTCGAAGTTAATGAAAAACTCACAATTTCTTTTTTGTTATCATAATCATATCTGAAAACAAGAATACGTGAAGAGTTCTTGCTTTTTGTCGACTTTGTAAAATGTTCGAAGATCTTCGTTCAACTAATTGTGTCAGAACTCCCTTTTTGACCAAATATCGACTATTCGACACCAATGGAATTCGTCTGTAAAGTGTTTTGTGATAAATTCACTTCAAAAATGTTCTGAAACTCACTTCAAATCAACATCCTTATAAACAAGTCTTCGATCAATTTCTAATAATTGTTCAGTTCTTTCCATTCTTCTTGCTCCTTCATTACATTCTCGAACAACACGATTTGAAGTGTTCAATGCATCTGTGGCTGTTTTGAATCTATCATCTGAAGGTGATAATCTATCCAAAATTGCATAAAGTAATAATGGATATCTTGTGATTCTTTGCATTGGCAACATCAAAAATGATCGCATATCAAGTCCTTGACATTGCTTATTTTCCTCAAGTCGTTGAACAGCTTGCAAAAATCCTTGATTGTCTGTTTTCAGCCGACGAAGAGTTCGATCTTGATATACTTGATTTGAACAATATTTGATATAAACTTCGAAATATTTGTCGAAATGTTCGATAAGAATATCACAAATATCATCTAATACAAGATTTTCTTCGAGACGAGTTTCCAAATCACATAAAAGTCTTTCTGAACAATCTCGAACAGCAAATATGTTACTGAATAAATGTTTTCTGTCCGAATCAGATAAAACTGAAGAAGTTGATTTGGATCCTAACATATGTGGACTTGCCATAAAATGAGTTATCAAAACATTCAAAGATCTCAAATAACTGGCTTCCGATGTGATAACTTCGAAATATGCTTCTTGTCGAAGTTTACATTCGTCATCCAATGAATCCAAAAGACCAGATGCTCGAACTTCAGCCAATTCGCACCATAAACTTCTCTGTGATCCAAAGTTTGAAGCTCCAACCAATCGATCTCGTCTCATTGAAGTATTCGAAGTCAAAGCTGATGCAGAAGTTGTCGAACAATCAGCACCTCTTCCAGAATCTGAAGATATTGAAGATTCTCGACGATTCTGCAAAAAAAAATCAATGTTGTTTTTCGAAATATTCATAAGGGTTGATAATCTTACAGGTACTGTAGTTTTTTCAACAATTTTTGATGGTTTTTCAAGTTCTTTTATATCTTCATAATTATCTTTTTCTTTATCACTTCTTGCTTCCAACATATAATGTTGATATAGTGGTTGTTCAAATGGTACCATTCGACATGTATATTGTCTTCTATATTCTTCTTCTTCAGGTGATGGTTCGTCCTACAAAAAGCAAATATAGAAAAAAGATGAAGAAGAAGAACACAAAGCGTAAATATTATTATTGTAGAAATGATTCACCTGAATTGAAGACGGAGTCCATGAGTCATCTAATGGAAGATGGCCGACAGCAGGTCTTGCAATAAACTTCTCACCAGCATCAGATGGTTTCGATGGATCAACAATTATATCAGCAGTCTCGTAATCAGACGACATTTCTAGACAAAAATAAATATTTGGAAAAAAATTGACAATTTTTTTGAATGAATCTAACCACACAATAGATTTACATACAAGGTGGTATTCTAATCGGATTTATTTTGAGATGATGGACATTGTTACATTATCAAAGTACGAAAATCGAAAATCAAGCTAGAGATCTACAGTATCTCTGGGGGATACGGAAGAAGGTCAAAGATGTTCTTACGCAGTTTGGGAAGATTATTGGAAGATCGAAAAATCAGCAAACTACAGTAATCCGCTGACCTTACAAACTACAGTAATCCGCGGACTTTTGAGGTGTTTTTTAGACGTTTTAACAGAATTCAAAATTGTCCGATGTATCAAATTTTAGTGCAATCAAAAATTCTTCAAAAAATGATTCCACTATTAGACAACAAGAAAGTCAGTCCTAATTTTGAAATTCGAAACTCCTTCCAAAACAAACCGGTGTTGTTTAATCTTGTGGTTTTTCAAGATTTTAATTTCTAAAATTTTCTTTTGAACTTTTCCAATTTCCCGTTTTACTCACCAGTTTTTGTACCGTAATCTGGAAGTACTTTATTAAGTTGTTCTTCTAATTGTCGATACATTGACGAACGTCGATCATCTGAAAGAAACAAAATCGTAATATAAAAAACGGAAGAAAAAAGAGTGGCAAGATGTTGTTGGTTGACTAAAATATTATTATTATTATATTTTTGTGTGACGATTGTCTCCAAATTCAATTTTGACTATGAATATAATATATTATTCTATCTATATGTTGATATTAAAAATAGCAGAAGAATTCGAAAAAAATAAATAATAATCCATCAAGTTTTCCTATAAAGTTTTCACTTTTTGTCGCTATTGTTAATAAAAGAATAGACTCGAAAAAATAGAAAATAAGAAGAAGAAATACAAATTCTTACCATGATAATTTTCATCGTCTTCTGAACTCCAATCATCTCCATAAATATGATCATCATCCTGATATCGAGAATCTATTGTAGATTTTGACATCTGAAAATATCTTAAATTTTAAAAACTACATTTTTTCACTACTATTTACTATTAATAAAATAGAAAAAACTTTTGAAAAATAATAAAAACTACTAATTCTCGTAAATTACCGAAGGATTATGGCGATTTGAAATGAATTCGCGGAAAACCGACAGAAAAAATCAATAAAATGACCGAGAAGGGCAGAACTATTTTGAGAAATAGAAAGAAAAAAAAACAAGAATGTTTATAGGAGAGAACGGTTGATTGATGATTATTGCCAAAAATTGAAATGACTTACCAAATTCGAAAAATCAGTGTCCAAAAGATCCACACTCACATGACACTTTGATCGTCTTTTGCTATTTTGTCGATCGCCAACTTTTTGTCGGATTTGGTCGACCTAAATTTTATGGATGAATGCAAAGGAAAACAAAAAAATGAAATACCTTTTTTGAAAAATTAAGTTGAAGTTCAGATTTGAAACGAAATAATTTTTCTAATTCCACAGCACTGACTCTTTTACTCGCTTTTGTTGTTGTTCGTTGAAGTGTCGATGATAAAAATCGCTCTTTTATTTTTGGTTTTTGTTGAATATTAATTGATTCTTCAGCTTCTGTTGCCTCATCAAATATTTCTTCTTCTTCTTCTTCATTATTCTCAATTTCTTGATTTTTCAACGACGAACTCGAAGTTGGTAATCCTATTTGATCATAACAACTCTCATCATCGTCATAATCTTCTAGAGGTGTTTCCGGAACTGGAATCGTCGGAACTCTTCGTTGATCATGTGGCATTATATTAGGTGGAGGTGGCGGAGATTTGAACTTTGGTCTTGGCAATGTTCCAGGTGTTCTTGGAGCGGGTGTTGGCTTCAAATATGATGGAATACGTTTCAATCTTTCTTTTGATGGTGGTTGAGATGGAAGTGGCGGAGGTGGGGAAATTGGAGGTTGAGATGGTTCGGCTGATATTGTCAATGATATTCGGCATCTTTCTTCGTATATTGGGATTTCGTCTTTTTTCGATGATTCAACAATCATACTTGTTGTTTGTAATAATCTGAAAATAAACATTGATATGAGCAGTCTTTTTTGGGAAAAAAAGAAAATGCAAATATTGAGACATTTTCGACCACGAATCTATTTTCGAAAAATATAAGAGGATAGTGGGAAAAAAATTAGATAGGGGTTTTTTTGGAAAAAAATTTTCTGTTTTTCTTAATTTCCGAAATTGTATCAAGATGATCTCTATTTTTAAACAATAAACACATGAAAAATATTTCAGAATGTAGGATTTTTATTTGGGAAACAAAACTCTCTTTGGAACATTTTCTGAAAGGAAAAAAATAACAAGCGATAAAATTATTTTAAAAATGTATCAAACCTGGATCTTGGTGCTGGTTGTGGTTTCCAATCAACTTCACTTCGTTTCTCTTCTTTTCTCTGCAATTGAACTTCCGATTTACTCTTCCGAACTTCAGAAGATGTCGATGGTTCAATTCCAAAATCTCCAATACTTTTCGTTCGTCGTTTCAACGAACTACTTTTTCTTCTCGCTATTTTTTTATTATCTGTTCGTAATATTGAAGTGCTGAAAACAGTCAATATAAATTGCAAGAAAATACAAAAAAGTTATACTAACTTATTGTTATTTTCAACAATTCGAAATTTGCCGATTCGTTTGCCAATTGATTTACTATTCGTTGTTATTGTACTGGTTGTTGTTTCAATTTTGGCGCCAGTTTCAAACCTAAAAAAACGTATTATTTTTTGTTGGAAATAAATGTACTCATAAAGTTTGAAATTTTGAAAAACGAAATGTGAAAAAATGGAGTAAGATAATAATGTTTGTATAAATTTTCGACTGAATGATTGTATGTACATAAGAGTAGACCAACCAAATGGGCTGGAAAATATCGAAAAAAAAAATGAACAACAAGAAGGCTAGGAGGTAGGCTAATAATACTAATAAAATAAAAATACTATTCAATTTTATTGTCATTTACATTCTGAAAGAAAAGCAGTTATTCATTTTGTTTCCGAGAAAAATATTCAGATGAATAAAATACACATGTTTTTTTTGTTTCGGGATCATAAAACGAGTTATTGAGAAAGCACGAAAACAATGCTTCAAGTTAACTTTTTTTTTCGTTGTCGTTGTTTCAAACAAAAACATATGCTTCTAAAGTTTGAAACTTGCGGAAAATGAGAGAGTTTTCGATAACCAATATTGACAAATCTTGGAAGCTCGGAAATAGAAACTTGAATTGAATTCTATGACTAATGTTTTTCAAAATCACCTAGAACACTTTTGGAAAATGTTAGGATATTTCTCTTTTTTGAGGGAATAAAAGTTGGTATCACATCTACAGTAACCCATAGACCTGCACTGAATGAATTAATTTTTTAATTAGGAGTTTTTAGAAGAAGTTTTTTAGAAGATGACAAATTTTTTTTAATTTAAAAAAAATATTTTGAAAAATTAGATTCTTTGATTACTGTAGCTCTAAAAATGTTCTCTCATGAAAAATTTGTGTCAAACATACAGTAATCGATCAACTTCAATAGAAGTAATCCAGAAGTTCCCCTCTTACCTTTTGGCAAGTTCTCTCACACTTGGCAACGTCATTTTTTGTTTCTCATCGGCGTTTGTTTTTGTCGTTTCATCGACCATCGGCAGTTTAGCACTCCAGGTTTCTGCAACAAATCAAACTATCGCGGAAAAAAATGAAAAAAAAGAGAGGTAAACAATCAACATGCATAGATTGGAAAAATATATATTATTCGCAAAATTTTAATCGGTTGATTCAATAAACGCATCGAAATCTCTGTTTTTTAGGAGTGAGTGATGGAGCGAGAAAAACAACAAAATAAATAAATAAATAAAATATGAATCGAGAAAAAATGAAACCTTGAACTCAAGTATTCACAGAAAAAAGGTAATTGAAAATGAAAGAAGGACACCTTTGTTTGAAAAAGGCTGGAAATAGATCAATATTACGCTTGATATTAGAAAAATAATGAAACCTTCTATTTAATTTCAGGAAGAAAACCTTAGAAAATTAATTAATTTCGAGAACATATGGGAAAGGTCAAGAACTATACCAAAAACAATAGAAAAGGAAAAAGGAAAAAGTGCGAAGAAATTAATTTCATCAAAGAGGAACAATTAATCCGGAAAGTGATAAGTGCCGAAAAAAATGAGATAACTAAACAATTGAGAATTGTTCATTTATTTAGTGTAATATTTTGTTGATATCTAGATCAAGAGAGTGCACATCTAATGGACATTTGTGAAAAATAGAGATATAAAATGAGTGAATGAGTGACATATTAAAATATTACATTTTAACAACCTGATGTGAACAACAAAAATATATTAATAAAAACAACACAGAAAAATTCTCGAAAATTAGAGACGAGTTCTAATGATGCGTGAAGAAATCATCAATTAGTTGAAGAAAAGTAACGGTAATTGAATGGTTTGTAATCGGCAAAAAAAATCCGGTCTCAAATACCCAACTATTTTTTTTATTTATATGGTTATATGAAAAAACACTTGTGGATACACGAACTTGTGTTGGACATTCAATGAATAAAATATTATGCTAATGTAAATAAAAACGACTAAACTTACAACTTATTGTTAAATAAGTAAGGGTGGAAAATTCTAAAATCGATAATTTTTTCATTTTATTTTGAAATAAGGTTGTTGCGAGCCCGAAAAATAAATAATAAATTTGGCAAACATTTTGCAATATTCTGAAGAAAAACAACCGGATAAAATACTCATACCTTTTCATGCAAAAATAAAACAAAAACAAAAGCGGAAAAATAAAGGTCAGGAATATGTTTTGAGAAATGTCTTCTTTTTCCATATATATACTACATGTGCTCTTTTTCCGTCTTTTCTTCTCAAAAATATACAAACGGCACCAATGCACCAAATGCGGAAGAAATTCGGAAAATAGTGCATAAAAAGAGGAGAGGATAATGAAAGAAGAGGAGAAGGAAAAAGTGAACATAAAAGTGTAATTGAATGAGTAAAAAGGATTAGGATGAAGGAAAAACGAAGGGGTGAGTGAGCATAAGGAGCAAAATGGAAATGAGTGTGTGTGGCAAAGGGTGGTGAAAACTAATTGGGAAAAAAATAGTGATTGATTGGGGTTAGATGAAGAGAGAAAAAATGGTATGCGTTTTCCTGTAGATCAAAAAATTTTGCACGATTAGAAATTACAACTTTTCAGAAAATTTCTAAAAATGAATTTTCTCTGCAGCAGCGGTTTTTCATTGTGAAAGGTTCTGTTTTTACCCTTGTGATATATTAGATGAAGAGGGAAAAGGATGTGAATAATTAATAATCTCATTTGTTTTCAACTCTATCCGATGCTTTTTTCTATGATTCTAATTCCAAAAACATAATACATAGATACATTTGCATTTTTTTTTCTCAAAACATACAAAAAAAACGACAGCCAATAAAAATAATTGCGTTCGAGGGGCAGATTTTTTCTTTTTTTGAAAAAATGAGAGGGCCGGAAAACGGGTGTCAAAAGTGAAAAATTAGTGTGTGAGGGGTATTTAAAACAATAGCGCGTAGTTGGTAAATAAACACCTACGAACAAAAAATACATATGATTTGGGCAGAGTTTGAGTAAAAGTGTACCTGAACAAGGATCAGTTTTTGAGCTCGGGTTACTGTAGTTTATGGAAAGTTCGAGAGAAAAGTTAATTCTGAGTTTTTTTTTATCAAATTTAGAATATTCAGCAATCAAATTTGTTTCCTTATGTTCTTCAGGTTCAATTCAAATATTTCCGAAATACAAAGTTCTAGATGAACTTCCTGGATCCAGGCAACATAAAAAATACGATACAAAAAAGGTGAACCAAAAAAAACAAGAATTTGAAAAGATACAATAATAATAAGGTATGCGTAGTATCGAATTGAAAAGAGCACTTGAAAAAAGTTGCGAACAATTGCTGCTTCATTTTCCACTATTTCATTCGTTCTAGATTATGTCAGTCAGCCATTTTCACGTAACGCCTTTTTCTTTTTCATTCATTCATACTTTTTTCGCATGCGTGTGTTTTTTTCTGCTTCTCAATCTCCCGACAAATTATTCTATTTACTCAACGTGGTCAGTGACGAAAGAATGTAGAAAAAAATGAGTAGGCATCAGAAAATATTGGTTTCCGGACGGACGGACGACGATATTTACTGTCTTGCTCGCTTGATTCTTTTTTCCGCGGCAGCAGCTCCGTCCGATTATGAGCTACTTGCCTTTGTGTCGCCTTTTTGTTGGCCAACCATAGAGAAATATTGGATAGATAGATAGATGGAATGAGAAAAAATCGAGTAAATATGTATATGAAAATGTGTGTATGTGATTGATTGAAGGAGTGGGTGAAATAAATATATATGAATGAATGAATAAACGAGTGAGCAAAAAATAATTGAAGTGGATTGCGGGATTCGATGAATTGCTAACAAAAAAAAACAACCAAACACTTTTTGGATCAGATTGCAAACACAAAGATCGAGTAACAATTTCGTTTTTAACTCAATATAATTTCCTCCAACTTCCTGAATTTCGATTGAATTCTGAACTTTTAATTTCCGCGTTGTCGATTTGCTTTTTCATTTCCATTCTCCTATTGAAAAATTCGGGATTTCTTTTTTGAAAAATTCTGATTCACCAAAATTTCAATGCTTCTGATTGCACAGTTACATATCAGAAGTTGACAAGTTTTTCAGCTTTTCCGAAAAAGCTTTAACAAAAAGTTTATCGCATCGAAATATCTCCAATGTTTTCTAAAACATGATCCTCAAGAAAATGTTTATTTTTTTTTATTTTTCTCCTTGGAAGCCAATAAGTCAAACTCATAAATAAATCAAAGCAAGCTATTGAAGGAATTTCTATTTGACACCAAACCTCATGCCAACCCATCCATCTATCCATTTTTCCGCTCAACTGTCGCTTAGCAGCTCATTCCAAGCTTTTCCTCATTTTCGAAATGCAAACTTTTCTCATTATTACCGTAATCTTCATTCCATTTATCTTTGCCGATATAAAATGTCATCAATGTGGAGGAGCTGAAACTATTCCGAAGTTTGCTAAAAATGCATTAGCTTCGATAAATATCACAACTGATCCATATTTTGGAGATTGTTCTTCAACTTCTTCGGGAAATATTTGTCAAAATGGCACGTTTTGCATTAAAAGATCAAGTACGTTTGTTTATTAAGAATGATGCAAATGTTTCAAAAATTTACATGACTTTTGTCATTTTTAGGAGTTTATGATATAAGTTATTCTGGAGTTTCTTTCAAATGGACAACATATACAAAAGGATGTGCAATCACAAGAGAAGATGATACAACAAAAACACCTGAAAATGCATGTTATGAATTGGGTTCATCTTCAAATGGAACTGGCTACACTTCGGTATTATTTTGGAAACTGATAAAACCACAATTTCCATGAAAAATAATTTTTGCAGAGACGACTTGATTGCTATTGCACCAAAGATTACTGTAACAGTGCTCAACAAATCATCCAATTTTTCACAGTCTTCTCGATAATTTTAACTAATTTATTGTGAACTTATGCAAACTAATCTCTTCTTCTTAAATATTTAAATGTTTGTCGTTTTCGTCGTCTGAAAAATACATTTTGTAGTTTTTTGAAGCATTCACAAGCAGTTCGAAGATTTGATCGCGAATCCAATTGTGGAAAACAGAATCCGCCCTCGGAACCCTGAACAAAAAGCAGTGTAGAAAAGAAAAAATGATAAGATAAGAGAAAAGGGCAAATTACAATAATTGCTCACCTGATCTTTACATTTTTCAGAGCAACCAATTTGTCTTGTCAAACATACTTTTCCATCTAATGGTTGTTCATATTCATAGCATTTACAGCTGCAATTTTTTTTTGAATTTGATTTTAATATTTTTTTGTCAAACAGTTTACTACCCAAAATAGCTAGTAACACATTTTTTGCTTCTCACCTGAAATTGAATCCATCCCATCCAATACAATGTCCATACCAAAAACTATCAGTTTTACAAACTTCGTCACATGCTTGATGATCCAGAAAAGTGCACGCCGCTCTGTAACTTTTTTCCTCAAATTCAATTCAATTAATTCATAGTTGACACATTTATTAGAAACCAGTTCAATCATCCATTTTATTACACTTTTTTCGGATTGGCGGGAGAAAACTTTTTTTGAAAAGGTTGTTGTTTTGATCAAAGTTTAGTTCCAAATGGATAACTTTGGACGTGCGAAAAACCGCTTTCGAAAATTGTTATTGTTTGCGAAAATCTTTGATAAGTCGAGACACGTGACAAATTTTAATTGTTTATCAAAGTTTTATCACCGCCCATTTGTTTTTGTCCAGAAATGCATGAATTTTCAATTTTTGATTCACTCTTTCTAACTTTTTTTTCAAAATTGTTTTAAACCCCAATGGTTTGATGTTCTCTTATCATTTTTTTTTCGAACTAACCTGACCCTGAAAGATGGAATTATTAGAAGAAATAAATATAGAAGCATTGCTAGTAACATCTTCAGAAATAGAAAAAAAAGAAGACCTTTTTCGAAAAAGTGTGAATACACCCGATGTGGGCGGGATTGATGATACTTTTCGAAAAAAAAAGAAGGAAAAGAAATGGTTTAGGAGTGTTGAATAAGAATACAGAAAAAAAGAGGAAAGAATAAGTAAAAGTGTTTTTGGAGGGAATTTATTCATTTGCAAAGTCAAGTAGTTGTATTTTTAGATAGGAATAAAACCAACACAGATTTAGTTTGATTGTGAGTAAAAATTTTGAATAAAATTCCGAAATAGAAAAAAAAAACATCGGAAAACTTGGGTGTTCTTTAATTTTCGGAATTCTATTCGAAATCAAATTTTGAACAATTTGGAAAACTATTGTATAAAAGTTAATCAAAATTGAAAAAAAAAACAGAAACTTTTTTAGTTCAAGAAAAAATTGGACACAAAAATTCGGGCGCTGTTTTCAGAGGTTTTTTTTTACTTTTCAAAAAATGTTTCCAACTTGGACTGATTTTTAGAATTTTCGAGATTTAGTAAATCTTGAACTATATTGTTGGAACCAATCTAATCTTTTGAAAAAAATTTCTCTTTTCAGAAATCTTCTTACATCAAAGTTTGATCTACCAGAACTAGCCTTCCTGAAAATTTTGTCACATTTTATGTTTTTTTCTGAAAATTGTATTTGTATTTATGTTATTTTGATTCTCGATTCCTTATTTCATCATTTCTTTTTTTCCCAATCAATTTCAACCCTCATTTCTTCCGGACAAAAACCAACCATAACACAAAAAATAAACAAACAATGCTAATAAAACATTTCGTTTTTTCTTGTATTTCTCTCGTTCACTTCTTCTCACAGTACTTGATCCCAATTTTTATTGCAAGCTATCTAAATTGGTTGGTTAATTGGCGACTGCTCTTCGTTCTTTTTTTCATAGTTCGAAAATCGTGTAGTTTAAGAAAAATGATGAGTCAATTCAAAAAGACTATAGTAATAATAATAATAATCATTTTCTGTTATGACTTTTGAAACCGGTTTCAATTAATAATAAACTATCCACTTAACTATTTAGTCAAAACTTTGAAAAGAAACTAAATATTTCCGTTGCAAAACACAAAGATCAAGACTAATTGATTTGTTTTAGATGGCGGAATGGTGTGGAACAAATTTGAAAAATTGTGATGGATGGAAAAATGTGAATTTGGAATTATCAACAACTTCAAATGAAAATGCAAAATGGTTAGATGCTTGTATTCGACAATTAGTTTCATGGTCAGATTGTGAATCAATTGGTGGATTTCATAAATCTCTAGAGAATCTAGAAACAAGTGATCCTGATGCAAGTAAGTTTTCACCTACAGTAACGCGAGAAGATTTTCTATCTAGTTATGGCTCGATGTTTTATTGTTGGATTAACTGGTCTAGGAACTGAAGCTGCTGGCAGAGATGTTGATTTTGTACAAAAAATGGATAAATTAGAAAAAGATGCGGAAAAATATGGAAACAATCGTGAAAAACAACATGCAAAAGCAGCGATTTTATGGGGAAGAGGGTAATAGAATATGTATTTATAGCTCAAAAAAATAACCGTAAGAAAATTATAGATATCATCATGAAGCGGCAATCGTTTGGGATAGAATTCTAGACGAACATCCAAATGATTTAATCGCGGTTAAATTTTCACACGATGCTCATTTCTTCAATGGAAGTTGCTCGGGAAAATTGAATGCGATTGAAAAAGTTATCGAAAAATGGGATAAAACAGAACCATGTTATAGCTATTTACACGGAATGTATGCATTTGGATTGGAAGAATCTGCAAAATATGAAGAAGCTGAAAAACAAGCAGATATTGCATTGAATTTGAATCGATTTGATTGTTGGGCATCGCATGCAAAAGCACATGTTTTAGAAATGAATGGAAGACATAAAGAAGGTCGAGATTTTATGTATAATACAGAAAATGATTGGAGACAAGGATGGATGTTAGCAACACATAATTATTGGCATACTGCACTTTTTCATATTGAATTTTCGGAATATGAAGATGCACTTTCAATTTTTGATAGGTACTAATTTTTTGATTGGCAAAACGTATTTTCTTTTAAATACTTCAAAATTTCAGAGAAGTTGCGAATCGATTTAATCGAACAAATTCATTACTTGATATGGTCGACGCTAGTTCACTTTTATGGAGACTTGAATTAGAGGGTGTGAATGTTGGAAAAGAAAGATGGAGAAAAATTGAGAATCTTGGAAAATATATTGAGAACCATTCAATATTTTTCAATGATGTTCATCTTGGTGTTGCACTTTATCGCCAAGAAAATCAAGAAACAGAAAATTCACTTCGAGAATCACTGGAAAATTATTCAAATCTTCCAAATGAAGACAATTCACAGATCACGAAAAACATTGGATTACCGCTTTATGATGGAATGATTGATTATGCAAAAGGGAATTATGATGAAGCTGTTGAGAAAATGTATCCGATTCGAGAAAATGTTGTGAAAATTGGCGGAAGTCATGCACAACGAGATATGTTCGTACAAACATTGATTCATTCCGCAATTTTGTCAAGGAAACCAGAAAACTGGAAACGCACACAAAATCTTCTGTTAGAACGAAATTCTTTGAAATCGAATTCTATTTTAGGAGAAAGATTAGCGACAAAATTTAGAATTTTGCATCCACTTTGATTGAAATAAACTTATTATTGTTTTGCTTGAAAAATTCTGATAATAACTCGGGCAGAAAACGGCGAGGTCGCTACCAATCGGGGCGGAGTCGCTACACGTTTCGGGCGACTGGCCCGAGGCTCTTTGGGCGAGCTTGGGGCGACTCGCCCGAGCGTGAAGCAACTTGCCCCGTTCTCGCCCCGATCCACTCTCTCGAAGGATGCCCAGAAGCATTTTTCAAAAACTGTATCTATGGAGCAAAATTAGATCTACTTATAGCTTTATTACCCTACATTTATATGGGCCATTACATCAATGGATCACTGTGAAATCCCGAAAAAAAGCATAAAAACCATGATTTTAAAAATGGGCAAAAATTGTAGCGAGTTGCCCGACACTAGCCCGTTTTGAGGCGCGTTTGGGGCAACTTGCTGCAAAATGAGTCTCGAAAAATGTGTAGCGAGTCGCCCCGAGCTATGTCGTTTTTTGGCCGAGAAATGTAAAACGTACGTACAAATATATTTATTCCTTTTGCTGATTTCTAAATACATTTAAAGGTGAGCACGGGTTTGTTCACGAACAAGAGTTTTGACACGATTTCCGAAATCGGGATGAACTTTGGTGAAATGAGCAACCATTCCTTCGATAATAAAATCATGGCAATCTTTCAAAGCTCCAGCAAAGTTTTGGCACAATCTTTCTCTTGCTCCAGCATCCAAAGTTTTCAACCAGAATTCTCTTGGTTGCTCATAATTATGATCATCTCCAGTTTCATATCTATCAACATCTCCGCTTACAGTAAATGTTGAATCTTTAACATCTTTACGAGTTCGGTGACCATTGAAACTATTTGGGAAATAGTTTGGAGCATGTTGTTGATTATCGTATGCCATTAAACCATCTCTTTGAGTATTATGAGCACGTGCACGATATGGACAATTAACTGGTAATTGAATGTAGTTTGGACCAAGTCTATGGAAATGTGTATCAGTGTATGAGAAAATACGACCTTGAAGCATTTTATCTGGGGAGAATTCGATTCCTGGAACCACGTGAGCTGGACAGAAAGCGGATTGTTCGATCTAAATTTATTCAACAGTTAACTTCGATGCGTTTTTGCATAATCTTACCTCAGCAAAATAGTTTCTTGGATTTCGGTTCAAAACCATTTTTCCAACTTCAATCAATGGATAATCTTTATGTGGCCAAACTTTTGTAACATCGAATGGATTGAATTCCCATTTTTCAGCTTCTTCAAATGTCATAACTTGAATATACAATTTCCAAACTGGATAATCTCCCTTTTCAATCGAATTGAACAAATCACGAATTGAATAATCTGGATCAGAACCAGCAAGTTCTCCGGCTCTTTGAACAGTCAAATTCTTGACACCTTGGACTGGCTGAAAGTTTTTTTTAAAGTTGAAACTTCATTTTTTTGCAGAAAAATTAACCTTGAAGTGGAATTTGGTGTATACAGCCTTTCCATCTTTGTTAACAAATTTGAATGTATGCGATCCATATCCATTCATATGTCTATAACCATCTGGAAGTCCACGATCTCCGAATAAAAACATTATTTGATGCATAGCTTCAGGGCGATGGAGCCAGAAATCAAACATAGCATTTGGATCTTTGAGATGAGTTTGTGGATTTCTTTTTTGAGTATGAATAAAATTCGGGAAATGAATTGGATCACGAATGAAAAAGATTGGAGTATTATTTCCAACCAAATCCCAGTTTCCTTCTTCGGTATAAAATTTGACAGCAAATCCACGTGGATCACGAGCAGTGTCAGCAGATCCAAGCTCACCACCTGGAAATTAGAGTATTTTTGTTTTTGAAATTAATTAATTTATCAGTACTATTATTTTTTGGATAAAAAACGTGGACTATTTCATTTTTCATTTTCAATATGTACAAAACCAGTCTTTTCAAAAAACAAATTGAGATCGTAAGTTTTAAAAAAAACCACACAAAACTTTGATAAAAATCAATAAATCTAGAACTTACCAACAGTCGAGAATCTAACCAACAATGGAGTTTGTTTTCCCACTTTACTGAAAATATCAGCCTTGGTATATTTTGTAATATCATGTGTAACTTCAAAATATCCATGTGCTCCAGCTCCTTTTGCATGTACAACTCTTTCTGGAATTCTTTCTCTATCAAAATGTGCCATTTCATCCATATAAACAACATCTGACATCAACATTGGACCTCTTCTTCCAGCAGTCAAAACTGCCGTCTTTGTATAAATTGGAGCTCCATTTGATGTTGTAATAACACGCGGAGTCTGCAAATGTTCATATTGTTAATTTGAATCGGCGCCACAAATTCTATCGGAAACACTACACAAGAAAAGTGGGAGCAACTAAAAACCGTGGAAGAAAATAAAAATATGTCGTCAATTTGCGTGTGTGTGTCTGTGTGTGGTGTTTGCAGAAAATAAAGCCTAGATACACTTATTTGAAATTATTTCATTTTCTCAATAAAAAAAATATTTGGCTATTTTCAAAACGACATTTCATGGATTTTTGGCGACTCCGTGAGTTTTTTTCAAGTTATTAGATGGTAAACTAGTCTACCCTTTTGATAATCTAGAAAATTATAACATTGTTAAATACTATAAATTTCGGAAATGCGTGTGTTCTAATTTTGAGATATTTAGATATTTACTAAAGTATATCAGTAGATATTTAGCTTATCGTATTTAAAATAATGTCCCACTTTTAAAATCCACTCTACTCAGAGATTCGCTGGCCAGCTCGCCACTAGATCAGGACCAGGTGGCCGGAAAGTTCAAAACGAGCTGAATTTGATTCGGCCACCAGTTCGCCTTGAGTTTTCCGGCGACGTGGCCTGTGTGTTTGAAATCCTGGAAAGCTAGCAAGACGGTGGTTTGTACTCAAAATAGTGCATTTTTACTGTTTTTTTCACTTCCTAAGGTTTCTAGTACTCCGAAAAAACAGAAAATGAGCCAATTTCTTCTAGAATGCTCTGATTCACAAGTTTTTTGGACTTTTTTCTCTTAAGCGAGACGATCTGGACGCGAGGTCGGCACGAGCTGGACAACCTGGGCGAGGTGGTCTGCATGAACTGAACCACCTCGCGACCAGGTCGTCTGGCAAAAAATACGGGCGATGTGGTTGTCCGTGTCAATTTCAGATGGGCAGTCGGTCCCACCTAGTGACCAGCTGGCCAGCGAATCTCTGAGTAATAGTTTTTTTAAAAGAATGAATGTGATTATAAAAGATAAACTTACGCTACTTCCAGTTTTGTAGTTTTTCAATTGATTATCAGATGGATCGTTTCCCATTGTTTCTTACAAGGTTCTGAAATTTCATTTATTCATTCAAATATACAAAATAAAAGGTATAAGGTAAAACAAAAAGAGAATACAAATGTGATTCGCGTTATCAACCAACCACCAATGCGTGTTTACCCTATATTGTAGTCTATGATAACAGCCGATAAAGTGGTCAAAAAACAAATATATTTTTGCTGTTTTTTGCGTAGATCAACAAAATATCATAAGTATATAAGGTATGAATTTCGGACAAAATATATTCTGGAGACATCATTTTCTTTTTGTACTTAATGTAGGCGATGTTTGAGAAATGATGAGAATTTTTGACATAATACTCTTTGTCTTATCGATCGAAGATTTGAAAACGGAAAAAAACGTGATAAGAGGAAAATGTGGCTACATGATTTATATGGAAAATTAATGATCAAAAATAAAGTAGAGACATTTTAAAGTTGATTAATGTTTGCCATTTTTACACAACAAATGACGAACTTGACTTCCAAAATTTGGATGTACATTGTTGAAAATCTTGATCATTCCTTCTTTAATTGGTTCGTAGCATGGATTCAAAGCACCGGCCAAGTTCTCACACAAACGATCTCTTTCGTCTTCACTCAATATTTTCTCCCAGAATTCTCTTGGTTGTTCATAATTGTGATCATCTCCAGTTTCATATCTATCAACATCTCCAGTTGCTTCAAACACTGAATCTTTGACATCTGGACGAGTTCGATAACCATTGAAACTATTTGGGAAATAGTTTGGAGCTTGTTCTTGATTGTGATAACTCATAACACCATCTCTTTGAGTATTATGAGCACGTGCACGATATGGACAATTAACTGGTAATTGAATGTAGTTTGGACCAAGTCTATGGAAATGTGTATCAGTGTATGAGAAAATACGACCTTGAAGCATTTTATCTGGGGAGAATTCGATTCCTGGAACCACGTGAGCTGGACAGAAAGCGGATTGTTCGATCTAAAAACATTCTATTGTTGTGAGTGATAACCAAAAAATGTTTACCTCTGCAAAATAATTCCGAGCGTTTTTATTCAAAACCATTTTTCCAACTTCAATCAATGGATAATCTTTATGTGGCCAAACTTTTGTAACATCGAATGGATTGAATTCCCATTTTTCAGCTTCTTCAAATGTCATAACTTGAATATACAATTTCCAAACTGGATAATCTCCCTTTTCAATCGAATTGAACAAATCACGAATTGAATAATCTGGATCAGAACCAGCAAGTTCTCCGGCTCTTTGAACAGTCAAATTCTTGACACCTTGGACTGGCTGAAAGTTTTTTTAAAAAATGTCGAAACTTCATTTTTTTGCAGAAAAATTAACCTTGAAGTGGAATTTGGTGTATACAGCCTTTCCATCTTTGTTAACAAATTTGAATGTATGCGATCCATATCCATTCATATGTCTATAACCATCTGGAAGTCCACGATCTCCGAATAAAAACATTATTTGATGCATAGCTTCAGGGCGATGGAGCCAGAAATCAAACATAGCATTTGGATCTTTGAGATGAGTTTGTGGATTTCTTTTTTGAGTATGAATAAAATTCGGGAAATGAATTGGATCACGAATGAAAAAGATTGGAGTATTATTTCCAACCAAATCCCAGTTTCCTTCTTCGGTATAAAATTTGACAGCAAATCCACGTGGATCACGAGCAGTGTCAGCAGATCCAAGCTCACCACCTGGAAATTAGAGTATTTTTGTTTTTGAAATTAATTAATTTATCAGTACTATTATTTTTTGGATAAAAAACGTGGACTATTTCATTTTTCATTTTCAATATGTACAAAACCAGTCTTTTCAAAAAACAAATTGAGATCGTAAGTTTTAAAAAAAACCACACAAAACTTTGATAAAAATCAATAAATCTAGAACTTACCAACAGTCGAGAATCTAACCAACAATGGAGTTTGTTTTCCCACTTTACTGAAAATATCAGCCTTGGTATATTTTGTAATATCATGTGTAACTTCAAAATATCCATGTGCTCCAGCTCCTTTTGCATGTACAACTCTTTCTGGAATTCTTTCTCTATCAAAATGTGCCATTTCATCCATATAAACAACATCTGACATCAACATTGGACCTCTTCTTCCAGCAGTCAAAACTGCCGTCTTTGTATAAATTGGAGCTCCATTTGATGTTGTAATAACACGCGGAGTCTGCAAATGTTCATATTGTTAATTTGAATCGGCGCCACAAATTCTATCGGAAACACTACACAAGAAAAGTGGGAGCAACTAAAAACCGTGGAAGAAAATAAAAATATGTCGTCAATTTGCGTGTGTGTGTCTGTGTGTGGTGTTTGCAGAAAATAAAGCCTAGATACACTTATTTGAAATTATTTCATTTTCTCAATAAAAAAAATATTTGGCTATTTTCAAAACGACATTTCATGGATTTTTGGCGACTCCGTGAGTTTTTTCAAGTTATTAGATGGTAAACTAGTCTACCCTTTTGATAATCTAGAAAATTATAACATTGTTAAATACTATAAATTTCGGAAATGCGTGTGTTCTAATTTTGAGATATTTAGATATTTACTAAAGTATATCAGTAGATATTTAGCTTATCGTATTTAAAATAATGTCCCACTTTTAAAATCCACTCTACTCAGAGATTCGCTGGCCAGCTCGCCACTAGATCAGGACCAGGTGGCCGGAAAGTTCAAAACGAGCTGAATTTGATTCGGCCACCAGTTCGCCTTGAGTTTTCCGGCGACGTGGCCTGTGTGTTTGAAATCCTGGAAAGCTAGCAAGACGGTGGTTTGTACTCAAAATAGTGCATTTTTACTGTTTTTTTCACTTCCTAAGGTTTCTAGTACTCCGAAAAAACAGAAAATGAGCCAATTTCTTCTAGAATGCTCTGATTCACAAGTTTTTTGGACTTTTTTCTCTTAAGCGAGACGATCTGGACGCGAGGTCGGCACGAGCTGGACAACCTGGGCGAGGTGGTCTGCATGAACTGAACCACCTCGCGACCAGGTCGTCTGGCAAAAAATACGGGCGATGTGGTTGTCCGTGTCAATTTCAGATGGGCAGTCGGTCCCACCTAGTGACCAGCTGGCCAGCGAATCTCTGAGTAATAGTTTTTTTAAAAGAATGAATGTGATTATAAAAGATAAACTTACGCTACTTCCAGTTTTGTAGTTTTTCAATTGATTATCAGATGGATCGTTTCCCATTGTTTCTTACAAGGTTCTGAAATTTCATTTATTCATTCAAATATACAAAATAAAAGGTATAAGGTAAAACAAAAAGAGAATACAAATGTGATTCGCGTTATCAACCAACCACCAATGCGTGTTTACCCTATATTGTAGTCTATGATAACAGCCGATAAAGTGGTCAAAAAACAAATATATTTTTGCTGTTTTTTGCGTAGATCAACAAAATATCATAAGTATATAAGGTATGAATTTCGGACAAAATATATTCTGGAGACATCATTTTCTTTTTTGTACTTAATGTAGGCGATGTTTGAGAAATGATGAGAATTTTTGACATAATACTCTTTGTCTTATCGATCGAAGATTTGAAAACGGAAAAAAACGTGATAAGAGGAAAATGTGGCTACATGATTTATATGGAAAATTAATGATCAAAAATAAAGTAGAGACATTTTAAAGTTGATTAATGTTTGCCATTTTTACACAACAAATGACGAACTTGACTTCCAAAATTTGGATGTACATTGTTGAAAATCTTGATCATTCCTTCTTTAATTGGTTCGTAGCATGGATTCAAAGCACCGGCCAAGTTCTCACACAAACGATCTCTTTCGTCTTCACTCAATATTTTCTCCCAGAATTCTCTTGGTTGTTCATAATTGTGATCATCTCCAGTTTCATATCTATCAACATCTCCAGTTGCTTCAAACACTGAATCTTTGACATCTGGACGAGTTCGATAACCATTGAAACTATTTGGGAAATAGTTTGGAGCTTGTTCTTGATTGTGATAACTCATAACACCATCTCTTTGAGTATTATGAGCACGTGCACGATATGGACAATTAACTGGTAATTGAATGTAGTTTGGACCAAGTCTATGGAAATGTGTATCAGTGTATGAGAAAATACGACCTTGAAGCATTTTATCTGGGGAGAATTCGATTCCTGGAACCACGTGAGCTGGACAGAAAGCGGATTGTTCGATCTAAAAACATTCTATTGTTGTGAGTGATAACCAAAAAATGTTTACCTCTGCAAAATAATTCCGAGCGTTTTTATTCAAAACCATTTTTCCAACTTCAATCAATGGATAATCTTTATGTGGCCAAACTTTTGTAACATCGAATGGATTGAATTCCCATTTCTCAGCTTCTTCAAATGTCATAACTTGAATATACAATTTCCATGTCGGATATTCTTTTTTCTCAATTGCATTGAACAAATCACGGATTGCATAATCTGGATCTTCCGAAGCCAAGCGTCCAGCTTCGGAAACTGTTAGATTTTTTACTCCTTGTTCAGGCTGAAATTTGTTTTAAAAAATGTCGAGATCTACTTGAAATCACAAACCTTAAAATGGAATTTAGTGTATACAGCTTTTCCATCTTTGTTGACCAATTTGAATGTATGCGATCCATATCCATTCATATGTCTATAACCATCTGGAAGTCCGCGATCACTAAACAAAAACATAACTTGATGAATAGCTTCTGGTCTATGAATCCAGAAATCAAACATAGCATTTGGATCTTTGAGATGAGTTTGAGGATTTCTTTTTTGAGTATGAATAAAATTTGGGAAATGAATTGGATCACGAATGAAAAAGATTGGAGTATTATTTCCAACCAAATCCCAGTTTCCTTCTTCGGTATAAAATTTGACAGCAAATCCACGTGGATCTCTTACTGTATCAGCAGATCCATTTTCTCCTCCAACAGTCGAAAATCGAACCAATAAAGGTGTCTGTTTTCCAATTTTGTTAAATAATTCAGCCGTGGTATATTTTGTAATATCATGTGTAACTTCAAAATATCCATGTGCTCCAGCTCCTTTTGCATGTACAACTCTTTCCGGAATTCTTTCTCTATCAAAATGTGCCATTTCATCCATATAAACAACATCTGACATCAACATTGGACCTCTTCTTCCAGCAGTCAAAACTGCCGTCTTTGTATAAATTGGAGCTCCATTTGATGTTGTTAAAACTGGTGGCTCAGGGTTTTGATTTTTGAAGTTCTTCAATTGATCGTCTGACATATTTGGAGTATTATCGTTGACAGCTAAAATATAGTTTTGAGTGATGGTTTTAGAATGCAATGTATTTTATTTTTATACTTTATCGATGTCATCTTTTTGAAATCATCATTTCTCCGATGATCATCAATGACTATAATGTAAACCTACTTAATTTCAAAACTCCACGGAACATTCCACAAAGGTTGGAATTTGACCAGCTTATTTATTATTTACCTAAAAAAATACCAATGATAAAAGAACAGAGGAACATTAAAAAATGGAGAAAAAACGCAATTGAAAAATAACAACTTTCACTATGTATTTGTACCAACCAGTAGACCTATAAATAATCTTCGGAAAAACAGGAAAATCAGCACATGGTGACAAATTGTTGTGATTTATATATTTATTGACGACTATCGGAGAAAAATGAAAAAGTAAGAAAAAAAACGGATGAGAAAATTGAGACATGTTGACATAACGCATATTTAAGTATAAAATCACGCCCAAGCATTTTGAAGTTGGGAGAAATAGTAATCGGTTTCGGCGTTTGTGTCTTTTACTGACACACTCACTCGTTTTTGCTGTAAATAAATACTCGGAATGTTTTATTTGTTTGTTTATTTGTTTATCGAAATGTCATAGGAAAAAGGAAGTTCAGATAACGAAAAAAATCATTGAAAAATATGGTAAAATGTCATTGTTTTTGTTTTCAAATAAGAAAAGTGGATATGATGACAAATAAAATTTTTGCACTTTCTGCTATACTTTAAGGTTTCCGAAGGAAAAACAAGTTTTTTTTCCAAGTTGGCTGAATTCATTTAATTTACCACAACTCGTTCAATCCGTTGTGAACAAGACCATTTTTAAAATAAAACAACACATAGTTTTCTAGATAACTTCTTATGTATCAAAAATAATTTTGTCATATTGAAAATCTACATTTTTCTATTTGGCATTTTGATTTATGGGAACCACGATGTTTGTCGAGGTGTGTCACTTACTCTAATTGCAAATGGTAAATGACCCGCATGACCTATGCATACAACAGGAAGTAGAATTAGTGAACTGAAAATTAGAAATAGTTTTTTAGATCCTAGCCAGAAAGAATACTCACAATGCTATGAAGAAATCAAAAAATGATATGAATAAATTGGACATAGTTGATCCTTTTTCAAAGACAAATTTCGCCATGATATAACAAAAAACAATACAGCCCATTGTACAGCAAATTGTCACGAAAAGATATCTCAAAACCTGAAAAACTGTTACGAGATTAATTTCATGAAAGTATTTACCTTGAATACTCGTAGATTTTCGTCGCATTGAAATCTTGCGCTCAAGGTATATTTTTCGTTATTTGAACTGTTCTCGCATAATTTTAGTTTTTGTAGTTTTTCTTCGTTATACTTTGTTATCACGTAAAATGTCTGAAAAAACCAAGTTTTCTGAAAGTCTCTAATTAGTTCATTTTAATTTACCAATGAAGCACTGCTAATTACGAAAATATTGAGAACTACATAATAAATTGATGATGTCATTGCTGAAAAAATTAGCCTTTTTTTAATTTTATAATATAAACTAGACTTACTAAATAATGACGGCAATGAAAAAGAAAATGTTAGAATAATTCCAATAAAAAGAGAAATCAAAGCAACCCATCGACGTTTTTCTGTTTCATAGTTCATCACATAATATGTTGCGAATGCTCTAAAATAATATGTTATTTACACCTGGTTATTTTCTTTCCAAACTACATATTTTTCATAAAATCACATGCTTGTCATACAAAAAAAATACCTTTCAAAAACAATAACTGGAAGAAGAAATGTGGAAAGAGCGAAAAATTCAACTCGAATACAAGCACATATAAATGTCATCATCATCAATTCTGAAAATGGTTTTTTAATAAAAACTAATGATAGATGTGATCAAACTACACATATAATTATGGTCAATGTTCAATGAAAACACGTGATATATTTCAAGTTTTTGGTTACTGTAGATTCATTTCCGGAAAAGTTACCGTTTGATTCAATAAATCCAAGTTGCAAAATAAATAACCAAACTCGTGATCCAACTCCAAAAATAGAATAAAAAGCATAACATCCTAATATAAATCGAAGATTTGTATGAAGTGAACAAACTTTGATAATGTAATACACAAAATAAATGTTCATTGAAATTGCCAAAAATATCATTAACATTTCAACAGAATAAACAGCAAATATTATTGGAGCTTTAGCTTCTTCGCTCTCAATAAATACAGGCAACCAATAATAGAAGCCATCATAAAGGAATCGTCTTCCTAAACATTTATTTGAACATTCTAACTGGACATTCATTGTTTTTATGAAGAAAAAATGTTGAAATTTTCGAACTAATTTTGTTTGGTTTTTTTTTCAATAATTATATTCATTAAACAAGAAAATTTCGTGTGAAAAGGAAACTAACCGAAAAAGGCAAATGTTCGATTCGGTGAAAATGTAGTTGTTGTTGACATAGTATTTCTGAAAAAAATAGAACTAGAAATAATAATTGGAAGAAAAACGAAAAAGTGAAAAATTATGAGCAGGTGAAGTTAGTTTCGGAACTAAAACTTACAATTAAAGGGTAACATATAATTAAAATTAGCAATGAACAAGCTTAAGTTTTTGAAAATTAAATCATGAATAAGATACTGTAGAATGAATCAAAGGAAGCTTCGATAAATATTGAATTTAGAAAAAAAAATTGTGTGGTAAACAGGAAACTTCACCTGTGATTATATTCAGATTATTTCATCTGAATCACAATACACGTGTTCAATGTAAAAACATCTTGTTGGTTGTCAGAAAAATTGATTGTGATGGGCTTGCATAATTCCTGTTCTTAGATTTTTCAGAAATACTTCAAAAACATTTCTGAATTTTTCCACAATTTTTCTGATTAGAAGAACACCATTGACCACTTCCGAATTTTATTGAAAAATGAATTTCAAAAATTCAATTTCAATCTGTCGTTTCAGTTTTTCTATAACTTCTTATTTTCCAAAGTTTCCTGATCCTCAAAATAGACAGACATTTTAAAGATCTTGCTCTCTAAATTCATTAGGTTCAACAATTAGTTCTAAAAATAGAAAACAACAGAAACTAGAAGTTATTTTAGTCGTTTTTGGTTTCCACTGTTTTCTTTTTTTCCCAATTATAATTATTTATTATAAATATATTTATGATTTCATTTTTATTTATATTTTCACAAGACACCCACATTAATATATGTAGATCTTCTTCCTGTGTTTTCACCTGTTTTCATTATTATTCTCATTATTGTTTTTTTCTAATTATTTTTATTCATCTGTTTTTATGGTCTCTGGTTTTTTCATCGTTTGAAAACTGGTGAATGAAAATGTTTTCTTTTAATTTGAAAGAAGTCTGGAATTTCTCAAACGTGAACTTTTTGTTTTTTCCTGTTGGAAATTTGGTTTTCATTTTTGAAATAACTTCAATTTTTGATTATTTTTCTGTGAGAACAATGCGTTTTCACCTTTTTAATCAGCAGCTGCTTTTTCGAGTTTTTCAAATGTTTATTCTAAAAAAGTCGATTTTCTTGCGTGACAAATCACTAACAAAAATTGTTTTTACTTCTTCATACTGTAATTATTTTTCTTTTTTTCTCCGAAAATCGCATTCCACATCAATAACATTTTCTTGCGAGTTCTGCTAACTTAATTCAGTTGAAAACGAACTTCAAAAGTATTTTTCTCGTAATTTTTTTTCTATTTTTGTCCATCAAAAGTACTCTTAACTAGCCGTCTCGTTTTTCGTTTTTTTTCTCAAAAAAAAAGAAACGGGAAAATACTCAAAACATATTCATTACTAAGTAATTATGTTTACCACAAAATACTATTCATCTATAGTTTTTTGTTGTTTTTTATTCTGGAAGAGTACAGTTTTTGCAAAATTTTCAAATATCGTTCCAAACTAATTTAATTTTGTGTTCAAGTATGAAAAAAATTAAAAGCAAGAAAAAGATGGAACAAATTGGAAATTGATGAAGAAGAAAATTGAGCGAAAATGTATGCATGTGCCAACTTTTTTCCACCCATTTTTTTCTGTTTTTCTGATCTTTCAATTTAATTGAACAGTTTTTTGAAAGGTTTGCAACACAAAATGTAATTTTGTTCAAGTTGTTTTCGCACAACAGAAAAGTTTATGGATTTTTTCGTGTCGTTTTAATTTCACTCACATTTTTTCGTTTTTTTCTTTCGTTTTTTGTTGAATTTTTTCGAGACTCATAAATTTTAAATTTTTATGTTCTCAAAACAAACTAGGATTTTTGTGAGAGAGGAAAAGAATGACGAGATCTAGAAAGCCTTGAAAAAATATTTGGAAAAAAAACTCTCCGAAAAATTGGACGATTGTGATTTTTCAGTTCTTTTGTTATAACCATTTCGAAAAATTGTTCCGATTCAGAATAATAAAAAAATAATGGTACGATTTGTGAAATTTGAGGGCTATCTCATTTTATTAGTCCGGATCCGAAACTCCATAAAAATCAACCCGTTCAAGCTTCTTGTTTTTTTTTCGGTGACTACAAGTTTTGTACCTTTCCTCGATACATATTTTTTGTAATTTGAACTCACTCAGTTTGTGATTCTATTTATAGTTTTATACTAACAAAGATTAGTCAGTCATTAAAACATTTTAATTGAAAAAGTATCAACGGCAGTCAGAAAAAGGAAAAATTGAGTGGGAATTCATCAAATTTTCATGAAAATGTGTTTTTTCTTCATCGGTTTTCCCTCCTCCTTCTTCGTTTTTCTTCTTCTTCTTTTCTCACATGTTTCAATCCATTATTCATTCATTTATATGTTATTTGATACTATAACTCGAGCATTGAAAATAAGAAAAACAATTTTTTCCAGACACAAAAATTACGGACTTCAAATTTATATCGGGTTTTATGAAGGTAGGTCTTCTTGATCAAAAAATATAAAAAAGAGAAACAATAAATTTTTACGATCTTGCGCATGTTTGATGTGCAATTTTTAGTATACTGTTTCATTTTTATCTTGAGACATAGAAATATTTTTATGAACTCAAGATCTCTTACAATTTTTGAAAGGATTTAATTTCTTGTAAAGTTTTGATTTTTCGAGTAAATTAATAACATTATAATTCTTGATATAATATTCGATTGTCCATCATTTGACTCCTAAAAATCAAACCTAACAAATTTACACATGAATCACTTCCTGGAAGTTTCAAAAGACTCAAATTATAGAAAATATACAATAATTTTCTTTGTTTATCTCACCAACTTTTTTCCCTCTATTTTTTTCTCATTCAATTGTCATAACAAAACAGAAAGAATAACTGAATATTTGAAATGATTCAATTTAGTTTGGCACCCAAAACAAACTAAACCCAAAGAAACAAAACTATATATTTTGTTTCAACGAAAAAATGTGTGAAGTATTAATTTTGATGCTAAATGCATTCTATCGTGTCTATTATCAATTATTCGATTTATGTGAACACACACTTATTTCAATTCTTATTCTTCTTGTTGTTCTAATATGTTTCATTCCGGGACTTTTCACTATGAAAACTGTGAGTTTCTTATCAACTTACAATAAAATATAGACTGAATTATAAAATTGTGGTTCTTGGAAGAGATGGGCTAGAAGAACTAATATGTATTAATAAATGATAAAAGGATTCGACAAAGTCTACTGTAGATTTGGTTTTTGAAGACTTTTCCATGTGCATTTCTCCATAAAATTTTCGTATCAACAAAATGCAATTGTCACATGGGGATACACTTTTCTGAAAAAAATTTAATTATTTTTAATTTTTGGAAAGCTATCGGAAAAATATTGAGTGTTTTTTTTTCAAAAATTTTCTACATCTGTTTTTTTTTCAAAACTGAGCTATCGATAATCCTCTTATTACGTCAAAAGTATATATTTGTTTTTTTTTTACAAATCCGAACAACCGAAAGCTTGCACTTATTTTTTTCCTATTTTCTCACAGCTTTGCTTGTTTTTTCATCTGATTTTTGTTTTTATTCCAATTCCTATTCTAATTTCTCTTTTTTTTTCGGAAATTTGAGTGAATTCTCTGTGTGTGTTTTCCCAGATTATCTGAAAGGCAATCCAATCCACCAAAAATTGCAACAAATTTCCCATTTTTCCCAATGAATTTGTCTATCTTCCAAAGAGGAAAAAACTAATCCCCATTATTTGTGTCATTTTCAGATTTTTCCTCCTCCAATGTTCATGTTTTTCTCGCTTGTTTAGCGCAGTGCTTTTACTTGATTTGTTCGCTTAATTTTCAGCTGCCTGCTAAATTTCTGAAACTTTTTTTCACTTTTAGAAAAGAAAAACTCTGAATTTGCATTCTTCTCACAATTTTTTTTCAATTTAATTCGCTGTAGAAAATACGTATTTTTCAAAGAGACATAAAGGGCAATAAATATTCAGGATATTTCAAATTCAAATTTATTCCGAACACAGATTTTTGATTTTTTAGTTTTTATTCTCAATTTTTCTTTGCTCTCATTTATTTTTGGGAAAAACATCTCACGTCATTTGGAACAATTATTTATTCTGTATCCAATTTTCGGGCAGAAAAAAACTTGTTAAGGCTGAATTGTTTTTTTCTAGAATTATTGTATTCAATTATACTTTTTATAAATTGGATAAAGTTATTTTTGTTTATTGAAAATATGCGGGGAGGCGGGTTAAATAAAAATATGGTTATTTTTTGTAAGTAATGTATTTGATTCATTTAAAATTAATTTTTTTTTTATAAAAAAAAATCTGGATTTCTGAAATCAAAAATTTCAAAAATCAAGCTAAATTTTTCTGGAATAGTTTGAGCCCTGGTTTTTTCAGTAATCTGTGGGAATTTTAGTAATCAATATTTCAAAAAGACCTTTTTCAGTTCAGTTCATTTCATTTTTCCATTTCTAAAAAAAATGTGGGTGAATCCTATTAGTCAACCTATTACTACCATTACTACTAATGCATATGTACACAAATAGAGATCACATATATGCACATCACATCACATCTTTTTCCCTTCTTCTATTTTTCTTCTTCTTCTTCTTCCAACTAATTCTTCATTTGCACATTTTCCGTGTATTCCACAACACAATAATTGAGGCAGTCCGCCCAGCTTTTTTTGTTGATTTTTTATTTTATTTTACGAGGGTTCAAAAATTCAAAGACATTTATATTTTTAGCTCTTCTCGTTTTTTTCTTTCATCTCATAATAAATTATGATTTTTCCTGCTTCGTTTTCTTCTTCTTTTTTTTCCGCCCGCCGATATCTCGAAACGTCTCAATTTCCTTTTTTAAAAATTCAAGAAAAATTATTATTTATTTTTTGTGCTTCCGGCATCGAGTTACACCATTTAAAATGCACCGTCGCAGAATATGCCGCATTCTTTTTCGTTTTGTTTTTGTCTTTTTTTTGTGATTCGTATTTTTTTCGGCTTTTTTTGGCAAGAGTAAACCTATAAATTATTCAAATTGACTAGATTCCTTTGGGTGGTATTTGTTTGGGCAAATTATTTTTGGGGAGTACTGTAGTTGGCCCAATTTTTGAAAAGCAGGGAGGGAATTTTGAAAAACAATTTTGAAAAAAAGTTTTGGAAAAAATGGGAGTTCTGAGAACTAACAGTAAGTTCAGCTTCTAATTTGAAAGTGAGTATTTTCTAGAAGAGTTCAAATTTTTAGGATTTTAGCTAAAAAATTTCAACAAGAAAAAAATACAAGGAGTTCAGTTTTAATAAGTAAACCTCTATATTCTTCTGGTTCCTGAAAAAATAATATCCAATGATATAATTTCAATATTTTCAGGAAGAACAGCGCCCGCTGTTTACCATCGGTGTGCTCGTTTGCGGCGTGGTCGGCGGCCTGACCGTCGTCATCTCCGTTGTTTACCTCTATCGATTCTGTTTGAAGAAAAGGAATCCAGTTAGCACGTGAGTTTTCAGTAGAAAATGAGTGAAGTTCAAAACTGACACACACAAATCTTTTTTTTTCAGAACTGGAAATCCAGACTTCAAGAGGGAACACATTCGGAGTGTCGTCGTTGGTTTGAGCCGACCATTGCCATTGCCGCCAGAATTTCTAACTTCATCAACTCCAAAACACACATCAACAACAAGTCTAGCATTTGAAGAAGAGAATAATGGAGATATTGATACAAATCGATCAATTGTTCCACTTCTTGTTTCAAATGATTCGAATTATGCATTAAGATTGTCACAAAACACTTATAATAGTGAGTTATAAAAAGGGGGATTTGATGATCAGAAATTCCGGGAGAAAAAGATATGAATTTTCGTCTCGAGAAAAATGCATGAATTATTCAATGAGACTGAAAAGAACACCACATCAGACTACATATGTTTTAACCTTTTTTTGTTTAGAAAATAGAACTCGAAGTATAATTGTAACGGTAGATCAAACAAATTTTTTCTATAAGCATCTCACTTCTCCACCTAATTCTGTTCTAGTAATTTCTTCGAGACGCGGGAAAAATTTTCGATACTTAAAATTTAAAACTAGTTGCTTCCAGACCAAAAAACAAAAAAATAAAAGTAAAAAAAACGACACTGCTTAATTTTCACACACTGTCTGAGCGGAGTGTCGTTATTTTATTTTTACAAGATTGCGCGTAGGATTTGGTGTTTGCGGGTAGTCGGTGTTGACGCACACTCTTATTTTTCATTCTTTCTTAGATTTTTGGATACATTTTTTGAATTGTTTTGTCTTTAAAATTAATTTTCATGAAATCAAAGAACGTTTGAAATTTCCGGTCTGAGTATTTGCACTAATTTAATAATTTTTCGATGAATTATAATTTTTGGCCAAAAAAACAATTTATCTCGGGATGTTTTTTGATTTTTGAATTGAGATCGAGAAGAAAAATTAGATAGATTTCTGGAATATTCAATTACTGTAGTTAATTTCGGGAACATTTTTTTTGGAATCTGACCGAAACATTTCATAAATTATTTTTTCCGTAACGTGACCCTCTGTTTCCAAATTCATTTCAAAAATCTCATTTTGCAGCATTGCTATCTGTTTCACCTGCTCCAACACGTGCTCATTCAACCGAACTTCTTCAACCCGATCAAAATGCTTCAGATGATGCGCGTCGAAGTTCATTTGAAGTTCAACGTGGAATTGGAAGACAATTGCCAAGTACACAAGGACTCGAGGTTGGTTCAATATTTTTTATTTGACATGAAAATTAGTTGTGAGAGAAAAAAGAAAAAAAAACATCTTCGGAAAAAAACCCTGATCATACGATAAAATTGCAATTGTTCTTCCCCAACGGAATGAAAGCAGAAAAAAGAGAGAAAATGATAGAAAAGAGGATCATTTTAAGTATAACCCGTAAGTTTTGTTTGAAGACAATGTTGGCAAAAATGAAGGAAAGAAGAAATATGATTAGAATTGAATTGCATTGAATGATTTGTGGAACATAATATTTGGGAGAGGGTGCTCACTAATTAACAGCATTTAATTGGAAAACATTTTTCGAGTGATGGAAAAAGGAAAACGGCTGCGGCACTTGGAGCATAATGAACTGACATTTTTGGTTGATCCATTGAATGAACTTCCTTTTGATGTTCAAGTTGTTCTTCTATTGAAACAGTGATTATTTTGCAGATCTTACATCTGAAAATAATATAATTATTTTTTATATAAATAATTAATAATTAGTGAGAAACTTACTTTAAAGTATGATTTGTTTGCACATGTCGAATTATTGACAATTTTTCACGCTTAACTTGTTGATTACAAATTCGACAAGGCCTGGAAAATTGTTGACATTTCTCCATATTTTGCATCAAATCATCCAAAAATCGTTCGGCATTTTTATCCGATTCCTTTTTCGGTCTTGTCGTTGAACGTGGAAAACATTGCGATAGAAAATTGCACATTTTTGGCATATCTCTTTTATCACAAAACATATCAACTTTTCTCGGATGATCTTTTCTCATATGTTCATATATTCTATATTTATCATTTGATTGCCAACCACAAATTCGACATTGATATCCGCCAGCATTTGCGTGTTCACTTATATGAGTTTGTATTGTATTTTCAGTATTCTCCATTTTCTTGTTACAAATTACACATGTTAATTGTCTTTCACGTTGTCGCATACTTTTCATTTTTCTATAAAATTCCACATGCGCTTTTCTGCGATCTTTTCCATCAATAGTTGTATCAACTGATTCAACATCAACAAATAAATCACAATCTTCTTCCTCTTCTGCTACTTTTGATGAAGTTGAAGCTAATGAAACACTTGGAGATGATGCTGATATTGTACTATTTGGTGTTAAAACAGGTGGTGGAGGACATAATAATCCAACAATATCTTGAGGTGAAATCGGTGAAGATACTGTAAGAAAAAACTTCAGTTTATATTAAACTTCGATTTTTCTATAACTTACATTTGCGATGTTTCAATGGTTCAGCAGGTTTGACCGGTAGATTTAGAATTGAGCTTATCGAAAATGTTTCTGGTGGTGTTGGTGGTTTTATTAAAGTATTTGATATCAAAGACGAGCCATTTGTCGTTGGTGAAAAATATGATAATTGGAGTGAGGGTGTAACTGGTGAAGGTTGAAGTGCGGGTAGAGAATTAAGATCTATAATAAACATAATATTATTTTAACATAATGACTGTTTTGTTCATGAATGACTCACTTGGTTGTTGTTGTTGCTGCTGCTGCAAACATAATAACTGTTGAAGTGCAACAAGTTGTCTTGTAAATGTATCATCTCCAGCAGCACCAACCAAATTATTACTTATTATATTATTATTAATTAATTGATGAACATTTGTAGTTGAAGAAGTATTTGTGACAATTGGAGTTGCTGATGAATTCACAGAAACATTGCTGCTACTTCCGTTAGGTGACGTCATGGCATTCAGAATCATCTATAAAGACAAAATAAAAAAATTTGGACTACGGCCAACAAAAAAAATGATGCTGCTTATTTTAATATTAGTCATATTTTGTCGTATATTGAAGAAAAAAAATCAAAAAATGAGCGGGAAACTATACACCTTCGTATCCTGTTTCTCGTTCGCTCTCTTTTTAATTTAGGGGTTTGAAAAAATAATCAAAAATAAAAATTGAGATGTATGTAAACGACAAACAAAGAATAGAACGAATATATATTTCCAGTCAAGATATATGTAATAAAGAATCACATAAAATATGAGAATAAAATCGAGACAAGAAATAACAATTGTCTATGAGAAGATGAATTGTAAATCGAGAACGAGCCAATGTTTCGACCCAAATTAATTATTTTCTTCTATTTTTTATAACTTTGCAAGAAAAAAGGCAAAAAAATAAGAGCAAGAGTTCATATCGGCGGAAGCGATTTATGCAACGCCCATGTTTTATTAATTTCAAAAGTTTTATACACGTCGCATATTTTTTTATTTTGAAATGAGAAAAAAAAACGGGAATATAAGTTTCTATAGAAACTTTGTGACTTGAGAGAATAAGAAAAAAAGTATATATTTTTTATTTTCGAAATTAGGATTGGAGTGACGCCTAATATTTGTTTTCAGTTTTCATTCGTCCAACGAAAAGGGCAACGAATATTTTTGAAAAATGTTTTCTACAGAATTCTAATTAGTAGTCTGCAAAAGGCTTATAAGCTATATTTTTCGTAGATAGCACACCTAGAACTATACGACTACAAAAAAGGTTTTTTGCCATATAGAAAAAAACCTGCGTAGGAAATGAAATATATATTACACTTGGGGTGACTGGTACCGGATCGCAACAGATTTTTTCTTGCTTTTGCTCACAATTCGGATCAAGTGTAATAATATTTTTCAAGAAGTAAATACGAAAAGATGAAAAAGAGAGGTTCAGAAAAAAGTTTTGATATATTATATTTGATTTATTTGTTATTGGCACAGGTGTCAGTCATTCTTTGATCATTTCTTTGCAATAAAAAAAATAGAAATCAGAATAGTATTTACTTTATTGGTCAAAAATTATAATGATTGATGAGAAGATTGTTTAAAATAAGGAAAGAAAAATGATATTTGTATATGACTGAATGCAAGATCAATTTTCACTAAAGTTTCAAAAAAAAGGAAGCTGAATAAACAAAAGATTGTTTTTTGAACACTTCAACACTAACTATGATACGACAACTTATTGTTATTAAAATTTTGATAGAACATTAGAGCACCACGTGTCTACTTACTCCAACAGCTGCACGCAGCAATAAACGATTTGTCATAAAAATCTACTTATTGCCACATGTTTTTAATTTTAAAACAATTGGTGAGAGATTTTCTGCTATCAGAAAACTACAGTCAAGCGAACCCAACCCATTAATTGAAAAAAAAACTCACTTTCAATTGAAATTGATCCATATTTCGCATATTATAGAGTTACGACTTCAATATTTTAATATTATTAGCACGACATTCTCTGTAAAATAAAATATTTGAACTAGAAAAACAGGAAAGGAAAAGAGCACAATAAAAGAGAATTTTAATAACGAATGAATGTCAAAATAGATGCTATATATATTGAATATTAATAGTTGACAATAGAGCCCCGTGTAGTTCCCATGGTTGTTAGCACGAATGATTTATGCAAACGAGCCAAAATTATTGAATTTTCCGATTTATATTTAATTCGAACAATAAAGTTTTGCAACCTACTTAGATACACGTCAACAAAAGTAAAAAGAATAATGAGACGAAAGGAAACAAAAAAAAGAAATAAAATTTTTGAAATGAAAGTTTTGCGAGCCACACAAATCGTGGCGGGACACGTCACACAATTTTTAAAATGTGCCTTTATTTCGTCTTTTTCTTTTTTATTTTTACGAAACTGAATTCTTTTTTAAAAAACGACGATTTATTTGTAAAGAGCTGCGTTTGTATTTACCTAGTCTAACGAAGTATGTGAACTTCAAAGAGTTCATTTTTCTCGGACACTTCCTTTTACAAAATAAATAGGAAGTTTCATAATAATAGTGAAAGAAAACTAAAAGAGTCACTGGGTTGGATGGCTAAAAAAGTAGATATTTGTTTAATACAAACTGTTCAAACGAACTTTTCCAGGCAGGCATTCGAGAAAAAAATTGTATTGCCATATATATTTTTTTTCTGTTTTCTAAAAATTCTTTGATAATCATCGATTATTGTTTTGTTGGATGTTTTCTACCGTAATAACATTAGTCGTTTCATTGGTCGAGTCAATGCAAAAAAGAAACGATTCAACCGACCACTCGAAACAATTTTTGCTTGTATTTATAGGTTGTGAGTGACTGAAGATAGTATTAGACGCAGACAAAAATAGTGATGCTGATGTTTCGGGTGTTTTGTGTGATTAATCAGAGAGATATAGGTAAAAGAGAGTTCAGAGAAACTATTGGCCGCCTAGAAAAAGTCTGCTTACCATGCGTGTTACTTTTGATGTAGATCATTTATCTTCTTTCAAACGGACAAATTTTACCGGTTTTCTAGTTTGTAGTTTACAAAATACAAAAACAAAGTTAGGGTGTACCGTGTAGTTCTAGGCAATTTTTTTAGAATTTCTTCAAGGTTCTCTGCATAAAAAACTAAAACTAAGAGAAAATAAAACAAAAGGTGCCGCGGTCTCTATAAAAAGTCATAAATTTCGGCGCTACAGTACACGCTAACAAAAACTTTATTATATAATATTTTCTTTAGAATGTTCTTTTTTTATCATCGGAGCCCCATTGTTATGTGTTTTTTGATGTGGGAGAACATATTTGAAGGGGTTACTGTATTAACTAAGAAAACGAGGAAATACGAAAATCCCACGCAAATGTATAAAATATGAGTCATTCTAAGGGTATTTACAAAAGAGATTGTGATGATGATTGATATTATGAAATCAAGTCGAGACTCAAGTGGTTTCTAGATTTAATCGAAATTTTTTCGAAATACGCAATTTATATTAGAACAAGGTGAAATCAATTCCAAATCATCATGCAAAAAACCCGTTGCATAAAAGAAAATTGTTTCAAAACCAAACAGCTGATAACATGTTTTTATTGTTCATAAGAAATTGTTGAACATTTTCGGAAACTTGCATTTGAAGCATTGAGAAAATTGATTCCATTTGAATCTGGAAGTAGTATCTGAAGGTATTATTATTGTTATTTTGAAACTAGAATTCTAGAGGCCCTCTAGTAAAGGATTTTGACCTAATCTAAAAAAGTGATACCGTATAACCGGGAATTGATATGTTTTTGAACAAGATCATTTTCAACAACATTTTGATTATCAAAGATAAAATTCTTTTTTTTTCAATTGGTGATGATGTTTTGGTCAACATCAACGACATTAGAGATAAACAAAAAAGGGGCAGAGGAGAAGAGGTTAGGTAATAACCTCTTTCCCAGGGACACAATGAATTTTTGGAGTATTTATATACCCACCTACCAAAACTGGTTTTCTCTTCGTCTCTTTTCCAATTTCTCTTTTCTCTGTTTTTCATATCGCATGGCTAACCACGGGAACGAACGGATTGATAGATAAATAAAGACGAAGAGACTTAGATAGAGAGCATCAGATGTTTTCAGTTAAGATCTGTTTTTGATTGATTTGGGTCAATCACTTTTTTTTGTTGATCATAAAGGTTAATTGAGTTTTCGAAAAAATAAATTAATTTATGAGAACTTGGAAATATAAATGATGTGAGATGAGATCACTGAAACAGCCTTGTTTTCTGTACTTGATCTTCTTATTTAGTCTGTTTTTTGTCACTAATATTATGATAATCAATATAAAATAAGTCGAGTTTTTCTTTTTTTTTCTTGTTTCTTTTCTTTCGATTTGTCGCACTCGATCATCTTTTTATCACTCGCAATGCCATAAGATCAGCATCAACTTTTTTTGGAGAAAAAAGGCGGGGTCGAACGGTTGTATAAATACCCAATTTTTTCGCGTTATTTGTTGATGGAATGAGATTGCAGAATTGGAATGTTATTCTTTTTTCATTTTCGGGTATTTTTTTGCAAAAGAAAAATTGGATTGAATACTTGAACTTGAAACATAGATATTTGATCCGACAGGAAAAATGGAAACCAATCTAGTTTTTAATAAAAAAATGAAACTATTCAATAACATTTCAAAAATCCGAAAAGCTTTCACAAAACATATGTTACGAAGTGAGCACAAAAACAAAAATATTGCATCAGACTCACTAGATAAATATTATAATCATTGCAGAGTTATCTATTTTGAGGGGAACTTTTTAAGACCAATTATTATACAGGGTTCAATTTTCATAAAATGCATTAGTTTTTCTTGATTTCGAGGAGCTGTGGTGTTCCAGGAACTTTCTACAAAACAACAACAACAATATTTTTTAATGAGAAATTGATAGTACAAACATATGAATAACAGGTTTTTTGAACAAAAACAACGCGAACCAAACTTGTCTTGACATTAGAAATGAACAAATTGAAAAGTACATGATGAATTCTGAAAATGTCAGAAAACCAATGACTTCTACTATTCATAGTCATTTTATTACGATTTTAATTAATACCGTATTGAATTTCGAGAAAAAAAGAGGAAAGAAAAGATCATTATGATTAATTAGGTATTCGAAGAAAAACATATGAGAGATATGTTTTTGTAGTTCAAAACACAAAGATATCAAATCAAATCACACACAAAAAATGTTTGCCACGATTCTCCAGAAAGAGTAATTTATTTACAAAAAAGAAACTATGAAGAGGTAACTGGCAAAATTCTCTAAATCTTTCCATCGAAGATCGTAATCACAAAAACCTAAATAAGGTTTTTTCCGAAAAGGACAAATTGATGAAATCTGATGGTCGAAAGGCAGAGAAAAATAAGCGAGATCTATGATCGATATTCTGAATTCCCAAAAAATTATAATTTTATATTATCTATTGGAATTTTCCAATGTGCTTTGTTAAAATGGAGACACCCTATTTTGTTATCTATTTTCCGGAGTTTTTTATCATTAATTAAGAAATAAATCATCATTTCTAAAAAAAAAAGCTGCCAAAAAAATTCAGCCAAAAACAGAAGAAACTCATTTACATCATCAAAAAGAAAAGAAAAAATTTCAAGCCTAATTAGCAATTAACTTGTCGAGAATAAGACAAAATATCGAAAACCGCTCACATCAAAAAATCAGAGCAGCTGCCACGAACAAAATGATAATTTGAAGTGCTCTTTTATAGTTTTTGAGTTTACTGATAACTTGGGCAGCTTATCAGTTCATATAAAGGTCTCATGGGGTTGAAGAGCATTCAATGATGATAATAAAATATATGAGCGAAGAAAGAATGAGAGGCAAAAAATGTGTCGCGATGTGATGATGTGTCACATTGTAGTTTAAATTATTTTCCGCTCATTAGATTTTTTTTTCAGAATCCACGTCATCAATTTGAACATGATCGACAACGAAGAATGAGCCATTTTGCTCGGAGCAATGCTGTACAATACAATATGTCGCCTAGAAAACAGGTAAAATTTCAAATTTATCTGATAGAAACATTGTAGTCAGTTTTTTATTTCGATAAATACCAACTTTCAACTGTTAAAGTGATAAACTACAATACAAAAAAGAAACAAAAATAAATACGTTGATCGTACTCTGATGTGAAACTTTGAATAGTTCAATTTCAAAATTTGTTCTATTTTTTGCAGGTTTCTTCACCGCTTCCTGATCAACCTCGTCGAATTTATGAAAGAGGACATGCACATTCGCGATCTTGGAATCCAGGTGTTGGAAGTGGTCCATCTCCTCCACCTCCACCACCAATAATTAATCAAACATCTTACCGATATTTTGAGAATGTGAGACTTTTATTTACATGAAATATGAGAATCTGTGACTCAACAAATCCTTATTCATTTTCAGAAAGACGATTTTGTTGCCCCTGTTATTCGAATGATCGAAGTTCCAATTATTAATGAACCACCTTCTCCAACCCCAAGGGAACATTCAGAGAGAAGACGGAGTTTTGTACCTAGACAGGTTAGTTGAACTTTTTGAATGATATCATTGTTATTTTTAGGCAAAATCATTTGATGATCGAAATCCACAAGTGGCCGCTGATCGTAGACTTGCACTTGATCAAAGATCTTATACATTAGCCGAAAAAATTCGAAATGAAGAAGAGGAAGAAAAGGTGCAAGTATCAGTTGCGTGTCAAAGTTTGTGGGCAGCAAAAGGGCATTTAGAACAATTGCACGCACTTGGAATATCTGAACCTTCTTCTGTTTCAACTTCTTTTGAATCAAATACTGATAGTCAAGCAACAGCTGATACAATTGAACAACAAAGAAATGAAAATGCAAAAGGAAAACGATTACAATATAAGTAAGTTGGGATTAATCAATTGGAAGTTTGGAATTGAAAATGATCTAGAATTGAAAACATTAATGTTTAATCTGAAACTTCTAATAGATCAACATCATCTTTGCCAACTCGAATTTTACCAGTCGCACCTGATGAGTTTAATTTACTTCAACAAGTTTATGCATGGGAATGTCGAAGATCCCAATTCAGAAATTTGTAAATTATTAGTATACTATTCCAGTAGACTTTATCAAAATCTTTACAGTTTTGGTCAACTTCCACATGTAAAATCACAAGAAACGACTTTGACTAAAAGTACGTGTAGAAAAAACTCACATTCGAAATGGTCGAAAAAACGAAAACTTAATAATTTGTGGGTTATGGTATTGAAAACGCATGACATTAGCTGTGTTTCTGAACAACGACCCTAGCTAGACAAACATTCAACCCTAAAAACCTAGAGTTCCTCTTCCCGAATTACTGTAGACAAGACTCCTGCTCACCTCAAAGTTGTTTTCACTGCCACTTTCCAGCTCTGATAATAATAAAAAATGAAAAAAAAACCAAATAATAATTGAAAATGACCAAGTTCACGTAGTATTTTTCTAGAAATCATTTTATTTTAGTAAATTTAAAGTTATTTCCCAAGAAACTAACTAGATCTCATGTGACGTCTTTATGAAATTAAGTAAAATAGACATTAGGAAATAAAATAAATTAAAGAGTAGGTGGCGACAAATGCTGACCCCTCGACCAGGTTGATTCTCGGTGACGGTTTATATAGTGTTGATTTGATTGCGGGTTACTGTATCTGAAATAAAACCATTTATTTCGTTATTGAGGGAGGGAGTGAGATAGTGTGTGTTTAGTATACGCGCAGGTTCACAGCTGATAAAGAATGGCTTTTATTAAAGTTTTGAAAAGATATTGGTTTTCATATTGCAACGGAAGTTCAAACTACAAAAATGTTAGTGGGATAGTAAAGAATAGAAGACTGGAATTATTTAGGTGATCACATTCCTTTACACCTTACCCCTTTTAATGAGGACCGTCCTCGGTCCGATAAAAATTACTGTATCCCTAAATAATTATGAATTTGAGAAAAACTAAACGTCCGATAGGACTGGAAGTAGAAAAAAAAATTAGTTTCGGAATCAAAGAAATGAAAGAAAAACATTAGAAGATAATTTATTTGCTAAGTTCGACGTTTCCACCCAACGTAATGCTTAAGCATCCCTCGGTAAATGTGGTGTCTCTATGGCTAGATATTGTTTTGCCTACTTTACCTGTGGCTGGTTCCCAACTCACTTTAAGTTAACTTTTAGCGAAAACATAACCGGCAGTGATCCTCGTATATCGAGAGGACTAATTTGTGAATATATCTTTTTTCCTTTTTGATTTTCTTGAAATATGCTGTTGAATTTAGAGCAGCAAGTGATTTGTCGAATAGAATGAGGATTCTGCTCCTTGTTGTTTTGACTCAAGATTTTCTCATCTAGTTTCCAAAATATCGAAGCAACTCGAAATCAAGTAACAAATTTGATATTCGCGGTTGATCATTGTCGTCTACGACGCACCAGGATGTCAGAATGCGAAAAAAAAACTTTTGTGAATCTCAAATGATTGTTAATAACTTATGATTTTTCTTTGACTGATCTCAATGTTACTCAAAAGTAGAGTTTCCACCCAGAGTGTTGTTTACCCAACCCCCGGTAAATGTGGAAAACTCTTCGTTTTTGTATATGACTAACCTTTTCTGAAAACTGGTAATTGTTGATTCAAATATTGACTGGGCCCATTATCAATTCTTGCAATTTGGATCTCCAACTCCTTCATATTACGGAACTCATCAGAAAGAGTATACCTTCTTGATCTTCTTGAAATTCAGTAGCTTCGCGTTTCATCCAGAAAAGGTCGTGAGTAGTTTCTGAAAGAATAACAATATTGGTTAAAGACATAAGGTGATGGTCACGCAAAAGGAGACAAATTAAAGAAGAACTTGAGTTGGAAAAATGATTTGCTTGGAGAAGAAAGAAAAGAGAGAGAAAAGGAAACGAAAAGTAAAGACCTTCAATGTTAAATGTCAGTGAGCGTTAACTCCCAACTTCATGAAAATCTCTTGTGTCTCTTCGATGTTTTCTTCGTTCTTTCGGTGTACTTCAGCAAGTTTGATTTCTTCACTCGTAAGTTCCTTGACATGCTCCAAATGAGTTCACTTTGCTCGTTGTTGCTACTTCTTCCAAAAGTTGTTCATATTTCAAGGCGACATTTATGGCATCCGAAAATGTTTTCGGTTCTTTGCTTTTGACATGAAATTTCAAATCGGTTCGAAGACCGTCACAGAAATAATCTATACAAATTACGGAAAAGGTTTCTGATTTTTCGCCTGGGTGCGCTAATTGTGCTAGTTTTCTGATTTTATTTGAGAAAGTCTCAACCGACTCAGTTAACCCTTGAGTGCAATTTCTTATTTGTTGACGCGCTAATTGAGCCTTGAGCGGGTTCTGGTACAACTTTGCAAACTCACTTTTGAAATTTTCGAAAGAGATGGTGTTGTTGCGATCGAGAATAGTCGTTGCGGTATCTCTTGCGCCTTCCCTGAGATAAATCAGCAGTGTTTTGATTTTTTCGGTGTCCGAGAATTTGTAGCCAAAGGCTTCGACATTGTCCGAAAAAGTTCTTAAAAACGAAGTGACACATTCTGATGAGAGACCCGAAAAAGTGGGAATTGGACCCGGTCCATGAAAAGTTCCTAACATATTGATTCTCATATCATGAGTCTCCGCGGTAGCGAAGCCCAAATTGGTATTTTTCTCGGATGCTAAAAAGAGGTTACTAGGCTGGGACGAGTTCAAGACATTAGAAATTTGGGAATGATCCGAAAATCTCTTAGATTGGTCCCTCAAAGAACTTTCGAAATTTTGGGTATTGATACCGTTAACACAACGGCTTTTGTTCAAATGAAAAGTTTCAATGTTAAAGACTCTCTGAGATAACTCTGAGGCCTCTTCTTCCATACGCGATTGAGTTTTGGACCGGTTCGGCTCGACGTGGTCGGGCATTTCTGGAAAGCTCAAATAGGATATTCGGAAGTTGGTTGAACAATAACAATTAAGGTGAAGAAAAAAAAATCAGAAAACGAACTGATCAGAAAAAAAAGATTTAATCATGAAGGAAATCCAAAAATCTAGAATCAGAGTAACGTCAAGCTTGGAAGCAACGTGCGTTAAACTTGAAATAGTTTTCAAAAATGAAGTCAAGCAGCAGGTGGAATTGTTCAGAGGGCGGGAATTCGAATTAAAAAAGAAAGGCAACGGCTTGTATAGAAAATTGTTGATAACCCTCCAAACGGTGTTTGGGCGCTATATTTTTGAACAAACAGAACTTTTACTTTTTGAATTTCTTCAAAAGAGCTTGCTTCTTAGCAATACGGAACAGAAAAAAAAATCGATGGTAGCCCTCCAAACAGAGTTTGGGCGCAATATTTTTGAAGAAAAAACTATGAACCATAATTTGAAATGAACTACGAAACAGGACTACATACGACTTTGACTTGTGGAAGCGTGCGCTCGGACCTCTCTAATTGTGTTTGCTGGCCAGCTTCTCTCTCAGGTCCCGAGCCAAAAATTGGGCGATCTCATTCTCTCTCTCTCTAGGTGACGCGCGGGCCGAGGCGGTTCGAAATAAAACTAGGGGGCCCTACCCTACTACCCTTGTTTCGCCCTATTGGCGAAACAAAACCACCGCTGACTACCAGTAAATTTAAAGTTATTTCCCAAGAAACTAACTAGATCTCATGTGACGTCTTTATGAAATTAAGTAAAATAGACATTAGGAAATAAAATAAATTAAAGAGTAGGTGGCGACAAATGCTGACCCCTCGACCAGGTTGATTCTCGGTGACGGTTTATATAGTGTTGATTTGATTGCGGGTTACTGTATCTGAAATAAAACCATTTATTTCGTTATTGAGGGAGGGAGTGAGATAGTGTGTGTTTAGTATACGCGCAGGTTCACAGCTGATAAAGAATGGCTTTTATTAAAGTTTTGAAAAGATATTGGTTTTCATATTGCAACGGAAGTTCAAACTACAAAAATGTTAGTGGGATAGTAAAGAATAGAAGACTGGAATTATTTAGGTGATCACATTCCTTTACATTTTGTTCAATTTCCGAAAAGTGCCTAATAAGATATTTTTTGAAATCACGAGATTAGGCTGACAAAAATGTGATAATGCGGTCCCAAAATGCAATAATACAACATTTTTTCCCGCTTTGGCTAAAAATGATCAAATCCAACGTTCCGAGTTTTCAGTTTCAGTTCTTTCGGAAAAAAATAACTTCTAATGTTAAATTTAACAATCCTATTTTGTTTTTTCTGCCTTTGTCTTGTCTTTCTCTATCTGCTCATATATGATGTTCTCGGTGAAAATTGTGAAATTTCCCGATTTCACACAAAAACCGAAATGAAAAAGTAAACGAGAGAGTGTTGCGTTTAGAAGAGACGAGGAGAAAAGGAGAAAAAATGAGAGATAGAAACTCGTAAGAGAGACGCCAGACAACAGGACGTTTGCGAATTTTTTCAAACCTCAAAACCATTTTTCGTTTTTTCACAAAAAATGCTAAAATCGTTCATACTTAACCAAATTTTAAAATCTTTACGGCAAAAGATAGCAAATCCTTGAGAATAGAAATGGCAAAAAGAAAAACCTCAAAAACGTTTCATCAAACGTCAAAAAATATGATTATAGGGTTTTCGCCTGGATTTCCCTTGATTTTTCGATTTTCTTTCTATGAATACTTTTACTGTTATTCATTTGTTTAATGTTATATATTTATTTGAGTTTAAAAATGGGTGAGAATTAGAGATATAAGAGAATTTTTCGAAAAATAAGGAAAAAGTTCAGAAAAATTCCAACACGATATATAAAATGTTCCCTTCAGAATCCTACCCTCTCTTTACATTTTTTACAAAAAATTTGAATGCATTCGCACAAAATATTGTCCCATAGTCATCAATAACTCTATTAAAATTAATCAATTTTCAAAAATATTCCAGATCTCTTTTGCTACAACGACAATTTTTATCGACAGCCGCCGTTTCGAGTATGGAATCAAATATTTCGACAGATGATAGCGATCCAATTTTTGCGAGTAGTTTTGATAGCACAAGAAGTGAATTGGGTATGAAAGAAAGACAACACCAGATTGAAAATAATTTGAATTTTTTAGAACGTCGCCGGCTTTCACTTTTAAATCAAGCTGATCAAAATGATTCGGATGAAGCATGTACAAGTACACAACGAGTTAATCATCGTGATTACAGGTTTATTTTTCATTGTCTAAAAAACGGAAATTTTAGGAGTTACTATGAGAAAGAATATTGTAAGTAGACATTTTTGCAGTGTTGATGCGACTAGCGATTCATTATTCCGAGAATGGAGTCGTGTTGATCCAGCTTATGTTGATAATTCGAATCAACGTCTACAACGTGGGCACACAGTCGATCATTCTTCACAGTAAGTTTTAATATCTTTTGTCAAGAATTTCTAAAAAAAAAATTCAAAATTCTTATCGAAATAATTACAGTAAGCATCTTCGATGGGCTAATTAAAATAAGGTTACAAATTTATTGTGTCAGCTTATGTGTTTTTTTTTTATTTTAAAAAACCATTATATTTTTCAATTTACAGCTTTCAACCAAATCGTTCGCATTTTCAACGTCAATTCTCGTTAGTTGCTTCTCCAATGGCTCAAAATCATCGTCGACATACTGTGGTTTCATATCGAGATGGTTGATTTCAGGACTCTTTTTTCTTCTTCTTCTTTTACAAAAATCGATGGATTTTAAGCTTATTTATATATTTTCTGTCTTCATTTAAAAATGAAAATAAATTTGAACTTTTAACCAAAATGTTCTTTCGACTTTTTTGTGCTTTTTCACCTTTTGTTTCTTGACTCCGCCCACTTTGCGCACCTATTCTTTTTTACTCATTCTTCCCAACAAACATGACCATACATTATTAGGTAAATATGAGGAACAATTTAGTGCAACTCTTTCATATTTTTCTGCTTTTTATTCAAAATGCTAATTGCTATTATAATTGTTCGACACCTAAAATTACCAGGTTTTTGGATACTTTGACACTTTATTTTCACCCAAACAAGTTTCAGATCATACTTGCAAAATTTGGTGAACGAAGCGAATACTGTAGTATCAGCAAATGTTAAAAGTATTATTTATAAGAATACAGATGATATAAATCTGGAAATTGAAGCTTTGGAAATCAAACCAATACGATTTTACAAAAGTCCAAGCCGACATTTGCCAAAAACTATAACAATTTATAATTTGATGAAAGTTGAGCCATGTCCATATAAATTATTGACATCAGAAATTCGAGTTTTCTTTCTCACTGAAAATGATGAACTCCTTGCTCCTCTAATTCGAATAAATTTATCTGTTTTGGATCAATTGCATACAATTTCAAAAGGAAAACCTCATCGACATAGGAGAAAATCAAAGAGAAGTTTGTAATTTTTGTAGATAATCGATAATTCGGGGGATATTTTTAAAATTCTAATTTTTTATTTGTGAGAGAGGGATTTTTTTTAATTTTTCACGTGAACTTTCACAACGAAAGGTGCACAATTTAAATTAAACTTTCATTTTGAAACAAACATTTCCAGCTGTTTGTGAAAATTCATTGTGCCCTCTCGGTTCAAAATGTGATCTTCACAGTGGAAAATGCGAATGCCGTTCAAAATGTCGATTCAAAGGAGAAGTTGTTTGTGGAAATGATGATGTAACATATTCAAGTATGTGTCATTTGGCTGTTAGAAGTTGTATGATGGCGGGAAAAGGAAAACGATTGAAAATGAAATCAAAGGGACCATGTAGTAAGTTTATTTTCAAAAAAAAATACGAACTCAAGTTATTTTTAAAATCTAAATGTATTCTTGTAACACCTGCGAAAATCATGTTTACGCATAACATATGTGCCATTCCCATTGTTTTGAAAGCATTGACCGAAACATTATTATCCCCCTTTTTCTTTGCCAAACATAAGTAAGTAACTTAAAAAAGGGAAAGAAGCATAAACTACAGTAAGCTTTATTGCATACACACACTTTTAAATATCTGTGAGCAAATGAAAGATGGAAAGATAGAAAGAAGGGGGAAAATTATTTTGGAAGGAAAAAGCTGTTATGGCAAATTGAATTTGAAACCGCGAAAAAGAGATGGGTTTTGAGAAGAGAAGCTCATTTTATGTATTTCTCGACGAAATGCGCGAGATTTTTATTATTTTATTCGCTTCTATTTTGTTTAGTTTTGAGAAAAGTGTAGTTTTAGGATGTTATAGATATTCGAAAGGTTTGATCCAAAAAAACTTGTGATTGACAAACAATTAATTATTCTTCAGAAAAACGAAATCCTTGCGAAGATTTGCGATGTGCTGCAGGTGAAGAATGTGTTGTCAAACAATCAGATGGTATATTGGCTGCCAATTGTGTGTGTCCACAAAACTGTCCAAATTACGGTGACTCGATCGAATCATCTCCTGTTTGCTCTTCTCATGGAGTTGACTATCAATCATCCTGTCACTTGAATCATCATGCGTGTGAATCGAAATCTAATATTACTGTCAAGTATTATGGAAGATGCGGTGAGAAAACAAACTTATGAATAATTCAAAATTTATATTTTGGGGATTTTCAGATCCTTGTCATGATTTTACTTGTCCACGTGGATTAATGTGTAAACTTGGAAAAGATCGCAAACCGGAGTGTCGTTGTAGCGAACAGTGTTCTCTAGAATTTTCTCCAGTTTGTGGAACCGATGGAAAAACCTATACAAATGAATGTATTCTCAATTTATCGTCTTGTAAAGAAAATCGTTTCATCGCGATTTGGAAAAAAGGAAAATGTGAAACATATTCAACTCCATGCTCAAATATTCAATGTGCTCACGGAGCAAATTGTTATATTAAATCTGAAGATGAAGCAGAATGTCAATGTCACAACAAATGTGAAGATGTTATGCGACCAGTTTGTGCTACAGTAAGATTTTTCGGCGAGAAGAGGAGGGGAGGGGGGTTGAAAAATAAAAAAAAACTGAAAAAATAAAAGATATATGTGGCCGAACTATTTTGGTGGCCGAATTCTCGACATTTCTCGGCCACCAAAGTAGTTCGGCTATTTTAAGCGCGCTTTTATTTTTTTCAAGTTTTTTTTTCCGAAATTTACGTTCAACTTCAAAAGTGTAATAGTTTTAAAATATTTTTTCTGGTTTTTTAGCTCCGTACAAAATTATGATTAACCAGAATTATAACTTGTATTGTTTTTTTCCAGAATGGTGAAACATTTGACAATGAATGTGAAATGAGAAAAAGAGCTTGCGAAACATCAACAAATCTCTCAATCAAACACCACGGAACTTGTGGAGTTGGAGTTTGTGCAACATTTTCCGAATGCAAAAAACCTAAAGTTTGTGAAATTGAAAATGGAAAACCGAAATGTATTTGTCCAAAATGCACTGACGAATTGAAAGAAGTTTGTGGAAGTGATGGAAAAACATACCCGAATGAATGCAAATTAAGACAAGCTGTTTGTCTTCTCGGAACAAATCAAAATATTTTTGTGAAATATAATGGAATTTGTGAAGGATGCGAAAGTCAAAAATGCGATTTTTATTCGAGTTGTGTTGTTGGAACGAATGGAAAAGCAACCTGTCAATGTCCAGATTACTGTACTGGAGAACATCGAGAAGTTTGTGGAACTGATGGAGTTACGTATTCAAGTGAATGCCATTTAAGAAAAAGTGCCTGTCATTATAAAAAGTTTATTGTAACTGCTTTCGAAGGAAAATGTGGTAGGCTATTTATTTCATTTCTGATGAGATTTTTTCGATCCAAAACAATTAATTTTTATATAGATGCTTGTCTTCATGTTCAATGTACATATGGACAAGAATGCCGAAATGGAATTTGTATTTGCTCATATAATTGTCCGGAAAACCCTCCAGCAAATGCAAGAATTTGCGGAGAAAATGGCGTTCTTTATCCATCATTTTGTCATTTACAACTAGCTTCTTGTCAAAAAGGTTCCCCAATTGGTGAAATGCCACCAACGCATTGTCATTCATCGATTGCAACATTTCCAGGTTTGTATTTTTCATTCCACCTCATTTTTTCTGCTTTTTTGCATGTTGTTTGTTTTAAGCACAATCTTGCACTTGCACTTTTGGCGCGATTTGTGAACAAAATCAATGTAAATGTCCGATATGTGATCGTCGTAATCTACCGTACCCAATTTGTGGTTCGGATGGCAATATTTATCAAAATCAATGTGATTTGAACACAATTTCGTGTCGAGACCAACGTTTGATTCATGTTTTGCCATTGTTGTCGCAATGTTCACAATTTAATGGTTTCAGTAGGCACAAAGACAACTAGAAGATTTTTTGGAAATGAAAAAAAATTTTGAGATTTTATTTTGCAAATAGTTGATCTTCAAAAGTCTCCTAGTTGTCTACGCCTTCGATTAAAATACAAATGATTTCGTCATCTGGAAAACTTATTTTCAGATACTTGTCAATGCAACAGAGTTGGATCTTTTGGTCACACTTGTGATGAATTCGGACAGTGTAAATGTCGACCTGGAGTAACTGGACTAAAATGTGATCATTGTATGTCTGGATTCTGGGGTATTCATTTGATCGCTCAAGGAGCTTTGTCTTGCACACGTGAGTTGTTTTTCTGGAAACTTTGACAGTTTTCAAATTTTAAGCGTGTGGATGCAGTTCATTTGGTGCAGCTCGTTCGGATTGTGAACAATCAACTGGAAAATGTGAATGTCATAATGGTGCAATTGGAGATAAATGTAATTTATGTGAAGATGGACAAATTTTAACAGCTTCTGGTTGTGTTCTCGCATCAAACTATAAAACACCGCGTGATTGCTCATCTTTGAAATGTCACCATTCAGCCAAATGTGTTCCATCTCCTTCAAGTTTTCCTGATTGTATTTGTCCAAATTCGTGTAACTTGGATACATTAGGATTAATTGCAAATATGACAGTTTGTGGATCAGATGGAGAAACATATTCAAATATGTGTGAAATGAAAATGTTTGCTTGTAAACATCAAATGGATTTGACTGCTGTTTCAATGGGAATTTGTGATAATGATAATTTAGAAATACTTGGAAGATTAGGAAGAGAAGAAAAGTCGGGAGGAAAACGACTTGGATCACAATGTGAGGATGATGATGATTGCGATAAGGTTGGAACTTTTTTTTTGGAATTCCTGATTTTTTCAAAAAATAATTTCAGTTGAATGCTCGATGTGTTACAAGACCTGGTAGAAAATCAGCTTGTGAATGTGTTGAAGGCTCAAAATCACATCTTGGAAAATGTGAAGAAATTGAAAAAGATGAGGAGAAAAACGGAAGAGAACATCTAAATTTGGAAATTGGGAATGTGCCAAGATTTTTAAAAAAAGAAAATGTTAGAAGATTTTCGAAATTGTCTATAAATCTTCGACTTTCCGATCGAAAAAAGAAGGATTTATTCTTCGAATGATAGCAGATGATGGAAAAGATTTGGAAATTTATGTGCAAAATCGAAGAGTTGTGATAAGGTATGTTTGTTTTATTTATATACAAATAATTTGATTTTTCTAACCTAAAACAAACACTAGAATTAATATGAAAGTAACACAGAAAAATGTGGCAAATGCAACTAAAGCAACCATAAAAATACTAACATGATGACCAAAAGATTCGGCATCTTCTGGTGACATACAACAAGGAAGCCAACCACATTCTAATTTTCGCAAGGATTCCTAAAAAGGAACAGAATCACAAATTAAATTTCAAAATAAATTTACCTCTGAACCAACTCTTGAAAATTTGATTGAACTTGCTTTTCTATTTGAATAATCGATAGTCATTTTTAACAAAAAAAAGTTTCTTATCAATCAATTAATATATTTTTTTTATCAGAATTGGTGAAATATCAACAGAATCACTTCAAACAATTGCATTAAATATTTCACTTGAAATAAAATGGAAACTCAACGAAATGCATATGAAATTGAATGGAGAATATCAGAAATATAAATTTGATCAAATTCTTGACACTGATATTTCTGCAGTATTTATTGGATCTGATGGGTGAGTTTTTTAGTTTTTCGAGATTTTCAAAAAAAATTTCAATTTAGAAAATGGGAATCATCTCAACTTTCATCTACTTTAAATTATCTGGAAATTGATGAGAATCCAATAATGCGAGAAAATTTGAAAATTTATCATCTTCCTCCGAGAATTGAGAGATCTTTGGAATTCCGAAATAATGGATCATTACGATTCGAAAATTTGGCTGTGAATCCGAGAGAATATTTGAAAATTGAAATTATTTTCAAGTCATATTCTTCGAGTGGATTGATTTTTTATTGGACTTCTCCGGATGAACCATCTGGTGATTTTGTAACAATGGCATTAATTGATAGAAAACCGCATTTTGTTTATGATCTGGGATCTGGACTTTCTTATACAAAGTAAGTTTGAGGGGCAGAAGAAAACTTTTGCTAGGGAAAATCTAGGGGTTATGGGAATTTTTTGATTTGACAGTAGGTTTATGGCTCAAAATGATGTTATGATCTTCCAAGTTTTGTTCCAATTCGTTCAGAGATTTCAACAAAAATTCTCGATCTCTTTTGGAATATGTATCTTGAGATTGTTTTTTCTTCAGATTTGAGAATAATTACTCACTGCCTAAAAAAGCAATTGAGAAAAAGAAAAACACGAGTTTGAACAAACAAAAATTGTAGGGTTCAAATAATTGATTCTCAGATTTTTCCTAGGTTCTGAAATCATTTTTTATAATTGAATTGGTTCACGTCAGTTGAATTCAATTAGACACAAACAATTAGCTATTTATAAGTTTTGGCAAAGACCAAAAGTTATTCCAGATTTTTGAAATCATAACACATTCTAATACTACAGATGACGTTTTCTTGGCTAAAATTTTTCAGGATTTTTTTTTTGAGCGCTCTATAATTAAATTCAAAATATACATTTTTCAGATCGGAACCAATCGCAATCAATGAATGGACAACTGTGAAAATCGAAAGAATCGGAAAAAATGCAACAATGTGGATAAATTCAAAAGTTGTTTGTCGACATGTTTCTGCTGGACAAAATCAACATCTTGATCTCGGAAAAAATAATATTTTCTATGTTGGATTTGTTGACGAAGAAAATGATGTGGCAAGAAAAGTCAAGAAATTGAATACTCCTTTCAATGGACAAATACAAATGATTCGAGTGAATGAACTGCCGTTGGATTTGGTGAAGGTAAGAAAGTAACAAACGCATAAATTATATCGCACTTTTGTTCATCCCGAAAAATTTTTTGACGAGCGAACAAAAATTATAGGTGTGAAAATTTATAATGAAAAAAAAACAGAAAAACAGATCCCAACTTTTATTGAAGAAGAAAAAAAACGAAGAAAAATGAAGCAGTCCGAGTATTTTTATAGTGTTTGTTTGGAGAGTTAACCAAGTCTATAATAAGCATTGGCACTTGCTCGACTCAAATTTTCAGTTCTTTTTTGTCCGCCTTGTCGAGCTGATGGGATTTGTGAGTAAACATTTCTCCAAAATGCATCCAAACTTCTTTTTGGAATATCATCTGGTGAAAATAAACCATCTTCTGATTCTGAAATAATAGCCTTTCACATACAGGGTGCGCCATAAATACGTGGACAGCTATAATTCAATATTATTTTCAAATTTAGAACAGTTTTTTGTATATCGTTTTCAAAATACTTAATTAGGTCCCTAACGAGTAAATTGGAACCAATATCTCTTAATCTGGTCGGTTCTGCGACCTGGGAAATCTTGTAGAACTTCGGGGAAAATTTCACCTCGGCACGCTGCCATTTGTCGGACATATTGTCCCAATACTTGAAACCTAGGTTCTGTATAGTCAAAATACATGATTGGAGGTTTACCTAGAACCTTTCCGATAACTAATTTGAAAGGAATTATGGAATGGGTTGGTTTCTGACAAAAATAACATCAATTTAAAAACGTTGCTCAAATCGAAAAAATTGTTTCTCAACAGCGATTTTGGGAGATTTTATCTTTTATTGTGTACTGTGATTGGCTGGAGCACTTGATATTTGTTATCGAGGTTGAGTTTTATTCTTAGTTACATATATCAGTCCAGAAATACATTTATTTCAACTTTACTCCCGATTTTGACCCCAAAATCAATGGAAATCAATGATTTCTCCCAATCAATCAGACTGTTTCAAAAATCACCACCCAAACTTGGTGTGAGACATGGTGGACAATTTTATATTTTTTCTTGGCTTCTTGGGACTCTCTGACAACCCCTCAAACATTATACAGCTCGAATAAAGCCTTCACAATAAAAATAATTCCATTCAAAAATAGCGATGTCACTTTTTCGTTGTTCTGCGTGCCGTGATGAAATTTTCCCCGAAGTTCTACAAGATTTCCCAGGTCGCAGAACCGACCAGATTAAGAGATATTGGTTCCAATTTACTCGTTAGGGACCTAATTAAGTATTTTGAAAACGATATACAAAAAACTGTTCTAAATTTGAGAATAATATTGAATTATAGCTGTCCACGTATTTATGGCGCACCCTGTATATATATTTTCTAATAGTTGTTTTTTTCCTCAACTGAAAAGATGTCTTAATCCTTTCTTTTTTCTAGCTAAAAAAGGATTTTCTCTTTTTTCATAAAAATGAGATAATTAAACTAACCATATAAATTTCCGAAAATACATCCGATCAATAAAGCAAAAAGAAGAACAAGAATTGTGTTCGAATAATGCATATCTGGAGGAAAATAGAAAATAAGAAGTGATTTTTGTGGGCTCGCTCTGAAAAAATGGGCGGAGCCAAAAGAGTGGGCGGAGAAAAGGGGGACAACACATTTCTTAAGGAAATTTGAAAAAAAGCAAAAATTTTCAGAAACGACAAGATTTGACAAATGAGCAGAAAAATAAAATTGACATTGCACGAATGGATGAAAAAAAGATTGAAAAGTGTTTGAGAAATTGCGAGAATGGATCATGTTATGAAAAGATTAGAGGAGAATTAGCTGATGATATGATATGTAGAGAACATGAGATCAGTGAGTTTGATGAATTAATTAATTGTTGGATATATGAGAAAAATATGATAAATTGAGAGAAGACATGAAAAAATACAAATTCAAAAATGTATTCCACTATAAACAAAGTCATCTAATATTCAAAACTCAATTTTTTGTTTCACTTCCCGTTCTTTTTGAGGTCAACTCAATTAATCAAATCAAAAATTCAAAGTTTTGGCCTTTTCATCCGGAAAACAAAAAATATGCCCAGAAACCATTAAAATTTATGATATTTTCTTATGAAACACGTAAAAAGGGGGAAGTTTTTAATTTTTTTGTTGAACTAATAACAGGAAATTTGAATAAAACCACTCAAAATAAATACTTTGATAATCTTATTTTAAAATTTTTATTTTAGAAGACAAACGTGGAATGCATCTCAATGAACATACGGAATTATCCTATCCAAATAATGCAACATTTTCGTAAGTTTAGAAAAAAGGGCGAGCCTCAATTAATTATAGTTCATCTATATATTTTTAGGGTATCATCAACATTGTCGTCAAATTTCTCATTCGATTTTCGAACTCTAAGCGAATATGGTTAGTTTATTTTTTCAGTAAGAGAAAAAATATGAAAACTATTATAATTTTTTGAATGTAGTCATCCACGAATTATTTATAATAGCTTTTTAGCTAATGAAAACAAACATGATGTTTGTGAAGTTTACAAGACTGAAATATGTAGATCATTTTTTTTCAATGTGGGATTTTTTTGGAATCAGCAAAGAAACGTTAAAGTATGGAAACTTTTCAAGATTTAGTCTACAATTTCATTTTTCAAAGAATCAGTGAATAAAAAAATTCCGAAAAAATCTTTCGTAGGGTGAAAATTTTATGTGAATATTTCAAAGTGCATTATTTCTTGAATACATTTTTTTGTTGTCAAAGAAACGACTTCCCTTTCAAAAAATCATCATGTTTTCTTATAAACAATAACTTTTCAAAGTTAAAAATATATTTTCCAGCTGCTTATGAATCATAACACAAAACATATAAACATACTGAAACATTCACTTCTTTTCCTGATTTTGACACGTTTCCTTTTCTTTTTCTAGATTTTCGAACTTTAGTTTTCTCACAACAACTTATCTACTTATGATTAAAAATTCACGTGGGAGTTGTTGCAAAATGAAACTTGAGAATTTTAAAAATCTGAGAAAAAATCATGTTTTTTCCAGGTGTTTTATGGTTTGAAGGTGGTTTCAGTCAATCGGAGGAAAATTCTGATTTTTTGATTATTTTTGTTGACGAATCGAAATTATATATTGGAGTGAATCTTGGAGAAGATAATTCATTGAAACCGATTTCAACAAATTTGACAGTATCTGATAATCATTGGCATACTGTAGAATTTAGAAGGAAAGAAAGGAAATGTGAATTATGGACTGATGGAAGAAAAGTTTTGACAATTGTAACTTCTCCAGGAAATAATACACTTGATACTAATGGAATTGCTTATTTAGGTTTGTTGTATAACAAATATATCAGCAGATCTTGAATTGATTTTCTGCAGGTGGACCAAAAAAACATAGACAATTGAAATCATTGGGACTTATTACCAAGTTTGTTGGATGTGTCAGAAATTTGAAAATCTTTGGAAGCCCTGTTAACTTGCTCATTGATTCATTAACAAATATTCGACAACCCAATTATTGCCATAATTAATCTTGTTTTTTTTTCATTTAATCATGTAAATACTTGGCTTCCTTTTCTTTTTCGTTTTTGACGCCACCGGAAAAACACTTGACGTGCAAGCAAGGTTTTATTAGATTTTTGGTTTGGTGAAAAAAAACAACTAAAAAGGATTCACATCGGAAGTAGTATCTTGATGCGGAACAAAACGAATCTCGATGTGTTTATTGAAAAATATATATCAAAAAATACTGGTTATTGTCTCAGAAAATACGACTTTTTTAGTGGAAGAATTGCGTTTTCTCGGCATATTTCGTAAATTCCAACGTTTAGAGCCCCATTTTACGTTGGTCGAATTTACCATACACGCCTTTCGAGGAGCCGGAATTGGAGCCATTTGGTCTGCAACAAAAGTATTTTTGAGAAAAAAGTGTTTTATCACGTTTGAATGGAAGAAAACTATTTCTAAGAGCTACTGTAGTTTAGGAAAATATCAAGGCAAAATCTTAATTGAGCCCAGGGTTATATCAACAAAATAAAAATCAAAACTATTTCAAACTTCCCACTCAAAACATTAATTTCTTACCGTTGATACGTTGAAATTGAGACATTTGCCGGTGGCAGCTGTAGGCCTGTATGATAGGGTGATTTCGTTTCGAACGCCGCACTGAAATACGTTTTTTTGGTTTTTTTTCACATGCATTTTCTGTTTCAAGACATTTTCTTTAAACTTACGCTGATTTCGGCCGATTGGTGTTCTGCGTCTCAATAGGGGGCGGAGTACGAAAAAATTCTGGATTTCTCGATGATCGATAGCCTCGATCATTATGTGGAATTTCAGGGTCTCTTCTCATATTTGAATATTGGCTTTCTTGTCTTTGATGATGTGTTCGTGGCATTGAACCATAATTTTGAGTTCCATAATGTTGTTGTTGTTGTTGTTGTTGTTGTTGTTGTTGTTGTTGTTGTTGTTTTTGAGAACGCGAATGCGAATTGTCAGAATTTGTATTTTCGATAAACACATTGTGTGAAGAGTGCGAACGTTCGATGGTATTTTTATTAATAGTCACATCAAGATCTGAATCAAGTCTCTCATAACTCGATGCTCCACGCATTCCAGTAGAAGAATTTAAATTCTCGCGTGATCTTTTTAGTTCATCCTCTCTGTCTCGCAAGTTCTTGATCTCTTCAGCAATTCGAGGATCGATAATTTCAGTGGCAGAATTCTGAAAGATTAGTAATTTTACTCAAAGAATAAACTAATTTAAATAGAAACATACGGGATCTTCTGTCATAATTCCTTGTTTTTTCGCAATCAATGCAGCTGCTGATTTCTTAACAAATCTTCCACCTTTTGATAAATCTTGTTGTTTTATGAATTCTGGTGTAATTGGTGGCGGAGGTGGAGGAGGAACAGGTACTGAAACTGGAATTGGGGAAGTTGTTCGAATTATTTGTGGAATAGGTTGTTGCTGAATTGGTGTTAACTGTTGTTGTTTTTTCGTAGATGGCGTTGGTGTCACAATTTTTGGGATTGATGAAGAATGAGTTATGGCTTGAATTCTCATTTCTTGATTTGGCATTTTATTGATATGTTGCCAAAGTCGATCAGGCAGTCCAATTCCTGAAATTATAAATTATATTTTTCCAAAAAAAAAATCAACTCACCCAAGTAGTTTAAAACTTCACGATGTGATTTGAAATAGTACAGTAACTTTTCCGCTTCTTCTCCTAACTCCGAATTTTCTCTCGCTGGCAATTTATATGGACTTGGTCCTCTTGTATTTTCAATTGTCTCTGAACACAGTGCAGAATCTGTTGAAACTGTAGTTGTTTCTTCTTCATGATTCGAAGATGATCTTTCAGAACCTTTTGGACTTTCCAAAATAGTATTTCTTTTTTCATCTTTTTTTCGATGAAGTGTTTCCCATTGTTTTGCTTTTTCTTCGTTTATTTCATCTTCAATTCGAATCGGCCAATCTCCATTATTCATTTTTTCCACAACTTCCGCAACATTTTTAGAAACTTGTTTTTTTGGTAATTGCTCAAATCGTTGTTGATTTTGTTGTAACTGATTAGCTCTCATAAATGGATTTGTTGAAACTCGATTTCTGGTTGTCGGCTCTTCTTCTCTTTGTTGTTGTTGTTGCTTCAAATCACTTTGCTTCAAATTATTTATAATTGATCGCACAGCATTTGGTGTTTCTTTCTTTTTACTGTTATTGTTATTAGTGGACATATTCATACTTTGACTATTTTGAAATCCATCAATATATCTTTGTGGATGTCCACTTTTCTGTTCATATTTTCCATATCCATTTCCATATCTTTGTTGTTGTTGTTGTGGCTGTTGATCAACTTGAATTCTCGCTACATTTGTTGCTGGCACAGTATCATAAAAATCATGTGCACCTTGATCATATTCATCTTCATATTGTTGATGATATCCATTATTACCGTAATCCTCCTCATAATCATAATTATCATAATGTTGGCCATATCTTTCTTCTTTGTATCTACAAAAATTCGCCCCTCATATTTTTATTCAGAATTTTTATTTCTTCGCACTTTGACTGAATTAATTCCCTAGACAAAAATAGCAATAAAAATTCATATTTTATAACTTGAAAAAATATGTACTTAAAAATTAAAGAATGGAAAAACTAACCGATTTCGATTTCGATCCATTATTATTATTATTTATGAATATGAAAATATAGGACAAATGGAAATTATAATGTTATTATTTTGTTATTATGATTATTATTGAAGGAAGGGGTGGTGTCGATCGGCCATTTTTTGACAGCTGACAGCTATACAGTGCGCGAAAAAGACTTTGATTATTTGTTTGTTTTTGTTCGGAACACCGGATATTATTAATTATCAATAAAAAATGAAGGGACCTATTTCTACTTAGGTGCAGATTTTTTATTTTAAAAATTGTCAAGGACAGCAAAAATTTCGTCACAGACACCAAACTATTTATCAATTTTTTCAATTTCTTATCGAACAAATTTTAATTAATGACCATGTTTCGCATAATTTCATTATTATTTCTATTTTATTTTCAATTTATATTTTCAAATCTTCCACCACCAGCTCAATTATTTTGTCCAACTTATGGTACATCTGCTTTTGTTCTAGTTACAATTTCACCAAATCTAGACATCAATGCTTTCGGAGCACTTCTGGAATTTTATGCAAAACTCATGCCATTTAATAGTACAGAACAAATTAGTTATGATTTTTATTTTGGTACAAACTATACACAGATTATTCGAACAAATTCATTGCAAAATGAAATAAATGAATGGGTTCATGATAATAATTATTTACAAACATTATATTCGAGTTCATTGGTTGATAATCGAAATATGGATCAGTTCCAAAATATTGAACTTGTTAATATTGCAAAAAGTGTTCTTGATCAAATCAGCAAAGTGAATCAAGTTGACACAACTGTTTTTATGAAAAAACAAGTTGTTCTTTTAACTGATTATGTTCCATGGAATATTACTGATGTTTTCAATTCAAACATAAATGTAAGTTATACTAATTTATTTTTGCAACTCAACTCTTTTTATTTGAGGAGAACACACAAATTCTTGGAATATTTCATGAAATCAACGATGCAGATTTTGATAAAGCTGCCGAATTTCCAGTATTTTCAATGGAAGATACAGATACCACAAATATTCGTAAAATATTCCAACAAAATATTAATTTTGGTAAGAGATGAATTTATTCCCAAAATTCAGAAATTTTGCGTTGTTTCCAGAATTTCCTGTCATAATTCACGAAGATAAACCGCAGGCTAATATTTTGGTGTTTATGACATCTGCAAATACAACTGATTTAATTGAAGTTGTTGATAATAGTATAAAAGGATCAACTTGTCAACTAACAACTACAAAAATGTATTCAAAATTTATACAAATTCAACTTGTTCAAAACGATACAAATTGGGAACTCATTCTACCTTGGCTTGGCACCAAAACCAAATTTTTCAACAAAAATTGTTTGACTGAAGTGGAAAATTCTAGTCCTACAAATTGCACTGAAATCAAAGGTCAAATTATTGAAAACTTTGTAACAACTCTTGAAGATATTTCGAATACAACATTTGCATATCTTTTTATTGATGATGTTAGTTGTACAAATGTTACAAATTTGAAAGCAACTGTGAAGGATACTGTAAGTTTTTTTGACAATTGAGATTTAAAAAAAAACCAAGGTTTTACAGAGTCATATTCGCCTTGTTATGTCACAGGATTTGAACTCGATATATGATATTTTTACACGGCCACTCGAATCTTTGGGGTTTTTGGATAAATCAATCGATAATCAAGTTATATATAATAGCCAATATTATTTGAACAATCATTCAACATCTTGTTCTGATGAAATTCCAATGATTTCCTTATTACCTTCTCGACCTTATCATAAACCAAAATATTTATTTATCGCAATTGATGATTTGATTACAATTTGTATTTGTGCAACTATTTCTGTTACAACATTTGGAATTTTATTGTATTGTCATGTTCGAAGACGATTGAAGAAACAAGTTGAACTTCTCAATGAAATATTGTTGCAGCCAAGGATTTATAGGTGTGTTTAGAGAAGGAAAATACAATAGCTAAAAACTAAGGAATACAGTAGTACTACTGATGTTCAAATTTTCAACTTTCGGTAATTCTTCATTTTTCAGAGCTCCAAAAGAATGTGCAAAAGTTCAAAGACTTCCGTGGGAAATAAAATCAGAAAACGTTCACATTGACACAGAATTTTTGTTAGGAGAAGGTACAATAAGTAATGTTTATCTTGGAAAATTAAAAGGGAAAGCCCCAATAATGCAATGGATTGATCGAATCGAAATGAAACAATATCAAGATTGTGCAGTTGCAGTTCGAGTTCCACGACATTTTGATGAACCTGAAGAAGATCAATTACAAAGAGAAATTGCATCAATGAGACAACTCAGACATCATGATCATATTGCACTTTTATTAGGATGGACAAATAAAAATGATTTGGTTTGTAGTTTATTGGAATTGACACATATGAATTTGATCAAATATTTATCACAAATCAAAGAAACGTAAGTGTTTACTATTTTCTTGAAGATTTGTAGTCTTCAACCTATATTTTTCCAGAACCGAAATAGCATCAAAATATGCGCCTTTGAATAAAATACCATTTCAAACACTTTACAAAATAATTTATGAAACTTGTGATGGAATTGAATATATTCATTCAAGAAATCTTATTCATAGAGATTTAACAGCTCGAAATATTTTGCTCACAACTGGATTACGCGCAAAAATATCAGGATTTGGTTTTTGTTCCGAACCAGATGATCCAAAATTTATGTCGAATTCATTGGCTCTGAGATATTTACCAGTTCGTTGGTTAGCACCAGAATGTTTCAACGGAAAATTCAGTTTCAAAACTGATAGTTGGGCATTTGGTGTATTAATGTATGAAATGTTCACACTTGGAGACCAACCTTATGAAGATCTTTTACGACCTGAAGAAATTATTGAAAGTGTTCGCAAAAATCGGATTCCTGCTCATCCGAAATATGCATCAAAACAAACGTTCGTATTTTTTATTTCATGATTTTCATTATAATTTCAAATTAATATTTTCAGATACAAAATAATGCAGGGATGTTTTGAAACATTTTCATCTCGACGCCCAACTTTTACTCAATTAAAATGTGCTTTCCAAACTCATTCAACAAATACCTACAGTAATCCAGCCTTCGAAGCCGATTAATAAGAAAGATCTCAATGAAACAACGGGTATATTTTATGAATTATTTTATTCAACATCATCAAATTTAAAACTTAATGAATATTCATTATCTGTGATTGTATAAGTTGCGAGTAGAACATATTCGTTATCCGAATCAGCAATGTGAATTGCATCATTATTTGAGTGTGGAATATTCCAACGAACATTTTTTGCGTTCAAAATTGATAGTTTGATTTTTGCTTTTGTTCCATCTTTTTTGGCAATCATTAATCCAAAATAATCTGCCTGATATAAATGTGGGTGCAGTCCATAATAATCCTCATAGACTTCTCCAATATGATACAATTTTTCGAGAATACTGGAAAATTATAATTTTGTTACTTTGAAAACTTATTCTGATTTGTTGGACATACTATGTGCGATCTGCTCTTTTCATAAATTGAAGATCTGACTTGATAGTTATTGGATCATCGTGATGAATTGTTATATCGTATGAACAGCCCTGAATACGTGCTTATTTAATGAAAATCTTTGAAAACGAAAAAAAATAAAACGTACAAAAATCAATTGAAGTTCTGAATCATAACCAAGACAATTCAAAGAATGCCAAAGATCAGAAATAACATGTTCACTTGTGTCAGCAGCTTCAACCTGAAACTAAAACTCTTAAAATTGTCATTCAATCAATTTATCCCACCTGATGCATTTTCAGAAATCCATCAAGTGTAATTCCGCCATCTCGAAAATCAAAATTATCAGTATATAATTTCCATTCTTCATCAGTTAATGAATCATCTCCGCTTGCTAATGTATAATGATTTAATTCATTTCTATCCAAAACTCCATTTTTATCAACATCAAAAGATTCGAAAATATTCATCAAAGTTATTTTGAATCGTTTACTCAATTTTCCATCTTCTTCAACAAGTGTTACTCTTTCTCTTGTTGATTTTCTTCGTGTTATCGATGTTCCCATTGCAACAACAATTAATTCAGTTCCTCCAACTATTTCCATAATTCCAGTCGAATAAAAACCATCGTTTGCAAGAAATCCACTAATACAAAAATGGTCGTCATTTCGGGCAATCAAAAATAAATCATTTTCAAAATTTCCAAACGGAACATCAGCTGAAAGTTTTGGTTTGTAAAATGATATTAGAAAATTTTGAGAAACATACAATTTTTGGCCACATTCAATACAACTTCACATGTTGTCGTATTTTCGCAATTAATTTTATAAGCAATAGATTGAAGTTTTGGATTTATTGCTAAACATCCACGTAATTCAGTAACATGTGCTCTCAAAGGTCCAACAACTGCTTTCAATTCAACTTCTGGTTTTACAGTTGCGAATGTTGTTGGTTTTATTTCAAGTTGTTCAGTTTCTTCTTCTTCCAAATCAGATACATCTTCAGTAACTGTGGGATTTGGATCATTTGTCATTAATTTTCCCAAAACATCATCTCGAGAGCTTTGTGTAACTTGAACTAGTTTTTCAATATTTATAAAACCTTCTTCATTCACAAATTGTTTGATTATTTCTTCAACTGCCATTTTACTAAACATCGAAGTTTCAGTCTGGAAAATTAAATATTAGTAAGTTTTTAAGGATAATAAACATACAATAGTGTCCAGAATTTGTTTGGGAGTGATTTTTCGATTTCTCATTTTTTCCAACTCGTGTTCTTCGATACATAAATCTCCCAGCCTCACGAAAATATCAAATAATCTATCACATCCTATTTTTTCTGAAAAATCAAAAAAATTCTACTTCTTCAGAAAAATATTCTTACGTGTATTCAGTGGCCATTCGGTTCGTAGATGTGATTGAACAACTGTTTTTCCACAACAAGACAGGATTTTATAAGCCATGTTAACATCGACAAGAGTTTTTGTGTTTCCACAGATTTTTCGAAAAACATTTCGAAACTCTTGACTTGTAGTAATTACAGAAGAGGACATCGAAGGAATATAAAAAGGGTGTTTCGAAATATTTTTTCGAATGAATAAAATCGCGTTGCCATGGAAACAAAACACCTGATTGTTTATGGTGTAGAAAAACAAAAAGGAAATAATATAATTAGGAAAATAAATCACCCTTTTTGGAGTAAATATAGAAATGAGCAAAAAAAATGTTTTTTTTTTCGTGACACCTAACGCGTTCCACGTCTTCCACCAATTCTTATTTCCCATTTCAAAAATAAAAATGAAGATGATCATTGAATTTTTTGAATTATTTGAAAGAGATAAGTTCTCCTCTATTGAATGGTTTGTTTTAACATATTCGATGCTGTTGATTGCTGTAAGTTGATTTTGAAAAAAAGAAAATCACATTTATTTTCGAAAGTTTTTTTTTTCAGTCGACATCACTTGCAATGATTTTTCGATTCACAACAAATAGCACATATCACATTCCAAATATTGTAAGTTTTTTTAGAAAAAGAAAATGCTAAGTATTTTATTTTTCAGATAAATGAGAATATTTTGAGACTTGAAACTGAGATACAAGATCTTCCACCTTTCAAAGTGAGTGCTACATTAGATGATACTGAAACTGTTACAACAAAAGAAACTCGCGAATAACGCAAAAATGTTTTATTTCAAATACAAAACAAAAAAGGTTTTTTATTTTGTTTTATTATAATAAATACAATTGTTATTTTCTTCCTCTTTGACGATAAGCCATTGGATGAAATGGTCGACGAACTTGACGAGTGAACTGAAAATTTTCGATTTTTCCAACATCTTCCACATTTGTGTGTACTTTCTGTTCGCATACTAATTTTTGCAAATATTTTAGTATTCTTGTCAACTAACCTCATAATCGTCATAAAAATCATGAGTTGGATCCCATCTACGATATCTTAGAATATCTGGATTAATATTCGATGAAGATGTTGCGACTGAGAAAAGTGCACAAGTCAAAACGAGCAAAGCAAAAAGAAAACGCATTTCTGAAAAAAAAGAAAATGAATGAATAGAATGACTAAAACAAAATGGGTTTAAGTGTGAACAACCAACAACGAAAAAATAAAATAGAGCCCTAGGATTATTTTGAGGCGCCGCCCCTTGAGAAATTCTTCTTTTTCTTTTCAAAAAGAGCCTTCCCCCTTTTCTCTTCCGAATGATGTATTGTTCTTTCGGATAAGAGTTCATTGCATAATTATCGGAACAAAAAGAAACGAATAAAAATGTGGCTACAGTAACCCAGTTCCACACACAAAATAAAACAAATATGGCCGAGAAAACCAACACGCTGGCCGATGTTTCTCATTTTTTGAATTTCTCTCGGATATTTTTTCTCCTCTGTTTTTCTCCGACAAGTTGGACGATTAATCGCCGAGTAAAGTGAACTTACGATTAATCGCCTGAACTAAATTAACACAGGCGATTAATCGGTTAGCCAGCAGCTAATTCAAGTTACTAGGCGATTAATCGTCCAACTTCTCTGAGTTTTTTCGAAAGTCGAAATTTATTCGAGAAAGGAGCCATTTTAATTTATTCAGAATGTCTGTTACACTTCACACAACATCGGGCGATATAAAAATTGAATTATACATCGAGGACGCTCCGAAAGCATGTGAAGTTAGTCGAAAACAATAGGAAAATAACAAAAATCTATTTTTCATTTCAGAATTTTTTAGCGTTATGTGCAAGCGATTATTATAATGGTTGTATTTTTCACAGAAATATTAAAGTGAGTAAGCGAGAAAATGAATGATATTTTTATAAAATTGTGGAATTCAGGACTTTATGATACAAACTGGTGATCCAACGCATTCTGGAAAAGGAGGAGCAAGTATTTGGGGAGCAGCATTTGAAGATGAATTTGTCTCGAGTTTGAAAGTTGGTCCTTCAAAAACAAAGCCGACATGATTAACAAGAGTTTTTTTCTTTTTACAGCACGACACTCGAGGATGTGTCTCTATGGCGAACAATGGACCAAATACAAATCAATCACAGTTTTTCATTACTTATGATAAACAACCTCATTTGGATATGAAATACACATTATTTGGTAAAGTAATTGATGGATTTGATACTTTGGAGGAACTTGAAACAATTAAAGTCGATGCAAAATATCGGCCACTTGTTCAACAAAAGTAAGACTTGTTTTCGTTTCTAAATATCATCGCCCTTCCTTTCATTCATCATTTTTCGAATTTCCCACGAGAGATTTTCAGAAGACAAAAACATAAATGTATTTTTCAGAATTCAAAGCATCACAATTCATGCAAATCCATTGACTGTTCAATGAGCAACTTTCTTCAACTTTTGTTATTTTCTTGTTATTTATTATTACATTTTTGAAGGACAATACAATGAAGAATTATGATGTCCCATTCGAAGATTGCATAAAAGTTGATATTGGCATGATAAGTCGCATTTTGGATTTGAAGTTCGATAAGCATTTCTAAAAAAAAAAAACAAATTGTCAAAATTTAGAAGGTTGTGAGTTTTTGTTTACCTTAAGAACTGCTCTCTTTTCTTTTGACTTTTGAAAATTCTATGAGCCACTTTATTCCAAGAACTTGGCGAAATATCTGGAATATTATAAGCTTCTTGAGCAGAATACAATTTCTCCCATTTTGGTGGTTTATCATCAGAAGATTCCGCCAAATTCGCAGAATATGTTGTGAAATCGATGATTTTCTGAAACAACGAAAACATCTTCAAAAAACAGATCAGAAAAACGTACAAATTTATCTTCTGGATTCATTTCATAAATTCGATATGCCGGATTCTGATATTCAAATGTTGTTACACTTGGAGCTGCATATCCAACGCTTATCGGTTTTGAATTAACATCATTCATATCTTCGAAAAACAAAGTAAAATAATCAACATGATCATGTCCAAAAAATTGTGCTTCAATAATTTCATGAAATCTTTGAATAACTCGATAATAATTACGAGCCCATCCTTCTAAACATTCCGAATTTCCTGGTGGAATATGAGCCAAAATATATACTTTTTCATCGTTCTGTTCTGATTTGTAAAGTTCATTTACCAACCAAGACATTGTTCCATCTGGATCACTTTGATTCAAATATAAAAAGCTGAAATTATGACTCAGATTACTATAATTTTTGTTTTCATATGAAATAGAACTTACAAATTAGTAACTTCACAAAATCCAGTATTAACCGAGATAAGTTTCAATCCATCAATAATATTATAAGCATAAGATCCACGTTGAAGTATATTTGAATAAGAAATATCATCCAACCATGGTTTACTCATTGTTTCAAATTCTTTATATAACCAAGTTGGCCAAAATCGTTGATCAACAGAATGCGGAGCAAAACTATTCACAGGAACTCCTTCGTGATTTCCCAATGCCCAAAATATTGGAGTTGTTGGAAATGATTGTTTGACCAAATTATGTAATTTTCTCAAAACTGATAAATGTTCTTCAATTGAATATGACCAATCAACATGATTTATATAATCTCCAGTCATAATAATAAAATCAATTGAATGTGTTGAATTGATATGTGATAACATATTTTCAACAGTCCAGAATGGAATATCACATTTTGCAGCAGTTCCCCAATAACCAGATGATAATTTTGGAGATGAACTTAATTTTCTACAACAAACTGGATCAGAACATTCAGCTTCGGAAGGATGAACATAATCAAAATCAACATGTAAATCTGTTAGTTGTAGAATGTGCATGTTTTGCGATTCAGATTGTTTGATTTGTGAATTCTGTAAAAAAAAATGATGAAACATGTTTTATCTGTTTGATTAAGGGGTTTCCAGAACTTTTTTTGTCGAATTTTTTGAAATTTTAATTAGATTTTTTTGTAGGTTCAAAATTATTTTTGTGTGAACCTATGTAGAATGAAACCTTTACCGTTTTTTGTATCTCTTATAATGTCCCCAACACGGAAAAAAAAGTTTCAAAAAAATGTTATCATTTGATTTTGATTGATATATGACTAACTCTTTGCTTGTTCAATTTCTTTATTTTTGGCGGTAAATCAATAATCCATCCAGATTCTGATGGATCTGTTGGATCACTACAATCCGGTAAAAGAATTCCACATATTTGACTCGGACTTTCAGCAGCCAATTGACGAAATACATAGAAGAATTCATCTCGAAATTGTGAAGATATTCCATCACAAACTGCCCAACTTTGTTTTGCAAATAATTTACAAATAACCGTAGCTAATTCCAATACAACTGGCTCAGAGAAATCATATTTTAAAACTAAACTAACAACTGAAACAAGTGCTGTACATGAAACACAAGTTGGTTGAAATTCATAAGAAGACTTTGAGCTAACTGGTTGAGGTTGATAATTGATATTATGAGGAGTACTGTAGAATATGCAGAAAATAAAACAAAAAAGTATAGAAATTAGACGCATTGGCAGCTGTATATTTAAAGAATGGAAAAACGAAAGGTAACGAAAAATGTGAGAAGAACAGCTGTTAGACAATCGGGAAAAATGACCTGTTTCCATTATTACTTTGTTATTTTTTCTGTCTGCTTTTTTTGTTGTCAAATGATATCTTTTAGTCTTTCTCAATGAACTTTCTGCAGAATAGAAAATATAGAGAAATGCGTGAGGATAAAAATTGAAAATTGAATTTAAAATATAAATTCTCTATGCAAAATCTGAGGATTTTTATTTTGAAATATGGAACACGAAGTAAACTTCTTCATAAAAAGTTTTAAAATTAAAACATCGAAATTTTCACAAAATGATTGTTCTCGAAAAAATTTTCAAAAAAAACGAACGTTTGTGGATATGAGATTTTAGATTAATCCATTCCACAAATTATTTTTTAAGTTAAAACTGGAACGCAAAAAATGATTCTCTAAAGTTTTTTCTCCAAAAAATAAAACATATTATGTTATTGCTTTTTATTTCTCCGATTTTTTCCGGAAGCTTCAAAAAAACTTTTCTCGAATCAAAAGTCCAATATATATCTTTATACATTTAGTGTAACAAATAAATGTCCTTTTCTTCTATTTTTCGGTTTTTTCTAGCCTCTCATTTTTTTTTGTTTTTTCAAAGTTCACATTTTGTTATTGTTTACCACTTTATTTTTTTATTTTTCCTCTCAAATCGCCCAACTTTTCATTTTTCTCTGGAACAAAACGTAAAAATCAATTTTTTTATTTCGAAAAGAACTATAATCTGATTATTTGTTTATCATTTGAACACCTTTTTTGTTGATAAAAAAGTTTTTGAAATGCAGTGCGGGTATCTAAATAATCGTAATTCTGATCTAATAAAAATTGCGATTCTATCTTTCACTTTTCTTTTCTATAACTTTTTTTAATTTCAAAAAATCAGGTTCGATAGAAACAAATGGTGGAAAAGTTATCGGCCGATGATGTTCTAAATACTTTAGGTAAATTCAAATAGTGAATAAAAAATTCGAATTAAAGTTGGGTTTTCAGGAAATTCAAACCCGCATATTTTGGCATGTATTTTAATATGTGGAATACAATGGACACCTTTAGCATTTGCTGGTTTATGTGCTTCTTTTATTGTAAAATCACCAGATAATTCAAGTTTCGTTTCAATTTCTGATGAGGTAAAACTTATCTTGATAACTCTTTTTTGATCAAAATTGTTTAGTTTGATTTGAGTGGTGATTCAAGTTGGTTGGCTGATGGAACAACAACTTTTTATATGATCGGAAATATGTTTGGTGCAATATTTATTCCGCCATTTGCTGATAAATATGGTCGACTTCCAGTTTTTGTTGGAACAATAATTATGATGGCAATTAGTGGAATGGCAACTGCGAGTTCAAATTCATTCACACTTTTTTGCTTTTTTCGAATTATTCATGGCGCATTTTATACAGCATCTGGTTTAGCTGGATGGGTTCTTGCATATGAAAATACTCCACTTGATCTTCGTTTTTTCACATCTGTTTATTTTGGATTATCATGGGTTTTGGGTGCCTGTTTGCTTGCTGCAATTTCATATTATCTTTCGAATTGGAGATGGGTCATGTTTTTTATTTCCGTTCCAAATTTAATTGTTGCGGGATTAGTATTTTGGTGAGTCTAGTAATTTTTGAATTGGATAAAATTTCGGAAAATTCTAAAGAGGCTTTCCAAAAAATTTAAGAAATGAGTCTTAAAATCGTCAGTTTGTTCGAAAAATGAATTTTTGCACATATTTTTCCAAAAGTTGTATTTATTGCAGTTTTGTACCGGAAAGTCTTCATTATTTGGCCGGTCGGCATAAAACAGATGATGTTGAAAAATGGTTGAACAAAATTGGTGGAGCAAAAAATGACATAATGGCTTGCGATATTGTGGAAAGTGATCCACAAAAAGATAAATCACTTGGAGAATTATGGAATGAAATATGGATTCATAAAATGTTTCTGGTTTATATTTTTGCAATGACTTATATTTGGATCGTCGACACTTTTATCTATTTTGGACTTTCATTTTATTCAACAGATCTTGCTGGAAATATTTATACCAATTTTATATTGATGAGTCTTGTTGAAGCACCAGCTTATATTTTGGCTCCAATTTTCATGAACAAGTGAGCTTTTTCTTTTTAGGAAATAATATCAAATATGATTTATTTTATAGATACGGTAGAAAATCGTTGATTTGCGGAACACATATTTTGGCTGGTTTATCATTTCTTGGAATTGTTCTACTGCCATCATATTTGCATATTGCTTTTTGGCTAATGGGAAAATTCACAATTTCATGCTCATTTATGAGTATTTATATGTTTGCGAGTGAAATATTTCCAACCGATGGACGAAATAAATGTATTGGATTTTGTGAAACAATGTCTCGATTTGGTGGAATGTTATCACCATATTTATCACATTTGGTTTGTTTTTTTTTAAATTCCGGGAAGAATTCTAGAATCATAGTGTTTTGCAGGTTGTAATTCATTCTTTAGCACCTGCAATAACTCTCAGTTTTATTGCAATCAGTGGTGGATTATTGACTTTGATTCTACCCGAAACTCTGAATACAAAACTTCCATCAACAATTGCTGAAACAGCTTCAAAACGAACATTGATTGAGAAAGCATAATTTGATATGATTTTAAACGGGTTTGTTATTCTGTGATTTTGAATACTTAATGATGAAGCATAAATACTTTAAAACCTATCACGTGTTAAACTTTTTCTGAATTATTTTTCAGAATTTTCCATTTAAAAAAGAAAGCACTTGAAATTCTTTTAAAATAGGACAGAGTAATCTATCCTACGAAATATTATTAATTTTGAGAAACTATATACAAAGTATTTTCTCGCAATGTTTTTTTTAAATTTTAAATGATGATTTATTCGAGATATACTAGAGACAGATTTGATTTTCATCATTCATTATAATCTTTTTAAAAACCGAAAACATTCACCTTCATTTATCACAGTATTAAATTGTTGAACCGGTAAGAGGAACGATGTTACAACCAAGAAGACCAGGACCAGACCATTTATGAGGACGAATTTCGAGACGAATTGGATGATCAGATCGAAGGACAGTTACACGAATTATTTTCTGAAAAAAAAAACAAAAAAAATTAATTTGAAATTAATTGTATATTTAACTCACATTTTCAGAAGAGTTTGTAATTTGTGCAAGTTGTTTGAGTTCCGAAAAATTATCAAAATGAAGTGAACCATATTGAAGAATCAGATCATCCTTTTTAATGCCTCCTTCATCAGCCGGCGAACTTTCAGTAACTGCTGAAACTTTGACAAATGGATTATTCGATGTCCGATGAACAGGTTTTTCAGTTGCAACTTCTTTTTCGATTGGTGTATTTTCAGAATGTGCAATTTCCAATTCATTTGCAATTCGTTTTGTCAATTGTTCTCTATCATTTCTCAAACAAATCAAATCGTGACGTGCATGTCGAACAGCATAAACATCAATATCATTCAATGGAAATCCTTCAGAATCTACAAGTGGTGAATCCATTGTTGATTTATTCTGGAATATTGAATGAATTTGGTCTAGTTCAGGCTAGAAAAAAACTTACAACTTCCAAAACTAGTAATAATTCATTTATTTTTGAATCCAGTTCATCTCTTTGATTAAGAAGATCTTTTGCCACACTTTTATGTGCCATTCTGAAGATTTTATTTCTTATCAGAAAAACAAATCTAGAAATTTAGAAAAGTTTAAAATACAAAGGTTAAAAGACCGAAAACTTGTTTTTAATAGAATTAAAATTGAACATTTTATGAGAGACAACAATAATAAATAACAGAAAAAATTAAAACTCAGAAAGACCCTGAAAAGCTAGAAATACGTTTTGGGGGTTTTGAGGATTTTTAATGGAGATTCTAAAACCCGCAAAAAATTGTTGGTAGGAAATTGAATTATTATTTTTTGAAATTATAATATTTCTAGCTACAGCTTTGTCTTTAATAATCATTATTGAATCGACCACGAGAAGATCCTCGGAAACTTCCACGATCACTATAAGATCCACGTCCACGAGGGGCAAATCCACGAGATCCGCCTCGAAAACCTCCACGGAATCCACCTCCACGAGAACTGTCAAAATCACGACGGAATGCTAGAAAAATTATTTTATATTGTTTTTCAAGGTATTTATATTTTAAACTAACTTCTTTCAGCAGGTTGAATATGTTCACTTCTACGATCATCATCTTCAAATCTTCTTTTGATTGGTTGTCTTGGTGGTGGTGCTTCTGAACCTTCCCATCTTCTTGGTGTTGCATATGCCCATTTTACAATGAACGGAGCCTGAAAATTGTTATATCTTATTTTTGAATTCTCATTTTCAAAATCAACTTACACTTCCGTATGGACTATCAACTGGTGTATGATTAACCAATGCCAAAACTTCGTTAGCAATCTGAACATTCTCAAATTCAGCAGTTCCTGCTGCACTTCTTTCATTTCTCGATGGGAAAATCTCGATTTTGAGTGCTTTGTGTTCAGTTTTTTCCGCAATCATTTTCGTCAAAGTTTCTTCATCCATTGTTCCAGGTGCATTAAACCAATGCAAAACATTTGTTGGTGCAACAATTCGATTTTTCTGTGCAAATTCTGGTGTTGAAAATCTCTGATTTCTTGATGATGTGAAATCTCTGAATGATGGTGAACCATCCGGAAGATTAAATGGATCTCTCAAAGTGTGAACACATTCTTGATGACTTGGTTTGAATTCCAATGTAAGACCAAACATCTCAAAATTTCCCAAATAATCGAGAACATTTTGTCGCTCACGCGATTGACCCATTTCAATCATTCCAGTTTCCGTTTTTGTTCTCATAAAAGAAATCTGAAAATAAAATGAATTTTTCTAGATAACTTCTGGATGTTATCTTACTCTCAAAACATTTCCATATAGACACAAAACATTGAACAATTTTTCACAATTGATTTTTTCGTGATCTAAACCATAAATCATCATAACACATCCAGGTCCACCTTGAGTTGGTTGTCCATTATCAAATCGATCATCATATTCACGTCCACCACGTGGTTGATGTTGTGGATAATCAGATGGTGGATATTGTTGAGGAACAGAATGATTATAACGATCATCACGATCTATTCCATAATCATTTCTAGCATTCGCGTAATCTAAAAAAGAACATGAGAATTGTTATTGAAAATATTCTAACTTACAAGGATCAGTGATCGGTCCGTCTTCAATGAGTGGTTTTCTGGATGGTCCATCCATATCTACTACTGCAAAAAAATCGTTTTTTTTTGAAAAGGGATGATTTGTAGAATTAGAATAGAAACATACAAAATGTGAACTTTGGATTTTCTGTATTTCTAATTACGGATACAAACAAAATGTATGAGAAACATTGAAAAATTTCTGTAATTGTTGGAAATTGTCCCTTTCAAGTCCAAAATTTAGATATTTTTGAAAAAGTTCTAGAAAATTCCATATATAGTTGATGTTGTATCTATTTCTGTTGTTTGTAAAATGAGTAATGCCCAGAATATTCTTGATTGTGCATTTTTCAATTGAAACATCAGAATTGTTTGATACCACACAAATTGTATTTTTTTATGTTTGAAAATTGTATAATAAGTAACGAACTGGTTTGTGGAAGTGTGAAGTCGCGTTGATCTTTGTCTTGTCGTGTAACTCGTACTGTGTCCGGCTGAATTAATTCGATTTGTTTTTGTTTTTTTATTGAAAAAATACAAAAAAAACATGTTTCGATGTGAATTATATCTCTTTCGGTATGAAAGTTTATATATAAACTTTCCTTTCTAAATATGTATTTTCTCTGTGAAACTTGATGATTCCATTGTACATATCAATTGTTCGCAAATTAATGTTTTTAACTCACTCTCGCAAATTCGACTTTCAATGTACAACAACCAGAATAGATATCGGCTCCATTCATAGCATGTTTTGCCGATTTTGCTACTTCAGAATTTGGATATTCAACAAGAGCTTGTACAATTGTTGGTTTATGCATTACTGCAATACGAACAACATCGCCATGTGGACGACAAATCTGATGAATAACATCGGCATCAATTGGATATACTGCATTGAGAACAGTCAAAACAAGAACTTTGTTTGGATTTGCTTGTTCGAACCCCATTCTTTCAATACATAATGATGTTGAAAAATTGAATTGAGCAACCTAAATACAAGACAAACTCGATGCTGAATCTATTCGAAAAATTGAATTACCTGTCCTCCTACATTTATTTGACTGCTTTGAGCGTAGTGAACACAGGCTTTGGCACTTTCAATATCTTCAAATTCAACAAGTGCCATTCGAGAATATGGAATACAAGTTGCATACGCAATTGGTCCGAAAGAACTAAGAGCTTCAAGCAAGTCAGCTTCAGTTGCTTTCGGATTCAAATTACGAATATGAACAACTAACGAAGGATTTGGATTCGTTGGATCCGCATCATCATCACGACGATAACGTTTGTTTGGCGGGTCGGCTCTTCTGAAATCATACATTTATTTTCTTTGATAAACAGGTCTGTATAAAAATGACTTACGGATCGCGTCTCTGATAATCGTCGTTGTACATTTTTCCTGAAAACAATAACGATTTATCGCGTTTTTTTCAAAAACAAACAACGAAAATGACAGAAAGCGCCACGCGATAAACAACAGGCAAGCGGTGTGTCGTTGCAAAAATTCGAATTTTTTTATTTTTCGAACGTTTGCGAAAACACATTTTTAATTTTCGACGTGACCTGAAACTGGCTAGAAAACTAACATCGAAAATGAAATCATTTTTGAACAATTTATCAAAAAGAAAAAGCGAATTAAATGAATAGAAAATCTAATACTAGCAAGAGTAAGAATGAAAAAGATAGAGTGGGAGACAGTTCCAGAAAATCGAAGTGAGTTTAAGATATGAAAACGTTTATTGTTAATAACATAAAATTGATTTCAGGATTTCGTCGTTGTTCAGTTTCAAATCATTGTAAGTTTTCAAAAAAGCTCATCGAATCGAAACATTACGAAAAAATGAATTGATTTAGGAAGAAATCAAGTCGTGACACCAAATCGAAAAAACACCAAAAAAGTAAAAGGAAATCTGATGTACCTGGTGCAAAGAAAACTGTTCCAATTCCTGATAAGATGAGAGTAAGTACGTTTTCAAAATAACATTCCAATAAATGAGTTTTCTTACAGATAGATAAGCCGCAAGAGAATAAGCCGATCGAAGAAATCCAGGAACCACAGAAAAGCAAAATTCAAGTTCCAGTAGAAGAGAATAAAATCGCAGAAATTGTGGACGAAAAGAAAGAAATGCCACCAACATCGACACTATCAACATACAGTACCAAAACATCTGTTCAAACCACAGAAACTGTTTCTGTAATGCCTACTATTGAAGTCCAACAGGAACCAACACAAAAAGAACAAGAACCTTTACCAACAAAAGTCAAATCCATTAGTTTGATTGCACAACTTGATATTGAAAAAGATGTTATTCAAGCTACTCAAAAAGTTAAAATGGATGATGGTTATGAAGATTTCGATCCATCAAAAGCGCAAAGTTTCAATCAATAAATCGATTTTTCTATTATTAATTGTCGAACTGATTCTGCAGTTACTGTGGTTAGTTATTATTTAGGGGAAACTTTAATTAGTTGGGGTTAGTGTAGATTGTATCGGAAAATTTTCTTACCGATTCTAACACGAAAGTATTTAAAAAAAAAAACAAAACAATTTCAAAATCGAATATTCATTCATTCGGGTCAGTTGAAAATGGGAGGCTCAGTCTAGCGTTTTCTTGATGCGGCTCCCTTGCGGCTTGCTGCGACACGGCTACGTGTTGAGCGTTGACCACGACGGCTGGAAAAAAGAATGAGATTGAACTATTTTTTTTCAATTTTCGGAATGCTTACCTCGAACGAGAACGAGAACGGGAGCGAGAGCGGCTTTTTGCTTTAGCGGCATTCTTTGCTGGTCTTCCTCTTTTCGGTTTTGATGCTGGACGACGACGAGAACCGGAGCGAGAACGAGATCTGCTTCTCGATGATTTTCTTGATGCAGATCTTGTCGATCTGCGACTTCCAGTTCGAGCAGCACGTCTTGTGGCTGAAGCTGAGCGTCTCGAGGCGGCAGAAGATCTCGAACGACGTGCAACCGAGCGGGAACTTCTTCTTGATCCAGAGCGAGAGCTTCTCGAACCTGAGCGTGAGCGTCTTGAGGCAGAGCGGGAGCGTCTCGATCCAGAACGCGAACGTCTGGATGCCGAACGACGAGATGCCGAACGACTGCGAGAGCGTCTCGATCCAGAACGGCTACGGCTACGAGCAGTGTGCAAGCTTGCCGATCTTGTGCTTCGGCGGGAACCACGGCGCGACTTCTTTCCGGGTGTTGGCAAGAAGCGACCAAGACTGTCGCGAGGACGCGATTTGGCGAGTGATGATCTTCTGAAAACATTATCTGTTTATTTTTGCCATCCTGTTTCATTTCGCTTACCTGTTCATCTGTTCGAGTTATCAAAGATTCTAGTTATTCAAGTTGATTGATATAAAATTGTGAGCACTAAGCACGCTCTTTTATACACCAAAAATTTGGAACACGTAAGATCGTTATCTTTTTTTCAAGTGTGTCACGTTTCAAATGGGATAAACGTAAATTTCATTTTCTGATTTTTCTTCTTTTTTATTAGATTTAGACAAAGCCGTGTCTGAAGAAAAAACAAAACGTTGAAAACTTTATTTATAATTTTCATTTTTGCTCTATTTTTAGATTACTGTAACCCTTTTCATTGAAATTCTTATTTTAAAAATCTCTATGTATATTTTTAAAAAAGTCTTCATTCAATGAATTTGCTCACGAATTTAATTTGATAAATGCTTCGGAAAGAGTTGATTGCAACAAATAAAAATAATCGATATCTAAATCTTTCAGATATTCTTCAATCTCATTCACTTTTGTTGTCCATTTTTCATCGAATTTCCGAGGAATCTAAATTATTTTTGTTCTGTTTCTTTACGTCGCCTGAACAAAGGAGCCGTCGAGTAATTTCCGAAAAAGGAGAGAAAGCGCGCCCCATGGAAAAAATTGCGTCGGTCCCCTGTACAAATTTCTGTGCGTCGTGGCCCTTCCTCTCTGTCTCTCACTTTTTCTCTTTTTTGACTCTATTTACTTCTTTTTCTTTTTTTTCTCGACGAGTGCTCGCGTAAAAAAACCTTCCGATAAAAAATTAACCTACCTGATATACAAATATCAAACCATTTTCACTTATCAAAATAGACTCTTTCATTCTTTCTTTCATGTTTTCAAGTAATTTTTCTCGATTGTTGGAATCTTTCAAAATTATCGAAAGGTGGAAACATAATCCATGTCTAAAAATGTTTTTTAGAATTATTTTTTTTGAGAATATTTGTTACCTTTCTTTAATTTCTTGTGTTGTTCCTAATGCAATTATTTGTCCATCTCTTAATACAGCCATTCTCGTACATAATGCTTCACATTCATTCATTGATTGTGTATTCATTATGACTGTTATACCACATTCTTCATTTAAATATTCAAAAAAATTCCAAATATCTCTTCTTGATTTCGGATCTAATCCTGTTGTTGGATTATCGAGAATAAGTATTTTTGATCGTGATAAAACTGCAATTCCAATTGATAATTTTCTTTGTTGTCCTTTGCTCATATTCTTTACTTGTTTCATCATATCATTTTTCGTCAAACCGACACATTTTGTCACAATTCCAACAACTTTTTTGATATCTTTATAATTTTGAAGTCTCGCAGTTGTATACAATATTTCTTTTCCCGAGAAATCTGGTAGAATTTCTGTGTTCTGTGGACAATAACCACTTTTCTAAAAATAAAATATAAAGAAAAAATGTGAATTTGAAATAAAAAAAAACTAACAATCCACTTCATCACATTTCTTCCTCCAATTTCCGCTGTTCCACTGCTTAAAAATGTTTTACATGCCAAAATATCAATAATCACACTTTTTCCACATCCATTCAATCCAATTATTCCAAAACTTTCCTCATTTTTGATATTCAAACATATTTTATTAACAACTTTTTTCTTTCCAATTTTCTTCGTGACATCATTTAAAATAACCATCGAATCAATCGATTTCTCTTTTTTTGGTTTTGAAACTTTTTTCGAGCATATTCTAATTGAAAACCATAATTTTTTAACTCTTCTCATTGCCAAAAACAAGAAAATAATTGAAGTGAGAATCATCAAAGGAATAAGATATATATAATCTTGCCAAATACTGTAGTTTTCACCAGCATTTTTGTAATGAAGAAAACCAACAGCAATTTCCGATGATAAATCAAACGGTCTTTCCCAATTCCAAAGTTTGAATAAATTTGCGAAAAAATTCAGAGAAGGAAACATCCATCGAAATGCTTCAAATATCTGTAAGAAAAACACTTTTTCCCAAATAATATTTGTGAATACTCAATAAATACCCTTGAATCAGTGTTCCAAATTAATCGAACTGCTTGAGTTATAACAACTTTTAATCCAGTCGAAATATAAACTATAGAAACAGCGGATATTGTCATTTTAATAGGCGAATCAACAAACATTGATATTACAAGAAAAACTGGAACCATTGCAAAGAAAAATAATATCGAGATTACAAAAAGTCTGAAAATCAGAAAATATTATAACGATTTTAAGTTTTAGAGAAAAACTTACAATGGAACTGTGAATGTTGCAATGTTGAAACAAAACATTATAATGACAAAAATCAGAAGATCGATGAAAAAAAGAATAAATTCCCAGAAAATTGTATAAAACCAATAGAAGAAATGTGGCATTTCGGTAAGAAATTGTTGATGTTGAAACTTTGAGACATGATCTTCAACAAGCATTACACCAAAAAACATAACAATTGAGCAAATCTTTGTCCAAAATGTGAAATATATTCGAATATGTGAATCACCCTGAAATAACATATGTAGAACAAAAACTGACTAGTACTGTAGTTGTTTCTCTTTTCGCTCATTCGAAATCTAATTTCAAATCTTACCATTGATGATTCTTGAATAACCCAAAATACCGAAATACTCAAATTCTTTAGATCGTTGAAAGTAGGCATGAAATTTCGAACAAAAATAAGAATGGGCTTATTGAGTTGAATTCGTGTATTTACATATATTTCTTTGGCAGTATTGTTTGAACCTCGAATTATAAGAGAAACCCGGTCACCTGGCTGAAAATAATCATTTTAGGAAATTAGATGAATTGTTTTTACCTGATCATATTCGTTATAGATATCAATTATATTGATTGACATATCTAATAAATGAATTAACTCAAGATTTGAATTTGATCTGAACACATCAATATACTTTTGAGAATTCGGCATTTGAAAAATAACTTTTGATTTTGGCAATGAATTGAGGTTGATATTATTTTTGACAATATTTGGAAAATGTTCTGGTAAATGATAAATATTGATTAAAATCAAAACCAGAATCGGGAAAATATAAGTGATAAGATGTTGTAATATATTCCTTTTTGCATAATAAACTCTTTTCCAAAATAATCCCGAAAATGTTCCTCTCATTTTATGGATCGGCTTTATTGCTTTCTCATTAATCATATTTGAATAATCTCGAAATTTAGCATGTTTATCTCGTTTTTCGGTATCACATTGGTTTAAAACTGCTAGAAATGATTGTTCGAGTGAATTCAATGATAATCCAATCGATGAAATTTCGATTTTCTTTGCAATTTTTTCATAATTTTTGATATTTGCAGCAGCTGGAGAGTCATATCTTTAAAAAATGAAATAAATTAAAATATTTTCATTTGAACTACTCACTGTTTGTCTGATATTTGTTCCAAAGTTCTTACTAATTCCAATAAATTCTTTTTATTTTCATCAGATATCAATATTTCAATAATTTGTCCTCGAATATCTTTCAATTTTACATTTTTCATGAAAACATTGCAAATATTCAACAAACTTTCAATCGCTTCTTTTTTCTGTTTCTTTTTATTCAATAATACAACTGTCAATAAATGTCCTCCGCCATAATTCGTTTTCAAATATTGTGAATCACCGCATGCAACAATTCTACCTTTTTCCATTATATAAATCCAATCAGATAATCTTTCAGCTTCATCCATTTCATGAGTTGTTAATAGAATTGTTCGATCAATTTTCAACGATTCCAATATTTTCTGAATTTCGAGTCTTGCACATGGATCTAATCCAGTTGTTGGTTCATCAAGTAATATCACTTTACTGTTTCCAATTAAAGCCATACACATTGATAATTTTCGTTTTGTTCCAGTTGAAAGATTTTTTACGAGCTGAAAATAAAATTACTGTAGATCATTAATATAACAAAAGTGGAGCATTTTTGCGAAAAATCATACCGTATGCTTGTTGTCAGCCATTTTCATAGTTTCTAATAATAATTTTGCTTCGTCTTTGAAAATTGTTTTCGGTTTTTTGATACTGTGAACAATTTTTAAATGTTCCCAAACTGTTAATTTCTCAAATAACATATTATCAAGTGGACAAATACCAATCATTTTTCCAACTTTTCGGCGATTTTTGAAAACATTCATTCCATTTATCATTATTGAACCTGAAAAATGCACCTCCTATATAGATCTCATTTCAAAAATTAATATGATTACCAGATGTTGGATTTGTAATTCCAGAAATAATTGAAAATGTCATACTTTTTCCACATCCATTTTGTCCTAAAATAACAGAAACTTCTCCACGAATTGCTCTTAAATTCAAATTATTTATAACATTTTCGCCGTTTGGAACTTTTTTGAATAAATTGTTGATTTCAATATCTGATGGCATTTTTTGTCTTATTTCTTCATTTTTATTCGCTTTTTTTGCAACCATTAATGGTTTTCTTGTTTCAAGAAGAACATTCAAATCAGTGTTTTCTTCATCCGAATCAATATTTTGTTTTCGTTGAAATTTTGAAAGTATCCATTCAGTTGATAATATTTTTCTATTATAATCAAAAAATATAGCAAGTGTTAACATTATAATTGAATCAATAACAAGCATAAGCATATAATAATAAATTGGTGCCATTTTACTTGTTTTTGAAGAAGAAATCGAAAATTGACCAATATCATATGTTTTTTTCATTGAATCAACAATAAAATGAAAACAATAATTGAATAAAAAAGAAGTTGGAATTGAATATATTTCAACATTCATCTCATAGTTTTCTAATTTGAAGCGATATGGAATTATTGCAAGAAGATTCCAAAAAATTAAGCCACATTGAAATGCTGTTTTTTGATTTCTGAAAATACTTCCAATCAAAAATGAAAATGATATTGTTGGAAGAAGAAATAAAATAATCGAAAAGAAGATTGTTAATTGTTCTTCAATGCTATCAAAAATCATTGCAATTAATATTGCTCCAGGTGTCACAAAAATAACAGATTTCAAATAATTGAATATAAATTGTTCGATGTAATAAACATGCAAAGGTAGTCCAATCAATAATAAATATGGCTGAAAATCAGGAAAAATTATGAAATTTCTACAAAAAAATCAAACCCTTGATGTTGTTTTTTCCAAAACTATTCCACGTGTTGCAGTTACAGTAAGAACATAAAATGAGAAAAAACAAAATACAGGCAAATATTCGAGAGATTTTGAGACTGGTGAAGGTTCCAAATATGGCATTTCATAAACTTTTGCAAAACTGATATTTTCAGAAATAATTTTGGATCTTTGAGAAAGCGGCAATCTTTTGTAATGTTTTGTGATTTTATCATAATCAATCAGCATATTTCGAGCCAATGATTCCGAAATATCTTGTTTCGATTTTTCTCGTCTCCAATTATTTTTCGAATGTTCAATATTTTGCATCGGAAGAACATACTTCAATGTTATTTTCGAGTTATTGAATCTCAAATTTCTCCCAACAAATCTGAAAAATAAGTTGGTTGGTTTTCATTTTCTCATGAAAACATACGACGGATTTTTTCGACTTATTTTTGGATTTTGTTTCATTTTCTCAACCAATTTTTTAATTCCGCCATTTTCAACTTTAGCACATCCTTTATAATTTTCATAACATGAACGTCTTTGAAGTCTTCGATTTGTATCAAATTCAATTGGTGGAATCATTCGATATTTCAATGGCATTTTTGCAGAATTTATTGATTGATAATATAATGCACCTCCACATATTCCAAATACAAAAAGTGTCAAAAATAATTCGCATAATGTATAAACCAAATTACGTTTTGCAAGCAGAACATCCTTTTTCAATAAAAATAGTAACATTTTTTGTTGGTTTAAATTGTTGAAAAAATAGAAATAATTCTGAAATTTTTAGAAGAAGCGTTTTTTGGTTCACGCGAAATTTTTTTCTTTTTTTCTTTCTAGAGTCAAAAACTGTGAATCTAGTATTTTCTTCGTAAAAAATTATGTTGTTTTGTAAGATCACTTCACATGAATCAATTGAATTCCTTTATTTCGAATTGGGATTCATCAGTTTTTTGAAACGTATTTTTCCGAGATTGATAACAAAAACAAAATTTTTAAATTTTATTCACTTTTTTCAAGAAAAAAACTGTATACGACAAAGTAAGAAAACCTTTCAGAATATAAAAATAAATAGCAGGTGAGAAGTTGAAGAAATTATAAAAAACAATAATAAATTATTTTGGTTTTCCGAAAAAATCTCGAATTGTTATTTTTGTACAGTAATTAGATGAGAGAAATAAAAATGGGGTACTGTATTCGAAGAGAGAAGGAAAATGGAAGAAGTATTTCGGTTGAGGAGACGGGGGGAAAGGGTACTGTACCATGGCATAAGATATGAAAGATGCTCAGCGAGAGAGAGAGAGAATGAGACAGAAAGGGTGACAAAAAAACAGGAAAACTCCAAAGAATTGGCGAAAAATGCCCGTTACTATGAAAATATAGGAGGAAGAAGAGGAGGGGTTTGAATAAAATCAATGGGACAAAAAAAGAGATCGATTTGAACAAAAAACATGTTTGTTAGTGAAAAATAAAATAATTATCTGAAACTGCAAAATAAAAAATCTAAATTCCATTTGGAACTGAGGTTGTTGGCAATAGTTCGAAAACAATTTGACGAGGTCCATCAACAAGATTTCGAACTGGAAGTTGAGCGATAAATTCGCCAAGGAATGAACCTGGAAAAATAATTTGATTTGAGATTTTCAAAAAAATTTTGAAAAAAAATGTTTACCTTTTTCATCATTACTCCTGACGACAAATGTTTGTGTTTGATAATTTTTATCATTTCCAATTGGTTTACCGAATCCTTCTGGAATTGAATCACCGGATGGAGAAATTGAACCGCTCTGAAAATAAAACAAAATTAATTTTGAAATTGGGGAAAAAATAAATAGAACTTACTGTATGTGAATTTCGTTCATTGATATGATTATTTGATGTTTTCAAAATATCTTCTTCTGTATTCTCTTTTTTAATTGCAGCCGATTTATGAAGACTTAAATTGAGTGCAGCTGCTGTCGCATCATCAAATTGATGATTTTGACAAACCATTTTGAGTGCAGCTTCAGTTGTTAATTTCAATGCTTCATCTTCATCTTCATCACTTCCTCTTCTTTTAACTTCATTCATTGGATCATGTCTTTCTTGATGCATTTCCAAATTTCTTGCATCTCTTGTTGCATATTGACATTGTCCACATTTCAATAAATTTGGATCCTCTTTTGCACTTTCATCTTCTTGTCGTCGATTATTTTGTGCATTTAATAAAGCCATAACTTGTTGTAAATCAGTTGCTGCTCCTCCACCCAAATGTTCTTGTTGAACATGTAATCCCATCATTAATCCAGGCACTCTTTTATCACATAATTGACATTTTTCATCAATTGAAGATCCATTATTTGTTGAAGTTGGTGTTGATGGAACTGATGATTTTGTTGGAATTCCATTTGCAGAACCAGATGATGTATTTGTATTTCTTGGTGTTGACAAAGGCATTACTCCATGAACATCTTGTTTATGTTGTCGAAGTTGATGACGTGATTTGAATTCAACTAAACAAGTGTCACATCGGAATGATAAATTTCCCATTCTTTCTCTTTCCAATGTATCAATATTAGCAATTACTGTTTTGTTTTCATCGATAACAATTCCATGCATTTTGAGCATATGTGTGCGCAAAAAGTATTTGTTGCAAACTTCTTTGTTACACAAATCACAATAATTTTTACCATTCGATGAATATTGTCGTTTCACAGCTCCACTGCCACCCATTTTGCTTGGCTGAAAAATATAATTGAGATAATTTTGAAAGAAGTGGGGAGGGGGAAGGGACTTACAGTTGACATCGCCGAAAGTGGAGAATCGAAATCTGAAAGTCCAGCAAATTGTTGATGAAGTGGTGATTGAAACATGAGAGGCAATGCTGACATGTTTTGTGGAAATAGACCGCCAAATAATCTGCAAAAAAATTAATTTGAATTTGAAATTTCCTAAATGATCTGAATAAAAAGTAAAACTTACTGCATCAATGAATTATTTGCAGCTGTAACATCAGAAATATTCGATTCTTCAGATGGAGATGGTTTTGATTTCTTTGCTGGCGGTGTTGTTGGTCCATCATTATTTTCGTTTGTTCCATTTACAATAACTGATGATTGACATGAATCGGTTACTGTATTTTGTGAAGAATTTGATGTTGTTGGAAGCATCAAACCAGCCAATGAATTTGGAATTTGAATATTATTTGAAGGTGGAGGTGTGACTGAATTATCACGAAGATCATCAATATCTTCATTCATTTTATTTTGTGATGATGATAAACCAGCTAATTGACCAACTAATGCTGTGAAATCAGTTGCATTTCCGTTTGAATTTGCCAACATTTCCAAAAATTGTGGATTCGCATTTTGCATAATATCCATTAAACTTTCAGCTGGTTTTTGTTGTTGTTGCTGTTGTTGAATTTGTTGATTCATAACAAGTTGCAACCAATTTGGAGTTTGTTGTGATTTTTGTGTTTCTTGTTGTTGTTGATCTTTCTCTTCATTTGCCTCATTCAAAACTGATGATGAAGATGGTGCTCCAGAAGATGCCAAAGAAGATGGACTCGCACTTCCACCAGATGATAAGAGACCTCCTTTGCTCATTTGTGCAAATAGTTCTTGATTTCCGTTTGACTGAAAAAATTGTACATTTTTATTATTTTTTTTGATATTTTCGAAGAAAAATGAATATTTTTTAAAAAATCCGGATGTTTTTATAAGAATTATATCAGATCAAAAATAAAATTTTATTCTCGCGAAAAAAAAATTTTGCGTTTTTATTTTTTGTATGTCGCGAGAGAGAGCGAAAATTTCGAAAAAATGCAATAAAATTTTCCGTTTCAAAAAACTTTTCAATTTTCATTTTTTTTAATTAAAAAATTGGAAAAATTTATGAACATTTTTAGTCGTTGACACGAAAACGGGGAAAATTGAAAGAGGGAGAGAGAAATTCTGATTATTTCGAACAAAACAATCAAATTTCGAAGAAAATAATCAAAACAAAACAAAAACAAGTTGTCATTTTCAGTGAAAAAAGGAAAAAGAGACCAAAAAAATAGACGCCACCAAAAAATAAATAATTTTTGGATTGAACACATTTTTTACAAACCTAATACTAAAAACACACCAGGTGGACACCATGAGAAAGGGGCGTGGCCAACAGATAAAAAAATGTGTGAAAAAATAAGGAGACGCAGATATTGACAGAGATTGAAAAATCAAAAATATTTGAAAAATTCAGAAGATCAGAAGATTTTGATGAAAATTTGGAATATTGAAATTTTGAGGAAAATATTGAAAAATGAGGAAAATTTTTAAAAATTCAATCCGGATTGAAAATTGGCCTTTCAAAAACAATTTTAGGAAAAAAAACAGATATATTAAATAAATATCTTGAAAGTTTTCAAAAAAATTTACTGAAAGTTGATTTTGAAAAAAAGATTTCGAAATCTGAAATCGGTTTCAAAATTTTTTGAAATTGAGGGAAATTTTGTCGGTCCGAATTCAGAAAATTTTTAAATTTATTATTTGGAATCTAGAAATTAGAACTGAATTTCAGAAATTTTATTTCAATTTCAGAAATTCAACAAAAGTCAAACTTTTTATATAAAATAGAGAAAAAGTGTCCCACCCAAAAAAAGGACGCCACCAAAAAACAACTAAAACAAATAATAATTAATATTTCGACTACTTTTCTCCTTTTTTTGGGTGTACTCTATCTATCGACACCAAAAAATGGGCGGGATTTATGAGACGAAATAGTGTGAATTTTGAAGAGACATTATAAATACAACAGTTTCTCAAAGTATACTTCGTTGTTTCTTTTTTTGTTTTGGTGTTATTTATGACACCTTTGGCACCTGTTATTTTCCACACCAAAAAAATCAACAATAAAAAAATTAAATTTTGGGAAAAAACTTGAATTGGTTTTTTTGTTCACACATAAATAGAGAGAATTTTTGGTTTTGGAAATAAAAAAAATGGAAATGGAAATGAAAAATAAATTTTATTTTGGAAGAATTTACGATGAGTTTTTTTATTTTTTGAAAAAGAGGCGACAAAAAATTTCAGCTCAGCTCAAAAACAGATTTGATTCGAAAAAGACTTGCGCCAAAATCCTCTTAAAATCGGATTTCTTTAACAAAAAAAGTCATTTCCCAAATATTTTTGATTTTATTTTAGTTAGCCAAACCCGATTAATCTGCGTGTGATTTTACGAAATTTCTAGAGAAAAGCTTTTGCGCGCTTTAATTTGTAGTGTCCCTGGGAAACCTAACTCTCTCTTATTTTTTGCGAGCTTGAAAAATAAAAATAAGAAATATCCAAATCGGGTCTAACAAAAAATTGAAAAATAAAATACTCGGCCGATGGCTCCGCCCATTTGTCATGAAAAATATTATACATTCAAATTGTTTCCTGCGATTTGAGCCGAAATTTTGGAAAAAAACGAGAATTTCGTGAAAAAAAATGAAATTTTTTGCATTTTTCAAGGGTAAGAAAAGAATAATAATCATAAAAATTTGTTTCATATTTTTTATTTCCGAGAAAGTTGGAAAAAAAAGAGAAAAGTTAATTAAACCAATGAATTATTCTTCGGTTTTGCCCGCCCGTGTGAACTTTTTTATGAAGAATGAATGAAAATGAATGAAAGAAGTTGAAAATTGAATAAAGAAAAAGCTTTTTTCGAAAAAAAAATGGAAAGGAATTATTTCGATTTTTGGGATTGGTTTTGTTTATATGTGTATATTCTGTTTCAATTTTTTTCAGAAAAAAATTGTTTATAAAATTTTGCTGATTTTGAAGAAGAGTCCTAGTTTAGTACTATACAAACTACTGTTTTCTATTTTTGAAAATATTATTTTGATAAACTTACGGGATCAATTGACATTAAAAGTTGCTGCATATCGACAGAATTCATCTCGAATTCGGATTGTTTTTGTTTTGTTCAATCAAAATTCTCCAACTTTCTCCTTTCTTCAAACCTGAAAAAAAGACAAATATTTTGAAATCTTCAAAAATTTAACAAGTGCAACGAAAAAAAAATAAAACGATATCCTATAATTAAAAAAATCTCGCATTTATACTTACTTCAAAAAAAAAGTAAAAATAAGAAATGGGGGTAGAAGAATTTAAATATTAGGAAAAATCACAGCCGAAAAACATAATTTTTTCGCGCGCAAAATTTTTTCAATTAATTTTCAGGCGAAAAAAAAACTTGATTGACTTTGTTGTTTTCGACGTGGGGAAATTAAATTTTTTCATATTTTCATATAGAAAATGAGTTAGTTAGATAGATATACTGTAGATTCTCATTTTTCGAAAAAATCAAGTTTTCAGCTATCTGCCTGCCTAATTATTATTTTTCGAAATCGCATCTCTCGAGGGAAATTTTTTTTTTGATTTTTGCTTCGGAAAAATAGAGACAAATTTTTCGAAAATTACATATTTGTTTTTTCGGCTGATTTTCGTTTTATTTTTCACGAAAAATCTGAAAATAATTCCAGGTGAATTGGATTTGGCGAAAAAGTGAAAAACACACACGATTTTGACGAAAACGCAAAAATAAAAAATAAGGGGGAAAATCAGAATTTCTCAAGCCAGTCGCCAAAAACTAATTCGAAAAAAATCACATATTTTCATATGCGAAAAAGAAAAGAAAAGAAATAAAATTCGGGGCGCGCGCAAAAAAAATTTAATCAGAAAAATTGTTGAAAAAATATGGAAAAATGGAAAAGGGGGGGGGGGTAGGGGAAAAGGTAAGGAGAAAAAAAAAGAAGTATGGACAAAAAGTAGCATTTGAGATTTATGGATTTATGTTGTAGGATATATGAATATGGGAGACAGACACACGCCAACACATTTTATAGGTATATTTTCGACAACTAAATTAGCAAATTAAATTGGATTTTTGGAAAGAAAAGAAGGAATAAAACCGAAATAAAATGAGATGAAAATTGTTGAGGGTGTCAAGAAATACGAAAAACCACAAAATTTTGATTTGTTCAAGGAACTGAAAAAAGACTAATAGGAGATACGAAAAAATCAACGAATTTCATCAAATTTCCGCCGCCGCCGCCATTTTTTTTATTTTCAACTTCTCTCGAATAATTTTTTAAAAGCAAATTTCGCCGGCGGCAAAATTTTTTGAAAAATTCAATTTTTTTGAATGTAAATGGCCCAAGGCGAAGAAAACACTAATCGGATTTCGGAATCGAAAAGGCAAAAAAAGAGTGCTAGAATCTGAAAATGAACGAACGAAAAGAGAAAAAAACGGAGCGACTAATTTTTTTCAGGGCCACAAAAATGAAAATACAAAATCGGTGGAAAATTGTATCTTCTGCTATTCGAAGAAAAAAATTATTATATAACTTTTTTTTTTGAAATTAAGAGATCCTAGAAACATACTTTCATTTGATTTTCATTCAAAAAACCCGCCCTACAGTACTCCTCCTCTTCAACTTGTTAACATAATCAAATCCCAAAAAAACCATAAAAAACAAGTTTTGTTCCGAGAATGTTGTTTTAATTAGCTAGTAGTATTTGAATGGCGGATAAAAATGGATTGAGTTTTTTGTGGTTTAAAGTTTTTCGCAAGAAATTTTGAAGTAAAAAACATAGCAAATCCGAAATTAAAAGATAACCTAAAATGAAAAACAATATGATTTTTAATTATAAAATTCAGAAATAGTTCAAAGCATAAAATTTGAAAAAAAAACTGTAATAATAATGTCCATAGGAAAAAATAAATAAATAGAGAAAAAACAAATGTTTCATCCGCTCTCAATGAGATTAGCGTTTCTCTCGGTTAGCCAAAAAAAATAACACATCTGATTTGTTGTGTTATATATTATTACCGGCCGGTCTGTTCGTCGACACTATTTGTAACACACCGAAATTCAATGGACAATGACTAATTGCTTTTGCCGATCGCAAAATTCCCAATCTTTGGGAAGGTTATTTTTGGCGGCGGTATCGTCAACGTAACATTTTTATTACTATTATTAATTATGCTGATTTTTTCGAAATGGGAATTTTTCAAATAGGTCTGAAAAGGATGAAAATTGGATTGAGTCACAGAAAAATCGAAACACTACGGAAATTTTAAGAATTCAAACATTCTTGCTCCGATTCCAAAAATTTCAAGAGAAAAAATCCGGCAAAAAGTATAAGTTTTTTTTCGAAAAAAAAAAGTTCAATTCAATTTCCACAAGAGTTATATATATTTTTCGAAATATAATTTGGCAGCTCTTTCGTTTTTCCTCTGCTCCTCGAAAAATTTCCTGGCTGGGTTTTTGAAAAAAAAAGTTAGGAAATGAGGAAAAATTGGATAGTATGTATGTACATAAAACTTGAATAAATCACTCTTCCAAATTTTGTTTCGTCTTGTTCACACTAATCACCGAAAACCTTCGCCTATTTCCAAATTACACATTTGACCACTACAGCCACAGAAACAAAAAACCAGAATTTTTTCGGTTGCGCGGATGCGATGCGCGAAAAAATGACCACCAATTTGTGTTGTTTTTAAAATGATGGAGTGAGTGGGTTTTGGAGATAGGTTTAGTTTTTTCTTTCGAAAAAAATAGAAGGAGAAGATGAAGAAAAAAAGAAAGTGACAAAAAAGTCCGACTATATATTTTTTGATGTACAGTAATCTAAAATCTATTAATTCCTCAAGTATGTTCAGAATTTCTCATAAAACTAATAAAAAAGAAAATAATAGTTGATTCTTGTGAATACTATCAAGTATTATTCTCTTCACCGCCCATTTTTTTCAAAATATAATTCTTAGCTTCTGATAAATTTAAGGGGCGGAGTCTAGATGAAACCAAAAAGTTGCTCACTAGAGATTCAAAAAAAATCAAGATTTTTTGATGGTGGCGATCTGAGATGGACGGTGTTGTAAAAAACAAGGAAAAAAATCGACAAGTGTTCAAAAGAGAAGATGCATGTGTGTGAGTGTGTGGAAGCATTTTTAAAATAGATAGATCGACTGAAAAAAATTAGAAAAATAAAAAATAAAAACAACAAAATCTTTGACCACCTGATGGACACACACACAATTGATACTCTTTTTTCGTGTTCGCGGATGGCACCGAACTAAACACAAACACACATCGTTTTTTGAACAAAACCAAGATGAAGAAGAAGAAATATCACTTTATAAAAAACATGATAAATTGAACTTGGATGAAGCTTGGATTACTGTAATGTGCAATGATTTTGATTTTGAGAAAGAATTCAAGAAGACATCAGAGAAATAAACAGTTTTGTGTCGGATTTTGAGATCTAATTGATAAAAATTTTAAAAACACCTGAGATTCTAGAAAACATTCTAATATCTCTGGTCATGATTCGACATTCAATGTGAGTTCTAGCTCAACATTTATGAAGCTCTAAATACTTCACCGCCTAGATTTTAGTGTGATGAAACACAAACCGTCAAGATTTCTAAATGCTTCCTCATCTACCATATTTTTTTCTATTTTTCATCATTACAATTTGGTATCAACCAAAATCTCAAAAACATCTACTACTACAATATACAATATTTTTCAAGTATGCTTCTTTTGCTTCTTGTTCGTCATTCGAAACTTGTTCGTCTCATCAAAAAAAATTATTTTGTTTTAATGTAATCGTCGAAAAAAATTTTTTTGGGATGAAATGAACTGGATTTGCTTCTTCAGCTTCCTTCTAATTACATTCATTTGTTGTTGATGCAAGACAAAATGAAAAAAAATACGAAGGGGTGATAATAATAAAAATAATTGAAGAATGAAACGAAACAAAAAAGATATATAATGATTACTGTACTTTTTCAACGAAAAATAACATTCCCTTTTTTTCCGAAAAAAAAGAGAAATTGGAAATCTCGAAACTTTTTTGAAACAATCTCAAGTGTTGCTTTTTTGATTCGATACCCAAAAATAGAGAAAAGATATCTTGAAACGAAAATAAACAGGCCGAGCCAGGAAAAAAACAAACATTTTTTTGCTCGCAGCCCGCCGCCGTTTTTTCACTTGAAACAATTGTTACAAAATTTCAAGTTGATCATCATCTCCTCGTTTTTTTTCCTCTCTATCTTATTTCTTTTTTCTTATTATTATCACTGGTTTTGTTTGAAGATGGAGGATTTTTCAAAAAAAAAAAAAACAGAGACAGGAGAGAAAGCGCAGGCATGTTCCTGGGGCCGGCCGGGCCGAGCCCGGGCCCTCATCTCAAAGCCATGGCCTCGGCCCGGCTTTCAATGAATTTGTGGGAAAAGCCAGGGCCGAACCCCGGCTCGGCCCGGCCGGCCCGTTTTGGCCCGATTTCAATATTTTCTCGTTCTTAATACTATTTTTTCTATGTTTTTCATTCATTAATTCTGACGTCAAATAATAGAAAAACAGGAAAATGAAGCAAATTGTTAGATATTTTATTCTAAAACGCCTCTAAAATTAATTTTTGTCAAAAAAAATTTTTTTTACAACTCTGACACGATTTTTTTCGAATTGTAATCCTAATTCACATGTTTGAAAACATTGTCTCGGTATTTTAGCCTAATTCTAATCGAATAGTGGACTTGCGAACTTGAGAAAAATAAGTGTGTTGTTGACAAAAAAAATTGAAAGGGCCAGCCGGGCCCGGCTCGGCCCTGGCTGGCTTTTCAGGAGCCATCGACTGAGAAGCCCGGCCGGGCCCTAAAGCCCGTTTTTTCCATTCGGCCAGGCCGGGCCGGGGCCGGCCCGGTCGTAGGAACATGTCTGAGAAAGCGGAAACGGATGAAATTCAAAATTCCAAGTTAAGATCAAAATGTTGACTTCTAACAAACATCTACGAATGTTTAGAAAAACAAAAAAGTTTACAAATAATAGAACGCAAAAATTCTTCAAACCTCAAGAAAGAAAATCAGAAAAGAGAAAAAACGGATATTAT